TTTTTTTTTTTGACCAGCTGCAGCCAGAAGACCTCGTGTCAGTACTTCCAGGTTCCAGTACCAGTTGTTCAGTTCCCGCTTCGCACCTTTTAACCCACCCACATCTTTTCCCTCGCATTTGTTTTCCCACCGACGGTTTCCAGATTTCCGGACCCTTCATTCGTTTCAACCCTAGCCTATACTCACCGGCCTTTGACTCGGACTTCTGGCTTCTTTTTTTTTTGGGCTCTGTTTTGGATTTCTGCTTCTCGGATACGTTTCATTTCGAGGGGATATTATTACATTACGACACTGCTGCCGCTAAGATTGGTTGCGCCGGGTTCTGAGGAAATCGAATCGGCTGCTGAATTTTGGGCATTCCGGGGGGGGAAGAAACATCTAAAAATACAAAGCGCGCGAGATAAATCTGCGGAAAAGTGCAGGGTGAAGGTTACCGCTTGGGAAGATACCACCGATTGGACCATATTTGATATTATATCTAGAAGGCCATGAAGGGTCGCAGATAAAGAACATCGAACATCGAACATCGGACATCGAACATCGAACATCGAACATCGAAACATCGAACAGGTCCCAAACCAGCCTCTCCAATTTCTGTGTTGCGCCGGCCCCGAAAAAGCAACGATCCGCACCCGGTCTCACAAGCCCAACAACACGGCAACACACAACGCGCGCCATTCCATTTTCTGGGTCTTCTCATCTCCCTCGCTTTCCTTCAAATCTAATCTCACCCGCTGCGACGCCGACGACATCTCAACCTTTTCTCCTCCTTCTCTTCCTTCTTATTATATCAATCTTCTCGAACGAAACCTTCAGGCTTCGAAGCCGTTTCGTTAAACGGCTCCATTCATCCAGCCAGGCAAAGACAGGCAACATCTTTGCCCTTTTTCTCATTCATCTTGCCGAATCGAGCCTTGTTGCCCTGGCAGCAAACAACCTCACCAGCCACCCTTCCCGCTCCCAAGCATTCCAGGCCATAATCAAATTAAGGTCTAGGCGATAAACCTCGCCATTCTTGAGTCCCGTATCGTCGACGTCAGAATCCTCGAAGTTGGGGTCTTTCAGCCGTCTATGACAGCTTGAACTGGTTCAATTCGTTTCTACGTGGGGTTGATATCGACGGTAGCCTGATCAAAGGGGGCTACATACGTTGCATATACACACACATACACTCACACAATACACATCAAGCGAAAGGAAAGAGACATACATCTCGACTCCTTTCTTCAGCCCCATTGTTCGCTCTCTAGCAGCATCTCCCACTAGTCACCACGACGGTCGTCATCTTGTCCGCCTCACCTTATACCTCGCCTTCCACTACCTCGTCAAGCGACACCCCTACAAACGCTGCTTCTCTGCGGAGAGAAAAGAGATTAGCGGCATCTCGATCGGCTGATACCACAGGGAAAGGGGGTGCCCAACACCAGCACGCTCGCTCGACTGACATTGATTCGTTGCGACACGAGGGTGAATTTGGTGACAGCGACGACGACGATTTCAGTGGTGGAGGGGCTGGTGGCAGCCGTTCCAATTCGCGCAAGAGACCGGCGCACGTTTCAAAGCGGACCGCCCAGGCCATCCTCTACGCTCTAGAGGAAGCCATCCGCACCCCGTACTCGTTCACGCGAGACCTGGTTGAGGAAAAGGCGTCAATGTCAGCGTTAATAAACCAGAGCCAACCGTCTCGTCCTCCAGCTGGCCGAACTGCCCCTCCATCCGCCACTGGTCCTTCGTCTCCTCAATCCAATATCTTCGTCCCAGACTACCCAGTTGCTGGTTTCTCACCCACAAATCCTCATTATTTTGAAAAGCCAGAGCTTTCCCCACAACAAGGCCAATTTCGTAGCCCACAAACACAGAAAACACAGCAGGGATCATCATCCCAACAAAGTTCTCCCCAAGAAAGAAGATCAGGAAAGGCTCCGGCTTCAAACTCCAACGTGAGAATACCGGACACTAGAGGGAACCAACCCTCATCTAGCAGACAGCCAGAGAGAAATCCTCAACAACCCAGAACACAACCCACAGCAGCAGCAATGGGTGGAAGCACAACAGCAGCAGCAGCAGCAGCAGGGCCCTCGGGAGCCAATTCGAGTCAAAAAGCCGGACCGAGCGGGGTCGGAATGGGTGGACCAAGTTATGGAACCGGTGGAATGGGTGGGATGGGTGGGATGGGTGGAGTGAACGAGGGCGGGGCACCTGGGACTGGGACTGGTGGCGTCGGAGGCTCTGGCGCGGCAGGCGGAGGAAAAGGTAGCCCGTCAGATAACCGGCAACGGCGTCCCAGTGAGTCCACTCGTGGCCCTAAACTTCTTACAGCGACAGGAAACCAACCAAATTCAACTGTATCAGCAGCAACAACAGCATCGCCTTTCCCACATGCATTTGAAAGATGGGAAATGCTATCGGCGCAATGGGAAGGTTTGACGAGGTATTGGAATCGACGGCTGGAGCAGCACCAGGAGGAAATTTCGAGGGACCCATTAGCAGTTCAGATGTCGAGGAACATCACTGATCTTTCTGCAGCTGGTGCAAACTTGTTCCATGCAGTTGTTGAACTGCAAAGATTAAGGGCATCTTCAGAGCGAAAGTTTCAACGATGGTTTTTCGAAACGAAGGCTGACCAAGAGAGGTCCCGAGAGATGACTTCGGAGCTTGAGAATACTCTCAGAAACGAGAGGCAGAAAAGAGCCGATGCGATGTCCAAGATTACGAAACTGGAGAAAGATAAGGCGACCGCCGAAAAGCTTGTTGAAGAGGTAAGGCGGGAGCTGCAGATATCGCGGGAGGAAGCGAGACGGGCATGGGAAGAGCTCGGCCGACGCGAGCAGGAAGAACGCGAAAGAACGAACAGTCTGCGCGGAGGCCACCCGACGCTAGTTGGAGGTGTCCAAGTCTTGCCTATGCCAATGCCTGGCGTGCCAAATCGCGGCCCAGGCGGTGCCAGTGGAGGCGGTGGAAACGCCAGCAATGGTAGTTCGGGCGGCGCACGTCAGCGAAGCTCGACGTCAGGCCCCCCGCCACAAAGCTCGCATGGCCACCCACCGGTAGCTGCAGCTATTGTTCAACCTATTTCTCAACCCACCGGTCCTACAGGTGATGTAGTCCATCCCGCTTCCCCTCAATACTCCCAAGATGCCCTGAGCGAGGGTGGCAGTGCCTATATCGGCCACGGCGATGAAGGATATCGTGCACCATCTTTGCACCATGAACCCCACCTCCCAGTAGTCCCTTCCCCCCCTCCAATGTCTGGTCAACCTCACCACGGTAGCCCACAGCGCCATGCAGGGCAGCAGCAGCAGCAGCAACAGCAGCAACAGCAGCAACAGCAGCAACAGCAGCAGCATCATCATGTTCAACAACCCATGGCACCCCATTATCCTTCCTCCTCGAGCCAACAGCGGAATATTGCGGCAATGAATGACCCTGCGGCATTCTACCAACAACCTCCGCAAGGCTACCTGCACTCGGTGCCAGAACGGACATTCTCCCCTGGAGAAGAATCTGTGGTTTCCGAACCGGGACGGCCATCGAGCCAGGCCTCGGTGACAATATCCGACCCAGGATCCGACGATGAGGACGACCCGTGGGCCAGAGATGACCAAGGCCGTGTCTTCCGTGATGAAAGAGGACGTGCAATGACCCAAAGCCAGGTCGAACATCGGCGCCAACAGGCTGCCTACCAGCACCCACAGGCACAGCCGTACCAATACTATCCAGGGCCTGGTCCACAAGGACCACCACCTCCGGGCCAGGACCAACCCGGCCAACCCGGCCAACCCGGATATGGTGGTTACGGGCCCGGCTGGGAGGGAATAGCTAGACATCACCACCCTACCCGGTTGAGCGAAATTCTTGAGGAAGAGGAGAGAACGGCCACATCGTTGAGTGGTGATGACGATAGGAGAAGGTGATGAGTAAGAGTGATGGGGCGTCTGATGTTTGAAAATTTGCCGCGCTCGGTTGAAAAGAGAGAGAGGGATGGAGAGGGAGAGAGAGGGAGAGAGGCAGAAAAAGAGAGAGATACCCAAACGTATTGGCATACCACCTTCCAACTCACACCATTTATCACCGCCAGGGATATCAACCATATATTATTTATTGTACAGCCTATGGATACTCCCAGCAATTTTTTATGTAATTTTCTCTTTTGAACAGTTCATTGCATTCCTGGTTATAATTCGCCTGCATTCTTTCATGTCGCCCTCCTCCACTTCACAAAAGTCCAACAAGCATGCCTCTTCGCGCCAACATGCCAATAACATCTTTCAAGAAAATGCGACACTCTTATCTGTGGATGTTGTATCTACCTCGAGTCATCTATCTACATACATGGCCAGTTTCTTTCGGGAGGGTTTCTTTTGGTATCATTTCTTTTTCTTTTTCTTTCCATTTAATTTATTTTAGTTGATATTTGTGTCACGATGTTTTATGCACTTTGATGTGATTTCTTACTTTCCTTTTTCTCCTGTATTGAAATGGGTCCCGCATACATTTATCATTTATCATTATCATTTACCATTATTTCATAGTATCTTCTTTAGTTTTCCTATACTCTATTTACTTACAGTTGCATGCATGCTTCAACGTCTAAATTTCGGGGTTTTATCTGACCCGCCTTGTGCATACATACATACTATTTCTCTCTATCTATCTCGATAATATTGGCAACCCTCACGCATGATGAAAAATTCGGATGGATCTTATATACTTGTAATGCATGTATCTCATTTTTAAATTTCCTTTGATGATCTTTCATATACTTACATCCGAGTACATTTCTTGTTTTCGGTACTGGTTCTACATAAATACTTTAGTTTTAGTCGTCGAATCAAATATCAAATAGACTCAGAGTGATCTCGTTCCGGGCGACCCACTTTTTTTTCTCTTCTCTTCGTTTCCCATGCTGAAAATGGTGACTGTTGTGCAACAATATTACTGCATGCATCGAGCTCCATCCCATCCCATCTCCATCCATCCACCCGCATATCACATGGTTTTAAATCTCTTTTTTATTTTTTTATTTTTTTATCCTTTTTACCCTGTTGAGGGATCGGGATGATCTTGAGGGAGGAGGAGGAGCGCGGAGTATAGTATATCTGCATATGTACAGCCTTATTCTCCGCCAGTTACTTATATATAACTCTGACCCGGCTACTGTACTGTGCCTCGGCCGGGTGGGTTTAACGATGAAACCAAAAATAATAAAATGATACGACTGCTATAGCTATTACTACTCCATACTGGATCTCATAAATATCCTTTGATGATAAGCACTCATAAGTACTCGGATACATCATATTAATATGATATGCATGAATGGATGAATGAATGAATGTGTTTCCCACCATCCGCTTCGACACAACAGCAACCCGCAACCACAACCACATCCGCACACAATCAAACCAAACCAAACCAAACCATCGACGATCTAAAACATTACAAACCTCCTTCCTTCCTTGCCGGTTTTCTTGCTTCCTTCCTTCCTTCCTTCCTTCCTTCCTTCCTTCTCTCTACAGAATAAACAGGCTAAGACTCGAATCTAAATCTAAAACATCGTTCCTTGGTAAGCACCATTTCCACGCCGTCCTCACCCTTCAGTCCATGGTCCGCTAGAACCGCAACCGCTTTGGTTTTCCCAAGTTGACGTTGGTGCAGCTGTCGGACAGCAACTTCGCCTTGCCAGCCAACCAGCAGCCTTGTCTGTGTGCCAGCTGCCCCAAATACGTACCGACTTTACATGCAAGAGTACATGGACAGTACGCACTTCCAAGGGGTGCCGAAATTTTCACATCATCCCTCACTAGTCCTCTTTTAAAGGCTCTTTTCTTTATTGTTTTACTTTATTTTATATTTTTTTTTTTGCGGAATTTGGTTCTGGAACTTTAATCTTTTCATCGTATCATCATCATCAGACGATTCCCCCGGTATAACCGTTATCCATTTATAAGACGGGCCTGACAAAGCTCCATTTTTAGCTGCTTTCAAGCTCCCGCATAGCTCGGCCTAACGTTCTGAACATCGACAACCTCCTCCTCCTCCTCCTCCTCCTCCTCCTCCTCTCCTCCTCTCTTCATCTCCTCCTCTTCTCCACTTCTCAAACCCCGGTAACATTCCAGTCGCTCCCATGTATCCGTCAGTCTCTCGCACATTCAAACAATTCGACTCCTCTTCCTTCGCAGCCAGCAGCAACATCTGGGATCCGCCAACCGCTTTCTCTAATCTAGCTCCGAGGGTTGAAACATCTCGATCATACCGGAAATTTGCGAAACCAGTTTCTCGCTCTGAAGCATTTGTTCGCCCGTCCTTGCCTGCTAGCGGTTACATCGATTCGTATGGCAAGGATGCCTCCTCCAAAAGACGAAAGAGAGGTCCATCGGAACTCAACGATAACCTTGCTGATGATAACTACATTCCTTCCATAAAATCTGCCATCAATGGAGGGACCATGCCATCCGCCGGTTTGAAAGCAGGTCTGAAACGGGAGCTTATTGACGATGATGAAGATTCCGACGGTGAAGGTATAATGAAGGATTCCTACCTGTCGGAGACCCAATACCGTAGAACTTGTGGCACTTCAACACATGAATCGGATGACCGAGGTGGAAAACGGCGCTTATTAAACGTTGTCGGCTCGGTGGTTGGTAGTATTTGGGAATTCTGCACCTCTCAAATGCAAAACTCTCTGGCTGGAATCATTCCTAAGATCGGATGGTCTACCGCCGCTGCTGAATACTACGATACCCCCTTCAACGCTCCGCCCGGTTTATTTGACGGCGACGAAACGATCTGCCAAAGCACGGTTGGTTTTGTCAAGCCGACTCTGCCAGGGGTCTATGTTCCTCCCCTAACAACAACATTCAAAAAACCAACCCTGCAGTCCCTCATCCCGCCAAGTCCCGTCAGAGAAGAAGATAACTTCAGCGCTCGAAGCCCCGATTTTTCCTACTTGGATGAAGATTTATCACGATCGCGTACGGTGGGCATGGAATCGCCAATGTCCGCTTCTTGGATCTTAGTCAAACCCGAATCGAACTCAAGAGCATCTTCCCCAGCTCCGCCAAAAAGTCCCACCGCCGGTGCGAGTGCAGCAAGCATGAGACGACACGGCTCGAACTCTGGCTCTCGCCCCAGCACCCCCATCTTCTCCACTCCGCCAGCGAACACTCTAGGCCGTAGAACGTCCTATTCTCGTCAGGTTCCATCGAGGAAGATGAGAGGTGTAGCCTCCCGACCAGCTGTATTCCCTAGTGGTACTCGCAGCGGATATCTCAGCAGGAGCTCGAGCATTTCTTCACCAAACACCCCTGTTATCGGCATGTCACAATCACAATCACAATCATCGTACCCCTCTTCTTTCAACTCATCACAGCCTTCATTCGCCAGCTTTAGCAGGGGCAGCATGGCTAGCTCTGTGACTTCAGTTGGTAGCAGTTTGCCCACGTCGCCGGATCGAGCGGGCGCCAGCGCTGCTGGGCAGAGAGCTAGGGGTGTGTCCGTCAGCGGGGCTACACCAGCGAAGAAGAGGATGGAAATGGACGAAGAAGACGAGATGGCACAAATGGATTTCTTCAGCAAACAGCTGAGAGCTTTGATCCGTGAAGGAAAGGAGGCTTTGGGCAGTAAAGTGGAAGTCTACGAATGCGATGAGCAAGACTGGATGTAAGAATGTTTGCGAAATATTAACGAACCCGCTTTTGTGCGGGTGTGTCTGTCTATCAAGGAAATGGATTACGGAATATCACGGAGATACAAAAACGATACGAATGAATGGGCGGCATTAAGCGTTTGTGATTTTTGATAGCGGAGGTTATACTGTCTTTTTTTTCTCTTATCATCACTATTCTTTGGGAGGTTTAATGGATGGCGTCCAGATGAGTCTCTTTTGTTCATGATTATGTTACGCCCTCTCTTTCCCTCTCATTATCCTTTACTCATTTTTCATGTTCTCCCCAGTTCTAAACACGCTCTTGATGTTTTTCTCTCTCTTTGGCTTTCTCCCTTTTACTACTACACAAATCATACTGTAATGTATAACAATTCAAACGTCTGTCTTTCTTTCTATCCCTTTTGGAACCCCGTTCCCTTGGAAGCTGTCAAGCCTGCATGAAGCTGCATCGCCAAGCCTCGTCGTTGGGGGGGCAATAACGACCTGGCAACCAGAACAACGCGTCTTCCCCCCAACGTCCGTTGCATAATTGTACTACAGACGTAGTAGGTACATACATCGTAACTGCACAAAAAGCTGCAGGACCTTTTCGACCACGTCCTCGAGTCCTCGTTGTACAGATGACGTGGATTATTACATCACAAACATTCAAAAAAGGACAAAAGCTAAGGGGGGGATACACCATATGCCACGGCCTGACGTCTCACCTCTCACGGTCCTGAACGCTACGGCGTGGACATCATGGCTCGCCAAAAACGCACAAAAATCCAGTGGAGTCTGGTTGACGCTTGCGAAGAAAGGGGTGACGTCGCCGACGTCGCTTACGTACTCTGAAGCACTGGACGAAGCGCTATGTTACGGATGGATCGATGGACAAAGGAAAAGTTGTGATGAGAAGACTTTTGCTCAACGGTTTACACCGCGGACTGGGAAGAGCGGTTGGTCTAAAAGGAATGTGGGGATTGTTGAAAGGTTGGAAAAGGAAGGGAGGATGAAGGCTGGTGGGGTTGCAGCTGTTGTTGCAGCTAAAGCCGATGGGAGGTGGGAGAGGGCGTATGCTGGATCAGCGACTGCGGTTGCTGATCCGGCGTTTTTGGAGGCGTTGGAAGGGAATGGAGTTGCCAAAAGGGCTTATGAAGGGTTGAGTAGTCAGAATCGGTTTGCGATTTATTTGAGGTTGTTGCAGTTGAAGACTGAGGCGGGGAGGACGAGGAAGATACAGGAGTTTGTGGTGATGTTGGAGAATGGGGAGACGATATATCCGCAGAATTCGAAAGTCATGGAGGAGGATAAGGATGGACAGAAGGAGGAGCAAGGTAAGGGTAAGGGTAAGGCGAAGAGAATTGCTACTAGTGAGAGCGGGGATGAAACCACGCCGTCGGTTCAAAAGCGGGCGAAGAAGGGAAAGGCGGAAGCTAGCAAGGTTGAGGTTGGGACTAAAGTTGTCGAAGAGAAGGTTGAACCACGTCGACGACAGGGGTTACGACAACGGAAGGAGAAACCTTGAGGGCACCTGTTTAGATCTAACCTAAGATTTAGCTATCACGAGGACTCTATCACGAAAATGAATGAGATAAGAAACCGAATAATATTTATTTCTCCTGCTGAAGATGGGCTGGGTTTGAATGATGATCTTATTAGATATTATCACTACTCGACATGTCTAGCTAACTACTCGCGAAACAAATGATGTCGGTCGTTACCGACGAGAAGAAAAAGTGCTCCTTGAATTAACCCCATTTTTGTCTATACCGTAAAAAACGCCAATATAATGCCCTTGCAATGTGATGTGTGCAATCATGAAAAAGGACGACCAAACAGTAAGTCAAAACACCAAAAGAGAGAAAGGGAAGGGAAGGAAATGAAAAAAAAAAAAGGAAAAAAGCCAGATCTCATGAATATTAAACGGCATGAATAGCTGCCTTCTCGTCCGGATCCGTTGATAAACCCTTCACACTCTGCAATAAATTGTGAAAGTCAAAAGTCTTCCCAAGCCCTGGACTCGAAGCTGGGGATGGGTCGACATCTTGAATATATATCCTCGGCGTCGGGGCTTCCGCTGGTGTGACAGCCCCACTTTCATCACTAGGACTCTCAGTACCTCCCTTCCCGCTGGATAGATTATCATCCTCTGAATCCTCCTCCGCCAAAGCTTCTGGTATCTCCAGTTTCTTAGCCGACATATAGCTAGACCTTTTCATCGAATTCCTCGGGGAGACACCTCGTTCGAGATCCAAGGTAGGGGCGTCATTAGAAGTGTCGCTGAACGAAGTAGATACCCTTCTCGAGCTATTCGACCTGTATGATTTCCCCGGCCCGACATGGTGATGATGATGAGCCGGGATCCAAGCTGCTTCTAATACGCTCACTCCGCCTTCTTTACTCCTGATGGTTGTCCCGGACATTGTAACCATGACCTTTGACTTTTGCCCATCCCGGCTCCCTTGGAGGACCCAGACTAGGACTCCGATGCAGAAGCATATTATGAAGAGGATGGCGATAATGATGCCGCAGATTACTCCTATGCTTAACTATTGTTTTTTTTATACCATGTTAGCAATCTATTCTGATTGTCTTTTTTTTAAGACATATTCTTCCCCGTGTGTAATGTAGATATATCGTCATGACAGAGGATCTCGTCATTGACGTTGAACATGCACTGGGAGCGGGGAGGACAAAGGAGAGGGGTTGATGAATTACTAACCTGCCCCATCTGGACTATTTTCGAACCGAATAAGATGATAAAAATAATAAATCGGTAAGACCGTCGAAAGCAGGAACCGGGAAGGGTACAAAAAAAAACGACGAACGGAAGAGATATCAAAACTCTTTGAACATTTTGTCGGAAAGCCAGCTTTTGGATTATGAGGAAGATCTTTCGTAAAAGAAAGATAAGCAAGAGAGAGAAAACTTCCTTTTATTCTCTTGATTCCGCTCAAGGTGGCTTCTTTGTCGATAGAAAAGTGAACTAGAGAAGAATAATAAGAGTAGTAGTGGTGGTGAAGTAGGTTTAGTTGAAAACAGGGTTATCTCGGATCGGTTTCGTCGTGGGGTCGACTGACGACGTGAGAGTAACCGTAGACAGAAAGTGTCTAGATCTAGAACGTCTTTCTACCTCTCCTTCTTGTCTCTGATCCCAAGCCTTTCTGGATTTCCCTGAGGCCAGTGTTTAAGAGCTAGTTACACTACACCGTTTGGCGGTGTAGATGACAGCTGGCGAAGACAGGGAAAGGAAGGAAGGAAGGAAGGAAGGACTGCAATTGAAGAGGCTGTTCTGAGCTCTCATGGCTGAGGAAATAAAGCCGCAAATGTGTAGTTAGTTAGTTAGTCGACCATTCGCTCGAACAGTAGCCGGGCGGAAGGGGCGACGCCAAATCACTAAGAAATTGCATCACTCTCATTCTGTCTCCTCTGCCGCTGAATCACAATCGATTCTCCTGCTGTTATAGCGCATTAATCACAGAAAGTAAAGTAAAAATAAAACAAATAGAATCGTGACAGTTGTAGTTCAAATTTTATTAAAAAATAATTTCTTCCTGGACTATTTTCTAATTCCCGGGCGCAGTGAATTCAAGGGTTGGCTTTTTTTTGTTATTGTGCGCTGGTGCATGCATACTGCTGCAGATGAGGTTAGTTCCGCGCCATTGCATTGGGCGCTGCAAGGGATATGCCGTCAGGTTGAAGGCCTTGAAGCTTTAAAGACTAACGTTTCGTCCTTGCTTCGGATTATCTCTACTCTGGTATGGGATGTCGCGTATAACTTGCCTTCCGGGAAAGTGCTTTCCCTATTTTCATGTATCATCACCGAGTCATTCCTAGGGATTAGATTATGTCAAGTTGTATCGAACGGATGAAAAGGTATTGGTATTTGTCTATCCATATCTGATCATATCGATTTTGAAGGGCTGCATATGTCTGTTCTAATAGCGAGGACGCTTGAACGCCAATCAAAAACAAGTTCTCCAAACGTGATTTCCCAGGGTCGAGACCCTTCCTTTGAAAGGAATAAACAAATTAGGGAAATAAAATACGAAACGCAAGAAGGAAGGAATAAAAAAAAGAAGAAGAAGAGAGGGAGATGATGATCCCTCATCTGATGTCGCTTGGAGGCTGAACGGGAGGTGCCGGCCAGTGCTTCTCGTACTAAGTATGAAATGCAATATAACGAAGCCCCACAGTTGTCGCAATCGCATCGCTTGGATATTATGATCTCATGTTAAACGGTGTTTACCATCCAACCATCCCATCTCACCGCCTCCCGTCCCGACCATGACAATCCCATATCCTTCCAACTCCTTCCTAACCTCTTCCCACGCACTCGGATCCACCGCTTTTGTCCCTTCCTCTACCACATATACCTCAAACCCGGCTTTCTTCGCATCGATCGCAGAGTATTTTACACAATAATCCATCGCCAATCCGACAACATACACATGCGTAACATCCTTCTTCTGTAATCTCTCAACTAGGCCTGAATCCGAGACTCTAGGGTGCTCAAACGGATCGTGGAAGCAACTATACATCTCCACTCTGTCGTCTGTACCCTTTTCTACGATCTCATCTATGAGCGATTGGTCCAATTCTGGGACCAATTCGGCTCCCTTGGTTCCCTGAACGCAGTGATCGGGCCATAATCTGGTTTTGTAAGTTTCGGAAGGATTATGTGGGTTTGTAATGGTGGTGTAGGAAGTGAAAGGGACATTGTTTGGTGCGGGGTGGTTTGAAGCGAATGAGATGTGAGTGGATGGATGCCAGTCTTTGGTAGCGATGCGGGTTGTGAAGGCGGGGTTCGCGAGCAAGGTGTTTATCACCGGGATGACATCGCGACCGTTACCGACGGCGAGGGAGCCATTCTACGAATCCAAAAATTAGTCCTCGACTGATTGATAGCGGAACCAGCACTGATATAATTAAACGGGTCAGGCTTACAGGTGGGCAGAAGTCCTCTTGCATGTCCACTACCAGCAAAGCTGGGTTGAACTTTGACGGTCTATCGGATGTCGGCATTGTAAAATCGATATTGTATCGGTTGAGTATGTAAATACTTAGGTATTGTGATATCGTAAATTGTGTCGGAATATCGAATCTAGGTCAACGTGGTTCCAAAAGTGTATTCCGACTGACCGCGAAAGCGAAGAAGGGTAGGTGGGATGTGCTAGTTATGCTTAAGTAGCACGGGAAGGTACGAGGCTGCATTGTCATTGGTAATTCGCTATAGCAGTCGCGTGCCGGCCTGAAGGATCCTGAGTCAATTGATAGCAAAAGCTTGTTCTCAACCACGCAGCCAGCCGCCTTGAAGATTTGGAAATAATGGAAAATAGAAAGCCCTTCGAGAGGTGTCATCACTGATGAGTCTTCTGGCCTGTAATCGCGAGAAGGGTTCGGATCTTTCTGCCTGCGCAAGAGCCGTCCTGCAGGTGGCGGATTCTTTGACATGGGCTCCCAAGCTTGGCCGCCAAAAGTGCACCCCACAAACAGAGCCTCGCTCAAAGACTTGGAATAATGCAACGTGCAACATGCAACATGTAAATTATAAGATTGGACACTGGATGCGATGCGTATGTAATAGAAAGCAGGAAGTCAGTTGATGGAAGAAACAAAAACAATATGGAGAGAAATATCTGACAATATAAAAAATCGAGAAACGCCATTTCCCTATATTAAACTACACGAATTTTGTGGGAAAGTATCTTCGGAACGCAACATAATAACAGGTAGAGGAACGATAAAAAGAACAATGCACATTATGGAAGAAAGGCTTTTGAAAGGAAGCGCCGGGATTGCTGCAGAAAGATTAAAATCATATCTAGGGAACCAGTTCCGAAGAAAGGGAGGAGGGTAGAATCGAAAAAATATGAAATAGCGCCAACAGAGAATGATCCATCATCTTCAACTCAAGCATTCTTCGTGGGAACGTCTTCATCGACACGTTTCGGAGAAGGTTCGCGAGGAACCGGGTCGGGGCTATGGGACGGAAAGGTTCTTGTCCCAGCAGGCTTGTAGGCACGAGAGGGCGCGCCTACCCACGGGCTAGGTTGGGATTGGAAAGGAGAAAAGGCTGCGACTCGGTCCTTGAATGAGGTTCCACCAGCCGCCTCGGGGATCTTCACCTTCGCCATCGCCCGTAGTGCTTCCTTCGCATTCTCGACGAAGGGCTTTGCGGGCGCGGCTTTAGGTGGGGATCCCCTCTCCCCTTCGGCCCCGGCCGCCTTTCCATCATGACGCTCGGGGCTGCTGACCCCGTCGTTATTCAAGGTACGGTCGGGGACCCCATTCCCGACCGAGTACTTGGGAGAGCCGTGAGGGGATGTATCCCCCCTCGTCTTGCTATTCAGAATATCCTTCTTCAAGGATTTCTCGCCCAATTGTCTCTGGGCATCGGCCTCCTCTCTGGCCTGGTCGCGCTCCCGGTTCTTGTACGTCAGTTTGATGGATTGCATCCCGGAGGTAATAGCCTCCATGGGAGCTTGATCCGGTTCGGTCGTCGTCCTGATCGAGGGAACACTCTTAGGGTCGACAGGCGATGCCGCTAGATCCTGAGATCTAACGGCAGCCGTCTCCCCCTTCGAGTTTGTCCCTCCGATTCGAGGACCGACGGGTTGACGTAACGAAGAGCTGCGGACCGGAGCCTTTGCAGGCTGTCCGACGGATGGCGTGAAAGTACCGGAAGGCTTCTTTGCAATAGCCTGCTGCTTGGCAGCAGAGGCCGGTTTGGGTGACACCGCTGCCTTTGCAGCTATTGTTTTCTGAGGAGGGCTAATCCTCCGCCTGCCTGATACTTGCGAGACACCGGTAATTGCGGTGTCCGCAGTGTCGGACGACTTGATACTAATCATGCTCGCCCTCCTGCTGACTTGGCTCTCCGCAACGGAGCTCAGGGCACTACCTGAGCGCTCCGGAATATCCGCTATCTTCTTGTGTGAACTCCTCAGAGTTCTCCCTGGCGCTGCCGCACCAACAGGATTATCGACTGCCGGGATACCCACCGCACTATGGCGTTTAGCCTGGCGTCTTGCCTTTTCTACCGTAAGTTCAGCGGGCGGTGCCAGAGCCTGTGCGCTTACTTCCTCTCTTAAAGAGGCTAGTTGTTTTTCTGGCAATAAACTTTTCCAGATAGCAGCGGAGGCTGCTGGCCACTCCAATGGAGGTGGAGCTGGTGGAGGGGACGGCGTCCTGTTCAAAGATGACTGGGCGGCAGAATCCGCCAGATTGGTCGAGGATTTGCGATGAAGCCTAGTGGCGGCTTTTGCGGCACTCGAAGCAGTTGGCGAGGCAAAGTCACCTTTGCTCGAGTTACGCGGCTTGGAGGCTCTAGACGAGGGAGCTACATGCATTGCTTTCCCAATCTCCTCTAACTTGGCTCCCAAAAACCATGTTGGGTCGTATTCTGTGTTCAAATTCTCAGGCTGTCGGTCGATTGATCTCTCCTGCTCAGCTGCAAATGCCCGGAGGGTCCTACCCGTAATATCTTGAGCTAAAGAGCTTCGCCGAGGCATGACTTTTTCAACCCGTGTATCTGGAATAATCTCTGGTGTGGTTTCCTTGGATACCTCGTTGTTTTTCTTTGGAAGTGCTAGTCCAGCCAGGTGGGAGAATACGCCGGTCCAGATGGCTTTATCCGAATAGCCTCCTTCTAGAACACTAAGAACACGGCCTTCTGCATAAGTGTTCGCTATCTTGACAGCGTCACTCGTAAATCTCGCATAAAATTCCGTGAGAACGTTAACCTTGTGTCGTTGCATGGTATCCTGTTCATGCTCGCTCGCGTCGAAACCAGCTGAGATGAAAATACCGGCCTTGAAACCGGGCTGTTTAGATGTGGGTCTGTAGGAAGCCTTCGCTTTGGCCAAGAAACTTTCTGCCTTTTGCAAAATAACGCTGTATTTCTCTTCATAGAGACGCCAAAAATCCTGGGTGTCTTTGTATTGTTCGAGGTGAACGTTCCAGATATTTTGGTTATGTGAATCTTCGAGACATGTGCTGGCGTCCCGAATCTTTTCGTAATCACCCATTTCGCATGGATAAGAGTTAATATCGTGGAGGGAATAATATGCAATGTGTGGGGTGTTTTTCGGTGTCTTTTTACCGCCCTTATGGCGGTCATTCACCTCCCAGGCAATTGTTTGCGATCCATCACCGTGATGAAGATCAAAATCAAGAATAACGGCATGTGTCATGTCATATTGCAAGGCAGCCCTTGCGATAGCAATGTGGACATTATTAAGGTAACAGAACCCACTGGGTTCTTCTTCGGCGCAGTGATGACCTATAAATTGCCGTGTCAATACGAGATCGAATATTTAGTAGGAAAATGCAAGCAGACGATTTCACTTACCAGGAGGCCTGATGCAGACAAAAGCACGGCTGATCTTCTGGGAGCTCGTGGCATCCTTCGGATCGCCGTGGTCTGTTTTTCCAAAAACCCTATCAACTCCTTCCCATAAAGCACCCACACATCCTTCGAAGTCCTCTCGACTACCGCCACAAAGGAAGAGATCGCCAGTATGCCAACCAGATGGAAGTTCGTTTTCTCGAGCAGCAATCTTCTTATCGCTCTCGTCGCAGGCCTGGACTAGGATGGCAGGGTATTTGGGATTATGAACTCTTGTAACAGAAGGGTCTTCGAGGGACCCTTTCCTATCAGTTTTGATGACGGAGAGGTTCTTAGCTTCGAATTTAGATAGGGCAACGGATATTCCAAAAGTAGCCGCTCGCAATCTTTCTGGGCGCTCAACAACACTAATCAGTTCCCTCGCATCGCTAGTGCGAGTGTACTTGTGTAGATAGCTAGAGTCATTCAGAATAACGATTGTTTCTGCATCTGGATGGGTCAGTGGTGGGAGAGGTGGGGTGGCGATGTCCAGCTTTGATAGGGAAACCATAGAAGGCGTCCTTGAGATAGGTCTCGTCGAAGGCGAGCCAGGTAATGCAGGGGTTGATGATTTTCTACGAAGAGGGGAGTTTGGTAACGAGCCACTAAGATTTGAGTTCTTTCGAATGAGCAGAGGATGGGAATTGGCAGTGGTCCCGATTGCTATCGCTGTCGATGGAGGTGATGATGAGGGAGGTGATGTTGATGAGGAAGAGACGGGAGGTAGAGAACCAGTTGCAAGAGTTAGCTTTTGGAGGTTCGTTGCAAGAGCTTCCTCAGGACTGAGAGAGGGAGATGGAAAGGGTCTCTGCATTTTGTTAGGCATCTTTCACGGTGTTTCTCGACCTCAGTGGTCGCCGACGCTGTCCTGCACTGCGCTAACACTAACACCAACACTGCTCGTCGTCGGTTATGATAATAATATTAATGATGATGATGTTGACGATGATTCTAATGATGATGATGCTGATAAGGATAAGGCGATAAAGGTTATATTCAGTCGAAGACGCGAGTTTCAAACAAGGATTCCACCCAAGACGTCATATGCATGTAGGTATGTATGCAGGTACTGTCTCATGCACACGCTAGGCTCTGGGTCTTAAAAGTGATGTGATATGATTATGATACCGAACGAAACGAATAAAAACAAAAACACACGCACACAAGGCAAGAAGAAGATGAAGAAGATGGAGAAGATGATGATGATGATGATGATGAAGCAGAAGGTACAGACGATGAAGCACAAAGTCGGTGATGGTGATGATGATGTTAAAGGGGACAGGACGGATTGGTTAATACTCGATTAATTGGTTATTTGATAAACACCACTCACACAAACCGCAACCGTAATTTCTCGAACGGCTCAGTCGCAGCCGTTTCCTCTCAACCAGAAACATCAGACCCCAAAAACAGATGGTATCCCTGACCCGTTTCAGAAGTGCTTCCCATACTACGATGCTGTGCAATAAATACCAAATACCAAATGTCCGTCGCTGTTTAAACATGTTTTGTTTGTGGCGGGACCATCGCGATGCGAGGCTGTGATTGGTCCCCGATAGCGGGCAATGGCAGACGGCTCGATACCATCCCTGAAACCGGATGTTACCCACAAAAATGAGGGTCCATGGATCCAGCGCTAGCGAGAACGGCATAACGATACGTATCGATACCAGAACGCGTATCTCACAAATATAATGCATCTTTTGGTATTACATATGCGTGTATACAAGAAGTATTAACGTTATTGAATCGGGTTCGTAGCTTAATCTCACAAAAGATCGAAGCTTCGACGCTAACCCACGAAAACTTGCAGAACGACATAACGTTACGTTAACTACGAACATGCGGTTGTCATGCATGCTGCCCCGCCAAATGCAGCACACTGATTTGTGCTAATTCGTGCTTGGAATCTGTCCCGGCATTGGTGCGAACGGAACCTTCAAGCGAAGGGACCATGTTCCATGCAAGCTTGCCAGCATGACGTAACTTACAACCATCGGCCTACCCAAAAGACCGCGGGCACCGTTTTCCCCGCAAAAACGCTGGGCCATCCATCGCAAATTAATCTTTGGACTCGCATGCATTCCTGTATGTACCGACGGTCTCTTCGCCAAGATGGGCGCAACAGACTGGGACATTCCTGGTGACCAAACTGTGACCGAATGTGTCCTACTTGGACCTGGTTACTACTCCTAGTTTCTGTGTCTGCTGGTTGTTATTTAAAAAGCCAGACTTCCCGCTTTTCGAAATTTACTTTTAAGAAAGCTCGAAAGTTGATACTTCCCTAGCTTAAACCCATTCAGATCTTTGGAATCTGACCTGCGCTCGATCATCGAGTTTGTTTTTGTCAAATATAGCACTGTGGTTGTGCTTTACTCTTCTTTTATCCACTCTTGCAGACCTCAGCTATCTTTTTCCTTTAACCGAAGCACAAGATTTGACATCTACATTCCAGAATCATGCCTTACCCGTAAGTACCCAGGACACACTCAGTTCAGAGGATTCACTGTTTTCAAAAATAGGTAAACGAATGAATACTTATACACTGCTAACACCTATCGTCGTTTCGTAGAAATCCTTTCGGCAGGGACCGTGAAGGGACCGAACGCAACATTACCGGCTACAAGGTCGCCACTATCTTGAGCTTCTTGCTCAACTTGACCTTCACAATTATGTACACTGCCAACGCACCTGCTAACGCACATGGTCACAAACATTGGAATCATACAATCTATGGCCTCCGCGATCATGATTACACCGCATTCTCTCCTAGCTATGTCTTCGTCAGCATCTACTGGGTTACGCTCTTCATCCTTCAAATTGGGTATATCTGGCATTTGTTTTCGGACAATGCCGTTTATGTCAAGCAGGCCGCCGCAGTAGGGTCCCATTTCATCCTTTTCAACCTCCTCCAGTTTGCCTGGGTTCATCTGTGGACCCGTTCCCACTGGTGGTTCTCGGAACTTATGCTCGCCATAAACTGGATCAATCTCGTTAGCCTCTACTTGCGCCATTCGAATACCCCAAGATGGGTTCACCTCCCCGCTGTGGCTCTCCCTTTGGCCTGGGTCGAATTTGCTCTTTTCTGGAATGGTGCTGTCATGGTTCACTGTTCCAGCCTTGCCTGCAGAATCCTCGCCAACGTTGGTATTTGGAACTTCCTCGTCTTCGCCGCTTTCTTTTTGCTCGTCTTCAAGGATTACCAAGTCGGCTTCGCTACTTCTTTCTTGATGGCGGGGTTGGGAGTTGGTCAGTTCGCTACTAAAGCTTTTGCTCTGCAGTGGATTTTCGCATTGTAAGTTCTTATAGTCGGAATAGCGGTAATTATTTGGGCATCTTTGCTAACTGCGGGAAAATCAAAGCACCATCATGGCCGTCGTCTTCCTTGGGTCTCTCCTTGTCGCTGTTCCAACAATCTTTAGTAACGAAGAACGGACCGAAGCCACAGCCGGTGATCGTGAGAGAGCACCACTTTTGCAAGACGCCTAACTCACCTGCTTCAATCATAACCTTGAATTTACCACATTTGGGGGGTGTTTTACAAGCAAGTTGGAATCGAGCTCTTTTACAAGGCTCGTGGAAGAAAGCATAATGAATTCCCTCGTGGGATAAACTGCGCTCGATTGGGATGATTTTTAAATGGAAGAATAGTAGTATTGGAATTCAATTATTAATGAGCCCACGTGGGCAACCACGTTAACGTCTTCTTTTGGAATATTTCCGAATTAATCAATTATTTTGGTGGATGACCTCCAATGGATCTATGTGTAGTTAATCATGGTGATCTTGTAGATTCTAAAAAAAAAAGCTCTCAATTTACGTACCCTCAAACCACTGGCTGTCATCGTTGTGTCTCAATCCGAAATATGAAAGAAACACCACGGCACAGCAATCAGCTAAGAGTTCCACCTAAGAGTTCGTCATGTATATCAATCAGCTCAAGAGGCAGCTAGGTGCCCCTGGCAATATCCTACCACCTTCAGGGGACCCTGCAGGAGCATCAGCGCCACCACCGGTTCAGGCCTGGGCTCCTCCCCCCGTAGTTCAACCTGCCCCTCCTGGTTCACAAGCCCCACCAGTGTGGTCACCGCCCGGCCAGGTCGTACCCGGCCGCCCTGCTAAACCCCCAGCTTCTGGCGACACAACCGCAGCAAATCAGCTACCAAATGGCGTCGACCCAGCTGCATACAACAGCATGTTCGGCGAGCCCACCCAGCCACTAGATCTTGTTTCCGATAAAGTACCATCGACTCGCACTAGCACCCACTATTCCCGAACTACAAAGGGTGACATGGCAGCTGGGATCCTCGTATTAATATTCCTAGCAGGCCTGGCAACATGGACGATCGTCCACTACCGACGTCGGAAAATGCGAAGAAACAATGCAGAGGGCAATGTGTCGAAAACTGAGCCGGCGGATATTGAGGGAATCGTCCCTGAAGCCGAAGGTGGTGGGCAGTTTCGAGTTAAAACGGAAATGCAGGAGGTCAAAGAGCCGGAACAACCGGAACCCGTGTACGGAAGTTTCCAGACGCACAGGAACGGGCGTCAAAAATCCCATCCGATATATTCGATACGAAATCCGCGGCCTAATCTTCGGAAATCCAAGAGTGCTTCTCGCCCAGGAACACCTACTCCGCCTCTGAGCCCGGCGTTGAGTCCAGCGAAGGAAAGGTACTATTATCGAGATCGATATCGTTGGAAGCCATTTAAGGACATAGGAAGAAGCAGTCGGGGGTAGTCGAGTAGCTGCATGTCGTAGTTTGAAAATGTCCAGTAGCTGTGATTTAATGCTTTTATCTTATTAATTCATCCGTTAAACCTCGGTTTTCCCACTTTCTTTTTTTATGCATGTAAGTGTCAGCCCGTGTTGCGTGGTATTCCAGGTAACGGGAAGACTACTTGATGTTCCACACGAGGGGTCTAATTGACACAGGATTGCTTCCGCTCCCAACAGCCTTCTATCAAAAACTGGCACAGTACGTGGGGCTTGCAGTGCCCTGAGCACTACAGGGCCCTATGCATACAGCCGTTCTACTTACTAAGTGTGTCGAGCTAACGCATAGTCTTACAAAGGACGCATCTGCCAGGAGGGCTTTTTTCTTTTCCCTATACTTATTGAACGCTTTACTCTGGTTGGTGGATTTATCGATTAAGTCGATTCGAATGTCTAATCATGTACATCATTCGACGCGCGCGCGATGTAGTCTAGATGCTAGTTTTCATGTATTTTTTAATTTTTTTAAAATTTTTTTGCGATCTAAGTTGGAGATTTTTGTGGTGTATGTGGGGTATTTGCTTCGTAGCGGGTGATGATGTCTATTGGGATGGATGATGACGCTGCTGATAGTGCGGGTCGCCCGCTAGTGGCTGGGAAGGAGACGGTGCTGACGTCCCCGTAAACTGCTGCTCAACCTCAGAAGTTCGGTAGTCTTCAGTGGTCTCGTCGTAAACTGGGTAGCCAGGTGTAAAACTCGATCCTATTGGATAGATCTGCTGCGAGAATTCCTGTGACGGGGTGTGCCCCTCACTGTGAGGTAGTGGCACTGGGAAGCCTTGCCAATTCCACATACGTGCATCCGTGCTCCCTAGCTGCATGGGGTTCAAAGTGGCAGTTGGGTCGTCAGCAATAGTTTGGAATGGAAAGCTCGAGAGTAGGCCAATATTGTCGTAACCCGTGCGTGCGAGAATATTGATTCCAGGGACGCCAAGGAGGGTATGATGTTGCCGCGGATCAAAAAAATCGGGAGAGGCGCCCGAGAGAGGGTCAAATCCTTGCACTGCCTGGGGTGAACTAGTGTCCCATTCGTTGTGGCCAAATAGCGTTCCAGGGTTTTCGGGGCCTAAGAAGTAGGCATCCTGTTGTGGATGCTGCTCTGTTTGGCCGGTTGCATATTCTGGAGCGTTATATGTATGTCCAATGCGTGGGGCTGCAGATGTCATCAAATCTGTGAGCATCTTGCAGCTCCGTCTTGCAGCAAGATCGGTCTGGCCCATATAGTCGAGCCATCGTAGGACTTTTTTACCGGATGCCATCAGTAGTTCTTTTTGATCGGGGATGTGTTCGGCTTGAAGGGTCATTTCCATCATCACGATCATTCCAGAGGAAACAATGTAATAAAGAACAATCCACCAAGGGAATACGGCCCAAAATTCTGTTGGGCGAATATCATCTGGTAGCAGTTTGATGATGTCTAATGCTGCCGTAACACATGCTATCGACGCTGCTCTGTTGAACTGGCGTGATTGAGCGGCTTCCATGGCTTTGACTCGACACAGGCATGGCCAATTGAGCAGGACAAGTGTATTGAGATAATCCAAATACAACAATACTTTCTATAGCAGTGGAAAACATGACATCTAAGTTAGCCGCAACGTATCCAACTTTTTTTATTGATTATCACAAGCTTTTAGATGAAAGCATTGTTGACTACTAACTTTTCGTTGGACTTGTAGATCTGGTTCTGGGGTCACTTGTGGTGAAAAAAGATCGGCGGGGACCTCATTCTTCCACTTTTGGAGCTTCGAGGTAGTAGACGTGATGATTTGTTCAACTTCGCGCCAAGTCAGGCTTACTGCTCCTGCACAGTATATCTTGTTCAGAATTTCTAAGCCTATTTTGTAAAGCTTTGTGCTCTGCGAGAAAAACCCATTGTGCTGGTCGAAATCAGGAACTTGGCCCTCGGATTGGTCACTATGAGCCAAAGAATCGAAAGACCGGCCAATGATATCGTATTGCGAGCCCTCGGTGGTTTTGCTTTTGGCTTCGAGGATTTCGCTCAGGGCATCTTCGTTTATTCCGCTCAGGGCAGGGATGTTGTATCTCTTGTCGTCCATGTACGTGGGTCGCCCAGTAAGTATACCGCATAGCCGTTCTAGTGACATCAGAGTGTAAAATTTTCGGTAACGAATTTCTTGCTGGACCCTGTTTAGTCTAGTAAGATCGCTAGAAAGATGGAGACCTAACGAATAGCTGTTCCTAATTGCAAGACCGACAACATTCCAACACCTTGATGGGGATTAGATCTCCGAGACTAATACAAGAAAAAGTATGGGAAAGGAGGAATTACCGGTTGACCTGCTTGGTCGCAAGCAGATAGATACCAAGAAGGCCGAGTGCTTGTACCTGTCGCTGATCAGGATTGTTAAACAAGATCTCATTGCAAAAGAAAAGCCTTTTTGCTCGTCCAAGATATGCTAGATGATTGTTCGGCTCGCTTTTCCAGCTTGCGTCTGTGAGCTGCGAGTAAAAAGACCCAATCGCCATAATAGTATTTAAGGATGCCAGCCAGGTCCGGATTGGCTGGGGTTCAATATGGTGGACCATATATGATTCGTACTCTTTCATGAATTTCGGCCGAAAGACAATCGGAAATGCTAGCTGAACAGTGCTAAAAAAGACATCAAGCAAAGTATCTGCGATCTTGCGCTCGGGGCGCCCGAAGCACTCGTCAATACTTGGCAATGGAACGTACGGCGTTAGGTCGTCTAGATGGTAGGATCGTCTGCATGATATTAGCTAATGGCGCCCATTGATCTCTGAAATGAAGTTCGTACAATCCTTCGCTCGTGGCTCTCGCTGTTTCCAGGGCTTCGCCAATATCCCCACCCTGCCCTATTATTTCTCTTGAGCCTTCCTCTTGTTCTGTTTGTTGCGTACTCCGTGGTGTCCCAGACGATCCATCGTCAATTATTGTTTGCAACCACGACATGTCTGAGCTCGTGCCGAGATATGAGTGCGGGAAATCGGTAGACCCGCCGAAGTCATCTGCCACCTTGTCGAGTCGCATAAAGCCCCTCGAACCCTCCTGTGCCGATACTTCATTCTTCGTATCGTCATAGGATTTTAAGGTTTTCTCGATTCGCTCCCAGTTTGAAGACTAGGGAATTTTGATAACAGAGTTAATTGTCGGCAAAACCTTACTAGATGTGCAAGGCATGGTGCTCAAAGGACAAGTCTAACCTCTCTGAGTGCAGCTACGATAGCTAGCTTCGCTTGGTTGTCTATTTTGCCGCTTGCATATATTGTCTCAAGGGCCTTTTCGTATGTGTCAACCCGTTCTTGGAGATACCGAATTTCGCTGAAACAGAAAAATATGTCAATCAATTGGTATGTGCGGTATCAAGCGATAGCCAGATAACTCGATGCCCACTTTTTTGCTCTTTCCCGTTTTCCATCTCCATAATAGCAAGTAATTTTAAAATCCAAGCAATGTCGGCAGGACGGTCTGTAAAGTATCGAAGGTTTGGGAAGGAGAACCCCCAACGCATGTTAATAAGGTTTTCGTGTTGGAAAATGGAGTAGCCATTATGGGAAGCATCGTGTGTGCGTTTGGTTGAAAGAGTAGGGGCAAAGGGTTTTTACCTTTCACCATTACACTTTATTTATTATGACACCGTTGAGTTAATAATGAACTAGTATGTGATGTAATATAGCATAATGTACCAATGTCTGCAGCAGCTCACCTTTGTTTTCCTTGTGCGGCAGGGTTCACAGGCGTGTGAAGTGCGATTCTTGTCACCACTCGAGCTCCCTCGTCTCCCTTCACCGCCCCACCCAGCCACATCTGAATCTCGTTTTAAGCGGGGGATGGCGACCTTGGAGCTGGTGGAACTCGGCGTGCTGGCGATATCTGGGGTTGGCGGCCCTGTGGATGGTTGTCGTCCCGCCATTTAGCCAGATAATTGAAGTGAACCATTCAGACGAGGGGTGTTATCTTCCTTATATATCTCTTTGCTGTCAGAATAAGATCCTAGAGAGTCGTGCTTTGTAGGCGGGGTTGTGTCTGGTTCTTTGTGTGCTAAGAAAAGAATTATATCGACGACGAAATCGTCGAGGTGGGTATGCATGCACAAATTCTATCCACAGTCAGCCGTCGTTACCCCTCTTAGAAGGCTGCAATACGTGGGCTTCGCAGAACCCAATCTCAGATCATTGGCCAAGAATTGTACTGCGTTAGACCTTGGGGACGGCTGATGTGTAGCATATCGGACAAAAACAGCGGTCGACAATGAAGATGGGGGAAAGATTGGTCACGGCGGCTGTTGACTGAAGGACACCATAAATAGCTAGCTTATAGCTACGGAGGCGGCCTTTTTATTCTGGACTAGGATATAAAGAGTGGAACTGGAAGGTACAGAGTAGGAATGAGCGGATCCTATATATCAAGCTATGCACCTGTACGCTCCAGCAGCTATCCATTTTTGTCCAGGATTCCAGAAAAGAAGAGCAGAATTGTAGCTAATTTACTGGGCATAGAGAATTGTGCAATCAAGTATCTCTTACTCAATTTTCCCGGATTTTCCTACCTCATGAATTCCTAACAATAAAAATGAAAATAATCCGAAGGTTGAGGACCGTGCTCGACTGGCGGTGTCAGGTGGATTTTCGGAGCGCGTGGTTCTGGGAGGGAACGCCCGCAAAACCAATCAATAATCAACAGGGCTCTTTGTCGAGGGGCGACTGGGCATGTACGTATGTACCTCGGGAAGTTCGTTGAATCAGGCTCGCAGATGCAATAGCGGTGGCGTTCAGCTTAGAATAACCTATTCCGTGGTACTATTACAGATCTGTTCCATGCGGCCAATCGCAGTCGAACAGCGATGGAGTACGCATTAGCCATGTTCCCGGAGAAGCTTCGAGAAAGAAAAAAAAGGTTTAGAGGATATAGATTGCAAAACAATTGCAAGCACCTTTTTCTCTTTAGGCTACCTGGTGGGAAGCATCGTTCTGTCAACACCTAAATAATTTCCGTTGGTCGGATGCAAGTTCCGACCACTCGGAGCCTTCATAGGCCGGGGCTCTTATACTAAGCAATATTGTGTGTGTGTGGAGCAGAAACTAGGGCATAAGGACCTGTACATCCGTCTTCCAGCATTTGGTTTCATTGTATTGCATCGAGAGGGAGCCGACAGGTTGGTATTACAGATTTCGAGTTATATATTTTTGTCAAAGCTGGGGAGTTCCTGCAGCACTGGTTTGGCGACCTCATTATGCATGAGGGTATTTAATTTTCTAACGGGCGGGGTTATACGTTAGCTTTTGCAGACTAGTCTAAGAGAGGTTTCTAGGCCTGAATCGACTGTACAAATTGAAAATAGAGTATGCAATGTTGGCCAATGCAAAACCATTGGTACCTGTGCCAGCCGATGCCGTCATTAATACCCCATAGAGACGGGTAGTGTCTTAGATGGGTACCGAAGCCGTAAGGCATTCCGACATGTTAAGTGAAGTAACCGCAGCTGCAGATCTTATAAATCCTTCGCATGGGTTCCACGGTTAGAAGATCCTGTAGATTCAAGCTTCTAAGGATGAGCTCCAGGTTCCTGAAGATAGCATTGACTTTCTTATTGTGGTGGAATTCGGTGGTAAGTACACTCGGTCAAGTACAGTCGACACCTCGTCGAACCTCACTGTGCACCAGTTTTGATGAACGCACCGCCGCGAAGAATTGTTCAATCTAATTGGTCAGCGCTGATCTCGTTGGTACCCGGAATAGGCTTGCATATAACTGGATGTGAAACCCATTCCTGGGATAGACAGGATCCCGGAACTTTGGCCTTACAGAAGCAAAACGTCCGAATGTGCCGATGGTACCGAGAAGTAGAAGTACAAATACTTGCACTTGACGGGCGAGACGAATTCATCAGGCTTGACATGTTGCTGGAGCCAGTCATTTTGGTTCGACGCATGCAGATATATGATATCAATTTGGTTACGAGACTGGATATCAATTAAGTATCAAACGTTCAGATGTTGGCGCGCGGAGCGAAATCAGATAACACGTGCAGATGGTTCCCACGCGGCTCTGTGTCGGGTTTGGGGCACTGATTCAGGCAGCACTGAGGAGACCCTTTGCAATTGTCCGATTGCTTGGCTCGGTGTTTCATAATTGGCAGCGGATGATGGCATGGGCACACATATTTCCCACACCCTAGAAAACAGCATGGAACCACTGGTTTGCAAAGCAATGCCTGTCGTTGCTTAGGGCCGGAACGATGTTCAATTGGTCATAAACATGGCGCTCTGGTAGGCACAGTTGATCAGTTTGATATTAGGGGTTAGGTTGTTTCCTAGCATCAGTGAGAGAGTGTATCAGTTGAGGATGATTTGGCCGAAGTCTGGCGATTACGCGCAATTGCAGTTCACCAGCTCCGAACTCCAGCTACGTTACCCTCCGAGGCTTTGATAGGAACCTGTCATCTCGCCAGGATCCGAATAGCTGGTACAAAAGACAGTACCTGCAGTGGTGCCCCTTAACAAATCAGGGAAAGGCTAGCAGGCAGCAGGGGATTGAAAGAAGCAAACGACAGCGACATCAAGACAGAAGCGAACGAAGCGAATCTTCGTCTCAGCGTTTTAAATCCCGGAAGGCGAAAGAGGATAAGGGTCAGTCGCAAAACGGCTGTTTCTGTTCTTTGAGTTTATCCTTTGGGGCCGTCCGCCGCATCGCTATTAATTGCTTTAAGTTGGTTTCTGTTCTTCCCTTCCCTTTTTTTTTGTCTCCACGTCCCCGCAGAGATCTTGATCTCACGTCTCCTTTTACTTCGTGTGTTCATCTGTGTTCTGCTCGTCCAAGTCATTCGAAAGCGACCGGTCAGGTACCGTTCATATTCCCTTTTCGAGATACACCAGAAGTTCGGCAAAGGGCCTCGAACCCCACACCCCTCGAAAACCTCGGTGCAGTTTCCCGTTTTTGCGCGGCGATACTTTGCTCCAAGTACGTTATTGGAACTGTTGTGTAGCGCAAGAGCGCATGTGGTTTCTGTAATCTCAGTCACCCATAGACACTGCACTGGATCTAGAGTGGTTTATCGACGACGGTGATATCACAAAGAAGCCACTGGTTCGCATTTGAATCGCGCCTGTGATCACGACTCAGGAGAGAGGGAAAAAAACAAAAACTTGGAAACAGGAGAGGTTTCGCCCGCCAATAGCAATTAGTCGGTGAACTCGGCATTGTGGAGAGCTGCATCTTGCTGCATTTTGCTGCATTCCAGAGGTCAGCCCCGCTCCTGAATTGAACTCGACGTCAGTACAGCCAGTACAATACCGTCGTACAGCCTCCTTTGGATCTTACGTACGATTGATTCGTTTTCCGGCCACCTCCTCTCAAAGAACAACTGATCGCAGGAATTCATATAAGGCGTCAGTGTCAACCGCGACTGCTGCGAACTGTTGTAATTCCAAAACGACCGTTCGAAATCCGCCAACTTAGCGAAGGTTGATTAGCCACTGCAAATAATTTAATTGCATTGCACCGTATTGCATCGCAATTTTTAACCAAGTTAGACTGTTGTCGGTCGATGTCGGCCTAGTTAATAGTACTTGCACGCTCGGATCCATCCCAACGCACTTGTAACAGGGCGACTGTTTAACTGTTTAACTTTCCCTGACCCTGAGGACCCCTATTAATATTAATCCAAGCGACGCCCGTGCCAACAGACTGTTGTCGACGGTATCGTAGAAACAAAGCAATTACTATAAAAGGTATCCTTTAAAGCAGAGATGCAAGCTCCACTCCATCCCCCACCGCCCCCTCCAACAGACGACGTCGGCCATATGCACCACTACGGTCGTTCAGGGCGACCAGTGACTCCGCGCAGCGGTTCCAGCCCCCCAGGCCGACTAAGCATCCCAAAAAACTCCTTCAAAGCCAACGGCTCTTCTGGTGACCTTTCCAAAAGTCCTTCCCAAGCATCAAACAGTCGAGACGAAAGCCCTTTACCTGCTAGAAGGTCATCCCTGGGAAACCTCCTTCGAAGATCACGCTCCAACGACAAGATGTCCAAGAAGATCAAGAAAAATCAGCCTGCTCTACCTCCTCCAGTCCCTCAAACCCCTCCTCGTCTGCCCGAGCTTGATATCGCGAAGGGTGCAGGTTCTCCAATGCGAACGTTTGGAGGAGTTCCACCTAATCATCAAGCTTCAAGCCCTCCAGGCCAATCTCTACCGAAACCAAGCATTGATATGCCTTCCAGAGATGCAGTGCATCCGGACCAATCCAAACAGGAAAATGTCAAGCCGGGCTTCGACATGAATCAAGACCCTTTCCAAGGCGCATCAATTACCAACCGTGGGCGATATAGCTACGCCTCTTCAGCTGTATCGACTGTTCACGGACCTAGAAGACTCAGAAAGCGCAAGGATCCCGTTCCCTTCAAGTAAGCCCCCAAAATCCACAAAAAATTTCCATTTTTAGGGATAATACTAACATACCTTAAAGTATTCTTGTAATTGGAGCAAGAGGCTCTGGGAAGAGTAGCTTCGTTCAATTCCTCAAATATTCGCTTGGAAATTCAGCCAAGAGCCATAGAAAAGCTCTTGCCAACGGAGCTTCCGCTTTCGAATATACAGAAGACCTCGAGGATCCAGAAAACCCCGTTTTTGAAGCTGAAACCGGCGCTTTCCAGAAGAGTTATATAGAAACTGACATCGATGGGGAGCGAGTCGGCATCACGATTTGGGACTCGGACGGGTTAGAGAAATCTGTTGTGGATTGGCAATTGAAGGAGGTCGTAGCGTTCATCGAAAACAAGTTCGAGGAAACATTCACCGAAGAGACACGTGTTTCGAGAATCCCGGGCAACAAAGACTCTCATATCCATTGCACGTTCCTCTTAATGGATCCTGCTCGCCTTGATACCGGAGCTAGCAAGTCGGTTAGACGTGGGCCGAAGAGCAACAAAGATAGTGGTATCGAGGGTTTGGATGACGATTTCGATCTCCAGGTTTTCCGTGCCCTTAATGGAAAGACAACTGTCATCCCGGTCATTTCCAAGGCTGACACTTGCACTCTTACCCAAATGACACAACTCAAGAGCCTTGTCGTCCAGTCCCTCTACAAATCGAAAATCGACCCTGTCGCCAATCTCGATCTAGATCTAGACTACGGCCCGGCCGCCACCTCAAAGCCGAGCGCTGCCCAACCGAAAAAGTCGGCAAGAGACATCCTCCCAGAGGCAGATGAAGAAGAAGAAACTGGGTCCGGTGCTTCAGAGGATGAAAGTGATGCTGGTTCGGAGACCGGGTCTATTATTCCAGCTGTCAACATCTTGCCTTTTTCAGTCATCTCTCCAGACCACTACAGCTCAGAGTCAATTGGGCGACAGTACGCCTGGGGTGTTGCTGATCCATTTAACCTAACCCACTGCGATTTCCTCAAACTCAAGGAGGCTGTATTCTCAGACTGGCGTGCTGACCTTCGCGAGTCTAGTCGCGATATGTGGTACGAGAACTGGCGTACTAGTCGCCTTAGCAAGATGGGTAAACCTAACAACGGCCGTATTCGCTGATAATGGTCTCGTTGGTGTTGCTTCAAATTATTTTGACTCTACGGTACAACTGTTTCTATTTAGCATGGAGGATAATTTTTTGTTCCTTTTCAATCCGTTCGAAAATGCTCCTGGTGTCTTATCTCCTTTTTGTTTTCTTCTTTCTCTTAAAAGCTGGCCTTCAACCGTTTCCTATGTTCTATCATCAATGATGTTCTGGCGTTCAACGGCATTCTGGTCCGAGCGTTGATTTTTATATTCACTTGGTTTCTCTACTCATGTTTCATCTGTTCTACTCACGCTATGCAGGACAGAAAGCTTACAAGAGGTAGCGGCAGTAGCCTCTCTCTCACCCGCGAGCTAGTCCTCGTACCTGCATTCGCATATTTCTATCGATAGCCGCATGACTGGAGCGTCACGCTCCCTTAGCCAGCCTTTCCGAAATTAAACCTTTTTATTACCTTTTTACTTTTTCTAGTGCCAATAATGGTCACCTTTAGTATTACCTCGTAAATACAATAAACGGTCAATCTGCCTTTGTTCCTGTGCCCCAAAGTTGCCTCACTCTCGTCTCCACTTTATTTGACTTAAGCGCTTCTGTTCGCGATAGTCGCCCTCACAGATTTTCTTCTTCTTCTTCTCCTGCTCCTTTCTTTGAGGAACTCTTCTTTTATTGTATATTTAGAGGCCGTTTTCGATAGATGCCGAATCTTACTATGGTCATATGCCAGAACAACCGATTATACCGTGATTTTATGATTACCCTAAAGCCCTCAGCTTGACTTCTGAGGTCTCATGAACTAACACATCGAGATGCGTTGGAATCAAAATACAACAAATTCCCTCAGGCACCTTTATTCGACATGCATCAGCTTATCAGACCGATCCTTCTGTGGTAGAGCTTGCAATGTACATGTCTATGATTGATACACTCATGCCCTATCCGTCCCTCGAGTACTTAAACTTTTGGAATAGATGCAGTTTGGAGGCTTCTACTGTCGCACAAAGATCAGACTCAGACCAAGGATATCGCAATGTCTCTGGGGAGGCCGAACGAGGCACCAGAAATTCGAAATGTCCGCATGACTAGACCGGGACTAGTCGCCCCTCCTAAGCACATCCTGCATCTGAACCCAGTCATAGCTTCGTCATGCACCAGGCCTGCATGATAGGGAAGAGTGAGCGCTCGAACATGGGCACCTGAAGCAGGAGGGGTTCTGTTAGTGGGTCCCTTTTGCTCCCACTTTCCTACTCTTTACTGGAATTGTGGAAGTAATGATGCGTGATGAAGCTGAAGGAATTGGTCAACGAAATCAAACCGGAGAAATAGGATTTAGGGATCGAAGCTTTATTAGATTCCTTGAAATAGATTTAAGCTACACAACAGCAGCCGCCCGCTGTGCCTTGGGCGTCGTTTCTACCAAATCTGGCCTGGTTATCCTGCTAACCAGTTTTTTTTTATTGTCCGTGCCATATACATGCTATACCTATTACACTAGTGGCTGCTTACTCCTCTCTTCTATTTTTGCTATCGAGAAGGATCGTCTTCGAACTGATAAAGACCTAGGAAGACCTCCAACTATTCTTCATTATTATTATTCAGATTGAAATCTACCTTTCTTCTCCTCGTTCTTCTTTTTTTTAAGCTTGCAAATTTTCAGGTTTCTGAGGTATGGTTTATTTTCCAAGTTTGAGCTCCATCGTCCCGTTTCCCCCACTTTCCTTATAGAGTAAACTCGCCAGTGCAGGATACCTAGCTCGTGCTGACAAAAGAGGAGTCGCAACAGGATCAAAAAGAAAAAAACGGGAAGGAAACAAAAAAGAAGCCAGTAATAAAAGGTTGCGGTTTGGGATACTTTCCCATTCTAATATCGTAAATCCTTTTTTTATATCTATATTCCAATTTAGAAAATAAGCAATGTCGAGGCGAGAGTACGACGATTACGGCCGGGACAGCAAGGCTGTCGAGTATATCCCCGCCCGTCCACGTTCCAGGGCGGGCTCGAGCTACGCGCCTCCTGGAGGATATCCAGACTCTCCAAACGATTCCTATCCGAGGACGTACAACGGCCCCGTATCTATGCCAGCTGCGCCTGCGCCCCCAGATGATGCGTATGGTGGCAAATCTTCAACTACTATAGTATCTGGTCGACGACCACCATCCCCAGGAGTCCGGTTCGCGGATGAACATCGAGATGCTTCCCGTGATAACCCGGCTCGAAGGTCCGCTGGTGGTACAGATTGGAAGCGAGTTTATGAACGGGAACTGCAAGAGCAGCGAGAATTGGAGAAGAGACGGGAATCCGCAGGGTCCCGTGGTGCGGTCGCTTCACCGGATCGTGGCCCTACTGCCCGAGGCTTGGACGTTAATTTGAACACCGATAGGATCAAAGGAAGTCTTTCCCTCTCTAGCAAGAGCGAAAAGAAGAAGGAGAAGAGAGATAATGATCTTGCTTGGTCGAGTGAAGATTCTGAAGACGAGAAACAAAGGAAAAAAATCAGAGATAGGAGAAAGGAAGATAAAGACCGCGAACGGGACCTTAGGGAAAGGGAAAAGAGAGAAGAAGAGCTGGAAAGAATTAAGAAAGAGAGGGACAGGATTGAAAAAGAAAAGGCAGCTGCAGCTGAACGCCGCCGAAGCTCCCATTACGCTGACGGATATGGCGATCCAAGACGCTCCTCTGGACAATTGCAAGACCCTCGAAGGTCCTCTGGTGCTTTACAGCTAGTCAACGATCGTGAAAGGGAAATCGCAATCGAGAGAGAGCGTGAGAGAATCCGTGAGAGAGAAAGAATTGAGCGACTTGAGAGGGAGAGGATAGATCGCGAAAGAGCGGAAAGGGACAGAATGGAGCGCGAGAAGGCAGAGCGCCGTAGAAGCAGCCACTACGAAGATGCCTATCATGGAGATCCAAGGCGCTCCGCTGGCCAACTTCATGATCCTCGCAGGTCGGCTGGCAGCTTGGCAATGCCGGCTGGTGCTGGCCCGGCAAGGTCTGCCTATGGTGATGACCCACGAAAGTCCGCTGGTCATATTGTTCGATATGAGCATCGTGATACCCGGGAAGACTATCGTCGCGAGTCCCCGCCTTCCGGTGAGATTGCTGGCGTCAGATATGTTCAGCGTCCGCTTTCACCTGTTAGCTCTGGGCGACCTTCATCTCGTCCCCCTCAGACCCATTATCTTGTTACGGAACAACCTAATAGTCGCCAAAGAGCAAGTTCGGTCGGCCACCGACATGCATCCGTTCCGTCAATTGATACAGGAATGTCGAGAATGACCGTTCATGATCGCGACTACCACGACCACTACGAGCACGAACGATATGATGATTATCCGCCAGATGCATACCGTCCCTCTTATTATCCCCTCTCCCCAATGCCTTCCCCGGGACTACCACCAAGAGATCGAGGATTTAGCGTTGACGTTGGCGGTAGTTTCGCCTTGGGAGGTTCTCATGGTGGCGCTAGTGCTGGATATACACTCTCGGCTGGATCCGGTCGTCATCACCGCAGTCACTCGCACGGGCATGCTGACTATGTCCGCCCTGAGGAGAAGCTTCGTCCCCAAGAACCCGACTATGACCCGAATGATCATGCCCAGATCTTGTATAAGGCTTTGAAGGGTAAAGTTGCAGATGTCGGTGCCATCCTTAAGGTCATCCCTTTCTTGTCTGGAGACCAAATGGTGGACCTAAGAGCAGAGTATAAGAAAGTTCACCCACTCGTAAGTTTTCAAGAGAGATATCTAAATCCGAAGGACTCTATCTAACAAGGAATCATAGGGCAATGTCAACCTCGCCAAACATCTCAAGGCCCAGCTCAGTGGCAAGGTCCAACTAGCTGCCTACGTGACGGCGTTAGGTCCATATGAATCCGAATCATACTGGTCCATACTCGCAAACCAGAAACCAGTAAGTTTTTATGTTAACATCGGATTGCATTGCTGAATGTGGGATTCTAAATAGCTACTAGAACTTCAGACACGCCCTTCTCATCGAGTCTATCATGGGCCGCGAGGTTGATGATATTATCGATATTAAACAATCTTACCGAGACTCAAAGAACGATCACAATTTTGAAAAGGCCATCAAGAAAGAACTAGCAGCAGACAAAGCCACTGGCGAGAAATTCAAGGACCTTGTTCTTCTTCAACTCGATACCACCACCCGTGGTTTACACATGAATGAATGGGACAAAGTCTACCTCGACAAAGTCAGAGATGACGCGGAAGATCTTCACGACGCTCTTGCAAAGGACAAGGTTGACAGCTTCTTTGTTGGGAAGATTGTGATCACGAGGAGCACAACCCATTTGAGAGAGCTATTGAGGATGTATAAGAAACTGTTCGATGGTCAAGATCTTGCGAGGTTAATTGCTGAGAAACTGAACGGTTTGATTGTAAGCAACATTCTCAACCCTGAGTATTCCCCATTAAAGTGTGTGAAACTGATGATGCAATTTTGGTGTTTAGGGAGAGGCTCTGCTCCATGTTCTTAATGGAGTTCTCAACAAGCCGGCTCGTGATGCTCGTCTTTTGGAAGAATCTATGAAGGGTGTTGGTACCCGTGACGACCTTCTTGTTGCTAGACTTGTTCGTATCCACTGGGATCCAGAGCATTTGACAGCTGTCAAGGAGGCGTACAAGTCCAAATACGGCATGTCTCTCAAAGAAAGAATCAAGGGCGAATGTTCTGGGTAAGTTTTACCTTTGCATTGATATATACCGTCAATCTCAGTTCCTGATTGCTAACTCATCTGTGCTTCTAGATCATACCAAGAATTCCTGCTCAATCTTATTTCTGTTGATACCCATACAACCGCCGTTGTTAAAGCGTAAGAAGGTGCAATCACCTCTTACAGCTACCAATCCGTCTTGCCAATGGTTAGAGATCATACGCATGGCTGCATTTCGCATCATTTTTGGAGAATTTGCAAAGTTTAGGACATTTTGGGAGGCTCTATCCGCGGTTCTACCATTAACTAATATTCACCGTATTATATATTTAACTTGATCACGAATTTCTTTACCTGTATCCTTCTCTTGCCCCCCTGTACTGCGGTTTTCATGAAGTTATGATGTTAGTAGTATAAATTCATAAAGATGTCATGTATCCAGTCTATTGATCTGAAATATAAATACTTAAATCCCTTACGAGTAAGAACCCATATACACCTTTTGCCTTGCTAACACCAATTTTGGCCGTAATTCATAAAGCACATTCTTCCCGGATTTTAAATATCTTAATCCGTGCAGAGGGCCCCTACTCATACTCAAACGTATGTCGTGAATCTCTTTCATTCCCTAGAAGCGGTCGTAGTTGTTCATCTGTCCTTGTTGGGCTTTCGGATCTCTCCTCCTCTTCAGTATTAAGATCTCTCAGACCCCTCCGTGTCTTATTCCAGTACCCAAAATCATCTCTTGTCATTCCCTCTCCGCGAATTTTGCCGTCCCAGCCGTGAATTGCTACGCTTCCTATGTAGGATAAATATGTTAACTATAAAGTGCGCAGTGGTGTTTCAACCGTGGAGAAAACATACCTGAACTAGACCCGTATCCGTTCCACGAAGTACTAACGATCACCGGTGCATCCGGGTGCCATGAAACATCCCTTGTACAGGTATCCCACTTAGGTCTTGCTCTTGACAACCCAAATCCACGCCAGTTATAAGCCGGCTGAGGACGAGAATCGAATGTTCCCTGTTGAACGTCTATGACAGCAGCAATGGTTGCGTCAAGGTTATAGATGAATACTCGTCCGTCTTCAGAACCACTGAAAACGTATCTGCTGCCTGAAGAGTTTGGAGGGGAGAAGTGGCAGCGGATGAGTGTTTTGAGGACTCGATGGCCGCGGAAGGTGACGATCGAGTTGTCGCCGGGGTGTTTACGAATTGGGTGGTAGTCGTATGTTTCGAATCTGTAATCAAAGTGGCTGCTAGAATAGTTTCTAATTCGAGTTCCTTCGTAAGTTGAGCGATCGGTCATTTTCCTAGTTTTTTTGTTAGTTGATGAAATTTTATCTCGTAAATATTCCCCTGTACAGACCTGATATCCCAAAGTTTCATTGTCTGGTCCTTTGCGTTACTCAGAACGTATCTTCCATCACCTTTCGAGTCGATATAAGTCAACCCTTCCATGTGGCCGAGGAACGCTCCAGCTTCTCGTCCGGACGCCATACTCCTTCTATCCCAGATCTTGATTGTGCAGTCATCAGATCCGGAAAATAGGATATGAGGAGACGACTTGTCACCATAACAAACAGCATTCACATCATTCTCGTGTCCCGTGAGTTTTAGGATGGATTTTTGCCTTTCAATATCATAGACATAGAGAGAATCATCTTTAGCGCCTGCTATTAGTTCCCGGCCGTCACCCGAAAATCTGATTGACCATATCTAGAATATTCAAATTAGAATTATCGTAAGCTTTGGAGATGGTGGTATACACACCGGTGTCCCGTTTCTCATGGCGTACTGCCTTGGCCCTTCCGAAAAATCGAGCACTGTAAGCCCGTTCTCTTCTTCCTCGTGGGCTTGCGTGTTAGCCATATACACTGTGGAATCTAAACTACTATATGCTAGTTGTCGATTATCTGGGCTTAATGACGCATCTGTGATAGTCCAATGGCCCCCGGGGTACTCTGCCTTTTTGTAATATTTCCAGTCATACGGATTTCGAGTGTCGTACATGCGGACCACCATATCCTGAGAGCAACAGTAAAAGAAGTCACCATCTTCAGAGAATTGACCCGAATAACATCGATTTTCAAAGTGTAGGACTTTCTCCGTACTTGTAGGAATGAGGGATTGGGCGACTAGTGAATCAATCATCCTGGCTGGCTCCCCCGTATAAGATCCCATTTCTCTGACGAGCAAGCGCTTGCCTAGTAATATCTTTTGACGTTTACATATTGATTCCTCGAATTGCTTCGCTTGTTCAGAGGGGGATTGGGAACCGGGTATTGGTGACCGAGGGATTGTAGGAGAGCTTGCACCTCCTAACGCGCAGCTTTCTTCGGGAGAACGAGGAGTAGTTGGAGACTGTACTGAAGCTCCAGAACTTCGTCTCCTTTTTTTGGGCGACATACGCTTGAATTCGTACTATCCAAATGTAAGGATTAGCAAATTGAAGACGCCCTTCCAACTTCAAAACAAAATTACGACGTACGTATCCAAAATCCCCGCTAGCCATTAACTTCCGGCCCTCCTCGCTTGGAATCGGTTCCAAATTTTCCAGCGCCATATCTCTAGTACCCCGTCGACGTCTACGAGAATGTGGTAATCTGACGCGGAATGTGTTGTTTACGATCGTGAACACTTCTTGGTGGTCCTCGTCGCTGTCATTCCATACGTCATCATCTAGGACGAGCTCTACGATTCCGGGTCCGCTTTCTCCCTCCTCCCCATCGCCTTCATTTCCCCCATTGGTGTGATGGCTGATGACTTGTTGGAGGAGAGCTTGTATAGTTTCCAATCCTAATTATACCGAAAGCTGTTATAAATCGATGTACTATAGCTATACGAATCGGTTCCTGGTGGAACATGCGTACCTCTCTGAGCAGAAGCCTCGTCGTCAAAACCTAGGAAGTCTATGGAGGACTCCGTAGCTGCGGTGCCTTCACGGCTTTCTTGAGCTATACTTTCGGACGGCTCGTAGTCCATATCATCTTCTTCGCCATTGTCGCTATCGAAGAGGTTATTGTCATGGTTATTGCCGCTCATGGTTCTCTATTTTCCCCGCGAGTTAGGTCACCTAAGTTGCTTGCGATTTGGCTAATTGCTTTGGTAAGCGAGCCACTGTAGTGAGAATGTCGAAGGCGACTTTGCGAAACGGCCTTGGGAAGGCGAGTTCGGTTCAATTATAACGTTGGGGTAGTATGACAATTAGAAGGTTGATTACTAAGGATCTCGGTTCCAGTCCGGGTATAACGTGTATGATAAATGCTGCTGAGGTTTGTTACATATACATGTCTGACGGAAGTTAGAGCTATTTCATCTGCATTCAATCGAATCGGATCATGATATCGCAGCTATGTGGGTCCGGTTACCTGTTGGGAGATAAACCCCGCTATCTCCGTGCATCATCTGTAGCTAATCGATACGACCGTTTTACTTTCTTACTTAAGCCATGGCTAGTATATCTGCAACACGGCCTATTTCGACCGAAGCTGAAATGAGCCCGGTTTGCTAGTAACGATAGACTGGTTGTATCTCTTCCTCAATCCAATTACAGTCCTGGGCCCGAAAATAAATAGATTTTGATCCCGGAAATATTGTATTGTTATCTATGGCCACGGGACTAGTTGTTCTAGATCTAAGGAATTCGCCTAAGTAATACAGGTATAATACTTTTATGTAATTACTTTGCATTTGTCATATATTATAAGTATTGTAATTCACATGTGTAAGAAGTAAAGGGCATTTGATATTCAGGTACAATACCATAACCCAGACTTCTTTTTATTTCCAGGTTTTCAATGAATATCCATGTAGAAATGTCAGTATTCATACAAAATAAGAAGTATATGGTATAAAATGTAAAGTAGAGGCACATAGGTGTGGCACCAGCATAAAGGGAATTTACATACATCCTTGCCTCAGTACTGCACATAGTACATGTACATATTTAATTAAATATAACTGTGGTATCGGAGATCGGGCTATTGGATGACAGCAGCACGTGGTTTCCACATGCATGTCCCTTACGTCTCGGAGTTCGGAAAGCGAATCATCTATAGAGAGTAAGGAGTATATGTCTCTTATTTGTATGTACGCAGGTTACCATCTGAATATGGTACCCATTGAAAAAGCGATCCGAGATCACATGTCTCTCACCGAAGCCGCAGTAGCTGGGATGGTGCTGTACAGTAATATCTTACCTAATTGATGTTATCTCGGCCTTTGGATGACCTAATTGGAGTCTCTAGGCATCTATGATGAAACGTCTTGAGGGCCAACATCCAACATGCTAACATGGCATCAATCACCTGCAGGGGTTAATTTTGGAAACATCGTAGAGGTAATATCCGTCACAGTTCAATGAGTGGGTCTCCTTCTTTCCAGATGAATCTAACGATCGATCTGTTCCGGAGTAAGTTGCACTAAATTCGTGAGGTGGGTATCAGTAAACGGACCAATCGATCTCGTTATCGATATAATACGGGTTTCGCAATATTAGATACCAAAGTATGCAATGTTGCATGTTGGAGAGGAAGGAAGGAACCGAGAGTTCCAGGACGAAACATAAGTGCATGTGGACATACACCGGACTATACTGTGGAGCGTGAAGTTAACAATTGAATCACGAGCCATGTTACACAGCATGATATCTCGAAGTTCGGGTTTCAGCATTGTTGGTTCCGAACGTGTTGGTGTGGCATTTCGGCGGCGGACTTTCCACATTATCTCGGGAGCATATCAGCCCGGAATGATTAATGATGCTCTCCGATACTGAGATTGCATATTGAATCTCGCGAGCTCTGGATAGCGATATCGGATCATCGTAGTAGGACTGACTCGAGTCATAGCATGCTAGCCAGGAGATTCCTAATTCTTATCAGATCCAGCGATGCTGATTACCGTATCTTTCGGACAGCGCTGATAAATCAGACGAATCTAGATCTTCGCAGTGACGCATCCCGATGAATAATCGCGTCTCCCAAGATCTTGCGAAAGAATTAGGGCAGATTTGGTGCGCGGGTATTAAAATTTTTTCCTGACTTCGCCCGGGCTATTGGGCTCATTGCCTGGTTCAAAGAGGCCAAATTTGGGTGGAAGCTTGAGCTCGGAGTAAGCTAGTGTCGGTTAGACTCGAACTAGGCATGCGAGGCTGCACGACCAACCTTCCAACAGCGTGGCCCCTGGCACCAGAAGCAAGGAGGCTCAAAAGGGAACATATGCACACATGGCGGCTTGCCTTTGCGCAGTATATTGGCTGTGGTTGTATAGCAAGTGTCTGGAGGTACCGTACTGTATACATGTATGCATATGGGTGAGAGATGTGATGTACTCGATCGGAGTATCGATATCAGCGCTGCTTTGTGGGGCTTGGCTTGTTACTTTTTTTTCTCTCTTCTCTCTTTCTCTCTCGTTCAAGTTGGACTTCAGGAGCAAGGCTAAGTACCTAGGTATGGACCCACGCCGAAGCTCGAAGCTTCTGGCCTCAACAAATATGCATGATACAAAAGGTTTCCTTGGGAAGGTCTCTGCGCGGGCCAAGGTAGGTTTTATCACCGATTCGAGCTGGGTCCCACACCGACGGAGCTAAAGGTGACAGTGGCCTGAGTTCCGAGCGCCCGTTTGGTTTTGGACCTCTGAATCAAAGACAGGGTACAACGACGCGCTGCCAGCTCCAAGCGGAAACAGGAATGCGAATCGAATCTCAGTATGGATCAAGTTAAACGTGCGTGAGGAGAGAGCTCGTGAGTAGGCGTGTAAAATTTTTTTGAGGACAGAGAACATCCGATGGAAAACAGAAGCTCCTTGCGTGGATGATTCGCGATTCCACTCACTACACGGCCTATGTGATTAAAGAACCCGTCTGCACTGCACTGCAGATATGTACTGCTCATACACTCTGTAAGAAGTACTAAGTACTATGTGATAACCAGCCAGATGGTAGTAGCTAGCAGCTAGTTAGTAGCAGGCATGCCTGCAGCCTGCGCACGCACACATGTTGGTGGATCCAACGGGTAAAGCTCATGGAAAGCCGTGGTCTTGCCTTGTCTCAATCATGTTCCGTTCGAAATAAAATGTAAGTACTTCCAGAGTAAATGTAGCACAGGCCAGGCCCCAAGCCGAATCTGTTCGAGAGAAGTCTATATAATTAAACCTCGTCCGCCTCCCCGGAAAAAGGTAGGAGGACCCCCAAACCCTTTTTTTTTTCCATTTCAAAAGACCTGTTCCCTGTCGGTCGTAGATTAAGTATAAATCACTCGTACGGGTCCCATCTCTTCGTCGGATTATATAGATCGTCCCTTTGCATCCGTGCTTCTTTGCCGTCTTCCCTCTTCTTACACATCTTTCTCTCTTCTCTTTAGAACTTATTTTTTATAGCTTGAAACGCTTGCAAACGAGGCTTGAATAGGCGGAACTTATCGCGTAAGTTAGCGAGAACCATCATCTATCTCTGACGACTGCTGTGGGACCCTTATATATATATCAGGCATCCCCAGACCTCTTCATCTTGCTCATATAGAAGTATCTCTTACTTGCCTCTTACTTACTTACCTCTTATCCCTTGCTAGTCAGTCCATAGCTAGCTCCTTTCAACACATCTGCATCCATCACACCATTTCTCTCGTGCAATTCGAACACCTTTCCTCTCTCGCACAAATCCAATCGATTCAAAAATGACTGCCCGTGTTCAGCAACCTGCTCCAGCCTTCAAGGGCCAAGCCGTTGTCGACGGTGTTATCGAGGGTTAGTTGGTCTTGTCCCTTCAAACTCCCCAGCAGAAGGCTTTTCGCGCCTTGTCTCCGGCTGGTTCCTGCATTGTACGGTTACCGATCTTACGGTAACCTAAAGCAGTAACCAGCAACACCTGGGAATTCGTTATGTAGATGGGAGCTAATCGGAAATGTGTGAATTCTCTAGAGATCGATATCGATAGCTATAAGGGTAAATGGTTGATTCTAGGCTTCATTCCTATGGCGTGGACCTTCGTCTGGTAAGTTTTTAATACCCAGGTCCTTTTAAATTGTTGCGCCGAATAGTATATAAGCTGACAATCAAATCTATAGCCCAACTGAGATCGTTGCCTTCTCAGATGCTGTCCAGCAATTCACAGAACGTAATGCCTCTGTTATCTTTGCGTCCGTCGACTCTGAGTACAGTCTTCTCGCTTGGGCCAATGCTTCCCGAAAGGATGGTGGCCTTGGTGGCTGCCAGTTTCCTCTCCTTTCCGACAAGAACCATAATATCTCCAAGGCCTATGGTGTCTTGTTAGAAGAGGAAGGAATTGCGCTCCGTGGCCTCTTCATCATCGACCCTAAGGGAATTGTCCGACAAATCACTATCAACGATCTTCCAGTCGGCCGAAGCGTTGACGAGACCTTGAGATTGATTGATGCTTTCCAGTTCACCGAAAAATATGGCGAAGTCTGCCCGGCCAACTGGACCAAGGGAGCCCCAACAATCCAGACCAGCAACTCCAAGACCTACTTCAACCAGATGTATGGTGGCCATTAGAGGAGTATAGATGGTTGTTACGACGCGTTTTTATGCTTTCTTTCTCTCTTTTTTTCTTTCTTCTCAGCTTCTCTTCTCTCTTACTTCTTGGGCATAAATACTTTTATTTTGCTTTCCTGGAGTCCACGATACAAATTTCCTCTATCATTGATGCCACTAATACGACCGAATTGATTTGTCGGATACCCGAAACGAAAAAGAAAACACGAACAATACCGAATAGACCACTAGGGGAGGTGTTACATATACTATCATTCTGCATTGCTTCTCGATTCTGCTTTTGACCTCACTATTAAAAATAAAAGACTCTACTCTCCCGTTATTCTTACCTCGCATGAGCCAGGCCCGTGTATTCTTGGAGGAGATACCACTAGTCTATAAAACAATAAATATTTTTAAGATATACTCTTTGTTTTCTCTTGCTCTCTCCTTTTTCTTTCGTTCTTTTTTCTTCCAAGCAAGAAAGAAAGACGATTGAATGACGTGAATTCTGTATATATATAAGGACTATAAACACGCTATCGTACAAGCCGACCCACCGATAAACACCGAAAACATTATTTTTTGGATGATGGAATTGATCGAGAGTAGGAGAAAGTGGTGGGAGATTAAAATGTCGGTAGTAAAAGGAGACCTCTTTAGAGGTGTATATTCAAGTCTGTGTATCGAAGTTTTGTTTCGTGACTTTACGCCGCGCCGACCAGAATATTGTTGATAGGAATGTGAACTAAGTACGAAACCGTCAGGAATTGGTGTATTCTAGAGGTGATATTGCGAATGTGATTGAGGGGCAACATACTCAGCTTGACAACGAAGCCAATGGCACCCATACAGATAAAACCTATCGCGACAGCCTGGGAGATCTTGAGAAATTCTTTCCTGTCCGCTATGCCACCGGAGAGAAGAAAAATTAGCTAGTTTTCTATGATTTGATTGATATAGTGGAATGATTTCACATACGCTTGGTGCATCTGTTGACGAACTGGGTGCCCTCCCTTAGGAAGTCCTTTGGGATATCGGCAATCTGGGAAACTTGGTCGGACATTGTGATGAAGGGGTGGATTTGATTTAAATGGGAACGGCGATTGGGTCTGAGGCGGTTGAGTAGATATGAGAGGGGTGTCGTGCGAGGTTCTAATGAAATCGTGTGCTGTGAAATAGATGCGGGCGCTGGGCTTTAAGACCTGGGATTTACTATGATGTTGTTTATGTGGTCTTTCGGTCTAGTTACGCACCAGCCACAAAAGTTCAAGCGGGTGGCTGGTGAGACTGTGGCTCGTTTATCATTCTGAGATATACGTTATTCATTCTGAAATATGCGCACCTCCCCCGGCCGGGGCCAGCTGTCAGTCAGGCGTCACGCGAATGGAGCCAAGGTAAGGAAGTACTTACATGTATTACACCGGAGGGAGAAAAGGGAAGGGAAGGCCCGCCGGAGCAAACACGAATTACCCACTCAACTGCCGCCACAATGGGAATTTTCCTAATAGCATTATTCCCACCGGTTTTGGCTAGCCAGTGAGGCTGCCACCATTCATCATCAGTACCGACTGACTTATCCCTCACATCACCTTGCTTCCCATCACACATCACATCACACCTCCATCATCACCTTCACCTTCACCTTTACCTTCGACCTCCCTGCTCCCTTTTCATCTTTGTCCTCTTTTTTCTTTTCGTCCTATATCTTAGTTTCTTTCTCTGGCCTCGCTAGATTTCTACCTCTGACGCGGTAGAGTCTATAGCTTGAGACCTCGACCTTGCGCTAACTTTGTCGCTACTTTTAGGCTGTAGCAAAGGTTTGGCTCGAATCCTCTCTTTCTCTATCACCATCACCATCACCATCACTTTCGTCATCAACCATCTTCTCGCCATTGTCAAATCGCGTTTCTTTAGCTAACCGCTATCTACCCACCTTCTAGTCGCAAAGCTTATCGCTTTCCTTTCATATCACGACGAGTTTGTCCTTTTCGCACGACTTGTCGCAGTCAGTTCCCTATATCGAACCTCCGCGTGCGGCCGGTTCAATTGATATCGATACTGCAAGTGACTAAAAGGAGAAATAGCAAAGAGAGAGAAAGAGAAGAAAAAAAAAAGTCGCGCTCTTTGTAACCAAGCGTGTCGATTTTTTAACAAAAAATTTTTTAAAAAAACACAATCTCTATCTCCCTCCAACCATCATTGCCATCCTTCCTAAGGATTCAATCGATGGTAAATACTTTGTCCTAAGGGCAAAATTTCCTTGGTATTACAAGACATACACGTTCTGTACGACAACTTGCTTTGCTAAGCCCGTCCCATTCCAAAAAAAGAAGGCAGAGCCTCTCTCAATTTGAGTCGAGGAGGCCCAAAGAAACACCGGGAGGAGCCTGTTCCTCTTGTGCTTTTACTTTAACAGCTTTGCTTCAAAAGAAAGAATTCGCCATCAATAAAATTAGCACGGAGTCTTCCGACTGTACGTATAACTACCCGCATGTACTTTTTGTTTCTCTTGTCCTTATTCATCTCTCTATCTCTTCTCTCTTATGCTTTTGCTTCATCCTTCAAAAATCCGAAAAAGACAGAAAGAAGAAGGACCGCTTCTTTGCCGGCTCAGGAAGCAGCGGGAAGCTTTATGTGCTTATCGAAGGCTAGCATCGAGTTTCCATTGCCTATTTTTCTTACCCATTTCTTTCACCTTCCGTCCTCATTTACCTCCTTTTCCTTATACTCTAACCCCGTGATTTGCATGGGAAAGTTTGGCTGATCATGTACAACTTCATACAGCAGAATTCTTGTAACGGCTCATCGTGGAGCAAGTCTCAATATCTCATATATCAGGAGCTTGATATATCAAATCCGCTAGTGTTTAATTCCTCATATTGTTATATAGGGGCAACACTAGAAGGACATCCGCCTGTTATAAAGATTAATAGAAGAAGATCTCCCTGAGAAACGAGACCTTTCAATATGGCAGACGACGATAATTTTGATATCGATATTTATGGCGAGGATCTCGACGATCCGTCTGCTCCTTACAAGAAGGTAGCCGCGGAAGATGAGCTCTTCCATGATGATGACGGAAAACCAGACACCGGAAAGAGCAACGGGAATGCTGCTGCTGCTAACGGCACTACAGAAGACACTAATATGGAAGGCGCCAATGTCACCGATAATGTCAAGCAAGAGCCGATTCCGCAACCCCCACAGCATAATAGCTTGAAAAGGAAGCACCCAGATAACCGCCATGTTGACGTTAATGCTACTACAGCCTTGTACATCTCGGAACTGAACTGGTGGACAACAGACGATGATATTCGTGGGTGGATCCGACAAGCCGACTGCGAAGACGAGCTAAAGGATATCACGTTCAGCGAGCACAAGGTCAACGGCAAGTCTAAGGGGTAAGTTTTGTCCTTGAATCCACACCTTAATTTCCTTCGCTAATAATCTATCATAAAGCGTCGCGTTTGTCGAGTTCACGACCACCCAAGCGTCCTCGGCTACAAAGGCGAAGATCGAGTCATTCGCAACCCAACCAGGCTACCAGTCAAAGCGTCACACCGTCAATTTTACGCAGCCACACAGCAACCCCTTCCGAACTTTGCCTAAGGATGCACCAGCCAGAAATAAGGATGACAATCGTAGTGGCCCTGGTAACTTCAACAAGGATAATAGACCCCACGGACCTATGAGTAATAACTTCCCATCGCCCGCCAACTTTGCTCCCCAATCAAACATGATGGGCAACAACATGGGAGGTGGTGGTGGCGGCGGCGGCGGCGGCGGCGGCGGATACCGTGGTGGCCGTGGAAATATGATGGGAGGTGGCCGAGGCAATATGGGTGGCAGCGGTGGCGGCGGCTACATGAACCGCAACAACGCTGGAAACCACATGGGAGGTGGTGGAGGGTCTGGAAGCCCTCCTCAATCATTTGGGATGATGAACCAACCTGGTGGCTTTGGGAATATGGGCGGTGGTGGCGGTGGTGGTGGCGGCGGTATGCAGTTCCAAGGCGGCGGCGGCGGCGGAGGAGGAGGAGGATTTCAAGGCAATCGTGGCGGCATGAACATGGGTATGCGTGGCGGCGGACCTCCAAACCGTGGGCGCGGAGGGTTCAACAACAATATGGGTATGCCAATGGGCGGTATGGGACCAAACATGGGAATGAATCCTCCAATGGGCGGTATGAACATGGGAGGCCCGATGGGTAACATGGGAGGCGGCGACATGAGTGGAGGTAATAGCAATTTCAATCCCATGATGGGTAGCGGATTTAATCCAATGATGGGCGGTGGTGGTAAGGCCTCCTCTTGGACCCCTCCGTCTTCAGCCTTTCATTTCGAGATCAAGCCCAGTGCTAACACTTTATACAGCTCCTCAATTCCCTAATCCCAACTTCACCCAGCAGTTCTTTGGTCAGCCTCAACAAGGCGAGCAACAGTGGAACCCGCACGGAAATAAGCGCCCGCGACAGGACGGCTAGAGACCCTTCTCAGCTAGGGGAGCGCGTGTTCGCTCGGGGTTTTCTCCTTAGGATGGTAAAGCTATATAAATTGACAAACGACGGTAGCGAATATCCCGCGACACCAAGACCAAGAGGTAACTCCGCTAACCTTCCTTCCTCGTTCTATCTCTCCTTTTTCTATTAGTCAGGGTGGAAAACTTCGTTTGTGTTTTTTTTTACGAGTCCCATAGTGTTTCTCCTGATAATTTTCCTTCACTGATGGAATCCCTAAACCGATTACGACTGCTGTACCCCTCGATCCTTCGCTTTTTATTTTTATTTTTTTGTCTTTTCAAGTTATGGATTATCGTTTCGTTCAGTTTCCCGTTTTCAAGCTCCCAGTTATACACACGGGGTAAGGCTGTTTTCTGTCTTTCTATAATCGAATTCCAAGGGATTCTCCTATTATCCAGTTTCTCTATTACTTTTCACATTTCGTGGAAGCCTCAGTGTCTACTCTTACGCCTTTCTCTTTCACGTATAAAATGTATTATAGGAGATATCACTCTTAATTCCTATTCTCTTTTTCCTTCTTTCTTTTTTTTTACATGGATTAGTTTCTATATCTCTTTCTAGTCTTGAGATCTCTTTCCTTTCTTCAAACCTTCCGACGACTTTTGGCTCGAAGGTTTGTTTATTCCTGCCATCATGAGCTTTTAAAAATTTCCTAATTTGCGTCTTTTACGAAGAAACAAAGAAATGAAGGAAAGGGTAGGGGGGGCATGCATGAGCTATGATTTATGGGGAGGAGTCGTTAGGTTGGTGATTACACGTCATACGTTATACGTTATACGCTTATTAAGTATGCGTGCGTGGGTTTAATGTTTACTTTGGTCGTTCTTCTACTCGCGTATATACCTCGCGAGCTAGGTAATTAATGATGTAGATGAATGAGAGGTTTGAAATGTCTATATATATAACTTATTTACTTAAGTACTTAAGTATGTATCAGGTTTTTTTCTCCCCGTTATGACTACTTGGGGAGCCTGGACTGGAGGTCTTGATAGTATTAGCTAGTACAAGGAGCCTAGGATACTTAGAACTTGAATGTACTTGAATTCTATATATATATATATACCTCCCGTACTCCCTATAAGCTTACTCAAGTGTCCCCGTATATACATTATAAGGGTTCATCTTTTAAATTTTACATTAACGGTACCATAAAAATGAGTCCTAAGACTGTAGACCTGAACTTAAGTACTTAAATACTTAGCTAGAGGTATAGATCAATAGTACAATCTATATGTGGATTTTAGCATCCATATCAATATCACCGACATCCTCGTTACTAGGTATATATACCGGTATGTAATCGTGGCAGTTCAATCCTGTATCTACTTACACAGAACTAGACAATCCAATTAAATGCCAATTTAACCTGTGTAACCTAACAACTGTTGTATTTTTGCTATATAAAAGTGATCGCCAACGCAAAATTGGGCTATCATGCCTTTCTCAAATTAGTTAATACATGAATATATGGAGACAGAGGATCTCGATCAAGGGCGATGATACATAGTTAATTGCGAGATGATGATGATAATGACTACGATGGTAGTGACAATGTTGGTAAAAACGTGCATCACCAATATACCAAGCAATCGCCCCTCAGCCACCAAACCTACCCTCTTCAGCACCATCTCGGATCGAGTTGTGGGCGACATCATCATTTACGAGTCAATAGCTAGGAAGTCTCGAGTTGGGCTGTTAGTATACAAAAATGACATCCTTCCTCTGTCGGATACAAAACTTGCCTTCTGTCAGGTCCACCTACCCTACTTCTTTACTTTTGCTACTTATCTTCATCAAATCAACTTATTCATCACCAGTGTTTTTGAAACAATCATCACAATTAATCGATTCCAAAGGCATGATGTTCCGGGCCGCTGCTTATACGGACATTATCAATCACATCCTTAGGAGCAAGATGGCTATGAATGCATCGGCTTCAGCTTCAGCTGCTGCCGCCGCAGCCGCAGCTACTACCCACCCCGTTTTGCAGGAAATGTCATTGCCCGAAAAGAGTGCCAAAATTGCAACCGTCATCGGGCTTGTGTTCGCTCTCATCGCCGTTGTTGTCATTGCCAGTCTTGTTACAGCTTCTACTCTCAGCGTTTTGGCCTTCAACAAGTAAGTAATGTCCTTTTGATGAGAGTTTGCTCACCAATATATATAGAAGCAGCCCATTGACTAGACGTATTCGTTAGAATCTACTTGCGTGTTATTGCCGATAGTGGTAATGACAGGGAACAGCAATACGCTAGGATGGTTTTGAATCTTCGACGTCGTCCATACAATATGATCTGTGCATTCGTCTTCACGGGAAGTGCCATGGCCGAATTGATCCCCTTGCTTATTAGTTTGATAATGCAGGAAATCTCGGAGGGAACTGTTTCCGGAAATCTTAGTACGTATAGTTAGCCTTTCTTTTGGGGGTGTTGTAACGTTGTTGGGGTTCTCGAACTGATTTATATTACACAGATGCTCTTAGTATTGTGATCGCTGTCGTTCTAATCATCATTTTCGTTGAGCTCTTACCACTCGGGTATACTGTTCGAAAGGCCTTATTTGTCAATGCGTTTCTCATTCGGTGAGTTTATCATACAATTCTTGGAGAAGGTGTTCGGGTTGGTAGTGCTAACCTTGGAATTTCCTAAGATTCGCTCAACTCCTTCTTTGGATCTGGTACCCAGTCACCTACCCAATCGATTGGACTCTAGACAAAATCTACCAATTGCGTCTTAGGTCCAATCAGCGTGTTGACAGGCAGCCGAGATTTGCGAACACCGAGGAGAGATTCTTTAGAAATGAAGAATTGACCCGCTTCGTTGAACTCCACGCCAGACCAGTTAACCCTCCAACCATCCATGAAGGGGGAGATGTTCACAGGACTGTTCCTGAAATCTTGAAAGGTGCCTTTAGGGTTCAAAATCTCAAGGCTAAGGATATCATGCATGGCTGGAGAGATTTTCGTATTGGAACTGAAGTCTTTTACATGGACTCTAAAGTTAACCGGCAGATGGCACTTGGGCTTTTTGGGTATGGCGTTAATGGCGCTGTTCTCATGGAAGTCGAAGATCCTCTTAATCCAGACTATGGCAAGGATATCGACATGGTTCCCTTAAATGGAAAGAAGGTTCGCGGTTTCATCCACTGGACCGTAAGTTTATCTATCTTTTAACTTGGAAGATCCTCATACTGACCTTTAATATAGAAATTCGTTTCTGATATCGCTGAAGATGAAACTCGAGCTAAGTTTATTTCCCGAGAAGTTATGCCCGTCGTGTATGATTGTTTTGGAGACCTTCTGGAACTCTTTTGCCTTCTTCACCACGGATCTTGCAAGTAAGCACGCCCTAGAATTACGTATTGTCAGAATGATATATTTTAATATATGACTATGTAGAATGGCCCTCGTTGTCACAACCCCACCAGCTAAAAACGACAAAGGCCGGGCCAACATCCCGCCATGCTCTGATTACGCTGTTTCTAAAACTAGGATCTTCTGGACCAACCAACCGCATATTTCTGCCTACGTCAAGCCCATCGGTGTCATCGCTTACCAGTCTCTTCTTAAAGCTATTCTCAAGTATCTCAGCCAGAGCACTTACAAAATACCAGATCCTATGGATAGGTTCAAGCCACACCGCTGGAATACTCAAGAGAAACTTGCAGAGATTGATAAGATGTATGAAGAAATTGCTGCAAGAGAAGAAGCTGAAAGGAAGGCCGCCGCCGAAAAAGAGGCTGCTGAGAGAGAAGCTGCTGAAAGAGAGGCTAACATCGAAAAAGAGGCCGCTGAGAGGGAGGCCGCCGAGACAGTTTCTCAGGATCAAGACCAAGGAACCGCTACTGGAATCTTTGACAGGATCTTGTCTCTTGGGACTCGCCGACGCAAGGGCGTTGTTGTTGATGGGAGGAGCCCAGTTGGAAGTTCCCGTGGTAGCATCTTTGAGGCTATGGGGACAGAAAGGGTTAATAATGGGGATGATAGCGAGAACGAAACTTAGCTGGTGGCGCACATGAATCTAGCCTCTACACGGAAGCTTTTATCACAACGTACTGCTATGGTTCTTCTACTTTTTATTCCGGTGGATAATTTGTATTTCTTACGTTTTCTGCATATTTCGTTTTAGCATGGGTTTAAACGGATAAATAATTATTGTTATCACTCTCGACCCTCTGCATTATCAAAGGAATGGGAGTGAATGAAAATGCAAATATTCTTTTCCTTTCCTTTTTTGTTTTACAGCTCGCACTCACCAAAGTCCATAATTGAATTAAGGGCTTGTATCATTTCAACCGGTACTTCGTACAAAACAATAAAACGGAAAGAGAATTCATTTTTATATACACCCAACCCGCCAAAGCAGCGATCTGTCTTCCCCGACGAGGTATTTTCTGGGTTTTACGTTTTCGGCTTCCAAGAATCTACAAAAATCGCATTTATAAACAAATCGCTTTCCCGCTACGATTTACAAGTAGAGTACTACCATATTTCCAGAGATGGATAGTATGGTGTGATTTACTCGTCTGACTTCTTGTAGTTGACGTTGTCATTCCAGCTGTTGGGGGCGCATGTTAGTAATATATTCCAATTGTACCTCAATATAGTCGGTATTTTGAGATAATCGAGACTGGAGCCAAGAGTCGTCTGGGGAGGAATTTCGAGGAATTGCTTACAAGAGAGTCTTGTCTCCATCACCCCATGGGAACCTCTTAACTCTGATATTAAGGTATGGGTATTGTGGACGCTCCTCCTGAGGTGGGAGGTGAGATTCGTGCTCCCAATGCTCGTTCCAGAGGTTGTAAGCATTGATAGAGGAGAGGATCAAGGCTGGAATGGCGACACTGTATGATCGTAGGTATATGGTTAGTCGATGAAATCGTAATATCGTTTTTGAATGTTTGGGAAGGAGGGTAAATCATGTGGACGAACTAGAGGGAGAGTTTGCGCCAGAGTTCTATAGCGATTGTTAGTAGGTCGCTCAATTGGATGGGCATTATGGATAGAGGGATGATGTACCGCTGGACTGAGCAGCGTGAGCCTTGACGGCCTCACGCTCCTTGGTGAAGGTCGAACCGGCCTGGGAGGCATAGTTTCGGCGAAGGAGGATCTGTCTGGCGGCGGGGTTCCCGGCTCGCAGGGGAGCACGAATCAAGGCTCTGGACAGCATTGTCGGATCCAAGGATGGGTGTTCTGGAAGAGTGGAGAGGTATCGAAATTAGATGCTGTACGGAAGTATCGCCGGGATGGGTCTCGTCGGTATCGGTGCTTTCGAAGGAGAAAGGGAATTGAAGATAGGATTTTGAAAGTGAAATGATGTCGTTCGGGAGAATGGCAGTTTTCCCGAGGTTTTGGTCTTGGCGTTCCTGTCAGGCCATTCAAAGCTGGTGTGTTTGACATCACTGCAACACAAGTGGCTTTCGCGTGTCCGTGTTTAGATCAACCATCAATCATACCCTTCGACTTCGAGGCTTGCGAAATTCATATCGAGATTGCGATTACCAGCGAAAGTCCGCAGAGGACCATCGAAAATACTGGCCGTCTTATCAACTTTCCAGGAAGAAGGTTTCTGCTCGTAGACCTTGAGGGACGGGTGACGAAGGGAGGGAGGAAGGATGTCGATTCGCATCGTGACATGGAATGGTATGCGCTCCGTCGTTCTCCTTTTTGCGACATGCGATGCATCTAATGACAGGGGTGTCGAGGTGTCGATGGAAATATCAAATTCACTAACAAAAATTGTTTGTTTAATTTCTAGTCAATGGAATCAGGTACTTATAAAAAAAATATATATATTTGGATTCATATTTCGTTTAAATATTAATAGCCTTTTCGATAGAAATCCGTTTGGTTATATGCCATGGAGCGAAACAAAGAATTTCGGGGTATGTAATTTGGCAGTTTTATTTTATATTTTATTTATAATTTATAATTTTATTTATTTTTCTTTAAATTTATGGTTCTAACACGAACTGGAAAAAAGTATTCTTTCTCACAAGTAATGAAGTGCTAATTACTGGTTTCATGATTTATCTAGACTATGTTCGACATCCTGGAAGCGGATGTAGTTTGCTTTCAGGAACTGAAGATTCAATCCAAGGATCTTCGAGATGATATGGTCTTGATCCCGGGGTGGGATAGTTACTTTACGTTTCCGAAACATAAGAAAGGTACAGTATCATTAGTCTTATGAGTCGAACCGAATTGCCCTCTCGGCTTCTTCTGTGTGATGGAGAGGATCAGCGATTTGTTAATATCTCAACTGGCTCTAGGATATAGCGGTGTAGCAATATATACCCGTCAATCTAAGATATCGCCTATCAAGGCCGAGGAGGGGATCACAGGTCATCTTCTACCGACCGGTGCTACACGTAATACGTCGTATCGGGACCTTCCGGAGGACCAGCAGATCGGTGGTTACCCTACCATCGACAAGGAAGATGGTGTGGTTCTGGATAGCGAGGGTCGCGGTCTAGTTGTGGATTTTGGGCTCTTCGTGCTGATCGGCACTTACTGTCCCGTTGGAAGAGAGGATTCTGCTAGGCAGGATTTTAGGATGGCGTGGCTTAAAGCATTGGATGAACGAATTCGAAACTTAACGAAGATGGGGAAGAGGGTGGTTACGGTTGGAGACATCAACATTGCGCCGGAGCCGATAGATAGCGCGGATGCGTGGGAAATGCAAAAACGACTGGGGCCAGATTCGTCCGAGATGCTTGAGTGGAATGAAACGCCAGCTAAGAAACTGTTGCGTAGCCTCTGCGAACCCTCGGAGGAGGCGGTGATGGTTGATGTTGTACGGCAGTTCTTCCCTGATCGGGTGGCGATGTATACACGTATGTTTCATCTATGTTTATTTTCCTTTCGTTATCCGGCTGAACTCATAGGAAACTGACAATTTTGATAGATTGGGAAACAAAAATCAATGCTAGACCTGGAAACTATGGTATGTATAGGAACACCGAAGGCTTTTATTTTGAAAACAAGTTTATTCTTACGTACTAATTTTTGTTTGCGTTTGTTTAGGTTCAAGGATAGATTATGTTGTCGCATCCTCGAGCATGAAGGATTGGTTTGAAAGCGCAGATATACAAAACGGGTTACATGTGAGTGTGTTTGGTTTCATATATAGTTCGTATGTTAGAGGCTGATATGGTAAAATAGGGGAGTGACCACTGTCCAGTATACGCCGTGCTAAAGCCGGAAATTGAACTAGACGGCGAAAAGAGAGTGCTTCTGGATTTGGTAAATCCTGCTGGCGTATTCGTTGGTGGCGAAAGGAAACAAGAACTTCCCCCGCCGCCGAAGATGTCTGCACGGCTAATTCCTCATTTCCGTGGGCGGCGAAGTATCAAAGACATGTTCCAGCGTAAAACAGTGGCAAAGGTCGTTTCTATAGCTGGCTCATCGACGCAGGAGCCTGCAGAGCCTAGTGGTGAGAATGATAAGGCACGGGTATTGGCACCGACTGAAGATGCGGATTTGCCGTCAACGCAAGTTGAACCAGGCTCTCGTCTTGCGAAAAGACCACTGGACAACGAACCCAACGACGATCCTCTCGATCTACCAGAACCTAGCCAATCGACTCCTAAAAAGGCAAGGACTGCTGCGGTTGCCTGGACTGTGAAGCTCTCGAAATCCAGGCAGACGGGACGCAGTTCCCAGAGCCCCATGAAGCCATCATCCCAGTACACCCCGACCCTAATAGCATCGGAATCTTCAATTTCAGCCGATTGTTTGGGAAGCAGCTCCCAGTTGAGTGTAGTATCTAATGATGATGAGACTACCTCTGAGGCTCCCGGACCAGATACGACGCCTAAAAAGGTAGTCGACCTTGTTGAGTCGCGGGCTTCCTGGAACAAACTATTTGCAAAGCCCTCTGCACCTCTATGTGACGGGCACAGCGAACCCGCGAAGAAGATGCAGACTAGAAAGCCGGGCCTGAATAACGGCCGATGGTTTTGGATGTGTGCGAGGTGAGTTCCTTTTGGGACCCGTGCGTAGTGCCCTGTTTTATGAAGAGACACTGATTGAACTGCGCGATGTAGACCGGTTGGACCTTCTGGGCCGAAGGAAAGATCAAGAAGATCTAACGATGAGTGGAGGTGCGACTATTTTAAGTGGTACAGGTAGGGGTTGTCACCTGTTGAGTGTATTTTTGGGATACAGTATGAGGCGGGATGAAGCCGCAGTCTAGACATATGTCGTCACCATAACACCATTTATTCGAATACCTTGTATTCGGATCGGGGGATGCCGCTGTTTGCGCTTTAGTGGTCGACACGGCTATGAAATTACGAACTAAACTATTCATTTACCTACTTTGGCCAACCGCGGCAAAGGCTCTACTGCCACCAACTGGAGTGGTGGCAACGATGAAGTATCACGAAACGACCTGTTTCAACTTAGAACAAGCTTCCGAAATATGAATATGTGGGAATATTACCTCAAGGTATGACTGCTTTCCCTTTTTTATTCTTCTTTGTTTGCGATTTCTAACATTTAATAGCAATGTTCCGATTGTCTAGCCCGAGACATTGCATATAGCGTAACATTAGAAAACAGGGCAACTAGAATTAGTCAAAGAAGAAATGAGAATTTTGTTTTCTGATATAACAATGTCCGGCCGCAAACTTCGTTTGTTGGGGGTTTTCTTGGTTAAAACTTAGTAGTAAACTGGGCTAGTTCCAAGACGTTACTGAGCACACTAAAACGAGACAACAAAACGAGTAGTAAACTAATTTGTAATCGTTTATGCTTGGAGGCTTGGTTCTTTAGAAGGATTTGAGGCTACCAGCTTTCATTCAAACATCATACTAAATAGCTACTCGCCTCTAACATGGAAGTTGTAACCGGCCGTCTGCATGTTATGCCGTGTTTGTTGGAAACTCGGTGAAAACGTGCTTAGCCCTGCTGTTTGCTCGAAAAGAGACTAAGCAAAGATAAATAGCTATAGTCCAACAATAAAAATTTGTGCTTGCGTTCTGCCTCAAGAGCGCTTGGAGTTGAGGCTACTGCTTGCGCAACTGCGATAGTTTTGCAATAATTATTATTCTACATAGTACTTGTAAGTGCGGTTGGTTCTGTCACGAAGTGGATAACGCTATGTGCACGAAAACCCTTAAGGCCTTTGAATTTCTTTCAAGGAATAGTAATTTTATTCTTTTCAAACTAGTTATTTTTTACAGAACATATATATATATATATTTTTTTTTTCTCTATTAAAATATATTTCCTTGAGTATTCATCAAATGACTTTTTTTTGTTTTATATGCTCCTGTATGCTCATAATATAAAATTTTTGTTTGCTGTACGAAAATAAAATAAATTAGTAACACAATAAACTGTAGGTACGGGTACGAACCATGTAAGCGGTGAGTCTCGAGGCTACACTCTACGGCGACATTTTAACGAATCTGTGAGTAGTTAATTTCTTGTGTCCTGCCCAACTTTGGAACTGCTGCCACCCTTGACAGATATACGGCGTAGAAGTTGGGGCAAAATGAGGCTAAGCTTTGCACATTCCCCCGCAGTCGGTCTGGCACCTTTCGGAGTATATACATACAGCCTGCAGGAATACTCACCTGAACTCAATCGGAAATCCCTAATAATAACCCCTGTCAAGTTTGTGCAACAATGAAATATGATTGGTTAACTCAAACCAATCTAGTCCCATTTGGGAAATAGTCTGATTCCACCAACGTCTGGTCAACGCAAAACCTTGTTGGATTTTGATTCTGTGCCAGAATCAACAGATATCAATTAAATGTTCTCTGGAAATGCATAGGAGTTTCATATTTGAACCTAGAAAGCTTGATGAGGCTGTTAGCAATCATATCCAATATTTTCCTGAGATATTGAAAAACTCGGTTATAAGTTTCCGGCGGCATAGCGCATCTCTGACGACCCCCATGTTTCATGTGGATATAAAGCAAACTCGATGAAAATCCCGAGTATTCAACCCGAGTATTCAACTCGAATATATGATATCCCGATGAGGCGGCAAATTTTCGAGCTCGGCACTTGCAACATATATCGCATAGTCTAATTTTAGATGATTCTCTCCCCCTTTGCCGCCCCAAATAATCAGTTTTAAATTGGTAATTTCGATCCCGCTTTCGTAGAGTAGTTTGTATAAATATGTCGTATCCGCACCCGAGTAAAATCCCATGATAGCATATTCAGTCCCCTCCGTCGAAGTAGCTAAATCATTTCGTAATATCAACCATTCTGACATCTAGTGTATCCCATAGTCTTGTTTCCGCAGATTGCCTAGTTTCCTATACGAATCCAATGTAAGCCCTCCTTATTATGCATTTCCCACTAGTCATCCCTCTGGGCCCATTAGGCACACATTCTGTTATACTTCCCCAGCTAGATCCCTCCACACATATCCCTACTTGGCCGATTTAAGTCGAAGCTGTCGAAAGGATATAAACATCACTATTTCCTCATCTTGGTACCAAAACGAAGAGAGAAAAAGCGGTATAACGGTTTTTCACATCTGACAGCGATGTCTAGCTTCCCCTGTCCCCTGGCCCCTAAATTGGAGTATCACAGCCAAAATTGGCTGCTGGAACTTGGGCAGGCCCCCATTTTCACGATGGATTTCTCAGCTTCAAACCCCTTTACCCCCCCGCTGGGTTTTATAGCCCTCCCCCTTTACCCTCACCAATTTAGATCAATCTCTGGCTGCCTAGTGTCGATAATATTGCCTTCTCAAAGCTCTAGAATCCTTCAAAAGCATACTGTGTGGTGGATAGTTGAACTTTTAAAAGTTGAAGAACACTCCCTGCGTATCCTGAGAAAAAGTTCTTGTTTAGTGTCGAGACTGCTGAGCATCCTCAACACAAGTTGTTTAGCGCCGAGACTGCTGGGCTTCGACGGCTGAGCTTCAACGGTTGAGCTTCGACGGCTGGGCTTCGGCGGCTGGGCTTCGGCGGCTGAGCTTCGACGGTCTTTGATCTCGAAATTGCGAGAAGCTTCCGGGTTGGTTATTGCTTTTTCCTATTGCATTTTCCTTCCCGTTTGTTGCTTGCTGCTTCTAACGCTCGGCTTTACAGCTTATATAGAGCATTCTAGAAGACGTCCTGGGTTTAGGCTGCAAAAAAACGATTTTTTATATAGAAAAAATTGGTTTGCGAATATCCGTAGACTGTGAGGTCATAGCAACGTCATTCCTTTCACTATTAATCAGCGTTACTCTCTCAACATTCGTTTAAATCAACGTGGGCCGCGTACCTGACTTTCCTTTTTCGGCCGTACCACGTTTCTTTTTGTTTCATTCAACGTTACGTTTTTCCACCCCTATTGGGGTTTCCGCGTATATATATATCCCGGTGGATTACTAAGGCTAAGAAACGGTAAGCCCACTTCCTACGTGCCCAGAGTTACTGCAAGATAGGTTGCAGGGTTATCGGTAGAATTGAGGGAGGGTGAGGATGAAGGGGGATGGAGGAGAGAGTGAGGATGGAGGGGAGAGGAAGGGACCAAGTGGGATCCGAAGATAGATACGCAGTCTTTGCTGATTACCTTCACGTTCAACAAGCCCTACCCAATCTCGCACACAGTACCAGAGGATTTGTGATATCAAATCCCTGAGGACCCATCCGACCTCAGGACAGTACCCAGAATTCGCACTTTCGAAATAGTTGTGATACAACTAAATCGATACTAGTGTTGAATTGAAGGTAGGCCTCAAATCGACTTGACGAATACTGGGATTGAATTGAAGAACCGGGTTTGCGCAACCATGGCCCTGAGTACTTCTTTGGAGATCCTCGTAGTCTTGTTCGGTTCTATATATATTATATATAGGAGGACAGCCTGAACTGGGCCCCGTCGACGCGAGATCACGAACTCGAGCGTCAAACGAGATGCTTTCCGTTCTCGATCCGATCTCCGTGGGAGGTTGGGATGCTCGAGTCGCTCTATCGCCGATGGGGAGTCCAACAGTGTCCGGAGTGCCTAGGCATGGGGTATCGTGCTATGTTGGGATGATGTTCATATCTTCTGGCGCAATCCGTTTGTTAGACGAATATGGATAATAGATCGCACTGGGTCACCGACGTATATAGCTGTATGAGCGAAGACCCCGTACTAACAATAGCTGATAGGAGGGATAGTCGCTATAATTATATTCGTTTAATCCCGGGTACGTATCAATAGATCCTAGAACGTTCAGCATATGGTTAGATGACCGACACCCTGATTTATAGATATAGAATATACCGCAGCGAATCACCGTATTCCAAAAAGAAAGTAAGTAAGAAATTTTGGGCTTCTGGAGGGCTTGTTAAATCTCGGACGAAAGAATAAGCATATTCCATTTGAGCCGGTTTGTTCCGCCACATTGACACCGAGAGACAAGGGGCTTATATACCTGGAGTTGGTTGGTTAGGCTGCTGTACTGGTGTCTTCTAGTCTTCCGCTCCCTATATTGAACCTGTTGATATACTCAAATGTCTCGTAAATTGAAATTTAATAGAGTTTACTTACTTCCTCTCGGTTCAGAAACAGATGGCTAATTTTTTGCATCTGTATAGTTGTAGGATATGAATAAATTCTTCTGCTATAGCGATAGTCGTAAAACTAAACTTAACGGAAGTGGATTAGGTGAACAAGATGAGATATACCAACGTCCCAACTATGGAGGGTTTGGCAGCGATGGATTGGAAGAATTCGAACTCGGTGAGCTCGATCGAATTCCCAACTGTAGACAGGTTTTCGTAAAGACGCCGGCGATTGCTACAGTGGACACATTCGCTCAGTGGAACTTCCTGCTGCCCACTATTCCCTGGCCCCACACCTTTAACCAATATCTAGGTCTCGAGGATGAATTTTTGGTGAAAGCGCTCTCGGCCCATATCCAATCACTGATTGCACTACAAATCGGACCAGATGAGTTCTGGAGTATGCTGTATAGTGCCTATCCAGGTATCGATATTAGCTTATGGGACCTGACAGGCCTATGTTTGGTTGGACACCTTTTTCAAAGGATTGACCAAACTCAACTAATCTATTTTCTCAACTCACAACCGGAAGAATCGCAATTCAGATTGCGCCGCCTTGGTGATCATGGAGAAACAACTATTGGTCTTTTGTTTGCTCATGACCAACAAGATAAAAATTGGTCCTGCGTGGTCCCACATGGGTGGGAACTTCTATTACCTTCAGGCCATACGTTGTAAGTATTGTCTCCTAAGCATTTGGGGCTGAATATTCTACTTCATCGAAAATATCCTATCTCACCAAACTTACTGAGATAGACGACTGTAGGCGATATGATAGTGGGGAGTTGATACATACATCTCGAGACCGCTTCTGGGCAGCCCCGCACCCAACAAATGCCTTGCTGTTTCTCAGATTTGCTTTTGCAGGTGTGGAGGGTTTTGCCGCGTATGACAATGAGAAGATAGAAAGTGCCACGAGAGATTATTGGTTGCATGACTGGGCGACTGTGTGGGGGGAGGATTATAGGCCCCGCGAATACCTTGAATTGTTCGACACTACCTTCGGGCTCGATGATAGCTTTGCATTCGACCCCAACTTAGAGTATACCACTCAAAATTTCGACTCCAACTTTGAGTTCAATCCTTATTTTAATTTCGACACCAATACTGAATTTTATGGCGGCTTCGACTCCGAATATCTCTTAGTGCCGGCCAACAGTTTCAATTCCGAATACCCCACAGCCTCCGAGGGCCTCAATAGCATCCATAGTTCCGGATATGATCTTTTCCACAAGGGCGACAGTTTCGGCTCCGATTTCCCTCCAACATATTACGACAGTTTCGATTCCGAGTATACTCTGGTTCAGAATGACGGTTTCGATTCCGAATGCACTCTGGTCCAGAACGACAGTTTTGATTCTGAACGTACTCTGGTTCAGAATGACAGCTTCGATTCCGAACACACTTTGGTTCAGAATGACAGTTTCGATTCCGAACACACTTTGGTTCAGAATGACAGTTTCGATTCTGAACACACTTTGGTTCAGAATGACAGTTTCGATTCCGAATGCACCTTGGTTCAGAATGAAAGTTTCGATTCCGAATGCACCTTGGTTCAGAATGAAAGTCTTGATTCCGAATGCACTCTGGTTTCTAGCGAAACTTCCAATTCATGCAATACTCGCTGTGACCTAACCCCCCAAAAATGTTTTAGCTCTCATATTAATTTCGATCCTAAGAAACAGACCCAGACCATACCATTGGTTGAATCTGGTGCGGAAAAGATCCAGGATAGCAAAGGCCAAATATCTGAACACGATCTAACTTCCCCAAATAAAAATAACGATGAAGAGTATAGACTATCAAGCCTGTTCCCTTCTAGAATCCGGAAGGGCCATTTTGGCGAAAGGGAGCAGAATCATGATAGCTCAACTGGCGAGAACGATCCCAAAGTTTGTGGCTTGCCTTCTGTTTACGGAAACAGAGACAACGGAACGGAACCCAACAAAACTCTCGTTCCCGAAAATTATAACTACTTCTTTGGGGGGCAGGATCAAAAGTCCGTGGATTCGGAAGGCATGGAACGTAAGATCTACGATTATATATTCTCAGCAGAAGAAAATGGTATACCAGGGAGTTTTTACCAAACCTTCCTCAAAACACCCATCCCTAGTGGCGCCGGGGAGAGAAAGGGTGCCAAAAGGAAATACGTTGACACCAGCACCCGGAAAGAATCTGAGTCTTCAAATGATTCAGGCAATCTAGAAAAGAGAACGGCGGATGCAAATTGCTGTTACCACAAGGTTTCTCCACTCGATAATCACGAACCTACCGATGTGAGCCCGCTAAAGCGGCATAAAATTTGGAAACCGAAACCCAAGAGGAAGAACTGTGAAGCATTAGAAGAGCCGCCCAATGCCAAGAGGCAAAGAAGCAACAGTGCAGTGAATCCGAGTCGCAAAAGAAAGCTGGACGCCGATGAAGATTCCGGTTCTCAAAAGAGGCGGCACGGGTCTCACGATGAGCCTTCAATTGATGCCCTCTTCCCCCCTGGTTTTTTTGATGAGTTAAAACAAAAAGGCCAGAAGCGGCTTCCAAATAGGTAAGAGACTTTGATCGCTCCATATATTTTGACTCAGCTCTAAAGGTTTAAATTAGTTTCATCCTTTATCGTATGTGGATGTGTCGAAAATCCAAAGGTCGTAAAACCTCGACTATCCAAATGTGTAAGTTGGGTGAAATATCTTTGCTAAATTCAACTGTGAAATGAAACTAATAAACCGATTAGCTCGTGCCGCTGGTCAGTCCTGGCGAATCCTTCCTCCAATAGAGAAGCAGTTGTGGTTTGTAAGTAGATCAAGTAGGTCCCTAGTAGAAACTTATCTTGCTTATAAAATATATATTTTTAGGAACGATGGAGCAGACTGAGAACCGCCCAGAAAATACTTGTTCCAGAATTTCAGTATAATGCCCCAAGATCGAATGCGACCAAACGGCGCCGACAGAATGCAAAAGAAGACCCACCTCTCAATAAACGTATTAAACTATCGGTGGTAGACAAAAGGGCGCCGACAGAGAAATCGCCACCGACAGGGAAACCACTAGCGGCAGGGAAACCAGCAGCAGCGGCGGCGGCAGAGAAACCACCGGTGGTAGAAAAACCACTAGTGGTAGAGAAACCACCAGTGGCAGAGAAATTACCAGCGGCAGGGGATCCGAAGTCACCGGTGCTAAAAAACCTATTAGCTGTAGGGCCATCTAAGAAGCGCAAAATAGGTCAGGATTATGAAACCAAATCGATTCCTCCGAATCCAAAGCAGTTGGAAACAATTGAACAGCAGAAGGAACTACCACGAGAAAAACGACGAAAACGTTATGTCAGGGAGAACAAGGAAAGAGAGGAGTTGGGGACTTTAGTTGACGGTAGCTGCGGGCCTGAAATCAAAATCTTTCAATATCAACCACAGAAGCTACTGTGGAAGCCAAAGATTTTGGCAAAGACCCACAAGCCGAGTCCAACAGTCCCAAAGGCGCCCGAGAAAAAGCATTCCCTAATAGCACCTTCACTTCGAGTGCCTGAATTCGAGCCTGAGAAACAGAAACCTCTTGCTCATAAAGAACAAGGAAATGCGGGGTCAGCAGTGGTAGCGCCGAATCAAAGCCCGACACACTGCCCTCAAGATGAGGATGTCCTGGAAGCGTTTTACACACATTGGGATACGATGGATGACCTGACATTAGACCAGATCTTGGATCTGGATACCATCAGCAAAGAAACAATCATCCCAATGTCTGAAATTTAGAGGGTATGGCTATACCTTGTGGCTCCAAGCCAGTTGTTTTGACGGTAGATATACAAAATGATACTGGGTAAAGACGACTAAATTCAGACTAAGACTAACAGCGAGATAATCACTAGGTTTTCAACCCTTAATTAAAATGTCTATCTCAAAATTTTCGTCGCTGAGATAAGGCTGCAAGATCGTTAATTCATTGCGTAGGTACTGATCAAATTCTGCATCTGTCGGTCCTATTAGTACATCATCAAAATTCATTCAAGGCAATGCACCACCAGTCAGAGATATCGGGCAAAATTAAAACCATGTATGAAGCCGTTTCAAATGAGGATAAGGCAAAATGGTGTGATGTTGCCAGAGAGTATACAAAAGGACGAGATTCTTTCCCTGGAGCATCGCGCGCTTGGCTTAGTGGCATGATGGCTACTATCGTTTCGAACGCCGGGTTGGCTCAGCAGCAGACATATATAAAAACCGAAATTCCTGCTCCACCATTAGTTGAACTTCCTTCGAAATTATCTCTTGCTAGTGTTCACACACCTCGGAACGTAGCGGAGTCCAGGAAGCGAGCTCGTGAGAATGCAGAGCCGGAGTTTGGAAGAATTCCTAAGAAGGCGAGGCTTATTATTGAGGAGAAAAGAAAACGACTTCGTGAGGCGGAACCGGAGCCTGTTCAAGAAGAGCGTAGTGTCAAGAAAGTACGGGTACTCAAGGTAAGTTGGACACCTGTTAGCCCCATAAAGATTTTTTTTTTTTGGTATTCGAGTATATGGGATTAGGGAACAAATGCATTGACGTACCTGCTAGGGAGATACTTCCTCTGAAGATCTCGGATTTGATATCGCTAGATATTCCGAACATTTCGGCGTTCGACCAGAACCTGAAGATTCTGAATCATCTAGGGACACTACCCCTGATAGCTTTGCTGACACCACTACTGAAGATACAGCTGAAACTACCCTGGATACTAGTCTGGAGGACGTTCTGGTGTCAGCTCCGGATATCATTCCGAAGAGTAGTCCAGAATTCATTCCAAATGACATATCGGAAACGATTTTAGAGGCCGCAGACTTTATCCTAGAGAATGCTCTAGATACCAGTCTGGAGGCTGTTCCGGATATCGTACTCGAGGCTACGAATACCGCCCTAGAACCTCCTACAGATGACATCCTAGAATCTATTACAGACGACATCCTCGAGATTACTCCAGACGACATCAGAGAAGCTACTCCAGACGACATCCTAGAGAGTAATTCGGACATCATCCTGAAGAGTACTTCGGAAATCATCCTAAAGAGTACTTCAGATATGATCCTAGAGATTACTCCAGAAATAATTATAAGAAAAACCCCAGATGTCATCGTAAGAGACACACCAGACCTTATCCTAGAGACTATTTCAGACACCGTCCTAGAGAGTTCTCCGGAAATCATTGTGGAAATAGCCCCAGATGTCATTGTCGGGGACAATCCAGATGCTGTTTCGAAGACTCCCTCGGACAATTCCCCGGATACTTCTTTGGACGTCGAATCCGACGCCGAGTCAGATATTAGCGATCGCGATATGTTCGGCACTCCACAGGCCACCCCAGATATATCTCCAGACACCTCTTTGGAGATCAATTCTGACAACGAGTTTCTTACCATTATGAATCTGCTCAATCGTCCGAAGACTGCTCCGGATGATTCTGTAGGAGATTCCCCAGAAGATTATTTGGATATTAACTCCAACAACGAAGCAAACATCACCCCAACCATCTCGGATGTTGTGATCGATCTTTTCACCCTTCCGAAAGACATCTTGGAGAATTCTAGCAATGATTCTTCAGACGTTGTTTCCGATGGTGACGTGATTTCTATTGACGACCTGTTCGCTACGCCGGATGTCGAGGAGGAAGAAGAATTAGCATCAGTCACACCGATCAGTTATTCCAGCGATCCCGACGATTCTGATTCTGATTCCAGAGTATTCTCATCATTTGAGAAAAGCTTTGAAACCGAAACAAGTTTCGGAAGCGACACTTCGTTCCAAAATTCCAACTTTCTCGATGGCAAAAACACCCCTTCTAAATTCGAAGACGATCACGAACCTGAAGAAACACCAGATTTCTTCGAAATCAGTGATGATCCAAACGAAATTCCTCATTTTATGAGACCTGGGTATGGCGCTATCGGTGGCCCACTACCTACACCTCTGCCTCCGGAACTTTGGAGTACTGGTACTCAACCCGCTCTTGCCTCTGGCTCCTCGAATGCAATAGAAGACATTCGTAATTGTTTTTCCAGCATCGAAGACCTGATGTTAAGATATCAACAACCCAGTGCGCTCCCTTACGATGGACATACCTTCGAGGAAGATTCAGAAATATACGATTCTTCCGAAACCTACGAGTCTTCCGAGGCGGACAACTACAAAGAAAAACAAGATTAGCAAAAATGAGTACAATTAAGGCCTCGAAAACAACCAAAACCCACCGCGAAAGACCTACCAAATTCGAAATCGAGTTTTCTAAACATATATATATCACACCACAAACCCCAAGTCCGAACCCCGATAACGAAGTTTTTTTTTCTTTTTAACCGAGGCCATCAGATTATTACATGGCTTACCCACGAAGGTAAGTATCATGTCGAAATTCCAGTCGAAAGAAGCTATTAATTCCTGAGTCTTTATTAACCTAGGAATCGCTGAGCAGCATTACCACACCATCAAAGTTTATCCTACCGAGTCCCTTTATATATAAAAGTACTAGTTTATATTTTCAAACCCGGATGTCTGGCTTTTTATAGATCTTAGAAGGTCCTACCTGATTTTCTGCAAGACGGGTTATATACCGTCAGTTCGTTGCAATACAAGATTATGAGATGTCTTTTTCTCTCGGATTCGTTCCGAGGCTATGAAGATGCGAGTACCCTATGATCATGGTAAGCAGCATATATTGTAAACATTCCAGTTACGAAAGTGCGTATCAGAGAGTGAGGGGAAAGTAAATAGGAATCTCGTGAGAAAGAAACCCCGAAATATGATGCTCGGGGTCTTAGAGATCGTGGATACCCATTCTTTTATGGTTCTTTAGTTTTCTTTAGATTTCTTTTTTTTTCTTTCTTTTTTTTTCTTTTTCTTCTTCTTTTTTTTTATATAAGTTTTAGCAGATGGATCGGCTTGATCCCTGTAAGTTAGGTTTAGGTTTTAGGAACCCGGATACGAGACTACTAGGTACTATTTATGTACCGGTTGAGAATAAAGATGGAGGGAGGAAAGAAAAAAGGGATGTAGTCCAAAATCCGGTGAGTATTTGCTGAAAGCTGAAAAGTTCTTGCGAGAATTCTAAAGAACTATAATGCTGAATTCAAGCCTCGGAGTTGTAGGACCAGGAGGCAGTTGAGTGCTTTATAAATGATACCCCATATATATACCCAAGCTCATATTAAAACGCTTCGACACGCTGCTGGCACAAAGCGCTCGGCTTTGCAGCTTTTTTATTATTAGATATGCGTAGGTACGTATCTCGTGAGTGACTTAGTTACAAAATGATACCAGTTTATGTGGAAGTGCTGAGGCACTTAAACGGTTTATATACGGAATTACCAAAGAGGTGAGTATTAAGTCTGGTTACGAGACTGGTGAGTATTATCAGCCATAGCTGAATGGAGATTGTTGTGTTGTTTTTGTTGTATTTTTTACCGGAAGTTTCTATAGAGCTGCGAAGCCAGTCTCGGCATTAAAGATGCCAATAGTCTCGGCGACTTGTTTTGTGTTAGAATGCTATTCAGGTATGTACTACGCTCTTGTAACTAAAAATTGAGGAACAGGTGTATGTGTGTGATAGACGGGATACTGATATGGTTGGGAACTAGATTACAATTCGAGGTGGAACTCGAGGTTATGGAGTACAAGAAAGGTAAGTTAAGTTAAGTTAAGTTCACGTGGCACGGTTAACTTTCCCGTCTAAGACAAGCTTGAAAGACATGTTCCTTTTTTTTTTTTTTTTTTTTTTGTTTTCCGCCATCAAGCCTTAATTAAGATAGAATTTGGCGGAAGAAGATGGAGAAAATGGATATGAGAGATGAATGAAAAGTTTAAAAAGTATTCGGTTAGGTAAGTGTCTGCTAAAGAGAGCTTGAGATAGAGAGAGAGATATCTAGATCCGGAGCGTTACGGTTGAGGGCGGGAAAGGATACCAACGATACCGGGCGGGCATATCTGAGATTGGTAGGCAGAGCCTCGGCACTTATCCAGATAAAACAATCAACTGTGGGCCGGGGGCATGCACTGTGATACAGCTTGCATCGCCAACTTCAATGCGACCATTTACTTTTTGATGGTAAGTAAGGACATACATCCCACATGATGAGGGACATACATAGTTAAGGACCGTACATGAAAGACTTACATAAGTACTAAGCATTTATTTCATAACGATAGGTTTGCAATTATGGAAGAGGAGCAAATGCAGAGTCAGGGTTCGGATAACCGAGATAAAACGTTTAACCTTTGAAGCTTGAGCCAATTGGCCTTTCTTAAGGTCATGACAAAAGGTCAAAATGGAAGTTTAATGCTATGCTCTACAGACGAGGCTGGAGGTCCGGAGAGAGCTATTTTCGGAGGAAGAGGGCCGAGTGGGAGCCAAGGTTCGACGGGTTCCATGGATGGATGCAGAATGGAATGGTGAGCTCGAGATATTTTTTGTATCATAAGATAAAATGCCTATTTTCTGCAATCCTTACGGGATGATATATACGTTTTCACACTTATAATTAGCGTGTCTGTATAATTTAATCCTCGACGTATACGTATTCAAGTATCTTATGATATTGAGTTCTGCCGGATGAAAAAAAATATATTAGTTGTTATCCAGGTAATCTTGTTTGCTTTCCCCCACGGACGGTTCGAGGTCAAGACATGCCCAGCCACATTTCCGGATTCCGCCTTCGTCTGAAGGATTTTTTTGTAATTTTTAATTTTTCAAATTTTTTTTTTAAAAAAAATTTAAATTATTATTTTGTGAAAACGTCATGATGTTCATTCTCTGTGCCAATATTATTGGAAATTATAATTATAATTATAATAAGATTGGTTTGAGGAACTCCAGACCTGCACCGAACCCGTCGGACGTACTAGTACTATGTACGTGGGGCTTTACATTATGATTACTCGAACAGGAATGAATTGCGGGTACTTGTTCAGGTCCATATTTTCGCGCAAGATTTGAAGCAATGGCTGGGTAAGATTCGATTGATTGATCAATGATTGCAAGGTATAACAGAAACCATCTTGTCTTTTTTTTCTTCACATTATCTTATTTCTATTTTTTATTTTTTTTATTTCTGTAACGTGTAAATAGAACCCCCTTGCCTCAATCGCAACTGCCTATGGAAAGGATTTGAATCTTTTTTCCCTCTTCGTTTTGGCCCCTCGCAGAAGTTAGCTGCACCTACGTAGGTACAGCCCAAAATCGAATCGAATCAGGGTATATCATTCGTCATATATCGTTCATCCTTCAACTGAACAGGCAAAAGGCAAACTAACCCCAGGAAAGACAAAAAAAGGAAAGAAAAAAAAGAGACCGCCCCAGCTACAGGTCTCTCCGAAGTTACCTAGCCAGCTAGTACACAGTAGATCGATCTCAAGAGCGAGGGTGTGGGTGTGGGTGTGGGTGTGGGTGTCTGCATTGTTGAGCTCTGGAGTGCCACCGCCGTACGGAGTGCGGGACAAAGAGGAGCAGGGAAGCTAAAGGAGGCAACGAACGGGCGGCCCAAGTTTTGAACCCCCAAAGCATCAATCAATCAATCAGTCAAACAGGCGAAAGGAAAAAGGTTTTTTCCCTCGTCGCCGGCTGTTCCATCGTTGCACACACACACACATTTTTACTTAACTTACTTACATGGTGGAGAGACTGCATTGTATACTATCGTGAACTAAGACAAGAAAGAAAACCTCATAATATTGCGTGGAGTGCGGTACGGGGTTGAGGTTGTGCTCCCGATAGATCCGACCTGGCTTCGCTTCTCTCCTTAATACTGGCTTACCATTCGATACCCCCTTCCTCGTTCCTACATACTCCGTACCTCCCGTACATACATACATAGTACATCATCCCTTCACCTTCACCTTCTCTTTTTTTTTTTTTTAATTTTTAATTCCTTCAATTCATTCGTTCGATTTCCCTTTTAGCCTCGATTTGAACACGACTGACGACCCGACTCGACGAAACCTACATTCACATCCATACACATCCATACACATACATACGGTCTATCTACACACGGTACACACATTACATACAGCAAACCAGATGGCGGTGATGCATGCATAGTCCTTAAGCTATCGTGCATATCTTTCGGCCCTGAGTGGTGGTGGTTGTACTTCCTGGTTACTCCGCAGCCTTAGTTTGAAGGCTGAGACTCCAAGGACCCGAACTAGCACCATCGACATCGGCCGCCATTGGCCAGGATTAGGCTGGCGAGGCAAGAACGGCTGGGTGCACTGACAGGTCGTCTCTGCCATTCTTGAGTCCGTTAGTCGTATATATTACTATTCCCACCTCGTGGCTGCCCGGCTTTTTTTTTTTTTTTCTTCCGTCAGAGTGTTACATCCTTTTTTATTATTTATTTTTCTTAGCCTGCCTTTCTCTCTCTTTTTTTCATCCTTTTCGCTCGCACGGCAGTTCTGAAGTTACGCATGCTTTTTGATTGAATTCTTGAATTCAAGGATTTGAGTTCGGAGTCTTTCTTGTCTTTTTTTTTTCTCTTTCTTTCTTACTTGTCAGTCTCAGTCTCAGTCTCAGTTTTTAAGTCTCTCGTTCTGTTCTGGAATCTTCAATCCTTTACATTGTCCGCTATTCCTTGCTACCCACCGGCCTTATATCATCATCATCATCGTCATATCATCACGACCAAGGCGCTTAGGCAGGTCAGGTCAGGTCAGGTCACATAGTCACAGGTTTAACTGCCTTGACAGCCCTGTCGCCCTGCTCTGGACTCCGGACATAGAAACGGACCGAACGAACACAACACACCACAACACAACCAACACCAACCCCCCAACACGCCAACACAACACGCCAACACATATTCGGATCCCTCCTTCCCGATTCTCACATCGCCCATTCTTGCCCCTCCTCTGTCTCTCCTTCTGAACTATCCCATCCTGTCCTATCACCCACCACCCACCACCTACTACCACCCCATTCATCCCTCCATCCACCCATCCGTCCATACATACATTCTTCCTCCCCCTCCCAGCCTCCACCGCCATTATTCTTTTTTTTCTTTACCCCAATCTCTCTAATCTCTTATCGTCCTACCTACCTACATCCTCTCCCAACATACACATATTTCCATACTTCATACTTCCTTCCCATTTCGCTATTCCTTCCATCGAGGTACATAGTCATACTCAATTTACCTACTATCGCTGTCCATTAGCAACCACTATCAGGTTTTCTTCACTGAAACACTACCTCTCGGCACCGTCCACCCAACCGCCAAAATTTCGGACTTAGTCTACCTCTATACCCCGCCTTCCTTCGGCGCCGGGCGAAAATCTCACACAATGCCATCGGCTTTACCTTCGAGCTCCGTCAAGCGACGGCCGTCCCAGGTTGAGATCGGTTCCTTTTCGACAATCTCTAGGAAAGATGGCAAGGTCCTCAGTCTCTCCCATGCGGCAAGCTCAAACAATAGCACATCCGATCTCCATGGACCTCCTTCGGTTACTAGCGAAGTTAGCGAAGCTAGCACATCTGAACCGGTACCGCAGAACTTAAGCGGAGAGGTCCAGGCCTTGAGTGATAAGTTGATCAAAGCTATCAATCATCAGTCTTCGTTAGAGGAAGGTCTGGAAGAAACAAGACATGAGTTGGATGTGTCGAAGCAGAGAATAAAGCATTTGGAAGCAATTGCGAAGGAGCACCAGGACATGATGGCCACCGGTGTGTTGGTCGAGAAGAAGGAAGTTGAGATGGAAACGAGGCAGTTGATGAATAAGTTGATGGAAGAGAGCATGCAGCGAGGAAAGGCAGAAAAGGAGAAGAAACATATTGAGCAGGATTTGGAAAATCTCACCACTTCGTTGTTCGAAGAGGCCAACAAGGTAACTACTTCCTCACTCTTTCCTTTCCTCTTTTTTTTTTTTGTTTTTTTTTTTTTTCCCTTTCTGTACATACCTTTACAAAGATGATGCTAATTAGTTCTTTCAACCAGATGGTGATTGCCGCCAGGAGGGAACGGGAGGCCGTTATGAGAAGAAATGACCAGCTCGAACAACAGCTCTCCGACACCGAAATTCTCCTTCACACCCACCAAGAACAGCTGTCTGAACTCAAGGACGCTCTTCAGCAGATGACCGCCGAGAGAGATGAACTTGAAGCCCTTTCTTCGCCGACCACCCCAGCATTAAGTGGCCAAGCCAGCAAGGAATCGCTCAACCGCATCTTCGAAGCCTTGCACATTCCAACAGAGGCCGACGAAGTGTCTCCCTCACACCCAACTCACTTCTCTTCCATCCTGCAGCCAGTTCTCCGATCCGACATCTCTTCCTTCCACGACTTCTGCAATGTGTTGCATATGTCTAAACACTATGCTCCCCCAATGCCCGTCAACAAATCCCCAGCCCCTACTCCTTCGAGTGGCTTTAGCATCATGGGATTCGGTAATGCGTCAAAGATGTCCCCGCTGCCATCCTCGAGCTCCTTCTTCGGAGGCCATTCCCAGAAGAAAAGTGTTTCGAGCACAACGAGTGGTGCCTCCGCCGCCTCCGCCCCAGTTTATTCCACTCTTCCACCTGCGCCTCCTTTGAGGGAAACTGCTTTTTTCAAGCGAGCTCTCATTGAAGACATTGAGCCTACTCTCAGACTTGATGCCGCTCCAGGCATTTCGTGGATCGCCCGCCGAACCGTCTTGACAGCTGTCGTCGAAGGTACATTGGTCATTGAAATTATGCCCCCGATCTCCAAGCTTCCAATCTTCAGCTGCTCGATGTGTGGTGAAAACCGGAACGATCCGGAGCACGCCCGAACGCATAGATTCAGGACCAATGAGACGGAAGCTGCACAGAAGTATCCTCTTTGCGGTTATTGCGTCCACAGGCTGCGCTCTGTTTGTGCATTCCTTGCCTTTTTGCGAACAGCCAAGGAAGGTTACATCAAATGTGAAACAGAGGATGATGAGAAGAATGCGTGGGAGGAGAGTGTTAAGCTTCGGGAACAAATGTTCTGGTCTCGAGTTGGTGGAGGTGTTGTCCCTTCATTCCACAATATCCGAGAGGACATTATGAAGGTTACCAGCCCAAGAAGTCCTCCGCCGCCACCGCAAGTTTTCGGGAGGAAGGAGCCGGTCGTCATAAGTGTCGCCACCCCTGTCAGTCTTCCTCCAAAGTCCAATCTGAGGAACAGGCTTTCCCAAGTCACCATATCTGCGCTGCCGCAACGCAGGTCCTTGCCACCGGCTTTACCCCCTGCACTCCCCCCACGTGGAAGCCTTTACCGTGGGATCTCGACGAGCACCGAGAAGAGCGTTCAGGCCACCGAAGAGGATATTGAAGCCTCGAATAAGACTTCGGATGCGATGTCTCAGACAGATAGCTTCAAAGAGAAGGCTGAAAGTCAACGTACCACTCCTTCGATCAGAAGCCGAGATAGCCACCTGCCTTCTCCTCCGCAGTCTCCTACATTGCTGAATAGCAAGGTTATGACCATTGAGGAGAACGAGAAGGCCGAAGCCGTTCCAGATAGCCGGGATATCATGAAGAGTGAAATACCAGCGATTCCCGGATCGTTTAATTAGTAATTAAACTGCTTGCTTTTATATATCGCAGTTACAATGTCTGCATGTCCCTTTTTTTTTATTTCCCGACAGCATGACAAGAAAGACAGTTGTATGATACCCCATCGACCCATTCAGGCCAGGTTCTTTTTTTCCTTTTTCCTCCTTTTTGTTTTTGTTTGCTTTATTATACTTTTACGGCGGATTCAGAACTAGCCTTTATACATACATATGTTGGCAAGAGCAGACGAACAGTTTGGATAACTCTCTTTTCTTTACCCTCATTACTTGACGTTATTACTATTGAAGAAGAAGCGGGCAAGCAATGAAGCTGGTTGGATGTTGTCCTTTTTGCTACCCTTTTTTTTGTTATTCTTGTGTACAGTGCGACTCTTCGTTGGATATTCCTCCTCCTCCTTCTCCCTTTGAGACATCTATAGCTTTTTTTTTTTTTTAAAGCAAATCATTACGTTCTTAATACTTCATGTTGATGGCGTCGAACATCAAGCGATTGTTGGGTTTTATTTATTATTATTACTATTATTCTAAGGCAGTAGTACTAACCTTTCTTGTGTATATACTCTGTGCATACAAAGTGTTCTTTCTCTTTTTCAAACTCTTTTTTTTTATATCTTTTTCTTACTTTAATTGATTAATTTCTGATATTATTATTCTTTCATCGTACTATGTTGATATTATTCGATAACTTAACTTACTATATTAATTTACAATATTTAACTACTTACTTAAGTGGCTACTACTGGTGATGTTGAATCCTACTTTCTTGGGGGGTTAACTACGAGGCATGTGGACGATGTAGTATCTATTTTGATGTGAACATATATATAAATTGATATCTTGCTGTGCATGTTCATCATCAAGTCGAAGGATAGAGTTGGAATTTATATACCATGAAGACTTCGTCTAGGTATTCCATATTTAGGTCTAGGTAACGCGTACGTGTATACCTATATAGCTCTAGTTCCACAAAATTTCTCGGGAAGATAATACTATAATTCCACCGAGGATTTAGAAAGAAATGTATCTATACATGACTAAAGCCATACCATGGTACTATAGTACCCATGTCTATATATCAACCCCCAAATAACATCATGAATAAGATAAGACAGCGCCACATCCACTTTTTTTTTCTAAAAAAAATAATTTTATTAATGATTTCTTACAAGGTGTACCGTCGTCTTCCCCCAGTGAACAGATTTCTTCCCTAAAACACCAGGATGTCGACGCATTGTACGGTTACCCATTATGGGGGGAGTACGAAAGGATTTGAGGTATAGGACTGCAATCCCTGTTGCGAAGCCGAAGGCTACGAGGATTATTGCTGATACTTTTTTTTAGAATGGTGTTAGTTTTTGGAGGGTATATATGTATAGTACACATACTCGGGAGGAAAGAGAAGAAGAGGCAGATCGATTTATTGGAACCACGTACTTTGTGCTTGTTCTTGTTTCATTTTTTTTTTAAAAAAAAAGAGGTTGGGGGTGGGTGTTCGTTCGTTTTTTTAGATTGTTGAGGTTGAAGGCTTGAATGGCTTCTTCCGAAGGTGAAACAAACAATTCGTAAGTTTAAGTTAGAAAATGTATAGTCTATGCAGAGCATGTACATATGCATATGCAAATGATGGTACGCTTATTAATATTATATCTACTCATTATCATGTTGATGATGATGATGATGTAGGTAATTAGCTGATCGACGTCGGGGTGCTCTCCCACGTGGGAACATGCGGTATCAAAATATCGCGGATTGTATATTGTATTGTTGGAAATACCTCGTTCGGGGTATTATTTGTATTATGGACTGAATCATGTTTGGATAGGGTACATGAGTGTTATAATTAGTACCCGTGCTAAGCTATATGGATGTTGAATGGGTTCTGTATCCATTAAGTAGTTGATGCATGGGGGGAGGGGGGGTTCTCTATTATAAACCCCGGCCGGGTAGAGGTAATAGTAAACTTCGATATAAAATGCAATCCTTGATGAAGAAAAACTACCTTCCAGTGAAAGACCCTTAAATAAGTACTTAAGTAACTACTTAATAGAACCTTTCTTCTCGATCTTCTGCTTCCGGAGTAAACGCCAATCCATCCATAGCACCTAGTTCGACGTATACACAAAAACTATTAATATTATGATCATATTCCCTCTCAGTTTTAGATGAAATCTGTAGAAAGGGGATTATGTGGTTTGACTTACCCATGAGGTCCCCCGCCGAGGAATTAAATTTGGTTAAGGCGTTATCCAGTCTTTTGATATTGTAGTTAACACGATCCATGGTTATGTCGTTTTGTTTTTGAATGTGGAAGATGTAGTATGCGACGGCGGAACTGCCCACTATGCTTCCTATGATGCCGCCGATGATTGCTGGGTACGTGTGTTAGTTAAAGATTGAGTATCTGGAGACGAGGCATGTCAGGACATACATTCAAACCACCGCGATGCCATCTTGGTTTTGTTTATTATCAGAGGGTATGGTAACGTAATTGGATGGTAAGATGGAGGAAGCTTTGAGAGTATAGTAGCGTGGATGGAGATGTGATATATATAAAGTATCGATGATATCGAATCGAAGGTATCCCTAGAATTATAGCAGATATATGGATATCCAATGACAGCGTCCAACGCGGTGTTGAGGATGTTGTAAAGTGCCACGAGTGACGGACCCAGCAGCCGCCCGCAGCCTCATTGCATTAATTACATTCCAGTCCATGCATGTGCATAGATGAGGGTGTAGACCCCGCCGTATATTATGTGAGGAGAAGGTAACGGTATATAACGGTTATCCTATCTCGATTGAAATGAAAAAAATTTCTTTCCCTCTCTCAGCCCTAGTTTTTTCTATTAACCAGAACGCGAACGTAGCAAATACCCAAATCCATGGGTACTGTAGCTATTATGGCGAGCTTTCCTTCCCTTCCGCGAGAGTTATTCGATTCGGTATTTTCGAAGGATAATCTCTCTTTTGATGATATAAAAGCTTTCTCCCGATGCTCAAAGGCGTGTCGGTTCCAGATTCTACCCCTCTTGTTCAGGGGTATCCGATTGAACCCAGACTCGGCTCGAGCTTTGAGCGGCAACGGGTCATTGGTGATAGTCCGACGGCTTGTTCGGTAATTATATATTTACTTACTTACTTAATTACTTACCTCATACCCAGTACAAGTTGTCTCGTCGAGTACAAGTAAATTTTATAAGAGTCAGAAGGCTGATAGAATTCATTACTACTTTTTACGATACCAATGAGAGTAGATATGCAAAGCTTGAAACTTCAAACAAGCGGTTTTCTTCCAGAGAAAAATGGGGCTTTTGGGATCTTGTACAAGAGTGCAGGGTTTACCTCAACCGTCTTGAAGAGTTCACCAATCTACGAACTATCGAGTTGAAATTATCTCTCCCTCGATTTCTTTCACTTCAGTTACTTTGTATCGTCTTTAAATCGATGTCAAACCGTCCTGGTTGCAGTATTCTCAGAAAAATCATCATCGATTCCCAAGATTATCATGAAAACACCGCTATCGTTACAGAACATCGTCATTATCTTAACACTCTGACCGATAGCGAGAAGAAGAGCCTCGAACACGGCATCATAGTCACCGAACTACCAAGGTTCGTTCAAGAGTCGTTCTGTATCGAAGAAATAACATACATCGCGGATAACATACACTTCGGAAACTCCGCGTACGCAAGGGTCGGTAGTCCCAGTTTTGGTGAGATACTTGTTAATGCATCGGCGACTACTTTGAAGAGGTTGGAGCTTTCTCTGGCCACTATGACCGACTTTGATGCCAAAAAGGATCCTGATGTCAGGAGGCCCATCTTCCACAATGTGACATTCCTTAGCGTTAATCTTCGCAAAATGGATGATCACGATATCGCTATAATAGCCTGCCGGTTCCCGAATCTCGAGGAACTTAGAGCTTGGCCTCTGTTTCAGGCGGAGTTTAGCATCAAAGGCGATGTTGCTTATAGAGATATCGTTCGGATGGAGAAATTGAAGCGTGTGTTCTTACTCAGACAGTCTGGTCCAGGGTGGAAGACTATGACGAGGAAGGAATTACAGACTTCTGTAGAGTATTGGATCGGACTGGGGAGAGATTCTACTCTTCCACGACTTTCGTCATTGGGGAGTGTCGAGTTCTCTGTCGATGAGCCTCAGATGTCAATCAGGTGTAGTATTCTCAGGGAAGCTCGGCCGCGAGATGCTTCTAGTGAAAGGTACAAGCCTCATACCAGGCCGCTAGAAGATGACGAGGGGTTCAAAGATCTGGCGTTTGATTGGCAGACGATAACCAAGCCTTTCTGGGAGAGGGTTGGGGATGACCCTGAGTTAGTTCGTCCTGATGGCGTGCCACTTTTGGTGATGGAACGGGAATTGGATAAGTATTCGGGGCGCATGGATGGTTGGCCACCGCGTATTACGAGGTTTATATTGGAATATCTACAAGAAGCTTAAGCTTAAGCCTAAGCTTAAGATTGTTGGCTGGAGGAGACACAACACACATATATCCTTACTAAACGTATGACTTACGTTTGCTATATTCATGAAATGAATTGCATGTATTTAAGTTCAAATATATCCTTCCCTTGATTTTTAATTCTTCGAGAGTATTTCTTATTAACCCTAATATCATGATAGAGCTTGATCGATTAACTGTACCCGTCATGAGGGTGTAGATAAGTGAAGCCGGAATATGTGTTGAAGCCGTTGTAAACCCGGACACTCCATAACCCCTGTCGATTGTCCTGTTCTGTTCGACCCATGACGACGAAACCCTGTCTCATCAGTCGCATGGTTCGATCGATATCGATACCCACACCATGCAATGACATCGTCCTCTTCGAACCGTTGAAAGATGCGAATCGAAGTTTACCCCAAAGTATCGCCGGAGGTACTCGAGCGTGAGGTTCAGGATGCCACGGTACGCCATATCCCCATCCGTTCTGTCCATCCATCCATCTATTGAACATTTCTCTATGAAAGCTAGTAGCTAATGAATGATTTATATTACGTAGCTTCGAGAACTCGCATGGTTGATAACGGAAATACAAGAGAGTCTACTATCACTTAGATCCGGGCTGGAAGAATGTCTATCGCTGCTTGCGCCCTCGCAGCCGGGGAGCACGCTTGTGCTATCCACGAGTCGTAGCGAAGGACTTAAGGGATTCGTAACCAGAGTTGGAAGCGCAATTGTTAAGGGTGTACGTCCATATCCTCTTAATTTCAACCTACTACATAAGAGACGAATTTTATTCTAAACGGTTTATATCATATCATCGCAGGATATGCAAGTGAAAATGCACGGTCTTCCAAATACCAAAGGCCTGGGTTATTATCGTCTCCAACTTGCCTCTCCGCCTTCGGATTCTACAAGTAACCCCAGTTTCCACCTCCCACAACTTACCGACTGTCGTAACTTCGTTCACTCGGCGTTAACAACCCTCCCTTCTTCTTCCTCTGTCGAAATACACAAATCCCTCGGTTTAGAATCCAAAACCTCCACAGCAATGATAGACTCCAAACTCCTCTCTTCCCAACTCGACTCCCTTCTTTCGGATATCCAATCTGCCCGACAGATCTTAAAATCTACGCAAAAGCCCAATTTATTCCCGTACCATACCGTCGATAGTAGTATATTCGACCCCCAGTTACCAGAGAACTTAGCTTTGGATATTACGATTCAAGATGCGGCTATTGTTACGGAATTGAGGTTGTTGGAGAATACGAGTCCCGCGGCTTATACGGGACTTACGGCGTTGAGTATGAATATTGATCAACATTTGTCGAATTTTAATTTTAGAGAGAAGATTGCGGGGGCCTTTAAGGGGAGGAAAGGGTATGGGAATAGCGGTGCTGGGGCTACTGGTGCCGGTGGGGAGGAAGAAACGTGTATGTATAAGGGGACGGAGGTGAGAGTGAAGGAGAGGATTAGGGTTGAGAGCCAAGATCCAAGTTTGATGAGTGTAGTGGCGAAGTTGGGGGCTTTGGAACATAATTTGGCGATGGGGAGGACGAGTTTGGAGATTGTGATGCGTAGTGGGTGTACCGAATAATGATGAGTCCTTGCTTGTCACTTGGGCTCCGGTCTTGAGGCTATTATCATAGCGGCGTATATCAAGCTTCTGAAGCAATCAACGATTTCCTTCATCCTCTTTTGTTTTATAATTTTTCTCGTTCGAATACCAGAAAGTTTTAAATGTACAATTCGGGCTTCCGGTCAAAAGCAACTAACAACTGTCAATTGCAATAGACAGATTAAACCCCTCCCCATTCTTCCGCCTTTCCGTCTCTTCCTATTCCTTATCTATACCAAAGATTCTTTTATCCCAGAAACATCAAAGAATATACACAATGTCCGAGAAGAACAGACTTTAAAGGAAGCCGGGAACACCATTTTAGTGCGATGCTGGCTTAGATGGCTTAGCGTTTGGGTTTCGTGGATCGTTGCGGAATTCGTCGGCTAGATAGTAGGTAGGTACAGACAAGTTAGTTAGCTATCTATTTCCCCCAGCTATATCGCAAGAACATAAGATACGAGGTATATATGGAATATAACATACTGTTCGCTAGAGCGTTCTGTCCTTGCCAAACTCCCCAGTATACGATGCCGCCTATATATCAATTGTTAGAGCTTTGTCTTTTATTCCAATGGGGTATTCCATAGCCCGATATCGCTCGTTCAAAGGGCTGTGTATCGATTCGTTCGAGGATTGCTTACCGGCGATGATGAATGGAGCCATTGGTTCCCCTATATAAGAAATAATGTTAGTAATCAGGTATCAATTGGTGTTTGTTCCCACCGCCGCTGGTAGGGGATACACGCAGCGAAAGAACTGGTGTATATATATATCGGTGTCCACTAGCCGGGAGAGGGATATTCTTACAAACTGGCGCGGGCCACTTTCGTCGGAAAACAGCGAATGGACCTGGCATTGTGATAGATGTCGAAAGGTGATTTGAAACCGGGGATGTTTGAAAAAGAGGTGGGGCGGTTGAAGAGTGGGGGATATGGTACTTTTTTGAAGTTTAAAGACTGGTTTGGAAGCGGTCGTTATTGTTCTTCTTCTCGGGTGTTGGGATGAGGTCAAATCTTCCGGCTCTGAGGAGCGGATCACGTGAGGCTGTCAAAAATCCGAACCTTTCAACGCCAAAAACTCGCTTTCGAGTTTCGGAATTGGGTATTGAGACAAGTTCGTTCGTTTTTACAGTTACATTCATTACAATCTACAGACATCGTCGACCGACGGTAGATTGATCCTTGTCGTTTTTTTCCCATCATGTCGCCTCTTAAGGGACACTTCTTGTCCGCTGGAAAGCCGACACATAAGCTTGCTTGGTATGTCTGAACTTCGACTTCGATTCCCCAATGCAATGGATATCGAATTGAATTTATTTATTTATATATACCAACTTATGATATTATTATAGTTTCATTCAATCGCGTATCTTCCGGGACGCCTACAAGCGTGAACAGTTTGCCAAATTCGAAGTCGAACGTCGAGCCCTCCGCTTCATTATTGCCAGCAATCAATTCAATGCCAGACAAAAGACCGAGGCACAGTTACAACTTACACAGCTACCGGTTAGCAGCCAGCCGACTAAGATTAAGAACAGATGTACCGTTGGAGGAAGAGGGAGGTCCGTGTTTAGGGAGTTCAAGATGGGAAGGGTTGGTTATCCCCCGCAAAACACTGTTACGTCCTGTCGATTGGTAAGATTACTGACATATTTTTTTTTTTTCTAGTTCCCGTTCAGATTGGCGGCTTTGGCAGGAGACCTGCCTGGTGTGAAGAAGGCTAGTTGGTAGTGCTTTTTGGGAGTATTGCTTTCAGGGCCTGGAGTTAGGATCTTGATGTTTTTGCAGAGAGATGCTGCATTGTATATACATGATTCGAAGGCGGTACGATACGCTACGCTCGTACATACATACTACATACTAACTATCAAAATATACCCGCCTATTCAACCAAACAATAATCTCCCTTCCCATCTCACGGTACTAACAACTAGAAGAGATGGCAGAAATACATTTTTTAGTCATACATCGAACTGGAAATTCGAGACCTGAGATTCAAGATTCAAGATCTATACCACCCAAGAGCAGCATAGAGGACATTCCGACCCCATTCAACCCATCCCTGCATCGCAGACACACGGTTCAAAGCTCTCACCGCATTCCGATTGAAGCAATCCAAATCCTTCGGTTCATCATTAAAGATCTCTTGAACACCACCCACATTCGGAGGGAATACCAAGAAGATGTGTCCGGCAGCACTATAGTCACCCATACATCGAGTCGCAATATCGACTACATCCTCCATTTTGGCGTAGTCTGTTCCGGAAAGGAGTAACTTCGCACCGAATGGAATAATGGGTGTTTCGATCCAGTACGGACAAAGGAGGTTCACTCTAATCCTATCCGGCAAGGCGGTTTGACGAAGCGACCTGAAGAGTCCCAAAACCGCGTGTTTGGAAGCATTGTAAAACGGGGCAGATGTCAAGGGGTACAAAGAAGCAATGGATCCGATTAGTACCAACGAACGGTCATGGGAAGCACTGGGGAATGCGTCTTTGGCAAGATTGGGATGGGCACGGAAGTATTGCAGGGCAAGGTAGGCGGTGTAGATTACACCTGTGATGTTGACATTCATGGTGGTCATGGTGGGGTCTGGGGGGTCTTCGGGTTGGCCGGGGACTGTGCGAGACATTTTAGTCCTGGGGACGGCATGGAAGTAAGGGTATGGGAGGAGCTGACCGAAGGGTCTTGGGGCCCATGATTTGCCAATTTCACCGACGCCGGCGTTGGCGAACTAGGATTTGGTGGAGATATAGTGAATATGGGATAGATGTATATTATTTTGAGGAGGGGATTGAGGAACGTACGACTGAGTCTATGGCTTTATTTGGAGAAAGCTCGAGGGCTTTGCGGAATAAATTGCATTGGGATTTATAGTCCGTGACATCGCATTGGATCGAATGGATGCTAAAGATATCGATATCATGTTAACATATTAAACTCCACGTGCACACACCCGCATACGATATTTTAAGAAAGAAAGAAAGGTAGTTAGATACTTTGGATTCCCAGTGCTCTTCCGAACTTCTTCAACAAATGACTGTGCCTCTTGCAAGTCACCGATAATAACAGCTCCTCTATATAATATCAACCGAATAGAGAATTGGGATAAGGTCAAAAGTTAGCGTTTGACACCGAAAATCCGGGGAAATTCAACCGCACCCAAGTTCGGCCAACCGCCTCACTACACCAGCGCCAATACCGCTGGCCCCGCCGGTGATCAGAAAAGTCTTGTTCTTGACGGATGCTTCATCCCACGCCGCTTTGGGGTCTACTTCTGCTGTCTGGTAGACGTCCGGGTTTGGAGGCGGTCGCGCATATTCCGAGTCCATTTTTCACTCTTTCTCGGTGCTGAAAATTATCAAAGATCGGAGCCAGGTATGCTATATAAAGTATAGCAGAGAAGGACAGGATTGCAAGATACTGATTTAATTCTGTTTAACCGTAAAGCCCGAGACTTGCGACTTGGAAGATATAAAAACGGATAGAAGAGAAAGAAAAAATAAGCATCTATGCAAATTCACCCAATTCCGAGGTTTAAATTTTGAGAATCTCGTGCATACATGATATGATATCTTTTACCTCTGTTCCTCTTCTTGCTTGCTCTCTTCCCTCATGCATATTGCATAATCGATAACGCACGCGCACACCGCTTTCAAACTAGTTTACTAACCACCGGGTATTGGCAGTTACTTGTTTCCCGATTCAAGCTAGGCTGAGAGTACTCAAGCCGTCAAAAAAGAACACCAATCGGCGCGGGTGGGACTCTCGATTCGAGAAAAATTTTTGACGGGTTTCTTCGTTTGTGTAGGCGGGAACCTAAAGCCTGAACAGGCAGGCTAACAAACACATACAAGGACCCCTTCTATCTACCCATCCATTCATTCATTCAAGACAGAAAAAAATATCAAGTTCCCCCGCATTTATCGAAATATCATATGCTCGAATACTATTGAAGAAAACAAAAGGAAATAAACAAATCAAATCAAAAAGAAAAAAAATCGAAAACATAAAATATGGTTTCTCAATAGCGACCCTGTAGAGGTACAGTCCCGGCTGGGGAGAGAGTACTCAGCCAAGCATGCCGAAGCGGAGAAGACCGTCATCATCATCCCAATGCCAGGACTTCCTGGCCGACGGTGTTCCTGAGTCCCATCAGAGACTGTTGGAGCATGTGCTTGCCAATAATGCTAGGCTTTCGAAGGTGAAGATTGCGAGGCTACCACATGGGACCGGGATTGTAGCTTCTGAGCGGGTTAAGGTACGTAAGAGATACATAATAGCGCGAAGTCTTAGAATGCACATGCATATGCATATTAGTTTTACGAAACTGTGCGATAAGAATGAATATAAGTCTTCAAAAAGCTAAGGATATTTGTGAAATTAAATATAGAAAAACGAGGAAATAACTTTTATACCCAAATCACTCCTTGTCAACCTCCACGACATTCCATTTCCAAATTCTTCCCCCATAGACCATCCGACAAAAGTCCACAGTTCCCTCGCCGCCTATATCGCCTCGCAATTTCATAAATCAGATAATAATGACCCATTCATATCAATCCTTCCATCATTCTCATCTTTCAAGTCTTCCATGCCGCTCTTTTGGAGCAATGAAGTATTAGACAATTGCTCACCATGGGTCCGTTCATTTGCAATAAAGCAACAAGAAAAACTTAAGGATGATTATGCACATGCTCTAAAGATGCATGGTGAGCGCGGAGTGGAATTTTCAAAAGAAGAGTATGAATGGGCGTGGGCGGCTGTGAATACCCGGACTATATATTATAGACCGAAGAAGTGGTATAAAGTTCCTGCGGAGGATTGTATGACTATGTGTCCCTTTATTGATTATTATAATCATGATGCGAAGGGGGATGAAAGTGTTAGTCAATCATCTTTTATTCTACAGTTTAGTGTTCAAGAAGGACTGATGTTTGTGAGGTAGTGTACCGTGAGCTTTTCAATAGATGGTTTGAGGGTCACGACGCAGAAGGAATATTGTAGGTTTATTTTTCTGGGATGTGGATCTGAAGTTATGCTGATTGTTTTATAGCTGTCGGTGAGGAGATATTTGTTACATACGGCGAGTATAATAACGATCATTTACTCGTGGAGTGTATGTATCCAATCTCCAGCTAGCTTCTTGAGTAGCTTTCGATTCAATTGAAACAGAACTGACGAATTACATGCAGATGGCTTCACACTCCCTAAAAACCAAGCCGACAATATGAACATCGATCATTGGGTTCTTCCAAAACTTTCGTCTCGACATCAAGAGATATTAAAAGAGATATCATTCCACGGGTACGCCTTCACCTTCTCGCAGACTGTTATGTATAGTGGATCTGATCTTATGATTTCGGTTGATGGGGATAGTGAATATCTTCTGGATGAGAATGAAGTTTGTTATAGGACTATGATGGCGTTGAGGTTGGCGGTTATAAAGGAGAGTATGTTGGGGAAGGGGAAAAGGTATAAGGATTTTATGAAGTTGGTGGAAGGGGGGATGGAGGAGGATGATTATGTTAAGTTGTATGAAAAGGATGAAAAGAAGGTTGGTGAGCTTTTAGAGGAGGTTTTAAAGGCGGTTGAGGAGTTTGGAGAGGAGAAGACAGCGAATCTGAGAAGGATGCTTGAGAGGGAGGAGTTTTTGGATCAGAAGGAGAGTATAAAATCTGCGATTGGAAGATGGAGACAATGTATAGACATAATCGCTAAACACAGAGCAAAGAATAACTAGAAATACAAAATCACCATCATCTCTCGAGTTTAGCCACCATCTTGTTAACTTCTTTCATCTCCGCCTCAGTTGAGCGGGTAAAGATTTCAACTTGTTCTTCTTCTGTACCGCGGAAATCAGAGAGTACTATACTATTACTAAAATCTATCCAAACCACCTTTTCCGTCCCATCTAGTATAACATCTCGTGCAGTTACCTCCTCCACTTCTTCATCAACCGATGATACGGTAGAATTAGGAACAATGAGCACATTCCGTTTCTTCACATCACGGTGTAACACACCCATAGAATGTATATGCCTAATCCCATCCACAATCTTCTCCGATATCTCAGTAGGGATATAAGGGAACGCACTCAACCTCAAACCATGTATATACTCTATTAACACCCCCTTCAGAGGTAATCTTTCCATAACATCTTCACCTTTGATCCGAAGCTGGGATTGTCGTCTTCTACGATGTTGACTTGGGTTGTAGTTTGCTAGTATATGTGGTTCGAAGGATGGGGAAATTGTGACTATGGCGTGGATTTGTGGGGTGTAGAGTTGTGATGTTTGGGAGGGGAGGAGACGGGTGTATGATGATTGTTCGGAGTGGAAGTATGCGTAGTCTGGATCCCGGGGGTGGGTGTATTGGAAGATTGTGGAGGTGGAGGAAGCGGGGTTTGGTGGGTGGGTGAAGCGGAACTAGCCGTTTCGTTCGTAGATATATTCGTATTAGTACTTATTTATGAATATAGTATAAATTATAGCTTAGTATCTCAGCTAGACATTCAATTGATCAAGTACTTGGGTGAACAAGCGAAGATGCATATTCTGATACAAAATATGCAACTTTCGATGTATCTTTATAATTTTAATTTTAATTTTTAATTTTTAATTTTTTATACGAAACTTAATGAATGCATGCATAGAGGAGGAGGAGGTTATTAATTAGGGGTTTAAAAAGTACGTATATAATATCCTTACAATCTTTAGAACGGATGGAGTAGGAAACCCCTTTGCGGATACTTTATAGACTAGACTGTGACCGCCGTGACCCATTGGTTGAATCGATGAGGGGTCTATTTCGAGCTCTTCGGTTGTAAAAGTGGGTATTCCGGGTGGATCCGACATATTGATAGTTTTTATTATCTTTGAATACGTTAGATACCGATAGTGGGGTGTTTTATCGATAGCGTGAGTCTGATACTGGTGAGGATGAAGTCGATATTGAAAGCTGACACGTAATCTGTGTTGAAATTGTTGCAGGAATAACTCTGGGGCAATTGCTAAGTGGCGGCTTTGCATGGGGGACCGGGAGAAGAGGGAAAAAAATGTTAAATGTTGTGCGAGGGTGTGTAAATGCAAGATACAGGAGTTAAAATTTTTTATTTTTTTTTTAAATGATCATATGATGAGGCTACGAGGGGGGTGGGGATTGAAATCGAATTGGTACCTGCGTTAGTTCCCGGTGGGAAGGAATGGCTTTTCTTCCTGGGCTGAGGGTTTTGCTGTTCGAAGGGTTAATTTTACCGGTTACAGGTCCGTTTCCTGGAGTTGGGGTTTGTATTAGTTAGCCTGATAACGTGGGATGTCGGCTCCAGAGCGGGTAAATGATTGGGAGGAAGAAGAGGAGGATGCCTAGGAAGGAGGAAAGGGAGGTCTAGGTCTTGGAGGGGGGGAGATATCATGATCAAAAGTCACCGTTGATGTTAACTTGCACCTGCATTTGCATGATACCTATTCCGCGTATGCGCATCTCTGGACATGCGGCGCCTGTGATGTTTTGTGCTAGCTTGCCAGGCCATGTCGTGTAAAGTACATATCTTTAAACATGTTACGTACATATGTACCGCATGTACCTTACTCGGACATGGTTTCGGGGTCAGACATTTAAAAGGGGATAAGAGCGATCAATTAACTCAAGCTTTGCTTTTGAGATTGAAACTTTTTAGAAACAATCTCGTCCCAAGTTTCTTTCTTTTTGAAATCTGACGTGGGTTTATTGCCTATTATTACTCGGTTCTAGCTGATTATATTATTTTAATTCAGATGAATTTGAAGCTTATTTCGATCCGATGTCTCTATGAATATATACTTATGTACACAAGGTCATTGTAACTTATATATAATAGCTAGTTATGTCGGGGATTAGGAGTTAATTCGAGATCAATATCATTCACAGGGTCTAGATCTATGTCTTCACCTCGTATAATAATATTAATGTATATATCTGGATAAGTATGCTGTAAGCTGCATTGTTTGATCCTTTTGAATTGTTTAAAAAGGGATGTCATCGTGGGGAAAAGAGAGAGTACTTACATGTTCTGAAACTGCGAAGCGAAACGGAAGCCCGGATAGTACCTGTACCTGCATGATATCCACTTCTTTTTTTTTTTTTTTTTTGATTCGAAAGTATTTGAATTTTTCCACTCCAATCTGCCCGAGTGATTCGGAAATTTATTCTTGGGGTTCGGATACCTGGTAGTATCTAATATCAGCTCCATTAGGAATTGCGTAAGCAAATTTGGGCGGTGATGTATCTCTGGGGACAATAGTTTAGGTAGTAACTAGTAACTAGTAACTAGCTAGTACTAGCAAGGCACCTCTTGGTGGGCCCGGTCGATATGGAGGTTGCATTTCATCGGTATCGATCGCGAATGTAAAATGTCGCCGTTCCCCTGATGGAATGTTGGATATTAATATTCCCAATCCTCGCCTCGATTAATCCAGATATATATATCTATACGATCAAGATGGTGTACACCTAGGCAGATATTCATTTGATCAGATAGATTGGAAACAAGCGAGACTTTACCTGAAACTAGCGACTGACGGAACTCGATCGATCGAGAGAATATAAAAGTAGATTAGAATGGACGAACCTTACTCTCGGCTCCCGGCTTGCCCTTTGTATGCATGTGGTGATATATCAAATTAGCCCCCAAGCCCTCGTCTCCATTCCTCGTCATCGTGCGAATTCTGGACCGTCTACAGGCGGAATAGTTGTGCTCACTATCGCATATTTGCTCATAATACCCCCTGTTCGAATAATCATTAGCCTCCTTGAATCACAGGAGTCTTTTTTTTTTTTTTTTCGGTCTTGATCCCAAGATTTTCCCTGCGTAAGTATCATGATATCAGCTGAACCTGACCTTATTCCGTAAGAATTCCCTGCATTTTAGATGTATTTATCGTGATTGATTTGAATCAATTGGATCTGGCCGACCCCACCAGACGTGGACCCCTTGCAGGCTGAATCAAAAAGTAAGTAAGTACGTGCATATAGAGATGCATCCATAAATACATCATAGGTCGTATACGCCCCATCCATTTGCATTGTGCGGCCGTGCCCCTGTGCTGAAAAAAGACAGTCGCGGTATATGTATGTATATGTACATACATGTACATTGCATAGGGGCTCAGTAGTATCGCGACAAGCCAACTGGAACCGAGACCAATCGATTGATGCGAATCGCGGGTAGCTGAATTCCCAGAGGGCCAATGCCTAGACAGCATGCAATGCCCTCAGCCTGCGAATTGAATCCAGTGCAGAAGTGCAGCATCAAATGCAATGAACCTTACTTGCCATGCCTTCGCCTTGCTTTGACTGCTGCACCGGCCTCTGCAACCAGCCTCGATATTTCTGCGTGCCGAAGCGAGGCCCCGAATGCCAGGAACCGTCGCTTTGCGCACTTTTTGGGATGGCGTCGTGGGTGGTGAAAAAAAATTCGCGTTTTAGCTTCATCGGAAGCCCTGTCGCATGGCTGCATCCCAGCAATCCGTACCTGAAACCGTCTTAGCCATGTAAGTACCATGTTCTTGCTATGTAATGACCTGTGCGGTGCAGTGAGGTGCAGACAGGCAGGCATGCCCCGGGCGCACTCACTTGCTAACCCCCCGTTTAAACTCCTTCACTCTTTTTTTTCTGGAAAAGTCCTCCCCCGTTTTTTCCCTTTTTCTCTCCCTTCCCCTTCTTGGTTGTTTTTGAACATCGATAGCAGAGCGGTATGGGTTTTCCTTTTCATCCTTTTGAACGCGTGTAGAAAAAAGTTCGAGTGAAGTAAAAATCCACGTTCGGCGTTGCAATTGTTGAAGAAGAAAAGGCCCATATCGTAACGGGCACCTTTTTCTTTCCTTTTTCTATTTGATACTATCTACGGATTTTCTTTATTTTATAACTTACTAGACTCGAGTATAATTTTTATTATTTATTATTCTTATTCTTATTTTTACTTTTTTTCCCAATCGAAAGGCGATTCAACAGTATCGATTCTCCCATCAGTTCGAGTTACGTTTGGGGCATCATCGTCATACCAGCTAGTCACCTTCACATCGCACTGACTGGACTGGCGAACGGGCAGCTATTTTTGGGAGCAAGAAAGCAAGACAATTAAGAAGCTAGAAGCGTGTATACTTGGTAAGTACTTTACCTTAAGTATTCGACCTATTAAACGATTCGAGCGAGGGCGAGAAGAAAAAGGGAGACGGCCGCCGCTTAACTGGATTGGATGTCTTTGACTGACCACTAGTTTACCTCTGACTTACTTAGTAGTATTTCTTTACTTACTTGACTAAGAAGCAGAAGAAGAAGAAGTAGCTATATCACTTTCCTCTCGCAAGAAGGCTCATAAAGAAGTAAGTAGATTTTATTTTATTTTATTTGTTTTATTTTATTTTATTCTTTGAATCTGTTTCCATTTCTATTTAATTGCATAGACGAGTACTTGAGTCTTTGAGTAAAGTACTTACATAAGTAAGGAAGTACTTCCTCGTCACGGTACGGTACGGTACATACCTCTACATTACCTGGATTGTCCTGGAATTGAGGCCAAAGTACCTGTACCTATACCTGTATTTCCATTGAACTTGTACCTGTACTTTTACTTGTACCTGTGGTTGTAATTGTGGTTGTAAGTCAGTACCTAAGGAAGTACTTGTTCGTGGAGTTCTCGCTAGTCTCCGCTGCAACTTCAATTTCAACAACCTCCGTCTTGTTACTGGCTCTCTCCATCTTCTATTCTCCTTCCCTTCTTCATCTTCGTCTCCATCTTCATCTCTTCCCTTTCAATCCCTCCCATCCCTCTGTATACCTCTCTTACTCACTCTTCTCCTTCTCCTTCTCCTCCTCCTCTTTTGGATCGATATAGTTGATCCTCTCCCACTATATCACTCTCCCACGAGGTCCTCCAAAAAACAAACGTTTCTGTTTCACGAAACCCTGAGGCGGATTGACACGATCACGCATACCCACTCGGATTCACGCTCGACTTTCGGTTAGGCGCTAGGATAGACACCAAGCAGGTATCCTTTGACGTCCCATTAGCCTTTTGCAAGGTTCGCATTGAGCTGCCCACTTCTCTCTCCTTTCCTTTGAATTCCCCTCCCCCCCTTATCGACGACCCTCGCAAGGCCACAACTTCAGATGACTTTGACTGACATATTCCACGCTTTCTTCTAGCTCTCTTTCTTTCTTTCTTTCTCTCCTTCCTTTTTTTTTTCCTGTCTCCATTTTATTCTATTTTTGTTGACGTTTTTTTTTCCAACATTTCCTTCACTGAAGTTCTGATTACCGTCGGCGCATCCAGCTCGCCTACACGCAACTATCACTATTGTTTGCCCTTTTATTTTTCTTCTTTCTTATTACAATTACCTTCTTGCTACTTACAAGGACCCTCCTGGCAATCCTTTGAGTACTTGCTTAGGTACTTGCTACTTTGCTACTTTGCTACTTTACTACTTTGGTATCATTCAACACGACCGACTTTGTTTTGAGGACGTAACGTTGGTGTTTAGCTCGATCGCTGCCATTTTCCCTCTCTCCTGCGAAGACCAGCCATTAAATCGCCTTGTCGCCCGCCACTTATAGAACTTCCATGCTACGGTTCACGACTTAAACTACCTCTCTCGACCCTCAATTTTACCCTTTCACTCGGTCCAAACATTCTCACCCGACTCTTTCGCACCCTTCATGCTCTTCTAGACCGACTGCGACTCTCACCCTCATTCTTCACACAACGAACCCCTTACGCCGACGTTTTTCGCAATTTAACTCCATTGTCCTGATCTTTCGCCATGGCTTTCTTATTCAAAAAGAACAAGCATCACCAGCAACAGGGTGCTGGCCATGCACCCCAGCATGGTAATCAAGATGGTCGAGGGGCAACCCCTCCTTCCGGTCCTTCTTCCTCATCTTCTGCGAATGGTACATTCGAGCAGCGATCCGCTGAAGTCAGGAACTCACCACCGACACAAACCCCAATGTATATGGATAGGGGAGACCCGAGGCAGCATCAGCAACCTGTGAGTTTGATACCTAACTACTAAGTACCACTAACAGAAAATTACAAGCATGCAATACTAATCTAATTTGGATTTTCATAGCAACATATGCAACAGGGACCACGTCAAATCCAGGGACCATCTGCACAACCACAACAACCACGTCCGGCAGTGGCTGCCAACATAAATCCAGATCTTTACCCGTGGTCGCGGAAACCGATGTCGATATCGTCATCCGCCGGCTCACCCTTCCCGAGATACGGTCATTCAGCAAACTCGAATGCTGGAAAGGAAGGCGAGGTCTATATCCTAGGAGGGCTCCTTAGGTCTGAGTCTGTTCGAGGAGATCTGTGGTTATTGGAAGGCGGTGGTCCAAATCTTGCTGTCTACCCTGTCAATACTACTGCAGAGGGACCCGGCCCTAGAGTTGGACATGCTAGCTTGCTTGTTGGAAATGCATTCATTGGTATGCTGTTCTAGATTCCCAAATTTTAAACGAAAATCGGGTGCTGACATTGCATAGTTTTTGGTGGCGATACCAAAATGAGCGAGCATGATAAATTAGACGATACATTATATCTTTTGAACACTTGTAAGCTCCTTTTACTCGATTTTGACTTGGTATCAAATCCAAAAAAGAAACGCTAACACAAGTCTCTAGCATCACGACAATGGTCACGTGCACAACCGAACGGCGATAAGCCATCTGGACGATACGGTCATACACTGAATATCCTAGGATCGAAACTATACGTTTTCGGCGGTCAGGCAGAAGGTTCATTTTTCAACGACCTGATGGCATTTGATTTAAATACCCTGCAAAGCAATGCGTCTCGATGGGAGATGCTTGTTCCCAATGCCGATGGCAGCCCTGATATTCCTGCTAAGAGAACGAATCACACGGTTGTCTCATTTGGAGACAAGCTCTATCTGTAGGTTTTTACGGTGTACGATTTCAGGAGCTTGATGCTAATGGATTCTATGCAGGTTCGGCGGCACAAACGGCTTGATATGGTTTAACGACGTATGGGCCTTCGATCCTAGAGCTAACTCTTGGTCACAGCTGGATTGTATAGGCTACATCCCGTCCCCGAGAGAAGGCCATTCTGCAGCCCTGGTCGGAGATACCATGTACGTCTTTGGAGGCCGAAGTAATGACGGGACGGACCTAGGGGATCTTGCGGCATTCAGAATACCTTCGCGCCGTTGGTATACATTTCAAAACATGGGACCAAGTCCATCGCCTCGGTCAGGTCATTCGATGACAACTTACGGATCTAGAGTAGTTGTGCTTGGAGGAGAACCATCTGTTCAGACTAACAATCCTGAAGAGTTAACATTTGTGTACATCCTTGACACCGCCAAGATTCGATATCCAAATGACCAGCAATTACAGGATCGAGATCGAGCTACAGGTCCAACTGGTACTGCCGTTCGCCGTCCTAGCGCGGCGGAACGTCCGTCAAATATTGGGGGGCCTGGGGGGCCGCCAACTCTCAGAAAAGTTAGCTCCGCTGGACCAGGAAGGGAGTCTTTGATGATGGGCCCGGGAGCACAGCTTCCCAATGGCATTGCTGTCAGCTCCGGACCTGGTCCTGTTGGTCCCATTGGCCCCGTTGGTCCTGCTGGTCCTGCTGGTCCCATTGGTCCCATTGGTCCAGGAGGTCCAGGGGGTCCAGGGGGTCCAGGGGGTCCAGGCTCACGATTACCGAGAGCTTCCATAGCACAGGCTCCTGGAGGGCCACCACCTCAGCAGCAGGCACCAAATCCCCGTGGTCCAGTTGGCCCACCCCAGGTTAATGGAAGATCAAAAACGCCTACTAGGTCCGAACAACGCCCTTCTGTCGATACTGGACGCGGACAACCTGCTCCCATCAAAGAAGGCAGCAGCTCGCCACCCACAGCCAACGATCGCCAAATGAATATGGCTCCAAACGGTAACCGAGGCCCTCCCGGGCCCCAGCAACAACAACCGCAACCAGTCGCTGCAGTCGCCGCTAGCGCGAGACCGGTTAGTCCACCGGAACGCTCAAGGTCTCGACAGAATCAAACCTCCATTGACAGCATTGCGGCTCCCATCCAACAAACCCTTCAGAACCAAAAAATTCTCCCGAACGGACAGGTTCCGAACGGGCCTCAGTCCCCCGTTCGACAAGAGAGCATTGAGAGCCGTGCTTCTATGGACCCTCCTATGGAAACCGTCGCTTACAAAGAGGTCGAAAACCTCCGGCAAAGGAACGCTTGGTATGCATCCGAACTTGCACTTGCACGGAAGCAAGGGTATTCGCTCCAAAATTCTCGTGCTTCGGATTCCTTCGAGGATAGAGCTGCTGAAGACGTCCATGAAAGTGACAGACCACTTCTCGAAGCACTGGTTGTGATGAAGACAGAGCTTCGAAAGGTCCAAGGGTCCGTCGATGAGCAGGCTGTACTCGCCGCTAAGCGTATTGCCGAAGTTGAACGCCAGCGAGACGACGCTGTTTCTGAGGCTGTTTACATGAAAACAAAGCTAGCCGCACTTGGAGGGGTTACAGGAAACATGTCTCCAATCGACGTCAGTAATATGGAAGCGGACCGTGCATCGGGAATGGAGAGAAAGCTTGCGTCATCACTAGCTTTCCAAACGGATCTACAGGCTAAGGTTAGAGCGCTAACATCCGAGATTGAAGCTGAGAGGAAGGCCCGGCAACTCGCCGATGACCTCGCCGCTGCTGCTCAAAGCCGAGTCTCGGAGTTGGATGATTTCAGGAACCGAACTTCCGAGCTTGAAAGCTTAAGAGCGGAGTTAATTGATGCTAGGAAGATCCTTCGAGACGAAGAACTCACAAGGGCGCAAGCCGTTACTCAAGCTAAGATGCTAAGCGTAGACAAGGAAGAACTTGCAGCAAAAGTCGAACAGTACAAGGATTCTCAGACTGATTACGTGAGCTCGATAGAGTCTCTTAGATCAGCCCTGGTCGCTACCCAGCAGAAAACAGAGCTTCTCGAACAACAATTGGAGGATGACAGGACTATTCGGGAATCCCAGGATCGCAAACTCGCTCGGCTCAAGAGCGAGTATGAAGAACGCTCCGCTGATCTCGACGCCGCCAACCGACGGCTAAGAGATGTAGAGGAGCTTGCTGAAAAGCACGCTATAGAAGCTAAGAGCGCACGAGATGCTATGATGGCTGGATTGGAAAAAGCTGCTGGGCGAGATGTTTCAAATATTACTGGTAGCGCCGCCGAAGAAAGAGTAGCAATCCTTCAGGATCAAGTCCAGTCATCGAAAGACATGCTGGCTAAGCACAAGGAGCAGGCCGATGAGGCTGGAGAGAGGTTAGCACATGCTATGCAGCGGGTTGCTGGCCTGGAATTGATGCAAGCGCAAGCCAGCAAAGAGGCCATCAATCTCCAGAGGCGGATGGCAGACCTACTCGATGAAGGCCGGCGACTCAAGCAGGAAAATTCGGATCTCACTTCCAAGTTGGCTGAGCGACAGCTAGATGTCGATACCGTCAACTCGAAGCATAATGCTCTCCGCGATCTCCTTGTCGAGAGAGGTATCAATCCAGATATCAAGAGAGAACTTCGGTCCCGAAATGGATTGGGATCGCCTGGGTCAGGATCCGCTACACCCGACCAGATGCATCGTCTCCGTGAACTTGAATCCCAGTTAGAAGCTAGCATCAGAGCTCACAACGAAACCAAGAACCTCGCCGATCTACAAGCCCAAGAGGCCGAAAAGGTTTTCAGCTCGAAGCTTGAGGAACTGGAGAGCAACTATCAGTCTGTTGTTAAATACGTCAAGGGTACTGAGAAAATGCTCAACCGTATGAAGGATGAGCTAGTCAAGACCAAGGCACAGAACGCAAAATTGATAACAGAATTGGAAGAAGCTAGATCCTCGCCTCGATCTGAAGGTGTTTCGCTAAATGAACCCAGTTGGGAGGCTGAACGTGAGAACCTTATAGCTGAAATTAACAGTTTGCAAGCCAAACTCTCGGAGAGTTCGTCAACAATGGAGAGGAGATTGCTCGAGGTCCAGAAGGAAGTGAATGGACTCCGAATTGAGAGGGACACCGCCAAGCAGCAATCTACAACGGTCAAACTACAGTTGATGGAGGTTTCTAGCCAGCTTGAGAAGCTTGAGAATGAAAACGCAATGCTCGAGACTAGAGCTAATGAGGCGGAGAAGAAAGTATCGACACTTCTTGATAGGCTAGAGACATCCGTTGATGCCTATAGAGAGTCGGTTCGGTTCGAGCGTCGCAATGATAACAACAACCATGGCGCCGAGTACTCGGAACGAAACTCTTTGTACAATGGAGCCGAATATCGCAACTCCCTCGCACTTGATAGCTTTGCCTCTGAACTCGACGAGCTTAAAGCTTCTTGGCACGCTCGCAGCAGCGCCTATCGATTTTCCCCCACCTTAGACTTCGGCGATGACATGAAAACCCCAACGTCTACTAACGGGGGGGAGCTTAGCGCCTCACTTGCTGAGTGGCGGAAGCGGTTAAATGACGAGGAAGAGGAGGCCCGGAAGCGAAGTAGTAGCAGAACTTCGGACCTGACCGTTGAACAAAGACCCACTGGTATTCCCGATACGACTCCAAAAACTAACGGTAGCGGAGCTCCTCAAATAACCATGAACTCCAACGGCATGTTCTAAACGATCACGATTAAAGCGAAAACTTTTGTGTTTGATATCCATACTGCAGCAACATATCTTTCTTTCTTTGTTTTTATATTTTTCCGCCACTATTTTTTTATATTACTACTGCTACCTCTTTACGACTTTTTCGTTCTTCGCCGGGTCGTCTTTCTGCATAATCTCAAAGGATCGTTAGTGTACAACCATGTAATGACAAGTACTATTGCTTTACTTAGCTGTTACTCAGCAGACACACATTATTCCAGAGTACCATATCTCCCCATACTATCTCCCCTTAGGCAGTGCTATTACTACTGTCGCCCCCTTTTTCTTATTGTATAATGTGTGGAACCCAGGTTTTCACTTTTATTCCTTTTTTTGCTTACCCTTTTTCTCCGAACTCTGCCTTTTACTTACTCTTCCCTTCCATGCGTGTTTTTATACTAAGCCTTTTTTCCCCTTCTTTCTTTCCTATACTCTTACGACACTTTATTTGTTCTCTAGCTCTGTTCAATTTTCTTATTGGCTTTCTCTCTCTCTCTCTCTTTTTTTTTTTAGGGCAGAGCAAAAAACTATACCACTTTTGATGCTTTGAAAAAAGTTTTGAGTATCTATTCGTATATATAAGATGAGCATACAATCTTAGTTTTTAAATTATAATTGTTAACTTCTTAACTGGATGTGGATTATATGTAAGTACTTCTAAACACATTTATGGAAGTTATTCCGGAGCAACCTCACTTTCGTATAAACTCGTTTAAATGCGTTTATAGAGGACCAAACCCAAACGAGATCAATCAACTACGCTGTTATATACAACAGTGAGGGGTTTAGGAAAGGTTACCTGCCCCCGAATTTTGTATTTACGGTGGGTAAAGGATCTAAGGTTCTATCGTGGGGGGAATATTAATATGTCCTTGCTTGGCTTCATTCATCTAAAAAAGAACCATACGTACTTAATAAGTAATTAAGTAGGTAGTTTTGCGTGATAGATCGAGATAGAAATCAAATACCATTATATATAACCGGTTTGTCATCTGTAATTGTTGGGCTCAGATACTGTATGATATGATATCGTTTTTTAAGTTAAATGCAATGTTGCGATAGAATATGATATCCACAAGGGGGGGTCCTGCGAACCACAAATCGTGACCGAACCAACCTCTTTAAGCCCATATATATCCTCATCGAGAATCGATATTAGAGGACCGGCGGTTCGACTGAAAGAGCTGTGATTGGCCGCCGGTGTCATTGTACATGGACGGTCAGCCGACTTTTGCATTGAGGCAGCAATTGTAATTGGTGCACCATATGCATGACCTTGCGGCACAGCAAGTTTATGATCAATGCAATGCAATGCAGCGCTCTTGAATCCCCGCATATCATGCCTGAATTCATGAATTACTATTACCTGAACTAAGGATACTACGCTGCGAATTGCTGAACGGGTCGGTGACAACGAACCATTAATTAAATCTCAAGCCCCGCAGTTGCAAGTTGTGCAAGGAATTAAGGACCCATCGATCCTGTTGAAGCACATAGCTATAAACGTTATATATATAAACTGCCTCCAATTGCTACAAAGGTCCTACCTAAATTTGAAAGAACGCAGTGCACTATCTCATGAAAAGTATAAAAGTATAAATATATATATCCGTTTCTTCGTCTCTTCATACGATGGCAAATCTGAATAGTAATGCCCCGATAAAGTTTACTTGGTCTCAGCTCCTGAATCTATACGGCGACTACTTAGTCCACGACCACACCGACGACGATAACGACGACATCGAAGCCTACAACGATACTGACGACGATACTGACGACATCGAAGCCTATAACGACACTGACGACGATAGTGACGACATCGAAGCCTACAACGACACTGACGACGATAACGACGACACCGAAGCCGACGACACTGACGATGACAACTACAACGACGACGACGATGATTACAATGACGATTACATCGACTACATCCTCCGCGGCGGCGGAAACGAAGTTCCAATTTTCCCAGAGAAAGAATTTCCAAGGACATTATACCGAGTTCATTATTCTGAATCTGTTACACAGTATTCCCACGAAGGAGGATTCCTCGCAAACAATCAATACTCTCTAGGTCCAGTCAAACTTGAGGAATTCCATAACCATCTCAATTGGCGCTCAGGAACTCCCAGCAGATTTATCTCCACGTTTTCAGACAGATCACACGCTTTCGCGTGGGCTAGAAATTGGCAGCAAAAGCACCTGTACGGCTGGTATTTTATAATGACAATCAAGCCGCGCAGAACGGATAAAATATATCATATGGAAACAGTCATAGAGTGTTCAGGGGTCGGAATACCATCCGATTGCCCCCTCCAAAGAACACAGCCAGACGAATACCTCTTTTTCCGCCAAATCCCCGAGGATCGTATTGTTGAGCTTTTCGACCCTGATATGGAGGATCCATTAGATTCATGGAGCTCGGCCCATGAGCTCAGCGTCGCTCCATATCGTCAAGTAGAGGAAAGCGCTAGAGATGAGCGAGACAAATGGTCGGGTAAGCCACTTTTAATTCTACGTTCAATTAGATTTTCGTGCTAAAAGCCGGTATGCACATGCTAAAAAAAAAAAAATTAAACTCTTTCAGATGCCGTCTTACTCGTGAGGTCGCTGTCAATAGCGAGCACGAGTCGCTGGTATACGGGTAGCAATCGAAACTAGTGATTACCTAGCTGCCGAGGCATTAAGACTATCAACCAAGATCTTAAGGTCGATCTAAAATTCAGTTGCATACGTGCATGGGTGTGCTTGACGAGCTTCCAAGCAACGGGTTCGAATTCACAGGTTAGGTGTTGCCCCAAAATTAAAAGCAAGACGGTGATGCAGTCAGTGTCTGGTGCGTAGGTGAACCCGTACCTATATCCAGCACTCGACGGTGCACCCTTCTTATAGAGATACCGCTCCCAAACCTGTAGATACCACTGTTACCACTGTTACCAATACAACTTACTTACTTCATACAATACCTTTACCCCTCATACATAATCTTTGAGCAACATGGATAATAAGCCAATAATCATAGGCTGCTTGTATAAAACATCTACTAGTATTAATATAAGTTGCTATCCCTACAAAGCCCCTATGCTGAACAGACTTCACTGGCATGTCTAACCTTCCGTTCTCTAAAGACTACAATAGTGCACGCGATTCGCCCTAATATAATAAATAACTTCAATATCAATGCTATAGTTTCGTCATACCGCTAGCGGAAATGATGGCTCCCCATACTCTGAACGTGAACATCAAGTCGTCTCGGGTTCACTTGTGGGTAATCATCTTACTAACAATGCTAATCTAGTTGCTATCTGAAAGATCTAGTACATCCCGGGCTGGAGTTCCAGAAGTCCCATAATGCATTAAATGAAGCGAGCGACTTCCATAAACAATGTCCCCTGCTCCAAAACAACCACCAGAAATGCATTATTAAGAACTACTTAAAAAACAGCACCTGTAATCCAATAAATACACGACTAGTCGCAAGAACATCCCCCAAAAGTTCAATTTACAGGTTAACAGCGAGATCTCTAAGTTGTCACGTGAGCCGGCCTAAGGAGGACAGTGTCCAATAGAGGACTTCTGAACGTTCGAGCCCAGGGCAGAGATACGGCTGGCAATACCTTGCGCTGCTATGGCCCTATTTTCATTAGGTATATTTCTTTAAATGTTATGTTGTAATTTAAATCCATAGACTTGTACAGTATATCATATCGATCGGATCAGCACAACACAGAAAATCTATCATCCTCTTCAACGTCTTGAAAGGTTGCGATGGCCAAAACATGTCCACCGTGATTCTGAGCTCAATTCTTTATCGATTAACTTAATTTTTGGACTAATAGAACGCAGAAGATGAGATCTAAAAATAGTTTCCTAAGTCGGAATGAGGTTTAAATTATGAAAGTGAAATTAGTCACGTGCTTCGGGTTTGTGGTATTTCGGAGGGTCGTTGGTCGGTGTTGAGCGTCGTCTAGTCTGATCAATTATGATCACGATTGTTGTACATATGGTATTGATATCTGGTCGATTGGGTTTCTTTTGTTTGAATGATTTGATTTGAGACAAGGGTTTTGGGTATAGCAGCAATTAATTCTGGTTTATGAGATAAGTTGGATCTTAAGATTAGCTTGATTCTTGGAGTAAAAATTTAAAGGTATCAATTGATACTAATATATTACGGATATTCCTAGGAATGAGACCAATTACTACTCACTATTTGCATTCAAGCCTGGCTAAAATTTAGAACGATAGGAGTTGTATATATATACTATATCTATTAACTTAGATGAACTCCTGTAGCTAGCGACGTTTGGAACTAACATATATGGTGATAGCGCCAACTTAGTTTTACAGATATCAATATTGTATATGGAACAGTATTCTTCTATGAATTGGTAAAATACGAAAGTTTTAATTTGATTGTAACGTTTGCTTTGTACCCAGACCTGAAAGAACAATTGTAACGTATAGCTTCCCCCCCTTTGGTTAAGAAATACACCCAGCTATGGATATATAATATATAATAATGATAGCACTACCAATATCAAGACTATCTCCAATCTTCTTTCTCGAGTACTCAGTACCTGATACGACCCCCAGGATAAACATTCCAATGATTCCCATCCGGATCTTCAACATCCCAGTGCGGCCCGCCATGAGGCCCCCGACTTCCATCCCCATTTGTAGGTCCCGACGGCTTCCAAATGTTTCCTTTCTTATCCGGCCACCCTTTCTTCCCACCGCTAGATGGTGCTTTCATACCACTATCTGATTTCCCCTTTGGGGGTTCGAACCCATCTTCTTTCTTGGGCTTTCCAGGCGCCTTTGCGGGTTCGTTTTCCTTGCCAACTTTACCATCATCGTCATCTTTTTCTTCTCCCGCTTCTTTCATCTTGTTGACTATGGCATTTCCGGCTACTCCCACAGCTGCGCCGATGGCTGCCCTTCCAAGAAGGTTTAGAGTTGGGCCGAGGATTGCGACACCTCCTTCGGAGATGGTGAATGCGATACCGATGGGGATTGCGGCCATTTTTATGGGGTATTTTTAATTTGGGTGTTCGAGGAATATAAGTTTGGTGGCTAGTAGGTACCTACTTAAACTTAGAAAACGGTTAGCTTTAGGACTTTGGATTTATATAATTCTCTTGGACCCATCAACATATTTTGTTGTAGTCGGGTTATATCGAAGTGTGGGAAGTTTAGGCTAGCTGGTATTGATATTTCCGGGTTCTTTGGGGGATAATACTACAATTATAATAGAGATATAAACGTATAAACTCGATGATACCGGTATAGCAATATGTTGTTAATCTAGAAAATCAAGTGAGCGAGAAGATATGCTAACTAGAACCGGCGAAATCTATATTCTATTCAAAACGAAGACATTAATATTACATCCTCCCACGCCGTAAGCCTACCGGTCCGTTCAACTGTTATCGGCCTCGTGGGGGTCGTTGCTTGTGCCACGGACGGACATGGAATGCATAAGAAAAAAATCAAGATTTTCAACGTATACGGCGGCTATCTGCAACTCTGTCGAATCCAATCCTGACACGCTTAAAACTTTGATGCGTAGCTGCATTTAAGTTATTCCTGTAGAATCTGAGGTAGTTCTAGGCCTTTAGGCGTGAGGCTGATCAATTGGGACGTCTGACGTCTTGTCATTAGACTTGGATGTATGTTACCCCGCAATTAATCGTGCCTGAAAATTAGATGATTATCGGTGAATTGAATCGATAGCTCAACTATGGTAGCCTCGAATCTAGACGCTCTTGAGGCGGAGATATTATGGTATAACAGATTGGAAAAGATGTTTATACAAAGCTACACAACTCATGATCAATGTTTAGGAAATTTGGGACAAATTATTTTGGATATAGAATTTTGATTGTGAATAGTCATTTTCAAATTGTAAAAAGGATATTGCGAACCGTAGTGCGCCTTGGGATAGCTAATTGGAAATGATACCTAAAACATAAGAATGATTTAATTACAACGGTCGAAAAAGCGTCCTACCTCTCGAAACTCCTCTCCAACTTTGATTTCCATCCACCCGTAATCGTCTCTATTAACACGACAGGCGATAGCCTTATACCTTTTCCTACCCCGGTAGCTATCGTGTCTTGCCGCCCAATCGTCATGAGTAAAAATTACCTCTTCAAGATGGTGCAACTTATAGTCCACCGCGAAACATCTGGTCAAGTTGATTAACTCATTCGCTCCCATCAGGTCATATTTAGATCGTACTACAAATTCTGATATTGGCCAGTAGGTCCGTAGTCTGCGGATACCGGGTATCTCCGCGAGATTTTCGAAGTAGGAGTGATAATCTTTAATATTGCGGCTGGGCCCCCGCTCGTAGGAGATACTCACTTCTTCGATGTTTGGGAATTGGGCTGTGAGTTTTGGTAAAATGGATTTGGAGTCTTGTAGAGCAGGTAGGGACTTGATGTTTAATGATATGGATTTGACGAGGGGGAATGTGATGTTGTTGGATGGGAGGTGTAGCCATATTCTCCCCCAAAAGATGGCTTCGAGGGCCCAAGGGTTCATGTCGAAGTCGATCGTGCGAAGGGTAGCACCGGAGCATTGGATGAGCGAGAGGCTATAGAGGAATCCTTTGAGGGTAGTTGAAAATTCAAAGGAAGAAGTATAGCTGTGCCCCGTTGTGGAAAATTTGCTTTTTATGTCGAATATCTCGAGAGATGGGGGGTATGGGGGGGAAAGTTTGGATTTGGAATCCAGGCCAAGAAACTGCCTGTTCTCCTGGTCTTCTATCCCGCGAGAGAAGTAATCTGCTCTGGGAAACTTTCCTAATATATCAACACCGATACCGATATTGATAGATAGTCCCATAATAGACGTATATTTAGGGCAATGGATAGATAGGTGTGTGAAGAGTCCATTGAATAAACGGTCTTGGAAGTCCGGAATCGGAGTTAGGATCTCTTCTGGGAAGTCTAAGTTTATCCTCACAGTTTGGAGGTTGTGAAAATTTGCGAGTATCTCCGAGCAGGCTCTAAAATATCTCGTGATCTCGCCGATGGTTTTCGATATCTGAGAAGTTAGCGTTACATGAATGACGTCCATTCGGGCGAGATAGAGCGTGCCATTCTTATTTCTAGTTGATTCGGCCATTTGGTGATATAATTGAAGGCCTTCATATTCTTTTTTATCTTTGTCCCTGATCTTACTTTCAAGAATATCCGAGGGGATGGTGAGGCTCTGAAACATGATGGAAAGGGCTAACCGCCGGCATGATTTAGATGAGGCTGAGAGCGTTTTGATATCTTCGAGCCCTAGATACGATACGATCTGTAGAATGATTTCGGTAGGGAGGCAAGTGAGGGTGATTGGAGCTAACTGAGGCATAGTTGAAAGACTAACACGTGTAAATACTCGAGCTGATTTGAGCTGAGAGGTTCTGTTCTGGCTACGAGACAAGCTTTGGGGTCTTTGGAGCTATAAGTTGATGAGTCTGACGAGGAGACAATTGACAACTCTCAGGGTGTGTTGTTTGAGGTTGGGAATGTTGGGCAAATAGGCGTTACACACGATGGAAGGATTTGTCTGTTTAGGGCAATATCGGCCGAGCAAACATCTAAACAACACACTTGCCAAATCAAGCTTCTGTTTGATGGTGGAGAAGTCTATCTGCATCATTTCCTTCAACTCTACCGAAACTCACAGGAACTATCAACCATGGATGACGACGACCTCCAAAAGATCCGGCAAGCTCGCCTGCAGCAGCTTCAGCAGGAGCAAGGAAGCTCGGGAGGTGGGCAATCTGATCAACAGGGGTGAGCTCTATCTCTTCCAACCCTCTATTTCGAATTCCCACCGGTCACCCCGCCCCCACCATCTCCATCATTACGAATATCAGATATATAGCTAACCACCACAAACATATAGCGCCCAGCGAGAAGCCGAAACCGAAGCTCGCAAATCCATGCTCTCCCAGATCTTGACTCCAGAAGCAAACGACCGCCTTGGTCGCATCGCACTCGTCAAAGCCGATAGAGCACGTGATCTTGAAAACCGACTGATTATGATGGCAAGGGCAGGTCAGATACGGCAAAGGATTACGGATACCGAGCTCAGGGGTATGCTTGAGAGTGCTAGTGGGACCGAGGGAAAGAAAGAGGAAGGAAAAGTCGTTTTTAGGAGAAGAGGTGGTGGATTTGACGACGACGATGACGATTGGGATTAACGGCTGCCCATGGCTCTTCTCTCAGACTTTGCTTTCGGTTTGATGCATGTCTTTTGATTTGGGTGACTCTTTCTGTATATTTTTTTCTTACAGCATGGATAGGAGTGGGAAGCTAGTGCTTCTATTTGCATTTGGGATTTAGGTACTCCATATACCTTAAAATCTCATGTCGATTCAAGGTTACGACACCAATACAATATACCCTTGAGCATAAACCAACGAACATTGAACGTGGAACATCTTCAGCCTCACCGAATAAGGTATAGTAATCCCAGAATCAACCTCACAACCATGAGAACAATTCGCACGAAACTTTCGCTCCGGAATGCTAGTCAATCAAGCCTTGAAGTCGGGGTACGGAGCTTACATAAGCCGAGTCGATGAGTGTAGCCTGATCCTACCGCGAAACATGCCGCCAACTGGAAGTTTGTTTTGGACGCGCCAGCAGCCGTGTATCCAGCGGGCAGCTTTCATTTCCCGTCTTCCTCAAAATCGATAGATTGCTACATAATCCTAGTATGATGAGTCATCAGGTAGCATGCCAAGGAGCTGACTAAGGCCCCTAATATGCAACATTGCAACGACAAACCTCCACATTCTAATGCAGCGACGGCAGTTGCTATGCGAAATCCTTTCAGCCAAGTTTTGTGTGAAAAAGGGTTTGAAAGATGCTCGAAGTGGAGAACGGTAAGTTACGGAATTAAGGCGGGGGTCTTTGATAGTTCTAAATTCTAAATTCCGCGAATACATGTGACCTCGTGAACCCCTTTTGCTCGGAAGTACATGCGCGGAAAGTCTATAAATTAAGCTCTATCGCGCCGTCTTTTGCTATTCTGCTCCTACATTCACCAGTATACACATTCCTCAAAGCGATATCCAGTTCATTGCCTTTGCAAATTACTTCTCTATTCCCATTAAAATCTACTTTGAATCAGGAAACTTCCTGTTAAACTCTTCAAAATTCCGATCCTCCCGTTCTCAACCCACTACTTCACCTACCCCCTCCTCAGAATGCCTATCGATCACTTTGGAATCCGTATTCCCGCCTCAAAGTGGGCTGCCACAACTGCCTTCTATGAAAAGGCTCTTGCACCCTTAAACTACACAGTCCTCGCAACCTTCGTCGACGGCGACGTCCTCGGTCTAGGTGACAAACACCCAGACCTCTGGCTCACTAAGGTTCCAGATAGCGCTAGTGTTGGCGACGGAACACACTTCGCATTCACGGCTGAGAAGAGGGAACAAGTTGAAGCGTTCCATACGGAGGGTGTTAGTAGTGGAGGATCCTGTAATGGACCACCGGGGTTGAGACCTCATTATGGACCTACTTACTATGGAGGGTTTGTGTATGACCCTGCTGGAAACAATGTTGAAGTTGTTACCCATTCTCTTCAGTAATTAAAGGGAGAGAGTGTGTGCTTGTGTTCTAGCCGTGTACTATAACGTTATTTTGTCCCCGTTGTACACGTGTTCAGGTGTGGAAAGAGTCTGAAGTCTTTGGCGGCGGGGGATTGGCGTATTGTTTTTTTATTTTGTATTTAATCGGTTTGAATAGGCGCTGAGTAATTAAAGTCCTGGGTCTATCACTATACTTCTCGCAGTTAATCTTGCAACTATCTTGCAGTATACGTAGGGAAAAACTGAAATGATCTTAGACTGATCAAATATTGTGTACCTTGATGCTGCTGCCTTTAACATCTCATGAAGAGACCAACACCGAAAATACAACATTGGAGATATCCATCTTTGAGTCGTAGCGTGCTTTTCTTACTCAAGATATAGTTATTAACTTATCAATGTGATATAGAGCATGCGCAAGTTCGTATAGCCACTGACTGCTGGTGACTTGCAACTTGCTTTTGGTATTGCTACAACTCCTATGGGTCAACCATATATTCAAGCAATGGCCTATTGATATATATCCAAATTAAAATGGTCCGCACCACGCCATGGGATATGGTTCCTAGGCCGTACTTCGTCTTGTAACCTTCCCCACTATTTTTATCGTCCGTTCTGCCCCGAGTCCTTTGAAAATTCCGGCGAACCTGCTAGACAGAAAAAAGATCTCACAAAAGAGCTCGCAGCCGGGCGCAGGAGCCGGTACTCGAGAAGATTCCCAAAAAGATTTCTACCGTCAGAGGCAGGATTCTATGAAAATTTAAAATGGAAACACAGATGAATGCAAGTGCTTTAAAATATGGAGTGATAATATTAGTAAAGAAGTGGTTTCCATTTCCGAGAAAGAATAACCTTCAGGATGTTAATTGTGAGGTGTGGTACGTTTGTGGTTTGCATCATATATATGAACCCAGCAGCGCTAATACCTATACACTATCGACCATGCAATGATGAGATTAAAAGGCCATCAACGACACACCTTTCAGATGGTTAGCGCATATGCGCATATTGATAGATATATCATGACAATATTGTGGCTTTTGGTGCGCATGTGTCGCTCATACTGGAGAATATCTGGCGTGCTTATCCGTTCTGAGGCATTTCCGAGCTTATTTTTGTATATTGTCCACATCGTTCATTTATTTGATCGGGTTCCACAAGGACCTATTAGCTGTGACCTCAGTTCTTCCCGACGGTGCGACGTCAATACTAGTTCTAGATGGTATCGCATCAATTTGTGTATACCTAATATTAATCTCGATCAATCTTCAGACCTTCATAGGCGAATTAGTATCTAGATCAAGATCGACACACGGACCCATCGTTCGAAAGAAGGTTATAGATATTTCCATACCAACAACTATAAGAAATCAATGCAATGGTTTGCCAACTACCACCCTCTTATCCCGAGATAATCGATGATTCATGGGAACCATGGTCCCACGACCTCCCTCAAAACCTCCCGGGTCGGTATATACCCTACGAAACCTTCATAATCGCCTCCCCGACATCCCCGGATTACGTCCAAGACACACTATTCCCTGCAAACCCATGTCGGAATGTAAAGCCCTTCATTACCTTATGTCTGGCCCACATACCCACCGGAAGGAATCTACCCCGCACTATCCATTGTCTCGTATATGGCTGGTGTTGGATGTTGTTTGATACCGTTCGTGGGAGATTGGAGACACAGTGGAGGTTGGGGTTGAATATCCCATCGGCGTTGAATTACGATCCCACGAGAAATCGGTGGGGGGTTCCGTGGACGGATAAAATTAGAAGAAACATGTTTGGTAAAGGATGGTGGTATAGAGGGACGAGAGGGAATATCCTCAATACAATTCAAGGTGCTGTGAGGAAAGTGGTAGACCTTACTAAGAAGAAGCCGAAGATGGGTGTATGGAAGACGGCGGATGGGGAATATATGGCGAACCTGGACGTTAGTAGGTTCTTTTCGGTGAATTGGCAGGAATATAGAAATAGGACGGGGAGACCATGGAAGTCAGTCTTTATGCCTTGTCCTTGTGGACATTGTCAACGTTTAAGACGACATCAAGCTTTAAACAACCCATCGGAGCCCCAGCTTACTGAGCCCGTGACGGCGGAATGATATCCGTTACGTTCTTAAAGAGATTATTGTATGGCAAAATGTTTTATCTATCCTTTGTATCAAGAAGTTAATTATATACAGAATTCTCAAGAAGTTTCAGGCCACTCCCCAAATAAAGAAGCACCCCCAATAAAAAGCAAGCTCCGCCAATGTCTATCAGTGTGGCTCCTCGTATCCAGTTATCCTTGAGCTATGTACATCTCCCTGCCCCCAGCCCGAAGTTGATTTTGACACCTGGGCACCCCTTGTAAAAAAGAAAAATCAATAACTTTTTGGTTTGTTATTCCCGTGTGTCGCTATCTTACAGATGTAGAGTTGTAGTTCGAATAAAGGAGTGAATCCAGGATTGAGGAGAGAAGTATTAGAGCCCCGCAAGGAAAATATTCAAAAAGATAAGGGTATCCTAACGCCGGTTTAATATGAATGTTTTTGGTCTCCTGTAGAGACGTTGGAAACATAAGTGATTTGTGTATTCAGCCATAGCTAGAAATATCATTGATGGCTTCTAAGCTTTCGAGAGATTGGAATCTGTGCCTAACATTCGGAGTATGATTTCATACCTAGATGTCACTTATGTCAGTTATCATGCTAATAGAGGCAATTTAGGGTGATGTATACTCACATTCCGAACATAATCATCGAACTAGGAACCACCTTCAAAACATGGCTTGTCAAACCGCCATACATTGATGCCATTCCTTCCTCCTTCAATACCAATTTGAAGCACTGTACCAATCCTGTGTACTTCGGTTTGCCATCGCTCATAGGTGCTTGACGCAACCTTGTCCTTACTACTTCGTGTGGGTACGTCACGGCCGTAGCGATCAACTTCGCCAGACCGGCCGCACCGCCCCTCCCAACATAACTAAGCGTGATGTCCGCCAAATCCTCCTCCAATCCAGCGGCTATCCTTCGCTCCTCACGATGCGTAAGAGCGAGCTTCATTCTTTCGTAGAGTACCCATTGTAACGTCGACTCAGTAACACCAAGGTAGCTTGCGCTTAAACCTTTGTATAATCCGCGAATACCCTCATGTCGGACGGTTTGCCTGATACAGTCCCATGAGTTTTTGTATTGTCTCGAATAAGTCGAACCGGTTTTTGCGAGAGCAGTGTCCTTGTCTAGTTGCAAACGAGTTTTGACGAGCCAGATGGGATTCGTAGCGGTGCCGGTTACGAGGCCAGCGATGATGGCAGCGGTGAGGTGGACGCCGGTCGATTCCTGGCCATTGTTGAAGTTGTCGGCGAGGATCCGCTTGCCGTTTCCGTATGTCCAGAAATTTATTGATCTATGAGGATCGTTAGAAATGAAATTAAGCCTGAAGAGTAGTAAATATGGAAGACATACCGTGCTGGAACGACACCGATCAAATTTGGCCCCAATCCTTTGAAAAGAGCTCTCCAGCCCTCGAGCTTGTAAACCTCACTGGGGACTTATATTAGCACTCTATAAACCTTAATAAGAGTAATTCAGTCTAGAATAGCTTACTTTAATAACTGAAATGTTTCCTTGAAATGCCGTAGTCCCATACTGACAGCACTTTCGTGTCCAGTCAAAGCGGCATTTCTGGCAGCAATTCGGCTTCTATAGAAGTCTCCTTGTAACCTTGTCTTCAATACATCCAATGGCGATGTAACAATCGCAGCACTCATTCCTCCAGCCCTGATTTCACAAGAAACATTAGCCCTTTGTTCACTTCCAGTGGCATCACCAACCCCATTTTGCACTCCCCGCGGTGGGGTTGCGGGAAGGTGGCGTGGTGGGGTGTGTGTCGCCCAAAGAAAAGAAAAAAACCTACCCTCCAGCGATAAAATGAGCAAAAGACTTCCCAACCAACGGATTGGTTGTATTTGTAGGTTCAACATCGGGACGAGGAAGAGCAGCACCGATCTCCCTGTCGATAGAGAGGTTTCGAGGTTCGTGGGATTCTCTATGGTGATGACGATGTGGTGGTGGAACGTGAATTGCCGCTGAGGCGTCCGAGCTTGCCAGTCCAAGACCCATGGCTGCTGAAAATTTTATGCTACAATCGAGATACCAGGAACCACGGAAAGGTTGATATTACGGAGGGAGGGAGAGAAGTGTACGGAGGATAATGTGTTATAGAATATTGATTGAGACTGGAGTTATCATCTTTCGGAGGTTGAGGAATGGAAGATGAAGTAATTTTGTGAGGTTCTTTTTTTTTTTTTGGTTTGGGAGGTTGCGTCGCTATTGAAGCTGTCTGTCTCGCAAAATTTTGTATTTGGGCGGCCGAATTTTTTGGAGCCAAAGATCCCCACATGCAGTTAGCCCGAAATGAATCCAGGCATTCCCATTCGCTGATTTACCACGATGCCTGCTCGTTTGGATGGAATTCTTGGCCACTGGTATTCTGAGCTCTCCCGGGTGGTATGACGAAAAAATTGCGACTTTTTGGTTTTTGCTGGATTTGGCTTAGGCGGTGTACGGATTATTTATTATATTCTAAAGAGTCTAGCCTAGTCTACGAGATCTAAAATTTTATGTAAACGGTATTATACGGGCACAGCATATTTCATGAGAGTCGTATCATGACTATCCATTATCGGTATCGTAGATAATTGACAGGAGGGATATACACAGGCACAGTAGAGGATGAGTATAAGGTAGAGGTTCTAGGATGTGTCTGATGCGGTTCAAGGTATGGCGAGAGGATGAGGATGAGGATGAGTATCAAGTCGTAGAGAAGAAACGCCGTTATGACCACGTGAAAAAAAGGAAAAGAAAAAGAAGCTCGACAAGTTAAAAAAAAAGGTAGTATATAATAAGAAGCCGAAGAAACAACAGTTCCTTTTCCCAAAAACTTTTGAGAAAATGAAATAAAATGAAATTAGATTGTTGTCTCGTATGGGATAGGAACAATGGTCTGGGGCAGGTTATCGGTCGTCTTCACTGTGTGGGCTTCCCTTGGGAGAGGGATCTGTCTCTTCAAGTGGACGTGCTCGCCGTTCTCCTTGGCTGCTTTTCTCTTAGCAGCATTCTCCTTGACTCGTCGGACGAACTCTTCACGGCACTTGGAGTGGTGGATGTGCTCGATACGGATGTTGACACGCTTCTCGATGTAGCGGTTGCCGACCTTCTTGTGGACGATGACGCCGACGGAGGACTTGGTAACGTTGTAGACGATACCAGTCTTTCCGTGGTAGACCTTGTATGGCATACTATATAGCAGAGTTAGTCCCTCTTCTACCATATTTCCCAATATTCAAACGGACGGCAAGCTCTCTTGGGACAAAGAGAGATGGTGATAATGCCGCCGCAAGGTATGACTAACCCCTTCTGCTGAGCACCGTTGGCTCTGATATCGACAATATCTCCAACCTAATAGCGATTCCATAAAACATCAGAATTCCATCATTCTTTCGTATATATATCGACCAACGATTCGTTCGAGTTTGAATGTACCTTGTACTGCTGGAGGTATGTCGACAGGGAGATCATTCCCGTCTTCTTGAAGCCCCGGGAGAAGGCATAGCGAGTACCAGCGCGGAGACCACCTATCAATCAATCCATCGTTTAGCTTCCAGTCCAACAATCAATCAATCATCCGACCCTCCACGTCTTCTTCATCATCTTCTTTTCAAAGTCGGAAAAAAACTGGAGTAAAAACCGGCGAAAAGTTGAAGTTGTCCGTACCTGATTTACCCATTGTGTCGGATTAGAGGTATCGTGAGGGAATGGGGAGATTCGATAGAACGGGGGGTAGCGGGAGTGTCGATGGATTGTCGATGGATGGATTGGAGATGTTTGAATCCGACTGTGATAGCAAGAGAATCGATTTTGGTGTTGCCGACAAATTGTGGTGCGGTCTTGGCAACCATCCCTGTTTGGGACTAGTTGGCAGTCCAATCAGGGCAGCAAGTGACTGTCTTTTTTCTCCCAGTTGCGAGGGAACACAACTTTTTCTGTTAGGCGAAAACTACCATCTCCAAATCTTCAATCTCCAACCTCAGCTCTATTCACGACATACGACCGCCCCTTCGAGCTTCAACTACCCAGGCTCTTACTAACCATCCAGCATGCCTCGCGCTCCGTAAGTTTCGCCAGTTACCGACTTTTTCGTATTCACCAGAGATTGGATAATCGGAATGTTAACGTTGGATATCACCATAGACGAACCTACTCCAAGACCTATAAGGTCCCCCGTCGTCCCTTCGAGTCCGCTCGTTTGGACTCCGAATTGAAGATCGTACGTTGCAGGAAACGGGATATCTATATCTCCTCTCAATCCTATAATTCAATATGAAGAAAAAAAGATAACATATATACTAACAACTGGTTATACAGGTTGGTGAATACGGTCTCAGAAACAAGCGTGAAGTGTGGCGTGTCATGCTCGTACGTTGAATGACCCGCCCTGAGAATCCATTCTCAGCCCATACAGTCCACTCTTATGCCTTCATGGCATCATGATGACTTGTTGGTTAACGCTCGCTTTTTTCCCGAAACAATAGACCTTGTCCAAGATTCGTCGTGCTGCCCGTCAGCTTCTTACCCTCGACGAGAAGGACCCAAAGCGTCTGTTCGAAGGTAACGCTTTGATCAGACGATTGGTCCGTGCCGGTATTCTCGATGACTCCCGTATGAAGCTCGATTACGTCTTGGCCTTGAAGATCGAAGATTTCTTGTAAGTTTATATATTATATTCTGCCTAAAGATGGGATGGTATCGTTGCCGTATATGGGATACTAATCGGATATTGTTATGTGAATAGGGAGCGAAGATTACAAACCCAGGTTTACAAGCTTGGTTTGGCCAAGTCGATACATCATGCTCGTGTCCTCATCCGTCAACGTCACATCCGGTATGTAGTAGTCTCTCTATTTTCTTATACATATACATATTGTATATTATTTTCGTTGGACAAAATTTCTAACAGTTTGATGTCCTATGCAGTGTTGGCAAGCAAATCGTCAACGTCCCATCCTTCGTTGTCCGTCTTGACTCCCAGAAGCACATTGACTTCGCTTTGACTTCTCCATTCGGTGGTGGCCGTGCCGGTCGTACCAAGAGAAAGAGAAGCAAGGCCGGTGAGGGTGGTGAGGGTGGTGATGATGAGGATGAGGAATAAACTATCTCGTCTCGTCATCTTTTCGTCCCTCCTTGAAGCATTATACTCCTTTTCTTTTATGTATATCATAATTCACACACACTTTTCACACCCTTATCTTTCCTTTTAGAAGCTACTCTTTGTTATGCTGGGGTATCTGGGGTTTTTGTTAACGGGTGGTTTCCGCATTATACGGTTCTAATGTCCCCATATGAAGGTCAATGACACCGAAAAAACAGTCTGCTATTAGTACCACAGGCTGAAAATTTACATGAACAAACAAATAACTACCAACTCTCCTTCATAAGAAATAAACCGTAAACTATCAAAACTCCCCAGAGCCGTGAAAATTCTGATACCAATGAATATTTGGGTACAAAATCTCATAACTTCCATGAAAGGAAAAGCGTTGACCCAATATACCCTTATCTTATCAGTCACGTGAGCATTAGGGCACAAAAAGCAGCTGCCACCAAACGGGACAAACGCCCAGCGAATGTGTGGGAAAGTTCTCAACACCCCAAATTTGACCTTGAAAGAACCTATCCGACGACCCCATCGACGACATACCCATCCCCCCATCGACACCCTTTTCGACACCTCCGTATGTACTATTCTCCGAAGAACAATTTCCATATCAAATTGAATCCATCAACTCTGACAAAATTTTATTCTATCCAGAAATTCCCGTCTCATCCGACAAAATGACCAAGGGAACCAGCTCCTTCGGCAAGCGCCACGTTAGTACACCTGGAATTCACTTGTCGATGCTTCCTCTCTGTCTTTCGCTCTCTGTCTTTTTCTCCAAGGGAATCAATGGGTTTCGATGTTCGGATAGATGGTTTAAGAGATGGTTATATTGAAGGATATTGCAACATGTTAATTGAAGAATTGGAGAGAAAGATAGAGGGCTGGCAGCAGATGCGGGAAGGCTACGGCTTTGAAGCTGAGAGATGAATGCTGATGGATTATGGGCTGGATTATAGAACAAATCGCACACTCTGTGCCGTCGCTGCGGACGAAGGTCGCTTCACATCCAGAAGCACACCTGCTCATCGTATGTTCAATTCTTCAAAATATTCAAAGTCGGGTTTTTCTTCGGATTCTAACATCAGATTTCTAGATGCGGTTACCCAGCTGCTAAGACAAGAAAGTGTACGACATGATACCCTCGAACCCCTCGAACTATAAAACAAAGACTCTCGTCATACTAATTACTTTTCGAAATATTATAGACAACTGGTCCGAGAAGGCTAAGCGAAGAAAGACCACCGGTACCGGCAGAATGAGATACCTCAAGACCGTCAGCAGACGGTTCAAGAACGGTTTCCAGACTGGTACTCCACATAACGCCCGCGGACCAACCAAGACCGGTGCTCCAGAGGCTGCTAAGGCGGAGTAAATTTGATAATTTTCTGGCGCCGTGTGTCTCTTCCTCTTTTTTTCGTACTTTTTTTTTCCACCTATGTCCATTATTATCACTATTACTCTCTGTGTTCCCTTTTTATCTTTATATAATGCATGATACCGATTTCTTGTCGTCATGATCATTATTCCTCCTTCTCCTCCTTCTCCTGCTGCTCTGGTCGGTTAGCATTTACGACTGAGAGAACAAAAAGCCTCCTCCTCCTCCTTACGACCTCCCTCTAGATAATGAGCTTTTGGGATTTGCACTTATCCTAGAGCACCACTACTACCCACTACCACTATTGTCATGTACATTCTAGTCCTTTATGGGGTTTTTATCAATTCATGGATATGCTGGTGTTTTTGTTCCCGCCAAATGACCTAAAACGAAGTCCAACAAGTGACCCACCTTGAATGTGGATATCTTATAATACGGTAGAATAACTCTATGATATTACTATAGAGTGTGTCTAGACTAGTGTAGATTGATCGTAAGCTTAAGGCATGAATAAGTGGATAGGATATCAAAAATGCCTAAGAAATGGGTATCATATGCTCGCACAGGACAAATACAAGAACCGTCTCCCTTCTAACAGACCATACCATACCAAATATACCCCCTCCAATATTAAATATTATAACTCATACTCTTCTTAACCAACATCTCCTTCTGCCGTTTCTCCAACTCCAGCCTTTCAACCGCATATGCCAACCGTTGTCTCTGCGCCTTCAATTTCCTCAAAATTTCTTCATTCTTCGCATCTTCCTTCCTATCAATCTCTTCCCTGTCTTCTTCTTCTTCGTCTTCCTCAACCTTAATCGGTGTAGTATCCGCGGCGGATTTATTCTTTAAAGTATTTGCTATCCTTGTTTCTAATAACTCCGCATCGGCGATTAATTTCCTCTCTTTGAGTTCGAGTTTATGTACTGCCTTCTCGGTTTCTCGGAGTAAACGGTCGGTTTCGGGTTGGATTGTGGAGGAGAGGAGGGTTTGTGCGGTTGTTAGTTCTCCGGCGGAGATTAGTTCGAAGTGCTGTTTTTTTTTATAAAAAAATTATTAAATACTATATAAGTAAATTGTCTTTCTTTCTTTCTTTCTTTTATTCTTTTCGTATGGGTGATTTCATCGAAGGGAGAGGTGGAAGTTTTGACATACGCGATTTGAAGATAAGATCTTGCAGACGCGAGGGTAGTCTTCGACTGCGGCGGAGAGGGTTTCGATTGTGGATTGGAGGGTTTCGGTGGAGAGGGTTAGAGAGGCTACGCAGCCGGAGAGGGCGTTCATCTTTGGAGTCCTTTGATGTCCCCAAGTACGTATACTTTACTGGGGTAAGTTGGTGGGGTTTAGTTGGAGGTTTGGAACTTGATCTTGAGATCGAATGGAGCTTAAGCTAAAGCTGTTGGTTACAACCTCAACGCAGATGTTGGTATAATATATAGTAATATTAGACTATGATCAGAAGGTTACAACGGTCAAAGAAGTTGGTTTAAAAACGCCCGCTCTAATGCTCAGAATCTTCCAAAGAAATAAAATGAAAGAAATAAAAGAAAGAGAAAAAAGAACGCCTGTAAATGCTCCCTCCACTAGTAAGTTACCAGTTCTTTCCTTTTACAAGTAGGAAGGTAGGTAAGAGGTAGTAGGTAACTAATAATCTTAGTCGTCAAACTTAAGCAGAGGAAAAGTGATTAATTTCAACCACCTTTCTTCAGCTGAATACAAGTCGCCGCTGCTTCATTCCTCAGCTCTTTATTCTCTAGTATATTATGCACTCTCGCCTTCTTATTCATGACTTCAGCTTGCATCCCCTTATCCCCTAGCTTCCCATACTCCACAAAACATTTATCCAACATCTCCAACCCTCTTCCCAGAAATTCCGCCCGTTTCTTCTTATCATTTGCTTCTCTCCCCGCCATCCCCACTTGTGCATCTGCCAGAATGCTCAAGCAGGTTCCATTAAGCTGTGCATCCTCGCACTCCAATATCTGCGGCATAATCGAGTCTAGCAGAGCATAAGCAACAGCGTACTCGTGCATCTGTATCAATATATTCGCCAACACAGCATTGGCAAGGTATAGCACGGCCAGAATTTTAGCTCTCCAAGCTATAGCAGCAGCTCTAAGTGTCAAACTTAACGCTTTAACCGCTCTGCCGCATTTTGCTAGCACTTGGGCTTTGTATAGCATAACCCGTAGTCTGGGTCCTATGTCGGCCTTATCACGTTCCATGTCTTCGGCATAGGTATTTAGGAGGTCTAGTGCTTCCGAGAAGTTGTGGCGGGCCATGTGTAGTTGGATTTTACAGAGCTGGATCTCAGCAATGCAATCGGGCTCTGTACTTGATGCTGATAGGAGCTGTTGGAGGTTGTATTCTGCTGCTGTAAAATCGCCGCTGTATAAACTATATTAGAATTATATGTCCTGATAAAAGATTCGGGGAGGGAATGTGGATGAATGGAATACCGGAATAACTCCCTTCTCAATCGGATCAACCCCCCATAGGTAGCCCAATATTGATAATACTTCAATGTCCTTAAACTCTCCACATCGATATTCTCCAGCCTTTCCAATGCCTCCTCGAATCTCCCCTTCTGTGCGATCAAGAAAGCTGTTCGGCACTGGGCTTTCACTAGATCCTCCACCGGCGAATTCTTCCGGTATTTGGCCACAAACAATTCACATCCGAGCATGGCAGCATAATTAATGCCTAGTCGACTCCAGACTGCTGCTTGTAATACCATCTGTGATCCAAAAGCGTTTTGAATGCCCTTTGATACGTTCAAATGCGAACTCCTCAAAAGGCTTTCAAACGCAAATCCCAGTGACTCAGCACCTGCGAGTGCCTGTTTTGCTTCCGAAAGATGCGCCATAGACTGCAAATGGTGCATACCACTTTCCTTCGCCTTCACTTTCAAAAAGCTAAGTGACTCTCGCTCCATTCTTGCAGAAATGACATCCGGACAATCCTGCGGATGTGCTTTGTGGAAATGATACAGCCATGATAGTGCAAAATTCAAACAAGCGACGTCTTTATTCTCGCGCGCAGTATTTACGGTTTCCTGCATGGCTAATATCGATTCTCTGTTACACCCAAAATCTGCCTGCAGTATAGCTAGATTCAGAAGGGCATATTGGTAAAAGGTTCGGTCGCGGGTATGCATTGTGTAATCGAAGTATTGATGTAAACATTCAAAAGAACCCTGGTAATCGCCTGACCTCCAGGCATTTAGAAATTCGACATAGTACTGAAGGTTTGGCTTGGACGCTCTACTGTCCAGGATCGCCTTTAGTTGGTTTTGCATCCCTTCGGGGACTCGGGTGCCTAGGCGTTGCATGCAGTCTACCTGGAATTCGAGAAGTTTTTCAACGTCGTCGACAGAAACCATACCGTGCGCCTTTTCGCCTTGAACCTTCATGTCGTCCACGATTCCGTACAGGTGGCGGACGAGTGGGTGGTCGATGGGTAAACCGGCAAGGAATTTATCATTGTAGGTATCCACTGTGTTAATCTGACCGGTCGAGTGGGCCAGACTTAAGTTTCGTTTCTTCCATTGGGGTAAAGTAGGTTCGCGGTAGGCTATGAAGCCCTGCCATAGCTGGATTGCTTCGGCGAAGGGCATACGTGAGAACTCGAGCGTTGCACGACGGATAAAAGCACCAATAACGCTGTTCCGGGTGAAGAAGCTACGGTCGCCATCGCTTCGGATATAGGTCTTTTCGGCTTGTTTGGGGTCTGCGAGGTAGGATTCCAGGTTGACAACAAAGTCGTGTAGAGCATCGTAGGAGTTTAGTTCCCAGAGTTTCCTGAGAAGGAGATCGTAGATAGTACGGCCGGTGATGGCAGATTGTTCTTGAACTGTTAGCTTCTGGAGAGCTTCGAGACTTATAGCGGCCGGAGGGGGGGAATTCTGGGTAGACAGCTGGCCACGGTTGGCGATAAGGTGCTGCAGGACAAATGTGAGGACAGGGATGATGGAAGGAGATGGAATTCGGTTTTCGGTGTAGAGAGAGATGAGGGCGAGGAGGGCCAGCTTGCCCGGCGTCAGGTAACGGCCGGTGGTGGGGTCTCGAGGAGGGCGAGTGGCCGCTCCATGGTTCTGCATTGTTCGCTATCCACTAACTATCGACCAGGACGGTACCTTGCATGTCTTAAAATACAGGTCAATTGACAGAAGTATGTCTTGGAAGTCGGAAACACCTGTGAGCAGGTTAACGACCCTAATAGATGCAAGCTTAGTTAGTATAATTCGTGATTTATATCATGATGCTCTTGATTGGTTGGTTGGTTGATAATGTCAGTACTTGCCTGGGGAGGTTGAAGTTGAGGTTGAAGTTCAAAGCTGCAAGTTGGTGGCGCGTAGAGTTGTTTGCGACAAAGCGACAGCGGGAATCGTTATAACAGGCCACCGTTAGTGTTCCCACCATCTCCATCCCATCATCATCAACCATCACCACCAACCACCATTCAACCACCGTCATCACCAATAGAAACCCCAAACCTCGAGGACTTCGAAAAGAATATTAGAAAAGATGTCGACTCCATCGAAACAATACCTCTCTAGCGGCCAGGTCATGCAGAGGTAAGCTGTTCCTTCAACCACAATTCCAAGCCTTCTTCTATGTCATTACTAATGTTATACAACAGCCCACCGCTCACTGCCAGAATCACCCGCTTCACTGAGTCCGCAATCCAGTTTGTCAGCCTTTACTTCGTCACTCTTCTCTCCGTATGTTCTCCTATAAACCTCGTAACCAAGAGTATCTAAGTTTATCAAGTACATCCATACTAACTAAATATAGTTCGACTCCTACGGATCCGCCGAATCCTCATCATTCGCAACCCAAAACAACGCCGCCCTCCAGGGTAGCGGTCCAAGGGGCAACGGTACTGCCGGGTTCGGTGGCGGCGCTGGAAGACCTGATCCTCGTGGTCCTGGTAGACGATTGGGAACCGTCGATTCAGTCAGAGGACCGGAGTGTAAAAGCTGTCAGTAAACATCGTACTGTCGGCACCTCTGTACTTGTATGCACCACGTTTTATTCTTTATTCTCTGTATGATAGTATTTGAGGCTGCTAGTGCTCAAGGCATAGTAGCAACGTTGGTATCGGCTTTGTTTGGGAAGAGCGGAGGGATCGTTTGAATTTGGAGTATTTTGGGATTGCTATTGAAATTCAAATATATCATTGCTTGCATCATAACATATAGAAATTATCTATATTTAAAATATCATGGGAAACCATAACCTCCCAGTCCATCTAGTAACCTAGGAAAACATGAGGCAAATAATAGAAACACAGAGAAAAAAAGGCGAACAAAGAAGAGATCGCACGCCAGGATTCGCATCCGTCACTATAAATAACATTAAAGTGATACAAACCGTCGCCGTCGCTAGGTATATATTAAACAAGTATTATGCTACCCAAGAGAAAACAGAGGGAAGATGAGAAGCAGATAATAGCCTCACGAGCACAAAAGTCGGCCAATCTAATCTGACGTAGCTGGTGGAGGGGGGGCTGGTGACAATGTTTCGTCATGACTCTCTCGCTCTGCGACAGCAGCTGCAATTGATACTTCATGGTTTTCCAGATCTTTATCGATTAGTTCGTCTTCTCCTTCATCGGATGGAGATTTGCGTTTTAGAGGATTAGCAGATGGACTTGCCGCCGCTGTCTCTTCGGTAGTGGTGGTGGGAGGTTGAAGTGGTGTCGGACTTTTTACAGCTGGAGCAGGAGCTTCGACGGTAGGAATGGGCTCTGGAACTTCTTCAGGGGCCACTTCCACGACTGGTTCGGGGGCCGTTTCTTCCGGAGTAGGTTCCTTGATTGCTGCAGGAGCTGCAACGGGGGTAGGAGACTTGATCTTCTGCTCGACAACCTCAGCGATCGATGGGATGGAAGCAGCAACTGCTGGAGTCGGTGATGAAACCTCCATAGGTTCCACTGTTTCTTCCTTCTTAACCTGAGCTGCTGCTGCCGCCACCGCCGTGACTTCTAGAGTTGCCGCTTCTCCAAGAGGAGTAGCCTCGACATCATTCTCCCCGTCCCCGTCTTCCCCATCGTTATCTTGATCATCAGGAGTTCCGTCTTCGGCATCCCCCATTTCAACATCATCTTCACCCTCTCCTTCTCCATCTCCATCCCCTTCACCCTCTCCGCCGTTTCCAGCTGTCCCACTTGGTGTTGCATGTCCCTCACCCGTCGGCAAAGCCCTGCCATCCTCGGAGAAAGTAACCATCTTCTTAAACCCAGGTTTTCTTCCTCTACCAGGCTTCCTCTTCGGTGGCGGTGGACGTCTCTTAATCGGCTGCGCGGGCGAAGCAACAACTCCATCCACAGCAACCCCTGGCACTGGAACCTCAGTATACATCTCCTCCAACTCTTCCTCTACAATTATAACCTTCCCATTAACCATCTTCCTCACCAATCTACTGTGTCGACTGAATGTATCCGGCGGTCGTCCCAAATATTCAGGCTCGGCAGGTTCATCTTCACGTGCAATAACCGTCCATTTGTTTGTCATGAATAATCGAGTGCTCCCCGTTATCTTCTTCTCGGTCGAAATATCCTCCGCTGCTTCTTCATCCTGTGGTTTTCCCAACGTCCCGTTTCGAGCAGCTTTGAGAAGAGTTTGGGACATAGGGGTTAGGAGGTGAGTTTCCTTCGGTAGGGGCAATTCGGGTGGGGGTGGTGGGGGCACGTTCTTTTTGGCGTACCACATCCATTGTCTGTTCCAACGACGGATGGGTAGGCCTTCGAAGACGTCATGATCGAATTGTTGTTGATTACGGACGGCACGGCGCGATTGGCCGGTCGGTCGATACTGTTCTCTCCTGGTAGATTAGTACCTGATGTTTCTAACTATGTGTCTCAACCCGAAATGGGCGGGAGGTGTATAGGAGAGATAGTGGTATGTACGAGTGGGACAGCCATGGCTACGAAAGAATACCAAGGCTCTTTATCTTTAGATTTATCTTCGTTTTAAAAAAACTCCAAGAGAATAAAATTCGTTATCGAAGAGGGGGGGCAAAAAAAAAACCGCGCGAAAGTTACTTAGGCAGGTATGTAGCAGGTGATATCGTGATGTGAGAGGAATCAGACGGGACGAGACCGGGGGAAAGAGAGGTAGAAGAACATACAAACGAAGTCCTGGCGCCCGACATTTTTTTGATTTTTTTTTACTTTATTTTTCCCTTTTTCCTATTTTCCGTTAAGTCACGAATGCGAACCGTGACAATACGTAAACGCGTTAAGCCGGTATTGGCTGAGACGGATAGACGCTAACCCGCACACGGAACAGAGAATAATATGCACGCTAGTATTGGATGTGGGATGTGGATGTGGCCCTGGGATGGGGAAGTGTGAGGGGGAAAGGGCGAGGGAGGTATAGCAAAGTATCGTGTGTCGAGGGATAAGTAGCGGTGGTACGATGGGATGAGTAATTTAAGTGGTAGAGAAGATGCGATGCGATGCAAGCGCTGTTGGGAGAATCGGGATTTTGCTTCGGCTAATAACAACCAACAAACAAAACATCACCCCTTAGCATAGCAGATCATGCCATATCATATCAAACGTACATGTATACAGCAGTATACATAGTGCATACAGGACCACGCACGCACGCACACACGGGGTAAGGCGGGGGAAGGGGAAAGAGGAGGTTAGGAAGTCATGCCGGATAGCACTCGGGCAGCCAGTTGTGACAGAATCCGCATCTTCTCGTTCTGGGGCATTTCCTGGAAAACTTCATAGACACTCTTCCCCTTTTTGTCGCGAACGGCACCCAATCTATTCCCGGCCAATAAGCCCGCCAGAAGTCCCGAGAAGTCATACAGGATGTACCCTATAATTGCCCCGGCGATGGCACCGAGTAACGACCAGAACTTGCCGGTGCCTTCTCTAACTTCATTTCGAAGACCCTCCTGGTCCATCATTTCCCTGTTGAACATATTTTAACATTAGTACATTAGTACGGATTAGTAATAAACGTGGGAAATAGATAGTATGAATATGGGCTGGATGAGAGGTTAAAACGCACTCGAAGAACTCGCCAAACTGTTCGTCCTGCCATTCACGCTCATAACTCGGTCCTGAACTCCGCCGATGTACTCTCGTAGCATCGTAGTCTCGACGTCTAGTCGGATCCGAGAGTGTGTAATATGCATCATTGACGAGCTGGAATTGACGGGTCCGCGATGGACGTTCCGGGTGGTTTACTGGCACCCTGTCTGCATGCACTTCTTATTAATATCGCACTCCCTCGATTGCCATTTATCGCATCGTATTTCATAGATGGCTTGGTATACATAGTATTACCTGGGTGAGTCTGGAGAGCTTTCATCTTATAGGCTTTGCGGATTTCATCTCGAGTCGCATTGGGTGAGATACCTAACACCTCATCTTTATAACCAAAGTTAATACAATACGAGACTACTAAGTACTCATTTTTGATAGATTGTAAATATAGGTATCAAGAGGGGTACTTACAGTAGTCGACGGATTCTACAAGCACAAAACGTCAGTCTAATCCCGAGACATTGCATTTACGTATACTTAGTATGCATATGCATACTCAAGAAGTCTATATCTATATAATATGGGATAACTCACCGCTAGACATTTCGATGATGATATAGAAGAGTCAATAGGGTATCGATTGGATATTAGCAGTAACTTGGTGTAGTCACAGGTGTAGTGGGAAAGTTGAATGTTGAATAGATGATATCAATCTCTAGACCTCTAATGAACATTAATTAATGTGCGCTGCCAGAGGAGACCTACGTCATGTATAGAGGCAAGCCACACTATAATTTCAGCCACATTTTGGATAAGACTGTGGCACAGTCAACCACACTCCATTTCCATGGATTCCATATCCTGATATTGTACTATGTGTACTACCTGTTACCAGATGATCATGAAAGCCAGACAAAACAGCCTTGAGCATGAGTCGCCGCCATCTCCGGCTTGGTCAACCGGGGTAGCCGGGTGTTAGACCTCTGAACCTTGTTTAATTGTCCTTGTTCGACTGTTCCCCCGCTCAGATGCAATGAACCATGGAGAATCAGAAAAGCCCTGCACAGGCCGTACGGTTGAGACCTTGAAGGAGTTTAAACAGTGTGTGTGAAGACAATAAAATCCCACACACCCAACACAGCTTCACCGCCAGAAACAAGAAAGATCAGACATTCTATTATCACATCGATAAGTACTCAACAGTATGCCAGATATCAAATACTCAGCCCTTAATGCAAGACGGGATACCGAGAAGGCAAGTGCTTGCCGATGTGCATATTTAAGTAGTTAATCCAGCTGTTCACTGCTTTACCAATTGCTTGGCTTTATATTAACACCACTGGTTAAATAACGGTACCTTGTCTTCGGTTTGGCGTGCAGATTAGGTCGCAACCGGAGGCCGCAATCCAGTTAGAAAATACCATAACCTCCGCAGGTTCTCGGTGCAGCTTTATTTGACCAATTTTTTGGAGTTGATAGCGCGATATTTTGCAGATGATATTAAGATGGAATTGTTAGAAGTACATAAAAACGATACGGGCAAGAGTGGGGTAACTTGAACGACTATGAATTCGAATCACTTATATATATATCAACCTATGCCGGTATAGTCAGTCTTCTAATTTTCTATTCTTTCTGTATCCTATCTTCCTCGGAGGGGCTTCTATATCATTGAGTCTCATCAAGCAATCTCCCAAACTTATAAAATTATCTTGCATATATTCGGACCTTTAAGACTTGTAGCCTAATCGTTTTCCAATACCATAATTCGAATCGACACAATATATATTATATATAAATACAGGAAAGACCTTAAGAACGATCGAGATGAGTCTTTCTTCGTACCTGAAGCAAAAGGCCGCATCGGCCTTGACGCCGACTGCTGCACCAACTGCTGCACCCACAACTGCTGCACCGGCAGCTGCCGCACCAACGGCACCCGTACCAGATACCGCGCCTTCAAGCAGGTTTGGTCTTAGCATGCCTAGTATGCCCAGCTTGAAAAGTGCTACTAGTGGTGCCCTCTCCACTATCGGCGGCGGCATCATCCCCACCGGTATTGACAGTACAGATAACAACAACAACGGCGCCTTCCCGCCTATCGGAGGGATACACCCTAGGGTGACCTCGCCAAACCACCCCAGATTACCGGTCGTAAGGCATCCTAGTGGTTTTATCCCCCCCGAGACCCCGGACTATAGCATCTCAGAGGACAAGTTGAAGGCTGCTATTCAATTGGACAAAGATTGGGATAAATACATTGACTTGAACCCTGTCCTTCTTGTACCGGGAACTGGATCATATGGTGGAAGCTGTTACCATCATAACTTTGCCAAATTATTAAGGAATGCCAGCCCTAGATTTGCTACTTTCGCATGGGTGAACGTTCCTGGCGCCATGTGCGACGAGTCGCCCAAAAACGCTGAGTACGTTGCATATGCAATGCACTGGCTCTGGCTACGAACATACCGAGGCTACTCAGAGGCCGATATAAATAAGCATCAAATCACAGTCATTGGCTGGTCCCAGGGGAACCTGTCTATCCAATGGGCACTTAAATACTGGCCACACACACGCAACTTGATCAAGAACTTCGTTGCCATCTCCGCAGACTTTCATGGTACTCTTCTAGCCCCTCCAATCACTGCCGCACCGGCGATTCTACACCAGTGGTACTGGTCTAAATTCATCCGCACATTACGCGCTAACGGCGGCGACTCGGCTTATGTTCCCACAACTTCAATTTACTCCTCATTCTACGACGAAGTCGTCCAGCCACAGATTGGTGATCTGGCATCGGCTTACATGAAAGACGAACGGGGTGTAGGTGTCCTAAACTTTGACTTACAGCAGCGGTGCCCGCTCACACCGGCCGGTGTCCTACATGGTCACTCAGGTGTGCTTTACAACAACGTAGCGTGGGCCTTGACCAAAGATGCAATCATCAATGGAGGAACCGCTAGTATTGAACCCGGTCGAGTCGATCTTCCCACAGAAAGTATGCAGCTGTGGGCTCCCGGTCTGAATCCCTTCGATATTGCAGCAACTATCGCCCTTATTCCTGTCGCTGGCATAAATATGCTTAAATTCTTCCCTATTGCTTTGGTCGAGCCAGCTTTGCCCCCATATGCCGCAAAGGAGAGTGAGGCTTTGGGCCCTCCTCCCGCCCTAACTCCTGAGCAGCAGGCTATTGTTGATGCGAATAAGAATAAACCTCTCTTCCCTTCCAAGCCAGCGGTGGATCCGAGCGTAGCTTCTGCGCTACCTAAGTAGTTTTTGATGAGGTTCAAAGAGCATAAATAGTACCATTGCCGTTTTAGTTTTGATATCAGCATCTCTTGGATTATCTTTTAGAATGTATAAATTTTTTCAATGTTTATTTTAAAATCGCCATATAGTATAGTTAGTACACTTATTAATAAAAACCTCAAATGACAATACTTCGATATACAATTTTCGAGATTTCGACATAAATAACCGAATCCTGGGCTAGAAACCCCTAGGATTTGAGCCTAGATAGACATACCAAATATTGTAAGCTTTTGATTGTGTGTGTAATGCATATAATGAAGTTAATCCGAAGGCCCCAACTCTCATAAATTGAACCATTTCAAAATAAATCGAAACGTATATTAAGCGGGACACTGTGAAGCCTGTAGATATCAGATTGCCAGGCCAATATCATATATTGTAGATGTTTGTGTAAATGCATCAAGTAGTAGGCATACATAGAAATGAAGCATGAAGAGAGTAAGAAGAGGCATGCTGCCTCTATTCTTTTAAATGTCTCTTCCACCGCCGAGCTAGATCCAACAAAAGATAAACTCCACTTTGGACATTCACTGCACTATCCTTTGAAAATCATGACGCCAACTCATGATCATCCAGCATCTCAGACTCCAACAACCGCCGATCGATCGAGCTGGGCCGCCGAATCCCCTTTATATATTTTCTAAAGTTCACAAAAGATATCAATTCCGGCCCTCATGGTGCAGTTGGTTAGAAGCCAACAAAATAGTTCCAGTTGTGCCACCTCCATCGGGTTCTTCCTAATTCGGGACTGAAGCCTATAACGAGGGTTCACCAAACTTTCTAGTATATCCTTCGGGAGATATCCACAGATTGGAGCGGTGCCTTAAATCCTCGGGCTTCCAAAGACTAGGAAGATATGGGTCTGATGGTTAGGTTCATAGGGGCTTCGGCCCCACCCTTTTTGTCAAAATTTCTTTCGATTCTCTTTTCATCTAAACTTGACTTTATCTTTTATTCCTCGTTGAAGCTGGGCTCTGACATTTCATTTCATTTATCTTATTCAATCCCGAAGTTTTCAATTATTTACGCGTCTGATATAGCGGCTGGCTTTTATAAAAAGATCTTAATGATGGTTTTTTTGTGGGTGATGCTAAAGAGAAGGATTTGGAGAAGGGGGTTTATTGGGGATGGGGATCGTGAGAAGGGTTGCAGAAGAACAGGGGTTCGATTCTCGATAGCTTCAAGGATTTCAAAAGGATGGAATGATGGATCCCTTTTTTTGATAGATTTGGGGATCGATTCGGAAGTCTATTTGTGGAATCTTTTGTTGGTGAGGTTGAGGGGGAGGGGGGGGGGATCGCCGATGATATCATGTGGTGGGATGCTGAGCATCAAAGGGGAAGGATGGATGATGCTACATTGATCATCTCCTCAGCTTTGGGAAACTTCGTTATGAGGGATGGGGAGTGCAGGATGTTCCTAGAATGACATATCAGCTTTGGCAATGAGACGATGATGACATCTTCAACAGTCTTCATCGTAGGATCATCCACCCCATCAAGGAATTGAAATCACTAAACCATAGACTTTACCACTAGTCTTACAGATAACTTTTAACAGGATTATTACTTTCCCAGCTTGTAATACTTTTATATAAGTAATTAGAAGCTGACTATATTTGCATAGATAGAGAGATAGATCCTACCTTCAAACCTTGATACTGGCAATACCGGGTAGTTATTCTGGAGGATACACTATACAGGAAGGGCTTTTCCTTTCTGCAGCTTAAACAAAGAATTATATAGCGCAATCTCAGTATGTATAACATATACTTCCTATTGCCTTAAAAAGGCCCTTGGAAGCAATGTATCCTGGCGCCAATCGGACGACTTATCGTGAGGAAGATGATTTCCAATGAATTCACAATATCTTTATAAAGGCGTTTGATGACAAGAGAAGTGTTATGTATTCTAAATATTTGGCTTTATACGCGTATTTCTTCATGCTTCCGCATCTCGTAAGCTCATCGATACCATCGGAAACCCCATTCTTGATCTACCACATATCAACATGATATCATACTCAGTCTTGTGTTGAAGCTGTGTTGAATTTGTGGTAATTTTGTTGGAAGCTGACTAATCACGACCACAACACCAGCCACTTTGGCTGTCTGTGGCTAAACAGAGCCTCATCTCATCCCACTTAGCTTTGCATTCTACCTTTCGTTGTATATGCATAGCTCTAATACCCGCAAAAATCTAAGCTTCAACTTTAGTAGACTACAGACTACCACAAAAATGTCAAAACTTCCCACCCCGTCCGAAATTCTCGGACAATCATTTCACTTCCTTCCTCAAGAATCCCAACTTCTCCTCATAACATCTGTCCTGGGTACTTCCCCTTCATGGCTCACATACAGTCTTCTCCATCATAGCCTTACAAACGGAGAAAACGTCGTATTTGTTTCCTTTATTAATGAATTTGCCTATTTTAGAGAGGGCGGGAAGAGGCATGTATGTATTTATTTCTTCCCCAACATTTTATCGATAGTATTTTATGATAGCATAAGTATTAATGGAAGCTATTTGTATAGGGCCTTGACCTTCCATCCCACCTCAAGAAGGGGACATTGACGTTCATAGATGGCTTCTCAAGGCTATTCCTTCCATCTGCACCTTCGCAGGCACCATCATTACCTCCTACGGCTTCTGCTCCGCCCCGGGTAGGGGTGATACCGTCTCGAGGAGGGCCGATAACACCTCGACAGACACAGCAGCCACAATCTGCAGCAACTTCTACAGACCCCATAAAATATATATCACTAGGGCCATCTCCATCTCCGAGTGCTTTAAGACAGTTGGATGTTATAAAGTCGACATTGCAGAAGCTTGGTTCGACTGGAGTGAAGCCAAAGTTAGTGATTGAAGGATTGGAAGTGCTAATTGCTGCTGCGGGGGTGGATGTGAGAGTGGTTGAGGATTTGGTATATGACTTACGAGAGGTGTGTATTGTTTATTCGGCGTCTCTTAAGAATATTATCTATCTACATAGGTATATCATAAATGTGGATTTTAACGTGCCGGTGTACAGATATCCTCGACAACTACAATCCTCCTCCCATCGGACTCGGTACTGCTGCAGACATCACCATCTTCTACACCACTAGAGCTATCGCATGCAAATTTGGTGATATCGCTGGGACATACAGCAGATGCTATTTTATCACTTAGACTACTAGATACGGGAGTGGCAAAGGATATCAGTGGGGTACTGAAGGTCACCAGAGGTGCAGGCAATTTGGGGGAAACGGGAGGGATAGTGGAAGAAAAGGAGATGCTGTTTTATGAAAGCGATGCTGGTGTTCGCATTTTCGCAAGAGGCTCTGGAGGGCATTAATCTTTTCTCCCATTACATCATATATAGTTATTTAAGTACTACCTATCTTCTATACATATAGAACAATCTCTTGGTTTTTCTGGATGTTTGCGCTGGCGGATACCGTTCGAGCGCTAGCTTGAAGCTATAGGCAGCACCAGACCATGCACACTGCTAGTCCTCCACGCCGGGTCAAAAGTACCGAAGAAAAAGGAATTCTTTGAGTATGTAATTCATTAGCTAACCAAATCCCGGTACCGTTTTATCTCGTAATCTTGTAAAAATTTTCTATCTTGTTAATTTTGTTTTCTTCCAAAAGAAAGAAAGAAAGGAAAACCGAACAAGCTAAGGAGCTAAGAAGCAACAAGGTCAAAGGCGCACAGGAACAAAGCTAAACCTCCCTGAAACCCACCTCCGCCCTCTTCTCTCTTCCATCACCACCATCATCACCATCAAACTAACCACACCGAGATATTTACTTGATCCCTGCACAACTTCATCCTTTTCGCCGTTGACAGCAGTCGCAAGACTTGTACCTATCCTTCCCTCCCTTTAGCCAAACAAACCTGCTATTCACCGCCACCAAATCCCGCCGCCGATCTCCGGGTTCAATTCTCCCAGCGAAAATGCAAGCTCCATTGTCTACAACCCGCGAACAGACGTTCGACGAAATATACGGCCCTCCTGAGAATTTCTTGGAGATTGAGGTATGTTTTCCTCGCTATAATTCCTTTCCTGGCATCGATGCAGCTTCCATGCCCGAATTCCAAAAACCCGCCAACCAAAAACCACAAAACGTCACATGCTCAAATTCCTACAATAGCTGTCAGACCGTTGTCGCTAATGTCTAAAATCATTTGAAAGGTTAAAAATCCCCAAACCCATGGCTTCGGCCGGAAAATGTATACCGACTATGAAGTCGTCTGTCGAGTACGCTTCCTTCTTCCCATTTTACCCCCCCTATTGAGCAACGCCCCACTAACAACTGACTTTGAAAAAAAAAGACCAACATCCCCGCCTTTAAGCTAAAACAATCCACCGTTCGCAGACGGTACTCCGACTTTGAACATTTCCGCGATATCCTCGAACGAGAATCGACAAGAGTCACCATCCCCCCATTACCCGGAAAAGTATTCACCAATAGATTTTCGGACGATGTGATCGAACACCGACGGGAAGGGTTGCAGAGGTTTTTACAAATTGTGGTGGGACATCCGCTCTTGCAGACAGGTAGTAAGGTTTTGGCTAGTTTCGTTCAGGGTTTGTTCTCTCTCCTCTTTGATTGCTTGGTACTAGTGGCGGTAATGTTGACTCTGGTTCTATAGACCCTAGCTGGGACCGTTCGACATACATTTGAAATGAGGGGAAGCTGGTAGAGGAAGATCTGGCGCAGGTGGAGTGGTAGGCCTGGGGTGGCCTCAGTATAACCCTACTTCATAAGAGTATAAAAAGAAACAATGAAGATAGAGAATAAATATAAAGAAACAGGAAGAGAAAGGCGCAAGATCATCTACCAGACGACACCCATTTACAATACCCAACTACTCGCCCGAACCCACCATTTGATACCTCTGGAATAACGGTACTCTCTCTTTCTCTCTCTCGACAAAACCAAAAAAAAACGAACACAATTTTCTTTTGCATATCGGAGTTTTCTTTTGCCTCCGTAACGACTTTGAGAATATACTAAACAGTTCTTATCAGACCTTTGTTCGCTAACGCCCCTTTGTTTCTCCTACATTGCGCTCCTAGCTACGATTGCTTCTTGTATTACGAACCCCCCCGTTTTTGCTTATATGGTTGCGTTAGCAGATGGTGTCTACGTGCGATATCATGGTTTCTTCCCCGCCCCGTAAAGCTGAGCTTTTGATGAACTAACCCCGACGTCCCAGTTTTACTTAGCGTTGCATTCACCCACCCCATTTTTCTTTTTAATCTTCCTCTTCCTCTTCTTCTGCTTCTTTATCCAGCAGTATCTACTTAGTGTTTTACTCAGCAAACGAAAAGGATTAATTGATTGCTCTCGACCTAACTAGCTAGTTAGTCCCCTCTACTGTGGGTTTTAATGGCCAATACTTATTTTCCTATACTCTTCCCCCAAATCTCTTTTCGAATTTTCGTTTTTTTACTACTCAAGTATCAAGACAATCGATTATAATCAAAAACGCCAGTATGAATTGCTCATGTTGAATGCAACCGCACTATAAAGTACCTAACCTGCCGAACCCATTAAATGAAATATATATATATACTTATATAAAGAGAGAGGGACAATTTAAAACGCCATATCCCAACCACCACCACTGTAATGTTAAATCACGACCCCATAATAGTCTTGTGTACCCCATAATACCCTCTTAATCTATCAGAAAAAAGGGGAAGAGGAGTAAGATGTCTATACGACCTTCTCCTCTCTCAGCTCCTCTACTTTCTCCACACTATTCAACTTGCCTCCAATATTCTCACCACCCCTCCTCTTCTTCAGCACATTCTCAATAAACGCCTCTCCGGCTTTATAAGAACTCCTAACCAACGGCCCACTAGCCACATACAAAAACCCCATCTCAACCGCCTTCTCCTTCCAATACTCAAACTTCTCGGGAGTAACATACTCCTCAACCTTCATATGTCTCTTCGTAGGTCTCATATACTGTCCGAAAGTGACAACGTCGACATCGACTTTTCTTAATTCCGTCAATGCGTCTAGGACTTCGGAATCTTGTTCGCCTAGTCCTAGCATTATAGAGGTTTTGGTGATTAATGTGGGTTGGGAGAGTTTGGCATGAGCGAGGACGGAGAGGGATTGACGGAAGGTGGCGCGGCGGTCGCGGACGTAGGGGGTTAGGGCTTCGACGGTTTCGACGTTGTGGGCGTAGACGTCTAGACCTGAGGTTGCGACTCGAGCGACCATGTCTAGGTTTCCGGCGAAATCGCCGGTGAGGGCTTCGACGAGGATATGTGGTGCTCTATTTTTTTTTAATATCCAAAATTAGTAACTTCCTCTCAAACCTCACATTTTAATTTCTAAAGAAAAAAGGGAAGAGGGGAACATACTTCTGCTTAATCTTCACAATCGTCTCTCTAAAATGTGAAGCTCCTCCATCCGCCAAATCATCTCTATCAACAGACGTAAGAACCACATACCCCAACCCCCACCTCTTCAACGCCTCAGCAGTATGCTCCGGCTCATGAGGATCCAACGGCGGTGGTCGTCTATTAGTCTTAACGCTACAAAACCTACACCCTCTGGTACAAGTATCACCCATCAACATAATCGTAGCCGTAGCAGCAGATTTATCACTCCCACCCCAACAATCCCCAATATTCGGACATTTCGCTTCTTCGCAGACAGTATGAAGGTTTAATCCTCTCAGATCGCTTTTGATTTTATTATAATTTGTACCGATTGGAACCGAGGTTTTCAACCAGGTCGGTAGACGGACGTGCTTGGCTCTGTTGATTTGTCCCGGTGTCAGCGGTTTTTGGTTTAGTTCGAGGGATTCGGAGACCGAGAGCGGTGGTTCGGGAGTGGACACGAAGTCAGAGAATGATGGGCCCGAGTTGAGTTTATCGGTGAAGGCGGTAGGTTTTTTGGAGGGGTGATTGGTTATGGGCGTGGGGGATGGAGTGGTGGCGTATGTTCTCTTGCTGCTGCTACTACTGCTTGACGGGTGCAAACGGGTAGTGGCATAGATGCATTGCGGACAAACGAAGGACTGAGTCCTCGAGGCAGCGGCTAGGACTGATCGCGATGTAATCATGGCGAATATGTGTATCCTACTCTTAATTAAAATCGCGCGAAAACCGCGTGGTAGATAGCAAGGGTGGAGTGATCAATAATGGTTGTGGGATGGGGAAAAAAGTGAGAAACAGAGGGAGGAAAGGTTGATGTTGAGGTTGATGTTGGGAATTCAAAATTCAGAGCTTAAAATTTTGTGGCAATCCAACGACACCATTTGAACAGTAGCTCGCGAGCTCGGCCGGATCAGATTCACATAAACTGGCTGAATTAGGGAAACAAGTCGGCCCGAATCCGATAACAGGTTCGAAGTATCGATAGCTTGGTCAGCTATAATTCTAGCCAATCAAATATACCGCATTGTCATTTTAATGGGCCGAAGCTATGCTATGCAAAGCTATGCTAGGCTCTGCGCGGGATGCTCTGCAGCTTCGGCTTCAAACGGTACATACGTTATATACATACACTGCACCTCAAAATGTGCGCGCAGGCTCTTACACAATAATCACGTACCACTTGCGGGGCCCCTCAATGTCTCGAAAGATAAGGCTGCGGATCCCAGCACTTGAGCATCTTCTATCGATATCCCGTCATGGGAGTGTGTTTTGAAACATACCGATAACTCAGCGCCAGATAATCAGCCAGCAGTTTGTGCCAATCCCACTCCAGTCCGTGGGTTGCCTCGAACGCCTGCTGGAGGGGACTCCCTGCCAGCCTTTTTACTGTAGCGTATAAACAATAGGCACTCTGGTCTATATGAATCATCCGGATCCCGTAATAATTAGTCTCTCATCTTATTCGAGAAAACACACCATTGTCGCTGATACGGTGTATATACAGCGTCGATAACTAGAACTTACCGTCGAGATCTCGAAAGGACGGCAAATTGGTTGGCGGAAAAGGAAAACCCCTTGGTAACGCCCTCAACAATGTCCCCGGAGCAGGCCAGAGTATAGGTTCTTTTAGGACATCGTATTCCATCTTAGGACAGTCCGAATTAAGCATCCGGCACTTCTCTAGTGCTTCCCGAAATCTTTGTGTCCTAAAGCCTTATTAGAATATACCTGTTTATAGAAACGCCTCATCGCCAAGTCAGTAGAGTATATAACGTTACTCACTGTAGATCATAGTGTCTCGGCGGCCCTCCGGTCCCCGTTCCTCTTCCCAGCTGCTGACTGTTCGGATAGCCTATCCCTCTTCCAAACTGGCCCAACAGTTCACCATTGTCGTGCTGCTCACTTGCGACTCGCAAATCTGCGCTGTTATCTTTTAACCCGGGGTTTTTCACATTAGAAAGCCGATCTGCGATATTTTGCATTCCATTGATCACATGATCCCATCCGAATCGCTTCATCGGAGAAACACTGATAATCTCTTTCTTCCCCCGGGGCCTAGGCTCACGTCTAGGGGCAATACTAGGTAAATTCTTGTTTAGTTCATCCGAGATACCCATATATGTGGATATGTATCTCAGGGAATAACATACAAGCCACGACTTGAATTCTCGTTTTCGATCCGGTCCATCCTTGAATCCCACGACGTACTATTATTTTTGGATGGCGGGATGTACAAGTAGTAACCTTGTCGATTGATATCACCTTTAATACTATGATCAAGCGAATCTAACGGCACTGGATGATCCTTGTGCGTAGCATCCTGTTCTTGGTTTGATGGGTAACCACTTTGTTCCTGCTGCTGGGGATACGCCTGTTGGTCAAGTGTCACTCGCTGCGCTTCTTGACAATACTGACATTCGCAGTGATGTCTAGGTACCTGGATGGTACGGGTGATGGTGGAAGGCTGGTCATTGATATGTGCTGGGTCCTGTGAGGCTTGATTATGAGGTTCTGGGTGAAAGACAACAGGCCGGGACCTATGTTGGTTCCCCTCTAGTAGCCTCTGGCCTAGAACCGGACCACTATTCTGGTGTCCATTCCAATTACCTACACTTATCCCTCCCGCAACGGTTCTATGGCCGTTGTAACCATTATACGAACCGTAGCCAAAGGTCCGATTTTCAGTCCGGTTTTGACCTTCTCCCTGGTAGCCGCGAGACCCGTCTTGTCGGGCTTTCTTTAAAGAGGGTTCTCGCAAAGGTGGAGGAACATCTAGTTTGATTGACCTGGCCTCGTTTGAACGACTTCTCGTATGTCCTGGAACCGGCTCTAGACGTTGACAACGAGATGACCCGCCATTCCCAACCTTGGACTGAGTATCTTTAAACTGGATGTCGACTGGTCCTCGTCGGGGAGGTTGTTTCTCCAAAGGTGGTTTGGCACATGGGGTCCGTGGCCGACTAAAAGAATCCTGACGGATAGATGGGATATTTGACAAGTCTCTAGTATTTAGTAGAGGGTCGATTGGCCTGAGGCTGTGGATGCCTGCTAATGATCTTCTTTGTCGTTTCTGAGCTGACGGTTTGGAGTAGTTGGGGACTGAGCCTGTACTTGGGCTCGGTGGGAGGGATAGGAATCGCTTCCGATCCATTGTGGTATCAGAAGACGCTAAGAAGACCTACAATGAAGCTGCCAACGGTTGGTTGGTACGGTGATAGAGAGACGGAGCGGTGATTGGGCATGAGGGTAGGACGTCGTAATGGCGATGGGTAGAAAGGAAGGGAGAACGTAGAAGCATACAGGAATTAGGTGGGCTCATATTGAGGCTCAATATGGACAGTGTTTCTAAACAATATATCACTGCCCTTCTCAGGGCAACCGGGTCGCTGGTCGTCGCCCATACTGTGGTTGTGTAACCGTCTACAGCGAGGTCACATCTGTGTTGTTAGTCCAAAATACCACGCGCTGTCTCGGTCGCAGTTAGCTGGGGCTGTCGTTGGTCGGTGGCTTAATGCTTTTACAAATGCGACAGCTGCTTCTAATGCTATGACTGGACAAAGAATTTTGTTTGAATATTATTTTATTTTATTTAATAATTATTTAACTTGATTGGTATGATGTTATTCTATAGCTGTGAGCTAAGTACTTCTTTTTTTCGTGGTAGCAGTATGAGAATAATCCAAAAACGCCAATGCTTGGTTTCCCAGCAAAGTACAAACTTCCCATGCCCAAGAAAGAGGATAGAAAAGGAAGATTAGGAAGAGCAATAAGGAAAACATGATCTAAAAGAATTAAAAGTAGAGGTAAAAGTGGTCTTGGATCGTAAAGACCGTTATGAAAAAAAGAGAACCATGGCTCAGAAAATGGGAAGTGAAAAAAAGGAGGGTGTCGTAGCCAGGACATCATGAGAAAAGAAGAAGAAAATTCGTGAAGCGCCCGCTTTTTCAAAAGGAAATATAAAAAAACTAAAAATCACTAACAAAAGAAATTTATAGGATGTCAAAAGAAAGTCGTTAATAGTAAAACAAGCTTAAACGAGGACCCTGAAGATCTTTTCCTCAAGCTTGTAAGATTTTGTTATCGGGAAGGTGGGAAAACTCCGTCAAGTTACGGACTGCTAGACGATACGAAGGAGCATGCATATATGTATGTGCATACGTACGCGGCCTTGTCTTAGAACTCAAAACAATCCATAAAGGCCTCGAGCTCTCCATTTTTCCTGTCTTCATCGGGAGTCTTTGGTGGGGAAATCGGACGGCACATGAATGGGTCGTTGTATGTTCCTGCATTAGAAACCTTCTTGACCCTTTCACCTGCATTTGAAGATGGTGCGGAAGATACTTCGTCACCTTCCATTAGTTGTTCTTGGATAACTTCGGAGGCCAATTCCATCAACTCTTCCTCGGAGAGTCTGTTCATCGAGGCTTCCGGTGTGAGATGTTGGATATGGCTTGAGAATGGGAGCTCAATGAGGGTATAAAGGAGTCGGTACTCTGATCGAATATCCTCATTCAAAGTTTTGAAGAAAGGGGAGTCCATTACAAAACGGAGAAATTGTAGAGTAACAGCGTTCGCCCAGATGCCTTCCCGAACCCAAGTTGGTGTGTCGGGTAGGTTATGAGCTTGTGCGCCACGATGGTTCCTTAGTGGCTCGAGTGGGATACCAAGGACGTTGGCGAACTTCTCGTCAAGCTCAATGTAGGATGTTGGTGACCATTCAACTAATTCGTTAAGGTTATCGAAGAGGTTATCGATCTCCCTTAGAAGGTCTTGAGAACTATGATCCATAGACCTCGTGGGGCTTGTTGGTGGGGTAAAGTTGTCCATTGACATCACTGGGATGTCTGGCGAAGGAATCGCGACCTCGACCAACTTCGGTCGGTGGGGTCGGACTATCTTGATGCTCTTACACTCCTAAAAAGATAATTAGTCGCAATCCTTATATGTATAACCGAATTCACGAAACTGTGGTAGCCTTACCTCAACGTCAAACTCGTCCGTAATGGCAATGCTATCTCTGATAACCACCCTTGGCACCTTCAAAGAGTACTCCTCGAAGATCCTCTCTGCTTCATCATTGACCTCATCATCTGACGGGTCATCCAACCAAGACATCTCAGACATGTCGGTATGTGTTGATGAGACGTTCGAGTTATGCTTCTTGTGCACCGTAGTCTTCCTCCTTCTTAATCTTTCACTGCGGGTAGATGAAATACTCTCTTCACCAGAAGAGCTGTATGATAATCGTGCGGTGTTGACTTCCCAGATGTCGGAGTATAGTCGTTCGACTTCGATAGTTGGAGGCGCACCACTAGGCGTTGTGGGTCTTGGAGGAGTTATACTTCTTAATCCTTCAAAGTCGAATATAAGACCTGTCGGTGAGTAGGCAAGGATTGTTAGTATATATTTTCACTTCTAATGTAACTACTATAGTATAATATAATATAATGGATCCTTTGAAATGTTGGATTTTTAGGAGCCATGGTTGGAAAGACCCACGTGCAACGTTGGAACGAAACATTCTTCGAAATGTTTTAGAACCAAAGGACTTGAATTTACATTCCAACGTTCTGGGGTTATATGATCTAGAGGGGTATAGCGCTCACCTTCTGTACCTGATGCAATAGAAGAATTGTAATCACTTGTTGTTTCGTCAATAACGTTGATGACGGGGATGTTCTCGGACATTGAGGTTATAGCGTGGTAGGATGATGGTCTGCTCGACAAGGGCTCCGATAGGATGCGAATCATTACTTCATCCTGACCCTGGAACATGTAGTCATCTATTTCGATAGTGGCGTTTGATTCTTCACTTATCGAAGCATAGACTGAGTGAGAGGATGAAACGTTTGTGATTTTTGCTGGGAAATTCGAGACTTGAATATCCAATGCAATGAATGAGAACATCTGTGAGGCGTTCCATAGTGCAGGTTGGGACTTCTGTCGAGCAATCAACTTCTCACCACGGCGGCCGGGGAGAGGAAAATGTATCACAGTTGTATCATTTTCTGTGACAAGATCATGCTCATATCTATCACCACATATTAGTAAAAGGTCCTTTCGTAATTAATCAATTGGAGGGAAACCTACCGTAGAACAATCACACAGTCTCTGTTCGACGGAATATGCCCAACATCACATTCAAATGTTGCGCCCTGATGGCAAAAGTTCACAAGATCTCTATACTCCAACCCAGAGCTACCATCGATATCGACGTAACATTCTGCCGATGTCACAGTAGCTTCGGCAGCTGTTTTAGCTCTAAAGATAGCATTGTGCACACTAGGACCAGACCTGTTCCTGAGCAATATCCTCAAACTAACACAGCTGCGGAGTCCAGTAACTCGGATTTCTAGATAGCAATCAACCAAAAGGCCAATTGAATGGCCATACTCATCAAACAAGCCCATTGCCGGCGCTCTCGAAGAAATGGAATTCGGAATTGACATCGATGAGGACCGGCGCTTGTGCATCTTCCGTTGCTGAGCACGTTGCGAGGTGAACCGTCGATGCCACTTGCTAGGCATGTTGGAAATATGTCGAAGATATCGATAAGAAGAGAAAAATAGGAAAAAGAAGGTATACGGAGTGCAGTAGACGATATTTTGCTATCGTAGATTGTCAAACTAATGATTTTTCTACCGGAGAAAGTACTAGAGTATGCGAATCTCGAATACTCTGTTTAATGAAAGAATTCAGAATGCAGGCAGAATGAAGAGATAGTTTCGAGACAACTTGGGTCGTCGACGATATATATATCACCACCAACAATTAAAAGAAGTTCCAAATATTATGGTCCTGCCCGCTGAGGCTTGAAACTTATTTGATATGCAGGGAGGAAAGTATTCAGGACCAAGGACTGGACTTGGATCAGCGTGTCAATGTGTTAATTAAAAATGTAAAAACGTGGCCGAAGATATGGGGCGGCTGACTGTATATATGTCCACCCCTCCGCCAGGAGTTTATGAATGTATGGGTGTATGTAGGTATATAGACGAAAAAAGAAAGCCAGGAGGGAAGCGTTCGGTTCGCAAGCTTAGCTTCCCCCTCCGGTGGGCTGCACACGGATGGCTTTGAGTGTGCTGCTGCACTATCCCGCGTGTCTAGCTTCGTCTTCCTTTTTTTTTCCTTTTACTTTTTTTTTCGTAACGGATGGGCTTGTGGTGGTTTGGCACCCCCCTTGCTTCGAGGACTAATTGAACCGGGTTCGTTTGGGTCGGGACCTGACTGACTGGTATGGGTATGTGTATTGGGAGCCCAGTCTTGAAAATGGTGGTGAAAGCTATGCGAGTGACGCCTGCCCAGTGCAGTTTAAGGTGGGATATCCCTTGCTTGACCTCTTCGCTTTCCCTGGTAAAGATACCTGTCACTTTTTGGAGCCGGTGGGCAGTTCTTCCTTCGTTTCCGTATCGGCTAGACTTATTGGAACCACTCTCTCAAACGTCGGAACGACGGGACGGTCTGTTGGAAGTCCTCTGTGTCGGATTTGGCCTGTAGAGGAAAGTCTGACCTGTCGTAGGATAAGATAAATTTCGAGTCAGATCTTTTTTTTGTTTTTATTTTATTTTTTTTATTTTTATTCTTCGTGATCGATGTTTCTTGTTTAATTGACCAAGGATTGTTGGAATATTGAATTGAGGGAACTCGAACGACGGTGGAATGGTGAAAGAATGCGAAGTCACAATCGACCTGTTGGTCCCGAGGAACCAGAATGAAGGACACAGAATTGAATTAATCCAGGACCGACCGATCGATATAATTTTTCTTTCCTTCGATCTCAGTGACCGCTCCGTTCTTTTGTATTATTTGACGTCGCACTGGATCGGACATTTAATTCGCCTAGCTGGATTGTTTGGGTGAAGCACCAGCCAAGCACGAGAATCAAGGCCACGATAATCCGCGAAGCGGCGGGACGCCCGCAGTGGGGACCTCAAGAAAATAGTAACTAAGAACTGTTTCTGCAAAGCCTTTACTTCGTATCTGGAAGTTCAATTGCATGCATTGAAATTTGTTTTTCTTGTTTTAATATTATTTGGGGGCTTCGGAACGGGTATGGGTATGCAGCGTCGGGGCACTGCAATTACTCGATTTTGGCGGTGAATTTTTTGGTTTATTTTTTATTTTCCTTTCTTCTTTCTTTCTTTCGCTCCTTCTTTCTTTGTATCGTACGTTTGGCGCTAGAGACGTCAAGACCCGATATTGACGGGTGCTGATATGATAGATTGATCGAGTGTATGTGGATGTGTATGTGAAGTGTGATATTACAAGATATCTTAAATTTCTAAAACACCTCGACGGGAAAAATTGAAAATTAAAATATAAAAATCCAACAGGAACAAGTTAGAAGAGACATCTCTTTTCTCTTCAAGCCGACGGGTTCGGTGGTCCTTTCAAATTAAATGTTTCGGCATACTACTTGCTCTATAATATATACTCAGATGCATCGCAGGTCCGCCCGAGACTTTGTACGACCAATTGCATCATATTCTTCCCGTGATCATATCGATCACGGTTCAACAATTAAACGGTCTTAAGAAATCTTGATTTCTTTCCCACTATCTGTCTACTTAGCTCATGAATCATGTTCTATGTAATTCCAACGGAGATGCCTGTTAAATTGATTTTACTTTCAAGTATCACAACTTTATGCGGTACGACACCAGAATGTCTCTTCGTCGACAGGGAACGGAAGCAACACCAACCTTCAGACAATAAAACATTCAAAACGTTAAAAACTCGCGGAGGGAAGAAAGGAAAGGGAAGAAAACGATGACCTTTCTGGATGCCTACATAATCCGACGCCCGATGGTAGCACATATGTCCCGTCGGCGGTGTTAGCTGCGAAAAGAAGGTTGTGTGCATGTTGGTAGGTAACCACTCCTGCAGAAAATATCGTTATTCTTGAGCAAATTGAGGCTTGAACGAACGATCAGAAACATCTATGCATCGTATATCTAGCACCAGCACGCGCCCAAAGGATGGTTAATTCCGGGTCGGGATACAAAGTCAAATTCAAAATCAGCTCTAGTTAAGGTGCTAACATGTTTCTGTTGGAGCTTCGACCCGACGGTATAGCACCCTAATCAATCAATTACAAGTTGACAGGTTATTTACGGTAACAACCGGTCATTCATATCGAGATATTAATCCTAAAGCTTTGGTTCTAACAGCTTTACATAAGTTTTATTTGATAACATCTTCAACTTATGCATTTGTCTCTCGATGATGAGGTACCAGGGTATGAAGGAGCTATACCAGCCGATCTTATTCGGCTCCACACCTATACAATCTAACCGCATAAGCTTCCAGGAACCCTTGGTCTCAGTCTCAACTACTGCATGATCCATAGTCGAGCGGTTGGAGACCTCAGCTTAGTCGGCGTGCACGCGGTTCTCATTCCTCCTGCATTTCCAATCAATTGCATTGGCCCAGTAACAGTTGCGTTTAACGAGCGAGGTCTCAAATATGCAAATGGTTGAAGTATTGTTTTTTTTTTTTCCTTTCAAGAGGAAAGGGCATAATGAGGTAGGATCTCCACCGCTGTAAAGTTCCACATGGCCATGGACAAGTCTAGAAAGGGAAGACACCCAAAAATGACGCCTCCTGTGCACGGCATTATGGGGCCCGTCTTCCTAAAAATACAAGCAGGTTGACACGAAGTCGGTCGGTTAGCGATTTCGATGATGTGCATTTTGTGCGCCCCTTCTTCGCCTCCCCCTCTGTTGTTTATTGGGCACGATTCGATCGATTCTCATCCCTTCGATTCTCATCCCTTTGCTTCGCTCGCATTACATTTGCAGAACAATTGGGTCCGTTCCATCACCCTTTTCGTTTCCTTTGAACCCCGAAAAGGGTATTTTAACATACCATCCGCTCAAACTGCGTGCTACCAAGCATCAGCTTGGCATGTATGGCCGTCATGACCAGCATGAATCGCCAGAACATGGATTTGAGCAGCTGTTCGCAAGCAAAATATACCCCAGTTTGTCTGCATGTCTGCTCCACAAAGAACATAAATAATAATAACTATTATTATACCAGCGCTTGCAAATACCATCGTCCTTTCGACAGAAATTCCAACTTGATGCTATAAACTAGGATTAGCAACCGCCTCCAAACCATGCCGACCCATGTGCATGCAAAGGGGTTGGGAATGCATCCAACAATTTTGTCCAGACCATTGACCATCCGGCTATCAGCTGCCAGCAAGTTACGCAATTTTGGCGTACGTGCAGCTTGCGATTTTTCTTTTCTTTCTCTCTTTTTTTCCTCGCCCGCCCCCTGTGGTAGTTCCTTGCTATCGGTAGCTAGCATAGCTTGAGACTGCAGGAGGCCGTACATAGCAGCTTACATTGGTGGCGCGGGGGGAAGGATAACAGTCCAGCTCCGCTAACGACTCGGCCCTTGCATCAGCGTCTCGCCCGCATGCGGTGGCAGGGCACATGCAAAGGAGCAGTTTTTTTCTTTCTCTTTTCTGGGACCCCATTCGCCTCTTGCTAAACGAGCAAGAGAGGGAGAGGTAGGATGCAGATCTGCAGATATTTCGTCCCTTAGGGTTGTGCTGCTATGTAGTGGTTGATAGTCGATCTGCTTCCCTTGCAGGGTTTTATGGTCTAGGGTTTTGATTCCTACGAAAGAAGCTTTTTTTTGACGATTCAGGTTTTTGATATTCCTTTGGGGGGAGGGTTTGGTCCTTGCATGATGCTGTTTCCCGAGACGATAGGCTGGATTCTGAGCTATCTCCGCCGCCCATGGCCAGTTGATGGCTAGCTCTGGGAAGGTATCGATACAAACCCGCGTACCCGCTGATCGTTGATAATTGATGAGTGAGGTGGTTTAGAAAAACCGGGAAATTCCTGTCAATGTTGGGTAATTTAATAGACAAAAAAAGTGGTTTGGCCTTTTAGACTTGTTGAAGATCGATCTGTTGATAACTTGATGTTGTAAAAGCATTTATCGACAGGGGCTTTCCTTGTCAATTGGGCCGTCGTGCACATTATAATATTATTATTTTGAATCATAGTTAGAATTCTAGGAAGTACAGCTTTGTTTTTGTGTACTTGCTAGCTTCAACTAGTTTTGTATTACGGAAGACCCCGGATTTTTGGCGGACGCTTCGGAAGTACCTATACACGTACCGAATAAAGTTATGTCTCTTTAGTGTAAACGTATAAGATCGATGGTTGTTAAACAACAGTAAAGCAAAGAACATCGACATTCGATACCATTTTCCTTCTGGCTAGGCCTGGTATCATGTCTCAACCTCTCACCCGAATTGGTATCATTGTATCCCTTTCTTCTTTTGGCTTAAGCTTTCTCTTACTCGCTGTTCAAGTAGTCTGTTAGAGCTCCCTCTGGTCAACTGTTCGAGATCCTAGGTTTTTACGCAGTTTTAGGGGGGGAAGTAACTATGTGGTTGATACAATAAAGGGTAGAATAGTTAGGTACTTATATAAGTAAGTAAATGAAATTAGGATAGATACAATAAGATATATACACCTCGAACTTCAGAATTCGAAAGCAGTGCTTCAGCTTACTGGATCCATGGAATACAAGAGGCAGCAACGAAGTTGATAGGATATAAAAAGATCACCTCTGCCTTGTATCTGCTCAGAATATACTTCAGCAATGATATATTTAAGGGCCTTTACTAATTAGGATACCCTGCTGGTGAATTTCACCAAAGGTGAGGTAGAGGCTGGTGATGATTTTGCAATTAGCTTACGAGCAGATCTACTGAATGATGGTATATATAAGATACATAGTCGCCTGATTATTATTGCTAAAGTGGAAAATATTTAAACAGGTGAGGTAAGTAACAAGTTTGAACATTAAAAATACTCGATAGAAAACGATACATGCACATGCGATCTTAAGAGCCTTTAGAGGTAGTCTGAAAAAAACCACTTTCATCTCGGGTCTAGTTAGCCTCGAATCTAGGCACTAGTGGGGGCCTTCTGATAAAATGTATACTTTCCCACCACTGACATGGCTTTCCTTGTGAGTCTGGGGTAATCAAAAACCATACAGCTTTTCATGGTCACAAATTTGTCGATTTCGTCTGCGATATCCGTGTATTCCTTGTCAGTAAACTTTTGTGCCTCGAAATCTTGTGCCGTCATGCGCTTTCGCCCTTGCTTTACTGCCTGGACCATCGCTTTATAGGTTACTATTGTAAAGCAACATAAAAACTTGGTCCAGGTAGAAATCTGATGCCTCTTCAGTGCCCAAAGAGCAATGCCACTTCCGACGGCGGAAAAGATACCGAGGGCTGCGGCCCCAAGTGTGGCAGAAGCAAGCCCAACCGCTGCCTCTTCCACCAAGACAGTCTCTATAGTAATGGCGGCGGCGGCGGCTAAACCACTACCAGTCACTCCAACCCCCGAAGCAATGAAGTACTTGCGTCCGGTGATCGCATCTCCATGAATATCTATAATACTACATACCTCCTCGGTATTCAAGTCCCATGCGAAAGTCCTTAGTATCTCCTTCCCCATGTCGCCGAGTTGCTTAGCCCTATAGAATTGGCGACTAAAAGTTCGAAAGAAATCTTTTCCTTCGATGGCTTTGACACCGTCTTCTATGGCCCTCCTGCATTTGAGGTCATACGAAACTATCTGTGCTTGGGCGAATATACGCCCTACAGTTGGGCCGACGATATCGTAGGTTTCCTGAATAAGCTTCTTGAGGCTCTCCGGGTCGTCTAGAGGAGCATTAGCCATTTATTCAAGGGCGGGCCAACAAAGATATTGAACTTGGTCATACTCTTGTCAGTCCACGCGATCCGAAATGCGTATTTACTACGCTCTATCACCTCTTCATCGCTCAAATTTGTGCTCCCCAAGGAAGCTTTATGGAGTTCGGTAATCCATCCATTCTGCTGTGATCGATATCTTAACCTCTCTGCATCGAGTTCACTTGGAAGTATATCCTTGGGGATCTTTTTGCCGTGTTTTGCTTTATACTCCTCCTTGATGTTCTGCTTCATGCCCCCTTCGTGTTGTACCGATTTGGTGTAAACAATAACCAACGGGATTTTCCAATCTTGGAAACATTTTGAAAATATATATTTTATTGACGCATCTGCGCTTCTCGAATTTTCGGCAGGGATGCAGTACCAAATGCAATGGATGTATTCGTCTGCTTTCAGTCCGTGGGACTTATAGCAGCGCTTCTGAATAAAATCCTCTGCTTGTCTGTTTTTGTCAATGTTCCCGGTTTCAAACCCATTTGAATCATGAATGATAACTGAATCTTTCCCATCGACCTGGTCAACAACTATCTCCTTTTCGATATCGTGGCTTGTTTGATCTTCGAAGCTAACTTTGGCCTGAAGGATTTTATCCAGAGTCAGGTTAGATTCTTCTTTATACGTATTCGCTGAAGCCAAGCGCTGAACTCATGAATAAAATGCCACTTACTTCTTCAATGTGGAATACGCTGTTGATAAGTGTCGACTTGCCCACACCTGTGTTTCCGCATACCAATATTCTAAATTTATGCGGCAGAATTTTCTTCGAGACCCAGAAGCATCGAGACCGGTCCCCGTCAACCTGAGTACTGCGGAAAGAATCTATTTGTTCGTGATAGCAATACCAGTTTTTGGTCTTTGAGAATTGATCCTTGTGGTAGAAAACGGAAGGATGGATGATCGTTTCTTGTAGTCGCAGTGCCGGTATGACTATGTTAGCGTTTACCATATCCACGATGCCAAAGTTTTTAAAATAGTATACTTTGGGACATTTTGAAACATACTCTTTCTACAATCAACTTCATAGTCACACAGCGTGTCATTGTTATCGTTGAAAACTTGACGCCTCGAGCTGAAAGGATTCACGGACGCTATCCAGCTTTCCTCAAATTCAAGCTGATGTTTTTCTACTGTGAAAACCGAAGATATGTCCCAGATATTGAGCCCTACGCTGTTGGAAAACCAAAAGGGATATTGATCTCCTTCAAGTAAGGATTTCTCTGCGACATTTAGATTTTCCGAGCCGGCCGAATCTGCAGGTAAATAGTCCGAGTTTAACACGAGACCCTTTGTTCTGCCCTCAGAAAGAAGCCATTGTAACGGCCAGAGGGACAGCCCATTCTTAGAATGAGTTCCATCGAGATCCTTTCGATTTCCGAAAAACCAGGCCTCGGTGATCTCGCCGTCTGATAAACTTGATGGCAATTGAAGCCTTGCTACCCCGTCCCCATTGTTTTGATTCAAGCCCAGGGCATGGTAGGTATTGGCTGTACCGAAAATAGTTGTTGGGAGATATTCAAGTCTTGGATAAGGTAGCGGGTTTACTTCTATTAGGCCCATAAATTGAATGTTTGGCTCTTGACTGAGAGTATTATTTTCGAGGTCAACCTGCACGTTTTGATACACATTAAGCCGGTTGGTTAGCATGCAATAGCGATCCATAGGTCCATCTATAAGTGGCCAATCTTGATTCTAGTATTCTAGGCCGTTTGCCTTGAGTGAGAGGAGGTTTATATACCCGATACATAGAGTACCCTATGTAAGATTCCCAAGCTGATTCAAAAAACCTTTCGAGGTCGGACTCTCGTGATAGAGTTCCTATCTTTGATGGAACGCCGCCAAAATGCAGCAGTCTCGCAGTGACTACCAGTGCACCTAGTAATTACGATAGTATTAGTACGATAACGGCTGGACGAGGCGCAACTTGTACTGTGATATACAGTATTATAGTTGTACACCCTCCCCCTATATTACTCACTTGCTGCCAACCCCTCGCCGAATAGAAACAGCTCGTCGCTCTCGCATAGCGAGGTCCGACAAATAGTCTATTTATCAGAAAGTTAGCGATACTAGAAGAAGGAGGGAGGAAGGGCCGATTGACGGTGATGCCTACGGTGTAGATGTCTCGAACAGATCTTTTCAATGTTTCTTCGATTTCTACTTGCTTTTCTTCCTCCCAGTTGATTTCTGTGTCAGGATCGCAGGAACTTGCGTCTTTCTGAGATTGACTACTTAGGTCTCCATGACCAAGTCCCCCTTTATATATTACAGTCTAGTCAGAAGTTTGGGTAAGCTCTGTTCCAACGGTTTTGGGCTCGACAGAATGTCTATATTGTACAAATCGCAGATATACATACCTGAACTACTATTTCCCCCGATATGGAATCGAGTACTTGCCCTCCGCTGACTATTTTGGAAACACTATATATAGAGGACTGGTTTTCAGTACCAGAAGAATCGCAGACAGCCGTATCAGCACAAAGTATCAGCCGTCGGCGGTGATGCTGTTCTTTGCAAATTTTGCAAAACGGAATTTCTATTATATTGATTGTGTCTGTATCGCTCCCAAATTCCTTGGAAATCGAGTCCGATTTGTTCGAAGAGAATTCACTGAATCCTTCTTCAAAATTCGAGGGGGTCTCGGTTGGAGTCAGGATTGAATACGCTGATTCGCCATCAGCCTCATCGCCACTAGTATTCTCAGTCCCTGCCGTCTCGACTAGGGAGGTTTTAGTCGTGTCGTTTATGTTTATTTGCATCTTCAACCTTTTTAGCAATAGAAGAAATAGGTTGGCTCGATCTGTTTGGTAAGATGCGCGTTTGTTATTGAAAGTCGAATAAAGACAGGGGGACTAGAGCATGGCTTACGACACCTATCTATAGATCGACGGCCGATGAGAGAAAGAAGATCCAGAGAATATTCTATCAAATTATCTATATTTCAGAAATCGAATATTAATTTAAACGACTAGCGCAGGATATAATCTGATATCTGATTGATTTAAAAAGCGGGGTCGGAGTTCAATATTTCTGTCGCGAGGCTCCAAATATATATTCCAGATAAGCTGTTTGCCTTAGGCGCCTTTCCGATCGAAAATATGTACACAGATTCGCAATGTTTCATGCAAACATGTACAGCCTCGTCTTAACGCGGTGCCACAGCGATGTATGCAAGCGGCATAGTCGTGTAGTTAACTTGACCCATTAGGTTCGGGGCTAGCCTAGCTAAAGGCATGTATACGGAATTCAAACTCTTAAGAACTCGAATCATCGGACCAGAGTATAAATAGATGCAAGTACATGATTTTACGGTCCTATAAAACCAACCATATGAATTTATTATCAATGCAAAGGGGCTGATTAACGTCGCGACCAGGTACACGACGATCGAGAACGTATGTCTCGGCGGCGGGAAGAGATTCGATCGAAGTATTGACTGGTCGTGTGCATGTGCATGACTTCAGGCACGATTTAAATTTAAGGCTAACGAGGTTCCCAGTGGTGTAAAGGCCCAACTTGACCACCAGACGAAACAGGCCATTAGTTTTGCTAGTAGACAACCTTATACTGATTCAAACTTGGCTCGTACGTGCACAAAAGAAATAAACAGGGTTTTCTTCACTAATAAAATGTGACTTTTCGTGATAGTTGGAACCGAAAATGTGGTCAGGCTTGGTCTCTCACAGGCTGCCTTTTAGCATACAACACGCTTGTTGCATTAATTTATAATGTGGCCCAACCCGATAGGGCTTGCAAGCATGGCTTCGGTAGGACGGGTGCTGGTGCACTTGCAGGACCGGCAAAATATGTCACAAGAAGTGAATTGGTGTTAATCTTGCGAATATGGTAGCTATAATATACGGTGGGTCAGTGGATTTTCTAGAATAAATTGATTCTTTTCTTTCAATGCAAATGTGTTATAAATTATAAGTTCTCAAACTAATAATATTAGAATTACAATGCCCTGCACAGGTATACTTCGATTAAACGTCAAGAGACATGAACTAGTCATATTCGTGAATTTAAATATGCAAATTCAAATTCAAATTCAAAAAAATAGGTAAAAGGAAACTTCTATGCCAAACTCAAACCACAAACCCAACAGAATTTCTATTATTACATATAAGCGTTCATCGAAAGATCATGCATGCATGGCCACATTACGCTAATCGAGAAATGCCAAAGACCGAAGATCATATATCTAGTAATCCACCGCAAAAGACGATATACTCCCGTTCCCTGAAGGCTTCAAAATCAAATTTAAAAGGTAAAGAACCTCATAATGCTGCCTTTAGGTCCCTTGCGCAGTAGTAGTACGGTGATAAGGGTGACTGGGATAGCTATGACCCAGTAGATCCACATCTTGGGGGATAAACCCCACTCTGCTCCACTCTCGAAGAAGCTCATGCTGAAAATGGCCTATTGGGGCAATAGTTTTTTACGGTTAGTTATAATTGATTCACCTAAATTGTGTATCCTACTGAATCAATAGGAAGGAGGAAGCTAGTAGATATATAGACTTACGGAGACAAATGTTGCTGGCAGAAAAACGATCGTCAGCCCCGCAATGGCTTTCATGGCCGCTGCATCAGAGGCGACCGCACGACTTTGTGCCTAAGCGAACCAAATCATATCAGCAGGAGTCACAATATGGAGTACGGCCCTTTATAAATAGCCCTGGAAACCTACCAGGGAAATTTCACTCTGGTGTCGCTGTTGCATGGACTCGCATCGGCATTTAAAACCAAACAGCAAGCCTTGGTAAAAATCCAAATTATCATCAACCTGCATGATAGCATCCCGGTGTAAATCCGGAGCACCTTCTGCACGGGCCAAAAGAGTCCCATGTCTGTGAACCATCTTCGACATGACTTCAGTTGCCACTGTTAGAGTTTCCCCAGAATGATTCACGTGTCTGGAGATTTCGTGGAGATAGTCAAAATGGTCTTCATAGTCAGCCATTTTTTCGTCTCGTTTTCGGTTCTAAAGATTATATAATTAGTGATATATACGAGGTGCTCGTCCAATAGTTAATTACCTTTTCTGTCATCCGGACAAGATCGCGAAGCGCCCAAATTGAGGCATCGAAAGTGCTGACTACCCCACCGACGATAAACGGATGGAAACAATAAGGATCAATATGAAAACTTTCACCGCCAACGCTAGACAGAGACTTGTGGATATGGCCCACGAACTCTGGCGGGCAGTCCAGGCAAAGTATACTCCGGTGACCTTTCGGGGACCATGTACTAAAGAATCCCATTTTGTGCCAGTAATAGTCATACTGAGGGTTGCCGAAAGCCGTCGTTTCTATGTAACCGGTTTCTTTATTTTTCTTTTGCACGACCATCTTTATGAGGAAGCGGAACCATGTTTCTAGTAAATATCAGATGATTAGTTAGATATCCAAATGGTTGGATATCACTTCTATGATTGCAAATTAAACAAGGTGATTTATACGTACTATGACGGACTCGTTCGTCGCCAGCGCACCCGAAAAACCCATTTGACTCCCATTGCGTGTCTGACCAAATATCTGTGGGCATACCATAGTAACCCTCAAGTCTAGCTCGAAGATCCAGTGCGCCTCCCCTAAGTACATCAGAATTGGCGAATCTACCAAACTTGGATATCAGCCTCTAAAGTTCCATTTTATATAGCATATTTTTGTTCGACAGATTAAGTCCTTACACAAAAGTTGGGATATTTTGAATTCTCGCTGTACAACAACGAAGACAATTCATAAATTGTTGGTTATCAGGGATTAAACATTATTTACTTGATTAATTTCGGAGATGCATACGATCGGTTATACTCTCATTGATATCGGTTTCTCTATATTCCCAATCGCGGCCTATATATAAATCCGTAAGCTATAAATTACTAATTTGCACAGGGTCTGGTGTTAACATGTTGGGTTGTGGTAATGCTCAACACTTACTATCTGTTGTACTTTGCTCCAAGACTTTGACGGGCAGCGGAGTCTGCGAATCGATCGAGTTTTTTGTGTAACTTGTACGCGAATGTTGGCTCATCTTTGCTGTCCAGACTCGACTCTCTAATCGCTTCGGAATATTATCTCCAAATCTCTCTATTCTCCAGTCTCGAAGCCTCGATATCGTGATATTGATAGTATGTTATAAGTATTTGTAAAACAAAATTTTTTAGGACGCGATTAGACTAATATTATTATCCCCGAATGCAATGGATTAAATGCCTGATTTTTCGTTTTGACCGAACGTTGCATGCATAAGGTCCCTTAAGTAAGAGAATATTTATATGCTTAAGCCTGACATTGGTACCCCTTAAAAAGCGGGGTCGGCTGTGTGAACGTGTACCATTTTTTCACGAGAAGAAAAGCCGCGTAGTAAGGCTACTCCGATATGCAGCCCTCGCAAACTGTGAGCGCTTACAGCCTTGTGGTTCGTTCTTAATCCTTGCACTTGCAGATTTACGAACTTTTTAGTCACTTTTTTTTTGAGTGAAGGACAAATTGTAGGAATCGGGCAAAAAGTTTCGTCGGAAGAACGGATCCGAGGGCCAATCGCGATTCAATACTGGGGCCTGAAGCTCTTAGTAAAGGATTGTGCTAGCGATATTGAGGATGGATTGGGATGCTGTGCCACATCCTTACAGGATCAAATTTGCGAGAGTGGCTCCCACTTTATTGCAATATTTGTGTTGATATTGTCCAAGACTCGACGATTTGATAGATGTAGTTATAAATGGTGAAAGCTTTGCGAGCTAATTTAGCTCCACTAAATATATATTTATACCCTGGTATGAAGCTAGCAGAAAGCTACAAATACATACCGATGCCTGCCCAAAGGATCTGGAGGCCTAACCTAGTCCAGGTTGCAAGGCGCTTGGCTGCTAATACCGTGCCACACTAGCACTGTGGCCATTTCGGATCGCTGGTGCTAGTACCAGCACCTACCCTCGACTTGGTTCAGAAACTCCAACCCAGTGTCCTATTTCATTCCTTGAGGCTAGCTAGGATAGAAGTGTACCCAAAATTGAGGACTCGGTGAGATCTTGCATGCCTTCGTATATTTGCATTTTTCTAAATGTTATCAATCATCGTAAACTCGTCTAAACCGGGGTTGAATGCGAGGTATTTAGGGCTATAGCTAATATTTCAGTGTGTAAAAGCTATTGACATTAGACTTGCCAATATCAAATGACATCGATATCCAGGTGTATCTGCGCAGTTTGATTACATAGTTACAGAAAAACGAGAAGACTAATTCTAAGAAAACAAAAGTGAAACAGGCAGATGAAACTCAAGTCCTAACCCGACATTATCCCAATGAAGGATTCAGATATATACTCTGATCCATTGCTAATATCTTCCTCTCTATCAATCTCCATCGGTTGCAAACACTCTTCATCAATCTCCATCGGCCGCAGATCCCCTCCATCACTCCCTGCCTCCTGCGCAATCATTGTCCAAGCCTCTGTATATTTTGCATACTCTTCCTCGATTTTCCTTTTTATACCATCTTCTGTAATGGGAAACTCGCGGATTTTCTTTGCTATTTCATGAAATCCATTTTTTCCTGCAATTTCCGCAGCCTGCAATCTTCTCTTTTTTGCTCCCGCTTTGAGTAGAATATCAACTGTGTCCATTCGGCCCATTTCTGCTGCTCGGTAAAGTGCCGTAAACCCGTCTTTAAGGCAGTTATCGATATCTGCGCCGTATCTGAGCAGAAGAAGAACCACTTTTTCGTTGCCCTCATATGAGGCGTACTGTAAGGGGTTCATCATAGAAGCTAGGTCATATTTGTATGTAGTCTTGTATTGCAGACGCCGTCTATAGTGTGGATGGCGTCTGCAATGCGGGACTAATTTGTATACTAGATTTAAAAACGCTGGAGTTATGTCAAAGGAATAGCCAAACCACGCTCTTGCATATCTAGGGGCGCCGTATTCAAGGAATCCTGTCGCCCCATGCTCCAGGAGAAGCTCGATCGCTTTATAGTCCCCCCTCCTGACCGAAGTTAACAGAACTGTAAAGTCGCCCCTGGTCTCGAATCTATGTTTAGATATTGGCGGGTTATCTACCCTTGCCCCAAGGTCGATTAAACCTTTGAGAAAGACAAGCAAATCAAACTCTTTGGTTCTATGGCATAGGTTAGGCCTGTAGCTTTTCAAGTATTCGTAGGATACTTTTCCACGGATATAGATGCCGTGGAAGTACTCAGCATATCTACCAGAAATAAAAATGGAATCAAATCTAGACATAGAAGCGTGTATAAAAAGGGAGTGGCCGGCTGGATCCTTTGAATTGATATCCCAGCCGACTTTTTCTAAGGCCTTTAGGTTCTTTAGAAGTTGGCATGCCCGTTCGCCCTTAGAAATAGCCTGCCGTATATTTTCAAATATCATATAATGGAGCTCTGTGATGCTATTAAAGAAACGACGCAATGTTCCCAACGCTTCTGGCTCTAAGTTGATACCCAAATACACCGAGACTAAGTTCTCCAGAAGTGTTAAAGCATGTTTGTGCATTTGGGAATCGAGTTCATCCCGTACTAGAGCACACATGATCGGCCTCATGATGTTGAGGACCGGCCTGCGAGATTTTTTATCAAGATTGCCATAATCTGAAGACCGGAGAACTGGTATTAATGTCTCGATCTTTTGAAAAATAAAGTTTGTTGTCTCCGTGACGACAGCTTGGCTTCTTAAATATTCAAAGATCTGATCTGTGACAATCGCCCATCCTACACCATTCAACTTTCGAATGAACAGCGTCATCAAACTCATGATACTGACGATATAGTTGTTATCGAGCAAAATTTTGATGACGGACAATAAATCCTCAAGTTGGTGATGTATCATCAACCTAACTATAACTGCAATTCTTTCCAGTCTAGGTGTATTTAGATGTAAATCTCGCGAGTTACAGACACTTGCGTTGCGATACCAATATTTTTCCTGGGCAAGCACAAAATCTCGGTTGCTAATTAATTTGATCCGAATCAATCGAGTGTAACTTAAACGAAATGAGCTTGTACATGTACTTACATGTCTAAGTCCTTTTGCAGGGAATTGGATGAATATGAATCGAAGAGCCTATAGGTAGGGAAATAAAATGGACTATCGTGCCATTTATCATAACCAAAGGCTAGACACAGGACCTTTTCTAAGGATATAATTCGTTCTTCGTGCGACAATGCCTCAATTATTTCATATGAGGATTCAGGGTACCGGAAAGATCCATCCTTGTCTCTATAGGGATCTGAGTCTCGGTCAGTATGGCCATCATTGACCCCTTTCTGTTGGATTATCGGTCCTTGAGTGGCTGTCGAACTGACGTCGGCTGTGTGCATTGACAAATGACGGGACGGCCTAGATATACCATAAGCTTCTGGAGGGACATTATCTGAGCCTTTGCCACTCTGCCATCTGTGTGTGCTGATTATCTCCACAATATCATAGTCGCCGTAGTAAATTGCTTCAGCGAGAAGTCTATCACAGTTCAGCGCCTTGTTTAAAGAAGGGTAGGCTTCGACCAAGGCTCGAAAAAGCTGGTAGTTCAAGTACCCGGATGGCAACAGAACAGTGTCAATAGATTGTAGCAGTATATCCTCCAGATTGTTGAATTGCAACTGCTCTTTAACGATCCATTTGAAGACCTTTGACTGTAGCTTTGGGTCTTCGATTTGAAGCAGACCCCAAAAAATGCTGTCAAAGAGTTGGCCCTGCAGAGGATATCTCGAACAGAAGCAACTCTCCTCCCGGCATTCAAAATTAAGCTGAGACCGAGGCGCAAGCCGACATTTATTGCAGGTTCTAAGCATTTCCGCCCCGTCTCTGCACCACGTTCTGCACTGTCTTCGACACGGAATGTTTAACTGCCTGTGGGTGTTGACACCTCGAAGATTCAAATCCGCACCCGGCGTTTTTAGAAGTAAACATATAGTTCCAAAGCTGCGCTCCTGGTTATCTCGCATGAAATCCCCGTAAGATATGGCAAATTCTGTACCCTCTTGTTCAGAAAGCGGTCTTCTGTTAATGCTAAACGCAATTACAGTATCGGCAAGGATGTGATGGTACTTCAAGCATGTGCAGCGGGTAGGCCAGCAAATACAGGCTTTAAACGCTGGTGCGCACCAGTCGCCTGCTTTCCTTGGAGTTTCCCACCTCGTATTGACGTCGGCTCCTTTTCTGATCCAAAGTTTAATCTCAAGAATATCCTTTTGAAGTATAACTTCCAAGAATATTTTCGGATTTTCGAAGATGTTTGGACCAACGCAATTTGAGCTCACGAAATCTGCAATTTCTGCGTCTTCGACCTCAAGAGCTGCGCGTAATATCCTGATTGCCACATTTTCAATATCTAGGGCATCGTCTTTGTAGATCCTAAGCGAGTTGACCTCAACTAGTTGGCGTTCAAGTAATCTTCTAAAAAATCGAACGAAAAGGCGTGCTAGCCCCCTCTTTAGATCTTGTTTTAGATACCTAGCTGACTGGCTTCTGGTATCTGCACCTTTCGGAAGGCCCCTTTCCATCTTCTCTTTCCGAGTCCAATCAAGTGCTCGAATCCTATCTGGCGGTGGGAGCCGAACAGGTGCCCTCAAGTAAGGGAAAAGCATAACAGAAACTTCAGGCGAGGAGCACTCTAGTTCAAAGAACTCAACAGTCGAAAGTAACTCGGATACCAACTTTCCATCCTCACATCCAGTATAGATTTCGAGCAGCTCTACCTTCGAATCACGAATTGCGAAGTGGAAGACTGTTTCCTGAAATTGTCGTGCTCCTTCACTTTTTAGTCCGAGGATTTTCCGAAAAAGGCCTCCAAGCTGGTGATGAGTGGTCACCAATTTATAGATTATATATATTTCTTGCTTGGTTATGAGGTTGTTGTTGATAAGATAAACAGTGCGGAAAAAAAATTGTGCAAGGAAATTGATATCAATTCGCACATTGAATGCTTCGTTATCCTGGTCGAGGGAGTAAAAGTTAGTTGGATCTGTTCGCATATCTATCTGGACTGCTTGGCCGATGGCAGTATGATCCAATTCTGTCATAAGATCGTCCTCCCTAGAGCTGTCTTCTCCATCGTTGCTGGGGGATTCCAGTAAAAATGGAGATACGTCTGACATGCGAGAAACGGATAATTCATTAGATCGTGCATTGGTAAAAAGGAAGCGGGATGGCATTGATATTGCTGAAAACTGAGGTGTTAGATCGAGAGATTCCACATCGTTTATTGAACTTAAGTTAGAATCACTGACCTTCCTTTTTCAATAGGGATAACATTTGCATCGTAAGGTATATGGAAGGCATCGACACTATTATTTGGAAGATATCCGCATCGGAAAGATTTCTTTTTCGAAGATATATCTCTACTTGCTCCATCGGCACGTCTACGGATATTGTGCCCATAGACGTTATCTGAGGAGCTTGATATGTTTTACTTGAGCGATATCTCTTCATTGCCCTTCCAACCTTCTCGCTTCTGTGACGTACGCCGTTACAGAAGAAGTCAAAATTCTGAACTATAGGTTCGAACTTTCTCTTGCGAACGAGACTACTATCGACCTTATGGTCAATGGCCTGACAGTCTATCTTTTTTAGATTTTTTCCCACCCCCCAAAGATCTAGCCTATATTCGAGCTGGCGCTCACTTTTCACTACTATTAGTACAGTTTAATCCTATAAACTCGCCTAGAAGGATGCCGGGTTCCTCAATGCAGGTGCTACAACCCCCAGGGCATGGAATTTATACGTACTTGAAGCATAAACCATGCATTCTAGCCAGATATTCACAGACTTGGGTTGATGTATAGCCCTGGTGGACATAGAGGCTTTCTATCAAATCTTTGTGTGCTTCCCATTGCCGCTTAGGTAGTCCTCGAGGCATATTCAATCCTTGCGGCACTGGTGAAATAATTGATAGGATTATTAGGAGAAAAAGGAGGACAATAAGAAGGAAGATATCTGGAATAGAATGTAAGACGAACAGGAACAGCTGCTATATAAATTATATACCGATGAGGCCGTTTTATAATCGTTAAGGATATGAGATAATTGTATAGTGCTGTTGCTGAAATACCTTTTGTTCGAGGGTGGGAGTCGGGCTATTTTATAACTTTTTAATGTGTTGGAAGGCTGGTTGTCTTGAAAGCCTCTTTGGACTCCAATTTACTATGCAAATTGAAAACCCCATTTTTTGGTGAAAGTTGGAAAAGAAAACATAAAAATACAAAATCCCGAAACGACTTTGATTGGTCTGATATCATTGGCGAATGTTATTGGTTCCACGTAAACCCCGTACGGGCCTGTTGACGACGGCAACTCATGCATGTTCTTCAGCCTTGGCCCTGGTCAGCCTCCCCCAGGGTACAGACTATTTACATGCTCCCTTATGTAGAGAGACCATATGCATGGGGAAACCCCTTGGATTTGTAAATCCGTGTGTACTCAAAGGTTCCCATACTGCAAGTCTGTGGGGCGGAGCTCCGTCGATGTGCATATTTGCGGGTTTATACCATCTTGAATTCAAGGTTTTCGAAACGCCAACGATCGCGATATATTGATATCTTTTGGCTTCGAGTATCCCGCTCTCAGTTTTTTTTTAGTTTTGCACAGACTAATCGTATTTTATTTTTATTCTATCCTAGGAAATATGCCACCTCCGGATCATACCACGGGTTCCAGAATATTTTCCTGATACCAAGTTAAAATGCAAAGTGTGGACCGCGTCTGAAATACGAGACTAATACCAAGTATTGCTTAGCTAATTAGCCCTCAGTATATAAAGCCACCCATTTCCCAGGATACTACAGAGCTTGACTTTAGCATTCCCATACCACCAGCACCACCACCACCTGTTCTACTTCCTAAAGAACATAATATTCCCCTCGTCTTGTACCCAGACCTAGAATATATTCCCCGTACCAAGCATTGCATAGAAACATCAAAGATCGATTTCAAGAACAACAGCTAAAAGATGTTGAGCGACGAAGCAATTATTGCTCTTGTTTCTCTTGTTCTCACTCTAGTACAGCTCATCGTATCCGCACTCGACGGCGTTAGCAGGTTTTATCTGAGAAACATATCCAACAGACGACAGCCCGAACGAAGGATCTCCGGGACCGTTAATGTAAGATGTCTATTAATATTGGAGACTAGTATAACAGGCCCTCTAATATCTCTGTTTGTTTATAGGTGTTTAGATATGATGTGCATGCCCCGATGCCTCCAGAGCTGGTAATGAATTTGTATCTTAAGGTTCGTTTAGTTCCAAATTTCTCCCCCTTACGTTGGGCCCATTGCATGGCCAGCAGTGTAGTTAATAAAGTGACGTGACTACTAGGTCTCCGAGATTGAAATCGCCTCTACAGAGAGTCCGTACTAATTTCTAGCCATCAGAATCATCGGAATATAGATAACAGGGGGGGGTTACATGCCTAATACCTGGTGCAAACGAAATTATTACAACTGTTCATACTGGTCTGGCCTCGTTCCCATAATCATCCACACTTTCCCCCCACACATATTCGTTTTCGACCTTAAAGCACCCGTATTTTTTCTTTCTTCTTTATCACTATATAATATACCGGTATCTTTGAAACATACCTACTCGATTACCCATGTACCTTAGCCGAACTATTTAGCCCATCTTCATTTCCGTCGTTTAAATCATAACCCGATAATCTTCTCTAAAGTGTTGCCAAGTGTGGTATTTCCAACCCAACGTTACACCAAAATCCAAGCTATCTTTTCGCGAACTCGCGACGCTAAACCTTCAAACCTTCAAACCTTCTCTGACATCTCCTCCATAAACCCCTTCCACAATGACCCTCACCGAACTCGTCGCCATCTCCTCCCACCCCCCGTCCTCCTCAGGCGCCTCCGCTTCACCAGAAGCCTACATCTCTCTCCATGACCTCCACTCCTTCACCCAAACCTCCACGTTCAAGAAGTCATGCACACCATCCAACTCCCTCGCCATATCTCCAACCCACATCTTCGCAGCTCAATCCGATAAAACAGTACTCAATGTCTACAACCGCACCAAAAACTCATTAGAAACTACTGTTCCGCTACCGGAACAATTAACCGCAGTAACATGCTCAAGTAATGGCGGGATCGTAGCAATGGGTACCGCCAGTGGCAGGGTCAACATCTGGGAGGTACTATCACCACCCCTTCATAAAAAGAAACAAAATTCCATAAATCCCCAAAAATCTAACGATGGGTTATACCAGTAGACCTCCTCGGGCCGATATACCTCAACCCCACTCTCCCATCTCCAAAAGATCACAAGTATAACAATAGACCCAACCTCGACTTTCCTCCTAACCGGCTCTCTGGACACCAACATCCTAGTCTGGTCAATCCCCCACCTCCTCCTCCCGTCATCTGCCAAAAGGCCATTAAGAACCCTAGAATACCACCAACAACCCATTATCTCCGTATTATGCGGCCACGGCACCGGACCATCCGCTCTCGCCGTCTCAGCGGCTGCAGATTCAAGTGTAATAGTCTGGAACTATCAAGACGGTAGTTTACTCCGAACTTTCACACTATCCAGTATTCCAACCTGTTTGGCGTTGGATCCAGTGGATAGAGGGTTTTATGTGGGGTTTTCGGATGGTTCTATTCAACAGGTGGAGTTTTCGAAGGTTGGGAATAGGACTGTGGAGTTGGGGAATGGGACTACTTCACCGGCTGAGAGTAGTAGTGGGGGGGATGGGGAGAGGTCGTATGATTCTCCGTTGTATAGAGCGGATGAGAGACATATACCTATTGCTACGAGTGGGAGTGGGAGTAAATGGACTGCGGAGGGTCATGATACGGCTGTTACTACTATGGATGTGGTTTTCCAAGGAAATTACCTGGTAGCGGGTTCTGAAGGCGGGAGTGTGAATGTTTGGGATGCGGCGTCAGGACAATTGTTTCGTACTCTAGCGACTTACAAAGGTAACTTCTCTTATAATACCACCTATGGTGACCTAACATTACTAACCACAAGATGCAGCCCCGATATCAAACGTCAAAGTCCTCCCACCGACAGGATTCAGCGAAGATACCGTCACAACCTCACAACTAACAATCATCCCACCGCGATACCACGAAGCCGTAAAGGCGTCTTCTGGAAATCAAGTAGACGTAGACACCACCCTCCCACCCATGTCACTACAATTCCACAACACTCTAAATCCAACTCCAGACCCCTTCTCACCAGCTTCAGATCTTGATGCCATAAAACGGGGTATAGAATACTTCAACTCCCCCACCACAGCAAGCTCGACAAATAGCATCAGGGGCGATCAAATAACAATAACTGAATTCAAGAGCAGCGAAGATGCTGAAAAGATTGAAACCTTAGAAAAGGAATTGGCGACGGTGAAGGAGAGGTATAAACGACTTAATGAGGTTCATAAACAAACTTGGGAAGAGCATACGAAGTGGGTTATGGAGGTTGATAAAGAGAAGGCAGAGAAGATGAAGGAGATGGGACCGGAGGGGATGGAAGAGTAATTCTGTGATATACTTCTGAGTGTGCTTCATTTGGGGATTTTGTTGGGAGTTATAGTTGCTTTTGGGGGGAATAAGTTAATAGATCTAGATTGTATATTACCTCTAGAAGATCCTAGTATTACTACTGTATTTATATTTATATATATACTTGGGGACATTGGAAACGAAATCAAAAGTTCATTCAATTCGAGGGTATATCTCAAACCTTCTAACGTCTTCCCCATCCCATTCTGTCATCAATCCGGAACACCACCACCAGCACCGCCATATGGACGCCAGCATATATCCGACTATAAGATACGTAAAGCGCCGGACACTAAAAAACGCCTCAAGGATAAAGAAGAAAATGTTATAAACCGCACCCCAGACCGAGAAGAGTTTTAAAAAAAAAGGGCGAGAGAGATCGAACGAAGAAAGAGGGGGAGGGAAGTGCTGAAATTCAGGCAGACGGAGCAGCCTTACCAACTCCCATCTCCTTCAACCCATTATCCATCATAGTTCCAGGTCTTTCGTTCTCCTGTAAAGCTTTATTAGCCTTAGCAGCTTGTTCTGCATCTCTCAAGTCAACCATATCCTCCAGTCCTTCCTCTCCAAATGCCTTCCCTCCTTCTTCCAATTTCGCTTCACGATCGTGATCTTCTTCGCTTTCATCATCGTCGAACGCCCATTTATTGGGATCATCACCATCCTTAGGTTTAGTAGATCCAGTATACCCACCCCATCCCTCCTTCAGCCGTTCTACGCTCTCCCAGTCAACTAGCATGACGGGGTTACACCCTTCTGGATCTTCTTCGACACGTTTGAACCATGGGAGCATTACATCGTGCCAGGAATTCGGGATGATTGTTTCAGAGTAGATCTGTGCTGTAGAGAAAGTTTGGCAGATAAAGCGCTTGTCGGGGATGAATGTTCCAGGTGGATCGGAGTGAACAATGTAGGCGCGAGCACGGGTTGTTAAGAAGTGACGAAGGTCGGGAGAAGTAACATCCGCTGCTGTATGGGTTGATTCAGCTGCAATAAGAGCTTCGATGCTGGATTTCCATTCTGCGACTATTTATCAATCAATCAATCATTCCCAGTTAGTATATATATTTTTTACCTGATAATCTTAAGAAATTCCAAAGGGGGAACCGGAGAGGAAACAAAGGCTATACAGTTCACATCCAAATACTTAACCAACCCCCAACATCCCCACCCATAAGTCAAGAAATAAATCTTCTTCTTTTTCTTCTTCTGTCCATCATTCCCGATTAACCTCCCCTTAAGCTCTTCCAAAACACTTTCAACATGCTTTTGTACATTTTCATGCCCCGGAACTCGATTTTTCACTTCATCGATATGCGGAGACGGCTTCGTAGCAGCTTTCCAGGAACGATAAGTAACCGCCCGACCCATCTCAGGAGAATAGACATTTTGTCCACAATTCAGGATTAATAATCCAAACTTCTCCTTCTTAGCACTACGGATGGTAGAGATCATTGAACCGTGCTTTTATTCCCATATCCACAACCGTCAGCTTTTTTGACCAACAATAAAAGTGATAAGGAAGATGCTGTATACATACGTTAATACTAGGCCCCTCCATCTCTCTAACACTCCAAACTCCCAAATCATCATGAGTATTCCCGATAATAACCAAAACCTTCTCAACATCATCTATATCATTACTGATAAGAATCGGAACACAAGGATCAGTTCCTGGGGTACTCCCCGGAGGAAGAAAATGCTTCGTAAGACCCTCCTCGACGAAACGAGTGTCTAAAACACGACGGACGCATTCTATTAAATCCGTCAGACGTTAGTAAAGCTCTTTATTAGAATAACAAGCATATATGGAGTAGATAGATATGTGATACCATCAATAGCCTCCCTCCTCTTCTCATTAACACGTTCAACCCTATGAACATGATAATCAAACCCTTCCGACGGCATTTCAATCTGACGAATTTGATCTTCAGAGTTGATAAAATATCTATTCCATTCAAAAAACGAAAATTAAAAGATCGTTAGTTGTATTTTTTCGAAAGCTAAAGCGTTCCACATATGTATATGTATGTGTTGGGAGAAATCCAAAAAATCGTTTACCCGAGCTTTTTCAAGTCGACCGGGAAGTCTACTTCCTCTCGATGTTCGATCGGTTTGATTCGTCTGAACATTGTGAGCGATTAAGATGACGACGATAAGTAGGAAGAGAAAGAGGGAGAGAATGGAGGACGAAAGAACGGTGAGAGATGAAAGGATGATTGATGCCGAGTTAGTTAGCTAACAGTCAACAGTACCTAGAAAGTTGAAAGCAAATGTTGGTGGTGGTGGTTGTGGCTGTGGAGTGTTTTTATATCAAAGAACTGAAGGTCCACTTTTACAGTTCCCTCACCAAAAGTTGAACAAAAGTACCCTCCTAACAAAAACGATGCCTGAAGTTCCACATCGACATGACATAGACAAACACTTTCAAAACAGCAGGTCGGTCAAGGATCATGGCAGTTACACAGCAGGATGCAAACGCTAGAATTTGATGGATACGTACATACATTACGGTTCAAACAGCAAACACTTTTTTTTTTGTGCTGTCTGTCCGTCCCTGCTAGCTTTGCCTAACAATACAACATTCTCGAGCATCGATATGGTAAGGTAATAGTGATATAATAGTAATGATGCCAGAAAGTAAACCCAGCCTGAACGCCGCTCTAACCAAAGTGCCCGAATCATGGAGCAAAAAAAAAACACAAACAAAAAGTGTAGTACAAGAAGGATAAGAGAAAGGGCTCTGCAAGGCGATTAAAATACATCGCCGGGGTATTTCAAAAAAAAAGAAAGAAAAAGAGTATTAGAAGAAGACAGCAAGGCATTTTTTTTTGTTTTACAAAGAAAGAGGTCTATGATTGAGCAGATAGCTTAACGTTCTGCAGAGCCTCTTCAAGTGCCTGTTGCTGCCTCTTTTGTTCCTGTTCTTGCAAGAACTGAGCGTACTTCGACCGAGGGTTGTGGATTCCACATTCAGTCTTCTGCTGTCCCTTCCATCTTCCGGCTCTCTCGTCTTCGCCTTCTTTGACGGGACTATATTAAATATATTAGTACGAATGTTGACATGTAATGAGGAAGAAGGGTGGTGATGGGTAAATACCTTGTGGAATGCCAGTCACCAACACTCTTGTATCCCCGATCCAACAAGACATTGTATGGTACACCATTGGCATCAATATAAGCCTTGACCTGAGGGAAAGTCCAGTTCGCCAAAGGATTGATTTTAATCAAACCAGCCTCGTCGACCTCAACAACATCCAAAGATCCTCTCTTGCCGCCTTGACTCTTTCGTCGACCGGTAAAGACAGCCTTGACCCTCAACTCAGAGTAAGCTCGTTGAGCAGGCTCGACTTTGGCAAGGTAGTCATAGAGGTTATCATTTGTTTCCCATAGCTTGTCACCGTGAAGCTTGTTGAACTCATCAACGGTTTCAAGTCCTGCTGGTTTGTAGATGTGGAATTTAGCGGTTGGATAGTGTCTTTGGCAAGCTTCGACGAGTTCGTGTGTTTCCTTGAAGTGGAATAGGGTGTCAAGGAAGATGAGGTCAACAGGATGGTCGATGTTTTGCTCGAGAGCGATCTTAGAGATCATATCAATAGTGACAAGACCAGTAAGACCGAAGGCGGTGGTCTGAAAGAGGCTTGGGAAAGTAATCATGCTCCATCGGATGACATCTACAATATAGAAAAATCGTTAGAATATCTCTGATAAAATATTGTAACGAGGTAATATATTCTATGTGAGAGAGGTCTTTTACCTAATGGCTCAAGCTTAGCCAGCATGGCATTGATATGCCTGAGGTGTGGAGCAGTGAAGTAAACCTCTGGCAGTTCCTCAGAACCGCTTCCACTCGAGTAGCCAGACTCATTGTCTGCAAACTCGGACTTTGGAGTTATGGGGGAGGTGGCAGAAGACATTGTGGAGAATGTATTTCCTTTAATATACGACCCGTGGTATGATGAATACCTAGTTTGGTTTCAAATTATAATAAAATTATAATAAAATAAAATAAAATATATGTAAAAAAATAAATTAAAATGTGGAGAAGATGAGGGAAGAGGCTAAAGTATAGGATATGATGAGATGATAGATGCAGGTATGTCGCAATATCCGACGAGTAGTAGGTTAGAAGTAGCAGTAGTAGGAGTGTGGGTGGGTGTAGGGCTGATGTATGTATCCTTATATATAGAGATGTAAGGGCAAGAATGATGATATAAGAAGGTGAAAGGAAGAAGAGAGGAAGAAGAAGAGAGAAAGAATCTTCCAAATCAAATCCTTCTTTGCATTTGCAGTCTAAGCAACTGAGTCTGTCATCCCGTCCCCCATAATATATAGAAAGCCTCCTATATCGGGTTCACCGGGGGACTGGCTGTTGCAGTGCAAAAGTGTTGTCTGCCGCCAATCCCTTTCCTGATTGGTCGAGTGGATGGCAACATACCATCACGCAATATTGGACCAATCACATCCTTCGTTCCTTCGCCTGCGAGGCCTCGAAAGTCCAGCAAATTTTCAGGTCTGCTTAGAAATTGCCAGGAAAGAAGCAAAATAACTGATTCGTAGACCGCGGGGTTTCGTATCTGGCTTTTTCGGGTCCAGTGCCGTGTACTCGAACTCTGCCATGTACATATCAAATACCTCATTGCTAATATATGATCAATGCAATGAGGAACGCTCGAGTAAACCTTCGAGTTATGACTGGGGGGATCCCCACGCCCGAAGCCTCTCCACGTCCTCCCCGCCCACGGATGACCGAGCTATGACAGCACCCTTCACATAGTTCAGAAATTCGTAGTCCGAATCCGTCAGCCTGTGCCTGAGCTGTTTGAGAATCTTTGGTGCGTATTTCCTACACAATGGACCAGAAATAAACGGATTAGTCACATGTTAGGATGTACGCGGGATGCATGAATGTTTCTTACTACCACCTGGGGCAGATGGCCATTACATGCATGGGAAAACAGAATTAGAGGGTAATAATATGTATGTACGTACCCCGTCGCCCGTAAAATCCCCCCTTCGTGCTCCGAAAACAACAAAATCAACACCACCAGGAGCATCAAAGAGAGGTCCGAGGCCTTCTCCAGCTGCACCCGAAGTTCATTCCGCATTTCTTCCATTTTGCTCTTGACAGAAGCATCGAATTCTTCGCCGGTTGATCGGTTGACTCCGATGTCTTTCATCAAGCTTTCCAATTCTTGTTGGATAACATGCAACCCTGCGATTGGCTTGATGTCATCTGAACTAAAGACGTTTGTGACCGTCGATATGGCGTCTTCGATCCGTTCGTTCATTCGCTGGCTTTGCGTATCCGCGACTCGGTCTCGCAGCTTCGTCAGGCCATCCACGGTCATTTTTTGGTAGTAAATCATAAGATCCTGTGCCAGTTTCCCTTGAACTCCGGCATCTAGCTCACATTTTTTAGTTTATAAATATCACAACGGTAAGGCATATGATACCTTTCGTAACGAGGTCGGGAATGAACATTTTACAAAACCCACATACGTACCTTGTATCTTCTCGATAGCCGCACGATTAATCACAAACCGAAGGTAGACCTTATCCACAAATTGAACCCTTGCTGCCGCGTTTGCCATCTCTCTCAGCTCGCCGATTCGATCCGAATAGCTCGCAGATACTTTTGGCAGGAAACTTTGAGCAATTGAATCCGATGCAGCCTGTAGCAATCGGTCATCTTTCATGAGGAATGCAGATAACTATCGACAGCTTCGTTAGTTCTTTCCATTTGAAGATGAATGCATATGAATATTTCCCCAGGAAACATACACTTCTCCAGGAAGTAATGGATGTCAATGCGATGGGCCTGCCTTTTTCAGTGGCCGCCCACGTCTTCTCCGCTTCTTCTTTTGCATATCCGAAACAAGACTTCAGCAGTTCATCAAGCAATTCTCTGGTGATCAAACAGCCTCCATGCTCGAGTAACTTCCTCGTTTGTTTCTTCCTAAACAGTTCTTGAACATTCAACTGCTCTTCAGGCGTCAACTTGCCCACCAGTCCCTAAACGTAATAATTAGTATCATTGTAATCTAAAAGTACCGAAGCAAGACAGAGACGCATACCTTAACATTCGTGATCCCAGTATCCTCTAACTCCTTCTCCGCGGCCTTCGTAACGCTCTCTAGCCACTCTTTTGTGACATAATGCTCTTTCAGCAGTGATACTTCCCCAACCCTCTTCTTCAGAAACTCATCCGGTTTGTCAATATACCCCCTCTTCACCGCCTTAATTGCTATAATCCCTTCATTCTGCAAGATATCCACAACTTCATCTTGCCGATGTGTTTTGTAGATGGAGGGCACAAAAGTACCCCCAGTCCAGGTACCATCAAAATCCTCCTTCCCAACTCTTCCCAAAACCTTCTGCCCGAACTCAACGGGCCAGTTCCCTTCCTTCACCACCGTAAGCTCTTCAAATTCAACCGGGGTCTCGGCATCTTTAACATCATCTTTAACCCCCTCAACCACCTCTTCCAAGAACTTCTGTGAATAGATATACCTCTCCCCCAACCAGTGAACCTTCAAATCCCATTCTCTTTCCAAATACCCCACCAACTTTTTCAAGAACTCAATAGTAATATTCTCTTCGCGTGAATATGTTATCACGGTGACAACTCTCGAAGCCAAGTGGTTTCGAAGCGTGTTTTCGAGATGTGCAAAGGGTTGTCTATTGTACGTTTTCGTTTTTTGCATTAGGTATACGGTCTTTTTTTTTTAGTTCCGAGAAGTCTCCAGAAGTCTCCATTAGGAGGTGTTGATATACATACTTTGGAATTATTTCTCGACCGTTTAGCCCCCACTCGTCTTCTAGCAATGTAGATACTATCGCCGAGATATATTTATCATCAACATCCAGTAATTTCGAAGCTTCGTTGAAGCTTATTCTATCTAGAGTGTTATTAGATATAAAGCATATTAGCTCGAGTCCTCTTTAGAAAAAAACAAAACATAAAATAAAAATAAAAAGAAAAGAAAAGAAGAAGAAGAAAAAGAAAGAAGGAAAGTAAAGGATTAGATGTATTACTTTTACCACTATCGATTAATCCATTCAATCCTTTAACAATATATTGTCGAGAACACACCCCTCCGCCGGACTTTACAGGAATAATTGTTGCATCTTCGACCGTTTGTAAAGCCTGTAATATTCCCGACAATTCTGATTTTGTAAACATTGTTTTTTGTTTTTGTCCACCCTCTTTGGCCAACCCCGGCTACAGCCGCTCCTTTTCGAATGGAATGAAGGATATATCGATATAGAATGTTGGCATGTGTGGGGGGTTTATGTTGAAGTTGAAGGTGTGTTTTGCTTTATAATATGACAGCGCGGCGACTTTTTTGTTGCGTGAGAGTTGGGCCATTTATATGACAGTGTTTCAGGTACCAGATAAGATCCTAAGTTAAGGTAGATCTGGAAGAAGTCCGGGGTAAGAGATAAGACCTCATTCGTTAGAGATAAGATCCGATTAGATTAGATCCCCGACATCGCAACAATGCCCAACACAATTAAACCCCATCTCCCTTCGCTTCGTCCTTCCCGTTCTCCCCCTTCCTCCTTCTACAATCTATTTCACGATGTCAGACCCTCAACTTCACCGTTCTACTCTAGGGCTATATACAACTTTCCTTCTCCGCTATACTCCTTTCTTCCCTCCTTAAATCTTCATTTCCAAGTTCATCTCGATCTTTTTTTTGAATAATAAAAAAAACAGAAAGAAAGAAAGGGAAGATGTCAAACTTCACAGCAACCCTCCTCCTCTCCTCCACCCCGCGCAAATCCCCTCCATCAACCCCTCCACCACAAACCATAGACTCCACATACATCACCGAAACAATCCGCGATGCATTCTCCTGTCTCTGCACAAAAGTCTATCTCAACCTCCTCCTGGATACCTGGAAACCTCTCTCCACCGACTCCCTCTCCACAGCCACAGCAGTCGAAGTCACGATCATCGATCCCACTTCTTCCGGTATACAAATCAGAGCGTTGAAGGGATATAGCGAATTAAAAGAGTTTGAATATATATACAATGTAGATGTGGCATTACAGGAGGATAGTGTGTTTAGAAAACATAAGAGATTGGTGGTGTTTGATATGGATTCTACATTGATAGAACAGGAGGTTATCGACGAACTCGCCGCTTTTGTCGGTGTAAAGGATAAAGTCGCCGTACGTAAACCCTCTCTTCCCATAAAACTCCGTTATCAAAAAAGATGATTTTTAATAATACTAATATTTAATTTATCAAATTCAAACAGGCAATAACCGAATCCGCCATGCGCGGCGAACTCGACTTCACCGCCTCCCTCCGCTCCCGCGCCGCACTCCTAAACGGCGTCCCCTCAGACGTCTTCACAACCCTAAAATCAAACGGCACAATAACCTTCACCCCAGGCGCCCACGAACTCTGCAAAGCCCTCAAAAAGCTAGGATGTAAACTAGCCGTCTTAAGCGGTGGTTTCCAACCACTCGCGGAATGGGTCAAATCTTCGTTAGGCCTTGATTATGCCTACGCCAATACTCTCGAAGTCTCGGCGGATGGAAAGTCGCTTACAGGTGTGGTATTGGGAGATATTGTGAATGCTGAACGGAAGGCGACGTTGTTGAAGGAGATTGCGTTGAAGGAAGGGGTGGATTTGAGACAGGTTGTGGCGGTGGGTGATGGTGCTAATGATCTGGTTATGATGCGGGAAGCTGGGTTTGGAGTTGCATTTAATGCGAAACCGAAGGTACAGGAGGAGGCCCCAAGTCATTTGAATTCTAGGACGTTGAGGGATATACTATACTTGTTCGGATTTACGGCGGCTGAAGTGGAGGAGTTGGTTGATTGATTAAATGGGATATAAAATATGTAAAGTCTGTATAGATGTGATATGTATTACGTAAGAGTTATAGAATCGAGCAGCCAGCATTTGGAACCACGATCACGAAAACATCACGTTGTAGTAGAAATAAATCTCCATTAAACATACTAAATAACATTAAAACCAGCTTTTACAAATACACCTTCGGTCTATCCATCATCCCCCATTCAATCTGAGCTCGTAATGTATAAAAATGGAAATGGAATATAGCAACCATGCATCGACCATTACCTAACTTCCGATAAGTCCCCCGCAAAGCCGCGCCCACTGCCTTCCAATACTACGAAATTCGAACCCGAATCAACAGTTATAGGAAAAGGAAAAAGAATTACATCCCATTAGTTGAAGAATAGAAGAAAAGAGAGGGGGAAAAAACTAGGTCACATGAAAGAGTGAGACGTAGAATGATAATAGAAAGAAAGAAAGAAAAAAGGCAAAAAAGATACCAGCATCCTCCATAAAACGAACCACGTAAAAAAGAGTAAAGCTGAGAATTGTTGAAGAGGTCAAGGTCGGTCGAAAGTCGTGGCGAGTCGGTCGAGTAAAAGAAGAAGCATTAAACCAAGGCATCCACAGCAGTAACGACGTAAGATAAAGCGCGAGAAAATAAAACAAAAAGAGATGTTAAAAGCAGAACCGTACTGTACAGGAAGTTAAAACCCCAGTATCAAAAATTGTGGCGGAAGTAAGGACCTCCACTTATGTATCCCAGTGCATTGTACTAAAGCAAAGGCTCAACACGTGGAAGCTCACTTGCCTTGACCGCCGGATCAACTTCAGGTAAGGGGGATGTCTCATCACGAATAGGTGCCGTTTGTGGTGGTGGCCACGTTCCAACGAACTGCGAAAAATCCGGCCCAGTTCGGCTTGGGGAACCTGGGTCCTCAGGATTGACACCCGATGTCACAAACCCGCCGGTACCATCGAACCCAGTGGTAAATGAAGGCTCAATGTTAGCATTGCTGTCTAAGAGCTGTGGGTCTGTGACAGGGGCAACAAGATGAGGTGCAGATGCCTCCGTAAAGGTGACATCGCCATGTGTGGTGAAAGTGTTGAATGGATTAGGAGCATAAGTTGCTCTATCCTCGTCAGGGTTAATATATCTCTGACGCTTTTGGTGGTGAGACTCGAGATCACCCTCGTTGAGGATGTTTCCGATGCCAAATTTGCGCTTAAGCGATGGATCTGTGTTCATATCATCGCTGGACTCGACGAAAGGCGTTTGAAGGGTATTGTATTCGAAGTTCGCAGCGCTCAAGAAAGCGTTCGGAGAGCGGAAACCAGGACGGTAATCAGGGCGTTCGTAGATGCCAGGTGTACCATGCGTGGTGAATGAGTAATCTGGGTGGTGTAGAATACCTGGTGGAGCTGGTCCCAAATGATGACCACGACTCATAGAGCCGTCTCTTGGTGGTGGCTTCGGCAACCTCTTCTGCTTAAGCTTCAACTTCTCCTTCAAGGTCTTTCGCGGTAGCGGTCCATCTGCCTTCCATGGCTTGTAGCGACCGTGCTGTCTCATGTACAATGTTCGCGCCTTCCCAAGCTTTCCCAGTGCTACTTCCTTGGTGTACAAGACATAGGACTGGCCAATGCGAACGTACTGAGGTGGCCCGGTAGTTGCCTTCTCAATTTCCTGCTCAGGGTCGGATTCCCACTGCGATTGCTGCTGAACTCGGATGGTTCGGGGAACTTTGACATAAGTGTACTTTGAAGAAGGCTCATCTGGAAGCGGTCCTTGATCGAATTCGGTGATCTTGGTATAATAACCGGTGATCTTGCGGTAGGTCGTCAGCCCCAGAGCATTATCCGAGATACCATACGCGCGAGCAACTGCAGATGGCCATTTAACGAAGTTAAGGTCGTTGGCATAATCGTCTTCCTCGGAGTCGTACTCATCCATTTCTGGAACTTCCGGCTCAGGGGATTGAGAGTCCGGAATGACATATTCGTCTCCATCGCCAACTGTACCCCCAACAAGCGCAGGGTCGATAGCAGCCGATCCAGGCGAGAGTCCTCGGCCTTGGATCTTCTTGAGCTGCATCTTTTGGCCCAATTGTACCCCAAGAATGCTATCGTCTAGCTGGCCGTCACCTGGTTTTTTATCCAGCCTTCTTCTTCCGAGAGTGGTAGCTGGAGACTTCTGAACCGGAGGAGCTTGTGTCAAACGCATCTCAACAGCACGGAGCTGACCATCGACCCATTTGAGACGTTTAACAACTTGTTGTTCAGGAGCCGGCTTTGGCTTTGGTGGTGGTTTTGGTTTTGTAACACGGTGTGTCTTCTCCTTTGGCTTCTTGAGTACGTCTGGTGTTTCTTCGTCTCCTTCCTTGTGTTCACCATCGACAGGTACGCCCTCAACACCTTCCGGCAAGACGTCCTGAGGCTGCTCGCCATCTGTAGCCAAAGAAGCGCGGACCTTTCTAGGCTTAGATCCCTTTCCGGCACCCTTTCCAGATTTCGCTGCTCGAACGGTCTTCGTTGTCGTCTTTGTAGTTTTCTTAACGGTTGTGGCTTTGGCTTTGCCCTTAGCCGCCTTGGTGGTGGTAGTTTTCGTGGTCTTGGTAGCTCTGACAACCTTGGCTTTGACGCCAGCGGCCTTCCTAGCGACTCGCTTAGCTGCAACCTTCTTTGTCGCGGCTTTCTTCGCAACAGCTTTCTTCGCAAGAATCCTCGCAGCAGGTTTGGGCTTAACCGCAACCTTCTTGGGGGCAGTCTTGCGTCCTTTTGGTCCTGCGGCTGAAGCTTTTCCAGCAGGTCCTTTCTTCGTCTTGACAACTCGAGCGTTTGATGCCTTGACGACTTTTTTGCGGATTTCGCGTTTCGCGGGCTTTGGTGGGGCTTTAACGGTCCTGGTTCGTTTGACAGGCTTGGGAGCCGGTTCTGGAATTGGTGTCGAAATACGGCGTTCATTGCGTTTACCGACCAAACCTCTGCACTGCTCGGTTCCGCACCTACAGAGTTGGGTGCTTCCACCGGAGAACCAGCTATACACCTTTTTAGCACTAGCTCAAAAATATTTTTTTCAAGTGTTAAAAAAAAAACATACCTGAAGTTATAGTCGTAAGTCAATTCTTCGCCAACTTCAATACCTTCGTCACCAGCAAACAAGGCCATACGAGGCTGACCAGCAACCATCCTACATTGAATTAGCTACGCCTTTTCATAAACTCTTAAAATTGAGTTGTTACTCACCACTTCTCCATCTTGCAGTTGGGAGAGCAGCTGTGGTTGACGAATCTGGCCAATGAACCCCGAGTAGCATCGATGATCAAGGAATTGTCGAACTCCATAAGATAGTAGCTCTGTCATTCGTCCTGTTAGTCTTTATTCAGTACTTATTAAGTGGTTCAACCCACCTCATTGTCCTTATAAGGCCCGTGAAGGCGCTCCTCGCACTCATCTTGGGTGATGATCTCTCCGATGTACTCGACAATGATTTGGTTGGGGCCGAAAGAGCGGCAGGCACGAAGACCATAGCCTTTATCTTGAGTCTATACCAATTTCGTTAGTTTTAATAAAAAAAATATTGTTTTAAGCTCTGTACGGAAACAATACTTACCAAAATGATTTCAATTCCATCGTCGAACCAAGTATCGTTCTCAACACGAATGGCGAGATCTCTGAATGGTCTGTTCTGGCAATCCTTGAGGCTGCAGTTGTTCTTGTCACATTCGTAGTACATAACCCGATTAAGACAACCGGGTCCGCAGCCACCTGACTCAGGTGTACAATTGCACATGGTGCTTTGATAGGCATTTTTACGGCTATTCTTCTGTTGTTTATATAGCTCGGCAGCTTCCCCAACGAAGATGTCTACTAAATGTTAGTATCTTCGGATCAAAAGAGAGAGAGAGAGAGAAAAGTGAGAGGTTACATACTCCTCTTGAGGCTCTTCCACCCAGGAGGCTTAGGATAGACCCAAGGGTCGAGGTTAAATATAGTATAGGGGAGGACGAAGTCACGGTCAGACTCCATAGTCGTCAGGCCCTTATACATTGGTAGCGGCAATGATTCTTTCCGCACAGCGCTCTGTCCCCTCTTTGACTTCAACGTGCTCTTGCCAACAATCTGGGTCTCCTGTCCCGTATACATCCCATGGGTGGCCCACTTCTTACGTTTGATCGCAGGGACGATGATCTGGCGGTCTGATCCGCGGGAAGACGCTTTCTCGTTGTCTGATATATCCATTGGGTCGCCATTGGATTCCTCGGAATCCGAAAGCTCAAAGTCATCCCGGCCTTTCCTGGTGGAAGCCGGGGTTTGTTGCTTTCCATTGTTCATCTTTTGAGTTGGGAGTTTAGCGGCAGCGCTCCTTGCTTTTTCGGCAGCTTCCATATAGCGGCGGGTTTGAGACCCACGTGTTGGTTGGGGGGTGATGGGAGCCTGGTCCTTTTTTGCGGCAGCGACGGTATCGATACGGGTGGAATGACGACGGGACGATGTATCGGACTGCTTCGAAGGTGTGGACCTGGAAGTGGATTGTATGAGAGCAGCGGTAGAATTGCGCTTTCTCAAGGTTCTGGTGGGTTGTTCTTCAAGCGAAGAAGTTTCAGCGTCACCGTCGCTGGCCATGTCCACGTCCTTACCGTGCACGGTCACGCGATTTCTTGTACTGCGTCCAGACCTGACGGATTCGGTAGGGGTTCCAGCACCGGCGGCAGAGAGGGAAGGAGTAACAGAGGCAACGGACTGTCTTCTTCGCGAAGACATCTATCTCTACCCAGCCTTTGTTTCGATTATATATATTTATTTTGAGGTGTGTATGGGTGTGTGAGAGTGTGTGTGATAGTGTGTGTTGGAATATTGGAATTTTGGACGAAAGCGTAGTTCGGATGCGTGAAATAAATGGGAGACCGGAGGGAGAGATGAGAAAAACAAAGTCCGGGAATAATTAAGATACGCGAATAAAAGAGATATGAGAAGAAAGAGCACGATGAGACGCGCGATATGAGGGTGGTTTGAGAGCGGGAGGGGATGTGGTTGAGGAGAGAGACGATGAAAAGGGACGGGGATGAAGGGGGGAGAAGACTGGCAGAGAGGCAGATGATGGGGGGAGGCCAGAAATGGGGGAGAAATTTGTTGTTTGTGTGTTAGATGTTGTTGGATTGGACTTTTGGGAGAGGAAATGGAAATGGAAATGGAAAAGGAAACAAGTTTGACAATTTGGCGTTGGATTTTGTGCGTGTTATTTATCAGCCGGGCGTGTTGTCCGGTCTGCGTTACCTGCAGACTGATTTGCACTTGTCTCAACGAGGACGAGGACGAGGACGAGACAGGACTAACAGGAGCAGTCTTATGGACTAAGCATTAGTATCAGTATTGGTCTTAGCTCTCAGGGATGGGTTTTTTTTCCTTTGGGAGGGAGGGAGGTGAGTTTAATTCAATCGAAGTCCCAGCCAGTCAGTGCACGAGCACGATCACGACCCGGTCTGGGCCTGCATGACCTCCGGGACGGCACGATGTGTTTTGAGCAGGGTATGTACGGGTGTTTGAATGTTTGTGATAAGGAGAAACGAAGATGTATCGTGATATTGTATTATATTGGCATCAAGGGAGGTAGATAGGTAGATAGGGAGGTACTTACGTATACTGGCCTTTCTAGATGTCTCTATCTCTCTCAACCTCGACCTCGGGCGTATGTATGTACGTAGGTACGTATGAATGTATATGTATGTATGTATGAATTTGATCACAGTGGAATGTTAATAATTATCAAAGCGGATTAGACCCAACAAGACTAGTACAGACTAAGCACGAGACTAAAAAATAGGTGTGGGTATGATTGATGTTGGTGATGATGATGGTGATGATGTTGATGGCGAAGAAGGGGGGGGGTTGGAGGAAGAAGAGGAGGAGGAGGATGAGGAGAAGAAGAATGGTGAGGATGGTGATGGGAGATGGAAAGAGGATGGTGGTTGCTGATGGTTGCGGCAAAAAAAAAACCAGACAGACCAAATGAAACCCACCCCGACTTGCCTACTTGCCTACTGACTGACTTGTCTCTATAAAATGCAGGCAAAACAGGCGAAGGTGCTTTTCCCGTTCATTAAATCCGCCACGTTTGATTTCAGTAGATATCCGAGGAGTCGAGTTGACTGAGCATTGTATATATGATACAATCGTGTTTACTTAATATGTTATGCATAAGTATGTAAGTATGTATGTATGTAAGTATAGTAAGTATGTAAGCCTCGAAAGCTGGGTTATGCAATCTATGGCATTAAACACAGGGCCGGTCTGACCTCATGTTGGATGTAATTATAATTCTGTCATACTCCAGTAAATTATAACTATCCTTAGATAATCATATTTAGATCTTACTATTCTATTTTGTCTAGTACATATATATACAATTGGATTTTTTATCTGATAAGATCTATAGTATAAAGGTACTGTCTATAATAGTGTTTCTCTGGATCCTTTCATCCCCCCTAACATAAATACAAAAAACTAATAGCATTGATACAATTCCAAATCTAATTTTTAAAAAATTCGTCCTCTTCCATTACAATCAAGATCAAAAGAGAAGACTTCGTTGCGTACTGGGTGAGAAATGTATACAGTCGAATGTAATGTGATATCATAAAAGCATCACGGTCGGTCGCATCTGTATACCCCTCAAGTGTTGGCACCTTATACACCGCACTGTCCCCGCCTCCCCCGATCGTTCAAACCTCAATATCAAGCTCTTTGATCAATCTCTGTCGTCTGTAAACCTCTTTCCCCTCCGATATAAACCCATTTGCACCTCAAATTCAACTCTTCCAAAATATCACATTGTTGTAAATTGATATGGTGACTACAACACATTTTCCTCCACTATGAGGCAAATTCCGTGGTTGGCGGTGATATCGCCATTTTCTCTCCACATATATATACAAATACTACCATACCCACAGTGGGAGTATCTTTCCTCCCCGATATTATGAAAGGAAAAAACCCCCCTGCAAACTTGTAATTTTCTTGCTAGATATACTGTTTTATACCGAGTCATTGGGGTTCTGACCGAATACAGGCATAAACACGTTTCATAACACCTCTCCTAACAACTATAAAGTGTGTATATATATAAGACTTCACTTCCTCTTCACCTTCACCTTCCCAACCGTCGACGGCTGAGGTTTAATTTCACCAAATAACCCCACCAACGTACCAATTCTTACCAGAGCCAGTAGAAACTATTTTCAATTAGCATTTTATCCGTCCATATCTTGTATATACCTATATATACTATACACAGACCCTTCTAGCGTAGCTCTCGGGTGTATGTGTAGATATAAATAAGAGGTACTCACCGTGATCCCAACATTCCCCCACGTAAACCCATTCCACCGATGCGCCGAAAAGAACTCATACGAACCCATCATCCACCACACCGCCGTCCTATTCCAACATTAATCACCATCTTTTGCCTCTCTATTCACCTCTTTATGGTATAGTAATGTGTGATATTGTATAGAAAGTATTACTCACAGATGTCCGATATCCCCCAGCAGCAACGCGATAAGGTAGCGTTTAACCACTACTACCTCCGTAGTAGCAAATAATATGGCAATCCCCATCATCGCCATGATTCCGAATAGATTCCCCGTCTGCCATGCTATCAACTTCCCGGACGGTGAGAGGTCCGTCGATTCGGTGTTTGGCAGTTGTAGTGCTACGAACCGCTCTGGCTGGAAGATCGCAATTGCGAATCCGGCGACACTATTCAATCCATATATCAATATTAGTATTAATATTGGTATGAATTAATTAAAATGACTTTCCAACTTCAATATGAATAACAGAGATCATTCACTGTTTTATAAAATAATAATAATAAATGAATATAACAAGGAGGAGGGAGGGGAAGTGCTCACAGCGATACCGGTTCAGACACACAAAACACCCAATACGGCACCGTCGGCAGCAAAGTCGCCATCTTGGATCCTTCGATCGATCTTATCAAATAGTCCACCTCGTCTCGATCTTATCAATCAATCGATCCAACAGAATCCAATCAACAAAACAAAAAACCGGCCCCAGTTCCCAATTCTGTGGCAAGCCGGTGAAACAACACCCTCCAAAAAAACAAAAAAAAGAAGTCGTCACTGTGCTTCCGAAAACGCCTAAAACCGCTGTCCCGTCAAAATACCACCCTCGGAAGAAAACTAAAGAAAGAAAGAAAAAGAATGCTGGTAATATGGATGTATGGGTGTATGTAGTGTAGGATGAATGTGTGTATGTGGTATGAATAGTGGGTGGTACAAAACGTAAGGACCTTGGCCAGAACCTTTTACCCAAAGTATCCTCTTCTCCCACCCAGCCGGAAACTAACAAATCCCACACACACCACACACACACACACACCTGACTAAAAGCTAACCCACGGACGTACAGTGTACCAACCTAACGAAAACAAGATCGTGTAAAATAAAAAAAAGAGGAGGGCGGGTCCACATTCACGTCCACATCCACGTCCAACGGGAAAAAAAGTGTGAACGGACACCCAAAAAAAACGTTGTTTCTGTAGCAACACTTTCAGGAGTTTGCAATCAATTGCGGCCGTTTTTTTCCAACGTGGTTGAAATGGCCCGGTAAAAACGCTCTGTCGAATCTCCTCAGAACAACTTAACCAAAAACGGTCGGTCGGTCGGTCGGTCGGGAGTTTGTTCGATACACGTAGCCAGACTTCATCAACTGCTCGAAGTATGTAATACCAACGATATGTTACCCGATGCAATGCAAGCCAGCTCTATCAGCTTAGTCTGCGTTTTAACGTTACGGTCCAGCCCGGAAAAGAGTTGCATCCGGTTTTGTGTTGGCAAGTGTGGGGGACGTGCAGCTCTCGCTTGTAACCGCGTCAACCGCGTCAACCGCCACCAGCCACACACCAGCCACACAATTCACCTTTCATACCAATCACTAGCCACACACACGGTTCATTCTTTCAAAGACAATATCTCGATATAATATCGATCACTTTTGACATCGAAATTTTAACATTCTCAGCAAGTGATTTTAAAACAATCGCGAAGGAACGCGCTGGGAATGCTTGATTTGATTTTTAAAATATCTCCTTTTGACACCGGAATTGGTTCCTTTCTTGGCACATACGTATCTCCACATCCACGCGACTCGATCCCGCGATCCCGCTTCCAACGTCGCGACTGCCAAACAACACCAACATATGCATACCAATATCGATATATCATATTATATGTTTGATATGTAATAGCTTCAAGGTGCTTATTCTCTATATATGCTAGTAACATCAATGTTGGGATCATATAGCTAACTTGTCCCCAGTTACAATAGTAAATAAAAAGAAAGAAAGAAAAACGAATCAAACCATGCCCCCAAAATCAAAAGACCCCCAGGCCTCAGACGCCAAGTCCCCCGAAGACCTCATCAAACTCCTCGCAAAGTCCCAAAAGGAACCTCTTTCCATCCTAAGGATCCTTAAAGAAGCCCAGCAGCGAGATGGTGCCGATTCCTCTCAATCGAGTGCAATCCTGGAAGCCGAGTTGACCAGTTACAAGGTCTGTCTTCACACTCTTTATATATAGTATATATATATATATCTTGGGATCCATTATTAATCGAAGCTATGATACCATATAGGAATATTTTTCCAAACTCCGTTTCCAATATCTCGAACAAGTCACCAAAGAACGCTTTCTAAACGCCATAACAGCCGATATACCCGAACTAGTCGAACCCGAAGAAATAGAACAACTAGAAATAAAAGTAGCCCGACAAAAGGAAGGTCTAAGGAAATGTAAAGGCGAAGTCAACGCTATTAACGCCGAAATATCAAAATTGGGGAAGAGAGTCTGCGATGGTACCTTCTCAATTTCCCATTATATCTCCTCGAACATATCAATCTAATCAGTAATATAAATTTTATAGAATACGCATCCCTAAAATCCACAACAACCCACATCCTCTCCCTCCCCCCCACGATATCATCCCTAGAATCCGAAGTCGCCTCCCTCCTCCAATTCTCACCGGAATCCACAGATCCATCCACAGATCCCGACCTTCACCTCCCTCTCCGCGAAACACTACATCGTCTACAAGCAACAGACACAGAAATAATCCAACTCCAACGCCAAATCGATGCAGCGAACAGGAATATAACTACAAAGAATAGACGGATAGAGGTGTTGGATAGGGAATTGAAACCGTTGGAAGCGAATGCTGAGGCGGTTAGTGCTAATGCTGAGGAAAGTAGACGGAGGAGGGAGGAGGAGAGACAGAGGGGATTGGCGAATAGGGAGAATGTGGGGAAATGGTATGGTACTGTTGAGGGGGTTTTGGAGGAGTTGGTGTAGTTTTTTTTTCTCTTTCTTATTAGATTTTACTGTTCGTTGGATTCGTAGGCATTTGTGGCGTTTTTGGGGTCTCCAAAGGGGTTATTTGAGGTAGTCATCTATCTTTCTTCGGACGGGACTGTTACAAGCTCGTCGTCAGGCATTCTACAAAAAGCTATTACTAAATTATAAAATATGTTATTGAGAAAAGAAGGTGAATATCGTCATCATCATCTCATCAATTGATCAATCTATCCGCTCCCATCTAATCTAAAAATACATAATAAATGTGTAACCCCATTAAAAGGCATTATATAAGATAGAAAAGAAAAGAGAAAACCGTGTTGAGAAAGAGAAAGAAAAGACTCAACGCCAAACGAATGACGAACAGAGAATTTCAAACCAAGAAAGAATCGAAAGAAGAAGATCAAGAAAAGTAAACCGCTTCACGAGGCTTAACAAATAACCAAACGAAAAAAAAGAAAGAACCCGCCGCTAAAACCCTTCCTTCGACTGTCATGTTTATAAAAAAAAAACTCAAGTAACGATCGTTAACGTTAACGTTTTTCTTTTTCTTTGTTTTATTCAGCCAAAGCTACTCCTCCTCCTACCCCAATCTCTGGGCTGTCGTCTCAAAAACGCTCCAACGGCACCAAGATACCCCTCATGCCTCAAGAAATACGCCTGCTTCTCCCCCTTCGACCAGAATTTGATAGCATAGGCAAGCGTATTCATCGTCTGTCTATGACCTCTGATGAATGAGCCTCCAAAGTATATCCTCCCGAGATTGTGATGCTGCGCTTGGAGGTAAGATATTTGGCCGATGTTATTACTACATTCGAAAGATGATAAGTTAGTGATATTCATAGACACGCACATAGGTGGACTTCGTGAAGAGAGTTATTACCTTATAGCGTAAAGGAGGCTTCTGCTAATATCCTCGGCCTTGAAGTTCTTCATCTTCTTGGTTTTGGTCCTTTCAACAGTGGGATCTGGTAGACTCTTTCCTTCTCCATCCATCGCCACCACCTCTTCGTGATGGTAGTGGTTATCGTCATCGTCATCATCATCTACAATCGCACTCCCATTGACCTCCCCGTGAGCTTCCCCATTGACAGCATTCCCATTAACCCCATTCGCTCCATCCTCTCCAGGCTCTTCAACGCTCTTTTTGAACACTTTCCCAAACGTACTGGCAATAGTGGTACTCTTCAATCCAATTCTTCCATAATCTGTTCCGTAGATATCCCCGACTAGCATATCAACACTGGTATTATCGCCCTTATCCGCCAGCTGTAGCATTTCATCAAACGATCGTGCATCGGTTAGGAGGGATAATAAGCCCCATAGTGTTCCGCCGCCGAGTGATGTACCGCCTATACGTTCGAACTTTTGGGGGCCGGAGACTTTGATCATACTGACTCCAGAACCAATGTTGACCAGCTAGAAAAAAAAAAATCACATTATATATTAGTATCGTAAAAATGGAATATGTTTTTGAGGAAACACTCACAAGATAAGGATAAATATTCCCCTCCTCCCCAGGCTCCACAAACCTCATCCCTTCCTCATCACTATAAACAAAAACCTCCTCCGGAATCTCCTTCAAAAAGAAATCCAACCCCACAATCAAACACTCCATCTCATCTTCTCTATAAACCGTAACCCCATCCAACGCCTCACTAATCTTTTCATAATACTTATGCGCTCCACCCCCTGTAGCCATAACGCACAAATCACTGGGTCTGCCACGTTTACCACCCGCATTCTGTGGGTTCGAAAGTAAAGACCGCTGCATTTGGCCGTTTATCAGGATCCCCATGTATGAGATTACATCGTCGATATTGTCGGTTTCGAAATTCGTGAAGTTTAGACGGCCGCCGGTTGTGTGGGGGTCTCGGGTGAAGTAGACGAGTTTGGCAAGGGAGCCACCGATCTATTTTTTTTCAGCAGTTAGCTCACCGTTTCCCCCACACCCCAAAGATAGAAAAAAAAAGGGGAGAAGTTTTTGGTTTTTTTTTCATACATCGACAGCGATATGCGATACCTCGCTGGTATGGTGCGGTAATCGAATATCATTCGTTCCACTAGTTTTCAACGCTTTGGGTGGAGAACTGGCTTCCTCGTCCACTATAAATGCGCCGGAGACGTTGATTCGGATTGTGCCTGGTTAATTAATTAGTTTATCATCCGATTTTAGCTATATGCGCCCGTGCGACAAATATATATATAAGGGGCGGGATGGGGTGTATGTACCGGGATGAACGATCGTAGAGTCGATGTTTGTATTTTTACGGACTCGGCCAGCGAGCGGGCGGGATTGTGGGTCCATGGTGATGACCGACGTAGGTCCTTTTTTATTACCGATTTAATTGGAGTATGAGAATCGAAATATGGGGAATAAGAAGAGGAGAAGAAGAGGATGAGCGGGGGGATGAGGGAGTATATATCATCTACGAAACAATTAATTAGTCGCAGTTTATAATAGTTAGCTTCTAGCTTTTTCCTTTTTGTCGAATACAAGATATGAAGCGAGCCAAGAAGTTTGTAAGAAGTTAAACTTCAAGGTTCCAACGAGGATGAAAGGAAAATACGGGGAAAGGAAAGTAGGGTCCGCACGACATGAAATAGGTTATCGTTAACTAGCGCACGCATGCATATAGCTATAGAGGAGAAGAGCTGGAAAAACTAGCGAATAGGGAATAAAAAGGGAAAAGAGAAGGGGGGGATCGATACTGGAGAGATTCGCATGAACATACCCGTTTCCACAGCGGAGGTTAGGATATTGTAAAAAGGAAGGTGCGGCGCTGTGCCATGTGCAGATATCCCGACCTTCTTCGATTGTTTGTCGTTGAAACAGAGTTGAATTCGAAAAGTATAAAAGTATATCGTACTCTTATATAAACGTCGGTTTGATTGCAATATGAGGGGAAATAGCAATTATTAAGTAAAAGATATAATAAAAAGAATTCGGGCGAACGGATTCTCTCTCCGCAGGATGATATGCGTATTATATGTAAGAATAATAAAAAATAAACTAAAAAGAAATGTGATATCCGTCTATGTTATAGTATGTTCAAAATGCAATGTATGGGGTATCGTGACCATTGTCCCGTAACGTAACAGATACCTGCTTTCTACATATCAGCGTCCCCGTATTTATATCCGACATACACTAGTTTTCAACCAAATTTTCTGGCGTGGGCCGAATCAGAACCGAGGGACCGAATGTTGCCGGTTGAGAAATGGAAAAAAAAAGACTTTGTTCCCACCATACCCCTCATAAACTCTGAATGGGTCGGGCCCCTGCTAGTATGACGCCGATGGCTACATAGAACACGGATGACCTGCATTGGTTATCCCACACCCCCTTCCATCCCTTCCCCATGCCGACTATCCATGGTCGAATCCTATGGGTTGGGCCTGTCGCAGGTGGATATTACCAATCCATCGGCCCCCCGCGCGCGCAGATTTCTCCAGGCCATAAACCGACCCCATTCATTTCGCCGAAAAAACCCCGGACGAAGAATACCACATATTCAACACATTTTCTTCATGACATCTGTGTGGTTACTGTCTCATGTGTAACAGTGGAACAGTAAGCACTAAAAGGACTACCAATCCCACCCTCCCAACGCCTGTAAATGCTTAATGAACGGCTCAACCGCTGCCCGTTCTGCTCTCAAGTTCGTATCATTCCTCGCTCTGCTGTAAAATACCGGACAATCCTTCGAATCACACCCGACTTCTTCGCTATTACTAATATCCGCACAACTCCTGCATATCCTTCTAAGTCCTTCACTTTTTCGTTCCATCTTTGTAATCCGACTTTTTAGAGTGTAGATCGACCCGTCGATATCCTCCAAACAACTCTCACATATCCCTTTTTCTGTATCCTTCGCGTAGCAAACAATACAAGCAGACCCTTTCATAAACGACTCAATCGTATGTCTTCTCCTCTGCTGCTGCTGCTCTTCACCTCCTATCAAATTTGGTTCCACAATTCTTCTTAACCGTTGAATCTTCGGCATCTCATCATACCACCCTCTCACATTCGCCCCTACCAAGTTAAATATCCTTTCCAACGGCGGTATCAAATTCTTGGAAATGTAATACTCCGCATCAAGTCGGTTCTGACTATTCTCTAACAACTCTTCAGGCGGTACGCATCTATCTGCTAACCTTGCGCCTGGCGCCCCGGATATAACCACATAAGGAACTCTTTCCCCATACTGCGGTTCGGCTCTATGATCTTCCAGCATCTTCTTGGCGGATATGAGCGCTCCGGGTGGTAACATCCCTCTCTCGCTATACGTCCCAAGTTTAACTTCCTTCGCAAAACAGAAGTCTTGGATGGAAACCTTCTCTGCCATGATTTTTGTACACTGTCTTTGAAAGAACTGCTTGACTTGTGATAAATCGCTGGTGCGGAATAACGTCTTCAACGCCGCTTCTTCGATCTTTTGTTCCGCGGGTGTACCATCCCTTCGTACGGTTTCTATCCCCTTGGCGTCGAACTCCGGCGTAGTTTGCGATTTGCTTTCGTATTTATACCCAACGTACCTCTTTTTAGCCAGTAACACGCAAGGAAGGTACACCTTTTCAAACTTCAATTTGATCGGTCTTGGATTCGCATCCGTCACCGTTCTTGCAATATCAGCACCAATATCGAATGCCTCATCTTTCGTCCGCCCTGGTAGACAAATGAACAAACTATCCGTATCCCCGTACACAACTTCAGCACCCCATTTCTCCGTAGCATGAATCATCTCAATCGCCTTTTCCAAAGTCTCACGTCCCGTTTGTACAATACTATCCGCAATCTCAGCGCACGGCATTCGGCCGGAGAATGAAGCGGATGTATACCCGTACGTAACATTTGCGATTAGTTTCAACGCTAGTTGTCGGTTATTAAGTAACGACTGAAGCATTTTATCTTGTTTATCGTTTTTCATGCCTTCTTTGACCATAACTCGGGTTTCGAGGATTTCTCCTAACATCTTTGCGAGGAGGGATTTTCGAACTTCGGGTTTGACGTACATCATTCCGTTCGGAGCGATGTTGATCTGGGAACGTAGGAGTTCTAGAAGACCATTTTCGCGTTTGTAGTCTGTGAAACCGAGTTTGTTGACGCCGCCTTTCCATTGGACTATTCTACCCAGACAGGTGGAATAGCAATAGTTAAACGCGATCATGACTGAGGGGTAAAGACTTTGGAAATCGAGTACCAGAACCGGTGAAGTATAAAAATTACTTTGTGGTTCCATAACGAGCGGTATACATTCCAATGCGTTTTGGCTGCCAACTTGTTTCCTACTCGGAGATATGAGTACGTAATTCTCCGGCTTTGCGATTCGAAACATCAGAGATTCAACTTTAAATTGTGAACCTCTGCTGAAAACGCTGAAGAAGTCGACACCGAGAAGACGAGCTTGTTCGGATGTTCGCAGTACTAGTTCTTGGGCGTCAAGGAGTTCTAGATCGGTTTTCACACGAGTGAGGAAGTACTTGAGTACCCGGGTCCAGGCGTTGACTTTCTCGCCGGAGTACCACCGTGTTAGGTCTCTATAAGAGTAATGCGGCATTCGACGGGCTAGGAGGTGGAATACTACGTTTTCCATGGTGTATTGTAAAAGGTTCAATTCACCTCTCATTACCCTCCAGATATTGATCAAGTGTCGGCCTGTAACTCGTATGCTAGATGTATGCGTGAATCCCCATTTGTCAGCTTCTTTTCCGAACCTGCCGTGAGACTGAACTTTTACGCGTGAAAGTTCGTCAGGCAGGCTGAAGTCGTATTTGTGCTTGGCACGTTCGATTAAGTATCCCCACGAGGAATTATGGACTTCGTAGCCCGTTATAATATCCGGATCGAGTTCCCTCACTACCCTAACTAAGGACAGTAGAAGGTCTAATTCGGAACTCTCACGGTCTACTTCTATTGGGAATATTTTTCGAATTTTATCTGCTTCGAATTCTGATTCGGAGAGTAGGAGGATGCCGGTATGTAGTCCTTCTTGAAGCCCTTGGCTTGCTTGTTCAGCATCGGTAGATCGGAAGGAGTAGAATATCATTGCTACTTCGTCTTCTACTGGGTCTGGGAGAAGGGTTCCACGGGTGTTGATGTGGATTTCAAGACTCATTACGGACATGTGCTGGACTTCATGAGAGATAATCTCTGATTTTTTCTTCTGAGAGAACTTAATGCCATGTTTGTTCCGTTGCGTCGGTGGGTCTATTTGGGATGCGTAACCCTGTGATGGAGGGGCTACAGGAACCTGAGAGCTTTCTATGAGGGTTGTGTATTTCAATTCTTCTTCTTCAGCGAGCCATTGTTCTATTGATGCTAGAGAAGGAGGGGGTTTGGCGAATTCCCAGGTTTTGATGGATGTTCTTTTGGGTAAGGTCTTTTTGGGTTTGTTGCTGGAAGAGGGGATATCGAGGCCGTCTGGGTTGAACGGTGGAAGGTAGTTGACAGTGTTAGATTGGAGTCTGAATTCCTTGCCTGCATATTCGCGGGGACGGTCCGGGACGTCTTTTTCATTGCTGTAGAAAGCGTCTTGGTATACTACGTGGGGGAGGGAAAATTCGTCCATTGACTCTAAGAGGTCTGCGGTCGACGGTGGGGCGGCATTATAGCAGACTAACTGACCTTTGGTTGGGAAGGTAGCTGTTAGTTCTGCGATTAGTGATGTAGTCTGTGAAATTTGAGTTTCAGTGGCGCTTTTATTGAACGAAGATCTTGAGAAGCTAAGGAGTTTGGATTGTGATTGGGAGGGGCGAAGGAAGTTTTCATCGTTCCCATCTTTTACAACTGGAAAAGAGGATTTGAGGCCTCTAAGGGTTGATGCTTTGGAGTTATGAGAGCGGTGTGAGTTTTGAGAGGAGCCGTCGAAGGATTGAGAGTTTTGGGATGATATTAGAAGTGGCTGTGAAGGTTGCGAACTAGAACCACCGTTTTTGCGGGGACTGAACATCGCCTCGACTATCGCTTTCTTACTGGGTGTGAGAGAGAAGTCTTGGGATTGTTGGGATTTCCTAGGGGACTGTGGTATTTCGGTTTTGGGGAGTACGAACTTCCCGACAGATTTTGCAGTACGTATATCATATTTGCCATTTCTTAACTTTCGAATCCTGAGGGGCCTTTGTTCGCCGTTGACGTGGATGCCTTCGGAATCGCTTTTTGAGGGTGGTCTGACTGAACTAAACATCTCCTCTGGTATTTCGAAGTCGTGCTGCGAAAACATCCATAGCAAAGGAGGGCGTAGAACACCGAACTGCTCGAGGTCTTCTATTGATATGATGGTCTGGGATATTTCTTCCAAGTTTTGGAAGTCCTCGAGTTTTTCTAGGGCTGCATCGTCCATAAGTTCATCGTTCTTATCCGGAGATCCGTCATCCGCTTCTTCGTCCTCGTCTTCTTCGGTATCCCCTTCTTCATTTTTGTCCCCAAGCTCATCTGGATTGATAGGGTCCGCCTGAGTGGCCCGCAGTATTCCTTCTTCGTCGACGTCGACATCGACGTTTCCCTCGCTTTGCCATTCATCGATCGATATATTGACACTATCGCCCTTCACTTCACTCTCGTAGAAATCCTTGACAGACTCTAGAGTAGTCTTAATTTCATCCCCTCTTGGATCGTTTTGGACAAACCCCTGCCATTGAATATCCCTCCCTGTAGCTCTCGCATTCTCAGCGTCGATGATTTGTTCAACCCTCTCCCTATACTCCTCCTCATGAACCCATCCACCATGCACTTTCCTCGTCGCCGCCGAGAACTGTTGCCCAAAGGACTCGACAGTAATATCCTTTAAACCCCTCCTGCGGGCCTCATCCCGCCACAGTTCCGCCATACTCGGCACGAGCTTCTTATCGCCCGGTATCGGATTTCTAAGCTCCAAAAAGTCATGGTGTAAATCCCTCGGTTCGACGTCCAATCGGTTAAGAATATCCGAGACCCGGATGTCAATTTCTAGCGAGCAATGTGATATCCTCGGGAATTCGAGATCGTCTAACACATCGGCTCTGTTGATTGTAGAGGTATGCCAGATATGTGCCTCCCCTGCTTCTTCTTCAGTCGGGATTGGTTGACGGAAATAGACTTTTGAGCAATTGATGTAACCACATCCGTAGAGATTGTAATCTATCATCCATTGCGGGATGTATTGTAAATGAGCTTCATACGGTTGGAATTGTTTTTTGAGAATTGCACCGGAGCGGAGGAGGTCCGAGACTCGAGTTGTTAAAGATGGATTTAATAGATATATTTTAAGATAGTAGGTCCAGCCGACATGGAAGCCGAAGAATGGGACGCCCTTGCAGAGGGTTATACGTGCGACGAACACGTTTTTGGGGTCGTGTGGATTACGACGGTAGATCTTGCATAGAGCATGATCGAGCGAGGCATGCAGACGGTATATGTAGGCCCCGACTATCAATGTCCCAGGTATCCAATTAGCATATGATAAAAATATAATCTAATAAACATAAAATAAAACAAGATAAAAAAAAAGAAATAAAATAAAATAAGATATGGAAACATGCTTACCATCATCCTGAGCAAGACTACCCTCGTACTCGACGTATAAATAAGGAAAAGCGCCGTGGATATGGGCGCATACCTTCTGTCCCGTCTCTGTGGCACCAAAGACACGCAGGATAGGCAGAGTCGCTTTCACCTTCTGGCCTGGCGGGGTGGGTTTACTAAGAATAACGGGGTAGTCCAGGCTAGTTGGGACGGCCTGATAACTGTCGACGTTGTTAAGCCGTAGCCGGAAAGCCATGATTACTTCATATCTCGTGATATTCTTCCTTTCTTTCTTGTCTTTAATAACGATATGTAGACTCGGCCATGAAGTTGTGATTGAGTCAATTGAAGGCCGGCCTGGGCAGCGCGTGGTTTTAATTAATTAGTGGTGGTACTTTGTGTTGCCCCGATGACCCATGCCACCTGGGTACGAGGTGCGCTGGGTAACCAACTTTTTTTTTGTCATGTTAACTTCGACATCTCCGACTGACTGACTCCCTTCTTCTTCTTCCTTACAACCCCACGTCCTCGTCCTCATTCTCACCAACCTCTCACCATCACCTCACCACCATCCCTATCATCACCATCACTATCACCAGCTAGCGTTTCCTCCTTTCTGTCTTCATCATCTCTATCACTTCTTCCGATTCGCTTGCTTCGAATCGTTTCTCTCGTTCTCTTGCTTCTTGCTGCTGCTCTTGGTTGGTAGCTTCCTTTCGCGATGGGGTCTCCATGGTCCTTCGAGGACCTGGATGACTTGTTCGGTGACTATCCCTTTGACGACGATGGCCAGTCACCGCTGGCAGACGAACTTGTAAGTATATTCCATCATCATCTCCTTGCTCCTTCCCTCCCTCCTTCCTCCATTAGCTGCTTCTTCAGCTTCATCGTCATCCTTCTGCTTGCTCTCTGCTTCGTCAATTCCTCTCTGTACCTCCCATACAACCTTCAATTGAGTCGCGTTCCCTTCCTCCCTCCCTCCCTCCTCCCTTCCTAACTCGAACTCTCCCTTTACCCCCTTCGTCTCTTTGATGTTCCTTCGTGCCAATTAGCTTCCTGTTGCTTGCCCCTTCCACCTCAATTGCATCTTTGCTAATCTATTCATCATCGATCAGGTTTCGTCTGGCCATGCCAGTCCCTCCGGTGACGTCACCACAGCAACGAGCCTTCCGGCCTTGCTGCTCCCTGCCCCGCCTGCGCAGGTTAATACATACCAGGCACCCACCATGGGGTCTCAGCTTTACTTGCCGAGCCCACCGGCTTCCCAGCCAGCCCCCGCGGTCCCTGTTCTGGGACAAATGTCCTTGCCGAGCAGGGCTGAGGTGACTTCGGTCCCTCAGTCCGGCTCGGTATCTGCTTCGCTTGGGGACTCGGCTTCTCCTGAGTCGGCTGCCTCTCCTGGCGCCGATGAGGACGGACAGGCCAACGGGCCCCAGAAGCGGAAGAACAAACCGCGCCGGAACTGGAGCCGGGAGGAGACGACCCGCCTCGTAAAAGGGGTCGAAAAATACGGAATCGGGGCCTGGGCGAGGATTCAGGCCGATGAGGAGTAAGTAACACCCTCTGCACTCAACGCTTCATAGTCTGGACCGTGCTAACTTTTGACATTTAGATTCGGTCTGGCCCACCGAAAACCTTGGGACCTGAAGGACAGGTTCCGACTGTTGTGGCCCAACGAGTACGGGACTCGTGACGGTCCAATTTTTTACAAATTGGACGTCGATGCGGCGCTTCACCACAAGAAGCTAAACCGCAAGAAGAACAAGAAGAGGGGGGGGGAGGAACGACCAGTGGTGCCCAGGAGGGCCCCTGGTTCTGCAGCCGTTGCTGCTACAACGGCAACTGGTCGCCGCAAGGTGACCATCAGGAAGGGCACCGAATGGAGTGCCGAAGAGGAAGCTGACCTCTTAACAGCTTACCAGACAGTATGTCAATTTTATCCCATCTTTTCAACCTGCGCCTCTATCCCACTCACTACTCATGAACTCTGCTAACTATAATGTCATTTTTCCTTTTAGCACGGGAAGGTGTGGAGGAGTGCGGCGGCGAATCGTGGACTGGCCTTTTATGGCCGGTCCATCAGCGACATACAGCGCCGATTTTCCGAGCTCTACCCTGAGCTTGCGGGAGGGCGTCCCTTGGATCCCTCGAGGTCGTTGTGGGGGCCCTCCGATCAGGCTACGGCCTTTGAGAGGGGGCTCCTCAACAGCTTCGGGACCCAAGGGGTGTCTCGCCTGCAGGCCCAGCGTATCTCGGGGTTGGTGGCTGGACCGTCGCATACTGTCGCGCCCAATGATGGGACTCCTGGCATCGGTGGCATTGTGCACCCACCGGCCCGGGAGGTAGGTGTTCGGCCGAGCACCTACACCCCTGAGGGCATTGTCGGCCAGGACTTGGGATTCCCGTCCCCGATTGCGGCCCTCTCACCCGTGCCCGCAGAGTATGCGGCCGGGTATAGAATCCCGACGCCTCCGATCTTGGCCCCAGAGCATCAGCTCTTCACCCCTCCGCCGCCAGTCTCCGCATACGGTCATTACGACCAACCGGGGCAGGTCGCGGAAGCTCCTCCAGTGGCCTAGCAAGCCGCTGTGAGCGAGCTTCCGTTCGACCCTGCCGGGATGCCTCAGGCTCCCAACACGATACCAGCCGCCCCAGAGCTCGATGCGAATACGTTCCCTTTCACCGAGGATATGATGGTTGAGATGGAGGAGTTTTTACGAGACTGGATGCCGGGGCCGGATGCTGTGGACAGCTCGGCCCCCGACCTTGGAGAAGTGCCACCACTTCTGGACTACACTGAGGAAGAGATGATGGCCGAAATGGGGGATTACTTCAGCGATGTGGTGCCAGAGCCCGAGACACCACAGTCGGTGGTGTCGGAGGCATTCTTAGGACCTTCGACTGACCCGGAAGTGATGGCAGCGATGGAGGAGTTCTTTGGGGAGGCCACTGGCAGCGGCTGGACCGAAGAACAAATTATGGCTGAGCTTGATAAGCGATTTGGAGGAGACGGTAACTAAACCCTCGGTCTCAGAAATACTTGGCTCCGATCACGACGCCATGTCCTTTTGATGATCCTCGTTATTTTACGGACTCGAAGAATTTATTTCGAGATTACTGCTTAATACTTCAGGCATTGGATATATCGGAAGGTCGGCGTTTTTCGGTTTATGGACGCTTATTTAAAGGGGTTTGTTTCTTTTTGTTTGATCTTGTCTGACGCTATAGCGGGATCTGTTTTGTCTTCAGCATCTAAAAAGTTTGGAAGGCGTTTATGGTTTATGGGCTGTATATGCATGGAGAAGAAAGGTATTTAGAATTAGGTGAAGTATATAGGTAATGTCATGGAACGAGAGCGAGGAGCGTCGAACGCAGAAAGCATCATGGGTCTTTACATCTTCTATTTCGTAAGTACCTACACCCTGTTCCCGATCAACACCATCAGGTGAGTATGATCAAATTCTGGGAAGAAGGGCTCAAACGAGGTTGACGATACACTTTAATCGTTCCTCGGTAACTCGTTACGACTTTTACGGTCATAATACCCTCGGAACAATTCGACACATCTATGCAGCCGTTTTGCTGTCTCGTCACAGAAACGTGCCTGCTTCTTTTGGACGACGCGATGCATGATATCTACATACGCATACAGATATCGTGCTTCGTAAACCGTCTTTTTATTATACACATATATTCACAACTTCCGGACACTCGCTCGATGATGTCGTATCAGGATTTCATACGGCTTTGTCACTTCACATGACGTCAATATGGTGTCGTCCAACCCGACGCTGGTATCTCGGTTAACTCTCTTGTTTTGAATATTTCTACTTCGACACTGTTCCTTCTTTTCATTCCTCTTTTTCCTATGGATTGTATCACGATGCCCTTCTAGCGATATCTGATACAAATTTAACATTTAACATATATCATGGAATGGAACAGCTTTTCGAATTGGGATCAGAGCATCAGTAATACTTTTCCAGTAGGCGTGATATTAGAACTAAATTAGGTGGTGATATTGTAATGTATGTAGTGATAGCGGTTCTGTTAGTGTTGATAGCTGGACTCCAAGACTAGGCTGGGCTGTAGAATACAACGCATAATATACCACAATTCCGAATAAGCCATATAAACAACATGAAGACTGAGCTGCCTTCCTGGTGATCACGTTAATCAAAATGCCCTCATAAACAGCAATCTTGCTCTCCTATGATTTCATATTCCTTCTGACCCACCCACTTCTTCTTCTCATACCTTTACTACCTTGACAACGGTATACACAATCTCCTGAACATTTGAGCATTCCATTCGTTCCAATTGTCGAATTGGAGGTTCCTCCTCTCTCGACAATGACAAATTTAAGTGACTTGAAACGTCAGTTCCCTCGTGGGCTTGGAGAGCCAATTACTCGTCATAGGTACAAGCGAGTTACTGGCGAGGTATTTGGTGTGTTTGAAGGTGGTCCGGTGGATTTGAAGGATCCTGGTGAGTTTTAGCTTTTCCCTTTCGCCTTAACGCCCTTACGCTTCTCCTAGGTTATTTGGAGGAGATGTGAGCTGGTATTGAACTACTACTTTATCCGTTTTTCCCTATCCCAATAGCTTGCTTAAATACACAGTCTAAAAAGGCTATCTGAACTAATAATGAACAGATGTACTCGCAGTAGAAGTCGCCACCCAACTCAGAGTCCACCCTTACTCCCCGGCTACACCAGAAGAAGTCTACTTGCGTGCGAAAAGTCACGTTAGAGGAATCATCTACGATAGAGATAAGACGTTTCGATATTTTGTCTGGCTTACCTGTTCGCGGACCTACCAGCGGAGACCCGCTAAGAAAAGGTTTTGTGGGGAGGATTGCGATGAAGCAAAGTCTACTGATGATGATACGACCATGGGAGATGTTCTTTCTGGTCCTAGTGGACCTTCGGGGAGTAAGGGCTACGATAATAAAGGGAAAGGAAAGAAGAATATGAGTGAGGAAGAGGAGGATGGAAAGGAGATGTGGACTAAGATTGTTAAGGTTCCTTTTTTGGTGTGGATGGGGAGTCCGTGTAGTTTTTTGAGTTTTGATGTGAGTTTCTTTGTATAACCCCTTACGATACCTACCGAATTATTGCATTTACTGACCCGCGATGGTGATGATGTTTATAAACTAAGGCCGTGGATGTTTTTTTCAGCGGACCCGAGTTTGAGTACTCCCGTTACCAACTCTCCGTAGACGGTACGCCGTTCCTATTTCACGCTCCGGACGATCATTCAAACTTCAACCATTATAATATCCTTGGAAGGGATTTTTTGGAGGGCAGGTTTAGAACTTTTGAGGCAGATTATTCGAATCTTTCGGTATTACTAAGAAGACGAAAGTACATAATACTCGTTCCGGGCCAACCGCTTTCGTATGGGGAAGATAAGTCTGGAACTTTTGGAATCGATGATAAAGATAACGATAATGAGAACGGAGATAGTGGTAGCGGCGAGGGAGAGGGGGAGGGAGAGGAGTGGGTTAAACAACGAGACGAGGATTTAGAAAGGTTTCTGGAAGAGGATGAGGAGGAGGATGAAGACGATGGGGAAGAAGCAAAGGATAGGGAAGAGGGGAATATTGAGGGGTTGAGAAGAGTTGAAAGTGGGGTTGAGGCGAGTATTGATCCGAGGTTATTGCAATGGGGTTCGCAGCAGGAACGAGCTGAGGAGCGGACTGAAGATCAGGAATTGGATGGTTTGGAAAAGCAGATGGAACAGATGCAACAGGAACATGAGCGAATGGACCAGCAGATTATGGATGTTCGACAGGCGGTCCAGAGATTTGAGAGGCAAGTGGGGTTGAATGTACCCGAGGGAGATGAAATGGGGGTTGAGGAAGAAGATAAAAGGGGGGGAGGGACTGGAGATATTAAAACTTCTGAATTTATGGGAAATACAACTTCCGTAGGGGCTAGTTGTCTTAGAAATTATGAGGGTCAGATGGAAAGGGATGCAGAGAGGAATGTGGAGATGAAGGATAGTAAGGGTAGTCTTGAGCCTGTCGACTCGGAACTTAGTCTACAAGAGAGGAGAAATGCGGATAGAGACGGGTTTGCGCCTCCACCTTCTGCGCCTATTAGTAGGAAGGAAGGAAAGAGGTCTTCCTTAGTTTCGAAGGAGAATTTGAAGGTGTCCGGAGGGAGGACGGTAAGTATGTTACATGGTACCTTATCAATCCGTTACTAATTGTTTGGATATAGGGGAGTGGAATGCGTCGTTGAATCATCTTGCATCGGATTTGCGTGCGCAATTAACACCACTTCTATTGATACGAGACTAGACGCCTTCGTTCAGATGACCCATGCATGATCAAGAAATGCGAATTAATGACGGCTATGATACAAAATTACAGACATCAACTTATGTGGCGGGTATATGTACAATTGCCCTCACTTCAAGAGCAACAAGGCTCATCTTCAGCCTCTTTTTCCTTCTATGCATCAGCGGTTCATCTACTCTCTATGCTTTGCATGCGCGGTTATTCTTTGTTTTCATCCACCTGATATCATCAGCACTTCGCCCCCCTCTTCCCCTCTTTCGTCTTTTAGACTTTTATTATAATCACATCCATAGCGTCGGTGTTCTATTCATTCCCAGTGTTCCTTGTTTCCAGGTGGTTTTCTCTTTTTTTAAAAACTTTTCCTCGTTTTTTATTTTTTATTTATTTTTATTTTTATTTTTCCGTTCTAACTCGTTCCCATATATCGGCATCAATCGTATCCCAATTCCTTCTGTCGTAGGATTCCTCCCCGGTTACCTTTTTCTTTACCCTGTTCCCGGCATTATATGTTAGAAACTTTTGTTCTTTGCAGTCCTCAATGCTTCTTCCCATTCTCCACAATCTCTGTTCCTGAATGTAAGTCCGGACGTACCTCTGCACCGCCTTCTACTACCAGTTTATCCAACTGGTAAAAGGAACTAATCATAGTTTGTCGCTATATTCAAGCAAAAATACCGGATTAGCATAACTAAATTCTCCTTCATATCCCTTCAAGTAACTTCTAGAGGGAGGAGAATTTGGTATATCCATACCTTCAACAAGTTCAAATCCTTCAACCCCCGCTGTACTAGCTCCTGCACCCTCCGCTCGTCGGTTTCAAGTCTGTGTTCACGAAAGGCATCGCGTGTACGTCGTTTTGCGTATTCGCGGAAATTATAGGTTGCGAATTGTGAAGAAGTTCGGAGGAGAGAGCGGTACTATATTTTTTGATATATATAAATCTCCCGTTTTATATGGGGAGTTTATTAATAGAATGATTAGTAGGGTGTAACTAGGTAGGTAGGTAGCTTCGAACAGGGTGGCGAGAAACTCTGTGGATTGGAGGATAGACATACGAGCGAGCGGACTTGAAGCGCGGTTTCGGCCATGAGGGATGGGATGACTGTGGTCATTTGATGGTGTTTTTTGGTGGTGGGGAAGGGGGACGTGGGGGAGTTCTTTGTGAGGAGGGTCGGTCGTGGGTTTAATGCAATGGTCAAGTTAAGTTGGTAGCTTTTGATTTGGAATGTAACTTTGTTGTTGGATTTCGAAAAATGGTCGGCTTGCGACGGAGTTTTAACGCCGAGTTTGAGGATCGGGGTTTGTGGACGGTCGGAGGTAAGAGGGGTAACGCGGAAAATACGACAATGCTCTGTTGCCTCTAACATGTATATACTTACATGACCATGCATGGCCATATGGTTGAATTTAAGAAGCTGGGTAGATCTATAGTTTACACAAAGCTAGTACTAGTCTCTATTGTGCAGCTAGTAGCCCAGTACACATAAATTAACTATGGCAATAGGAAATTCACTAGTGATAATGATTATAAGTATAGAGCTTTCTTTGCATGCTCCGATAGTTCAAATCCACGAGCGTGAGACATTTGATTGGCCGCGGGAGCTGGGCCTTTTGGCTTCACCGAGGCCACAATCTCCCGAAGCTCTGGTGATAGCTGCTCTAACTCTAAAGATCCTTCAAGCAGTCTTTTAAGGGTTGACCGAGTAATGGTGATATCGGCATCATCTTCACCATCATCTTCAACCACAAAGTCTCCCTCTTGTAAAAAATTCCATCTTTCGTTGTTCTTATCCATTTCCCTATTTTCATGCCAATTTGTCTGGTACATGCCGTCGACGAGATACCTATATCGCATTCTCCTAACCGGTAGCTCGAGCGTTAGGGACCAAGTGCCGTCCGGGAGACATTTCAGTTCGCGAGATACTCTGATCGAAGGGTCCTGAGCAAAGGGGCCTTCGACTGAGACTCTGTTTATCCTTGTCGGGGAAGTTGGAGCGCTCCAGAAGAATGTATACTTCCCAAGTGCGAAAATAGATTCGACGAAGGGCCATTTGGTCTCATAGGCATTTGATATTGGTATATAATTCCTCGTTACCTTGGGTGGAGGTCCCCGCCGCCGCTGCTCAACATCGGTATCAAGGGTAATGTCGACGTCTTCATGCGGCAAATTTTTATCGATCACATTCTTCCAACCGAGGTTCTCGCCGAGGAATTCTCGGATTTGGAAGTGAAATTTGTCGTGCTCAGATCTTTTGATCCAATCAAAGACAACACGAACCTCCCACGTTGAATTTATCGGGTTCCATTTCAATTCCCCAGCGATAGCGTTCCAGGAGTTTACATCTCCACCAGCTATGGCGAATCTAGAGTTTTCGTTGGATCCAGGAAACTTCGCTTTGATGACAGTAGCGAAATAAGTTGATGCGGGAGACATTCCTGTGAATCTTGTAGGGATAAAGACTGGTTCGGAAATATTGACGAGATCAATTGGTTGACCTCTGATTCTGGCCGAGGTGAACTTTTGTGTGGAATGGGGTCCCGACGGACGTTTGACAATAAACGTACTTTCGATATTTTCTTGGCCAGGCGGGATTGATATTCGAAGGGAAATTTCCCATAAGTTGGTTTTGGGGTTCCAGATCAGGTTTTCGGTACGCTTTCGACCCCAAGCATCGTATATTCCGGTGACGGAGACTTCTTTGATTTCAGGGTCAACTTGTAAGAAGAATAAGAGGCATATGCCGTTTCTGGGTTGGATATTTAGTCTAGGACGGACTCGAGGTGTTATAGTTGCAGGAACAATTTGTTGGGTTGTTGCATCCTCGACTTTCGGTGGAGCTTGAATGGGTATAGTCGCCCTTTGATTTCGCATATCTCGAGAGGGAGGGGGGGCGGGCGGGGAAAGGGGGGTTCGAGGTGGAGGGACCTCGGAGATCAAATCTTTTTGTTCGAGTATATTCCAGCGATGCTCATCCTGTCCGAAAAACCATCTTTCCTCTTTCTTTCTAGATTCATCAATGGTCCTCCGTCCATTGATAGTGAAATAATAATAAACCTTCCCATCAAATGGCGGCCCTGAACGGGGGCGTTCAATTATGACAACATCGCTTGCGTTATGGGGTTTTTGAAAGCCGGTCGAAGCCCGACCCCGCAGTTCGTAGGTTTTGAAAGAGTTGTGGGCGAATGAGCCCGTTACTGAAGCGGATTCGATAGCTTTTTCGGTAAATCCTGGGGGGAAGCTAAATGAAAATTTGTATTGTACTGTTTCGGGGTCGTTGGGTTCTCGCGGGCTGGGTTTGGTTATTCTGTTAAAAAGGGATGTTGCAGGTTTCATTTTGAATTTATGGCTGATGTACAAGTACGTTAAATTGTAACGAGTACTAGTACCGGCGGTGGTTTATGCAATAGCCGTTCAGTTGAACGTCGCGTCGACCGGGGCCCGGGTGTCTGGGTTTACTAGTACGTTGACCTGCCTATAGCTCGGCTTATATGAATTTCTTAGAATATTATATTTATATTCCGATGGCAGCTTGATGATCGATCAATGAAGGTTAAGGGGAGATGTTAAACAGCCGATGACTTTGTAAATATTGCTATCTGTTTGTTATCGATGAATGAATCGGCAAGGCTACGTGTATTGTTGTACAAGAACCAGGTATGCCGTGGTGACACTAGTACTCACGAGTTCCTTTGCAATTGTGCTGACTATTCGTTGAAAGCCATATGATGAGGCTCAAACATTTCAGCCCATGGCGCCCCGCTTGACTCGATGGGTATCGAAATCTTGGTATAGGAGCAAACCCTGCATGGGCTGTACAGTATCGTCGAATTCAAATCATTCAACACAAGATCGTCTTAAATTAGATATGAAAATTAAACTATAATTTATGTTGGAATTATGAATGAGAAATTCGAAGTAGTTTGTAATTTCATAAGTGTGATTAATATTCAAAAGTATGTTTTCTAGAATAAGAAGTTCGGCCGAGGATTAAATTGCACGATTCATGAACATATGTACAGATGGAGACGAGTCGAGTCACTAGTCTGATGCATATAGCACATGTTCACATTCGACGCAATGCAATGAGGGATGGAGAAATGGCGAATATATCGAGCTCCTGCAGATGGACCCCCTGGCACTAGTATGCCCCCACAACAGACTAATCCTATTTGATCGATGATGTCCAAGATGTGATTGCATGATCATAATTAAGTATAAAAATATATGATATACTATCGAGGAAATGATACGATCGAGAAAAGTTGTTGCCTACAAAATGCAACACGTCTTTGACCGTCACACAGGCGTTCTACCGCATCGGGAAATCCGAGTACGTAAGCACAACTCCAACCCGAGTAAAACCTTGAAGACGCCATTTTCTCGACATGCCGAAAACACGTTCCAGAACAGATAATTAATATTCAAAACTTCGAAGAACTTCAAGATCTTTTGTCAGTAGAAGGTACTGGCGGCAGGTATCCGGCCCCTCCGGAACTGCGGAGATTTGGCTCGACTTCCAGGCTCCGCAGCTTCGTTGGATATCAAGTCAGACCTGAGGCGGCTTCGGCGATGGCGTGCTCAGTCGACTACCCAATTCGTAGCGGCAACCGACAAGCTAAGACCCAAGTGAGCATCTCAGACCCCGGCGCTTGCATGCTTGGGGCCTGCTCTACGGTACAGGTATACTAGGTATCAGGTATCAATGACCGTCATCCCGTAACTATTACTGTAGCCATCGCCAAGTAGCCCTGTCTTAGTATAGTTATTGCGCGCTGGTTTGAAAAGCTGCAAAAAAATTTGGGGCAACTTCGGGGGGGAAAGAACGAAAATTCTGGTCTTAAGTTCTTCTGAGAAACTTATATTTATAATCTGGATTTCTGCTCCTTCGATCCTTCCCCTTCCTTCCTTCTCTCTTTTCATACTTCATCTTTCATATTTTTAAATTCTCGTTTTTATAAATACCGGCTCTGTTCAGACATCGGACGAACTCGAACGTGCATCGTATCGCCTTTTTATTTGCCCCACTGTTTGCACAGTTTGTTCATCTATATCAAAAAAAATGTCTTCAGCAACTATCGAGCCCCACGGCGGGGTACTCAAAGATTTGCTTGCTCGTGATGCGCCCAGAAGAGCAGAGCTCGCAAAGGAGGCGGAATCTCTGCCCCAGCTGCATCTTACTGAGAGACAGCTTTGCGATCTTGAATTAATCCTCAATGGTGGATTTTCGCCGTTGGAAGGTTAGTTTTGTGCCTCTACCTCCTTCTCGCCGAAATTTATCCGAGGTCCCTTGCTATGAACAATTTTACTAATTTTTTAATTTTTTTTTTAAAAAAAATAGGTTTCATGAACCAAAAGGACTATGAGGGGTTAGTCTTTACTCTTTTCCATACGAATTGGTATTTTCTTGAGCTTACACTTATTGTCTTTATGGTCTAGTGTCGTCAATAACCTTCGCCTCGTCGACGGAAACCTCTTCTCTATCCCCATTACCCTCGATGTCTCCCAGGAAACAATCGATAAATACTCTATCAAGCCTGGTGCAAGAATAGCCCTCGTGGACTTCAGAGATGACCGCAATCTCGCCATTATCACCGTTGATGATGTCTACAAGCCAAACAAGTATGTTGTCTTGTTTCTATTAGCCCTGTCACTAGTTATCAAGGTCAATGGTTGGTTAACACTGATTGTAGGGACTTGGAAGCTAAGGAAGTTTTTGGGGGAGACCCAGAACACCCTGCTATCAAGTATTTACACAATACCGCCAACGAATTCTACGTCGGTGGTAAGCTTGATGCTATTAACAAGCTAAACCACTATGACTATGTCGACCTACGCTGTAAGTTTTGCTCAGAAGATCATCTAGGTTAGCATCGAAGTTAACAAATGAGTACAGATACCCCAGCCGAGCTAAGAGCTCACTTCGAGAAACTTGGTTGGTCCAGAATTGTCGCCTTCCAAACTAGGTAACACCTTACCCCCCCGGTGCCGACGATCCGAACCCAAAGCTAATTGGATCCTAGAAACCCCATGCACCGTGCCCACCGAGAGCTTACTGTCAGAGCAGCTCGTGCAAGACACGCCAATGTTCTTATCCATCCAGTTGTTGGCCTTACCAAGCCAGGTGACATTGATCACTTCACCCGTGTGAGAGTATACCAGGCTCTGCTGCCACGATATCCAAATGGCATGGCTGTCCTTGGTCTGTTGGGTCTTGCCATGAGAATGGGTGGCCCAAGAGAAGCTATTTGGCATGCTATTATTCGAAGAAATCATGGTGCTACACATTTCATTGTTGGACGGTAGGCTATTCCGGATTCTATTCTCCAGATGTACAGCTTGGACAAGACATCTAACTATTAAAATAGTGATCACGCTGGCCCCGGAAAGAACTCTGCTGGTGTTGAGTTCTATGGACCATATGACGCCCAGCATGCGGTTGAAAAGTACAAGGAAGAGCTAGGAATTGAAGTCGTTCCTTTCCAGATGATGACTTATCTCCCGGATACCGACGAGTACAAGCCCGTCGATGAAGTCCCAGCTGGTACTAAGACCTTGGATATTTCCGGAACTGGTATGTCTAAAACACATCCTCGATCTTTTTACAAAACCTTTATTAATATAATTTTCTTTAGAACTCCGCCGCCGTCTCCGCAATGGCACCCACATCCCAGAATGGTTCTCATACCCAGAGGTTGTCAGGGTTCTTCGAGAATCCCACCCACCTCGCTCTAGCCAAGGTTTCACCGTCTTCTTGACCGGTTATCAAAACTCTGGTAAAGACGCTATTGCCCGTGCCCTCCAGGTCACACTAAACCAGCAAGGAGGTCGTTCTGTTACATTACTCCTCGGTGAAACAGTTCGTAGCGAGCTTTCCGCCGAACTCGGTTTCTCGCGGGAGGACAGACATAAGAACATTCAGCGTATTGCCTTTGTTGCCGCTGAACTTACCCGCGCTGGTGCTTCCGTTATTGCTGCTCCAATTGCACCTTTCGATGGCAGCCGTCGTCAGGCGAAGGAGACTGTCAGCCAATATGGAAGTTTCTACCTCGTTCACGTTGCCACACCATTGGAATACTGCGAGGCTACGGATAAGAAGGGAACATACAAGGCTGCTAGGGAAGGTAGAATAAAGGGCTTCACTGGTGTCGATGATCCATACGAGGCACCTGAGAATGCAGACTTGGTGGTGGATGTAAGTAAGCAGGATGTTAGAAGTATTGTGCACCAAATTGTTCTGCTACTGGAAAGCGAGGGTTTGCTGGATGCGGTGTAAGTCTGTTTTTTATATTTTTAATTGTTTGGGGGTTTTTGGTGGATGATAGATATTATACGATATAGCTACGCAGTTTACTCATGTAGGATATTCTGCGCTTTTCTCTTTTTTTTATAGTCTTGCGGGCGGGAATTTTAATATCTTTACCAGAAAATCCTTCATGAAACTTGCTAAATTTCGTATACATCAAAACTAATGGATTTGCATTGATCAAGCCCCCTCTTTCTCTGTCTCTTCTCTAACTACCCTTTCCACAACTGCCCTTAGTCCTTCTTCCAAACCCGGTAACAACTTCCCCGCCTCCTCTTTCCCCCTATCACTAAGTTTCCTCCACGTCTTCTTCACAATCCCCACCCATTTATCCTCATCATACTCCTCATGTTGTTTCTTAAACCCTTCGACCTCGTTACTTAAAAACACCAACACGGCCGCATCTTCCAATAGCACGGTTGTCGGGTGAACTTTTGATTTTACGAGCAAATCCTTTTTGGCGACTGCGGCGCTGATTTCTTCGAGTTCGGATTCTGGGAGGGAGATAGGAGAGAGCAGGGTTGTTGAGTGGTTTGCTTGGATGGTGTAGAGGTCACGGCGCCAGCGGAGGTAGCCGGGTTTTCCGTCTGGATAGGTGGAGCGGGGGTGTAGGAAACGGCGGAGGTGCTGTTTGGAGTGAATTTGAAAGGGGGGACTGTTAGCGTTTTGATTCTGGTTATGCATATGCTTCAATGTATGTGCAAATTTGGGATAGGTCCATGGTATAGGTTATGGAGAGTTAAAATATGGCGTTTAATATGTGTCATAGAACTTCTAATCATTATGTAACCACCCCTATAACGGCAATCTGCGGGTTTATTTTCTTTGAAGTTTTTTTTTTTTTAATATCTTTACATATCCGGCCTTACCAATAGTTTCTTCTCTCGATGGTACAGGATTTCACTTGGTTACATCTCCTGCAGGAATACACAAGTTGAAAGCTATAAAAAGAAAGAAAGTTACTAACCTGACACCTGGCAGCAATAATCTGGACATTCGTCGGCTCCTCCGGTGCTAATAAGATCCTTAGATAGTTTTCAACATTATCCGCATATATGATTTCCTGTCCAGATGGATCTTCGCGATGCGCATCGTCGATGATTTCTTTGGCGCGAAGGAATACGGCGGGGTCTGATAATGTTGTCATAATGTTCCGTAAGATGCAGAATTTCTAGTAAACGAGATTCAAAGAGATATCAAATCGAGAAACTGAGAAAGAAACCCTTTAGATTCCGAACTGTGGATGCATGTACGAATATATAGAAGTGAGCACGTGCGTACATACGTCGTGGGGGGAACGTTTTTTTACGAAAGAGATATTGAATTGGAATGATATCGCGTTGGGGACGTTGTATTTATAACAACGAATCAGGGGGGCGAGATTACTATTTATATGCAATTGAACGGTTTGGAAGCCGATGCGGAGGGCTGGACCGAACCGTTAATGTATCTGACCTGGGTTAATCACCTAAGCAAGGAAGTACTTAGAACGTTTTTGGTGGCCATGCAACACACTTTATTGTTGCATTTTTTTGCTGGGCAATTTCAAGACTCATTGAAAGTTGATCGAGGCCTTGCTCCGTCGAAGCCCGGAACTTTGTCTGTATTTGTACTTTTAGAGCGGATACGATGTCAAAAGTTCTAATTACATAATTGACCCTTAATTTCATACTCACAAAGTAGGACGCGCAAGGTTAACTGGGTGGATATGTTGATATTCAGTTCACGACGCAATATGCGCAATGTGAATGCCAGGCTGCAGGTACAGTGTAGATGTGGGGTGCGCGCCTGCATGCGCCTGGCGCTGGCCTGATGACTACGTCCGGTCTGCGTCCCACACAGACGAGGACACAGAGCGCCATCCTCTGTAGGAAGGCTTGCGAGCTTGAAGCTGCGTCCGAGTTAATCCATCAGTATAAAAAGCTGCGCTTGATTGAATCTAACCTCCTTCACCGATTCATCAAAACCAACATCACGATATCAAAATCATCATATACACTCCTATATAGCTATACTTCCATTATGGCTTCTCTACCTCTCTTCCCCACCGAAGTTCTCGTTCAAATCTTTAAAGACAAAGCTCTTAATTCCGGTGATCATGCTCGCTGTGCTCGAACTTGCAAGCGTTTTTGCGATATCATCTACTACTCAGGTTCTTTTGGGCTAGACTATGTCTTTCAAGTCGATCATATAACTCAATCCGCCTGGAAGTTCGCAAGGGTACTTCTAGCAAACCCTCAAGGTGCCCAACGTATCCGCGAAATCAGAGTCGAATGGCATCGAAGACAGCGACGATGGAAAGGTTCCTGGACCCCTTTGTGGACCTGGACCGAAGAAGAACTTTCGAAGATCTGGGATATCTGCGAACAATGGAAGATTAGGTCTATCTATCCTGCTATTCGGGATGGCTTCAATTCCGAGGCACTACTACCGTTTATACTCTGCTTTACAAAAGACCTCAAAGTTCTCGACATCGGCCCTACATCCAGGGAATTGATCCACAACGGTCCACATGGCTATAGATTGATTGACGTCCGCCGGATGTTCAATTACAAAAGAGAGGATGGTGAACGTTGGGATGTTCAACGCTGGTATGACAGCGGCGGCTCAACTATCAACAAGCGAGGGAAAGCTCGGCGCAATTCCATTTTGTGGATCTATTCAACTATGACTTCGGAACCTTGGCTGCCAGGCCTTGCCAGTATTAGAGAATTCTCCTGTGGGAACCGCCTGGGAATACGTAATCAACGGGTATCTCGCGATAACAACTTACCTGTTGTCCACCTAGCAACGCTCGCTGCGCTCCCACGTCTTGAAACTCTGAAGATTCATAATCTAGGATGCGCGGCGGAGCTAGAAATCGACCCCAACGACGACCCGAAGCCAACCCAGCCTTCAACTTTGAAACACTTTGAGCTGATCAATTGCATATACCTGAAAAACGTCTGCGAAAGAATCGCAGTTTTGGCTCGTGACTCTCTCGAAAGTTTCACACAGGCCGGCACACCGGGTTCATGCAACGGATATCTATATTCTCTAGAATGGACTCTCGGAAGAAACGATCCTGACGAGATAAAGAAAGCTGAAGTTACCATTGAGAATGAAATAGCCGACATTTTCCAACAAGCGCAGATGAAGAAGTTGACGAGAGGCAAAATATATTTTACGGAGCCCGAAGAGGAGACTAACGACGTCGAGTACTATTCTTCCGACTGGGACTCCTCTGAGCATATGATAAATGAGTCTAGAGATCCGTATATGCAGAAGAAGAAGCATGATGTTAACTGGGATTCTGATGATGCCATGGGGAGCGACTTTTATGATATTAACAAGGTCAAATTATATTATAAACCTGCGGAGAATTCAGTTTGGTTGCCTGAGGATTTCGAGCCACATGTCATCGAAGATTATAACGAATCAACCAAAACCCGACACGTTAAAGGGCGAAAGAGAAGAAGCCACTTTGTTGGATAGGACGCATGTTATAACCATCCCGGGGAACTAGAATCCCGTGAGAATGTATCTACTTTAAGTTTCACCCTTTCACCCGTCACCCTTTCACCCGTCACCCCGTCACCCCGTCACCCCGTCACCCCCTCACCTATCACCCTCTCACCTATCACCCTTTCGCCCCTTCGTCCCTATGGCCCATATGTTTTAGGGCCCTTTTCCGAGGTGAAGCATACATGCATCTTAAAAGAAGCCATGGATAAAATTATATAATTATCCATACTATCAAAGCCAATAAAAGCTTATTAAATTCGCTCGCCTCTGGCTACCGTTTTATACACGGCATTAAAAGTTAACACAAAAGGCTGTTGGAGTCGCACTTATTGACACGTAGAATACAGGTAAGGGTTATGTATATATATATCGTGGGGAGGACATTAATGGAAAACACCCAAATCAGGAGATTGAGTAAGGGCGTTTCGTGTGCGTGAGGGAAAGGACATTGGTAACGTTAACATGGCTTAGGTCAGCGCTGGACATAAAAAGATAAAGGGAGGACATGAGGAGTAAAACTTAAAAAAAGAAACCAGGCGAAATAGAAGGACGTTATAACGTTAATAGCGCTAGTATATGTACGGGACGGTCCAACGGGAATTCGAATGGGATAGGCTCGATGGTCTTCAGTATCAAAAGTTTGGGTTCGGCCGTCCAGATATCGAGGGTTCGGTCCAGAAATATATGAGCTCGGGGGGCGCTATCGTAACGGAGAAAAATGGAGAACGCTATACTAGAATCGTCTAATGTCTCGTGGCTTGGAAGGATCCGCGACTGGTCATGCTTCCTATATAACCCGGAAAAGAAGAAAGAAGAGAGTATTAAAAACGGTCGTTCGATCCCATATTGCGTCGTAAAATAGAGATAAGAGCTTTAAAGTATCAAAGAAACGGGCAATTCCGATGATTTAAGTATTGAATCTTCTGTCGAAAGAACGAACGGGTTGGGGGAGCTTGGGGGGAAAACAAAGAACGAAACCATCAAGAGCGAAACCAACAAGAGGAAGGAGAATTAGGCATAAAACATTATCTCGTTTTCGCTATCGTCCCGCTGTCAATTTGGTGACTTGAGAGACGATAGGATTTACGGTATCAATTATGGAGGGGTAGATTTAATTGAATTGTTGTGCGCTTTCTTCAGCTGGAGATTTGCGACGGAAAAAGGGAAGTCTCCCACCTCGTTTTTCGGCCTCCATGGTGCGTTCATGATGGCGATTTCGTCGGGCAGAGTTGAAGCCCATGCAGTAGAAGATCGATGAGAAAAGCATGCATCCGACGGCGCCCCAGGTGAATCCAAAGGCCTATTTGTTTGTTAGCCTAATACTATATTCATGACGATCTACCAAAGAATACTTACGTAGTATCCAATACCAGCGTTCAAACCGGCGTCGTGGAATGTGGTTCGGCCCAAAGTATAGACAGCACTATAAATAATCGTCAATATCAATTCAGCTCAATCTGTGAATTGGACGGATTCTTACGTCATCAAAGTAGCGAGAGTGAGCACGCAGAAGAAGGCCCAGAAGGAAGCGACGGCAGACAAGGCACTCCCAAGTCTGCTGCACAGGGCCAAAATTCCGCTGATCATGCTACACAGCATGAAAAACAAGCTGATGAGGTAGAAGGCGAAGACGAATCGCGAGAGATAGTAATAAGTTCTGTGATTATTCAAAAACTCACTTGGAACGCCATCGCTTGTGCCAAAGTTTTCCTGAGGCAAGAAAGGGTTCGCAGCGTGTACATTCCCGCAATTCGTCGTGATTCCGCCAACTTTACCGGCTGAGGATTCGCAGACCTATAGAATCTTTTGTTCAGCAATGGAGTCGTTTTTGTTTATATAAAAGCGTTGATCGTACATTCCATAGAGTCCATTCTGAAATTGCTGGTGCACCCTTGATACCAGAAGTGTCGGCCCAGAGGAAATAAATCCTGTAAAAGGGATCCCAATCTCGAGTACCCGCCAGTAGAACCAAAAGCAACAAGACACAACCGCCTGCCGTCAGGAACAGCGAGAGAAAAGCGAAGCAAAAGTCTATATATTGGCGAAACAACACCAACTGTTAGCGACATGGCCATCAAAAACGTGGGATGTATATGTACGTGGGTTGTCGCATTATTTGCCGCGTGAATTAAGATTCAGCGCAGATATAAACAGCGACCAAATCGATAAGAATGATAGGAAATATACGTACTTCCGGCCATGATGGACTATTTAGAAATTAAAGCTTCCGCTGTAGTTTCGTCAGAATCGATATCGTTATAAAATCGAAACAAAAACGAACGAAACGGCACACGAACGTCGATGACGGTGTCTGTGTGTATGTAAAGTTGCAGTTGTCTGGGGTGCGACGTGCGAACAAACAGAAAGGTCGAGAGGGAAGAAGGGAGGAAAGAAAAACCCACCAACAGTCAACAGCAGCACAACCACGTAAGTACCACGCAGATAAACGATAGTTAACAACTGACACCCACAGACCGCAGATGAAGATGCAGCCAGCCAGCCACAGAAACAGACACCAGTCCAAACCAGTTCGTTTTCCTCCTGCAGACGCTGCAAAACGGAAAAAAACAAACAGTAAAGGCGCTTTTGAAGGTGGGAATATGGAGTTGGATTTTGGCAGAGATTGGGGAAAGCGACGGAATTAGATATTGCAAGCGAGGAGGAAATGGCTGGGCCGACGATATATACTATCCTGACCCTGCAATGGAGGGGCGGGTTTCCGAACTCTCAAGGAACTTTTGATCCAGAAGCTAATTAACTTTGGACCTCGAAGTTGCCAATTCTCCGGGTGCCTCAGCTGTGCTGTCGATCGCGACAGGCTTTATTCTCGATCAAACCGCCATATCCAGCTCGGCCTCAAGACGCTTTCGCTTTCGTTTTCATATGATCAGATGGCTCTGGGAAAAACAGGGTTTGCCGCTGAACCAGCTAGGCCAGGCCGGATCTATGGCTCCACGCACGGATATCGTCATAACAGCGACCATCTCGTTCGAACCCCCCCAAGCCAACTGGAATGAATATTAAAGCTTCAGATACTCACCTGAGCATGATCGGGCAGGGTTTCGATCTGAAGAGTTTTTCGCTTCCCAACTAAGTTAATACCGCGGAGGAAGGTATTCTGGGCAGCGCCATTGAGCGCCTCCCAAGCATACGTATGCTTGAGCAATGCATGGTGCTTTTACCCCAGCCATTTGAATGAAGTTTGCAAAGTCCGTGACGCTTGGCAGGTCTGCTAGCTCCAAGGGTGTCTCTGATTCCCAATACGTCATCCCGTCACCAGTTCGACTTAAAATGTTTGTTCTCGTCGACACATCCCTTCCCTAAACGATGGGGTCCAGAATGCAGGCATCACTGACATGCTTTTGACGAAACTTTAACAAATTCTCAAAGCGAACAAAATAAACAATTTGAGGTTGGATTTCGCCTAGTCGGAACTTCTTTACGGCGGGAAACTATTATCTTTGGGGAAATTCTTGCCTTGGAACTTCCCCAAATATCAAATAGGCGAATTCGCAGATGTTACTGACGGCCGACGGGAGTGTAGCGTACAGCGGGAAAACCCCTCGAAGTAGTTTCACTTTCTTAGTATTAAATCTTTACAATGGAAGCGAGTTCCCAGCTCATCTCGATTGCTCGACGACCCTTTCCCGGGTGTTTTGTTGGGGAATTGCAGCTTTAAAATTCTAAACTCCGATCTTTTAGTTTCGATTTGGATAGCCAATCCCAAGAATCGTCAAGCGAAGCCTGCAACTACCTTCGAGAATAACAACAGGACATCAGTATGCATAGCACAGCCCGGCCAAGAGACATATCTATTTCGCTACTATATCTTCAAAAAATTTTCTTCTTCTCATCGTTTAATGATTTTTTACCCGGAGTGGGGGTGAATTTAAGGTTGTACTTGTCGGTTTTTGGTTTGCATTGTCAGATAATATTATCAGGTACAGACATACCTTACTAACGCACATAACCGATGATTCTGCAACAGGGTATCAAAAAGCTCTTCCTGCCACACATACCCTAACTAAATGTTATTATCATATATTGTCTCTAATTGAGAGGAGTTCAGTTATATCCTGGGGACTTCGTGTGATCCCAGTTAAAGCGATGATTCTTACAAAGCAGAGACTTCGCGGTTGTTAGAACGAATCCACACTTGTGGGAGAACGAAGACGAAGTAGTCGACCTACAACCCTGTCCGCCCCGAGACAGACTTACGCGGCGGGCTTTGTTGAAGGAATAGAAGGAATAACCTCTTACGAGTGCAAAGTGGCAGTGAATTGGAAGCAGTCGGATACGGCACGGCAAGGCCAGGCGTGTCTGTGGAGCGATCTGCGTATATATATCTGCTCGTATGTTATGCATCTGCTTCCCCGTCGGAGAACAGTTGTGATTATTATCCATGGAACGTGGAATATTACAAGATTGTGTGCTTATAGGTTTCCAGTCTCGTAACCAGAATATCGATGGGCCCTAATAGCACTAGAATTTACTGGGTATAGAAGTTTGAGCCTGAGCTTGGAAATCAAGACCTGGATTTTATGATCACGTTCGTTTACGGTTAGAGATCCTGTATCCGTTCTTCGCAGTTACATAAAACTTTCAGGGTCCCCGACCTAGTCTTTCCGGCTTTTAATATCAGCTGACAACGTTAATATTTCTGCACGATCTGTTTCTGGATTTCGCGTTCAGGGTCTAGCCAATATATATATATTCACAGAGCGCGGCCCTCGACATTCCTCAGGAGCTCAAAGATTCTCTAGATCTACATACCTCTCTCTTGTTGTAATACCTAAGAGGTACCTAGGTACCTACTTACCTACATGTTTACCCTCGGGCTGATCAAAGATATTCCCAAGTCATTATTATTATTATTTTAGAAAAAAGCCCTTACAATACTAATATTTAGCATTATGATCATACATACTATATTATATATCTCGAGAGACAGTCTACATACCTAATAAGAATATTTAATGAAATGCGTTGTGTGACATAATGGGCGCCCATGTCAGCGTGATGGCCGTATTTGGACGAAACGAACATGCATGACTGACACAGTTCTGACCAAATGCGAGCAGCTGAACTGTCCTGAAGGCGTTAATGTTCTGAACAACTCCAACATATCTTCATTTCCCATCCACCGTTCACCGTTCAACCCACCCGCCCATGATCAAGTGATTGGCTCACTTCCTCCACGAAGAGGACACCGTAATTCCTGGAAGCCAAGATATTCATTTATCTGATCGAATACCTATTAGTATTGTCCGTTTAGGAACAGGAGCATTCGGACAGAAGCGGACCAGTGCAGAGCCTAGTTTTCCCAGAACAATAAGCGACAACCTGCTCTCTGTACCTGCTCTCATCACGAAACCAACGTGCATACCGTCGCCTTTGCTTTAGAGACCCACCATTAACCATGAACTACCATCACCATCAATAGCTGGATTTCATCTTTAGAAACATCGCCTTTCAATGGCCTAACCGTTTCTACATCTATCCTTACAACTATCATTCTTGTGTCACCGGTTTCTCCCGCTCGACTCTTACCCACAGGGCTACTAACGTTAGGCAACCCCAGGTCTTGGGCCAACCTTAACGATGGGCTTCTGGTTCGCCTACTTCCTGGGAGCCTTCACCTTCATCCCCCTGCTACTCACCTCCGTCCTAATATTCGCCTATCTCTCCTTTCCAAACGTCTTTAGCGATCCCGATCCAGGTCCTGTTCGGCTACCTACCGACGATGAGAAGCTATTCGTCTCTGGAGATGGTGCTCTCAAACGCAAAAACAGTCAGGACAAAGACAAAGACGGCCAGCCTATCGAACCAAAAGATGTCGCTTCAGGGTACTTCGCCGTTACGAGGGAGTACGTCCCTGGCGGCGTTAACGGGAAACCACCGGAACGACCCGCCCCGAATGGGAATATGGCTACCGAGTCGCCGTCGGTATACCAGACGATGTACAGGAGCTTGTTTGAAAGGAAACCCGCTGCAGCCTCGAGTGTTTCTACGAATGCGAAGGGGAAGAATGTCTTTTTCGTAGTTTTAAGGTATATCATCTGAGTTTATGTGGGATTTTTGGGAGGATTATGAACTAATGAAGGCTATAGACACGGTCATCTAATGCTCTATGACGATACTGAACAAGTCGAAGTCCGTCATGTAATATCTCTCACCCATCACACAGTTAGCATCTACGGCGGCGAAGGCGAAGTTATCCCGGAAGGCGAACTCTATATTAAACGAAACGCCATTCGGCTATCACGGAAGGAAAACGGTTCATCGAGAAATACGTCGACGCCATCGAAACCATTCTTTCTATTCTCGGAAAACTGCTCGGATAAGGAGGATTTCTACTTTGCCCTTGTTAAGAATCAGGAGAGGGAAGAATCGAAAGATGGACAGACATCGCCGTCGAAACCGTTAGGGTTTGAGACCAAGCACATAATATCGTTAGTGCAGAGACTACATTCCACGGAAGAGGATTTGCAAACTCGATGGTTAAACGGGCTTGTTGGGAGAGTGTTTCTGGCATTATACCGGACATCAGAGGTAGAAGAGCACATTAGATCGAAAGTTACGAAGAAAATCGCGAGAGTCAAACGGCCAGCCTTTTTGTCCAATATCATCGTCCAGAAGATAGACTGCGGAGAAGGCGCACCGTTTATTACAAACCCGAAAATGAAAGAACTAACGGCAGACGGAGAGTTCTCAATTGAAGGAGATGTCAAATATGCTGGTAACTTCAGGATCGAGATATCAACGGTGGTAACTCTTTCTTTCGGGAATCGCTTTAAACCTCGACAAGTGCCATTAGTACTCGCGGTGGTCTTTAAGAAACTAGAAGGGCACGCGATATTACGACTGAAACCCCCACCATCGAATCGGTTCTGGTTTACATTCAGCGAGATGCCAAAGATGGATATTGCCGTTGAGCCAATCGTCAGCAGCCGACAAATTACGTGGAATTTGGTTCTTCGACCAATCGAGAACAGGATCAAAGAAGTCATTGCGGAGACCCTAGTCAGCCCCAATTGGGACGATTTGCCATTTATTCCTACGGATTCCGAGTCTTTGAGAGGGGGTCTATGGGAAAGCATGAAAGCTGGAAGCTGGAAGGAGTCTGCGGAGACTCCTGATGGTCACGTGAAGGGCTCAGTGGAAGATGCAGAGAAGCAGGATAAGTCGCACGAAGAAGGCGGAGGGGAAGGGGTGGTAAATCCACTAACGGAACAGGAGAAGAGTATGAGTATGCCCATACTTGTGGAACCGGAACCAAAACTACCTCCCCCCGTAGCGAAGCCAAGACGATCGGTATCCTTAGTTTCATCGTCTACACCAATTATCGATGAGGACAAGGCCATTTCTTCGAGTTTGGAAAATGTGGCTCAGATTCCGATACAGCGAACTAAGGGACGGCGGTCAACTAGTATTGGGACACCGATAACCATATCCTCTACACCGGTAGTAGCCACGACGACAATAAACGCTAGCGCCGAACGACAAGAGCCAAAATATGATAACGATAGGTCGGATGCGGTGTCCTCGGTTATGTCAATCACTCGATCTAGAAGCTCGAGTGGAAGTGGACCAACCGGGAACGGAGGTTCACCGTTTCACACACCTTACGGCTCGCCTAGTATTAATGATAGTTCTACGCCCGGGCTCAGGCTTTCGCCTTCGTCTTCTGTGACCACGATTGATACCGGATCAATGACAACGGCGGCGACTACTATTGCGACTAGTGATTCTAAATCTCTCAAATCTGCGGCGTCCTGGAAAGCAAACGGGCCCACCGAAACGAACAGGTCTACGAACGCGCCTGCGGACAACCTCAAGGCTCGACTGGGGACCTTTAGAAACAATTTCTCATTCCCCAAGGCGTTCAATACCAATATTAATAACAATAACAATAATGCGAACAATCAAGCGAATGCTACTACTAGGGATGGGGATAAGAAGAACGAGCAGGCTATAGGACCGACCGATTTACCTACTCCGCCAACAGGGATTACACCAACGCCCTCACTAAATCCGGAAAAGACGGCATTCGCTACAACGATGGCATCCACCGGTTTGGCCATCAAAAAATGGTATATTAATTCCCGGAAGAAAGACGAAACCGGCAACAATAATGGAAATAGTAATAACGTGCCGACTATCGTTGAAAGTGGTTTCCACCCCGCATCCGAAATGACTGGCCGCGAAGCTCTGGGTATATCAGAGGGAGAATTAAAGCCTTATCCCGTTGAAGCCCCGCCTAAAGCAGATCTTAGAGACAAGATCCGTGGGTTTGGGAGTATGGATATTGGGAACGGAATATTTGGAGGCGGGAATAGTGGGAATAGTAGCAGCAATAGCGTTCTGGGTGATGAAGGGGAGAGGAATAATGATCCTGGGAAGGCTAATGGTGGGAGTGGAAAGTACAAGTATCCGGTTCCGCCATGGGAGATTCCTGCGCCGCCACCGAAGAGACAGCCGATCACGACGCCGCCAATCGATGTGCCTAAGCGAAGGTTGCCGCCTCCTGTTTTGCCACCTAGAGGAGGTCATCCGATTAATGGGTTGCACGGGAGGACTATGTCGAGCGCTTCTTCACACTCAGTTGCGCTAGCGTTGAATGGGGGTAATGCAGGCGGATTTGCGGGAGAAGGAGAGCAGATGATGGTTGTTGCAGCCCCAGTAGGGGACCCATTAACCCCTGGGACGCCAGTAGGAGAGGATATACCGTTTTCAGGTGTATATTTGGGTGGGGAGAGCCCGGAAGAGAAGAGGGAATCCGGGAGCGTGAAGCAGAAGGAGAAGGAGAAGGAGAAGGAGAAAGACAAGCTTGATTTACCGGAATATGATGGGGGCGGTGAAGGCAGAAGGCAATCGGCAGAAACTTCGGGGGCTAGCGTTAGGAGTGGAAGCAGCAAAGGGAGCAGAGATAGTGGCGATAGCAGTAGATGGGAGATGAGGGAACGACCTGGAGGCAGGAGAGCTGGTTCAGACGGGGATGAGCCACCAAGTTCAAGGAGCTGGACGACAGAAGAGGAGGAATGGAGGTTGAGAAATCGATTGGTTAGTGAAATTACTGGGGAAGAAGGGTAAAAACTTTCTGCCCTTGATTTTGTGGGTGGTCTCTTGAACGGAGTGTTTTAGGAACATCTGGATTTGCATAATTGGGACTTCTTTTCCTTTCTGTTTGTTTGTGGGGTAATTCATTGGCATGCGCGGTGTTCTTTTTGTTTAATTCTGAATACTCATAAGATGTGAAGGATAGTGAAAAGGGTATAGCGAATAGGGTGTAAATACGATGGAGGGGTTTCTTAACCGGTGCATTTTCCAGGAAGGGGGGGTTCAACAGTATCGGCGTTCTTGTTTCATCTTTTCCATCCGTCATTTACTTCTGTTCGCCCTTCCATATTTTTTAACCTTTTCATTAATTTCCTTTGACCAAAAGATTGAATCTTTCTTTTCACATGATTGTTTTTCTTGAACGAAAAAGGGAGCAAACAAAAGAATATTGGAATTCGCTTGATCGTGATGCTTTTTCACTTTTTATTTCCTGGTGAGCTTGAAGCTTTTTTGGTCTATTTTCGTTATTTTGTTTGTTAATTTTCAATTCGTGTATCTCGCATGCTTCTGCGGGCTGAATATTCTGTTCCGTACTGTTCTATATTACAATAGTGTAGACTTTTAGAGGAAGTATATGTACAATAGTAGTATTTGAAGTGTACCACTTTGAGAGATGTGCCCGTCTAGGATGTAGGTATTGTATCTCGAAGGAAAACTCGAGGATTCCGTGGTTCCTTGGTAGAGTATCATGGTCGTAGCTTCTTACAAAATCCTTCAATCCTGTTATACCGGATACTGTCTGAAGCTGTAAAAGTTATAGGCATAGGATTTTGTAAGATCTTCATTTCCGTTTCGTAAATAGAGGAAGTATATCATTTAGAATCTATCACCAAGCACCATTATTCTATTAGCTTTTTTATACTTTCTTTCATATTGTTCATTCTTCTTATTTTCTTTTTCACATGCCGGAAGCATGGATAAACAATGGGATGAGAAATATTAAACATACGAAGGAACCAATAACTCGGCAAACGAGCTATGCAGGAAAGCTACGGCGACGCCAAAGGCGGCAACGGAGCGGATCATGCTTGCGTTCTCGGAGTTTGTGACGAAACGGTAGGTTTGTGTGAGGACTGAGGGTTGGGAGCGCTGGTGAGGGGCGCGGATGGCGGATGGAGCGCCGCCGGCTCGTTTTGGGGCCATGATTTCTTTTTTGTTATATGGGTATTTGTCTTTTGGAGGAGGGGTGGTGGTGGTGGTGGTGGTGATAGTGGGGTGGGTGGTGGTTGATGGTCCTGTGGTGATGTCGATTTGGAGGTTTGGGTTTTTGGCGAAGAGAGGAAAGATTTTGGAGGGTACTTGTTGAGCCACTGTGGCGGTGCTAATTATGTAACTCAGCCACTTTGTTGGATTTTTCTTTTTGGTGGGTTAGTTTTGGTTTACCAGACTGTTTTGGGGCTTGGATTTCAACATCCTTGTTATCCCCGATTTTTATCGTATATGCTACAGATCTAGCATGATCGATTCAAATGGTAGAAATCCCCGATATTGAAATCTTGGGAATTGAAACGGGGATTTAGAAAATTCTATTTTCAAAATATCATCGGGCTTCTTGCCTTGTCCGCGAGCTAGACCTGCTAGTATATTTGGATCCCGTGGACAGGGTGGTCCATCAATATATTGATAAATCAATTATCTCTATCAAGTATTGGCATTATGCTCTATCATACTAGTCAGTTTTGTGCAATCTTCTGAAAGAGTAAAACAGACGCCTAAGCTCAAGCCAATATGAAATGTATACTTCATCTTGAGATATCGATTTTCTAGGAGGTATCGATTTCTATAGACCCCTTTAAAGCAGCGGATCTTGATTAATCCACCATCGGTTTTCTTTTGCGAGTCGATAGCTAGCCTTGAAGGCCAGGCGCAGATCGATGAACAGATCGGGGTGTAACACTAGATTTAAACTTGCATGCATGCATATGTATGCATTAGTAGATTAGATTTATGTATGTACCACCGTGATACAAGAACTTAAGATTTAGCCGTGTATGCGGGTCGGCAATTTGAGCTTAAGTTAGATCGCAGCGACTTTTATTCAAGCTTTTTTTTCTATCTTCTTCTTTTCCTGTTTTTTCTATAGGGCGAAACGGAGATGTTGTTTCTTTTTGGAGACGGCTGTGCCGTGATGCGGACTAGTACTCTGGGCCTTTGGTAGCACAGCCAAGTTGTCTTTAGATCTACGCCGTTTGTGGAGATGACTCTATTTGGAGAGCCCTTTTACTAGCAGGACGCCGTGGACCGGAGTTACGGGTTCGAAGTCGTATTTTTTAAAAATTTATAATCTTGAAATATAGAGCTCTGCTACAAATACAGGGTTAACTTTACTTCGCAAACGATACTCCTTAGATAAGGATTTAGAAGTAGATTTATAGAGTGAAGACTTGAAAAATTGCCGTTTAAAAAGACACCCCTTTGCCACCGGCCAGTCGAAGTCGAAAAGCTTTGAGACCTTCTTGATCGTATCACCGGTTTTAGAATTTTCCCTTCGTATCAAAAAGATATAGCAAAAAAACTCGATCGATCTTTGAGATACTCGACATTCCTAATTTGTTTCTAGACTAGCTACTTAACACTCAGTTCAGCCTTTGAGAGACTTTTAAAACCCCCGTTATCTATCAGTAGTAGTGTAACATCTAATATTACTCATACGAACAAGATTTTTCAATATTTCCGTCTACAATGACGTCTTCCGTATGCATAACTACCTTCATAGACTAGTCTCTTGAATCAATAGATTATATGATTAGCTAGTAGATTATGGCTACAAACTATTCACCCCGTCTAGATCTATCCAACAGCCCCGTCTCGGTGAAACTCCAAGGCCTAGAATCTCGGACTTCCTCCCTCAAAAGGGCCCGTTAACCCTTAACTCACCAGTCTTTAGGTAATCAGAGTCGATAATCTATATAAACAGCCCCTCGGCCTCGAAACTCTGAATTCTAATTCCCACCCGCACGGCTTCCTCACATCATTACCTCTCCAGGTAAACATCTAACAAAATTGACTGCCATCAGTCTTTTTAGATTAAACATCATACCCTTTTCTCCACGAAAAAGAGACCATATATATCTCCAACACCCTATTTTGGAAAAAGATGAAGATCCCTTCAATCACTTTTATCCTCGTGGCATTAGCCACCGCAGCGCAATGTGCGCCTGTGGGCGATTGTACTGGAGAACGTATGCACCCCATAACCAAACATTTTTCAATATCATCTTCTACAAATTAATACTAATCACCATTTTTTGCCAAATAGTTTGCATCCGAGGCAACGGCGGCGGCGGCGGCTCCGATCCAATTCCCAGCGGTAGCAACGTAAACAACGGCGGGAACGGCGGGAACGGAGGAGCAAACAGTGGCGGTCCAGGAGGAAACGGCGGAAACGGTGGAGGAAATGGTAATACACCTCCTCCAGATGGTAATTCCGGTGGAGGAGCTAGCGGTGGTGGTGCAGGGGGCTCTGGAGCGCCTGATCTTGGGGGAATAATCGCGGGTATCATTGGTGGTTTATTTGGATAAAACTTGTGCCCCCGACCCTAGGCAAGAACACAATAACCATGTTCCTTTTTAGTGCAAGGAGGAGTTTTGAGTTATCATTCATGTAACTCAGATCAAAGAGATACATGATACATATGCTTGGTGTTAGTCTTTTCGTTTGGAGTCACTTGGGAGTCTATCTATTTTGTACTGATTTGCAATATTTGATTCACCCAGCATGCTGGCGGCTGGACTCGACTCATTGTTATTAATTTTTTAATCATATTTTGAATTTTCCGATAATCCGTATGATGCTTTTCCTCAAATTAGATGCCTAGTAATAGTTGAAGTGCACATACTCTGAAGTTCACTTTACCAACTCCAGCATCCTCTATCACAAAACAGATCCTAGCGATCCTCATCCTTCGAAGACTCGAATCATTCGATATGGAAATGTTGTTGGTTAGACCGTCGTACGTTCGACATAATTCAAGCCTCCAATTTCTTAATTTTCTATACGAAAGGAAAAACACGATCCGTCCCCTCTATCAAGTAAAAGAATAAGAAACAAATGCCTATCCCGTATGTGCTTCTTAAAAAATTATACAAAAGAACGAAAGAAATAGAGAGAGAGAAACATGAGAACGCCAGCTTGGTAAAAGAAAAGAAAAGGAAATTTGACACTCCAAATAGTTCAAGGTCCGGCAACCCCGCGAGGGGCTACAGAAAATGGGTGTGCTAACCCGCTGAAGCGACGGAGCAATATTCTAATGCTTGAAGTTCTTCCAGAATGCCCGCTTTGAGCCTTGAGGTCTACGATTCTCGATCTGATCGGGACCCCACATCTCTGGTTGAAAATGGTCATTTTGAAAATGGCGAGTATTGTAATGTGAGTTTTTGAACATCTTCGTTTGCAATGGCGGATCCGTTTCGGCTTCACTTTCTTTTTTGATCGCTTGAAGAGTACTTTGACTACCGTCATGGTTCCGATATGCTCGCAGAGGTGGAAAGCAGTGCCCGCAGATATCATGAGGCGAGTTTGCGATTCCCGGGATCAGGGAATAGTAAGGAAGTGGGTTTTGCGTGTATTCTTGACCCAACATCATCGAGACACGAACACTTCCCAACCCAGGTGGGGCCTTCGAGCTAATCGCTGGAGAGGTTGGCAAACTCGGTGGTGCCAAATCCCTGTTCTTATAGATCAAATCGTAATGTCCTGGACGATACAGCAGTCTAAGTGGGCTTTCTATTTGGCCCTCCCTATTAGGCTTCAATCCATCATCGGGTTCGAACGTGTGGACATTGACCTCGTCACTATCGCTGCGGTCAAGGTAGGATATCTCAACACTGAGGTTTGCAGGGAAGAATAGAACGTCAATGAGAGCTTTGATACCCAGATGGTCGATCTGAACTCCATATGGTTCTATTTGGGCACCACAATAATCGTCGATGGTAGGGTGATCGATCAGGAATGGAGCATAGGCATCTGGATGACACTTCATGTACGCAGATGTAAGGAGCTATATACCCCCGTTAATATATAAATTGCTATTAGAAGGGTTATAAATGATGACTTGCTCATTACCTTCAGGTGGGTTATGATTGAATTGCTGATCTCGTCTTCATTGAATGCCTTCACGAGCACTTTGTCGTTATAAGGATCATCGACTACGGGGGATTTCCCGATAGTTTTCAATAGGTTCTTCGTTTCAATGACAAAGTCTTCGTAGAGATAGTCGGCCATGCCAACAGAATCCATCATTGCGCAGAGGGCCTCAATGCGATTGTGTTCCTCTTCAATCCTCTTTTCGTCACCAGTCCGAAGGAGTAGTTCGAACCAGCCGAAGGCCAGGGCTGTAATTTTGAAGTTTCATTAGCATCGTTCGGACTATGATAGTGTAAATATCGTTTAGGAGGGTGGGTATAGCATACCTCTCCAGCCACAGTTTCCATCACCTTTGATGGTGCGGTAGTTTGTATATGTGGGCGAAAGTGCCTGGGTCGCTAGTTAGTAAATTCTATGCATGATTAATGAGACTAATAGATAGCGGTTTGAATTACAGCGGTCTTTCGAACGTAAACCGGGTCAGCATCTGCATATTCGGCTTCTAGAATCTTGCTAGATTGTAATTCTCCAACAAGAGGTCCCTGTCATCCCAGCCATGGTGTATGTGTAACCAGTTAGTCATTTACTCATGCATCAGGGCCTTTTGACCTAACTATATTTAATGATGAGGAATACCAAGCTTACAGTGACATCTGGTTCATACTGCGCCGACAGTTTCTCCAGGTCTGCCAATTCCTGGGCAGTTTTCATATCCGCCTTCTCCTGTAGGGCAGAGGAAGAAGAGCCTGCTTCTTCGGCCATTTCAGCAATAGTTGAAATTGTACTGCGTCTCTCTGAAAGCTCTGTCCGAGAAGGACTAGAAGTTTCTCCAAGTTCTGAGACACCGGAAGAATAAGAATATGATGGAGAACTAGACGAAACACGAGTGGCAGGGAGGGTAGAGGGGGGTACTCTTGGAGTAGGCCTATACGACCAACTTGGGGCAACAGTAGATACCTCTGGAGCAGGCCTATATGACCAACTTGGGGTAACAGTGGAAACCTCTGGCAAAAGTGAATAATTGTTAGTTTGGTATAATGGCCGTGGGTGTGATAATCCTGGTACAATGGGCAAACTTGAGTGGAGACCCATATGTGGGTTTGGGAATGGGATATCTGGGCTTGGGTAAATTAGGGGGTATGGGGGTGGGGCATTGAACGAGGAGAGAGGTAGGACGGGATAAACAGCTTGACAAGAATGACAGGCACATGGTGTATACGGACGACACTGCAAAGCCATATCTGTGGGGGGTAGGCCTGAACGATGCATGATCGTGTACGTATATCAAGATGAGGATGCGTATATAGGCAGTGTGACAAAGCAGAATGAAATATGGGTCACAAGATGTAAAATTATGAGATGGGATGAATGCAATGAGATGGTTAGGAATATTGTGATATCAAACCAAAATGGTGGGACTGACCTGCCTTTAGCTCGCTTTAAAATAGTTCGCTTTTGATGCTTTCGAGATGTGAAGTTAAAGTAAGAGCGCCGTACGCAAATGCGTGTAACCACCCTAAATTAAACGAGCCTGGAAGGGATACAAGGTGATGCTATGTAAGGTACTTACTGGTACGTTAATCCTCGAAGCTTGGAAATACAGCAGCGATCTGGACTGGACTTACCTACGAGCTCACGGAATACCGGACGGGAATGCAATGCCGAGTGTTTATGCTACGCACCTGGGGGATATCGATGGTATGGTATTGGTATTCGCAAGGATCTAGGTGAGGTACATGTGCGTCTACTTTTGGAGGGGTTGTGATCCAATGCAAGGTTCAGGTTCAGGTTCAGGTTGCGTTCGCCGGTATTATACTTCCATTGTGGTCGGCGGGCAGCCCAACACGCCAATTGCAACAGGATCCAACGACGATACCAAAATTCTATAAAATCTCCACGGACGGCTCCTACCACATCAGATACAAAATTCAAAATATTCTTTTTTCTCTTCCCGTAGAGCATATTCCCGTCTATTACTACTTCACCCGACCCGCTTTTCTCGGGTATCAAATTTATGCCCAGAGCAGTTTTTTATTTTTATTTTTATCTTTCAAAAATGTGATAGCTGTTGACACACAGTCCGACATCGTATCATAATTAATTCTGGACAGAGCAATACTCGAGTACTCCCTGTCTAGAACCCGGAAAGCAAGAGTATTGTCGGTTTGCTTAATGCACCGTGATATCAATTCTTAGTTTACTTCATTTTTTTTTAATTGGCCCAATTCTCGACACAGTATTGTTTCGAGGGCTACATTTAGTGAGCTCACATTCTGTTCCATTTGCCTAACAGCCTCGTCAAATGAGGATTCTCGCCGAAACTCGATTTATCGAGATCTCAGGTATGAGAATATACAAAGCCATGTTATCTAGAGGCCTTACGGTGGCACATATGCATAAGACTTCATTATACATAGTTCCCCAACATGGGGTTCTGCATGATATGCGTCTTAGAAAATGTGATAATGCAAATGTCGATTCTCGTTATCTCCAAGGACATCGGATCTTGCTCTCGGTATCGCCAATTCAAATTTTGCAATCTTTTGTCAGCGAAGTTCCTAGATGGAAATCTATGCGCCTCGATCGGCTGCAGAAAAAAAAAGGTTCAGTGCTAGCATACTACCAATCGTCCGCAGCTACTATCTGAAGTTACCTGCATAAACTTCGCCTTGACGCCGAACCCTTGCCCAGATTCCCGACAAGTTCCTCTAGCCATCGGTGTTTTAGGCTGGAAGCTCTATCACTCGAAAGATACCTCGAAGGGTCCAGGGGTGAGCCAACTTGCATGCTGCCCTTGAACCCGATCAACCCATGCCATTTCACATTGGGGTATCGGTTTTCAACCATCGGATTCAACGGCGAAATCAGACGAGCCCCCTACGAGTTTGAAACTCGTGTGGGGGTTTAAGCCTCGCGGGATTTCCTTCCCGATCCATAAGTGTATAGTATTTGATTTGTACATCTGATCTGTACCAGGCCTATAGGAGGGTACCTAAAACATGGGATCAATGCTAGTCTGGGGGACGCTCACCTCTGCCTTGGGATCGATGCCGCCAGATCCAAATGCCATTCTACGGAAAGGTACCGTTAGATCTAGGTTAACTTAGGTTCGGTTGGCTCCACAATTAGGCTCAGGACATAAAATTGGGATATCGAATATCCCGATCCCTGTAGAACCCAGAATCGATACCCCCAATCAACCAAAAAGTTTTCAGCAGAGTATCGTTATACCCTTGCTCACAGTCGCTGGTCGAGCGGGTATATGCCGCCATCCCTATAACTATCTCACAAATACCAGGGTTGGGAATCTTGATGAATGAGCACCCGGCTACCAGCATCCTATCGGACCACATTACCAAGATACCCGCTCACAAAACCGCAGGGGAACTTGCATCCACCCTTCTCGGATCCATGGAAGGTAGCCTCAATTGCGGTCTGAGGCCAAAAATTTGAATAATTAATTCGGCTCATCAGTAATTAACATTTAGGAGGTCGACCCGAGCGTTGTTACACAATTTATAGGGCTCCTAGCTAGAACGCCTAATACTAGTACTGGCCGATTAATAGAGGGTGGGGGCCTTGTAGGCCTTGTTGCATGTTGCAGGGAGCTTGAGCTCCATGCGGATCCGTGAGCTCCCAGGAATCGAACCGGACATCATTCATCGCCAGATTTCAAGTTGAAGTTCGAGACGGATCAAGACTAACACCCTAGTAAGTAGGCCATGTAGCCCACTGTACACACACTCGCCCCAAAAGAAGCATCTCCAACCCACACATAAACTGCATTTCAAAGACTGAAGAAAACACCCTCAAAAACTCAGGATTATATTTAAAAATCAACATTGTGATATCCCGTGACTTTAGTGTATTTCCTCGTTGGGTTTGGACTTGAAGAAGCTGGCCTTGGGTTCTGCATACAAGGCTAGCCCTAGCCGCCCTGTAGGGCAAAAGAAGAGAAGTAAAATCGTTCCAATGCGACAGCATGAATGGAACCAAAATACATTCCAGACCTGCGGTACACAGATGAGAATTCTGCTCGCTAGTTAGGCCTAGGGTCCGTGATTACCACTAGCTAGCCAACTAGATCAACCGGTTACACAAGAGCACTCCTATGCATGCATCTACAATGTACTACGAAATATTAAATGAGTAGCACCAACTTAAGTCAAAATTGATTGGTTCTTATTCCTCCAAAGGAGGTGAAAAGCATATTCCCGAGTAATTTGAAACGACTAGACTATTTCCCATACTATATGTATGTTACCTATAAAAGTTTGAGAAGTTTTTATCCATCTTGAATCGAGGCGCCAACTTTTGCGGCGGCTTTCGACCAACATTGCAACACTCCTTATAACTTATGCATTCGAGAGGTTATACAACATTTATTACCTAAAACTGGCCTATACATACCAATACTACTACTATTATTATTTACATCAGAGAGCTCCACCAGACTAATTGATTTTATTTCTTTCCCCTACCCTCTACTCTAGAAGTAGGGCCAATCCGATACGAAGAGAATGCATAGGCGTGGAAGAGCTCATTAATTAATCATTACCAACTGTGCCTGTGTGTTGAATCAAGACCATTGAGCAATCGAGACCCACCCATGCATCATGCACGCCAAATCGCGTACCATCGAATTTCAGTCACAGCTTTCAGCTGATCAGGTGTAGCCAAATAGTTCCAATCCGACACGGAAGTTAGTGTACACGTACCTGGAAAGTTAAGACTCATATTCCCTTTCTGGAACGGTATCCAAAATACAACATACAGATTGTAGATTCCAATAAAACATGTATGTAAGAACATACGTGAATCATAAAGTAGTTTTGATATAAAAAGCCTCAGTATATAATAAGAAATAGCAGTCTAGAAAGAATGATATAATCAATATTAATACCGTCTTCGTCGCCAGTTTTTGTTTTTAAGCTTGTATTCTATAATATAATTCGGTAACACGAACATTAACACTCCAAATTGCAAATATCATGTCTTCAACTCTCACAACCCTATCAACCGAACTACAATACTTAATCCTAAACTACCTCGACGCCGAAGACCTCTTCAACCTTCTCTTCGTCTGCAAATCAATCTACCAAATCGCCCATAGCGAATAGGATCGACTCTGGGATGCGTAGGCCGCTGGGCTTCAGTCAAAGGCGATTCTGGCAAATGTTGCTGCAAGGATACAAACTCTTATAAAAGACTATTGCAGATAAACGAAATATCTCAAGAATCGATTCCATTTGATTCAAAATGGGAGTATATTAAAACGATTGGAGTCTGTTCCGAAGGTTTATGGAACGAGAGAGTCTGGCAAATGATGGCAAACTTGATTGACATAGGACGGTTACGTCCCAGGCATTGCGTGCTGAAATTCAGTCGGTGGAGTAAGTACTATTATCCCATCTATGATTATCATGTTTTTTTTTTTTTCCAAAAAGGAAAGGGAAATAGCGCAAGAATTAATAATTGATAACGATGACACCAGGTGACCCGATGAAGATAAACGAGGAGCCGTGGGAGTCTTTAAGAGAATACTTCGATTCTAAAGACTGCAACCAACTCTCGTTGTTAGTCTCAATCAGAGACTACGGCATTTCCAGCGCTCTCCATTTCATAGATGGTCATGGCGATAAGGTCACCAGCCTAAATATCACCCTTTCGTTCGGGTCAGCCATGTTCAATAATAGCCTAGAGACGTCGGCCTTGATCGCGCAATTAACAAATGCTCTACTCGCAACTCCCAACCTAAAGCAGTTGGAGCTTTCCTTCACAGATCCAAATCAAGAATACCGTATCTGGCCAATTCAATCATTATCCGAGCCTCTTGCAAGCCTCCAGGGTGCATTTGACAAACTGGAAAGATTAGATTCACTTCGAATCAACGGGATATTTATCCACCCTTCTTTCTTCCTCAAAGTGCCTAAATCCGTCAGAAATCTGGAGCTGCAATGCATGACCTCCCCGATCTGGTGGCGCGAGTTCGCAACCTACCCCTTCGAAAACGTCGAAAATTTAGTATTATACCACGAAATTGGTGAACCCCGCTGGGGTGATCACCCCTCGGAAATAACCGATGGGATACGTTTCGGTCAATATCCCATCCTCCTCGGATCCGTTGCTATCTCTACTTTGAAAAGCTTCTCAGGACAAGGATCGCTCTCCGGTCCGTCTGATATATTAGAATGTATCCTCGCAAATAACAAGGGACTTGAAGGAAGACATAGCTTTATAGCGGACTGGGATAACGAGGTACTCCCAGAATTAGAGTCATGTGGGTTGATACTACTAGATTGCCTTTCGGAGAGTGTCATACGTTATAAAAAATATTGTACTTGGAAACATCAACAGGCGAACGGCGGAACCAACGCCCAATTGGTTCAGTATTTTTTTAAACAATGCCTAAAGTCTTTGGAAAAGAGAGTGAATGAGGTGTATGGGCAAAATTACTCTTAGGAAAGGTTCCCATATGAGCTGGGTTAGAGGGAGCTGAATGGTTTGAAGCGGGTACTTAGTCTCGAGGTGTTCCATAAATTTATTATCTACCTACTATTTAACATATTTACTTACACTCGTAAATTAGCATATTCCTTTCCTCCTCTGATTATGTAAAAGCGTATATTTACTGTACATGCACCCTTTATATTCCTCTGCGCGGTCCCTTTTATTATCTGTATACAGCTGTATAAACGAGCTCTGCCTTACGAGACTGCGAGCACGAGCTCTAATCCACAGGCCAGAGGACTTCAGATCTTCAACTTTAGAGTATACGCGTAGGATAACTTTGCATTAACCTTCATATTGGCGAGGAGCTCTAACAATTTTTCATGTCAGGCCCGCATTTTCCCCACCAATTAATTGCAACTAAAAATATTTTGATGAGGATGCATGTTACACAACTAACCAAGTATTGTCTTACAAGGCTGTGAAAAAATAATGATCAGTTATAGTGGTAAGAACACTAAATTATGAATCCTCCGGGCTGATTAGTAGTCTAGTTTCAAGTTATGCGGTTTGTATTATCCTACCTTGCTTCTAGACCATTACTCTGCACAGTCTCGGCACTATCGTGCATGTCTCGCGAATACCAACTCGTGCATCGAAAAAAAAAAAAGGTATCCATTCATCTAGCTACCCGCTAACTACTACAATCTAAAAAAGTGAAAGCGTCCATAATACCCAAAAGGATTCTTCTCGTGAAAAAAATCCTTCCACAGGATCCACGAGATTATTATCCAAACCCCGCCTCATCTCATTTTTTCGTTATTGTTCGTATTCATAATCCTGACATATTTTGCGCTTCTTAGATGGCTTCAACAACTAAGAGTTTAATGCGTTTATTGAGAGGCAAGTTTTTTCTTCTCCGGTATTCTGCCCTTGTAATCGTTGTCGTTTGGTCGTATTTTCAAATTTCGAGGATGATACTGAGAGTCTGAAAAAAGTGTTTTGTGTATACCCTCATCAACCTGGCCGCCAAAACTCCTCTTTCCCCAAGCCATTTATGCAAGAATCCCAAATAAAACACCATCTCAAGAAATTTAAACATAAACAGCCCTACCTATTCCTGAACTCTCTTCCCCACCTCCACCACCACCACCTCTCCCGCTATCACCAGGTGCAAACACCGTACTCCACAACAATCCCAAACTAGCACTCCACTCCTGCATAGCCTCCATTCTCTCCACATCAGATCTACTCGAAATCTCTACCGTCCCGTTATTCGCATTAATCTTCCCATGGACCTTCTTATCCAATATCAAAAAGCCCAAGATATCTTGAACTTCTTCAACCGTAATCTGTAATTCCTTTGCAATAAATGCAAGGGTGAAACGAGTGAAGGGTTTGATTAATTTGAGTAAAGCTTCGGTTCTGATGTTTCGAGTGACTTCGTCGATGTGTTCGCGGATGAAAGGGTCGTCAAGGATTTGGTCTTTGTGTTTTTGGAGGATTAGTTCGTAGTTTTTGATGTCTTGGCGTTGGTAAGCGTCGACGAGGTCGGTCATGCCGACGATGCGGGGGTCGGATTTGTATCTACTTGATGTTAGCCTTTCTACTTCTTAGGAGGCATGGGAGGACTTACGGTTTGGTTTCCTGGGAGTCGAAGGGGTTGATTTCGGACTTGACAAGCATGCTGGTGAGGACGAGGTATTTGAGAACCTGGTAACGTTGCATTGAGCCGGCTTCGTCGTAGTTCCTGAAAGCTTCAAAGAAGTCCATTTGTGCTTCCTTCCAGTTTTCTGTCTCGTGTATTAGTCGAGTGAATGTATAATACCTGAAGGGAGAGGGAGAAGGAAGTACCTTCACTCATGTGCATCTTCCCGCCACATTCTCTGATAACACCCATAATCTTGGGATGTGGTACAGCAGACTTGACAGCAAGAGACTTATTATACAATCCCTTCAGCCGTTTATTATTCTTCTGCTCAGACAACATCTGAATCTCCAACGCATAAACCTCCAATAAGTATGTACCCTTAGAAGCATCGTCCGACCCATCTTCCCTTTGACAAGCACGGTGTAACTCTTTGATACTCTTGCTCAGTCTTTGATATTCTTTTCGGTCCAACCATAGACGGGCGAGCTTGATATTTGTCTTGAGCCATAGACGTTCGTTGGCAGAACCTTGGAAGGAGTCGAGGGTTAAAGCGTAGAATTTCTCCATACAGACCATATCTGCGGGATCATTCGAGAGGGAGATGAAGTCTAGCATGTTGTTTATTGATTTTTCGGAGTAGTTACGGGTGACGGCGGATTTGATGTAGGTGAGGAGTTCTTTGTAGTGGTCGACGGCCTGACATATTCTATTAACCAATGATTTCGTCTAGGAATAAGAGAACGGTAGAATACGGACAGCATCGTAGTCCTTAAGCTTAAATTCGATCTTTATGGCCTGTTTGAGACCTTTGAAACCCCTGTTTTTAACCTCTGTAAGCTTTTTATGTATAGCTAGGCTAGCTTGGATCCTTATGATGATGGTGATGGTGATGTAGCTTACCAGTCTCCCTTTTCGGGCTCCAGGGCTACGACACCTAGGAATTCGACGATGGCATCTTCGGGATCGGTTTGTTTCATCTGTTTGGCATTGTAGTATTTGTTTTCGATGTCGACGTCGCCGGACTCTTCGTCGTCGTCTTCTTCGTACTGGAAGTCGTAGTCCTCCTCCTCACCACCAGAGTCCATCATGAAATCATCGTCAGACATGTTTGCTTTGAACTTAGTTTAGTTCTTGTATAAGCAAGATAGAAGTAGTTGGAGTTGGTAGGTGTATGTGAGTAGATAGATGGATGGATGGAGGGGGGTTAGATTAGGATAGAGAGGTAGACGCGGGGTGGGAGAGTGAGAGAGAGAGGGAGCTGGACGTGTTGGCGTTGGTGTTGTTGCTCATATCGTACGCTTTTGGCTTTTGGCTGATCAGTCAATGCGGCTCAACCACTACCACCACCACCAATCTAATCTCAGTAACCTCAACTCTGCTTGGGAAGACACAAGATTCTTCCTGACCGATGGAAAACAGAAGATGGAACCGGGAAACTGGAGGAGTTAATTAGGTCCGTCTCCGCATGGGTGTTAATTATGCGAGGATGGGTGATCGGGGGCGCCGTCATCCCGCTGCGCCCCGGATTTTATATAAATCTCCTATGTACTCCTTTCGAATTCCTGTCTACAGAATCGACTCTAATCATGTCTATATCTTATATAGTAAATGTTGGAATGGTATAAAATAGAATAAAATAGTTGAGATGATGTATATTTGGGTGATGTTGGGACCGAGTTCAGCCCGAATCCAACGGGTCGGAACCTGCCTTAACATACAATGCACCCCATCATATGTATAAAGTTATAAAGAAGCACGGATTAATTAACATTGGCATGGCATGATATCATGACGAGCAATGTCTTGTCTCTCGCTCGCCTTGCCTTGTCTTAATATCTAAGAAGTACTTAAGTATGTACTTATGTATAAGCCCCTGCCTGACCTGGTCCGGCCTGTAATTAATTAATCTAATTAATTAATTAATGACATTCATTCATTCTCCCATCTTTCCCCCTCCTCCTCCAACTCCTCCTCTTCTTTTTAACACCGACTCTTTCCCCCCCCTTTTATAAATTTACCATTTGACTAAACTATAGTCAGTCTGTAATCTTTAATCATTAACGAAGCAGTTAGTTAGTTAGTTAGTTAGTTGGTCTGTGTGTGAAGAGTATCAGCATAGGAAGGAGGAAGATACCTTGTCCGACGGTTATCTATCAGATCGAATCAAACACTCAGCCCGAAACCACTTCTTTTACATCACCACCACCAATACCACCACCAATACCACTACCACCCCCTTCACTTCTCACTTCACTTCTCCCTCTCCTCTCTTTTCCTCTCTCTCTCTTCCTCTCTCTCATCTCCTCTCTTCTTCTCTTCTCTCTTACCATCCCTTTCTCTTTCCCTTCCTTTTAACGCGACCGTCGTCCGATTAATTAATTATCCTTCCATCGTCCCATCATCTTTTCCCGGCCGACTGGATCAGACTCGAGTACACACACACACACCATACCCTCATCGATCAATCAAAATCAATCAATCAGTCGCAAAAAAACAAATTGCCAATCCGACAAATTCAATTAATTACTACCTATCAACCACCATCATAATCACAAAAATGCCTCTCTGCGGCTCCTCGGCACGTTCGACGGTCCAGCGCAAGATTGTCTTGCTTGGTGATGGTGCATGTGGAAAGACCTCTTTACTGAACGTCTTCACAAGAGGGTATTCATTCCTCTTCCCTTCGCCTTTCCCCCCTTTGATCCGAAAATTAAAAAGGAAATACCCAATTCAATATGTATACTAACTACCGTTTTACTCTAATTTCAGATATTTCCCTCAGGTTTAGTATGTTCTCCCATCTGCGCCGAAGTCGCCATAGTTACAGATCATACTATACTTAAAGATAGAAACGCTGACATTCTTCTCCTGCGCTCACAGCGAACCTACTGTTTTTGGTATGTGCCCGTCTTCTAAATTCAAATACTCGATATTTCATTTTACTAATATTCCTCTTCTCCGTTGTCTAGAAAACTACGTCCATGGTATGCCAGAAATCCCCTCTTTTTTTCCCTCCCGCTCGTGTTACCAAAAGCGCAACCATACCACTTTTCCCCGACCAAGCAATTACCTTTTGTATACGACAAGAAACCCCAATCCTTACCAAATTCACCATTCAATCTACTGCCAACAATGAAACCTCTATTCCCTGAAGCGAAAAAAGCGTGGAAATGGCGTTGGAAGTCAACAGGGAAAAAAGGAAAAAGCTGACCAGGATCCCGGCCCGACAATCTAGACATCTACGTCGACAACACACATATCGAACTTAGCCTGTGGGACACAGCAGGACAAGAGGAATTCGACAGATTAAGATCTCTGTCTTACAGCGATACCCACACGATCATGTTATGTTTCAGCGTACGTTTCGTCCTCAACAAATTTCCCACTTTTTTTCCCCCCAAGACGAAACCCCTTTGCCGAATTTCCAGCGTTTTTATCCGATATTTGGTGGAGGAGCGGGAACAACAGAAACTGATCGAGGGGTGGAATTTTTTTTAGGTCGATTCGAGAGATTCCCTGGAAAACGTTGAACAAAAGTGGGTTGGAGAAATCGCAGACAACTGCCAGGGCGTTAAGCTCGTCTTGGTCGCTTTGAAGTGCGATTTGAGAGAAGAGGCTGCCTCGGAAGGCCCAGAGAAAGCAAGCGAATTCATTAGTTATGCCGAAGGATTAGCTGTCGCTGAAAGGATTAAGGTATGATCTTTAAAACCAAACCACAAAAAAACCAGCATAAAACAGCATAAACTAACAGAATCCGCAGGCCCTCAGATATCTCGGTAAGCGATGGGCGAAACGAAACGACACTGGTAGAGAAAATACTAACAGGTTTTGTAGAATGTTCTGCGAAGATCAACCGCGGAGTTAACGAAGCCTTCTCGGAAGCCGCAAGAGTCGCTCTGACCTCGAAACCGCAAGGAGCGGCCGCATCATCCGGACGAGGCTGCTGCATTATGTAAAACGACGACATTGCATCCGTTGGCTGAGAATACACCACGTCTTGGACCTCATCGAAAAGCAACCACCTTTTTTTTCCTTTTCTTTTCTTTTTTTCCCTTTCAATTATTCTCTATTCGCCGGGAGGATGACAATTCTTTTTATGCTTCTACGAAAAGCGCTGACATTTTTCATTTCTTACCATGTGTTTTTATAGCCGTTTTTTCATATCCCCCTCTTCCTTTCATTATCTTCTGGGGTTTTCGGTCACTGAAGTCGCCTTTCTTTGGTTTTGATATTATTTTTTTTCTAGCTGCTGTTGTGCTGCTACATACCCGTTTTTCAGTGGCCAATTATTTCGTTCTAATTCATCGACCCATCGTCAGTCTCATTGATGCTATTCATATTGTGTGTCCCTTTCATATTGATTCAGCAAGCATGCATTATTATTGATTCCGATTCTTTATTTCATTTTCTTTTCTGTCTGGATATCGATACCTGGGATCTCAGTTTCTTTCTCCTTTTTTCTCCTTCTTTACATTCGTCTTGTGTATTATTCATTCCTCAAAACCATCCATCTGTTCATCCATTCATGCCATGTGTGCCGCCGATTCTCTACATCCCCATTGATTGGCTCTCCTTTTCATCAATTCATTTCATTTCATTTACATATCATTTTTGTCATTTTATTCAAGTGTTTTTTTATGCTTCGGATCTATATCATTGTATTACCAAGTTTTCTTTCATCATTGTTCTTTTGTTTTATTATATTCCTTTTTTCTCGAGAAAAATACAATTATTTTTTATCATTCAGACAAAAACGGTTGGAACAAGCTGCATGGAAAAGAGCGATGACGCAGAGGCAAAGATACCGACCGATGCATAAGATGTACGATATCGATATCGATGGTTATCTTCACTATCTCAATTGAGACATCCTCTGATATCAAACTCAAACCAAACCCCACCGGCCGCTGATTACCCATCCGGCATCCATCCATCCATCCCACTTTAACCCTGTTTGGTTCAAACTAGCGCAGAATAGTTCCTCGGAAGACTCTTCCCCCACCATTAGTTAAGTTTTTAATTCGATGCCAATTCATGCATGGTGCAGCACATCCCATCACAAGCTACTTACATACATTACATACACATAACAGCTTATTAGGTACGGAAAAAAACACCCACGCTAGGATTGGTTTCCGAGAGAGGAATAGCGCCAATGACACCATCGAGAATTAAACGGTTTGTATGGATCGCCTTACGGGAAGGCACCCTGGCAAGCTTGTAATAGCTCTAGTTCTAGTTCTAGTTCGAGTTCTTCGATATCAATGTTAATTTTTTTTGGTGAAGCATTACAAATTGAGAGCGCCGGAGTCGCTGGAATCCCTTTTTTTTTTAACATAAGGGTCCGATGATGTGATAGCTATCTATACTCATAGGGAATAGTTTCCGCGGGGGGATACTAGGTATTACTGTGTATACTCCGTACTAGCTATAGTTATAGTTGATAGCTGTTTAGTATACCGATTGTCGGCCTGCTCAGGGTTTATCGTCGCACTCCCCCCGACTGTCAACTGTCGCCAGTTACTGACTCTCTATATAATCACCCTCGATACCGCCCCCCCCCCTTCCAATTGCCCATTATGTCCCGTTGTCCTCATCGTAAACCCGTTTCCTCTTCCTCTCCTCCTCCTTCTTCTAGTACTACGGCTACTACGGCTACCACTCATCCACCCACAATGACGGCCCCAGAATACCCATCCGCCACAATCCTCCCTTCAACTTCCACTACTACCACCACCCCAAACATTAACATCAACAATACTACACCAACCTACACACCCCCCCTCCTAACCGCCACACCTTCAAAAGGTCATATCCACCTAATCATCGGATGTAACGCTCTAGCCGGCGCCCGATGTACTCGATCATTAGAAGTCGGTGCTTTACCCACAGTTATCTTCCCGGAGGCATTAGATTCCGAAGAAGTACATTTGGGATTGAAGAAAAGGATTGAAGATGGAGAAGTTGGGTTTGTGAATCGAGGGTTTGAAGTTACGGATTTGAAAACCTTGGGGAGGGAGGAGGTTGAGTATTTTGTTGATGCGGTTTTTGTTACTGCTGGTTTTGGGGGGGTTGATGGTATGTTCATACTAATTATTGATATATATATTCTGCCATATTTTGGTATTGATAACTGATGTTTTTTTATGTTGATAACAGCATCGATGATCTCGAAAACTTGCGCTAGACTTAGAATCCCAGTTAATGTGGTTGATTCGACGTCACTCAGTACTTTTACATTGTTATCGACATACTCGGACGGTCCGTTACAAATAGGTATCACAACTTCTGGGATGGGTTGTAAACTAGCCAGTCGGTTGAGAAGAACCGTAGCAAGTGCTTTACCCGTGGGGATTGGGGGTGCTTGTGAGCGATTAGGGGGGTTGAGGAGAAGGGTTATTGACGAGGATCTTAAGAAGTCTTCTCCTTTTCCTCCTCCTCCTTCTTTCAACTCTACTGAAGTAGTAGTAGAAAGGAGACCGATAGAAGAAGAGGAAGAAGATGACAGTACGGATCAAAAATCTACGTTTAACGCCTTAATCCAACCAGACGATCTCGAATCCCAAAAATCAAGAAGAATAAGATGGTTATCCCAAATCTGCGAATACTGGCCTCTTCAAAAACTAGTCGACCTAACAGAAGAAGACATAAACAACCTCTTCGACGAATACTCCACTTCCACTTCAACCCCTCCCACCTCTTCTACCCAAGAAACGGAAACAGAAAAACCAAAGGGTACAATCTCCCTAATAGGCTCAGGCCCAGGCAACCCCTCCCTCCTCACAAAAGCCTCCTTAGACGCCCTCCTCTCCGCCGACCTAATCCTAGCCGATAAACTCGTCCCCTCCCAAATCCTCGCTTTAGTCCCCCGCAGGAGCACCCTCTTCATCGCCAGAAAATTCCCAGGAAACGCCGAAGCCGCGCAACTAGAACTCCTAGAAAAGGGTCTGGAAGCAATCCAAAGGGGGCAAAAAGTCGTAAGACTAAAACAAGGTGATCCGTACATCTACGGCCGTGGAGCGGAAGAATACCAATGGTTTGAAAAGATGGGGGTTAAAATAGAGGTTTTGCCGGGGATTACTAGTGCGTTATCGGCCCCCTTATACGCGGCTATTCCATCGACTCATAGGGCTGTGGCGGATCAAATACTTATTTGTACTGGAACGGGGAGGAAGGGAGTTCCACCTGATCCACCGGTTTATGTAAAATCTCAGACTACGGTGTTTTTGATGGCTTGTCATAGGTTGGCTTCCTTGGTTGAGGGGTTGGTTAAGACGAAAGGTTGGCCCGAGGAGGTTCCGTGTGCGGTTATTGAACGTGCTAGTTGTGAGGATCAGAGGGTGGTTAGGAGTACACTGAAGAATATTGTGGCGGCGATAGAGGAGGTTGGGAGTAGACCGCCGGGATTGTTTGTGGTTGGTTGGGCTTGTGAGGTTCTTAAGAAGGTCGATGGGGCGTGGAGTGTCGAGGAGGGGTTATGATCATGATATCCTATGGTATATAGCATACTTGAGTTATACATGCAAGAGCATTGGATTTGCACATTAGTGTAATGTGTAAGTACTAAGTAGTTATCTACGAAAGGAGTTCATTGCGGTTGGTCATTATTCATTACGAGCATTCTTATTGGCGTTTTTCGTTCTCTCTTTCTTTCTTTCTTTCTTGTATTTAGTCTATTCTAGAAACAATTTCTATCAATCCCTTTCCCTTCTACCACTAATAAGTAAAAAACTCCGTGAAATGGTAAGAAGGCAAAGTATTCCATGTTTTGTGTAGTGTTATATGTACATATGGGAAGATAAGCACCCCATCCATCCTCCCAAATTAATCGATTATAGCTAGAAGAGTTTTCCCATAACCAACTCTCATATTAGTCTATTCCTTAGCTTACTAGTTAGTACAGCATCTCCGGCAAGGATATTAAGAGGGTGTTAAAAAAAAGAAGCATAGGTATCTAATAAGATTCCTCCTTCTTCGCCTCCCCACTATTCTCCTTCTTCACAGGAGTACCCCCCATAATAGCAACACCATTCGACGTTCCAATCCTACTAGCACCAGCCTTAATCATCCCAATCGCCTGTTCAAAGTTCCTAACCCCACCGGAAGCCTTAACTTTAACCCCTTCATTGTCCTTAACCGCCAACCTCATCAATCTAACATCTTCAACCGTAGCTCCACCACCATTGAACCCCGTAGAAGTCTTAACCCAAGCCGCACCAGCCTCAGCCGCAATCCAACACGCCGCAATCTTCTGTTCCTGGGTTTTCAATAACGAAGTTTCAATGATGACTTTGACGGGGATACCCTTTGCCGCGCGAACAACCGAGAAGATATCGTTGTAGACGTATGAATAGTCGGATTGGAGGAATTGACCGATGGGGAGGACCATATCTATTTCTTTGGCGCCATCGAGGATTGCTAGTGATGCTTCGTAGCATTTTGAAGAAGTAGAGGTTGCGCCTAGTGGGAAGCCAATTACTGAGCAGGCGATTGTTTGTGGGGTGTTGGAGAGGGTTGTGGAGACTAGACGGGCGTGGGAGGGGTTTATGCAGCAGCTCTATTTTATTATTTCACTTATCATTAATATCATCCTTTTTTTTCTTTTTTGTGGCTTTTTTTTTATAAAGGAAGGGAATACCTTAAACCCATGCTCTATAGCTTCCTCACACAATACTTTGATTTGGTCTTCTGTAGCCTCGGGTTTTAATAAAGTATGATCGATGGTTTGTGCCAATTTCTCGGTGGGCTTTGTAAGGTCATCGACGATTTCGGGAGTATATTCTTCCGATGCCTTTAGGTCTTCAAGGACTTTTGCAATGTGAGCGTCGATTAGAGGAGTTAGTTCCTCGTTCGTACGAGGTTCTGGAACGGTGGATTGCATGCTGATTGGTTTTTGTTGTTGATGTTGATGTTGATGTTGATGATGTTGATGAGGATAGTGGTGGAGACCGGCTCCCTTTGGTATTATAGATGGTGAAGATAAGGTTAGATGGTTAAAGAAGTTTTGAATAGGAAGAGGAGGAGGAGGAATAGGGAAAGATGGTTTTGAAGGAAGACGTTGGGCTGGAGTGAAGATTGGGATTGGTTTTGTGGGGTTGAGGGGACGGAGGGAAGAAGAAGCGGCAGAGGAAGAGGAAGAGGAAGAAGGTACACTTGGTAGTGGTGGTTGTGGTTTGGAAGACATTTGTCCGTCTGTTGGGTTTTTGTGTTTGATTTTTTTGGGGCAGGGATTTATGGGCCTTTTGGGATGAGATGCATGTGCATGTAAGATAGTCACTAGCTAGCTGCTGCAAGGGAGGGAAAGGGAAGGGAAAGAAAGGAAGGTGGGCGGGGTTTGAGCGCCGCTAGCCGGGGATAGGCGGTTGGAGGATGTGATGAATTGATGAAGCTGAAGATGGAGGTGGAGATGTTGGAGATGGTAGGAACGATGGTGGAGATGGTGGATGAAAGGCCTTTTTACTGTTTAAATTGAGTATTCAGCTCATTCACAGCATTGCATTGGTGTTACTATCTGTGTAATCTGGTGTCATGTTAGTAGATGTCTACACAGTACTTCTTTTATCTATTCAATCTAATCTATCTGATCTGTCGATTTGATCTGATTTGATCTAATCTGATCTTGACTCTTCCTTAGCAACTAGATGGTTCTTCTGTTTCCATTCTACTCTCTACCTCCAAGCTGCGATCAATGTTCGACGGGGTATTTGACTCTGCCGCATTTGTGTGTGATTGTTGACGGTGTGTGTTGCCGCATTTCAGCTGTCAAACAATAACGCCGACATAAGTGCCAAGAGCAACGCCCCCGGATGCGGCATCCCACCCGCCTTGTCTGTCGCCGGGGGCCAACGGTAACTAGGCGACACTAACCCTGTTTATCCTTAATGACTTTTTTGACTTGCATTGCCATGCTCATTGTCTGACGACTCCTCTCCTCTCCTGGCTCTTAGTTAGTCAGTTAGCTACTGACTATCGATTAGGTCCTGACTTGTATATTAAAAACAGTCTATAAATAAACCTGACCGGCATTCACCTCGGAGCCTTTCGTTGTTGTGGTGGCGCTGAAAGGGAGTGTATAATCCCGTATCCCGTATCCCGGGAACAAGCTAGAGTAAAAAAAAAATAAGAAAAAGTGGGATAATAAACATTCCAAATCATAATACAAAAGAACCAGCCTCAACTACTCCGTAACTATAACTACATACCTCATACCTCAGCTGCTTCCAGTTAGAAAACACCTTCCTATTAAAAACCTCTCCGACCTTTTTTCTCTTCCTCAGCTTCAACTTAACCAGCTTCCAACTTTGACTTCTCCACCTTTTACCATATAATAGTACTAGTTAATACTCGGGTAAATCGGTTCGATTCGGTATCTATCTCAGCATCGACTTACAACCATCGCATCGGCTACGTCATACATCCATCCATCCCGCCATGGGCTTCTCCCCCATCCTCGGCATTCGCATCGCCGCTGGCGTCCTATCTATCATCATCCTCGGCGTCGATGCATATGCCATCTCCGCCTTCAATAACACCCGAAGCGGCAGCTCGCCGTCTTCCATGAACTTTGTCATCTTCTGCGTATGTCCCTTACCTCTTTTACACTCCACTTAACCTTCTCTCTCTTTCTATTATACACCTATGAATAGATATACTAACGATATATGTGGGAAAAAAGGTAATCTGGACCTGGCTCTCCCTCGCCTACATCCTCGTCACCCCGCGCTTCCTCCCCCGTCTCCACGACAAATGGATCCTCCTGGCAGTCGAATCCCTCGCCACCCTCTTCTGGTTCTCCGGCTTCGTAGCCGTCGCAGCATACGTCGGCGACCACTCCATAAGCTGTCCCGAATCCGTCTGCGGCTCCATCAAAGCAACCATAGCATTCAGCTGCTTCGAATGGCTCGCCTGGGTGGCTTCGCTAGTCCTCGTCTGTCTTTCCATCTTCAAGGGAAGAAACATGATGGGTGCCGTCCCCATGATGGAAGCTCAACATAAACCATTAACGGGAGTTGGAGTCGATAGCGCATATCTTGGTGGTGGAGGTGTGACAGGGTATGACTCGAGTATTGGACCTCAACCTATGGGGTTTAATCCCTCGGAGACACCGGCGCCGTATGGTGGGCCTGCTGTTAGTCCTGCACCGTATGGTGGACCTGCGGTTAGTCCTGCGCCGTATGATCCGCATCTTCAACCGGCGCATTTGCAACCGCAGAATACGGGGGTTAGTACGGTTAGTGCGTTGAGTTCTGGACCTTATGGAGCTTCGTATCAAAACGCGCAGATTACGGGGGATAATAGTCAGGCTGCTGGGCCTTATGATCCGCATTATTCGCAGCATGGGGATTATAGTGGTGCGGCGGAGATGCCGGGTGCTGGGGCGGGGTATACTGGTCAAGCGAGGTTTTCGTAGGGAAAGAGATATACAGCTAGAATAGAAGGTAGAGGTAGAGGTAGAGGTAGAGGTAAAGAGAGGGTTTATGGTGAAAGTGGGGCATACAAAGATACAGCGTATAAGATACATATGCATGGAAGAAATGGCTGCTAGCTGTTTTTTTATTATTATTGAGCTTTTACATTGGCTTTTTTGTGCATGTGGTGCATCTTCTTTCTCCGCTTTTTTTTTTTGGTTCCCTTCTTCCTTTTTGTCTTTCTTAAGATTCAGTTCTTATAATGCTCTGGAGCGTTTCTTTTATGATAGCCCTTTTTGTTTCCTTTTCTATTCTTCGGTTCGATTGGGTTGGATTGGATGATTGAGATGCTTTTTTCTTTTCTTCTTCTTCTCAAGACTTAATGTATATAACGACCCATTTTGAAGAATTCACGTGGTTATGGAGTTTTTCTTTATTTATTATAGTTTGAAGTCTAGTAGGGTTCGATATGATGACTTTGTTGAACTTAAGTAATCGAGTAGTTTGTGCTGTGTGTACTTAAGGTGAGAAGTTGAAGAATCTTAGTGGGGAAGAGGTAAGGTGGAAGGGGGTAGTCAAAAATAACACAATTTGAGTGTGTAGATGTTGTTGATGAAATGATATATCGTGATTGGATAGGATTTCGATTGACGGAATTTGTATTTTCGTCTGATGTTAGACTTTTTTTATTTTTGTCGTCTAGCCAGTCCACTAAGTAATCTTCTTCTTCTGGGGTTCTTACCTTATATGGTTATATATAGGGATTAACAGATAGATCATAGCTCTTAAGTTTATAACTAAGTTTTTTGTAGGTTCTTTGCAAATTAAAATTAATGGCTTGAATTTTTAAAAATACCACGAAGGTTGTTTACACGGATTATATTGATAGATTGTGTGCAATGGTATGTATATCATGCTTGATAGATGTAGATATTCATATCGAAGGTATGGAAAACCCTACACCAGGGCAGCTAGCATTTTAGATGGATGTATGGAATTAGTAAAAAGGTGTCTGATCTAGTTAATTAGGCAGGAAGTTGACTAAGTGTCAGTTCTTAGTTGATTAAGGATGTATCCCGGACTAGCTGAGCTGCTTGAAAGACCGAACCCACATAGAATGCCGGCAGCCTAGTTCCTAAGATACTTCGTTATTTTGTCAACGTAGAAGATTAGTATGTACAGTATACGATATCCAAGGTATATATCATAACCAGCTTTAACCTAGTTTACTATCATGTCGTACAGCAAGGTCTATACTTTGAAAGAAACAGGTATTAATGGGATATATTGTACTACCCGCCCCCCCTCTCTTTGAGAATGTATTAGCGGCGGGGATAAAAAAAAATACATTTCCCCGCTTTTTTTATACAAGGGAAAGTTCAAAAGTGGAGCTTAAATCCGTTATTTTTTTCTTCTTAAAGTGAATGTTCATATGATCATGTTTATGGTAACATGCATATATGTATATGCATAACTTGGGTGTAGACTAAACCCGACTGTTATTCTTGATATGCTTGCGCTTGACGAGCCCCCCTTGACTTGGTCTGGATGGTCAGTGCTTTGTTTTTTGTGGTACGTGCATGAGGATTTATTTATTTTATAGGCGGTTAGTATAATAAAGGGGATATCCATGGAGGGATAGTGATCATGAAGTTTGGTGCAGAGGTGGGGTTGGTTTCGTATTGAGGTGGAGTAGAGTGCAGACGGGGGAGCTTGGGAATTTCGGTATTGTGGTTTGTGATATCCTGCTGCGGATGGTTGTTATACTCTCCCCTCCTATTGTATTCATATATCCAAGTGACGTTTAGAAATGAGATCGCTTTAAGTCCTCCCGTCTTTTATAGGTAAAGTATATTTTAGAAATAACTCGAGGGGCGTAAAGGAAGGTTCAGATATACGGTCAATTCGGGTTCCTGTCATCAATGGTCAATTAATATTTGATCAAGATTGTTATCGATATATATCGATTAACATGCTATAATATATTATTATAGTGACTATATGAAAAAATCAAAAAAAAAAAAAAAATCGGAGAAGAACGAGAACGAAAGAATGTCAACTCTCACTTCCCCTCGATATGCATATACATATACATACACATATACACATACATATACACATACATATGTATATATGTATGTACGATGCAATGCAGTCCAGCTACCTAAACTACTATGTGACTAGCTAAGCTAGCTAAGCTAGCTTACTGCAGTCTACTATCACCTGTACACTTTCCCTCTTACAAAAAAAAAAGTGATATACGAGGTCGACACTACAGGGAAACAGCAGCAGCAGCAGCAGCAGCATATATGCATATCTTATGCATGAAAAGTAGTGGTGGAATCATCCGAAGAAAAAGGGTTGATAGTTAGTATAGAATGGAGTCTTAAAAAGCCGAAGATGTTATATATATGGTGTTAGATTTGTTGTAAAAGTAAATGGTAGAGGGGAAGATTGTATGTCGTTCATTTGAATTGAATTGAAAAGGTTTATAGTCATAGATCGATCCCTTTTCATTCAAAATTTTGGAAAGATTTCCCCCCTCTGGTCTTCCCCACTCTGTGCATCGAATCGATGTTAATGATGTTGACGTTTTCCCTCCGTATCCCGCGCGCTAGTAGGTAGTTATGGTTCTGGATGTGCATGAAGGTAGGATTTATATTAGGAAATCTCCGGCTCATGCATTTATTCCCCCCCACTTTTCAACCGAGTAATAGTTTCTTGAAAAAAGTAAGATTGGAAAGAAGTTGATTTCGATTAAATTTGCCGGTTAAAAAAAACATATCGACCCAATTGAATTGCAATAATTCTTATTTTTGCTTGTTAACGCAAGTAAGTAAATAAGTAGTATAATATAGCAAACTTGAGGTATCGCTAAAATCGACAGAAGCCGCCCATGAAGTTAAGTAAACGAAGTCGTTACTGGAATACTAAAAAAAGAAAGAAAGAAAAAGCGCCATAGTGTAAAAGAATGAGGATAAGAAGAAAGGGAAAGATAGAAAAAAAGAAACCTACACCGGTAGTACCCGTAGAAAATATAGGAAGTTGATCCTTAATTCGTCTTTTTCCTTTTTCCTTTTTTTTCGTAGTTTTTGTTTTTTATGCAGTTCCGAGAGGATGAATGGGAGGTAGAGGGAAAGAGAGACAGAGTAAAACAGATAGCCACCATGCAAAAATCATATAATCATTTTCGAGTAGTTTCGTCATAACAAAGCGTTCTTAGTTTCGTAAAATAAAATAAAAAAAAGATGTGTCTTTCCTGACCCCCACGTTCTACTTGCATCGACCGATTCTCTCCGATTTGTTCTTCTTTTTCCTCTTCTTCTTCTTTCCTTCTCTTGTTCTGCTTCTGCTTCTTCTTCTTAGTCTTTCGTCGTATTTCCATTCCTTCCCTCCCCGATTGCAACAATCTTCTTTTTGATTCCTGGTCGTAATTTTTCCCCTCTCGATTTCGATATTTCGATGATGAAAGCTCTGAAGAAATATAAAAAATAAACTAACAGCTCCTCCATCCTTCCCTCTAAAGAAAATTAAAAAAGTAGAGAAATAATTTCGAGTATTTCGAGAGAAAAAAAGCCGAAAGAAAGCGTGAAGTCCAAAGATCGTGTGTCAGATTGTTGACCAAAAAGAAACCGTAAGACCCAATATCGCTTGAAAACTTCAATCGAGCTTTGAAAGTGAAATAGAAGAAGTCTCGCCAAAAAATGAACTGTCGTTAAAAAAAATAAAATTGTAAGATCAATAATAATAATAAAAATAAAAATTCAAAGAGGTATCAAGAGCTGATTGAGAAGAGAGAAAGAAAGCATCAAGAATAATATTGTACATTATTTTTTCGCTAGATTTCGGGGATATCATAAAAAAGAATAAAAAAGATAAAAATAGTAGTAGTAATAATTTCGTCAATGGTCGTGAAATGATTGGTGAATAATAAAAAAAAGGCGTAAAAGGCGTAAAATAGAATAAAACGGCGCTCAAATAACTTTCAGTGATGATGATGTGATGATGATGTTTGAGAATTTGGAAGATAAAAGGGCGAGAGGTATCATAGGTGGGAGTTTCGTATTTTTGGATTTGGCGGGGTGTTTTTTCTAGTAAGGTTTACGGCCAATAACGAAGCATCTATCACCGCGAAAGTTAGCCAACAAACACTCAACAGCTATAACCAATTGACAATCCAAACATACGTAGGAGTACTCTGCTGTGCATCTCCAACTTTCTCTTCTGCCGGCTGGCTAGCTGAAGGCATAGACAGTGTCAAAATACTACAGCAGACAAGTCTCAAATAGCTGCCCCACTCCTTAAGTCTCTTCCAAGTCGTCATGGAGGGTTGCCAAGTCTTTTCTTCAACATCGACGAAGCCAGCATCTAAGAGGTGTTGCTTTATGCGTAAGGCGACGGTGGGAGTTCGTGAAGAGGCGAGGATGCTGCCGCCGCCGAAGAAAGTAGAGGGGTAGGTTGATCCTGTGCAGTTGAGTTTTCCGGGTGGGAGGGTAGAACGGGAGTTACGGGAGTTATCGAGGACTTCTACCCAGCCGCCTGGTTTTGCGGATCTATAGATTTTTGACATTCAATTGTTAGTATAATTTTTTATAAGATAATATATAATATAATATAAAATAAAATAGTAAAAATGATGTTAATTGGGAGGAAATATGATGTACCTGAACGCCTCGACAAACATCTGCTTCTCGTCCTGGCTGCCGTCATCTTGATAGCGGATATGAATGAAGTCGAAAAGGTCTCCTGACTGCTTTGGGTGGGAGAGACAGAGGTTCACGTTCTCGGTTATTGCTGGGCTGGGAATTGATCCAGTTAGCCAATTGATTTTTTTTTTTTTTTTTTTTTTTTTTTTCACAAAAAAGATAAATAAAAAGGCAATGGATATTGGTTTGCATACTCATTGACTGCAGGTGGCGATACCTTGCGAGTGCCGATGTCCACTGTAACAGATTTTCTATTCAAGAGCGGTCAGTTATGGTGTACGGTGTGGTTGGTAGCAGGTATTACAAGGAAGTGCTTACTCTGTGGTTACACCTATTGAGCACACACGCGATTCTGTGGTTCTACCGTCCAAGATTGACTGAACAAACGAGAAAAGGCACGGGTTAGCTCGAGAATGATACACTTCTTGAATGGTATGTATATGCAATGATCATGAGATTTAAAGGGAAAGGAGAGGATAGAATAGATGGAATCGGAACAGCCAACTCACCTCGCAGTCTTTACCAAGGACAGCAGCCTTTTCTTCGATGTTGTTGACTTGTGAGGAAACCATTGCTAGCCCAGCTTTTTAAAATTTATCTGCCAGGTAAAAAGTACTTAAAAGAAGAACTTGGTAGCTTGTCGATTTGTCGGAGAAATGTATAAAAATAAAATAAAATAAAATAAATAAATAAAATGATAAATAATAAAGAGAGAAGAAGTGTAACAAGCTAGCTATAGTCGGGAAATTGGAGGAATAGTAATAGCTCGGAGTAGTAGTAATAGCAATAGTAATAGTAATGATAATCAAGACTGGATTGGATATATTCGACGGTGAACACCGATATTAGATAATAGCAGAGATCAAGAGCAGAGAAGACCGAGAACTGTAGCTGTAGCTGTAGCCGTAGCCGTAGTAGTAGTAGCAGAGATGATGCGAAGAGGAATGAATAGCCATTGTGGTTTTCTGGGACCGGCGCGGAGGGTTGTGAATGATATTATATCAGTGCCAGCTCATCAGGTGTGTGAATGGCGGCCGTTAATGGTTAATGGTTAATGGTGGAGGTGTGTCTCGAATGCTGTCCGGCGTGTTCCTGCTAACCCGTTAATTGCCTACACCCACACCATTAATTACATTACATTACATTACATGTATTATATATTGCCATTCAGGTACATTACATACATTACAGACATTACAGACATTACAGACATTACAGACATTACATACATACCTCATGGCATTTTTAGACTGGTGTCTAGTGTATTTTTCCATTTCATTTTTAGTCTAGTCTCCAGTCTGGGGTTTAATATATCTTGTTTTACCATATAAAATTTATATCGAGAATATATCTCGATTACAATCATCATTCGAATTCAAATTCTCCTGTACTGTCGAAACGAACTCGAGTATAACGATCGATTCCGGACTAACTTTAGGACGCTAACAAGGAAGGCTACCTCGCAAAGATCCAGAATATGAAGCAGCCGTTACAAGTTAGCCGGGAAACGTGACAAGTCAGAGCTGGCCTGGCCTGGCCTAGTCTGGTCAGTTCCTGTCTCCCCGGCAAAGCAAAGACTTTCAATTGCAATTGATCAATTAGTTAATTTATACTAGTCTATAAAAATACTTATATACGATCCATAAGCTATATGCACCCGAGCCATTTGAAGCCAGTTGCCGACGGATGATATCAAAATTTAACTTTTAACTTTTAACATTTTTTTTTATTTTCTTAGCTATTCTTTCTGATCAGTTCCTCCAAAATATGTAAGTACCATTTATCCAGGTAAGTTCGTTCTATTATATTGTGGAGGTCACAATATTTGAGAAAAGATCGATCGAATCGATCACATTAATATTAATATTGGCGTTTGCATAATGTCAACCGCCCAGCCGGCTGTGAACCGTGAGCAGCCTCGTTTTTTTTTTTCGCGCATCGAAAAAGGTAAATGAAGATGAAATAGAAATAAAAATAAAATATAAAATCTAGAAATATGACATACCCTTACCCTTGAAGCAGCTGTCGTAACATTGTAATACGCAGTACTTTTTTCTTTTCTTGTCATTTTGGTCGAATCGAAATTTTGTGATTGAGGCAAAAAAAAAAAAAAACTTCAGTTACTTGCATGGGAAAATAAGTAACTTGCCCTTGCTTTTTTGTGTTTTCCTGGAGAAGAAATTGAAGCTGAAGAAGAAGAAGGGTAGAAGGAAGATACATCTGTAAAGTATACATCTCTGCGACGGCTGCGGGCATGTCACGGACTATCGCGAGATAATGGGCGGATGGAAGCCTGCATAGCTTCCTCCTTCCCTCCTTCCTTCCTTCCCTCCCTCATCCGCTACTCGACTACCCATAACGATTGCAATTGATTATCATTGGTAGCCATACTCGAGCGCTCCGGCGAGCGACATGCTCCAATTCCGACTCCCTTCTTTCAGTAAATAATCCTATTCGACCGAAAATATATTTTCACAAAGTCCCACACACGTCAAGCCAGCTTAAAGCTGCGAAGGGGGGAAAAAAACAGGCAAAGCTTCGCGAAACCTCCCCCGCGAGGGAGCAAAAAAACGCTTCCCCCCAGCAGAGCTACCCCCATTGGTCGCAAGAGGCTACTTGCTGACGTGGTGCTACCCATACTTTCCTAACTCTCACAAAAAAAAAAGGCGTTTTTTTCGGGCAAATTCCCCGCGGATAGCCAGACTAGGGGATTCCATAACATCGTCCTGTGCTTCTATCAAAAGGAAAGAAACGAGAGAGAAAAAAAGGACTTTGTATGATGCTTTCTGAAACGAAACGCTTACACCAATTAACTGTTATACCGAATGTACCGTACATACATGCGGTTAAGGGTAAGTATATTCCGGTACCGCCTCGCCCTGACATACATCTACAAGTACACTCGATTAACCCTCGTCCCGCTCTTTCACATCGGGGCGTAACTGTGCTGTGATACTTTCCCCCCTCCCCTCTCTCCCTCTCTCTCGCTGCTGCCCTTCAGAACTGCCCAATGGAAGCTTACCTCCGCCCCGATTAGGCTACATGCATGAGGAAAAATCGTTGTGGATTGCATGCGCACCATGGGCCCTTTGACACGTCAACCAGCAATGCAATGCAGACTGTTTGGAAGTTCTTAAGAGGACCGCCGACAGGGCCCTTGTCTAAATCCGGGTCTTGCAGGCCAGGTTAACCGAATGGTAGTATGGTAGCTCTAGCTAGCATAGCTAGCTCCCCACAACCTGCAGCTGTTTTTTTCCCTCTCTCTCTGTCTCTTTGCATCCTTTTGCTGAGGATTGGATTCTACACGATGCAAGCTCCTCGCTCACCCCCTCTCTCTCTCTCCGTCACGTTTTTTGATTGTAGGTTGATATTGGGAGGGTGATAAGGTGATTTTAGACAACTTTCTGTTACAAGTTATCAGGAATACGAGAAATGAGACTGGTGATAATCTCCCGCCCTCGGAAGACGATAGCCGTTTGATTCTCTGATTATGATCGTGGCAGTCGAGAGAGAGAAAGAAGCGTGCATATAATTGCACTTTGTCGCTACGAACTGTCTTTGGGTAATACGTACTTTACTTGCTCGATCAATTGTAATCGAGGAGCTGGCTTGCTGGGAGATAATCCTATTAGGTCCACGGTACAAGGATCTTTCTTAATCCCTATCTTCCCATTCCATAGGATCGGATCAGAGAGATCGAGATTGGTTTCAGCCGGTCGAATAGCTATAGATCCTGTTTATTATTCTATACGTTTCGCTATGATCTCATTGAAACCAAAGGACTCGTTTGATAAAAATCGAAAGCAAAAAAACTCGAGCTCACGTTCTGGTTTGTCCACCATGCCCCGTGACAATAATGCAATGCCTCTTCCGAACTTTTTGAAACCAATTGACCAATCTAATGCGTCGGATTGATAGAAAAACCCGTATGCATTTTTTTTTCAGCTTTCAATTCTCACGCTCGTGACCCTTTCTGAAAATCAAAAAAAATTCACTTCCTTCGGACATTCTTTTTGAATTTAGCCTGCTACGGACATGTACTTACACTTCGGAAGAAATCAAATGGGATGTTTCGGAATCATTCAGGACCCAAGTTATAGTTACTCTACTTTCCCATCCAATGCAATGCAGCTAGCTACCTAGCTAGCTAGTATGTAAGTAGTTGGGAGTTCAGTCCCAGTCCCAGGTCTCGAAAGCAATGGTCCCATGCGGTACCTTACCTCCAACTAAGCTAAGTACCTACCTATGTATGTAACTAACAGGGTCACGAACATCCATCCTCTCCTCATCTGATGTTCTTCCATACCCCCCTCCCCTCCCCTCAACTTAAGCGGCGCATCAGATATGCAATGCATTGAGTGTCTCTTCTCTCTCTCCCTCTCTCTCACTTTTTTGATAACCCCGCCACGGGTCTAAGCTTCATTGGTCCCATCCTATGCTGCGAGCTGGGTAAATCCATACCATTGTGAAGTGCAGAGGATCTACAATGCTGTTAATGTTGTTGGTATTGGCCACTTCTCTTTTTTCTATTTTGAATTCCTTGAATGCGAATGCCCCTCCTCTTCACCTGATGCTTTTTTTCCTCTTTACTCAATTGCTTAAAAAGAAATTACTTCGTAGCATGCTTGTTTAATTCATCATTTTCATTCTCAGATGGATCACGAAAGAGGGGGGAAAAGTAGAATCAAAAAGTAAATCGTCTTGTAATTGTCAAGTACTTAGTTAATATATCCATCCATGCGCCTTTTAACTGCATATCACCAAAAGATCGTAATCACCTGTTCAATTTTTTCCTTCAACGAGGAGGGGAGGGGGGATATAACTACCAAATCCAGAATATTCTCTATCGAATGAGAAGAGAGGTGTGGTATAGAGGGGCAATGAATTAGACATCTGCGATATATGATGGGCATGTGACATCGTGCATCTATTAGCTACTTACTTACATACGTATCAGCCATCTCATCGATCATCTCAAGCCCTTTAATTAATTAGTTTTCAACGGGTTTGCGATGAGCCCCCCCACCCCTATAGCTACGTCAGCGGCGATCGATATAAAACCAGTCTCCACTTTTTATAGCGATTTTTTCCAGAGCTCTTCTAGATTTTTCTGTTAGGTATGAGGATTTTAACAAAAGAAAAAAGAATAATTACTTAAGTACTGGTGATTGGAGGCGCTTAGGGAGCTATAGTCGGTGATGTGCGATGGTTTAATGCTATGTTAGTTATCCTTGGCTAGGATGTGGGTACTTCGTTTTTTTTTAGATCTATAGATCTCTCGTCTGATCTGATCTGATCTGATATTTAAAAAATAAATTATAAAAATAAATTACGATAACTACCTTGAGTTTATATTCTTGTAACGAATTCCTATTTTCTCTATTCCTTTTTTTGACCTTTTACCTTATATAACAAAAAAGAGAAAAGAAAGAAAGAGAAAAGAGAGAAATGGGAGTTACCCAGGAACCATATGTATAAGTACTTAACGCCATATGAGATGGACCAGGAAGAAAAAAAAATATATGTTCACAAGAGCAGAGTCACCTATCTACAAAAAAAAAGAAACCTCAAAAGAAAGATTCCCAAAAATCTTACGACTGATAGCTCTTGAACATAGCCTGGCAAGCTTTCTATATACCCCAAAAAACACTCCATATTAGCCTTCCAACTCACCAATATAAAATAAATGAAAAACAAAGGAAGAAAGACTTACAAGCTGATCCAAATAATAACTGCAGGAGTTCATATCATTATTCGTCGCCTCCAAACAGCTAGTGAAAGCCTTAGCATCAGCAGCACAGTTACCGCTTGTAACATCGCCATAGGTATTTGTAGTAGCTGGCGCGACTGGAGCAGCGGCAGCTGGAGCATCAGATGAAGAGCCGCCGAACATTCCGGTGAGACCGGCGCCGAGGACGTGGCCGACTGTGGAACCGACTGCTACACCACTGTTTATTTTTTTATGGGTTAATTATCTGTTCGGATTGTATATATGTATGTAAGTCGGATAGTAGGTGGGAGAGGTGCTTACGCGGCAGTGGAGGCCATCTATGGATATATATCGTTAGTATATGTACCGAGGTTATAACTATTGTAGATATACTACGTATGCGTAGAGGGAAGATCCATACCTGACCGAACAAACCGGGAGACTGAGATGGCGCCTGAGCAGCAGTAGCTGGTGGAGCAGCGTGAGTTTGAGCTGGTGGGGCAGCCATGGTGGATGCCGGACGGGTTTGCTGTTGAGCAGCGGGACGGGCTGGAGCCGCAGCACGGGCAGCAGGACGGGCACCTCCTCTCTGTCGTGCCATTTTGTATGATGATAAAAAAAAATATAAGGATAAAGTTCTAAATCACCTTCTGTTAGATTAAATACCAGATAGGAATAATAATGGCGACGAGACTTACATGAGAGTCGGGATGAATCGAAGGTTTGAATTTGTAGACGGGTTGAGAATTGAAATGGATTTGGTTGGTTGAGTTCAGTTGCAGAAAAATTGGAGGGAAGGGAAGTGTACGAGGAATCGGGGAAAAGGCCGGGCTTAAATCCGACTGCCAAGATCCGGTGTCTATGCGAAAGCTGATTCGTTCGTTGATGCCAGTCATTTGCCCACGTTCTCTCTTCTTCTTCTTCCTCTTTTTCTTTCCCCATCTCAAACAAACCTTCACCGACATCCCGACGAAGCCGTTACAGGACATCTAGAAGATTCTTTAGACTTCTTCTTCTTCTTCTTATTAGCGCCGGCTTCCGATTGGTATTTTCGATCTAATCTAATCTAATCTCTGTATTCACCCATCTCTACATACTACCATCTCAAATCGCGACATCCCAAAATCATCATCAAATCACCAAAAAAAAAATGTCGCGCCGACACGCCAACGCCCAACAAAGGGGCGTCCCCAAATCCGATCCAAACTCCAAGGGTGTCTCCTCCTATAAAAACGAATACATCCCAAACTTCATCTCCAAAAAACCCTTCTGGTTAAACGAAGACTCCGCCGACTCTTCCTCCGAAACAACCGATTACCTCGAACATCAACGTCTTCAGAAGAAAAAAGCAGATGACCTCAATCTCCTCGAAGGTGGTGACAAATGGTACGATAGAGGTAAAAAGCTCGGTCCGGCGGCGACGAAGTATAGAAAAGGTGCTTGTGAGAATTGTGGAAGTATGAGTCATCAGAAAAAGGATTGCTTGCAGAGGATTAGGAAGAAGGGGGCCAAATTTTCCGGCATGGATATCGCACAGGATGAGGAAATTCAAAAACTCGAGCTTGGGTGGGATGGGAAGAGAGATAGGTGGAATGGATACGATGCGAGAGAACACGACAACCTACTCGACGAATTCGCAAGAATGGAGGAGTTAAGAGCACAACAGAAGGCGTTGGAGGATGGCAATGGCGCTGGTTTGGACGGGGAGGATGAGGAAGACAAGTACGCCGAAGAGTCGAATATGCCCGGCCAGACTTATGATTCTTCGTCGAGAGTCACCACACGGAATTTGAGAATCCGAGAGGATACGGCGAAATACCTGCTTAATTTGGACTTGGACTCGGCGAAATACGACCCGAAGACCAGAACTATGGTCGACGGTGGCGCGTTATCGGATCAAGCTGCAAAGTTAGTCGCCGAAGAAGGTTTCATGAGGTCCTCAGGCGACGCTGCAGAGTTCGAGAGAGCACAAAAATTGGCATGGGAATCCAGAGAAAAGGGTGTAATGGGCGCAAAGATGCATTTGCAAGCCAACCCTACCGAAGGAGAAATCCTTCGAAAGAAGCTGGAAAACAAAAAGGAAGACGAAACACATACAAAGCGCCAAGCATTACTCGACAAGTACGGAGGTGGAGAGTATCTCCAGGCACCACCCAAGGAGGCCACAGTTACAGAATCCGAGAGATACGTCGAATACTCCGAGTCCGGCGACCTAGTCAAAGGGAAAGCGGATGCAACGGCGAAGTCAAAGTACGCGGAGGATGTTTACATCAACAACCACACGAATATATGGGGTTCGTGGTGGCAGAACTTCAAGTGGGGATACGCTTGCTGTCATTCGTTTGTCAAAAACAGCTATTGTACAGGGGCGGAGGGTAAGAAGGGTGTGGAAGATGCCGAGAAGATGCGGACAGGTAACGACCTCGAGGAAAGGGAAAGGAAGCAAATTGCCTGGAGGAAAGAACGCCGGGAAGCCGCCGATGCTGAAAAGGACGAAGAAGAAGAGTTGGCGCGCCGAAAGGAAGAAGAAGAGGCGGAGGAGGAAACTGCTGAAGACAAAAAGAGGAAGAGGGACCAGATGCACAGCGGTGTTACAGAAGAAGAACTTGAGCAACATCGGAGGAAGCGTCTGTTAGCAGACGATCCCATGGCCAAATACCTCGACTCAACCGCTTAACTTTATGAATTGTAATTATATTAATTTTTGTTACTTAGCATTGGCCATGGCGTTTGAGATTTTGGATTTGCAGGGGTTTCTTGATGAAATATTAGACACCAAACTGTAGTATTACCGATGAAATGGAAGGCTATTTAGTACCAAACAATGGCTTCTAGCAAAGCACATCAAACGCAATCTTATTACTTTTGTCTTCGAAACGCTCGCTACCGCCATTGCAATGATTAGGTATTAAAAGAAAATCAACAAATAACAACCAATATATAGCAATAAACACATTATTATCCAAGCTCTCTTCCCACGATATAAAAATCTAAAACCTCTAGATTTCTACTTTTATTTTAATCCTCGTCGAAAATATCCAATGCATTCCTCAATATCGTATCCAATGCTCTATGCTGCCAGTTCGTGTTCTTCAAATCCTCTGTTCGTGCACTCATCAAAGTCGGGCCGAAGCAGATGGACAGATTCCATGAGTTCATCTTGTTCTGGGTAGAGTATTGCATCACGCGGCTGAGATGGAGAACAAGGGCCCGAACTGTGGCGTAGTGAGCATCTGGGAGCCGGTTGATTAGGGCATGGAGGGAGTCGCGGCGGACATTGTCATCATCGATTTCTATATACTAGGTTAGTAATCTTGTATCGTAGCATCATGGAGGGTATTTGCATACTAGCTGCTTCAATAAATTCGTCGTAGAGGCCGTATGTTAAGAGAGGATCAGGTAGGTCTCTGAAAAATTGCTTTAGAGTGGATGCCACACTGTTGACGTCGTGGAAGAATTGGTCCAGATTGCGAAAATCCACCCTACTAGGGTCTTTAACTATCAAAGTTAGTCATAATAATCCAGAAAATGTCGGGTTAGGTTTCTTAAGACTAACCGTTGTCAAACAGTGCCTTGATCTTTTGAATAGAGGTGGTAGCTCCGGCTTGTCGGTAGATGCCTTCGATGTTCAAGCCATAGAGTTCTACAGCAGTCATGCACTGGATCACGACAATCGGAACGGCGTTCCCATCACGCTGTAAGAGGACTTCCAATGGAACCCCAAATACTGGTTTAATTGGTTTTCGTTCAGGGATTACGCTGGAGGACGGTTTTCCGGCATTAGGTGGGGGTCTAGGTGCGTCATTAGACATTGTAACTCCAGGCGGGCCTCCCCCAGCATAATGCTGCTGCGGACTAATGACCGGCTGAGGCTGCGGCTCAGGCTGTTGTTGCTGCATTGGCGGGAGGGGGAATATCTAGAGATTTGTTAGCTATCTCATCATCATTCATTCCGGAGGATATCCACATACGGGATGCTTCTGAACTTCGAACTTCATCATTCCAACCTGTTGTGGTGGCGACTTTGAAGCAAATTCCATGATAAACCCGTTCATATCCGCTTCATCATCGACAGCCAGCAGTGCCTTTCGAAGGTCACTTTCACCTCCGTTACCGCTCACTGCGCGTCCATTGTTAAGTGCAAATGACTCGTTCAGAGCAACTAATCTTGGTGTTAATAGAAACTTATACCGCAAAGGATACGAAGGTTCTTACCAAACTTTTGCAATTGCAAACTCAGCCCGGCATCGCATTCCAGTATCAAATCTCTCAATGCCTTGACACTCTGAGGTCTCTCCGCATGGAATAAATCCGAGTGTATCTTATTCGTTAATTCCACTTGTCTCACATACTCCATATCCGCCATCTCCAGCTTCTTCCTTGAATCTTCTTCTGGATGACGATTATTATGAAGAAAGCCCTTAGATCGACTACCATTCCTAGCGTTCTCATACTCCTTCGCTGCAGAATCGACTTTACCCCTCGCCTAGAGATTCGAATGAAATACCGTTAGTAAAACGCATCCTAGAAAACCCTCGAATACGACCGTGCACGGAAAGATCACCTTCTCCATCTCATGGTAAGAATTAGGACCCTTCTTCTCCGAACCCGCAACAACATTCTTCCATTGCTTCCGTCCGGCCTCGATATTATTCGATAGTTCAGTAAGTTCCTCGGACATGGTATTAAGTGCTGCTGCAAATGCGACCCCATTGTCGGCCAAGCTATCATGGATTCGATTTGATTCCTGGAGACCCTTCATGAGAGTACCTCGCCGAGGGCCCGGTTCGCGGTGGATGGTATCGTGGGTTACGCGGCATAGTTTCTTTAGGCCTTAAAATTGATGTCAGTTACTAGCTGAAAGAATAGTGGTGGAGTGTTAGAAAGACATACCAGCAGCATGGTCTTCTTCGATTTGTGCACGCTTCTTGAGGAAGCCTGCGAAGTCCTGTAGATACCCGGTTAGACTAAAGCCTTGGAAATTCGATTTGAGGTGATCAAACGTACCCTCGCAGATATCGCGGACTCCTTCAACTTTGAGAGTAGTGCATTCAGACCAAGCTATATAACATACCAACGGTTAGCCTCTCACTCTTTCTTTCCCAACTTCGGCCTGCCAACAATTACAGATGCCAGACTCCAACCTTCAACCAGAAAAATGAAACGAAAGAAAGGAAGAAAGAAAGGATCATACCTCTGTTTGCAGGATTTCATTAACATCTCTCGACGTCTGTGTCGTCCCCCCACCAGTGCCACTTTGCAGATTCCCCGCCGACTGCTGTGGCTGCTGTTGACCCTGCGGCTGCTGATGATGCTGCTGTTGCTGCGAACTCGGACCAGCGCCGGGATTCTGGTGATGGTGATGCGAAAAGCCATTGGTTGCAGCGGGAAATCCGCCGCCGCCTCTTGGCTGGCCGACGGACACTGGCGTTGCCATCTTATGGGTTTAACTACGACGATTCTCGCGCGACGGCTGGGGGGGAAAAGATGCGGCTCAATAAACAAGTGCTTAGATAAGATTGCGATCGATCGCCCGCTCCGAGTTATCGCGGCGACGGGTAGTATTTTTATGTATCTTACGGGGAAGTGTGAATAGAAAAAGTACAGATTGTTAAACAGTGAGCGGGTAGTAGTAAGTTGGGAAAGTAAGAAAGATGGGATGATGCTGATGGGAACCTGAACTGAGACCTGAACCTGAACTTGAACCTGAACCTGGAGCCTGAACCTGGTTACACCCGGCCGGCAGACGCTAATTATATTAGTATGGCATTAATTACGTGTTGGCTGCGAACTTTACGAGTTGGATGGCCTAAATGGCACCTGGCGCGCTGAGGCTGTGAAGTACGGGATAAGTCATGAACCTGATGCACCATCCCGCACATCCAGACGCTAAGAGACATGTACAGGGTAACAGGGAAGAAGTATCTTGAACTAGTAAGCAATTGGCTAATTTCTGATTAAATTTATAAATCCTGTTAAATCGCATGTGCCGACATTTGGCGTCGCGGGATTGTTCCAAATTATATGTCATCCAAAAAATCCAACATCATCCAACGCAATAACCCGCTCATAACTTGACTTTCTAACCATTAGGTATCGGCTTTTACCGGAACGACATGTGCTGGAACTGGGGGATTGGATTGAACGGCATGGGCTGGTTCTGGACGTATTGGCCCTGGCCGTATTGATTCTGTACGAATTGATTCTGCGCATATTGACCCTGTGCATATTGACCCTGTGCGAATTGGTTCTGTGCGAACTGGTTCTGAGGGTACTGGTTCTGAGGGTACTGGCCATGGGCGTATGGATAGCCATGAGGGTTCATTTGATTGCCATACCTAGGGTCCATTGGAGGAGTCTGATAGGGCTGGCCAGTGGGTGGAGGGGATCCCGGATAGCCTCCTTGTTGGCCAGCCTGGTATCCAGTGGGTGGCGGGGCAGCACCTGGGTGCGCTGCTTGATATCCCGGCTGGTACCCGGCCTGATTACCATTATGTGGTGGAGGAGCCGCTGGATATGTACTTTGCTGGCTGGGCTGGCTGTAGTTAGTATGTGGTGGGATTGCATTTTCCGAACGTGCCTTAAGCGCCTCGAATCGTTCTGCAGCGCGACATGTTATTGGATTCGAAGGACCTAGGATCTTCTGATATCCATCTAACACCTGCATTGACCAGTACGCAGCCGTTTTATAATCTCCTTTTTTCTCATAAATCATACTCAGGATTCCTATTGCACCAACTGTCTCCAGACTCATGCCATTCAACCCATCCATTTCCTTTCGAAGCTCAAGTCGTTGTTGAGCAAAAGTCAAAGCCTCGTCATAGTTCTTAAGCTTGCGATGATATTTTGATACTTTTTCAAGGGCCTTGATTTTCGCCTCTTTGTTCTCCCCAGGCAGCTTCTCTGTCCCCGAAAGAATTTCAAGAGATAGTTTAAGCGCTTCGTCATATTCCTCGAGATTCCCGTGGCTCTTGGCTTTTTTGCCCAGTAAGTAGAAATATTTGCGATCTCGGTGATCTTCGCCGTTCAGCTCTTTAAACCCTTCCAGAGCCCTATCGTACCACTTTTTGGCCTCATCATGTTGTTTGAGTTTACCCAAACATTTCCCATAATGCCTGAAGGCCTTAACTCGGTGTGGGTGATTCCTAGCAAGCCCTTGGCCGAAACTGGTGATTGCGTCCCGATACCAATTGACAGCGATGTCGTATCGTCCCTGATCCTCGAACAGCGAAGCAATCCTAAAAGTGACATCGAAACTTTGGAAATCATCGCTTTTTGCAAAGCTCGCTTTCCATTGCTGAAGCCCTGATATCATTATATTGCAGTCGAAAGTGGCCTCCTGAATGTTCAGTTTCTTGGTTATCTTTGTAGAGTTCTGTCTGATGTCATATTTGAGCATATCCTTGTCACCCAACAACGTGGACAAGTAGTATGCTTTGCGTATCCAATGCAAAGCGGTTTCGTAGTTGGCGGGGTTCTGGCGGTAGTAGGCCGTTCCCATGTTGTTCATAAGTTTAAATACTATCGAGTGCTTGATAAGCTCCGGGCCGGTCATTTGAGGGGTAAATTGCCCAACCCAAAGCCTGGATACCAGCATATCCAAACCTTGAAGGAAGTATTTCAGGGCCTCATCACACTGTTTTTCGTGGGTGAGACTAGTTCCAATACTGTTGAGGATGGCTAGGCGTTCAAAATCATCTTTTTGCACTGTTAACCCAACATATGCTTCCTTCAACCATGATAGGGCTTCGGCGTAACGCTCTTGTTTCTCAAGGCGTTTTCCGATATTTGCGAATGCAAAATATAGGTTGTCATCTGGGTGTTTCTGCGCTTCGTCCTCTAAGATCCCAAAGGATTTGAGCACCGAATGGCTGGATAGGCTTCGTATATGAGCCGTGAGTCTCCTCTCCTCCTCTAAACTCCATTGCCGGCTCTTCTGTGACAACCTTTTCCACTTGCTGACTTTCCCGAGAAGTATTACGGCATCCCTCAAGGGTCCGGTCTGCCCGTCTCGTTTGAGACGGCCCCGTGCCCATGATTGTATCACAGGATGGACAGAGAAGATTCTGGTGTGCTCCTCCCTTCGGGACGTTTGAGATTGCTCGGGCCCTCTTTTAATGAGGGAGTACGAAGCTAGCACTGACATCGTTTTCTCGACTATTGTTAAGTTAATATCAATATTCTGATGCATTGATTATTAGTACGGCATGAAATGGCTTACATCTGATCCGAACTCTTTCATCGGGCTTTCCATCTCGGTCATCTACCCAGATGCTTTCGCAGATTTCTTTAGGATTGAAATAAGCAGATGTCAGCAATACCGACGCTGCGTCTTCGTCCTGTTTTTTAAGAGTCTGGAATATTTTCTCCCATGTTGTAACTATTGTTTCTTGGTAGCTCGATCCTTCTAGCTGGCGCTCGAGACCTTGTACTTCCATGAATTTTCCCCGATAAAGAGGTAGGTATTCTTCAAGGCCAATTTTGTTTTCCCGTATATAATAGCCTGCTTGAGATATTGCAAGAGGTAGGAATCCTAGCTCTGTCACAATGGCAGTTGCTTGCTCTTTGACGACTAGAAATGGATGCAAAGTTAATCAAAAATGCACAAAATCTCAAACTTGGGAAATTTTGGTTCTAGAAAAGCTGCAGAAGGTACCAGAAATGTTGTCACACTTACCATCTCCAGGATTCTGTAGGTTCGCTGAGGCTAGCAGAAGATTTACAGCATTTCCAGCCTCAAGTCCTTCCAATTCAATATTCTTCTCCACGCGGTACTCTTGTAAGATATCTGGCCTCCGGCTAGTTATCAGGATAGCACCATTTCCGTGGCCAGGAAGACTCTCCCGATTCTGGAAAACGCGTGCCTCCGAATCTTCCACATCATCAAATATCAATAACCATTTCTTATCATCCGATCCCTTAGGCCTCATAGCTAGCCAGTCGAAGAATGCGGCCCGGATCTGAGCAAAGAAGTGAAGTCCGACTTTAATTCTGCCTTCATTATCAACGAGCTCTCCAAGCCTGAACTGCTGGGCGATGATTTTATAATCCGGCACAGAGTCCTCCCATAACACTCTTGCGTGCTCCTGTATGATGCATTCCATTATCTTGATTAAAGATGCATGAATGGTTTCCTCGCTAGTTGCAGATATCCAGAAGACTGATTTGTATTCAGTTAGATGTCGGTAAGCATATTCAATCGCAATCTGTGTTTTCCCCATCCCGCTGGTGCCGGTAACGGCGCATATCACTGGGGTCGCCCCACGATACTGCTGTTTCGTAAAACATTCATGGAGGGTTTCGAGGGTTTCTTTTCGACCTTCAAAAGTAGTGTTTCGAGGAAAGGGTATATGGAAGGGCATGCTGTCTTGAAAGACGAAGTTGATTTCCTGGGCTGAAACGGACTTCAAAGTCTCTTTCGCAACATCTACAAGGCCCACTTCCATTACTATGTTTGAGAAATTGATTAGTATCATTTCCTAAGAGTATTGAATTATTTGCCAAAAGATGACAGACGGGGTATACCGGTACTTACTTGGTGAGACCTGCTTGAGTAGCTCCCGGGCACAGATAGCCGCATTTATGGCAGCATACGGTTGCCAGTTCTTATTCTTATGTGCATCTGAGTAATCGCATATACCTCGAACTATGAGGCAGGGAAAGTCATTCATCAAACCCGCCGCCTCCATTTCGAAGCAGAGAGGTTCGGCTCCCGCCCATTCCGCAGTCTTCTGAATAACTTCGTTTCGTTTCTTCCCGTCTTTCATAACATTGTTCGCTGAAGCCATAATACCATAGTGTATATGTGGATGATCATTAGACCGGCGCTCTGGGGTCCTTTGAGAAATTTTTGCCTTGTCGCAAGCACCACAATCATTCTTTGCAACTGATTTACCTCCCTTCTCTTCACGAGCGTGGAGACAATCCGGCTCGTATAGTGTATCCTCCTCTTGCCCAGGATATGCAAAATCTTTCGAAAGGCTTCCATTTGTGAATATATTCCATATATCTTCCCCCAGCTTCCCTTTCCCTCGAGCCTTTAAAGCTAAGGCTGCAGTTGTGAGTATCTGCGGCGGCGCATTGAACCATCCAATCGGTTGGAATCCACCACCTTCAATCGTCTTCCCAAAGTCATACTGAACTACACCACTACACCGCCCCGCAGCTTTGCTGATAACAATATCGCCGAGTCGAATATCATTGGTCTCGCTCGGAGCGCCGCCAGCGACACCAACCATCAATATGAATCTCAAATTCGGAAACGTTGAACTCATACGAGTGGCGACGACCCCGGCCGGTCCTATCCCAAAGCTGGGAAGAACTGTAATGACCACTTTATGGCCACCTATTTGACCATATTCGTAGAGGTTTTTGTCGGTACCTGGGACGGGGAGTTTGGTTTCATATTTTTCGTCCAGGACACCACGGACGGCTGAGAGTTCGATGTCGACGGCGCATACCCAGCCCACGGTGAAATCGTCTCTTTTTAGTGGCATCTTGGTTAATTAATTTTATATTGTATTGACATTGATCCGACTAGGCCTAGATACTGCTATGTAAGACGTTAGGACGAGAGAATAGTAGATTGTAGAAGTTCTATACGAGACCATGGAAACAATCACAAAAGTATCATAATGTAGAACCATCTATTCATTAAAACTTCGGCAGCGATTTAGCTCATGCAGGCAGTAACATGTTATATATATTTTATGTTGCATAACCTAATAACTTTTATCAAAAGCCTACATCTCCTCAATAAACAAATCCTTACAGCCGCAATTTCCTGCATGCAATGCCAACGTTCAATTGCATTTTTATATTTTGAATCAACCCCGCTCTTACCCATTACTTACTTACTTGGCAGCTAAGTGCTTTGGTATATTCGACATCATGCACGGCCATTCGCCAGATCCATTTCATAAACCCCACCAACAAAAATACCGGATCTATCCTCCCAAGGATAGGTAGGATCAATACGGCAGTCCCGTCCACGTTAATTCTGGTTAGTGGGGTTTTTTGACAAAATAGTATATATGCATCTGCATGTTAAGCTCAGTCCGCCATGGGAGTGCACGCGGAAACATGGGCGCCAAGGACTTCGGTAGCTCTCTCTTTTTTACTTTGAACTGGATCGGATCCTGCAGGTCTGTACCATCCGAATCCGCGATTTTTTGAATCTCAACTTCGTATATATATCAGGGTTTGAATATTCGCAAAGAATTTAAAAATAGAATCTATATAAGGACTTAAGCATGAAACATTCCATTCCTCGTTCAGAAGCTAGCTAGGACTAGGACTAGGACTAGGACTATGCATTGTACAAGCTTGTGTCTGTTGTTATAGGTATTGTATTGTTATTGTGGACATTGGTGTAACCTTGTGCAACCGTTGAAGGGTTGTTGCATGTTGGAATTGAGCCCTGCGAAGTGCCGACCGATTAGTCTGGAAGCTCAAGCTCAAGCTCAAGCAACGCTATGGATCGCTCGGATCCCTTGAAACAAAACATATAGAGCCCAAGACAATATGTCTAGTGCTTAGGATAACAGTTCTTGCTCCGAGATCTTGGTCACTCGTCTAGCTTCCAGACAAATATCCGTCTCTAACATTTGGGCCTTGAGATCTGTGTTGGGCTGTCGAATGTATCTATGAATCCTGCTCAGAGCACCGATAGACAGAGTACTTTGATGTAAGACATGTTTCTTCACCTGATCCTCGAGTTCATGCTCAAAGAAATATACTGAGCTAGACTAGTACACACTGGAGCGGAGGAGGGAGTTTTTCGAACAATATGCACCTCTGTAATTAACCTTGCTGCCACTAAGCTGACTCGGTTATCCGAAGCCCTAATTAAGATTTATAATTTAAGATCTCTCGATGGACGCAGTACCATAGAGTAGGGTCCATATACCGCCTTCTATAGCTAACAAATTAGGTGACGGTAAGCTGTGTTTAGCTGGCCAGCCGGAGAAGGAAGCTCAGGAAGGACAATGCCTTGTACCAAAGTGATCCCGAACCTTTGCGTCGGTATTCAAGAAGTCACGACACCGAAGCTAATATTTAATCCTTACCTTCTAGAGCGATAAAGAGATCTGGATAAGGAGAAATTTTTGAGGGGAGCTTTACTCACATCCCGCGAAGTTAAAACTCTTGAGGGCTAAACTATCATTGATTCGGAGACGGATTTCAATTGGCAGGAGGAAGCGAATGGAGAGGTTGGTGAATCAATGCGAGTTCGATCATTTAGCCTATGAGGGAGAGTTTTTCTTCTTCTCTCTTCCCTCTGCTTCAACTGCAAGAGAGAGAAAAAATAGGTTTCACGTTTCATGAGACAAAAGGTTTTGTCACGCTGAGATGTTTTTCAGAATCTCATTTGTTTCAGAAGCAGGTGATAATGATATGCAGATACTATTTTCACAAAGTATTGTTTAATTTTTCTTGCATAAAAAGGGTAGTACTACAGATACGAAGATGCAATATATACTTCCTATATTCCACGGTGAGATCTGGTGTTAAAACTACCAGCTTGGGAATTGCATATAGACACCGAAAGAAGGCCTGGATTCTTTTTCACAACGCCCGCTGAAATCTGGAGGGGGGAGAGACAAAAAAGATAGGGCTTTTCTTATGACTACGAGACCTGGGCTTTTTATATAGCAGTGACGAGAAGGAATATTGTTGCTTTCTGGTTTACAGATGCTTGTTCGGGATAGCTCTCGCGATCTCGCCTGTGTGTGACCAATAGGAAGGGTTAACTAGTGAGCTAAGCTTCAAATTCACGAGTTCTCTTTTTTTCCTTTATTTTATATAATCTTGGGTGTCTGGGTGTCTGGGCTTTGGAGAGGTTTATATTTTATAAATCAAAAAGCCCACAGAATTTTAGCTCAGCCGGGGAGTTGAGAGGGTTGAGAATGAGGTCTGGGGATTTGATTGGTTGTCTACTTGCCAGGTGGTTGGAGGAGGAGAATCGTTGAGTCGGTGGCTCTACCGATATCCGATGACAGGATATAAGATAATTCACTTGCTTGTTTAAGCATTACAAAAGTAGATAGAGGGGCGAGTGAACTAAGACGACTGGCTGTTTTGATCCAGAAGCGCCGACACCGAACGGCTGGGCCACAACTGCATGTCTTGTCCCCGGCTCGGTGGTTGAGCGAGTGGTGGCATGCCATTTATCGCGCAATCTTCTGATGGAGTTTCTGATACCGAAAGGCAACGGGCTGATAAAGGTTTAATGTCTTTTTTTCTTGCTCGTGAATTGGTAAGCCAGCTAGCTAGACATATTCAGTTTTCCACGTTGGTTTTGAAGGAAGCTGTCAATATCAGATCTGTTAGTAGTATAGGAATTGTTGAAGCCACAGTTCAGTTGAAGAGAATATATGGATGGACATGTAGATTTCTGCCATGGGCCGACTCCACTTTCGATAAGTCGGACCCAAGCCAGAATATCCGTTCGGATCCACTTCCTTGGGCAAGCGGGACTAGTGAGAACAAATGAAGAACAGCTGGGAAGCCCTTCGCTACGCGGCTTTTGGTGTGGGAGGAGTAGCTGGATTAGAAGATAGGTTGGTTCATTCACTTGTGAAGGGCGGCGCCATTCTCAAACCATCTGTCCATATCTGTCCTTCCTTTCCCGTTTCTCTCTTCTCTTCTTCTTTCTCCTCTTACTCTTTCGTCTCGAATTAAGCAAAAGGATATTCTTGATACCGCCTTTTTTTTTTCGAAGTCCGTCCCTACAATTGCAGACTTACACCGTTCAGCTCCGCCCGTTCAGCCCGAATCAAAGCAAGAGCATCAGCTCCAACAATACGAGACAAGTTCGTTATCAAATTCGACCGTGATCGACGACTTTCCGGCCTCACGGGTACAGATAGCCCTAGCTAGCTTGGGATATTCGAGATTCCGACAGTTGATAAAGAAGGTTAGTACAAGTCAATCAAGGAAAAAAAAACCATGATGGACGGATTTATCCAGCATTGCATTGCATTGTTTGCGTTCCGTGCCCATCGCTTGCACCCGAATCCGAAACCCCGTCGATTGAGGGCTGGTTTCGATGTGTGTCATCTCTGTCACAACGTCCGCCGCCCTGTTTATCAGCAATCAGCAGCCTTTTCAGTTCAGTTCAAAGCTTGCTTGGCTGGCCAGTTGGGTGCTTTGACGTGAGGGGGTGGTCGATTCGATTGATTGATTGAATTGATTGCATGGGGCCAGGCTCTTCCTCGCTCGTTTAAGCTCGCTGTTGGCTGCGAGTGGCTGAAATCGAAGCGATATCATACGTACATACATAATGTACATACGGCTGCTGTGGGTACCGGTATATATCACGGATATTACCAAGAGACAGCCGTCTTCCGAGACTTTCGAAGCATTCCTTTTTCGTCTTCGATGCTATTTTCATCCTCTGGCGGTGAATCCTGTATCCTGGTTGTGATTTTGCCATTGCAAGCTCATCTCGAGAGCTACCCTGATCAAGTCCGCGTCCGAACGAAACAATTGGTCCGGCTATCCAGGTGCAGCTAGCTCGCACAGGAGCTTTGCCACCAGTAAAAGAGCCAGTCTGTTAGTCAATCGACCATCCAGCAAAGCCACCGAGAGGATATTTGTTTCTTTGAGATAAATTTCTTCTTTTCGTTCCGTTGGGCGCGGCCCATCATTGCAAGGTGATGGTGGATGGGTGGATGGATTGCTTGCTTGATTGATGGTTGGTGTACATGTTTGGTTATATATCGAGCAGCTGCACCCTTACATGAATGATACCGGCCAGACCCCCTCAAACGGAACAGCAAACTTCCCTCCCTTTGAACTTGGTTTTCTTTTATCCTCGTCCTCGTCCTCATCTTCATCCTCCCTCCCTCCCTTCCTTCTCTTTCATCATCATCACCTTCATCTGCACCTTCACCGCTAGTTTTACCAACCATCATAGTCATCGTCACTTTCTGCTGTGTTACAATACTTCGTTTTCGGGCACAAACATCAACGTCATCATACCAGGCAGACAGGAGGCTGCTGCTGCTGCTATTATAAAGAATACACGTCCTGAGAGATACTCAATATAACTTTGGATACATATAGTATAGTACCTATCTAGGTATCTACTGCTTAGGCTTCACTGCCCAGAAACAACCATACCAAAAAGTACCTCTTCCCTTCTTCCCATTTTTTCTTTTCTTTTTTTCTCTGCTTCGAATCTCGCCGTCTACTCCGCCCTCCATTTCTCTCTGCTGCTTGACCCCTCGCTCTGTTTCTTCGCCAGGCTTAATTGCTGGTTCAAGCAAGCGACTATGGGGCACCCAAAACTCTCCCTGGTCGTTTCCTCCACCGAAACAATTGGGAGGCTGCAAATTTGGCAAGACGAGCCGCGAAAGATAACATTCAGTTCCATGGCAAACACCGTGAACTCACCAGAACCGTCGAAAATAGCCGCCTTGAACACATTTTGAAACTCACTTTGCTTATGCATAACCTTGAAGAACTCTCTCAGGTGCTGACTTTGAATTCGTGATCCTAGTTTACCGAGAACTAGATCTTTTTCTAGCTTCCCCCCACACACCCCCCTACAACAATGACCACACAGTCTCTAAAGGTACCTTAAACCACCACCATCAGAAAGTTTTCAATTACTTCCTCGTTACTTTCGAAAGTTTTACGAAACATGACCTCTCGCGTTTCCTCGTGCACCATCTGTCTCCCGCCCACGTTCAGTCGCTCCTAACACGTTCTACATAGTGTGCTTCTCGCTTTTTCCGAGAAAGAGCGAGTCGTCGCATCATGCGAATCCGTGCCGGACTTGGATAAACCTTGCAACCAGGTTTTCAAGGAGGGGAATAAAACATTAAAAGGAGTGATATCGAAGTGTTAAAATGGGACCGAAACCCATTCACACTTCTCTTCCTGGCACCCTGGATGAAGTGGAGGCGTTAGTCTCCCCGAGGACTCCACGTCCGAAATCCACGCCTGAAGACTTTCAGCACCTTTTTGTACCCGATGATGCGAGGGAACGCGGAGAGGGCGGTCAGAAAGCTCCGGGGAGAATGTGCCGCAGGCGGCTGGACCAGAAATATGATTCTAACGGAAATTTGAGTGTACAGTGCGTCGTCACAGGCGATGGTGCCGTCGGCAAGGTAAATACTATCCGATCACAGCTCCCTAGAATTTAGCTGAGCGCTAACTTTAATCTTTTTTAGACATGTTTGTTGATTAGTTACACCACCAATGCCTTCCCGGGTGAATACATCCCCACTGTGTGAGTTTACTCCCAGAGTTGAAGTTCGTTCGGTCGTGAATGGCGTCATAAATTAGCCCTAGAAAGCGAGTCCTGAGGGACTAACTGTTTTGCTATAGATTCGATAACTACTCTGCTAGTGTTATGGTCGATGGAAAACCCATCAGTTTGGGATTGTGGGATACTGCTGGTCAGGAGGATTACGATAGGCTGAGACCTTTGTCATATCCTCAAACTGACGTCTTCCTCATTTGCTTTTCGCTGGTTTCTCCGCCATCCTTTGAGAACGTCCGAACAAAGGTTGGTAACACATTGTCCACGTGATGTTGAAGTCGAAATGTGCTTACGATTGGCGTAGTGGTATCCGGAAATCAGCCACCATGCACCAAACATCCCCATTATCCTTGTCGGTACCAAGCTCGATTTGAGGGACGACCCCAAAGTCTTGAAGTCGCTGCAGGATAAGAAAATGGCACCAATTCAGTTCGCCAACGGTGTTTCTGTTGCAAAGGAAATCGGAGCCGTCAAATACCTTGAGTGCTCTGCCTTGACCCAGAAAGGACTTAAGAATGTCTTCGACGAGGCAATCAGGTAAAACTATCTACCACCACCACCGCACCTTGGCACAGAAGCAATTTACTAACTACTATGTACAGAGCTGTTCTAATGCCAGCACCAAAGCCAAAGCAAAAGAGCAAGGTCTGCACCATTCTATAAACGACTTGCCAAACCAAAAACCTTGTCCCGCCTACGAATCTCTTGCGCTTTTTTCTACTATCGATCCATTATCCATACGAACTTTGTGCAGGCGTTCTCTGTTTTCTTGAAACTCATATCCCATGTTCTAAACCATCCATGAATTGAAGCTTTTATGTTCCCCTCTTCTCCCTTGTTCAGTGCTTCCTCTGCCTTTTGCTCCTTTGGTTGATGTCGTTGTAACTGGAACCTGTTATTTTATCTTACGTTTTCTTTCCTTTTTCGTTTCTCTAATGTCGGCTTATATATCTTGATGGAAAACTAAAGAAAGAGTTGTGAATACATACATCCTGTGGTCATCATGCTTTTCCTTTTCCCTTTTCCTTCTCCTCCGGGCATGATTAGTGTGCTATTATACTAGTCTCGTCTATGATACTACTTTCCTTGAACTCTGAGACTATATATTTTATTACTTATGACCTGTTATATTATGAGAAATTGTTATTTCTATTCTATGTACTCGTATCGTATTGCCCTTTCACTAGCTATAACTCTACGTTTGCGAGCATTTAAGTGTGTAATATGTTACTTATTTGATATAAATGAAGATTTGTCCCTTTTTCTTAAATGTTTTGAGTTAGATAGCTATCCATATCCATGATGGCATAATAAATATGGTTTGCTATATATATTCTGGATCGAACCTCAAATGTCAAGATTCATAAACCGTGGATCTTGAGGATAAGAAAAATAAGAAAAACATCAAGCTTTTATCGCATGCATAGCAGAAACAAAATCCGATACGCCAGGTACATAGTATGTCGATATGTCATCCCTTCCTATCATACATTCCCACCCAGTATACGACCTCTCCGACTCCAATTCTTAGGCCACCCCATCCCCTCACCTCCTCACCCTCTTTCTTCGACTCGGATGGATACCATCTTCTACCTCTTCCTCTACTTTCTCTTCCTCAACCTTCTCGCCCCTCTCGACCCTCTTTTTCCTATCCTCTTCATACCTCTTCTTCCTCTCAGTATTCAAACTCTCGTTTTTGGCTTTAACCCTCTCCTTCCTATCGTTACTCTTCCCACCTCCACCGGCCGTAAGTTCGACATTTATCTTCCTCCCTTCGAATTCCGAGTGATGGAATAAACTTAAACAGCTCTTCATCCTCCCTGCATCGGGGAATTCAACGAATGCGTAGCCTTTACAGATTGTTTCTGATCCCTTTGAGCCTTCTTCTGATGATGATGGTGTGGGTTTTTTGGATTTGAAGCCTCGGCCTTTGGGCGCTTCGCCGGGTTTGTAGGTTGCTATACGCACTGCCGTGGGTTTTACGGTGGAGAGGTGGGCGGTTAGGGTTGCTTGGGTGGTTGTGTATGGAAGGTTTCCTGTAGGAATAAGCATTTAGATTAGAATTATAAAGATACTTTGGGGTGTAGGCGTGTAGGTGCGTAAAACATACCGACGAATACAATGAACCTGCCGTCCTTTCTTCCACTTCCTTCCTGCTTTGTACTCGGGACGTCGCCATCGCCATCGCCATCGCCATCACCATCACCACCAGTATTAACCTCGCCGGAACCTTCTTCAGCATCACCAGTACCAGTACCGGCTCTAGCTTTAGCAGCAGCATTCTTTCTCCTCTCCCTTCTCTTCTTATTCTTTGCCGTATTTAATAAATTCGAATAAGCTTCGTTATGGACTTGTTTGACCTTCTTTTCTCCATCTTCCCCCTCCTTCTTCTTGTCTTTCTTGTTATTATTACCATCCTTCGCAGTTCCAGCATCCTCCATAGTAACATCGTTATCATTGTCGACACCATTCTTTGATTCTCGTTTTCGCTTTAAACTCCTCGCAAGACCTTCGTTTGTAGTGTCTTTTCCACCGATGGAGAAGTCTTCTTCTTCTCCGTTTCCCTCTCCATTTTGGTCTTCTCCTTCGTCGCCGCCTTCGGTGTTATCGTTGTTATCGGCGTCAGGTAGGTTTTTGATTGTACGATCGCGTTTACGGACTCTAGTCCTTGGAGCGCGGGTTCGTGGACGACGGGTGGTTGATTCTGCCATTTTACTTTTTTCTTTTTCTTCTTCTTCTTTGTGTAGGTGGTATATCAGAAGTTGAAGGTTTTTTTTGGGGATTGGTTGTTTTTTTTTTTTTTTTTGGCGACAAAATGCGACAAGTTTTTAAGGTTTTTTTTTGAGCCGCAGGTTTTGGGCGCATGGGCTGGCATGCCGCGTGGCCGGAAGGCTTCAATACTACACTATAGCTAGCCTTTAAAGGCCTTAAGCCTTTGACCTAAATTTATCGCATATGTAGGCAGTTGTAACTACAGTTTCTTCTGTATAATTTGTAGTCTTCAAGGCATTCATACGATATAAATTTACTTCAAATACGATAAAACAAGCTTAAAAGAGATCATGCATGATATCCAAAAAGCAGGAAGGGAAAGAAAGTGATATCGATAACTACAATACATCAATTATCCAAAAGGAAGAGAAGAGAAGGATAGAAAAGAAAAGAAAAGAAAAGAAAAGGGAAAAAGAAACCCAAAGGCCCCAATAAACACCAAGAATCCCATGCCATCTCCTCCCGCAATTGCAAGCTAATTTTATTTAAATAACAATTCATTCTTCCTCGGTCTCCTTCTTCTTCTTCGGTTCAAAATCGAGCTGATTCCCATTATAATACGCACTCCTCTTATCCCCATCCCCATCATGCAAAGTCCTTATCCTCTTCTTAGCCACATCCCTCGAGACAACAGGTGTACTAACAGACGCCGAACTAGCGGCGGTAACCCCCTCATCTTCTTCGCTTCCACCGTTACTTCCGCTCTTTTCCTTTTTTCTACCTTTCTTTTCGCCGACGACGACGTTGGAAGCTGGGTTGTGTAGCCCAAGGAAGGTCTTGATCATAAGCCAGATGCTGAGTAAAAATGCAATCAAGAAGTTTTGCTGGTTATTCACACCAGTCGCGGATCGTCTTGCTGGTGCAAATGCTGATGAGACTTTTGAAGATGCAACGGGTTTTAGGATTAAAATGGCGGAAGGGTAGAGACCGAGTTCTGAGAGGGAGGAAGAGGTGCCTTCTATATTTTTGGATGACATGCTGGAAGATTGGACGATGAGTTTGTAGGGATGGTTACTGTCTGTACGGTTCTGCGAGTTGAAAGGATTTTGGTTAGTATTTGTATCGGGGAAGGATGTATTGATTATAGATGGGCTTACATTATCTAGCCAAGGTCTTACGTCCCCTTCTACTGTTGCTTCAACTGGGAATTTGTGCGATATCCGGCTTCCATCGAATAACCTAAACGCCAGATTACACTCTCCACCTCTCACGACCTCTTTGCCCTTTCCTTTCCCCTCTCCATCGACAGACACAGTCCGAGTTGAACTGCCAAAACTACTACCAGCGATCTCAGCAGCCTCAGCCTCGGCAGCTATAGCCTTCCTATTCGCCTCTCTAATCCTCATCTCCTCTCTATCCGCCTTAATCTGTTCCAAAACCCTCCTTCTCTCCTTCTCAGCTTCTATTTTCTTCTTCTTCTGTTCATCAGCGTATTGTTTGTTGCTCCTTGTCTTTTGGACCTCGGCTGCTGTTGCCATGGCCTGTGTATCCTCGCGACGGGCGAGTTCTCGTTTCTTTTGAGCTTCGATTTCGGCGGCTTCACGTTGGGATTTTAGACGGGCGATCCGTTCACGGTGTTGGGCTTGGATGGAGGCGAGGCGACGGCCGGTGTCGGATTCTGGTGGGAATTGGGTATTTGCTGGGAGGGAGTTTGAAGTTGAAGCTGGAGTCGAAGCTGAGGTTGAAGGCGTAGGTGTAGGTGTAGATGTAGATGTAGATTCCTGTGGAGGTGGTGATGTTGTAGTAGTGGTTTGAGTGGTTGTAGTAGTCTCGGTGGTAGTAGTATCAGCAGGAGTCGCAACAGGGAAACTAGGACTGCTGTTTACACCATCTAGGAGGCTTGCAGGGGCACTGAGATTGCTGAATGTCGACGATATTTTGGCAGTAAATTCCTCCTTCGATATCGGATTGGTAATGACAGTGAGACCGTCGACACCGGCACCTCCATTTCTGAAAGGATAGACACAAGTTAGATATTCTGATTAATTTAAAAAAGGTAGTGGTATACGTGGAAGGATCGAGTAAGAAGTGGGTGATGTGTCGTACTTTATGATCAAGAGGGTTGGATATGTTGTTATAGAGCAAAAGGCATTTAGGTAAACCGCCTCAGTCGAGTCTTTGAGCAGTCGGACAGTGATTGCTGAAGTTTTAAGGGATGTTGATACCTGAATAAAAACGGTTATATCAGTATAAGCTATGGAATGTAATAATAAGATGATGAAAATAGTAAGCTTTACACTATCTTCCGACAGATAATCGTTCTCCCAGAGGTTACTATCATCGGTTTCATCGGTAACAAAGCATGCTAACGGCTTCTGGTTCGCAACGGTAGCTTGGATCGCCTCTTCGATTCGACCGGAGAAGAATATTGAGTCCGACATTTCTGCTCTGCTGTAAATTACGGAAGGGAAAGTAAGTAGTTTCGGAGGAGAAGAGAGAATAAGGCTGGAGGGGTAGTGATAACAGTGTGAGGTGAGATGATGTCGCGCGTGGGGGATAGTTTGGGGATGCGGTCAAAGTCCAATGCAATGAGATGCCACGGTTTATCAGTGTTAGTACTTCAACTCATCCAACATGACATGATATGCCTTCGCGCGGCATTAATTGGTCATCAGGCACGGCGCGGATTGCGTACGTAGGACATCAAACAAGGCTGTTTATTATTTTATTTCTCCTTTTTATCCTGCATGATCTATCCTTTGAAGTATGTTTGCATGTATGTATAGTAAGTATGAAACTAGAGGATTGAATTTATATCTGCTCGCAACTTAGACATTCCACAGAGAGAGTTTCGAGGCTGGTGAGCATGAAGGCGCAATAGGCCGGCTGTCTGAGCTTAGGTCCCAGCGGAGGGTGAGAGTGTACTTTGTGTTGCTGTGTTGTCACCAGACGAGTTTCTGGTAGTGTTTGCCAAAATTGCCAAATCCGGACTCGCGTGGCCCAAATCCGACTTTTTCTAACAAGGTTTCCGATTGGCTGGTTCGAACCCCTGATCATCTCGTACGAGTAATATACTTTTTTAGACAACCTTCGGGAACCCTCCCCGAGGCCCAAAAGTTATCACCAGATCCAAAAATTGAACTTCCTCGCCAGCGAGGGAGACAAAAAGATATTTCCAGGATTTTAAAATGGCAAAAACACCCGTCCGGAATTCGGATGAAAAGCCCCTGGGGGCTTTTTTTGGTTCGCGCTAGGCCCTGATTGGTGTGCTGTGGATTTTACCCCGAAGGTTCCAAGATCCGCCTCAGACCGGCCAAAGTCTAAGGCGGAACTATCCCACTCGGCCACAGCACACCAACCCACGACGACTTCAACCCCGGAGTGATATATATACCCAAAAACAACATTTCAACACACTTTTGGTAATTCCGTACTATACTGCGAAGTACCTCCAGCTTCATAGTAATACAAGACTATTATATTAGATGATATATATTCGTATTAAATCGATATATTCCCGCTTTGAAATCGTGCTTCCTTGTCCTTAAAGCCTACATGGATAAATCCTCATTACTAAATCGTATCGGTAGGTACTCAGTACTTAATAGGTAGTAGGTATACTAGTATACAATTCATCAAGGAACTAACAAATAATTCCATACGGACAGCAAGCACTTCCATCCCTCGTGCACAATCCTCGACAGCATAAATTCTTATTACTAGAACACGGAAAGGTTCCCCAAAGGTTCGGGAAGCTGGCTTTCTCTGCCGACCAGTATGGGTTATTCGTGTCCGTCCACATACAGTCTTGCACAGACGTATCGACGGCACGGTTGTAATATTCCATATTGTCGTCATCTGCAGAGCATGAATCCCAGTACTTCGCTCGCTTTGACAAGTTATTCTTCTTCTTCTCCTTTTTACCATCTTTGGATCCCGTCTTTGTCTTCGGCCTTGGGTTCGGTTTCGCTTTTAGGTCTGTCGGGACGCCAGTTTCATTGAGAAACTTCAAATATGCAGGATCAGGTCCCTTCCAGACATGTTCCTCCAAATACTTCTCATCGATCTTGACAGCCGGATACTCAAACTCTCCATAATCACTCCCTCCTTCCTTTTCATCCCTCTTAAGCACCTGATAGAACTCCGGTCCCCAATTCGTAACCGTAGTAATCCAAACCTCAATCCTATTCGCCTCCTCTCCATCCCCTCCAAACTGTCCAATACTAGCCATAGAATGCTCACCAACATAATAAGTCCCACCGTTATGTACAAAAGTTCCATCTTTAAGTCTGCTCCATGACGCCCAGAGGGGTGCACCGTCGGCATACCCGTTGTTGACTACTACCCGTTTGATTTCTACGGTCCATTTACCGCCTACGGCACGGGCGTACCATAGTCCGGAGTTTTCAAAGTCGCCGACTACGTTTTGGGCGAGGCGCCAGAGGATACGGGAGTAGACTGGTATGCGAGAGAAGGCGACGCACCATCCGTCACCCCAGGAGATATGGTCGATGTCGCCGTCCCAGCGGGCTGCAAGTTCTTTTGGGAGGATACCGTGAGAGCCGGTGTTTGGAGAGGTTGGATGGGCAGAGAGGAGAGAAGGGATTGCAGTGAAGAGGGTAAAAATTTTGGAGAAAGAAACCATGGTTATGAATATATCTGCAGAATGCGGGAGATTTCGAGGTCCAATTCCCTGAAGAGTTATTTAGAGGCTGTAGTCCTACAGGACTTAGAGAATACTGGATTGATGGTAGTTTAGATGTAAGGACAATATTACAAAGAATCTATCTTGAAGTTATCATGGGAATTATATACACTTCGAGGCTTCAGTAAAAAGCCAGTACTTGCACGGAAGAAGCTACTCATCATGGAATACCCGTCCTAGGCCCCTTTCTCACTACGCATGGCTTGAACAAACAGCACGCAGAATGGCCTATCGATTACGATTATGTTTGCACACCCTCAACATCAACAGTAAAATCCTCAGCATCAATTGACCATTGTGGCATTGCTAAAACGTATACGAATCTTAAAGTCCCCCCCACAGGATGCAATCAATTGATCAATATCCACCCGGCTATAACCCTACGTATTCAATCCAAAATTACGAGATGGCGATATTCCAAGCCGATTAGAATATATTCACGAAGTCCGTGCAAAGACCCATTCGTTGACCTAACAGTTATTTTTGCGAAAAGCACTGACGCCGAATCACATGCTAAAGGATCTCTCTGAAGAAAACCATTGGTCCGGATGAAGTTACTCACCTTCCATCCCATGATCGACTCTGTTGGAAGGATATGATATGTATCCACTATCTACGCGACACGCTTGTATAAAATAATTTTATAGACAAACGGAGCGACGACAACTTCGAGCTGATAAGTAATCACTCGATAACCCTTGTCCGTCTGAAAAAAAAGTATTATAAAACACTCATTATCATTATTCCTTTTTTTCTCAGAATGTTCTCCAGAAACCAAACAAGGATTAATATTTCGTCAATCGAAAAGCCAGGATGTTTTGTGTGACAATATCGACGGGGAGGGGAAGAAAAAAAAGCACTGCCTTGCAAGCTAAATAAGCCTTTCTGCAGGTCTCTCGGCGTCGGATGCGGCACCGCCGACTTAAGTTTTGTGCGCACCTGGTCGGAAAGCCATGAAAACCGGGGAACCCTGGCCAGTTGTTCAATCAAAGCCCAGATTACTCAACATCTACACCTACACTTTTGAGTATGAATAACCGTTTTTTTTCTCTTTCATTTTTGTTTTGTAATAAAATATTCTTTCGTTCAGGCTAAGCTATAAAACCCATACTGCCCACTGGTTTTAAAACTTCGCCCTCTGCGAAGATGGTGATTACTTCCTGCAGCTGAAGGCACTGCTTTTTTCTCTCCATTGTGTTCATTATCGAATCCCATCCCAGAAAATGATTGGCGCGGCGCAGATACCCTCCACTCACGACTCGAACCACCACATGGCCATCCTGTGAATCACAACCTTGTCAAAAACACCACCTTCTAAAAAAGCCCCCGCCGAACGAACCAAAAAATAGTGGATCTGTATAGAATTCAGCTGCAGGAGAAACCATCCCGTAGTCGACTCATGCAGAACGCTTAGCCAGATGGGGTCTTAGATACTGACTGCAGCTCGTAATCTAAGCGATTGTTTTAAGTTGAGTAAAAAGGAATGTATATGCATATGTATGTATGTGGATTGACTAGGCAGAGCTTGGGAGGCGTTTACGTTACACATACCGATTGCATCGATATGCCATAGCCGGGTCCGTGGGGTTTTCTCGTTGGATGGCGGTCATGGGTTAATGTTGTTCATTGGGGGGTGCGGTTGGGCATTGCGGATTCATGCTAGCTAGCTTGGTCTGTTGAAGGAAGCTGAGGCAATGACAGGATCGTATGGCATCTCAATGGATGAATGGGATAGGATGATACTAGAGTGATATAGTCAGTATGAATTGAGTTCATAGTACTAGTAACTAGGAGAAGTATTTTAAACCGACAGATTCCACCTTTCGTATTCCAAAATTTCAACATAGATTCCCATAATAAGGAGAGTTCATATATATTGTACTCTCCAGGTCTCAAGTAAAATCTTGAGAACAATACCCTACCGGCATTATGCCTCCTCTCATTTCGTTTTTCTATAGTATACTCCTCCTCTTTAGTATCGTCCACGCCATCCCCATCAAGGATGCAGTCGACGTCGAAGTTAGCGACGGCGTTCTCAAGCCCCGCGCTGCACCAGATAACTTCTGGCTCACTCAGATGACCCACGGTTCCAGTCCGTATGCTCCAGCTAACTATCCTATTTTTCGGAATGTAAAAGATTATGGCGCTGTTGGTAAGTACTCCCAAACACTTTCTTAGAGGAGTAAGGAATGATATACTGATCGATTGATGTTTTGGTATCATACAGGTGATGGAGTTACAGATGACACAGATGCTATCAATGCCGCTGCATCAGCCGGTGGTAGATGCGCAGGTGACTGTGGATCTTCCAGCGTTCTTGGTGCGGTTGTATATTTCCCCACCGGGACGTATAAGATTTCCAAGCCAATTTTTCAGCATTATTATACACAGTTTGTTGGAAATGTAAGTATTAACCTACTATACTCGTAAAATTCCGCCCCAAGGTCATTTGATTTGGGAAAGGGACCACTCTCTCTATCTAAAGAGTCGTTGACTAATTAGAAATTTTCTCCGAATCTCAAGCCCAATGCCCGCCCTACCCTCGTAGCTACCGCAAATTTTAAAGGAATAGCCCTCATCGACAGTGATTTTTACATCCCTGGTGGAGACGGCGCTCAGTGGTATATCAACCAAAGCAATTTCTTTCGACAAATAAGAAATTTGATTTTAGACATCAGAGCCATGCCGCCAATGATCAGGGATGGGGATAGTGCTTGGATGCCTACTGCCTTGCACTGGCAGGTTGCGCAGGTAAGTTTGATATAGAACTTTAAGAAAAAAATTTTCGGATTATAGATTGACTGGTGTGGGAAATACAGGCTACTAGTTTACAGAATATACATTTTATCATGTCGACTGATCCGGGGAACAATCAGACCGGTATATTTATGGAGAACGGGAGTGGAGGGTTTATTGGTACTTATTGTGTTCTCTAAAATGTATATTGTGCGTTGACTTTTACTAACCTTTGGAATCTGATAGGTGATTTGACGTTTTATGGAGGTCAGTTTGGTATGAGATGTGGAGCTCAACAGTAAGTCACCTTTTTGTTAAACAAGAAGATAAACCTCCAAGTCCCATGTCGAAGCATCTTTCGTTGAAAATGTTGTATTTTTTTTGGTGACAAAAAAGATCCAACGTCTTCAACGCATCGAGATCACGACACAACTTTCACACAAGTCTGGTTACGAGACTGCCGAACAACAGTCTTTCTAACTACTGTATATTCTAATAGATTCACCGCACGTGACCTCCACTTCACATCATGTATCACCGCAATTCAAATGATCTGGGACTGGACCTGGACCTGGAAAAACATCTTCATCTACTCCTGCTGGGTAGGAATCGACGTCACCGGCGACGGCAGCTCGAACGGTCAACCCGTCGGATCAATCACGGTTCTTGATTCTTCATTCGCATATGTTCCAATTGCTATATTAACATCCGGCCGGACGAATATAAATATCGATAATGTGGAAATTATCAATTGTGATATCGTAGTGGGTAAACCTGGTGGGCCTACTATTTTGGCCGGTGGGAATAGGATTGTTCAGAGGTATTAAAAGACATCCTTAAGGTGATTAAGTACTTGTTTGAGTATATACTAATTTGGAAGAAATATAGTTGGATGACCGGCCGTCTTTATGATGCTTACGACTCTAAAGGTGCTACTTTCACTGGAGTCCCCAAATATGTTCCCTCAAAACCCGCAGGTCTCCTAGATTCCACTGGTAAATTCTTCATCCGTTCAAAACCCCAATATGAAACCTTATCCGCATCTTCCTTCCTCAACGTAAGATCAGCTGGTGCCCAAGGAAACGGTCAAGCAGATGACACAGCAGCCATAAACACCGCATTACAAAGCGGTAAAATCGTCTTCTTCCCAGCCGGAGTCTACAAAGTCACGGGTACGATCAACGTCCCCGTCGGTGCCAGAATAGTAGGAGAATCATGGTCACAGATAATGGGTACCGGTTCCTACTTTGCAGATGCGGATAATCCAAAGGTTATGATTAAAGTTGGAAACCCCGGTGACTCCGGTGTGATTGAGATTCAGGATATGATATTTACTACTTCTGGACCGACTGCGGGGGCGATTATCATTCAGTGGAATGTAAAGCAAAGCACTCAGGGTTCTGCGGCGATGTGGGATTCTCATATCAGGATTGGAGGGGCGGCGGGGACGAATCTTAGAGCTACGGATTGCCCGAAGTTGACGGGATCGATTAATATGGATTGTAGGGCGGCGAGTATGTTGTTGCATATTACAAAACAGTCGTCTGCTTATTTAGAAGTAAGTTTCTATCATGGACCCCTAGTTTTTTTGAGACGGTTATACTAATCTACAATAATAGAATGTATGGGCATGGGTAGCAGACCACGATGTGGACATTTTAGACCAAACACAGATCGATATCTACGTTGCTCGTGGAGTATTGGTCGAATCCAAAGCTCCAACTTGGTTATGGGGCACAGCATCCGAACATTCAACGCTATACCAATACCAACTCTCCGGCGCCTCAAACGTCTTCATGGGATTAGTACAAACCGAAAGTCCTTATTACCAACCAAGTCCCCTCGGTCCTCTTCCCTGGAGTATCTCCGACGGAGCAGATGCACAATTCATCGACGACCCAACGTTCACAGATTGTATCTCTGTGGAGACGGATATAGATAGATGCGCCGTATCATGGGCTCTTCGTATCCTTGATTCGAGCGATATTTACGCCTATGGCATAGGGTTTTATAGTTGGTTCCAAGACTACAGTCAAGCATGTGTGCCTCTTGAAAACTGCCAAACAAGACTTATCCAAACCGCCTTTTCCGAAAAGGTATTTTTATACGGTATCGCCACTAAGGGAACACAGGAAGTCGTATCCCCAACCGGTTCAAACCTCGTCGCAGCAATTCAACAAGACAATCAGAACGGTTATACAACTTCCATAGCAGCTTGGATACCCCTCGCACAACCTGGTTCCGCAGCACTGGGTAAGAAACGTATACCAGGTACCGAATGGATCTACAGCCAAACCGGTGCCGGTGGAGTCAGGCAGTTCGATACTTGGTCCGCCTTTGGTGATTCATACTCCGCAGGTCCAGGAGCTGGGAAATATACAAAAGAGTATATCTATAAATCTCGTATAGGCGGCCAACTCAAAGACTGCATGATATATAACGAAAACTACCCCTACCAGCTGTACAAGAGCCCCTCCCCAGGGCATCGAGACGTTCTAAAAAAAGGATACTTCTTAATGAATAGCTGTACCGGAGCTCGTAACAAAGCCCCCCCACTGAGCCAAGGCGACCCGGTCACCATGCTCGAACAATTAAAATACCTTCGTGGGGACGAAGATTTCATCACCCTCTCCATTGGCGGTAACGACATAAACTTCGCAGACATGGCAGACGCCTGCGTCTTCGGGTTTCGTCCAAAAAATAACGGAAAATGTGAACATCTCCAAACACTTGCCGAACAGGCGTTACTCCCAGAGGCGCACGGCGAAATACGCAGCCTCCTACGACAAACTTACATTTGGCTGATAGACGCATACTACAATAACGGCGTTTATAATAACCTCCAGGGTCGAAAAACCCATTTCACCATATTTGTCACAAATTACATGCAACTTTTCAGAGTCAGCCCGCCAGCCGGTGGAACCACAAACTGTGACAACATAAATTTTAAATACAAATCGGTTCCAGGGCAAGTCGATCAAAACCCGGATAGTAACCCGCCGTTGATGGACCACGACAAAAGATTGTTCTGGTCTAGAATAGTAGGATACCTTAACAATGTAATTCAGGGTGCAATCAGCGACGTCAACAGTAAGGGAAGCTACTACGCAAATCGAATCGTATATGTCGATGTAGACGCCGAATACGAGAACCACAGATTTTGCGAAGCTGGTGTATCGGAACCGGCATATTTTTTCACCAAATCAGACTTCTACCTCCCGGCATTAATATCCATTCTCAATCCCTTGAAGAACAAAAGGGATCTCAACAATACCGACGGAATAGACAGCGAATACAACATCACCTCCTCCTTACAAAATTTCAAACGTGACACCGAAGTCGCAGGAGAAATCGATGTCCCATCCTGGGTTGACGAAGAACAATTATTAAGGTCTGCGAATAGTATATTAGGATCTCCGAATGCGGCACAGGATATCATCGATGCTGTAGCAAATGCAAACCCGACGTTTAACAAACGAACTATGTACGATGATCTAGTAAGGTTTGCGGTTGGATTGGTAAGAACTGCACACCCGACTCCTGCGGGATTCAAAAGTGCGAAATGGGCCCTTTGTAAGGCTATTTGTGATAGATTTCCAAATACGATGAATTGTCCGAGGAATACTGCGAATTGCGCATAAGCTTAGATAGTTTATGTGAAGAAGGTCGGAGAAAGATTTGATGATGTATCTATCTAGCTATGTTTTCCGGATTTTCTACTTAGTATTTAGCCATGGATTTTATATACAGACTCCTAGAGTAAATGGTCATATAGAATTGAATATGGTTTGAATTCCTGTGGTATCTAACTGCATCTTAATAAGGTATCCAGCCAGAAGGAACCGGGCCGGTTAAGCTCTCCATCTAATATAATACTGGTAGTGGTTACACCGGCCGCCACCATGATCACATCTTCCCCCCACGCATAAATCCATGTACCTGTACCCTTCCCATTGATAAGAGCCTTAATATGATTGCACGATCAATACAAATGCAATCTACAACCGGATTAACTTCCCTCCCTACCAATCCTTGTTTCGTGTCCTACCTTCAATTACTGCCAGTATGGTGAATAGATCAGCCTCGTCGTTATCAACAAAAAAAAACTCCATAATCTCTATCTCACGTAATACAACAGCCCCCCCTAAGGTCCAGCTCGATACTCAAGTAGTTACTCGTATCCACCCACCGCTACACCACATACTCTGAAACTATGCTGTTATCATGCACTTGCATTACTACATTAGTATACTACAGCCTACATTCACGAAAAAAACCACCCTTTTTAAAGCTTTAACAAAGCTTAAAGAAGATTGAGTGGGGTGGAAATCTACGTTGTAGATGGTTTCAGAAACTAAGAATTGCTCTTCCATTCTAAATGATCGTCTATCCCTATCATCCATATCCAACTTGTAGGTTCAAAGTACTAGTGTGGGGGGGTTTGGGTTGCTAATGAATGAAGACGAAACGAATTCAAAAAAAAAGGGAGAATTCCAAAATGAACGTTTACAAAGTCCACTGGTTTGAAGCACCGCTTGCTACGATGAACCTCTTGACTTCCTATTCCGTGTTTTGCTTTTACTAAGGAAGTGATAGAAAAGGGGTCCAGGGGAGATGCGGTTTCGAGAATTCCAGTGAACAGGCCCACGTCTTGTTTTGACGGTGGACTATAAAGTTAAAAAGAAACACAGAAAGCAAAGTCCTCAGCAAAAAGGGAAGGATAAAAAGACACCCGTTAGAGGAATAAAAAGAAAAACCCGACAGTAAAAATAAAAAGTGAGACCGACGATTTAAGAATAGCTCCGTAATGTCCGAATTGAAAAGAAAAACAAAGACGTATTTAATCCCGGGGTATCATATATGGGTCGTTTGTCCAGCGTTTTCGAAAACACAATTTAACGATGCAGGAGAAACCGGAAGAGAGAAAAAGAAGAAACACCAGCCTGGTTGTATTGATGATTGATCGATAGAAGAAGAAAAAAGAGGGATTAGAGAACTAATTTCATTACGATATCATGCGGCTGGCGATTCGCATATTCTCCCGACTCGAGTTTGTAAAGGTCTGATAGAGGAATTGAAGGGATGCAAATAGGTCGTTGTTGTCTCTCAAGGGACGGAGATTATCATGGATTTAGAAACCGTGGATCTAGCGGTTGTTAGATTGTGTTGACAATGGCAATTTCTGATTGGCTGGTAGTTGTCATTGCTTACCTTGATATTGGACTTCTTGATGCCCATAGAATTCATCATCAAGTCAGAGATTTTCTGACGTTGGTCACCCTGGAGCTGGATAATTTCACCAAGCTCTGTATCCTCGACGATGGAGCCGTTGGTGGCTGAGAATTAAAGTTAGTCAAAGAAGTTTTTTTGGGTGGGCCAAGCACGACATTATCTTGGTTGAAGGAAGGAAAGGCTTACCAAATTCTTTCTTGGCAAACTTGAGAACACGTTTAGGATCGATTTCCTTGGGAAGCCCTTGAATGGTTGTTAAAGTCTTACGACCATTACGCTCTGTTCATGTTGTTAGATAGTTGGTCCTATATAGTTCTGGCAAGAAGAGGCTAAGGGGTTTGGAAAAAAAATCTTACGTTGGATACGGATATGGATATAATCCTTTTTGTCGTCCCCACCATCGGTCTCTGCGAAGGGATCAAACGACTTGAGGTTATCGAGGGACATAAACTGCGTTTGTTTCGGGGTAACCCTAAAGAACGGTTCTTGTATTTGACGGAGTGTTGAAGGAAGGTGGGAAAAGTACGGAGGCTGTTGGTGGAGAGGTGTTAGTGGAAAGCGGGATTAATGTATGGGTATATGGAGGATGAGGGAGTATTCGAAGGAAGGTGAAGATTGAAATGATGATAACAATGACGAGAAGGGACTATGAGCGAATATATATATACTAACGGTGGGAGTTCTGGGGGTGGCAAAGGGCAGTGCAAGCGGACGGGGTGAGTAATAACTAGGGCTAGCCAGCTACGGAATAGGTAGGGAGGCAAGGCAAAGTCAGGCGAGACAGAAGAGGGAGGGTGCCCGAAAAAAAGCCCGATTAGATTAACATGAGGATTGCATGAACATGAAAATGGACATGAACGAAGGACAGGCACCACCCGATCAGAGGGGAGTGGGAACGGGAAAGGGAACAGCTCCAGCTCCAGCTCCAGTTTGCCAGGTCATGGATGAGATATGATTGGACAAGACAAGGTTGACAAGCCAGGGGCAGTAAAGCAGTCGCGTGGTACAATATGGATTTAGTGGGAGGGAGAGATCAATAGATAGGTAGTGAGGGACAAGCTGGAACCCACCTTTGTAATCGGATTGCAGAGGACTACGAGCTTTCTGAAGCAGTATAGAAGAAGATGAACGGGACTATTAAGATGTTGGATGGATGGAAAGAGAAGAAAGAAAGCAGCAGCGGGGGGGGCAGCAAATGGAAGAGCGGAGATGTGTCGATGGTGACGTTGAGAGCTGATGGGGAAGAAGAGAAAAAGAAGAAGAGGAAGTGGTGATGATGAAAGAGAGAAAGAGAGAAAGAGGGGCCGAAGCTTATTTATTATTATCGACCAACACAACACCGTCCAACAACCTCCAACCGATTACTATTACCATTACCTGTGCTTGTACTCTCTACAGCCTCTATACATATACCTCGACTCTCGGTACAGCTCTAGCTATTCTACATCTACCTGGTTAAACCCGGTATAAGTATCGAATATGGAATCATTGACCTGATCTGACTTAAACAGGCCGGACTTGGCTCCGGCAAAGCCTAGGGGAAGCTATATATGAAATACTAAGTGAAAGAAGGAACGGGAAAAAGCCCCCCAACCAACCAACCAACTGAATCCGAGGGAATGAGCCTATGAATGACGGTCCTGGTATAGCTGCTTGCTTGCTTGATTGCTTGTTCGTTTGCTTTGTGTGCATACGGAGTACTTCCCTGATGCAATAGTACATTGAGGCGGGTAGGGAAAGTACCCAGCCTTTCGATCGTCCTGCATGGGACTTGAGGCTTCTCTGCAGCCAAGACAGCCGCTTTGGCCTTGTCCAGCCGAAAGGATTATTCCCGCCGTCCAAGCTTGCAAGCTTACCAGCAAAATATACTCATTCTCAATCACATTCTATTCAAGTCGCTTTCTCTTTGATCATTTTTATTTATTTTTTTGTTCTGTTGGCAACTTCTTTGTCCTACATCAGGTACACATGCACAATCAGCGAGTATGAACGCTTCGGAGCGGGCCGAGTAGATTTTGAAGTTAGGGGATAAGTCAGGAAGTCAGGAAGTCAGGAAGTAATTATGATTAATATACAATACACACACACACTCTCTCTCTCTTTCTCTCTCACTCAGTTTTCTAGCTGAGATCGAATCCATCAGCAAAAATTAGAGGTCGACAAGTTCAAGACTAAGCAGGCTGGGGTGCTGGGGCTCCGGTGCCGGTCGGAACTGGCCTTGGGGCACCTGGCATGTACGACTGTATGTACCGCCGTCATCATGATCCAGAAATTAGCCACCCGAACATCAATGTTCCTCATATTTTCTCATTATGTGTCTTCAACCGGATGTTCCCACTTACCACTACAATCGAGATTACTATTTTTGAGATCAATTAGCTTCTTTCTTCCCCACTTTGAATCGTTTTTTGCGAGAAAGAGAGGGAGGGACTAACAGGCAAAGAGGACGCTGAAGAGGGCAGGCTGCTTTCCTGCGGCTTTCTGTGCAGGGGTCTCGGACAGCCAGGTCTGTACGGCGAAGGACATCGAAGCCCTATTATTCAAAATCATTCATTTATAAGCCCACTAGTCCATTCCTAAGTATATCCGTTGGAGGCCGTACCATGCAATCGTTCTGTATCGTCCGGGATCGTTAGATATTCGCATTTATACCGGGGTTTAAATCACATAAAATTATAGTTGATAACGGGACAGCATACCGGTTGCGCAAGAACATCTATGTATAAATTAGAAATAAATATTTGTTAGCACAGGTACATACTATTCAGAGATTAGGTAGTTTGAAGGGAGAGATAAATTGGAAAAGACTTACGGCAGCCATTGGCATTGTCGAGGCCATTGTCGCTGTTTCCAATCCATTCGAGTCAGAGTTCCATACAATCTATTGCTATCCACCCCATACATTCTAGATTTAGGATCTCCACGTACAGCTGATATCCGCCGATGCTATATACACCAATCGTGTCAGTGGTCAATCGATATCAAATGCGACGGAATGAATGTACCTTCGGGAGCGGGTGGTGGAGGTGCCGTGTAGGGCACGACTATACGTGACGTCAAACAGTACAATATCAGTATCCCTTCTTCGTTTTCCTAGATATAATATAATCCAACCAGGTGTACATGTCTACATACTAAGGTCCGGTCGCCTCATATCCTTCTTGTTCGACATTTTGTATGTGATTAATGTATGCGTGAGAGTCGTCGACGTCGTGTGTCTGGATAATGTGTGCTTTGTATGGATGGTAATGAGGGAGATTGATCGAACGATGTTCTTCGAATCTGGCCAGTTTATTCGTATTTCGGTCGGCCCAAACAAACATCCAGACATTTACCGATTTAATTTAGCCTTCTAGTGGTCTTGGTTTGACCCGAACCCCCCACCACTTGCAGCAGCACTTCTACGGTTAGAATTAACATGGTCATTGGATTCAACATGCACGGGAGGGATTCCCTGAAGTCGGCATATCCTGGCGCTGTGACTGGCTGACGGGGGTGTTAAGTTTATGTTAAACAGGCAGGCGAGACCCACCGACCTGACCTGACTTGACTTGACTTGACCTGATGGCGCCGGAATATATTGAAACCCCGTTTCATTAATTTACTTTCGAGATATCTACTATTTCTCCTCAACCTATTCTTCCTCGATACTACAAGATATAGACATCATCATGAGATGCTATATTTCATGATGTCGCTGTCGTGTCGCACGCCTGTCGGACACCCAAGCTGGTATGCGTCGTACCTGTGATTATAAACGCGACAGCTCATGATCACCACCCGCCATCGCCAGCCAGCCAGCCGGTACGAAAGAATGATCCCGGCTTCTCTTTCCTTGGCTTCATTCACTTTATACATATCATATCATATGCATATTACTCTTACTAATATGTCTATAGATCTCATATAGACTTGATTCAAAGACATCATGTCGACCGTCACCAAACCTCGTCAGCAACGTGGTGGCCGTCGCCCCAGCCAGCCTCACACCGGCCCAAATCCGAGTCCCCTCGTAATCCCAGGTCCCCAATCCCAACCTCAATCTCAATCTCATACCTCAACTCCAACATCGTCTGCCCAGTCTGCCCGGGCGCCACATTCCCGGACATCTTCGAAATCTGCCAATGTCATCGATCTCACATCCCCCACTCTTCCGACCCCGATTCGCTCTCGCGGTCGCAGCGGTTCGATCTCAAAGTCCGTCGCTGCCTCTCCAAGTGTCCTACGTTCCGCTGCACAGGAAGCGTTTCCGCCCACCATGCCATCCAAGGGCCAACTGGTCGTTACCAACTCTCGTAAAAAGGCCCGTTATTCTTTCCCGTTCCCTACGACGGCGCAACAGCAACAGAACTCCCAGGCGCCGTTTCTGGTGTCCTTCAATAACTCAGTACCCGTGGAGTTGAAGATGCTTCCTCAGCCGGCTCATAAGAAACCGAAGAGGTCCACCCGTCAGAAAGTCGCTCCCCAGCCGACTACTCAAGCGGCATCGAAGGATAACAAGCTCAAATCTTATATGATCGAACCGCCGTTGGGATGTCATTCGTATCCATTTAGAGATAACTCTGGCAAGGAACTTAAAGATCCAAGTTCGTACTCCCTCTATATGATGATATCTCATTTCTCAGAAGTTTCGAATTTCTTTACTAAAACTATCATTCTATAGAATTCCCCGATTTCTTCCCTTGGAAAGGCACCCACCCCGAAGACCATGTCACCGAATCAGCAGCACGGACCGGTTTCTCCGACAAAATGCACTCTGGCGAACAAAGTTCCGCCAAAGTTCTACTCGCCCCGCTTATAAAAAAAAACGTAGGAGTCGACATTATTTCGTCCATCTTTGTCACAATTCTTGAGAAACGTCAGCACATAGGACGGATAAGCACACCATCTACATTTAAGTTCCCACCTCGTGTCACATTCCCAGGCGCAAAGAAGGAATCATGGTTGAGGGATCTCGCCAACCCGGATATTCCGCTTAGGAGGCTATCAAGAACTATTCCTTTGGGTTTGAGAGGCAAGGAGTTATTGGATGAGTGTACGGCGAAGAACATTCCCTTGTTGAGGGCGCTCTGGTATGTTAGATGTGTCGGTGCAAACGAGCTGAGGAGTTTGAAGAGAAAGGGTGCAGGCTCGTTAGCTGTAGGGAACGAGACAAAGTGGCTGAGAGAGTGGACCCAAGGGGTGGTGCAATACCTCGAGAAAGGTATGGCGGATTGTGGGAAGGATGGGCAATCAAAACCAAGTGGCAAGGCCGAAGCTTCATCATCTTCTTCAGCTTCTGTTGCGAGGTCAACCTGGAAGTTAAGGATGACTTATATGTAAGACGATTATACCCCTCTAAGCTTTTGGATCCTGAGGACTAATGCTATATAGCCTACGCCTAACATCACAATTATATTCGGAAAACCTGCTTGACCGAGGGGCATTCCTGGAATGGTATATCACCCTTCTGGAAACTTGCTCTTTAGACAAATTGCCATTGGCGATGCTTATCCTTCAGATCGAATGGGATCATATTGTCTCGAGCCGTAAGTTTAGCCGAAGACTAGTGGACGCTTTGCTAGGCAAGGTGAACCAGATAATCTCGATTAGAGAACTTGATATCTATAAACCTCTTCTACAAAGGCTTGCGATCCATATCACGGTATGAACCCTTCCATACATCAGCGATGATCGTCTGCTGACTCTACTAGCGCCTACTTCTCAATCACCGACAAGCCTTCATCAATCCTAAAAGTTGGCTGATAAATGAAGCCCCCCTTCGTGCCTGTGTCGACACTAGTAACCCAGTCATCGTCTCCAGCATTAACAACATCGCTTCCCGGAATCGCAATTTAGAACCAGGTAATACCAAATCATCGAATGGATCCACGTCACCTCGTAAAGCTGCCATCGACTTCCTTGATCGCATTCGAGCTCCATATGACATTGAAGATGTCACCACCATGTTCCTGGCTCTATCAAAGGATTACCACCAAACAGTGAAGGTCCTTTGTGAATGGGCAGTCACATCTCTCCGTGTTGGTCTGCATCGCCTTTACTTCGCCGTGCGCCTCCTTCGAAAGGTCTCACGCTTTGGAATCCAAATCCAACCTCCAATCCACGATTTCCTTCTCGCCACCGGCGGTGGAAGACGGTGTAAAAAACACGTGTATCTCCTTATATCGGAACTTGTCAGGTCAAAGCACTTCACAGCTGGCAAATATATGAGTTGGTTGATATCCCGTGGGGCGCTGATGCGCCATGGAAGCATAGATGAAGAACAGCCATGTTATATCCGATTGTTGGCAGAGATTCCGGTAAACCATCAGCACACACCCAGCGCGCAACGGAATCTCAGATCGAATCTTTTATTGCAGAAGGGATTCCTTGTAAATGCTGAAGCGGCGAGTTTGGCGAAAGCAAAGGAGATTGTGATGGATCGGATTCCTGGGATTTTTGTGATAGGCAACGGTAAACTTCCTATGGTTGTGAAAAGCGAGTCTGCTTTCACTTTCGAAGAAATCAAGTTTCTACACGGATTGACAAGGAATGTGATGTCTGAACTCGGTTTCTGGGTTTGTGCAGCTGTTAGAAAACGGCAAGCGCAGAGCACAGCGCCCGATAATCGTGGGGCGAATAGCCTAGGCTGGCGCCCAAGTGTCTCTGAGCTTCCTTCAACAATATCTCCCGGTGAATTCCTACTAGTCCGTAAAGTTCTAGAAGAACTCGAAGACTTTGGTGTCCTAGCGGAAGTGATCAAGCTCGTTTCCAACTCGGAAAACCCTGAAATCCTTTCGGCAGCGGCGGATACTCTATCCTCCAATGTTGATGTATACTTCGCGATCGGTATCGTGGGAGATATACTCAAAGCCCTGTTCGATAGATATAAAGCTTTGCAAGTTAAAAGGACCATGGAACATCGGCCCGTGGAACATTATCTCACTACCTCGCTGTTTAACTTTGCGCAATATCAAGGGTGTGATGGGGATATTAGGCAGAGCTTGGAGAGTGACCTTTTGCTGGGGAAGACACAGGCGATGCTACCACATTCCCTAGGGGATACGCTTGCTGAATTTGGGGAAGGGGAATTGGATGAAGGAGTCGAAGGTCTACTTTCGGGAACGATTCCAGTGCAGCCTGCCGCCGTCACAAAGGCATTTAAGGTGCTCGTCGAAAGAGTCGAGAATGGATTTAGAGGCACAGATATGGCGGTATACAAACGTTTCCCCCGACTACTCGCAAGCCTTCGGCAGCTGGATTCAGCGACCTTTGATCCTCTAATGGAGAATTGGATGACTGACACGATTAAAAACACGAGCCGGCCGAATTTAGCTGTGGCTTTTTCGAATATGCTTGTCGCCGGATGCTTTGAGCTGAAGAGCGTGATTCGAATTACTAGCGAAATTGTGGGGCAAGCTGGTGAAGATAGTGGGAGCATTGAAGCTGCGGATGTTACGGAATTGGCATTCCAAACGCTCGCGCTTTTGTTGGATGACGAGGATGCTAAGTTGGATTTGACTGAGCAGGTACGTTTTAACAAGTTGATGTTGCTAGGAAATCAAATTAACTAACTTGGGTGCTAGGAAATGTATTCACTACGGCTGGAGAGGAAGAGGTTCCGCGCAACGAATGGAAAACTTTTTGTCGGGATCTTTAGGAAAGCAATCAAGCTCTGCGTCGCCGCGGCGGACCCGAATCTTGATAGTCGATTGGAATACAGCATGAACAATGATATCGTGCTAGATCTACTGAGGAACCTGGCCTTCAGTGACTTTGATATTTTGGTTTCAGAGCTTGTTGAGCCTTTGGCTCCGCAGTCAAATCCATTGATTTCGAAGCATTTAAGTTTGTTGATTGATCATCTATTAGATGAGCATGATAGTAGCGGTGAGTTTTATTACAAGTCTACTCGTTAAAATGCGATACTGATGGGAAGTAGATATATCTGAGGTCGATGCGGACGTCCAAGTCACACGGCTGCTACAGCATGTCAACGACTTTAGCGTTCGGCTCTGCCAACTCAAGATGCGGTTAATCTTTGAGGCAGAAATCTCGCATGCGTCCGATACCGCCGAATCTGCGAATCTCCGAAATGCAGTGACAAAAGCGTTTGTTAGCTCGATCACAGAAATGGACAGCGATAGAGGCGCCATCTGGGCCGACTTGGTTTCTGTTCTCGACGACACATGTGTTTCACAGATCAGAGTGTACACCGAAGAAATGATCTTGAATGCTCCTGGATTTCCAAATGCAGCTGGTTCGTTTATTGCCGTTGATGAAGGGAGCACAGATGAAGAAGGGATCAAACGGGCTGGCGAAATGTTGGCAAGAAGTTTAATATCTGCCATTGATGTCACTGCCGGGCGAAATACTGGAGGCGGGGATATGGGTACTTGGTTGCCGCCAATTTTGGCGGATAAGATGAATGTTGTGCTGCAGGCTTTGAGTGGGGCCGGAGGGGAAGTGACCATTCAGAGTGATGGGGTGGTTACTGGGGGTAAAGAGACGATTGGGAAGGTTTACAAGAGGTTGAGGAGTTGGTGAGTGTTCTAATCTTTCCCCTTCTTACGCAAAGGGGGTTTGATATGAATTTTGGCTAACGTTGTGAACTACGTAGGGTAATATTGTTTTTGAGGATTGTGGCACTACATAAAGCGGAATTCGGTTCGCCCAAGACCAGTGTTGTCGAACAAGGCCGAATGGTCATTGGGCTTTGTGCGCTATTGGAAAATAGATGCGTACAGAACGATGATTTTATGTCAGAGTTTGCATTGGATGTTGCTTGTGCTATCATTGATGGTGAGAATTTTCCTTTCTCCTGTATAGTTTATCGGAGAGTGATGCTAACCTTTTGTGGGTCAGATATGAACGAAGAATCACGTCAACATATCCGCCGCTTTCTCAAACGGAGATATGACTTACCACAGATTGGATACATGTTAGGAGGGATTGAAGCATTGAGTATGGGCCCTACTGGGGGGGTAGCGGGGAATGTGGGAGCTACTTCTGAGTGGTTGAAGGGGATGTCAAGAGGGCGACTGGTGGAGTATTCGTTGAAGCCGTGGGAGCAGGTTAGCGATCCGACACCTGTGGCCGGGGATAATGATACCAGTTTGAGCATGACATTGTTTCATGCGAGGAAATTAGGGTGCGTGTGCTCGGGGTGAAGGCACCGGTCTTGAATTATTTTTTATTTCTTTATAGAGGAGGGTATGAGATATTTTGGAATTCTCTTTAGTTTTGATTCTTTTGATATCATGACAGCGATTTAATCTTGGATTTTTTTTTTGGATTTTCATCATGTTGCAATCGGCGTTCCTACCTGAAAGCGGTTTATGAGTATGATTCAACTGCATTGGGGATTGATTTCATATGGGAGTCCTGTGATCTATTATTCCTATCTGTATTTATATATACTCTCGATTCGCATTGCGTGTTATCCAGGAGGAATTAACAATCATGGTCGGTTTTATATGCGACTGTTAGCCGAAAACGATATCAGGCCATCCCGGCTCGCCAACTTCAATTCAATTCAACTTCCTTCAATCCTACAACTACAATTACCTTCAATTCAAACAATCTGCGCACAAACCAACCCCGCACCACAATGTCGGCGATACTCTCGCCCCGCCGCCTCCTCCTCCGCCTCCCCTCCAAAGCCAGCTCTACAATATGTCCCAGCTGCACCCGTCGAATAACCTCCTTCTTCCCATCCCACAAACCCAAAGGACCCTCCTCCTTCCAACTGACCCTCCGTCGAACCTACTCCCAACAACAACGACAGCAGCAATACCAACAACCGGGCGACAACCCCAACTTCTCCTCAGTCCTCGACCAACCGGCCCGTCTGGTCCGTACAAACCGTCGTCACCGACCACTAGGCCTCATAATCCTCGCGTTAATCCCCTTAACCGCATTCGCATTGGGCACCTGGCAGATCCAACGATTAAACTGGAAAACCTCGTTAATAGCACGAAGTGAAGATCGACTCTCTCGACCACCGTTACCTTTACCGCCGGTATTAGACGTAACAGCCCTACCGGATTTTGATTATAGAAGAGTAGCGACTAGAGGAAAGTTTTTGCATGATAAAGAGATATTATTGGGTCCTAGGTTGTATGATGGGGAGAATGGGTATATTGTTATTACACCGTTGGATAGGTCTTTAGATCATGCGAGTACGATTTTGGTAAATAGAGGGTGGATTTCGAAGGGGCTTGCGGATAAGAGGAAACGGTGGAGGGTTGGTGGGGAGAGGGCTTTACCGTCTGGTGAGGTGCTTGTGGAAGGATTGTTGAGGGAACCTCCTAAGAAGAATAGTTTTACACCGGATAATAAACCGGAGGAAGGGAAATGGTATTTTCCGGATGTTAAGGAGATGGCGGGGTGGACGGGTGCTCAGGAGGTTATGGTTGAGGAGACTATGGGTAATTATACCTATATAATTCTTTACATTTTTTTAATATCTTTGGTGGAGGGTTAGAAGGCTGATAAATGGATTGTATAGATCATACGATTCTGGCGATAATGGACAGACAGTCTAAGGGTGTTCCTATTGGAAGGGTGCCGGAGGTTAATCTCAGGAATAATCATTTCCAGTATATTGTTACTTGGTGAGTACCATCTACAGCCCCCGTCCACCCCCCTCCCCGTTGCATATCTTGCAATAGAGCGAAAATATAATACACAAGGAACATGGCCGCTATCAAAATCGCTGTGAGAGAAAGAGAAAGGGAAACAAGGGAAACGACACCATTACGCCACTCCGCGCTACAAAAAAAACGCCAGAAAATATATACCTACTAATACTAACAATAATCCACAAAAAGGTACTCCCTCGGCATCGCAACTTCGATAATGTTCTACCTCGTTATCCGACGGCCTCCGAGAGATATAACTAAGAAAGTCCGTCTTCAAAAGGATTGGGCTTAAATTCCCCATATCCTTTCCCTTCAAAAGGAGCGGTGGGTTTATAATCCCTTAAGGGAAGAATGGTAGAACTGGCTGCTTCCCCTCTTACTCTTCCTCAATCATCTCATCAGCCATACTATCATCAACCCCTCTTCTTCTCCTCTGTTTCGGCAGATTCTTTTGAGGAACTTGGATTTTAATATCCTGTAATAGTTCTCTCGGTAAATATTGGTTTGCAAGTGAGAAAACCGTCGTTTTATCGTTCAAAAGGCGGTGTCTGTATATATGCCCCCCCAAAAAAACTGTATATTAGCCAATTTATCCAAAGTATATACCCCATTCACTAACGTGTAGGGAGTTTGAACATACCGTCTCAAAACCTGCAAGACATCACCTTCTTCCACCGTCTTCCTCTTCGCATGTTTTGCGAAACTACCTAAATCTTCACCTAGATTTTCGAAGTACGCTTCTGAAGCAGAAGCGATCATTGCTAATGCTTCTTTGGAGATCTTCTGTTTACTAGTTCGGGCGATTATGGATTTTATTACTTTGGTTGATAGCGAAGGGTATGGGATTCCATGAACTGATAATGGAAGTTCCTTTCTGCTCCGACGTTTCCCGGTTGCGTTGGGTCGGGCAGTTGTTCTTAGGCCAATATTGTCGTCTGGCTGGAATGGTGGGGGGCCGTCGTCATCGTCTTCATCATCATCGTCATCAAAGTCGGAGCCTATAAACACTGGTTCCATATCATCGTCGGGTCGAGGTGGCGGCGGCGAAGAAATTTCATTTGTGATTTCGGGTAAGTCTTCTGTCTCTTCTCCGTTTCCAATAGGCTCCGAGGGTGGCGATATTTCAACTTGTTCCAATCGGAAATCAGTTTCGTCGTCTGGAATTCCCATTCCCTGCGCATTGAAGAGGCCTGATACATCTTCTTCAGGCGCATTGAGGTCGATGGTATGGTCCCTATATATTTTTCAAATCAATTAGCTTCCCATCCTTCTTCTCCTGTAAGTTTGCGATAGTATAGAGGTATACATACGCAAAACTCAACCCTTCCATCCCATCCCCTTCAACCGCAAAACTCTCCCCTTCGAAAACTTCAACAATATGTTCCCCTCCAGCTTCCTGTATAATACTGTCATCCATAACCACATCTCCAAAATCTGCAAATCGATCCGCCATATTCGGTAAAAAGCTAAACCGTCGATCATTCTCTCCAACAGCCCGTCTCGCAACTTCGAACCTCGGCGTTTCAATTCCTCCGGACTTCAGATCGTCGTCATCACCACTATCTCTTAGAGGTGTGGATAATTGTGGTGGTGGGCTTATTTCCACGTCATCATCCTCCTCCGCTTCGTGGTTGTCCCTTATTGTAAGTCGTTTACCAATGAGTCTTAAGGAGACGTTAGAAAGTCTAGGAGGACGAATTGGATCGACTTCTTCGTCTGAGGAAACGGCGTTTAGGTCACGGTTGAGTCGGATGCCTTCAAGGGTTCGTCGGCGTTCGGAGACGGCTTTCGGGGTTATTGCTTTTGGCGTGGGGATGAACGGTTTACTCTTAGGTGCCGTTACTATGGTCTATTGTCAATACACATCCAATTGATAACTCTGACTAGAACAAAAGAGAGAAAGAGATGGATAGAGAGTATAGTACTTTTGCTAAACTGCTTTAGCGCCTGGAATATATCATCATCCTCAGCTGCAAACCTCGAATTCCGACGTTTCCCCTGGTTTTTATGAGGTGTGGGACGATTCGAGTAGCCACGAATGGCGTGTGGAGTGGTTAATCTCCGACGGACAGAGGTATTGGGTACTGATGAAGCGATACGGCTAAAAGAAGGAGTTACTGGTTCGACAGTTGAAGCTCTTGGGGTGATTGAGACGTGGAGGTGACGGGAGGTTGTAGTGGGTGTTGGTTGGGTTTGTGGCTGGTTTATATGGGATATAAAGCATTAGTTACTTGGTTCATATAAAGTTTAATTTGAAAAATAAAAAATAAAAAATAAAAATAAAAATAAAAATAAGGGTAACTAACACCGTCGATATCGTCTGAATCCAAATTTCTTAAAGGAGAGGTCATTGGTCGTAGTGGTTCAATTAGTGGCGATACATCTCTACTCAGCATATGCATATCCTTGGGCGACGAAACTTGGGGAGTTGATGGTAAAGGCGTGGGACCCCGCGATGGGGGTTTATTATTTGTTGGAGGTGTTCGACGAAGTGCATTTTTGGGAGCGAAGATATTGTAGTTATCCGGGTCAGACATGGTTCCCCCTTTCGTCCAAGTTGGCTAAGTAGATGGTTTATCGAAGGAATGGTGGTGATGATGGTGATGATGTTGAAAGTGATGTTGGAATCCCATAGCAGTAGCAGCTTGGCTGTCGCGAATTGGCGGACTGGTTTGGGCGCGTTTGTTTGGGTGCCGCACTGGCTGGACCTTGCATTAGATCAAGACAAGACATGCATGACAAGCCTGTGCGGCAGAAATTAACCCATTCAAACTTTTTTCAACATCTTCTTCTTGTTCGTTCAAGTTTCAAGCTTTCAAAATTTCCGAAAAATAAAGAAAGATGGACGACGACTACGATTCCGGCGAGGATATCATCGCCACATCAAATGGTGCTATAACGACTACAAACGAATTATCTCGTCGTAAAAGGAAGCGCGCAAAACGAGAGGCTGTACAGCTAGAAGAAAGTCGGGTGGAAGTTCCTGCGAAGAAATTACGAACATCACCGGATGCAGGGTCTGCGCCGACAAAGGGATCTAATAAACCGACAAAGTCGAAGGGAAATAACGGAGGAAAACAAGATGCGAAAGGGAAAGGAAAGGGGAATGGGAAAGGAAAACCTATGGCGAAAGATGGTGGGAAGGAAGATGCATCTAGCATCGACGACTCGATAGTTATGATGGATCCCAAGATCATGGCGGATTTTGTCGCCCAGAGGATACAGAAGTTCAATAAGGACCTATCGACAGTTGAGCTAGGAGATCGCATTCCATCAGGTATGTATTCCCGCCGTAAAAAAAATACTCCAATTACTCCGTATTATGTACATGTACAATTTCCTAACCATGATGCCGGGTGGTTATATATACAGAAAGCATTTATATCGACACAACAGCTCACACCGCTGAAAGATCACTCCAGAACCTCTGCGAATACATGGAGAAGTGTAGGTTCCCTCAAACACCATTCCTCTGATAAGAATATCATCCACTAACAATTGCGCAGTCTGTACTAAGAAAGGCCAATCCTCAATATCCCACCTCAAATCCTCTCCAAAAGCTGCCGGCTCTCCTCATACAATCTTCATATGCCCCGCTGCCCTCCGTGCCGCCGATGTCGTTCGCATCATGAGAAAATACCAAACAACAGACTCTCAAATCGCCAAATTCTTTGCGAAGCACGTCAAACTCTCCGAACACATCGAGTATGCGAAAAAGACGAGAATAGGTATTGCCGTGGGGACACCTGCTCGACTTGTCGATCTGATCAAGGATGGCGCGCTGCAGATAAAGTATGTGCAGAGGGTGGTGCTGGATGTTAGCTATTTGGATGCGAAGAAGAGGGGTTTGTGGGATATCAAGGAAGTTCAGGATAAACTTGTAGAGTTGCTGGCAGTTGAGGGTGTAAGAAGGAGGCTAGAAGGCGGTGGTGAGGAGGACTCGAGAGGGTTGATGTTTTATTAGATGGTGTAATTTTTTGTAACAATATTTCGTGAAAGAAAGGACACAGGAAACCGATCACCAGACACGATCTCCCCGGTGCTTGTTGTGTTCCCAGTCGAGATATTCCTCTTTGCCGTCAACCACAGTGGCGTCCACGGAGTCAGGTGGTGGTGTATTTGTCGCCCAAATCGCATGGATCGCAATCTTGAAAGGTCCCTCGACTCTGTCTGTAACGCCGAGTCCTATTGTTCGAATCTTCTCCACCAACATGCCTGGCTGTTCTAGCAGGATACCACCGTACATAGTTTTGACGAATGCACCGTTCTTGAGCACCACAGTCTCCCATTCTCCCGGCTTTCGTGTAAATAATCTGTGCTGGTATAAATCTCTTTCTTCGTATGTATCGGCTTGCATATTAACCATATACGTCCTCCCATCAGACTTAACTCTCAATGCAATATATTCGTAGAACCCCAAATCATACGTCCTAGCTCCAAATAATGTTTTAGGCAGATGCATCGTCCTAAAGGCTGCGAATCCCGAAACCTCAACATCGGGTCTATGTTTCTGGTTTGGCAGTTGTTTTGAGATACCACCATGGAAAATGCCGTATACGGTTGGAGTCTTTGGTTTGTATTCTTCATAATCTGGGTTTGACATCGATATGGGCTTTTCCGGGATCGCGGAGACGAATTTTTCCTCGGAAACAATCGCGAAGTCGGCTTTGCTGTAGCCGCCGTCGATGGCATCGGACATCACGTCGATACGTTCACGGGTTAAGTGGTCTTCGGCATTGAAGAAATAAAGGTCTTCGAAGTCAGGACTCAGATATCCGCCGGAGAGGACTATATATGTCAATTAGTATGCTAGATGTCTACATCATTGGGGTATAGTGGGGGTGGGGTACTTTTCTTGGTTTCGAATTTCATATATTCGAGAGACCGGCGCATGATGCCGGCATTCTTGGAGAACTGCTGAAGGCGAGGAAGGGTGCGGTAAAACATTGTGACGGCAGCAATGGACTTCTCTCGCGATGTCGATGTCGAAGTTGAATCCGAAAGAGTGGAGTCGGAGATAGTTTTAATTGGTGTAGTTCGATGTTCCACAAAAACTGGACCTCAGACGCAACACGGCAAATTCCGGCCAGCCAAGATACTTCCAACATGTAACACATTCATCAATTACTCCATTTCCATTTGCTTATCTACGTCCGTCCTCAGATGTCGATACATACACAGATCTAGACTAATTGCGATTAGACTCTCACATGGACGAAAGCCATCATGTTAAAGAACTGGTCGCATGACCATACGGCGCCCCATTGACTCCGGTTCGGCACCGCAGGCGGCCCAAAGCCGTTTATCAAGAACCCCCACTCGGGCGCCGAAGCCGAAGAACTTTACATGATAATTACGTCCCGTGTTCCCGGGTTTCCCAACCCGCCTCCCGAGCTCCCTGATAGGCTGGGCTTCCTGGATTCTCAAAATGAGGGTGTATGAAGTGTGGGATAACAGGAAGCTAGCGAGGACCGCATGACATTACATTACATTACAATTTCGACAATTTCCCTGTTTCGATGAGATAATCGCCTATGTTTTACCTTTCTGTGAGACATGAAGCTGGGAAGAAAAAAAAAACTTTGCGCACTAAGTACCAGTAGAAATGCATGTTGCTTTGATACACATTCCAACAGATTGGATAATTCGAGGGGCCTTCCTTTTCAGCTCCTCTGTATAAAGTTCGCGCGATTCCCCTCCCTTTCGAACAGGCGAGAAGTTTACCGTTTATTCTTCTTTATCAAACTCAGCGCCGTAGCTGGATTGTATCTTTCTTCTTCGCCCTCGTCTTCTTTTTCAATAGCTATTGTACTAGTGATAATTCAATAATCATTCATACTGATCATGGGTCAACCGTCGGCCCCGGCATCTAATGCCATCATTTACCTCACTTATGGATTATTCCTGTAAGACCTCTTTAGCCTTAGTTTTTCTTCTTTCCCCTGCCTGCTTGCCATGTGCTAACATGCATAACCTAGTGTGATGGGTCTAGCCTTCGCGTGGAAGTTCAGGAACCAATCCAAAGAGCAGTTTTTGTCGTCGAATAGGACGCAGCGAGGTTTGAAATTTTGCGATTCCACAAACTTGCCTCCACAAATTTTGTGAATTCTGATAGAGATCCTAATGTGATATTTCTAAACTAGCTATACCGCTCGCGTTAAACTTTATCGCAAGCGGTGAGTAATCAAATACCGATCGAAGATATCCAACTTTTCAGCAAAGAAAAAGAAAGCGGGAACGGGTCTTTCCTCTCCGAAAATGCAACATTTTCAACGCGCAAGTGGACTTGGTTGAGGGCCTCGCCGGTGGCTCCTCTTTTGGTCGATCGAATTTTCGCCAATGGATTTCAGAAGTGGTATATTCTGGATACAGAAAGCTATTCAAGTGACTATCTTGAGGTTTGTAGAACTAAAAAAGAACTTGAAGTTTCCATCGGATGGGTTCGTAGTGGAAAATATTTCCGATGAACTATTGTGTGATTCGTGATCTATCTATCTGCTACTTACCCCTCCTTTGTGGCTACACTGCGGGTGCTTAGAACTCTTTTTTCTGTTTATATTCTCACAAATTGAGATATGGCGGAATTAAGGAGATTTCAAAGCTGAGACTTTACCGTAATAACTCGATCAAGTTAATACTTGCGTGAGGAACGTGTGACCGCTTCCCCCCCTTTAATCCCTTTTGATTTCCTTTCAAAAGACGATAGGCACTGATTTATTCCCTTCAATTTTTGGGTACTTCTAGGTCTCGGTTCTGGTATTCTATTCACATATCCCGATATTGGCGCCTTCGCTGGTATTCAGGGTCTCCTCGTCTACGCCCTCGCCTCAGCGACACCAATCATTCTATTCGCCCTTTTGACCCCCATTATCCGTCGTCGAACACCAAACGGGTTTTTACTCACAGAATGGACGCGCGATCGTTTCGGCGCTCCGGCTGCGCTATACCTATCCCTCCTCACCATGATAACTATGTTTTTGTATATGGTTGCCGAACTCTCTGCCGTCAACTCCGTTATCAATCTTTTGACTGGATTGAACGGCCTCCCTGCATTGATCGTTGAAGTGGTAGTTACTACTATCTATACTTCGCTTGGCGGGTTTCGAGTTTCGTTTGTTACAGATAATATCCAAGGTGCATTGGTGCTTTGTTTGATTATCATCTGCACCATTTCAATTGGTACAAAATCCCATATCGATACTTCACTTATCGAGCCATCGGGCCTTACACGTGCGACTTTATTGGGTTGGAAGTTACTTTATATCCTCCCTGTTGCCATTTCTACGAACTTCATGTTCTTGTCACCATTCTGGATGCGATCTTTCGCTTCTCGAACTGATAAGGATTTGTATATCGGCTCAGCGATCGCTGGTGTATGGATATTTGTCATTCTCACTGTCACTGGTTTCACAGGTATCATAGCCGTGTGGGCTCATGGTGTTGATAAGTGGGGCCCAGTATCCGAATGGTCTTCTGTCGCATTCTTTTATTTGATCGCAGAACTTCCAGCTTGGGTTGTTGGATTGGTCTTATTGATGGTGGTGGCATTGAGCACCGCTATCTTTGATAGTTTACAATCGGCACTTATCTCCACAGCGTCGAATGATTTATTCAGGAATAAACTTCCTTTGACATACATCCGTGTTGGAGTGGCAATACTTACTATTCCTGTCATAGTGGTGGCTATCAAAGCTGACGCTAGTGTGTTACAAATCTTTTTGATTTCGGATATTGTCAGTGCTGCTGCCATTCCCGCTTTATTACTGGGATTGGTGGATTCTTTGTACTTCTTGAGTGGGTTGGATGTTATTATTGCGGGGTGTGGAGGAATCTTGTCGGTTTTCATATTCGGAACGATTTATTATGGAAGCGCGAAGGCTGGTGGCGAGTTGATTGCCATGAAGACTTTGTATGTTGACGATTGGGGTGTCTTTGGTGCTTATGTCGCCGCACCGGTTGGAGGATTGTTGTTCTTGTTTGGAAGTTGTGCGATCAGGTTGGCAGGATTGTGGGTCTTTGCGAAGGTTAAGGGTAGGAGGTTTGATGGATTGGATAAGCCGGTTAAGAAGGTTCAGGTTGAGCGCGAGGTGGAAGGGGAAGGGGAAGGGGATAATGGAGTCTCCAGGATTTATGATGGAAGTGATGGAGGCAAGGATGTGAGGGCATAAATCTGGAGCTCTGCATACGGACTCGGGATGTACCTGCTTAATACTTAAGTTCCTTGGTACTTTGAAGGAGTATTTTGAAGAGGAAGAGAAGGAAAATAGTGTAATGGAGGAAGAGAAGAGGGAGAGAAGTAATGGTTGGAGGATAACAGATTGACAATACAAATGAATTCCACTCTTATAGCCCACACTATTTTGTGCCAAACGGTTGCAGATGAATATATACTAGTCCCGGTGTGCTTGTCCTGGGTGTAAATGTCCGAATATGTGCAAATGTAGTATACAGAAAGGTTGTATGTATGTACAGTATCATACCTCTGGCACCGTCTGGTCTCGTAACCAGATGTCAAAGAGGGGTTAGATGGATGGTTATCGGCTCCACCTTCCACCGCTACCGCTTACAGTTGAATCTCCTGTTTGAGGCGGTAAGCCATGTGCCCTTATCTCGTCCACTATATCATCGTTAGCATGTCAGCGCCCCGAGAACATCTAAATGATTGAAGAGTAGTATATAGATACGTACTTCCACTCTCCGTTACAGTCCCCCAAACCACCCAGGGACTCTCAGGAACACCCTCTCTCCTCCTTTTCGACAGAACTATATACTCCACCGTCTTCGTCGGTTCCCCGGTACCTTTCACAACTTTTCCATCGACACCTTTGATCAAAGCCTGTGTAGAATCGATCCTAACCACCACTTGCCTAATACTGTTCTCGTCCCCTTTTCCTTGTCCTAGCATACCGACTTTATGGCTCATAATTCTCGATCTTGAGTTATAACCCGAGAACTTCCATGAGAATTGGACGTTTGCCGGACGAGATGTTATGCGGTTTCGGAAGGTATTATAGAGATCTCGGCCGCAGATGCGAGAGAGGGCGTCCACATCGCCACGGGCGAAGGCAGTGTACATATTTCGGTGAAGTGCTTCGGCGGAGGGGATTATGTCTTTACGAATGAGCGGGTCGGAGTGCCAGATTCGAGCGAGGTAGCGACTATAATGGATATGCGGACGTTTATTAGTATAAAGGTGGTAGTGATAGTTATGGAACGAGGCAGAAACGTACGAGACGAGATCTTGGGCCTTTATTTTTGTGCGAACCCATTCGAACTGTATTCTGTTTTTGGTATCCGTGAATATCGACGGGCGGCTGAAGAATGGAGGGGTGATGAAGGTGCCTGCGGGTATATGATATATCAGTATACATGGATATCAACCACAACCACCAGCAACCACCACTACATCTATATGACTAAGATGTAGATATAGATCCCACCGAGTCTTTTGACGTCCGTATTGGTGCAAGAGAAGTAAATCATACTCGGTAATAGCAGCTCGGCGACTTCCTCTATCATTCCTGACTGGTTTGTCCTCATAGACGCCGTGGGTGTCTCCAGCTTGTCCATGCGAGCTATCGACCTATTCAGCTGTCGATTCTGTCGCTCCATATCTGTGATTGACCTAGTCTGAGGCCTGAGGATAAGGAGGCATGCCGGGCGCGTGGATATGATACCGATGGTGGGGCGGTGGGAGAGGATGCGGCCTGCAGCGGCACCGAATGGCGGGAGGGAAGCCATGCCGCACTAATTGAGTCCCGACATGGCAATTAGCAACTTCAATTGACTATGATATGATAATAGGTCAGTACGTACCTGTTCTGAGGGTGTTAACGTCGTCGTCACCGTCGACGGCGCATATGCATGGTATTCTTGGTAAGGTAAGGTGTTTTAGCGTTGGCGTGGTAAATTTTGCAGCATACAAAAGCAAAGAGAAGGGAAGGAAGCTTGGGCCAAGTCTTTCGGTCGGGCTTTCCGTCGACCTGCCACTTCGGCCTGCGGAGAAGCTCCCGCCTTTACATGAGTCCTGACTTACCTTCTTGGTACTTAGCTGGTTCTTGCTGCTGCTGCTTTATTTATATTCCGGGCCGGGTGCTTTGAGGTATAAATACGGGGCGATAAGACACGGGGATATTTGCATTCGACTTCACCATCATATCGATTTGGACAGATAATATACTACCTAGCCACAATACTATCTCGAGCTTCGACGTCGACAACAATATCTCGAATCATAAGCTCTCAAGATAGGCGTCTAGGGCGACTGCGAAGTCCAAACGGTTAAAGCTCTGGCGACCCGCTTAGCTCCTCTGCCGCTCGGGGAGCTTCAGTCTCCGGAAGACGCTGCGGCTGCGGCTGCAGCGGTAGCCAGCGATGGGCTAGACAGTGGTGATGAGAAGGGCGATGTCAGACTACATCCCAGGATTGCTGTTGCGTAAGCTTTTATTTCAGTTTCTTATATATACATACAAGATTGATTATCATTTGCTAACGGGGCATACTTTTTTGCAGTCTGGGAGTCGACCGTCGATACCACAAATGGCTGATGCTAGCCCGAGCGGGGTCCACGCTACCATGTGCTTTGGGCTTTGTCAAGTGCGTCTACGCCGGCTGGGAGGAATGGGAGGGCCGAGGTCTTCGAGTTCGTAGTGCTGTAGAATTCAGTACCACTATGAAGGAGATCTTACTGGCTGCTGCTTGGGTATTACTACCTCTTTACTCTTCTACCAGTATAGTCACGTTGGGGAAGGAACAAGATTGATGGATTGTGGATATATAGATATTAGGAGCAGGCTACCAGTGCTTTCGGTTTACTGACAGCCTGATGACAAGATGGTGAGCTAGCTGTCTTTTTCCTCCCATAGCCCTGATTGATTTGGTCTAACGAATTGGTTGTATCAGGCTCGTCAATTATACGCCATTAGGTTGGTTATATCACTTTCTACGACGATTACCTACTTAAGTAGTAACTTGTATAAACTAATTATGAATATGCAGCGACGCTTGTACGATTGATTAGCATCACAGGCATCATTGCCTATTTTATTTCTGGAGCGCATTACTGTCTAGGCGTTAAGAGTGATGCAAGAATGCTGTTGCCTGCTTGGATTATAATATATTGCGTACGTCCTCCACCCCTCCACCCCTCCACCCCTCCTCCACCTATTCTTATATATGTGCCTAGTGCTAACAACGAGGTATGCATTGTATCTTAGACAATCGGGATCGGATTTCATATCGTGAGGATGCGCATTAGCGAGTATAGAGAGGTATCGACGAGCATCACGGTGTTTACGGGATTGAGCTTTGCGACAATGATGATTTTGCTGCAGGATTCGCATGAGAAGAGGGACACGCCACCGTGGAGGGAGTGGGGTAATTGGTTCGGGGAGTTAGTGATGGTCTGGTGGGATCGAGTGAAAGTCCAGGAGAGGGACCTCTGATCATATAAGATCAATATTGACTGGATCACCGTTGATCCAGAATGATATTTATATGAGCCTCGTGCACATGGCCTCAAGACTACACCGGGCCTACAAATATGATATCGAGAACTAGCCTGGGCGTGGCTTTCGTATTTCGCGCCTGCCTAGCTAGGCACTTGCTTATAGCAGCAGCTATATACTGATTATACTAGATATATAGATAATTGTAAGTACAGTGCATGCATACTAGACTGCAGCCAAGCTAGGAAGTAAGTACCAGCAAAGTACTTGCTAATATTCTATCCATAAACGAAATCAAATTTCAAAGAAACTAAATTGAAAAAAGAGCCGCCTATCTTGACGTATACGCGTAACCACATTATGCTCCGCCCCCTCTTCTGACTAGCTAAGGCTTTGCATTGAAGTTGTGAATTTTTTATGTTTTTATGGGATGGGATTGCGTAACGGCGTCAGCTTAGCCGACCCGACTGGATTAACCAATATTAACTCCACAGTGCACATCTGGGGCCGTACTATCACCACTTCCTGCAACTGCACTGCACTGCACTGCAACTGCACTGTCACATCCCATCTCTCTCTTTCTTAAGATTATATCCCCACCACCATCCCTGCAGACCGGTTCTCTCCCCTTTTACACTACATAACCCCCGATATCCTGAACATCCGACCACTTTTCCGGTTCTCTTCGACTCGATCTTATCCTTTCTTATTTCCCTTGCTCGAAGAGGGGGACAGGTACTCGTTACTTCTACTCCAAAAATACCCCGTCGCAACACCACCTTCTCGGTTGCATCTACCACATCATGGCGTACACCGGACCATCACGAAATGTCGACCTGTCGAAGTATGTCTAGGAATCTCGCTAGTTGGTTTCGGGAGATGTTAAGAGATAGTTATCGGATTCGAGTTTGCTGATGGATGAATGAATAAATTACAGGACAGAGTCGGAGCTTACTGTCAACATCAGGAAAGCTACAAGCATTGGTATGTACATCTACATCTACTAGTACTACCCTCCCCTTGCTTCGCCCGGATGTCAGCTGCTAACGCCTATTTTATTGTGATAACAGAGGAAACTGCTCCAAAGCGTATGTTACACTCCTCTTGGAGCTGTATTTGCAGCATCATCCGTCCGGCTCCGATTCTAATTACACTGTCGTACATCGTATAGGGAAACATGTGCGCAGCTGTATTGTCTACACATGGGACCACAAGTCGTCGCAGTCGTTCTGGGCGGGCATGAAAGTGTATGGTTCCTCTTGTTTAAGCTATCGGCTGCCCTCGGTGGACTCGATGTCTCTTTTCTAACCGATCGTTCATCCTCTAATAGACAACCTATCCTCGCCGATGAGATTCAGACCTTCAAAGCCCTCCAGTGCATACACAAAGTCCTACAGGAGGGTGCTCCCGTAACCCTCAAGGAAGCGCAACAGCACACACAATGGATCGAGAGTCTTACCCGTGGCGTGAGTGGGGAAGGACTCAGGGGTATGCTACCAACTCACCAGTTCTCTACAATGGACTATTTTTCGGTTTTAACGATTGTAAATTAAACTAGGATACGGACCGCTTATTCGCGAATACGTTTATTTCCTTCTGAAGAAGCTTCAATTTCACCGACACCACCCGGAGTTTAATGGCACCTTCGAGTATGAGGAGTACATCAGCTTGAAGACTATCAACGATCCAAATGAAGGTTACGAGACCATCTCCGATTTGGCGACCCTCCAGGACCAGATCGATACCTTCCAAAAGCTCATCTTTGCGCACTTCCGACCTGGAACCAACAATGAGTGCAGAATATCCGCCCTAGTACCTCTCGTCCATGAGAGTTATGGAATTTACAAGTTCCTTACTAGCATGCTGCGCGCTATGCATCAGAGTATGATTTATCTGACCTTGAAGCAGAAATGTAATGTAGTTACTAACACTAGGAAACGCAGCTCTCGGTGACGATGAGGCCCTTGAACCCCTACGAAAGCGATACACTTCCCAGCATTACCGTCTCGTCAAGTTCTACTACGAATGCTCCAACCTCCGATACCTCACTAGTCTTATCACTGTCCCGAAACTTCCCCAAGACCCTCCGAATCTCCAATCCGAGGACGACAAACCGCCAGCATTGCCAGCTCGGCCCGCCAATGAAACCCCAAAGCCACGATCTCCGTCTCCACCTCCACCGCCCGCAAAGTCCGCAGAACCGCAGCCTATCAACGATTTCTGGTCGACTCAGGAGGCACAGAATCAGCTACAGCAGCAGCAGCAGAGGCAATACGAGGAGGAACAGCGAAGGCTACAAGAACAGCTGGAGGCCGAAAGACTACGACAGCAGCAACTTCAATACGCCCAGCAACAAGAGTTCGAACGTCAACAAGCTCAACAAGCCGAAGCCCAGCGTCTCGCCCAGGAACAACTTCTTAGGGATCAGTATGAACGTCAGGTCCAGGGCAAACTCGGAGAGATGGAGCGAGATCTTCTCAACATGCGCGGTCAGTACGAGCGGGACCAACTTCTCCTCGAACAGTACGACAGGAAGGTCAAGGCGCTCGAAATCGAGCTACAGAATGTTGCGATCAATGCCCAGCAGGCTGCCGCGTCGAAGGATGATCTTATCAAGTCATTACAAGAGCAGGTAGCACTATGGAAGAGCAAGTACGATTCCCTCGCCAAGCTCTACTCACAACTTCGAACCGAACACTTGGATCTTTTGCAGAAATACAAGGCTATGCAGTTGAAGGCATCTTCGGCACAGGAGGCAATCGATAAGCGAGAGAAGTTGGAAAGGGAGATGAAGACGAAGAATTTAGAATTGGCGGACATGATTCGAGAGAGGGACCGTGCACTATTTGATTTGGATAGATCGAAGGGCGGAAACAAGGATGAACTTGAGAAATTGCAGAGAGAATTGAGGATGGCGATCGATAGAGCTGATGGGGCGGAGAAGAGCAAGGGATCGGAGTTCTCAGTACTCATCAACAAGCATACAAGGGAGGTTGATGACCTGAATAGGGTTTTGAGAGATAAGCAGAGACAGCTCGATGAGTTATCAGCGAGGACGAAGGACGGAGATAGTGATCTTCAAAGGCTGCTGCGCGACAAGGAGGACGAGATTGATGTCATGCAGGAGGCTATGGATCAGTTGATTCGTGAGATGAAAGAGCTTCAAGATGTAAGTTTTTCCTTTTCTCGATTTTGCGAGAGAATTGGCCGCTAACTGGAATAGGCCGCTGGAGAACGAGACCTTGCGACTGGTAATCAAATCGACAATGTTTTGTTGGATCATATTGGCAAGCTCAACGGTCTTATCGACTCCGTCTTGCAGAGCGGTGTTAAACGTGTGGATGATGCCTTGTACGAATTGGAATCGCCAATGCAGGCTGGTAACCAGAATGCCACTGCGGCGTATCTGCTTTCTCAGCTTGAGAAGGCCGGACTCAGTGCCACGGAATTTGCCACCTCGTTCAACAACTTCATTGCAGACGGGCCAAATGGCGACCATTCGGCAATCATCAAGACCGTCAGTGTTCTCGCTTCCGCTATCTCTGATACTCTCGTCAATGCGAAGGGTATCACACGTCTTGCTCCGGATGAGAAGAAAGCAGATGCTATCATCAATGCCGCTCGGCTATCCGCGAATGCCACCGCCAAATTCTTCAACAACCTAATGTCCTTCCGAATCATCGACTATGATGACGAAGCGAAGATTGGAATTGTGGTTGCTGGAAATCACGACGTTCACCAGAACCTCCAGAAACTCTCCAAGCTTACCGAAGCATTTGCACCTAAGGGCGGCAGTCTTGCTAATCAATCCGGAAACCTTGAAGATATTGTCGACCGGGAACTTGGAGCCGCAGCCGCAGCTATCGAGGCTGCAGCTGCACGATTGAGCAAGATGGCTAACCGAAATCGAGACTACGATACCTTTGAGCTTGAGATCCATGATTCGATTTTGAACTCCGCGGTCGCCATTACTACTGCTATCACGGCTTTGATCAAAGCTGCTACGGACTCACAGAGAGAAATTGTAGCTCAAGGAAAAGGAGGCGGTTCCCGAACTGCTTTTTACAAGAGGAATAACAGGTGGACGGAAGGTTTGATTTCTGCGGCTAAGGCAGTAGCTACTTCGACGAATTTGTTGATTGAAACTGCGGACGGTGTTATCGTTGGAAGGAATAAACTCGAGCAGCTGTTAGTTTTCCATTTGTTCTCTCTAGTTTTTCGGGACAAGAGCTAACCTTTTGTGATTTTAGTATCGTTGCTTGTAATGATGTCACTGCTTCCACCGCGCAGCTTGTAGCCGCATCTCGTGTCAAGGCGACTTTTATGTCTAAGACACAAGATCGATTGGAGGGAGCCTCGAAGGCTGTTAACTCAGCTTGCAGGTCGCTGGTTAAGCAGGTCCAGGATATTATCAAGGCAAAGGCGAGCGCTGAGAATGATGTTGATTATACCAAGTTGACTTCGCACGAGTTCAAGGTCCAGGAGATGGAGAAGCAGGTATGTGAATTATTTAATATTTACATCGAGTTCATATGGGGTATTTTGCTAACTCAGGCGACTTTCGCGGTATAGGTTGAAATATTGGAACTTACCAATGCATTGGAGAGGGCTAGAAAGGATTTGGGAGAGATGAGGAAGCATTCTTACAGGGAGGAGTAAAGTCTTGGAGAGATTTTGAACCTTTCACCATTTGTTTATTTTCTTATTTTCTTTTCTTTGGAAATTATTAACTACTTTTGCTTGCTTAGCTATTTCTACCAAACCAGCATGCCAGTGTATTGGTTCCTTTCTTCTCCTTCTCGTTTATCTTTACTTGTGTTTGTTTGGAGGCACCTGCATCTTTCCCTGTTCAATACTGTTGGATATCAAAAATTCATACCTCTGATTTGATACTTCTTAATTTCATTTCCACCGGACAGCCATGGCTGTTCTTTTAATTAACCCCATATCAGATGGTTGTGAAGCTATCTTGATATATTGATCCATATTTGCATGGAAGTGACTAACAATCCCGAAAGTCATTATATAAGCGCCTAGGTATGATCAATTGTGCACTTAAGTTTTTGAGAGTATACGCGCGCAGTCGATCCTCCATTTCTGCTTACACTTCCTTTTCCTGTTTTTTGTTCCAATCATTCAATCATGTCGGTATCGTGATCTATTAATTGATATTTCAGTAGTGTTCTTGTATAAATTTGAATCTCCACCCAAGTTCTATATATAGTTATTATTTTCGAGAATCATGCACATTAACGTGGCTGCACCGGTGACACTTAGGATCAAAACATCGGCTAGCTGATCGTTTAGTGGGGTGTAATGTTGTTCATCCCGGAAGTAAGTTGGCAGCTTGGAATATATATAGATGTTAATCATTTGAGGGCCGTGTGGGGAGCGTTTTCTGTATTGAACATAGGCTGACTGGCCTAATTCCATCTTTTTAATTATCCAATTCATTGGCTAGCTTACTGCCAAAGTACTTTTAGTGGACATTTCTTGTTCCTCTTCTATGGTATTCATTGAATTGATTCTCCTAATTTAAATAATTTTAGATGCTTTGTATATAGTAGTTTAGATACTCGTGGAGTCCTATACGTGGGTATATGATCGTATGGAATTTGATATAGGATTATAATTATATGTATTATATTATTCTAGTTCTTAACTTTTTGCACAGTATATGTCCTCTTCAAGTTCATATTCCTTGGTAGAGGCCTGGTATCTATATTAAGATATTACGACTTGCATAGCCGGTTTGTCGTATGTATTTGTGACGCAGAACCGATTTGATATATACCTATTTAGTTTTATATATAGTGTGTATAGGGGATCTGAAGCTGAAAAATGATCCCCGATGTAAGAAGGGATATTTATTCTATATAAGTACTCCATGGTTTCATTTGGGATTTTGAGATTCGGTTTGTAGGAATGATTATTTAGGTCCCCGACATCGACGTTCGTCTACTCCTTTTTGTTGTAGTACACTGATAATGTATTGAACTACAATATATAAGCTAGGAACAGAATATGGATATGCAGATCATATATTAGATATTCATTGTATTGGGAAATTATCCGTTTCGGTGGCTGATGGTCTGCAGTGGTGTATTATGCGTATTGTTGTATATTGTTATAAGAGCCGGCCTTTAATATAATGGCGTCGTTGTAGGGTTCTTCGTCAGGACCGCAGTTCCTTTCGTATCATATCGTTCGTCCGGGGATACTGTAGTCTGCATTGACCTTTGTTTCCTGCTCCCCCGCTGGAAACTAATGTAGCTTCTGGTGGAGTTTCTTGCGGGACAAGCATACACCATCTATGTCTGGTTCAAAAGTTTGAACGAGAGTCTGCAGTGTCTGGTCGGTTCAGACGTGCCACCAAAAGTGATCATATATGATACTATCAAAACCTGCACAGAAGAATTCTACAAAACCAGCGCCGCATTGATCAATTCTACTCCAAATAAATTTATTTTAGCATCAATAGAATCCTCAGAAGCTAGCGCATCTTTCAAGCTATTTTTCAGCGGCTCCGCAGATTGCGAAAAAACCATTCTTTCACCCAAAAATGTCACGTGGATCAGCATGTATGTTGTATTTTGTAGATATATATCGTGTTGTGTAACCGGTGTCGAACATTTGAACTTGTCAAAAACTTATAGATGTTTCGGAGCTCTTCGAAATTTTTTGATTTCTGGTACATTGTCCCATCGCTCTTTTTTTGAGCTCATGGTCTATGCAAACCATTTCCCGTCCTTCTGGCTATAAAATTTGAGCCCCGTTCGGGCATCAGATTTGCTCCAATAGTGACTTGGATGAAAGCACCCCCGTCGGCTTTCTGTAATTAATTAGTTAACTAGCTGTTACCTTTTAAACCATAGTATTGCAAACAAGCGAGACCAATATGCCCCATATATAGGAGTTACACCCTCCGTAGGTATATTGTATAAAATTAGGGGCTGAAGAGTTTTTACGATCACCAGCGGCATGATTTGGCCATGTCAAAGGATACTCGGATATGCATATGCAACAAGTCCACGATTCCCACTACTTCGTTCGGCGTGTTTGTACGTATTTATACTTCCATCAGGGCTTGTTCAGTCCACTTGAAAAACGAGAGCTTTTGGCTATGGATATCTCATCTTCGGTTGCCATGGTTTGTATATATAATTTTTTTTCGTGGATTTTGCATGGTTGGTGGACCATTGGTTGTACTGGTTTTTTGCAATGGTTCTGAAGTAGAGTAGTATGATCATCAGCGGGCTTATAGTTCCAATCCGATTTTGATCATCTAAGACTAAGCCCCAGTCCTTTCTTCTAAGCTATTCTAGTCGCATGTGGAGGGAACACGCACAGTGCAAAGGATGTTTGTGTGTGACTTTAGAAGATATTATGGTTATTCGTATTTAGCCGCTGTATGATATTGAAAATATCCATAATATAAAAGTTTCGCTGGTGGTGAGCTAGAAATCAATCCGAGCATGGAAGTGATTAATCGATTTCTTTTAACGTAGCGTCGATAAAATCCTGAATGTGACGAGGGGCTTCTGCCTCAAGGGAGCTGTGATGCATAATCATGTTCCAACTTTGAATTCGAATAGGTATAGGTGTATATTTCTTTCTGATGGCTCTGGTGCCATCTGTCCGTCATGAGGTGTCCTTCACAGGGATCGGTTTTAGCAGCTTCGTAGATTCCCTTTGAAAGCTTTTTGAAGTCTCCTTAGCGTGCCACGCCAACCGAAATGCCTATAAATGCTGTCGACGAAAGGAAAATTAATCTGCCATAGAATATTCTGTCTCGAAAAGTGTTCTGCTGCACATTTTTTTGAATTCAAGACGGCGTAGCCAAAGCAGATATTGACGTCGAACCGTATCCCATCGCCTGATATGCTCTCTTGTTGTCTAGGGGTATAGAGTTTACTCGATTCATTGGTATTGATCTCCAGGAACCGAGGTTCATGTGTTCGAAGCTTACTAGGAGATATTGATACCTCAGATGTGATCTCGAATCTATGCGTATGTTTCGAAGGTCGTTCAAAGGATGTTGTATTTCGTAGGAGCTCTACGCATTTTTCTTTCTCTTCCTCGTTGCGGGGGGTAAGATGTCAATATTTTCGAGACGTGGAGCCTTAGTTCTTGATTAATTAGGACTTTCGGACATTCAGGCTGGTACGTTCTCGACGGAGACTTCTGATATTGATATCCACTCTCAGTTAAATCTCAACTGTGAACATGGAAGCACGGGTTGAACACCAGAGTAGCTGGATTCATTAGTCTGAAGATGGGATTTGACTCATACCCAGTTTGCTTTATTCATTATCTTCTATTATCCATACCCTCTATTTAAATTACGGGAGATATTAGAATAATGACGTTGCATTAATATAAGGGAGCCTTTAACTGACCGCTCAAATCCGGTGGGTCGACTAGACATCATTAACCCCTTAGTAACCCATAAAATGCATACTTTGAAGAATACATATTTTGGATCCCCTTTTTTGTAGCAACAAGCCCTTAGGTGGTGGGCTTATATGTTATATAAAGGTTTTCATTCAGCGGCTTTTTGGGGCCGACATCACCAAACCAGAGGCAGCTGATGAAGTCACAAGGCTGAAAAATTGGTGAATTTAATCTTCAGGGTACATATAAGAGACTTTAGATAAGTAAGGCGTCTATAGCGAGAACTAAGGGCTTGAGGACTTCGAACACATCATATCGAACTCGCAGCTATATATAGTGGGCATAGGTGGGTATAATTCCATAGTCTTTATAGGATGAAAGGATATGATATGACGTGTGAGGCGTCTGATAAATCCAGAAGTTGGTTTTATCCGCCGTGATAATATCTCGTTGCTGTTTAATTCCACGCTCGAGGTCCTGCTTTGAGAAAGCAAGTAACGGCACTGGAGTACTAGTGCCAGAGTAGGCCTTGTTCCATGCGCATGCTTGGTCTAATGAGAAGTGGGTACCTAGGTAGGTAACTGAGATGTCGAAGTTGGTAATGTTTTTATACTCTCGAGGCTAGTAGTGTTAGAGAGTGAAGAGTGAAGAGAGGGGGGGAGAAGGCATATGGGAGGCAGAGGGGGGTTTATATACCCGCGTTCGACTACCTTCGACTCACTTTGTGGAAGTCAAATCATAGCCAGCAAGAGTTTTCTCAGCGTTTCTAGAACAATGTCGAATACTACTCACGGAAGATATGTATCCCTTTAAGCCCCTAATAAGCTACTGATAGTAGGGACTCTTTGGGGTTCAGATTGCTTAGCTTAGGCGGTCGTCTAGAAAACGTCCGACAGAGTTGATGATGAGCTCAAAGATGCCACACTAATCAATTCTAGCCAACAGGACCCTACATCCACAAGTAGTCCCATCCCTCCTACAACATGGGAGTTCTTCACGTGAATCAAGGGACGTCGACCAGAAGTGCGCAGTGTAAAACTCTTGAATGAGTAAGGATAAGTCTATCGGTTATCATAACAGGAACATTGAAAATCCAAACCACTTAGCTAAGATCGATGAAACAATGGACATGGCAAACATAACAGGCTGACAAGACTCGATTCCATAAAAAGACAAACAGACCCTATTCCCATATTCCCAGGTAACATGAAAACCCAGCCCCACATAAATGCTGCATTTTGCTACCACCCGCAAGATTAAGCTTTCCTCACCGAAGCAACAAGTAATGATGGAGAGGAGTGGAGAAGGAGAAACGACCCGAGGACACCATACGAATGCGACAGGGAGAGAGAAGCAACAACATAAAACAGGGGGAGGTTGCAACCACTGCTTAGGCAAGCGGCCAATTAGAAATATTATTAAAACCCGTTCATGGAGGTGGCTAGAAACATGCGTATTAAAGTAGCCGGTAACGAGGGTAAAATCGGACAAAGAAAATAGGCACTTAAAGGGCTCTGTACGGTGACCCATGCATGTTGTATCCTTATCTCTAAATTGCTTTAGCGCGACTGTTTCTACAGCCTAGTGCCCTTAAACTCATAGCTGAGAAAGTTCCTCTGTAGGGTCGTCTAAGCCCATATTCTTGTATTCGTGATCACAAGCGTAGAGGTTGATATGATAGTCCCCACTCGTCGCACACGCCAACATCATCCTATGAGGGTGGAACGTGAGGATCGAGATTGGAGATGAACCTTTCTGGTGAAGGAAAGTAGAATAAGGCTTGACAGATGAGAGGTGCGTGCCGCTTGTGTTCCAGAGTTTGATTTCATGATTAAGACCTCCGCTGTGATAATTGTTAGAATCAATAATTTTAAGAGTGGGGGGTTACTAGGCAGCAGAAAAACTTACGTAGCAAAGACAGGCGCATGTTCATGTACAGCCAAACTCCTCATGCCGCTCTTGTGCGCCATGACTTCTAGAACTGCGTTTGGATTCCGAATATCCCAAAGCTTAACGTCGCCGTTGGTGCTACCGGTGACAAGTTCTCTCAGGCCACCACGTTGCATGTGTACTTTCGTTATCCATGCTTTGTGTTCTTTCCATGCCATTACCATGGCGTCACGAGGTTCGAGCCGGCGGTCGTATACTCTCACAGCACCATCGCCAAAGCCAGCTACAAAAATATTGCCAGCGACTTGGTCGGAGGTGAGTGAAGTTATGCAACTGCCGGACCTTGCGGGGATATCCTGTAGGCAAACTTCTCTCGGTGCATCCCACACCCGGATGACTTTCATATCACCACCAACAAGCAATGCCCCACGTCCTTGCTGCCACTCGGCGACTAAACCGGAACTTCGGTTTGACGGTAGAAGATCCGTCAATGCCCTCCAAGCCGATACAAGTTCTATATTTCGGTCGTCTTCGTAGTTTTTGTAAATTCGCACAACACCGTCTCCACTCCCAGTTAATAGAAGAGCCACATCATCCTCATTGAGGAACTTAACATCCGTAATACGGGTGCCGGAGGGATTTCCGTTGCTGAATTGGTTAAGTCTGTATCCCTTACTCCAATCCCAAACTCTATCCCCAATGTTAGACATCGCTCGTGAGAGAATAAGGAGTGGTACTTACGAAACCGTGTCCTTGTCATCAACGGATATCATGTGATCCTCAAACTGATGGAGCAGGAGTCTAATCGGCTGGCCGCCGTTGTTTAGCAGCCCAATTTGCGAATCCCATTTCCCGATCGCTGCCCTCTCCTTCTGTGGCTGTGTCCGCGAGATGATATTTTCATTCCGGTTACGCCTCCAGAGCCGTTGATTATAATCCAAACTTCCGGGCTCGTCCGCTTCCGTTGGCTTCATTTGCGGTTCTCGGAAGTACTAAGATATGGAGTTAGCTTACATCTAAATCGTTTTGAATAGTCATTCCCAATCCTACCTCTACACTCCACTCGAAGAAAGTACTGGTGAGTGGAATCGTTGGTGGCTCCTCATCAGTTCTAGCGATGAAGTTCTTCGGTGTAGGTTGCTTCTTCTTGAAATATCCCCCAAATATCCCCCCATCCCCTGCCCTCTCTCCTGGCAGCCTCTTATCGCCAGGGACCTGTCGTCCATTCGGCATAAGTTTGTTGGGTACCTTGTCCATAGGAGTGAGGTCACCCCCACCTAGAGCAAGGTTTTTCAACGACGTTGCGATACTGAAAGTTCTCTTAAATGTACTTGAAAAGTATCCATCAGCCGCCGATATGTTTGGTGAAACCGGTGCTGATTTGCTGGCTTTTAGCTCTGCCTGAGCGAGAGATAGTTCCCTCGGAACACGGATTCTTAGCCGGGAGATCTCGTCGATAATTTCTTGCGCCGGGTCACCGAGCGGTGAAAGTAGCAGAGCACGATGGATATAATCCACAATGACAGTTGCGTTTTCTGCTACTTCGATGTAAGGATCAGCGGACAGCATCATTGCCGTAATCCAAACGCTCGAGTATATTGTCTTTTCCGAGATGCCATCTATTCTATCCCGAAGGCTGGTATGACCTTTCATGTGGGCAAGCTCTCCTCGTAGAAACTCAAATGCAGCAACAAGGAACTTGCTTTCGTATCTCTTGATGTAGACCGAAAGGAAGACTGCGAGCTCCTTTCTCACCATGCTGCTACCATCTCCAGTAATGTGAATAGCGGCAGCGGCCATCTCAGCCTCGTAAGCAGCAATCTTTCCGGATTCATTGTCTGGAGTGCCAATCAAGGTAGAAATTGCATACAGGGCTGCTGTCCGAACTTCCGGAACAGGGTCCACAAGCATCGCGCAAAGTTTTAAGTGGGCGTCTTCTTTGTAGCCTAGCCACTTAGCTTCTGGATATTCATGCCAGAGTTGCGAAATACATAGGCAAGCCCATTGTCTCAAGAGCGGGTTTTCCGGTTCATTGAAATGTGCAAGGCATGACTGTAGAACCCCGGGATTAATGCAGACGACTTGACCTTGGTGGAAACCCTTGCAGAAGATACTGAGAATGAATGCACACATTGCCCGATGTTCGGAAGCATTTTGAATGGGAATACCGGAGTTTGGGGTCAGGATTTGTGTAAAGTAACTGTATCCGTTATCCTTCAACAAGTCAATTTGGCATGAGGGATCTACTGCTAGCAGCCTAGCCCAGATGAATACCATGACCGGTTTAAGTTCTGCAGCAGCAGACTGCAAAAGCTTGAGAACGTATGGGAAGATTCCAATACTCAGAGCCAAATTAACCGCCCATGGCCCAAGGTCTAAGAACTTTGACAGAAGGATTAAAGCCCGCAATCGGTGAACCTGACTCAGCAAAACTTGCAAAACTATTGGAAGTTGATCTGGAGGTCTTCGATTCGCAGTTCCTTGAGTGAGGTAGACTTCGAAAGCCGTCAGTTGCTCGGAAAAGAAAGACGAGTGCTGGTATTCAAATGCCGGGCCGCTTTCCTGTGCCTTCAGTAATTGAGGAAGTTGAGACAAAACGCTCTCCACCGCTAAATCCCATGACTGCCATAGTGGATGATGATGGGTGCTAGGCAATGCGGGACAGGAAACAGGGTGACACTTGTACACTCTCATGATCCGCTGCGCAAGAAGGAAGTTTCTAAACAAAGCCGCGACCATCAGGTCTTGCCGGAATAGTTTTTTGAAAAGCGGTCGTGGGAGGGTATTCCAGGCGATAGTATCAGTAATCGCGGTAAAGATCCAATTCAATTCTCCCAGGGGGGTTCTTCTTTCCTGAAGCCGTCCTGGTATCTTCAGGGCCATCTCAAGAGTAACCGGTGATGGCAGCGGGTTTTGAAGAACGTAGAACCGAATTGCTATTTCGATTGGGGTTGTCAGGCAGCAGGTGAAAAGATCAGCTGGGAGGTCGGGATTCATCGGCAAAGTTTCTTTAGGCCCACAAGCCGCCAATTGTATGCAGTCAGAATAAGAAACGGTCGAGCCCGGCTCCTTAGACGGGTTGTCGCGATTCTCCTGCTCATGCTTTTCAACAAATCTGTTAAAATTGGCGACGATGTTTCCAGCATCACTACAGTCGTATACAAACAAACTAGGCGCACCAAGCCAACTTTGTAGATCGTATAACGATATGGGGATGTATTGTGTATAGTTCTTATTAAAAACCCAAATCTCCCCGCTACTCGTCGGCTTTGGTACGCCGTGGCCGTTATAGTGGAAAAGTATGCGCTCGTCCTTGGCGTTCCTACGTAAGGAGCAGCAAAACTTCTTCGTTTCTTCGACAGAAGGGTCCAAATACTGTTTGTACCGTGTCCGGATACTCAAAGTTTCATATTGGGATTGGAGGTTCTTGCCAATCATCTCTAACGCCTTGGGGCTTGGGTGGGAACCCGTGTCCACCCAGCATTCAAGTTTAGCGCATGGGTTCGTTTTGACGACATCTAAGTTAGGTCTATTAGCAGGTCCACCACTAAAAATGAGAACGCAGTATCTAACCTGGTGGGTCGACGCCTATGTTCAAGCACAGTACCAGAGCAGCGGAAACTGTCTTAAGTCTATCCTTCATCCTCCATTCCTGTACAAATGCTGCATCCGTGTATCTCGGTTTGCCTCCTGTATCATGCCGTTTATCGTTGTAGTACATGTAGAAGGCTTGTTCGAGCAATGCGAGGTATTCCTCGGAGTTGTATTGCTCCGCGAATCCATGCCTCACCGCGAGGTGGTCGCCCGGTAGAGCAGGTTCCTCCCAGCTGCCTCCCAGGTCTGGGGAACGATCCAAAGGCTCGATATCCGGCACCTCTCGCTCGAACATTATCGAGGGTCTAGCTCCCCTTCCGAGGGTTCCATTTCGTAGAGTACCATTTCGTCCGTTCGGCATTACGCTAACTGATTTTCGTTTTGAGAGTTGTTGGTTGGGGGCCCCCTCGCCATCGGAATCACCACTGTTGTCGGATGTCGAGTTCGAGGTAGAAGTACTATCCTTCGAAGGAGCGGTGAGAGCTAACGGCGCCATACTTTTCCGTCGTATAGATCCTGCATCAGGTCCATTCCTCCGAATTTCGCTCATTCTACGAGTTGCAGGATCCTCATAATGACCATTTGTCAGCCGGCCGTTTCCGTTAACGTTGCCGTTGCCGTTTAAATGGTATTGACTCGAATGTCTTCGCTCCGAAGCGGCCGGTGTCGAGCCATTTGGTCGCTGGAGGGCAGTCATCGCGGACGGCGTGGTGTGTAGACAAATAAAACAGGAGCAGACGACGCTACTCCCGAACTTTCAGGTTTAATAAATATAATTAAGTGTTTGATAGAGTTTTGAGGTCGTGACGATTTTCGGCCAGGGAGACGGAAAAGCCTAATAGCGCCAGGACATGATGGTCCAAATGATCAGGTTTCGCTTAGCCGCGTAGCAGCTACCTGGCTGGGTTACAGTTGTCTGCTGGTTGCACTTTGGTGCAGATTCCGGTGACGGTCGATCGAATCTAGAGCAGAAAGGTGCGCAGAAGTGTCGCAAAGGCAATCTTGAAATACTATAGCGGTTACCGACGGAATGTGATGGCAGGAAGAGTAGTCGGGAGTTTGAAGAATTTGAGCGATGGGATGGTGACGAGGTTGTTTCTGAAGTCTTGTTTTAGGACGAAGAAGAAGAGAATGTGTGGCTGAAAAGGAGCTCGCGTACCAACGTGCGGCTCCCTCCGACCACAGATGATGACCTGGACAGTCTACGCTGATATCCAGACCAGTCTATAATCCCAGCACGGCCAAGGCCAAGGACAGCCAGTCCTGCCGAACCCTGACTAATTCGGTTTTTATATCGCTCTTAGTGAATTAACTTAGAGATTATTTAGAGGCCGATGACGATGGCTCTATGGCCACCGGTGTTCTGCCGTCACACTGCGTAGAAAGGTGTATACATGTATACCACCTCTATCTATTAAATAGCTCTTGGCCACGATCAGACTGTCTCTGCATAGGCTATTTTGTACGCCCATGTGATTGCATTTAAACATTGGTGCAACAGCCAACCCTGGCAGTCGGATTAACCACCGTCCGGAAGAGGAATCCTTTGAGTGGAAACGGGAAAGTTTTAAAAAGCATGTACACATTGTTTTTTTTTTACATTTGATATCCAAAGCATATACACAGTTGATTAAAAAAGACAGCTATTTCGCCCTCAAACCTCATTTGGCAGATGACTAGGACACTGTGATATAGTACTGTGCTGAATCCGTCGAGTTCACGAATCAAAAGAACAATTGGTTCACAGGTTTTGTCAAGTCATATCTGGCCCCATCTATACAGACTCAAATCACCAAACTCCCGCCGTATATATTGAGAGGTCTACCAGTCCTCCTTGCCAAATTTGTTGAACTTGTCATGAAGATGCTATACCACGGTTAGCATTAATCCTTCTATGCCACTCTCGCAATCCTTAGAGTCTCTCTCACCTTCGGCAGGGTAACTTCCGGGATGATAACAGAGTGCAACGCCGACGGCGCCTCCTTTGGCTCCTTGCTCGGGTCTCCGTGAGGGTGGTACTTGTACTTGTACTTGGCGTTCGGGTCATCGGAGTGCCATGGCATAGACTCTCGGGGGTGGGCGACAGCTTCGTGAGAACTAGCAGTAGTGGGCTTGCTGACTATATGAGTTCGGAAGTGATATTAGACTCTGTAGGCCCCATTATAGACAATTGAACAGATATCCATCCGTACCAAAGTAGTATCCAGCAGCACCGAGAATACCGGTCATAATGGCGCCCAAAACCTACAATTCGTCCCGCATTAGCCGTTGGACCTCGGTCATTAGTCCTCCAAAAGTCCCCTCACATATAATTCTGGATCCCTCTTAGCACCCTGCTTGAGGACAGCAGATCCCGCTTTCGAAGCCATTGTTTCGGTGTGTAGGTCGTCAAATACAACGATCGGGTTTTGGGGGTTTTCGAAGGTCAATTGTTGGAAAGAGTTGAAGTCGAGGTTACTTTGGGTGGCCTGACAAGAAGAGCATTCGATGATGAAACATTCCCGACGCCAAGACAGGCGTCATATATCCAACAGCCAACACATACCGGACCTGAGGATATCGATCCAACGACCTTGTGAACATTACTAATCCGGATGGGTGATATCATATCATGGCATCACAAGTGCAAGAGAAAGAGCCGCAACCGGCATATCTCGCTTCCCCAGGCTCAATTCTTCATGCGGACAAGAAATTCTACTCAGCCGTTTCAGCAGCTCCGCGTACCCTGAAATCCAAGGTCACTATTCCACCCCGCTGCGCCAAAGCGTTCCATGTCCCCGCAACCCACATTGTACGCTTTTCTACGCCATCAGGTCCGCAAGTAGGGGATCTAAATATTTGGAACGCACATAATTCGCAAGAAAGGTTTTGGGCGTCCAGAACTCGGCAATTACAAGCAAGTCATGTAACTACGTACGATAGGCTGTGGAGTTGCTTGCCGCATCTGCGGCCCATGGTGACGATAATTGGCGATTCTTTAAGCGACTTTGGAGTTTCAAAGTGGGGCGGGAGGTGTCATGACTTGCTTGGTGAGCTTACTTTTGAATTACCATCTCTTTCTCGCGAGGACTCCTTTTTCCGCAATTCTGTTTCATCAAGAACAAGCTCTAACTTATGGGTGTTTTTAGGAACTCGCTGCGATCCCTATGTAAATAAAATGCTTACAGGTGATGACTATGACTTTCAATGCCACTCCAACCTAGTCAGATCAGTCCTACCATTCGGACTAGCGTAAGCCTCAAACTCAATACTCTTAACATGGCCAATCTTAATTAAACTGTCAATAGAGAGTCGGACGTCCACGATGTCCTCAATATTTTTCAAGTAACAGGCCTAAATAGCCAAGGAAAATACTTCATGGAAGCGTCGCCTGCCAGACCCGGGGACTATATCGAGTTTTTCGCGGAACAAGATTTACTCATGGCACTGAGTACTTGTCCCGGTGGTGACTTGTCAAGGTGGGGGTGGGGCGAAGGAAGTGCTGGAGATGAAGCAGATGAGAAGCAGAGCATGTGGGATTGTTGTAGAGAAATCAAAGTAGAAGTATTTGAAATTGATAAAGAGGCAAAGGATGTTTTAAAAGATTGGAAGGAGCCGAGAAAGCCCGGTTATAAAGGAATGCACGGTATGAATGTGCCAGGAGGCGAGCTCATGACTTCAATTAAGATGTGGACAGCCGACAATAGTGTGGAGGTTGGCCAGGCTTGAGATCTTGACGCTTTAAATTAAGTTGGTATATGCAGCTGAGTGCCAATACACCACATATGATATTTGCCATCGCAAATTCGTAAAATTAAAGGCTGTTTATTTTAAAGGGCTTGGCTTCGCTGCCTTCTCTTTTTTTCGATCGATGTACTTTTGACACGCCTTTACGGCCACATTTTCCACCATACCGGACCACCACTCCTTACTACCATACTTCCACAATTCCTCTATAACAAGAACCAACTTTAACGCTTCCAGGAAGGAATTGGAACCGCCAATATACCAAGGACCACCCACAATCTAAAACCAAGCTAGTTAGCGAAAGATCTAATTCAAACACTCCAGTACTATCTTACGTAGTTACCGCCGTTGTCCTCGTATACTAAGTTCAATTCCCATCTATGGCCAATCACGACGATCGCTGGAACGCAATGTAGGAGCTCCCTGTCTGCACCCAGCGCTCTTGCTTTTTCCAATATAGCAACGGCCCCCATGCCGGCATGCATTTGGTCTTCTTGCCAGTTCCCCAATTGGCATGTTGCTTTAATAGCGGCAAATGCGGGACAATATCTTGAATCTGGATCCCAAAGCGGACTCAGGGTGAAATCCCCTAGGACTTGTTCCTCTAAAGACTCTTCAACCTTTAGTTTGTGCAGCGGTGACTGTGGATAAGAAAAATTCGCCTCAAGCATGAAGTTGACTTCAATATCAAGCACATCATCAAGGTAGGCTGCCTCAAAATAGCAATCCTCTCCACTGTTGGTAATGTGAGTAGCCTTGTGATAGTTGAGGTTAGGGAAGGGATAAGTCCTTACGTGTCCATGTACATCCTCTTGACTTGGAGTTTACGAATGGGTTTCTCGAAAAGCTGCTTCGTCACTACCCCGTTTAGAATACAATTGACAAGTTCGTTCCACGGCTGTTCATCGGCGTTGAGTATAAGCAAATCCGTGCTCATCTGAACAATTCGTTTAACTTGTAGCAGGAGCGCCTTGGTATTATCCTCGATAGTCTTTGCCTTTGTAAATATCGCATTTGGCAAATACACATCCGGATACTCTTTTTCCAAATCATCCTGAATGATATAGCTTATTAGCTTTTAGCTCCGAACAGAGCACCTAGCCTATTATACCTTTATACAACCCGGAAGACATTTTTGTATTAGATTGTCAGGGCTAGTTCGTTTCAAAAATTCTTTGACGCCGGTAGGCAGGGGGCCTTTGATAGTTTGGTTGAGGTGTGAAAATAGTATAGGTGGATTAGAATGACGAAGTTGAAGGCGGGATTCTGCAAAACCCGCCCACTTTTCTGTTCCAAAAGATTCAAGATCGGAGGAATCTAGTTCTGATTTTTTATCGTTGAGGCTCGAATTCGAACTCGCATCATCCTTTCCGGGAGATATCCCGCGTATCGTACTCGGGCTACTACCAGCATCACTCCGGTCTAATTCGAAATCCGCCAAATGTTTTTTTGCCTTTTTTATATCTTCCGCAAGAAAAGGACGGTGAATTGACTGTGGTATATTTGGTTGAAAAGGAAACTTTCCAGCTTTCTGTACTTTTTGGAATTCCGGTATGTCTATGGTCGGCGGTAAATCGGACAGCTTAGGCAGGAGTGCTCTCTTTTCGGGCGGTAGGATTTCCGCCAGCCACCGGATAACCTCAGGGGTAGCTTGAAGGGTTAAATTCTCCTTGTGCTTTTCATTTTGCTGTTTATATCGTTTTGTTGGAATGGTTGGAGGAAGAGGAAAGCTGCCCGGGGTCGAACTAGACGTGGACAAAGATCGTTTACGCGTAGCTATAACCATCATCAATCGCCTCGCACAACAATCAAGAGTTCCTACTAGGTAATTAGTCCAGAGCCTAGGTCTGTGGGCTCCCAGATTCAATGGAGGACAAGCGATCGGGACCAAGTACCCTCCAAGAATCGTAAACTCTGGCTGGGACTAGCTGGCTGGGTACTTTGTATTTACCCTCTTACGCGTTGAGTTGGTGGTTGCTGTTCTGTTACACAAGATCGACAAACGACGATTGACAAGGTCACCAAAGACGCTACCTGATAGGGCAGTTTCTGGGTTGTCATTCAATTGACCTGACAGCAAGAACGATTTCAAGAGCTGGAATGTTGTTTTAGAACCATGATATTACATCTGAAATTAAAATTTCAGATTCTTTAAGTTATCTAATATCAATTGAAACTAGCCCCCGATACTGTAAATCAAGACCCTTGGGTTTGGGTTTGGTTGGCCTGTAGAGCCCCAATTCCCTCCAGTCTTCGCGACTGTAACTTTGGGAACTCCACCCTGATAGCTCTAGAAATCTCTCTCAAACACCGAATATAGTTCGAAGAAACCTCAGCTGGGGTAAGTTCCAGCTGCTGGAGCTTTTCATCCGAGGGATCCCCCACAAAATCCCACATCTGAAGATCATAAAAGTTCAACAAGTATAGAACCCTCTTGACTAGCAGCCAGCGCTCGCACGATTAGAACAAGAACATATCCGCAAACCATAGTCAAAATGAAATGTCCTTGGTTCTTACCACCCATGTTCAAAAACTCGGCAACTGTGGCAGGAAAGACTAGCAGGAAAGTATGAATTCAGGTGCTTGATATAAGAAAACGCCACCTTCTCCTCGCCTGGATGTTAACACTGGTAGAAGTTGGCATGTGTTTCTCCGCGCAAACTTATTGTTCAATATTATTCGGCAGCCATATTCCGCTCTATCCCTCTTACCATCTCAGCCCACTGACGTAGAGTCTCGATATTATCCGCACGTCTGGAGTTTTGCGGCTCAATAGTATCACGACCGATGAGAGGGTGAACCATAGCGGTGAAGTTAGTCAACGTCGAGTAACGTACTAGAGTGGTTGGGTTCGCCAACGTGCAGTGGAAGTCGTGAGTTTCTGAGCTAAAATAGCTTCGAAATCGAATCAGGGGTTTGTAAACTCTAGCGTTGGAAATCTACTCGGAGTTCGCCCTTCAACGCACCACAGGGATCAATCAATACCTGACGAGGTTACACCAGTTAATAGGTACTTCTATTTTTCGATATTTCATTTTCTGACTCCAAGCTTCATAGATATAAATACGCGCATGCGTTAGCACCAATTCAGAGAGATCGAGAAGTAATATAATGTTTATATATACATAGTCAGTCTGCACATATATACAACTTGCCATACAAGGCAAAATTCCAATATGAAATATACGAAACCCGGGGCCTTCATAGTACTTACGAAGGGGCTAATGATATTCAAGAACAATACTGATAGTGCCAAGGATAACATGTAATATAGACCGCAGACAGTTAAAAAGCTTAAAATGCAGAAACTCGGGCCCATAGATTTTATGGGTTACATGTGCTCACCTCTATGCACGGACCGTGCCTCGCGGCTCCCAAGCTAGTCAGATATCGAAATTATATTACATGATATTTAGCGGGGCCCGCCTGCAAGGGAGGTGGGGCCTCGAAAAAAACGGGATCACATACAGCCGCAGTCGTCTTTGTCAACGTTGGGGACGACGGAAAAACTGAGACCCACGAGGTTGGTTTTCGGGTGGAGGACTGTCATCTGGATTTCAGTAGATTCTCTTTTACATACTTGGTAAAACCATACTAACAAAAGTTTTCATGCATTATATACACGCATACGGCTTATTTATTTCTCAACGGTCTACACCGACGCTTAAGCCTTGATCGTTGAGTACCCCGCTAGCATATCTAAAAAAAGATTTATCGGAATATTTCCCCTGTTTAAATCCTCGAGGTCTGAGTACAAGGCAAGGAACTTCAGCTTTGGAACCTTTCTAGTTAGTATGCAAGGAACCTCATATCCTGGTCTTGACCACGCGAGACGGCTTCCTCCAGACTACACACAATTACCTATTCCGTATCCACGCTGTATATTCCGGGCATGTAAAAATCTCACAATGAATTCATGAATAGGAAAGCCTATCAACTAATCTCCACCAAATACGCACCCTTAATGTCAAAAAAATGTCTACGAGATATCTCGACCGAGACAAATAACAATACTGTTGGCTTCAACAAAATCAACCAAGGGAGTTGCCGATTTCAAAGAATATCTTTAGAATTAGTTAGTTAACATAGTAGTTCGTCTAGAGATCGATAGTATTGTCGAATGTTATAAAATGGGGATAATTGCACCCCAAAGTCGTTATCTTCATTCCTCATCCACTGCAGCTTCAAGCTAGATTAACCATCCACTTGAAAACTTCTGGGTTCTTTACTCAATTCGAGGCTACCTTTGATATCATCTTCCCGCCAGACCACTTTGATATTTTGACAATGCATTTCAATCCTAAGTCTATGGTTTTGGCCATATTGGCCGCGGGTGCCACCGCCAGCCCCTACCCAGGCGGAGGCAACTACTGTAAGAGCAAGTGCTCTCCAGGTCAAATTGACGACGCCTTCAATGCGCCATCCTATCTTTCAGATACCAAAAACTGGTGCCGGGGGTATTTGCACCTTCCAGCTACTATATGGGTCACGCAAACGAAAACGGCCTATGTGACCAAGTAAGACCACGTTAATTCCCGATCTCACAACTATCTATCTATATATAATCGCGCATGAGCATATGAGTACTAACATGATACCGCATAGTTACTTCAAGCATACGTCGACCATCACAAAGACTTACACAGCCAATGCTGTCACTGTCACCAATACGGATCTCGAAACCGTAGTCGTCACTGACCAGGAGACCTCGACGACCGTAGAAACCGATTTTACCACTGTTGTGGAAACCTCCACATCGCTCATAACCGTCGTAAACGAAGTAACTCAGACGGAACTAGTAACTCAGACGGACGATGCTACAGCCACTACCGTTGTCACCAACACCGACGTCGTCACCGAGACAGATACTATCTTTGCTACTTCTACCGTCACTAAATTCTTCCCGAAACCGTACTACCAAAAGCGAGGAAACAAGGTTCCATCTTACCTTCCCCAGGACATGTCTCCAGATCAAATCGGTTCCCACTGTAAAAAGATCAATCCCTGCAGCACGAGGACCACGTATGTCACAAAGACAATTACTATCCCGTCTTACAAGGAGACCAAGACAGTTTTTACTTGGGTCACAGTGACTCCAACCGCTACTACAGTCGTCACCGTTGTCGCCACCAACGTTGAAACTATCACAGTCCCAGAAACAGTCACCACTACTGTCGTCGAAGAGTCAACCACTACCATCGACTCCACCGCAGCGACTGTCACCGAAGTAGTCGCCACCGAAACTAACACTATCGCCACTACTGTCATCACCGTCGCAACCAATACTATCACAGAAAACACCGTTAATACAGTTGTCGCAACAACCACATCGACGGTAACTGTCACTAAGAAGGCATTCTGCAAAAAGGAAACCGAATACTGCCAACTTGATCATCCGGAGATGTGCTGCAGTGGGTATTGCGTCAAAGTCTTCAAGACGCCAGTTTGTTGCGTCCCAAAGGGGTCAGCTTGCGATCCTTCTCACCCTGAAGGATGTTGCTCTGGCAAATGCAAGGCACAGGGCTTCTCATACGGAAAGCCAGTTTATAAATGCTACTAGTTAACGTTTTTCAGATATGAAAATAGGACAGCGCCATATGTCCTGCGAACTGTAAGCTATATGGAACAATTCAACTACGACCCGCTCATATAGTATCTTATATATCTCTGCATGTATATGCAACAAAAAAACCTTTGTTTCTTATTCAGTTTCATTTTCTTCTTATCTTTGTTGAGCGAGCTTCAATGCGATCATATCAAATGTATGAATACAGCTTGTTGTGTACGATACGCAATCTTTGTCAGATAGCTAGCAAGTCTCCGAATTCACAAAGAATATACTTAAACAATCTTGATATAGCTGTTATCTCGGGAGCGGATCTTACGTATGTGTCTACCAATCAAAAGCTTTAAAAGCTTCGAGTCCCCAACGTTTAATTCAACGCTAGCAGCTGTTACATAGTCGTAGTTATCGTCCCGTCTCTCACAACACATAGCTTGACAAAATACCACAACTTCAAGTATTTGAACGGCTAGTGGCGTTATGGAGATGTTGAGGTTGGTTGGAGGGCAGAGGAAGGAAGAGGCTTGGTTGCGGTTGGTTAAATAATAAGCACATTGAAGAAAGGGATAGTTGCCCACCTAACGTGTGTTCACAATGGGTTACCCTGGGGCTCCCCGTAGTAATCAAGCACTTGATGTCACCATCGAGAATATTCCATCTCATTTACACCGACTTAAGTACTTAGTCAATACCAAGTTTGCCATCTCCTTAAATTAACCTACCCATATCATCCTGCCACCCTATCTTCCCACCTTTCCATCCCTCCGTAACATCCTACGGGTTTCCAACAAATAGCAATGATCGCTTGGGCTACAATCGCTCTATATACTTACCTCTCTTCGTCTTTTCTATCCTAGGGGTGCCATCTGAATTGTTCACCTTCGTAATTTCTTATTCTTCTTCTTTCTCTTCCTCACTTACTTAAGTAGTATACCATCCGATATTTCAATGTATGTTCCACCCCATAACTCTACGTGACATATAGCTAATGGCCATAGATGGCTAGGACTAGATCTGCTAAGGGCAAAGGCATAGCATTAGATGGCGAGTCTAATATTCCAAGAATTCATGCCGCAAATGCTGCTCCTGTCCATCTAGAGAAAATGCCGTTGCCTCGCTTCTCAATAACCACGGGGCTGCTTGATAACATATAACCATTGATCGAGACTCAAATCACCTTCAAACGATTGATGATTATCAAAGAGGCTTTCAAAATACCATCAGTCAAAACCCAGAAAGACTTTCAAATGATGACGAAAATCTTGAGCTCGAAAGCCCAGGATTTCTTATGTGACTGGAATAGCAGTAACGAGTTCATCTACGATGCGAATAGTAATGGACGTTACACTAGGAAAGAGATTGGCCTATATGTCATAGCATTACAACATATAGATTCGGCTCCAAAACTTCCAAGAGGATTTGAACTAAGAAACTACTTGTTTCAGATGAACCTTGAAAAGGCGACACCGGGCACAAACCCAACAAAATCCTATAAGTCCGAGGATATCAAGCATCTGGAAAGCGCAATAATGTTCTATGTTGGATTCAAGAACTGGATGAGAATCCAAGTGGATAATTTCCGAGTCCCAGACGAGATCAAACCAGGTCAGGCCGAAGATACATCAATCGAAGCGATGATGCGGGCTGTTTCCGGGAGCAAACAGACGAAACCCAAGCAGAACCAAGGGGATACACTCGAGCTCGGATTAGAAGAAGATACAAATAATGACGATGACGAAGAAGAAGAAAGAGAAAATACAAAGTTCAATCCACATCCCAGACTCTCTAGTCGACAGGCAGTGCAATTGTGTATCAATCTTTCTTCTGAAGAAGATCGAATGCATGGGTTTGGTCCCCAATCAGGCCCAGAACTATCATCTGAGGCCAGTTTCCAACCAGAGCGGACAATACCCTTCCAAAGCAAGGAAACAGAGCAGCTCCCACCCGGCACCTCCTCTACACTAAAAGATTTCCCGACCATATCACGTCCCATCCCCATCCATCCTTCACGAGAAGAGACCACCAGTGTACCACACTCTATCATCACTAAATCTTCAGACGATTGAAGCCGTGCGGGGATCCAGTTTTTCTTAAGACGGAAAATCAGCCGTAAGTCAGATCCTGGGGTATTGAGACGCCTTAGCTGTTGGATACAGCGTCTTGAAATATAAAAAATCCCAAAGAACTTTCAAACCCATCTACATGTACAATAGGTATACTCACACCCTTTGTTTCAGGTTCCCGGATATGTATTTACAACCGATCGATATTGATATAGCTATATAGTTCAAATTATATACATAGAATTTGAAGATCGAAACAAATCGCTAAGAAAACTCCGTGTGCCACTACTCCAGAAGAAACGTTTTTACAAGATAACTCCTTGCACCGTCCAGTCTCGAAACTATAAGGAAAATACAAAATTTAAAGTGAGTCCTACCAGGTGCTCATCATACGCGACCGCCTATTTTCAACCGCTATCCCATTTAGAACACCGACGCAACGACCCCCAACGAAATTCTCCCACCATTCGTTACATCCATACGATCGAAGCTCTTCCACCACGCATACCACCGTAAGAGCCCCCAAGAACGTTTTTGTGTCCTCGAAAAGAGGCGTCGGCTCGACACAAAAAGAGCCATCTTCTGTTTCATATAGAAGATTCAGACACCAAATACTACCAATAACTGTGAAAAATGGCACACAAGAAACAATAGCATCTTCTGCTCCCAACGACCGAGCCTTGAGCAGAGTTGAAGCAGCTCCAATCGCACCATGTCTACGAGCTTCTAGTAAGTCTCCGGTCGCAGACTTGACCTCTGCTAGGGCGAAGAGGGGAGAATATCGGCAGGTTTGAAAACGGGTAGGATTGAGAGAGACGTATTTTGGATCACTGTGTAAGTGATTCCTGGGGGGTGTGAGTTGAGTTCCTAATATAAATGTATTAGTAAATACGTTTCTATGGATCTAGTTTGTGGATTGGTTAAGAAAATACCTGTATCTTCTCCCAAGCTACGCCCTTGAATATGAATAGCCACCCCGACATCCGGTGCATTTTTGGGTAAAGTATTAAACCGACGATCTATCGCCAAATGCACTTCCAAACGGGACTCCACCTCTTCATCAAGTCCAGTACCTTCCAAGATCCTCACAACTAATGGACGCCAGCCGCTCTCTGGCACCCGATCTATTGTATTATGCATAGACTGTCGGACAATATTGTTGATGTGATCAACAATATTCCCAGTAGTCTCTGTTGAAAAATATGAATCGTCAAGCCTCTCTCTCGGGTACATGCCCTTCAACCTAGCCCGTTCCCATATGGGAAGACAGCCGCGAGTAAGACGTCGTGGATTCAGACGTCTTAGTAACGCGCTTGTCCCGGCTGGTAGTAAGGCGGTCGAGTCTCCATTTAGTCGGATAGAAGGTATACACTGAGTAAGATCCACAGGGGGTATCATATCAGCGCTAGAAACAGACTCATCTTCCACCGAGCTGAAATTGGATAAACTGGTAAGATCGTCGTTCGAAGACAAAACATCCTCATTTGCATACTCTTGGGGGTCGTAAGGCTGATCAGTTGTGTCGATTCCGGAAAGCCAACTTAGAACGTGTATGCGTGTAGAAGGAAGTGGGAGGCAAATAGAGAGATGCTTGATTCTTGCGTCTAAAGAACTTATCGACTGTACGGAGCTAGGCCGTCCGGGAACGCTGGAAGACATGGTGTCTAAGCTGAAGTCTAAAATGTGTAGGTTGTAGTGTAGTATCCAGCAGGCCTCGACGGGGATATAATACGATGTTTCGAAACAAAAGCCTTCAAGTTGTAGATAGATAAGAGCTTATACAAAAGTACCCCTCTCAAGTTTATTTTACGGAAATGCTATTCAGCTAGTAGGAGATGGGAAACAATCAAGGATAAGGTCAATCGAGCCTAAGTACCCTCGATAAGGGGTTATATACCAAAGTCGATAAGCGATGCACCTAGGCATCTTCTGCATGATTTATTATCCCGATCCGCTACTACCTACCGCAATTTCATGATGCATGATGTTGCCTGGGCATCGGGAATCCAGGCCCCAGTACAACAGAACCGCATTTGTATAACAATATATCTTGGCGGAGGGGGGTTCTCTAAAGTGGTAGTGTAATGGAGCTGGCTAGTCTCTAGCATGATATATAATTGATTCATAACCCCGCAGGTCGAGGCTTAGTCTATCCAATCCCGAGCATTAGTGCCCAACTTGAGAATATCTCCCGAACTAACAAGGATAATAAGTCTGGTATCGGCACCAAACTACTGCACATTCGCTTGTGACCGACCAACTAGTGCGATGGCGTAGCCACGAGTATTAAAAAAACGAATGCTCGGGCTGGGTCGATTAAAACCCACACAAGGGCCATCTAAGAATGCATTGAAATTCGGAGTCTATCTACCGAAGTTGACCATAAAAACGCCACCAAGAGCAACCACCTGCATGTCTCAAGAGATCGTACCGAAACAACTGGGTGCCATGTTTTTTTTCGACCCATAATATATAAGCTAGTTTGTGCAATTGTAAGTAATGGATCCTCGGCACAGATGTCCTACGTAAGTATAATTATCAATATGGTAATCTACCAAAGTATGCGGGATATTATGAATCTCGCCCGCGATTGAAATCCCATTTTCCGATCTAAAGTGGTACCACTCGGAAGCACATCTCCGTAGTAGAAGCATCAAGTGTCCTCCTGATTTTACCCTTACATATTCTCTCCAGGCGGTAGCCAAATCGAGTTATCAATCTAATGTATATGTAGCTATGGCGTGCATCTGAAGTACTACTCCTGATAGACTTCCCACAGCAAGCCAATAGTTACCATTCATGCCATGTACACATGCCCCTCCATGCATCTGGAGCCTGCAGTAGCCTCTAAAGCTTAAAACGCGATACTTCCCATCGCAAAAAAAACCTCCGTAGATAGTCGACCAAATGCACCGTGGTGTTCCGGCTTCCTAGTTTTACGGAGCAGCCCCACAACCGGTCCGTGCCAAGGCGAGATCTTTCCATTTGCTTTTTTTCTATATGGGGAATAATTCCACTTAGTTATCTCATCGGAATATTATTTCTGGTACGTAAAAATTGCGAATTCAGTTAGAATTTATTAGTGTATAATGCTAGTGCTGGTGGCATAGATTTGATACCACGCTTTACGTTTATGAGGCTGTGCAGCAATATCTGATGCATCTCACAATTTAAAGGTTTTCCGAAACAAGCTGCTATGTGGCGCTCTAACAAATGAAGGGTCTAAGATTCTGATGTTACCGTTAATTTATCATTGCTAACGGATATCAGCACTCAACGTCAACTGTTGTCAATACCGGGTATATCGTAAGATTGGGTGGCCACGTGGTAACCACCAAATTAAAAAGGTAAACCCTAATAAATTATAGAAATTTCGAAACCTGAATTTATGAGTTACATACCTAGGTATATACATAGACATACGGAATAGTGCTGAAAGTTGAAGTTTCGAATGTTTGAATGTACAAGTACTTATAGACCCGCAGCGCAGCTGTTCTTAACATGACGGATAACTAAGAATTAATTCTAGAATCCAGAACGCGAACGCTTGTGCCGCGCACCTGGGTCAGCTACTACATTACATTCTATTAGTTACCTTAAATTATGATACTTTTAAAAATACTCGTAGCTTACTTAAGCCCCCAGTCTGTGAGCAATTCGAATGCTATACTACACTTATATCCATTCATTGGGAAATTAATATACATCAGGTCGCCTTGGGTGCCAAGCTCTAGTCTGAGCCTCAAAAACCTGACAACTGCTGCAACACATCAAAAGCCTAAATTCCAACATATCTACCTCAATGCAATGCCATCAAATAGCTGCCTTGCAGTCGCCGCGGCCGCGCGTGGTCATGAAGATACGTAACGTCGGATGGTCCGCAGCACTGAACATCGGCACATAAGTTGGCGACTAAAAGACCAGTCACTTCTGCATCACTTTCTGGGCCTTTCATAGGACTTTATCCCAGAACGGCGCATATCTTGGTTCCCTTCCGGGCGTTTTTTCAACATAGCCCTCCAACGTAGTGTTGTATGTGTATTTTAGCCTATATACGGATGCTTGCAATACGGGTCGTACCACTGCTGGCGAACAATATATGTCGGCCAATACAGTTGATGAACTAGAGCCTCTATTGGCATGGGTAGTTATATATCTGTTTTATATACCCACCTGAGCTGTTGAAAAGGAGTCGCAGCAGCACTTTTTGGTCTTGGATTTCACGAAGATTCGATTCCAAGCCTAGAGTCGAAATGTCGGAAGTAAAACTCCGACCTGAGGGCGCGCTGCGGAATTTCCAGGGCCTTGGACTCTAATTATCTGGGTTTTTTTACTCGCTATCGGCAATATCTTGCGGGGGGTTTGTGTCTATGCAAGCCTTCGCAAGGTTAAATCGACTACGAGCAGATGCTCTGACCACCACTGAGGATTGGTCAACCTAGTACTGAATATTTGGGTGATGATTTTGTATATAAAGTAATGTCGATCCCCTCTACAAGTACAGCGTTTAATAACCAGAGAATTATTAAATTTAGCAGTAGTCTATTATATATTCATATTTCATACATTAAATTCGCTATCGTCAATCCTCAAGAATGCCTACTCTATCGACTCTTAGAACATTAACTCTGGCGCTTGTCGTCACGATTAAAAGCGCCCAAGCGACTGTCGTTGTCCCATATGTTTCCTATATTGGACCCGGCCCTATCGGAGTCCCCGATGAATTCGTTCGCTATCCTATGAATGAAACCGAGGGAATGTACCAAGGTCGCTTTGGCGTTCATCTTGCTATTGGCACCCCTCCCCAGCACGTCTGGGTTCCTCCTCACTTCTTCAGCTCGGAAACCTATGTCAAAGGCGTGAGCCTTTGTGACAACTACACCACCGCAGACCCAGGTGGTTCAATCGAATACTGCGAATCTGATTACAATGGCCTTTTTGCGGCCAACGAGAGCTCGACGTTCGAAATGAGCAGCGAGAGGTCCTTCGGCGTAGATACTGTCACAGTTTCTGATGCTGTTCCCGGTCTTGAAAATAATGAATTCAGATTCGGGATCCAGACCACCGAGCAACCAGGCGCTGTCGGCGATGACTTGAGCACATTCGGTTTAGGTCCCAACTCTACCTTCCTTCAAACCTTCTTCCCGGGCAAAGAGCAAGTCGGAATCTATTACACAGGAGGAAGTAGCACCCATGGCAAGCCGCCGTATAGCGCCCCTCCACGGCCTTTGGTTGTCTACGAACTCGAATTCGATGGTTACAATCAATCCCATTTTACAGGCGAAAAGTTCACCCAGCCAATCGGTCCACCAGCTCCCCTTTCAAACAGTTCCAACCCATTCACACTTAACGTCACCAATATTTCCGTCGGCCGAAATGGAATATTGGGTGGTGGCGGACCATTCGTCGCAACTGTCGACTTTTCGGGCCGTACATCCAATATATTCCCATCTTCAGTGTACGACCTCTTCGTCCAAGCTACAGGCGCCAGAATCGTCGACGGGATGCCGTCCTACAATTCTTCCGCTCTTCCCTCGAACCCAGATGATTTTTACGACCTCGCCATCACATTTTCTGACGGAACTCGCGACTTCACTGTATCACTTCCCCAAGAGATCCTGATTAGCCAGCTTTCCAGACCTAACTACCCTGACTTTGCTATGGCAAATATCCTCAATGCAGATGATCCAGTTGTTATGCGATCATGGCCTGTCAGGGGTCCCGTAATCGCCCTCAACCAGTTGATGTTCACTTCCTATATTGGCATTGATCATGCTGCCGGGGAATGGTGGTTGGCAAAGGCCGTTCATCCCTGGGATGAATCAATTGCGCCAACCAATAACAATACTTCCAAACCCAAGGAGGGCGCCGCGGCAGGCGGGATCGGAGGCAACCTGAATAGGGCGATTGTGACTGCATCAGCCCTTGCCGCTGCAGTTATCCTGTTGTGTTAGAAAAAAGGCGGCGTGCATGATGGGATCTGGCCCGGCCTCGACCCTGATTTTAGATAATTTTTGAAATTTGATATCTCTTTTTTTTTTTTTTGGTTTCGTTGCCGAAATAAACGGCCATCTGCATTCTTGCATTATCTTCCATTGTATGACGGGGATACCTGCGTCTGACCCGAATCGTCGGGAAGAAACCCGGAAGGACAAGACAAGGGCCGAGCGTTTAATCTTGGAGGTTGACTTCATGATATCATGCTTAGTCCTAAAAATCCTCAATCCAGGGTTAGGGCACGAATGAACCATTGGTGCAACGTTCAACTTACTAGGTCATGCTTCAGCTTCCCTAAAGTATGTATGTACGATAATGAAAGAAAACGAGGGGCCCCATATTCTTTATTCTGACATTTGTATTTTTCGGAAAAACTCTTCCAGGTTTTCGTAGGGAGTAAGCCAGAAAAACAAAAACAAAAATTGGTCAAGAAAAAAAAAAAACCATGCGTCAACTTTACCCATTGAAGCTTTATTTTCATGTAATATATTCCCTACTAATAGCTATTACAACCTTAAATTTCATATCTCCCAATATCACATTCCAGAACATCCCACACTAATAATTAACTAATATGCAAAAAAAAAGGTCTCAGTCCCTCCGAAGATATTATTGCCCATGCCACTTCTCGAGGTTGCCCCCGAGCCGGGGATATAATTTTTTTTCGCTGCAATCACCCGGTTATCGGAGCCCAAAGTAGTAATAGGTCGTGCAGAATTGAGGTTTACTACCACTACTGCCTGCTTCATTCTCCCCTGTACAATTAATTAAGTGTTCATCCGCCGCCAGCTGGCGCCACAGGTGGAACGGATGAACAATTAGTCTCCGGGAACAATAGGGTTGCCTCAAGGCACGTTGCCATGTAAGCGGACCGGCGGTTTTTTCTTCCTGTAAGTGGTGTGTAGTTTTTCCTTTTAGTTTCCTTCATTTCTGTTTAACGTTCCTTTCTCGACTAGTTTAAACGTTAAGCTCGAAAAATTGTTGGTGTTTCATAAGGCAGATGAGGTATTGGTATAAACCGAGGGTGTCACCTTGAGACATATTTTACAAAAAAAAAAAAGCCCGTCCACTTGACAGATCCAACGGGGGGGGAATTTGGGGTTAGAACTGGCCGGGCGGGGAAAGTCCGTTAATCTTTCCCTTCCTTCCTTCCATCTGAGCGAGAGAGCATGTGCAATTAATGCCAATGCAAAGGTCCACGCGATCAACCAGAACTTTTTTTTTTCCCTCTTACTTTCGCTAAAAGGGGGTGTTTGAGGTTTCAATAGATAGTCCGATTGATCCAATTCGCAGGGTTAATTGCCATGTTGGAGCTAGCTATAACGCTCAAGCTCTTATGATTTTCACCTGGAAGGAGGGCCAGTTAATATGTTAATATGTGTTTGTGAATCAGGGTGGCTTCCATTGACGTCAGCCGGAATCCGATCAGTTCGATCGACTACGTGTATGTATACGAAAAGGATTATGAATAGGAAGGTGACTTGAATGATATCGTAGTGTATTAGATTAAAACTAAAACCATCGGATCTGATCTACAGGGCCTCTTCTTTTTCTTGCGTGGTGATACATGTACAAGTGGTGTGTAAAAAAGACAAAAGACCAGCCAGCTTGTGGAGATATCCCAACCCTTCTATGCAATGCGAAAACAGGGAAAGTAAAAAAAAAAGAATGAGCAGAAAAAAAGTAGCTATGCCATGCAAATGATAGGTTGAAAAAAAGTAGCGGAAAAAGCGGACGCTAAGAATGAAGGGGAATGAGAACAAAGGAGATACGTATCATACATGTACAGAAGAAAGGGAGGGGGGGAAAGGATGAGGACGTAACCATTAGAAATGATAGGGAGGAGTAGGGAAAAGCGAACCCGAGCAAGCTATGCAGGAAATAATAACCACAAATGAAAATGAGAAAAATAAAAAAAATAAAAATAAAAGATCGCAACCCGCACCGGAAAATGTATGCTAAGAGCATTAGTACAAATGTTCGCAAATGATATGATGATAAGTGTCGCAGATATGGATATAGGAAAAAACAGACGAGGGAAAAAAATGAAGTCTATCAAACTCTATGGGAGTATCATGTTCGTTCAAAAAGCAAATAAAACAGGCAGCAAAGCAAAAAAGTATTTGAGCTGAGATTCGTTGGGGTCGTTAAAGGTAAAAAAGGGAAAAAAAAAAAAAAAAGTAGGAAAGTTCGCCCGGTGGTATCATCGTGCAGGTGGTATCACTATAGCCGAAAAATGCAAAAGAAACATGTGGAAGATGCTGATTAAAAAAAATTGGATACTCCGTGGAGTATGTAGAATAAGGTGTGGGATATCAGAAGGGAGGTTCCGAAGACCTAAGCGCCGGAAGGGGTATTCGTTGGAGAGACCGAGTTGGTTCTTGCATTTACAACAAGAAAGATTCATCATCAGGATCCAGATCCGTGACAAACATTGAACTGTGGACAAATACGAATTAGCGATTTGCTCGAAGTGAAAATTTTTTTCTTCAACAATGACAACAACAGCGAAAAAGTGGAAAACGCGAGGTGACTGCGTTTGCACCAATTGTGTCCTGGTCTATTCGCGATTGTGCATATGCAGCTCCCAGGGTGGAAGGGGAAGCAGTGACCGGGAAAGGCTGAATATATAAGGTAATGGAATCAAAAGAAGGATGCATATACATACCCAGGTAAATGCGACATGACTACACCCTTCAGCCTGCTCTCCTGCACCGCCACCTGTGGAGTGACACCGCAACCCCAGAATACTGGCACTTCATCATCAGGAATATCCACAAAGTCGCCAAAGTCGACAAGTCCCATTTCGATCTTGCGCTTAACTCCAATCTTCTCGGCTCCCTCCCAGCCCCAAGCGATCGGTTCGCCGTGCTGCTTGATGTATTGACCAGTGATCTCTCGCACACGAGGGATATCGCATGGCTTGTAGCTGCGCATGCTTACGACGTAGTATCCAGAGAAGACACCGGCCGAATTGAGCGGGATGTTGGTGACATACATGGGCACAGCCATGTTCTTCTTGGAGCACATTGGCTCGAGTCCGGCTTCCTTGAGCGCAGTTTCGAAGCTGTATGAGCAGCCAATTAAGAAACCAACGTGGTCGTCTGTCCATTCATCCATGATATTGGATTTGCGACGGGAGACCAGCTTTCCGTCCTTGAAAACATTATAGGCTGGAATATCTGTTCGAAGATCAGAGTCGAGAGCTAATCTGCTGGTGTAGTCGCCACGGGATGTGTACTCGAGGAGAGGGCATGGAACTGGATTTCGGAGGCAAAGGTTTCGAAAGTCTTTGGCATATCTGGATGGGAGGACGATGAGATTTGCTTGCATTGTTCGCGCAAGACCGGATGTCGAGCCTTTAATTTCACCCCTTCGGATCTTTTGTCGAAGCTCGTAACTCGAGTACTCCGGTTCAGAGGAGTAATTTGTTATTAAAGCAGGCATCTTGTAAGTGTATTGCTACTGCTAATCTATAAAAAAAAAAAAGGAATCTGCAGAAAGGAGGGCGAGCTAGGGGCGAATGTAATATATGGTTCTTTGTTATAGAGGATGTAGTGAACGGGTCATTCAAAGATTATTGTATATGAGCCAATTCTCGAGGATATATATCTTTTATATGAATAAGTATAAATATATATATTTATATATATTATATAGAAAGCCAGAGAATTCTTTCGGGTCGAAGTGGGTGTGGATCGGGACCGATGTAGCGCTTCTAAGACGTCAAGAGGAATGTTAAATAAGATAGTAGTGTATTATAGCGCTGTGGATGGTATGATATAAATATATCTGATGATGCGATGGATTTAATTTTTAGATACAGACTTCAAGAAAAGGAGGGATGGCATGGTGGGGAGTCACTAAGAATTATATATCGGATCTCGCACTCAGAAAGGTCCATTCGGACGAGGACCAAAGTGACTGTTGTTGTATGGACGATTGCCCGGAAAGAGATGCCTGGTGGACGAAGGAAGGGCGGGAAAAAAGAAAAAGCCACAGCACCCAGGAAGAAAAAACCTCCCAGCTAGCTTGCTGCTCAAACTTCATGCCTGTCTCGCTTTTCCACCAGGCCATTTTCCAGAATTGTCTTGGGCCTGTTTCGGTGCATCCACCACCACGATGCATGCTCCTTGTTCCTGGGCCCTGGCACGGTGTTTCTTCTTTTCCTTTTTCCTTTTTCCTTTCTTTTTTTTTTCTTTTTGCGAGTTTTGTTCGAGTCGTTCAATCACAGAAGGAAGACCGGGTTTTTGGTCAGATGTTGGGTCATTTGATAGGGCTAACGCCTGCACCACGCTTGTTCTCGTTCGCAAATGGGAAGATAATGGGAAGGAAGAAAGGAAGGGAGATACCTTCCGCCACCTCGCCGTATATTATGGTAACGTAACTCAAAATCTCGGAGCTGGAAGGAAGGGAAGGAAGGAAGGATAAGTGAATTGATCCCACTCCAACCCGAAGCCGTCTACGGGTTTTCGCACCCACGCACATACCCACAATCATACTACCCTATATGGTACAACCTCAGGCACAGGTACAGGCAGCATCTCAACAAACAGTTGAGTTTTGGAAAGAAACATGTTGGATTAGAGGCATGGGGAGGGGTCTCGGGAGGGGCATTGAGCGGAAAACTGCACTGTCGGTGTCCACCTAGCCTGATCTCGTAATCTCCTTCATATTACGAAAGAGCGAGAACAATAAGCTAGATATCTTTGGTTGGATATGTATGAAGGATGTACTGTACCATCCAGAACTGCTGCAACCAGACGGAAACATGTTGGATCGGTTGGGAAGATGCAGACTGACCAGGAGGGGAAGAATAACAAAAATAAAAAATAGAAAAAAATAAAGTGAATGTGGCATACGTAGCTGGATGGGATACATTTTCTTGAACCGAAGCTAACGGCTACACTCTCGAGAAGGATAGGCACAGCAACATACCAGGCTAACGACTGGCTGCCGCAAATTACTTCCAAAGATAAGGGAAATGACCATGACGAGAGCAGCTAAGAATAAAGTCGTTTCTGACATGCACACCCTCCCCGAGCCACGTTTTTTTATTGTATCAAGACGTTATTTTTGCCCTTCGGTCGTTTGGTACCGTAGGAGCTCGTCGGCGGGATTACCGTTTGGATTGTTTCAAGAAGGAAGGCTTAAAGCTTCGATCTATGCATCCGCTTTGGCACCAAATTTGAATAAAAGATGTGAAAAGATCGGATGAGATTTTGGAGCCTCTTTTTTTTTGGTTTGATCGAGCTGTGGGCTCGCATACCGACTTCCTTACATGTCAGTGCGCTGTCCTTCTAGAAGCTCGGTAGATTTTTCGAACAAGGAGGGGAGGGGTGAGGGGAGGGTATACTAGGGCTATAGCATGCATCACTGGGGGCATTGCCAGGTGTGCTGACTCTTGACTGCAGTGCAGCAGTGTGCATCCTGACACTATTACACTGACAATAGCATACATGCGATGCTATTCGTAGACGTAATATTATATCTTGGAAATTCAAATCAGTAAGGACAGTACGAGCCCAAGTAGTACCTAACCTCCAGACCAAAGATACAAAAGTTGCCGTCGCAGGGGAACCAAGACCAAGAGTCCCCAGCTAGCTATGGCCCTTTCCTGCAAAGGGCCATCTGATGCACCACGTATTTCCCGGTTCATCGCGATGCTGCAGCCTCAGCCCATTCTCCTCCGCCCCAGCTAGGTCTTTTTGACAAAAGGGGTTGCCTGCAGCTAGCTTCCCAGGGTCCCCGGAGCTGGGCCCGAAGCATCCCGAGAATCGGGCCCGGGGTCTGACGCCTTGAAGCCTTCCTCGTTTTCGAATCGAACATCGCTTTCATCGGGTTTGCTGTGCCAGTGTCTCACAAGTGCACAATGGCTCAGGCTTGTCGGAACCGCAAGTTTAGCCGCTGTTAATATCGTCAGTTCGAGGAAAAAGACAAAGCAAAGTTGCAGAGGATTCGTGCATAAAGGTTAAACCGCACAAGCTTATACATAGTACATACTTACTTACCTACATACATGCTTCCATGCAAATTGATTCATACATATCACATATCACAAATACCTATCATATCATCTTGCACCCGAAACCAAGCCAAAACCAAAGCCAAAACCCGACGGCATATGGCGAAGTTGAGATCATGCGTCTTTGCTTACCGCTCTAACCCGAGAGCTTTCGCAAAAAAAAATATCTGAAATTTGTCGCGGGAGGGTGCACGTGTCTGCCTTTTTTCTGCCTGTTTCCGCTAGTTGAAATTGTACTTACGTTGTAATATTGCTCGTTTTCGCTTGATATAATTTTCGGGTCCCACACAAAACGGCAAAGCTAACGGCATTTCCAAGGCAAGCAGCCAGGCAGGCTGATGACTTAACCCGTTCTATTTTCACAGATAGATGCTTGGTCATTCATGCTCTTCTCACCTCCAGGCCCTGCGACCGCGACTGCCGCAGCTGTAGGTATGACGCGGGGCACTGCTGGCTTTCTGCGGTCAAGGTGGGGTACAGCTGCAGCTGTTCTCACGAGACCTCGAATTCTAACCACCACTACCACCACCACTACCACCACTACTTTGACATCCACTACACGCTCTCGGCGAACAATTGCGACGTCGACAGATTACACAGCGAATGTCCGGCTGTACGGCTCACTTCCGTCTAGATCCTCTTCATTACGGCAGCGTCCGATATCCCTTCCACGCGTCGTTGCATCCCGTCGACATGTCTTCAGCCTCGGCACACCACCTCCTCGAGCGGAGAGTGACCCTTCTCCAGGACCTCTCCCGCTACCAGACTTCGGTCCCAATGAGCCTAAACGGAAGGTTCTATACTCCTATGTCGAAGAAAGAGCCCGTAAAGCTCCTTCTCCCGACCCAGTAAAGGGGACATGGCAATGGTACCGCTGGAAGATCTTCACGATATCCGGTCCGGAGTATGCTGAAAAGACTCCTTGGACATGGTTCAAATGGCATTTCATAGGTTCAGGCAAAGTTGTCATCTTCGTTGGTTTCACGCTGGTCAATCTCTACCTCTTCTACTGGGGATGGGCAACATGGTCGATCGAAAGGGAGTCGCCAACGCCCAAGGTATTTACGGAGTGGGCAAGAACTTGCATGCAAATTATGCACTATTACGCACACTGGTATCCAGATCTCCCAATCGCAGCACTATGGGGCCGAGACGCTCTCAACAGTCTTGAAAAACAAATGGAAAAGGCCGGTGGATGGGACAAGTGTTCCCCTGAATGGCAAAAGCACTATGTCAATCTCTTGTTCAAGGTTGCAGGACTCTGCCAACAAGTTGCAAAAGACGAGGATGCATATATCTCTTACAGACGTATGGTTGCTATGGATGCAGGGTTAGTGGATGCGACGAGGCGGTCACGGTCTTACCTCGGCATGGGGACAGCAGCCACGGCTATGGGCAATATCGAAGAAGGGACAGAGCTGTTCGAGCAAGCTGTCAAATTTGCATTGGAAGCTACACCGGAAAGCGAAAGGCCACCGTTGGACGTCACAAAGCCTGTGCTACCCGACCCGAAGAATCGTGTACCACCAAGCCTCGATTTGATTGAAGCAGTTCAAGCCGTCGGCGTACAATACGCACGCCTCGAAAAGCCGGCGGAGTCACTTCCTATTTTCCTGAGCTTACTCCGCACCCTGCAGGCCCTTCCTGAGGAACAAAGGGATATCTGCCGGGAGGGATATGTTATGGCTTACGTTGGCGAGGTTGTTTGGGCGTTGGATAAGAAACAGGATGGCCTGAAGTGGACAAAGAAGGCTTTGCTGGAAGCTGAGAAGGGATGGGATACAAGGAACAGTTGTAAGGAATGCGCGATTTATGCGGTTGCGAACGCGATTACAATGACCAGGGAGCTTGGGGTCGTGAAGGGTAAGACACGGGAGGACCTGGACACGGAAATAAGCGCGCTGAAGGGAAGGCAGAATTGGCTCAATAAGCTGTCTCGAAGAGAAAGGGATTAAAGGGATTAAAGGGAGAGCAATTTCATCAAGTGTGTGACGTCAAAAAAAGGCTGCTTCTCAGGTGGAATGGACCATGTAATATACCCAAACAATCTCTCCCCGGGGAACACTCGGGGACCGAGCAGATTATGGGGTTGACGCCGATTAGTCATTTTTTACATTTTTTCCTTGGAGATTCCATTCTCGGACATCAATCACGAACGAATCTCCAGTTGTACATACATAACAATATATCGTTACAATGATATACATGTGCCTAGACATTCAAGACAGACTAAAGTGACCCAATACTCCGGACCCGCCAGCTCGGATAAGTTAAGACAGTTAGCCTCGTCTCTCCGGACAAAGACACAGATTTCTGTGGAGAGTCAAATCAGTTGCTTCATTACGTACGCAGTTCCTAACATAAATTCAAACCCCCCAAATTCAAGCGGGAGAATTAATTAATTATCTGACCAAATAGAAATAAAAAAAGTACTCGGGTCATGTAACTTGTTTTCCTGCATCAATTGCTCATCGCCTGATATCCGAATAGCCGAAAAAGGGTGTCGACTAATTATAATACCAATCTTCGGCATCGTTCCAGGGAAAGGAAAAAGAGAAAAATGGAAATGGAAATGGAAGGTTTCGGATGTGGATGACCGATCGATCGTGACGACGGAATAACTCTAGAAGGCACCCAGTCTTGGCTTGCCTTCGAGGATTCTAGGATCAAGGCTCCACTATTTTCGATACGAGAAACGAGGGAAATATTATCGAATACGACGCCCCCATCAAGTCACTTAGCTAAGCTAGTATACTGACTAAGTAGTTAACAGCCGCCAGACACCGAGCAGCTTCCATGTTAAGGCATCGAATCTGACAGTTTCGATACGTCACGGATACTACCTGTCACAGGAATATTCTTTCGCAAATCTGAAGAAAAGAAGGAACTAAATCCTTCATGTTTCCATTTCAAGCATCAAAGCGATATATTTAATTGCGACTCCAGTGGAAACCCTTTGGTTCTATCTATATCTTTTATCCATATTCGATTCCTGATAAACCTAAAACTGACCCACACCCTTCAAATTTCCATGCAAAAAATGCATCGTCAAACAATGCAAGATCTTGCGCCATATGAAGATTGTAATCACCGCTGAGTAATCGATAGTGACACCGGGGAGCAACCGACATAGTCCGAGCCTATAAACATTCACCAGCACACACACTCACACGCTCACACACCACCGGTCCAGCACACTGCCCATGTGTAAGCAAGTACTTGCAAAGATACCTGCCGACCACTCGCACATGAAAGAAACTTAAGGCAAGAAGGGAAGAAATGCATTCATTACCCGGTATCACCCAGGAAATCTGCACCAGCGGGTTTCGTTTCAACTGCACCCCACAAGCCCGTTAATTAATCCGAGTACCAGTACCTTGGATAAGCACTTACCTCACCCAGTGCAGTGATGCTGCAGCAAGCCCAGCTGGCCATGGCCCAGCATCTTTAAAAAAAGATCCAGTTTCTCCGATGCGCGACGACTGTGCACCCTTGTCGTTCGCCCTCCTTCTCTAAAAGATCGTGCACGGGGATCTTATTGCCCCCCCATTACTAAAGAATCTTTAAAAAAAAATTGCGATATGCGAACTGACATTGCATTAGACCTGAAACTGAGTATCAGCCTTAAAAGCCTTAAACTTTCCTTTTCATACTATAGATGGTTAAACTTGGCACAGGTACTACGGAAAAATGCATAACTTTACTCAGTTGAGTAATCGACTTCATGCAGAAGCTTCGAGCTACAAAAAGATCATATTACCAATTTCTAACCATTCGAACCGAGCATCTCCATTATTGCTTGCATGACCCAGCTAACTCTACAGTTATCAAAGCCACAATTCTTCCGATCCAAAAAAGAAATCGCACCTGTCAGCAAACAAAAAGTGAACAGAAAACAAAAAAGAAATTTGGAGAAACTGCATAGCAAAGCCGCATCCCGAGGAATTGGGTCAAAAATCAAACAAGCCCAAGTATCCCAACCAATGACGTCAAAACACCCATGCATAGCACCGCCCGAACGCCGTTATCAACAGCCACGCCTCCTGCACCGTTCGGTCCGTCCGACGAACCCCCTGGAGCTGGCACATCGCCTGAATTCGGCACCTCCACGTCTTCCTCGCGCTTCTCGCCCAGGACTCGACTGGCATCAAGTGATCTGGCGATGCTCCATTGGTTACGTTGGTAATCCACGATCAGATATGAAAACAACAAGATATCGCTCCCCAGGGTCGGGCCTGAAAGAAGCGCACCGTTTGCACTGGAATCCGCTCGCTCCACGTTTGTGATCTTCGAGATTGAACGCGGACGGCGAGGAGATGCTGAATTCGAAGTAGATTGGTCTGAGTAATTAACTTCCTGAATTAAATATTGTTGTGGAATCCTTGTCTCGAATCCATTGGAAAATCGAACTGTGAGATTCCATTGTTCAGACAGCAATGTAGGGACAGTTGTGTTATACGTTGGATACGATGCTTCTCTGATCCAATCATTATCATCATCGTCATCATCCGCATAGCCATTCGCACCAGTAACACTTGCAAATCTTCTATACACGTCGCGGGGAAGCTTGGTGCCAGGTAGATGTCCAATATCAATCCTTGCATCAAACGGCTGCGAAAGAAGTTCTTGTCCATTGATCTCCATTGATTCAACTCTGGCCGACAATGGATACTGCCGTTGATCTGCAGGGAAAGCGGTGGAAATTATGCCCCCGGTTGACTTTGCTACGTCCCCACCGTCGAAGTCAATTTCAATACCCCAGTTTTTGTCCATTTTAGGAAAAGAAACCCCAAAGACTTTGTTATTTGGGAAGAAAGTCTGTAGGAAAGTTGATTCGCGGTTGAGCCCCAGAAACCCGGGGAGGCCTACATGGTCGTCGTCGTCGTCGTCGTCTTCGTGGTCCAAGTGTAACCCCACCTCGAATCCTTCTCGATTAAGCTCCTGGGACGTATTCGGAAAACTCACGGTTTCCCTGATCATAATACCATCCACTAAATCACCTTCAAAGCGTTGGCTCGAATCATAAGGTGTTGGAGGGATCTCAATCCTTTGATTTAATCGCTCAAAGGATCTGCTCAATTGACTTCTGAACAGCCCTTGGGAGGCATATTCACATCGTACCGCTTGGCGATACTCGTCTGTATCGTCAAGGCCATTATCGTCGTCGTCGTCATCATCGTGGCACGATGATGCATTTCTAACAATAACGTCCTTCAGAATTAAAGAAGGTGATAACCACACAGTTTGTGGGGGGGTTCCAATTTGCATTCTGAACCCCTGTCTGTTGACTGGGATCTCGCCGAAGTTGCCGAGACCCGGACGCCTATCATTATCATCATCATCATCATCGTCATCATCATCGTCGCCGTCGTCGCCGTTTCTACGATTGGTACCATTATATCTTCCCCGGTCATTAAAGACCAAAGAATCCAGCGTGACATTGGTGACGTCGTGAGAAAGTGTATTGAGGGCTTTAGCGACGCCCAGACGGGTTGTTGGAAGGCCTAGCTGCAGGAGTAGGACCACAATTGGAGTATGCGGGAACTTCATGATTCTTTTTCTTCTTCTTCTTTAGCTTTTTTAGATTTTTTTAGTCAAAAAATGGTTGTCTTAGGCTCAGGTGATTTTTTAGAATCGTGGGATTGGGTGGGTTTGTTGGTTCGGATCCGGGGTTCCGTTCCCTTTCGACGTCACGATGCAGCGGCGGGTTACACAGCGGGAATAGTGTAGGCGTCTATAGACGGACTACTGTAACCTCGAAGTATAAATTTTCTTTAACGTTTTTTTAGATATATTTTGGGTTTTTCTTCTTTTTTTTTGTTGTAGCCCACTTATTATAGGTGGAGGATCTATATTCCAATCGTGATCTCGGTGTAGGCCAGTTATGGAAATGGTTCTCCAAAGGTGTGCCTCGGGTGGATTGCGTTGCCGGGTTGAGGTTAACCCCGTCAGACTCAGGGCAGGGTGGTGTGTGTGTAACCCAACCGAACTGCCGCTTGAGACCGTCGACAGCTGAGTAGATCGCGATCGCCGGGGGGGGGGAGGGCGAATATGAGTAAGAATAAGAATAAGGCTGATATCAAGAACGAAAAAAAGAAGTATGTTTTGTTTGAAAAGGCAAATTGAAACGAATATCTGTAAGATAATAGGTATATAGAAAAGTTTGTTATAATATAGATATAGACTGAGGTTGTATATTATATTATTTTATGCGGATATCCTTGAAAGATGAGATGAGATGGATATGATTCATGACCACGGACTTTAAATAAACAAAAATTGGCTACATACAGTCAGTTGAAAATTCGATTCAAATCGAATATTACTTTTTGACAACGGGACTTTTGTTCTACAAAGCAAAGCAAAGCAAAGCCAGCTTAGCTTTGACGCCATAGGAATCCTTTTGGTGGCCATGTGGAGATCATTGACCGTAAAGTTCGAACTCAAGAACTTCCAAGCGTTTCGAAGCCACATGCGAAGGGAAATCCAAGACTTCACAATTTCTTAACAATTTCTCCTGTATCTTGTAGATATTAATGATAATACCGCCTATTTTTCTCACAAACTCATGAAATTCATGAATTCACGATAATGATAAATGATCAAATCACAGACATCTAAGAAATCCCAAGAAATGTGCAATGAAACGTACAGGATTCGAACTAAGCAAACCTCATGACGACTCCCCTCTCTCGATTTTTGTAATTATATCTAACCAAGGTTCCCGTTGGATCTATGGGATTTAAACTTCTAGAACTTTTCGAATTGTAAATGGGGACCCATTGGGGGGGTGCATAGCATATGCTATATCTATATTTAAAGACCCGCCCAGAACTCTTGTAGACGAACCAACAACCGAAGATCGTTGACTTCGCGGTATTGGCATTTTCTTGTACAAAACCTCTGCCTCAATTGACGTGTCATCGGAAACACTTTACAATATAACTACTAACCAAAATTTTTCCTGCTTCCTCGGCGCCGTCTTAGCATTCGACGTCAATGCAACTATACTTCAAAAAATTTACTAGCTTGGCTAAAAAGTCGACACCTTTTTCGACATCTATGCATCTTTGCATACGTATTACAGACGTATATACAAGCGCCTTTGATAGACGGGCTATGCTCTCGGCTCTTCTACATCGGCAAATTATCGATCACAATCGATCCTATCAATCATAATTAATTTTTCACGAATTCAAATTCAAATAATATGCAGGGAATCCTTCCAGAATGTCACCGGGAATGGTATTTTGATTTTTCATCCTAAACCTCTTTTTTTTTTGAACTTCTCAACCGCTATAGAATATAGATGTATGCAACGCTAGGTAACATGATCTAAACACCGAATCCTCCGCTGAATACCTTTTATCCACCATATCCTATCCCATCCTATCCTACCCTCCGAGTACACCAGTTCCAGTTCCAGTTCCAGTCCCATCCGTCCGTCCTACATACCCGAATGCGCGACCCAAAATTATACACTAATATGAAAAGAAAGTTTGAAAAAACCTCCAGGGGAATTGTCCGAAAGAAAAAAAATGAGAAAAGAACAGATATAGAATCAACAGGGAATAATAGGTTATCTTGAACGCCACCTCTCTGTACAGCAAACCAAAAGAAACAGAAGGGAGAAACCAAAAGAAAAAAAAAGAAAAAGAAAAAGAAGAAAAGATGTCAAGGCGGGCTTATCGTTTGTGATGTATCAAAAAAAGAATGAGAAAAGGCAATACTTTCTCGCGAACTTTTTTTTCGTGGTTGTGCAAACTTGTAATAGGGAAAACGAAAGATATGAACAGTAGTAATGCGAACTCCGTGTAAATGTTGTTTTGAAATATTGAAGAAATCCAAAAAAAAAAGTGACAAGGTATACTTAATACGTCTCTGTGCAACGTACGAGGCAGGGTATGATGTTGTTGTAGTAGCCGCGCCGGATCTCTGAGACCGTTGTAAATTACATTGTTTATTCATGAGTTTTGGCTATCAGGACGTAGTAGGTATTAAGTTTCTGCAAATTGGTAATGAACGAGCGTGTCGAATCGTAACTAGTAAAAGTGAAAGGTAAAGGTCGTCTGGCCGCGAACATATCCATTACTTCGAGGCCATGAAACTGAGCGGGTCGTAAATTCGAGTGAGTGCTGCTGCTTCTAGGATGCAAGCATCTTCTTTCCGACTCCAACATTGGAGGTCGACGCTTCCGGTCCGGTAGCGGCGGCGACTGCAGCGCCCTCGTTACTTATTCCGGTCCTTCCGGTTGCATCGCTGATCCCTCTGCTGCGTCCCCTATCGCTCTCAGGGTTGGTCCCGATGGCTGGGGTCTGGTCGATGACTGGACTTCGCATCTTAAGCTTTTCCTTTGCATCGAACCTTTGATCTCCAACGACATGCTTGTTCTTGAACTGCACGTAGGTTGGGGGCCTCGGGCGGCATAGGACGGCGATAAAGTTTGCAACAGGGTTGCTCCGAGTGAAGGGTCGGTGGCGTTCTGAGGGCACAAATTTGTGGTTATTCAAGTACTCTCTGGTACTCTCACCGCGGTATACTAAGAAGACGTGATAGCCAACTAGTGCGATCGGATAGAGAGAACCGAGAGCGCCGTATATAACCATGGCGAATGGGACACGCAACGTTTTTAGCGCGTCAAGGAAACTTGCATCATTCTGGCTCCGCCAGATGAGGAGATGGGTCAGAGAAAGGGCAAAAAGGTATAGGCCGAGAAGGGAGGTTGCTGCGATGAATGCGAAGAAATATCTGTAATTCCGTCGTCCGACACAATTGTTCAACCACACACAATGGTGATCTTGCGTTTCGATGCAGTTATCACATACTCTACAGTGATGGCAGCGAGGCGGACGCCAGATGCGGCATGTCTTGCAGTACTTAACGGGGACCTCAAGGGGTTGGCTCCCTCTTCTCATATTGGGTTTGATCATAGTCCAACCTGTCTCAGGCGGGCCAACGGCCAAGGGGTCCTCTCCTTCTTCGTATTCGAGCGGATGGATGTTTCGCGGGAAGATACCGGGATCCGTCACAGATGCCCTGATGAACGAACTCATGCAGACGAGGAAGATGTAGCCAAAGGTAACTGGCAGAGCTGGGTGTACGTTGAGCCATAGCCAAGGGGCGCTAAAACCAAAAAATAGACCCGATGGCACAACTACTAGTGTTGCCGTTAATACGTTTATCGGGGCATCTCTAGCGGTTTGCCATCGTCCACCGAAACAAAATAGTGTATTTCCAGGGAAATATTGATAATTCTTTCCAGCATAAACGGGCACTTCAGCTCTGTGAGATGTAGCTGATCCCTGTGATGCCTCCCTTTGTTCCTCCTTTGCTGGTCCAGCAACAGCTTCGTTCGTGTTGCTTCTTCTGGAGCCATGTCGTAAGGGAGATGCAGATGTGATTGTCTGATTTGTCGGGGATCCAGTAGCCTGCCTTCCAAGGCTATACCTATAATGGTTTGATTCATCCATTTCGCTTGGAGCTTGCAGGGACGTCCTGTTTGAATTCCCGTGGTGTATAACCGCCGGGCTTTGGAAACCAAAGGGATTGTCGAGCGAGTGTGGTGTTTGTGCATACGATGTACGAGGCTGGCCGATAAGACCTGTGGTGACTGATTTTAAAGGAGATGCCGTGCCATGTTCCGTAGATGGAGTGATCGCTGGCAACGGTGCAGACGTGATTTCTGACATTGAGGGTCGATCGCCTTCCTCCGAAACTTTCCCACGTTGTGCTGATAATTTTGTCGAACTCATAGGGTTGTAGAAAGCGTGACTGGTGATCGACGGGACATGGGTTCGGCTAGCGGCACTTGGTGGCCTATTGGAGCTTCTGAAACTACCTCCCACTGGTGTCATAGCTCCCCTCGATCGTGGTCTAGCCCCCCATTTCGAAGTGGTCATACTAGTAGCCGTGCTAGGCCTTGTAGTAAGCGCAGCTTCCGCCTGAGGGTCTCCTATTGATATTCTTGTGTTTGGCCGACCAAGTGTTGGTGGGTGTAGGGATGACAGAGCCGAGTTTCGATTCGAGCCAGGAGGCGAGGTTAGGCCAGGAACCTGATCGATCTCATCGCCAAACTCGCTGTTGATGTCTGTCATGCGACTACTAATTATCGAATGTTTGTCGCCATCGTCCTGTGGTAAATCGGCCAGGGATAGAGAGAAGCCGCCAGTCGGGGCCTTCGACTGGGTCGGCGACGAGCCGAATATGCTGCTGGAACTGGATGCCATACTTTTCATAAACGATTCATCTGGTGAGAATGAAAAAAAGATAAGGAGGAAACGAGCGAGAGCAAGAGCGGGGTGAATTGGAAATGATGATGTATTCGTAATATGTTTTTGGACAACGGAGAAATAATGAATGTCGGTGGTAAGATTAGTCCTAAACCAGGTTTACTATTCCTGCAAATCCTCCTTGTATCCACGGACCAGACCAGATTTGGATCTCCTTCGGTGCCTGGCGGGTATCGGAATGTCGTGAAAACGCGGGTTTTCGACAGTTTATCCAAAAGAGCGTCGAGAAAGAGGAGATGAGGGTTGATGGAGGGAGATAGTGATGAGGGAAGGAGATAGGTGAGAGGTTGAGTTGAGGATGATGTTCTGGCCAGGGGGAACGAAATTTGATTTGAGGAGACGCACAGCCAAAGCGAGTTCCAATCACACACAGCAAATCGCAGCAAATCACAGTCAAAGGGAATGAGAAAAAAGCCCCATCCAGAAATCTTAGGCGGATGAGGATCGTCCACACTCTCAAAGCTAACCCACTAAGGATATTCTGCTAGGTCGATTTCAATCTGAGGAGTCCGGGCAGTGCAGGATGGTGGAAAGTGCAATGTGCAGTACGGTGCAGTGAGAAGGGAAGGGAGAGGGGAGTTCAAGTGAGGAAAAGAGTGTTTCAGGGCTCTGTTCTCGTGCAGCTGTCACTCGGAATAGAGTATCTGGAGATGCTGTGAATATTATCAAATCATCAATTCGACGCACTGCCTGATATCATGCAATGTACGTGCTGACTAGACTGCACCGCTCAGCACACCGGACTAGATCCAATCTGAATACGAAAGTTCGAAGTTCGGGTTTAAGGAAGGCAAAAAGAACGCTAGGTAGGCAAGGTGGTCCGTGGGAGCAAACTTGCGATGGTTGACTGATACGGCGCCCGTCTGTCTATAGGCAAAAAAAGAACCAAAGGAATGTGGGGTGCAAGCCAGCTAGAAGAGAGGAAGCAGAAGGAGGGCTGAAAGAATGAATGACACACAGCTTCAGGAAGTCTGTATGCACTATGCCCGGGTCTTCGAACCTCTTTTTGCTCTGCACGAAGCGAATCCGAAAAACAAAGGCGTCGACGAGGAAGGAGAAAGGAGGACAATCAACTTTGACGTTGACATTGACAATCAATCCCTTCTTTCTTTCTCCTGTCCCACGCGCTACCTCGTCCGCCCTCCTGGCTTTGTTTTCGACAGAACGGGAAATCTCGTCAAAAAAGGGATGCCGACATGAGAAAGGACGCTGCTTCATGCACGGATTCATCCAACCCGGTTCGACCCTGCGGGAAAGCTTCAGAAGTGTCATGGGGTCTCCCACATCACGAAGCGCGCACAAATATTGCATATTGCAAGAAAAATCGCAAAATCGCATCCCGTGATGCTTTCATGTTGCGATTGCCACACCATCTATCGATGTTTCACCAAAGGATGACCCGCCGGCTCGAATGTTTCCCTCATATCGCCTTCTGGAAGCGTGTCTTCTTGTGCGAAAACCTTCCCATCGACGACTCTGAGGGTTAGCGTCAGGAACAAGGGGCAAGCTAATTCACCCAATCAACCCTTCCCAACTCCGGGTAACCTCCAAAAGCGGTCGGCCACCAGTGGGTCTGCTCGCTTTCTCATTCGTCGACTTGCCCTGGTTGGCGCATTCTCTCCAGCCTGCTGGGTAGCCAAGTCTCTAGCGGTAGCCTGCTTGGTTAGTGCCACAGTCGGTCTGGGATCATCCCATTGTTTTGAGTTGTACCGCACTCGACCAAAATTTGGCCAACGTGGGACAAAATGAAGCACGAGAAACTCAAACCATCTTTTAGACTGGCTCGGCATGCATAATTTATGATGTAATCTCTGGTCGGCGATTTTGGGTGACATACAGAAACTCGCGATAGGTGACTGTCGACTTATCGGAATCCCTCGTATTCGTCTGTGATAATATCGATGAATGCGTCAAAGGCTAATTATGATTGGGTTGGGAGCTTCGCCATTCGTTGCCATTAGATCCGATCCCATCAATCGGATAGACTCGCTTGCTTCAGTAAACGAAACTGCATTGTGCTAGGATCCAGGTTGCAGTTTTCGTAGCTCGGATGCATAGTGCTTGGATCTCAGCTGAAGCCACAAAACTGGCTGAATTAGAAGGTGTTGGTCTCCTCGAAACTACGAAAATGAACCCTTGTGCTGGGTCTCTGGTGGGTTCACAACCAACATGGGTTCTTCAACTTCGGAAATAATGGTCTGAGATTTAGTCCCCCGGTGTGTAGTTCAAACTTAATAGTCTTGTACGGCTGTTCGGGGATCCCCATGACATACAACGGTAGCACGCGTACCGGCTAGCTAGGGATTGAGGGAATCCTTCACAACCGGTATTGCAGTTTGACTGCCAGTTGCAAACCGCCTATCATGAAGTTGGACTCCTAACATGGCGTGAACGTGTATCATACCAAAAAGTATCTATTGAACCATAAGTTGTTCCGTACAATTTTCAGAAAATGCATGACGATTCCTTGATTCTAGAGCATAGCTTTGTTCTATTTTCGGAAATATCCGACTTCATATTATATACGGGTCATACCGTGCCGCAGGTGCATCTTTAAAAGGCAACTTTATGTGCATGTCGAGCGCAACCCAGCGTACGTACCTGTTCTATTTCACTCAAAAGTAAGCTTATCAGAAATTCGAAAATGCCCGTCCAATACATCTAGGATGATCATGACTCGCGATTAGGTAACATAATCCTACAACCGGCCAGGCTCTTACTTAGAGTTAGCTTAGTTTAGGATTCGTCTTTTTCGAGATACCTCGGACTCTATGCCGACCCTTTAATCCCGTTCAGGCTATGTATAATTGTTGGTACTACGGGATATCATTCTAAATTCTTATTTCATCCTTACTACCTAGATATTCGCACATATCCCTGATCCTGTCGACATCGTGTCATAGACATATCAATTTCCCAGCCTGGGTTTTCAAACATGATATCTTACTCGCGCCTCCGAAACATTCAGGCACAAGAATCAATCACTCAATCAACAACGGCCATCGGTTTCGGCATGACACGTGTGTCACAGCCTGAAAGGATATGATGCTAACGTAGGAGCAATAGCAACATCCAACGGTGTTACCTCCAAGGTACACAAATGCCATTCTTGAAGACAGGTTAATTGTAGGCAGGCTGCCGTTCTGTGTTGATAGTACAATTATCCAACATTCGGGAACTACCAACCCAACACATCTCTTAGGGGATCTCTGGAGCTGGTGTTTGTGAATTGCAATTAGACATAAAATTTTTCATGGATATTGAAAAATTTGTTCGAAACCTGGTATATTAGAGTCTCGGAACCGGGGTTCATAGATCAGTTTTCTGATTGGAAATGTAGCAGGGGACCCCGAAATAGATCTGCCCTGTGCTCGAATCGAAGCAGATTTATAGTCCCTGCCCGGCAGATCGATACGAAGCAACCTGCCAATTCTGTACATTCGCACACTTAACTCCACGCACGTGGCGAGCAAAAAAAAGTTCTTCATCGATGCTCACCAACGGACCTGACTCACCATCAACCATCGACAGATATCGAGCCAAAAAAAATAAATCGCTGGTCCATAGAGGGCTCGAACCTCTGGCCTTCGCGTTACAGGATTAAATTCCTATTAGCACGACGCTCTAACCAACTGAGCTAAGAGACCATTGATGTCTCGGAGTCCAGATTTGGTAGCTACAACGCTAACAGCAGAGGGCCGGTTCTGAATCTGGAGGGAGTTGATTATATAAACGAAGTGCCACCGCTCTGGAGGAGTATTGCAGCAAGGACAAAAAAAAAGAGTTCTGATTGACACTTATATACTGACTCGCACTCTATAACGCTAATCATCGCGGGATATTGAGCCAAAAAAATAAATCACTGGTCCATAGAGGGCTCGAACCTCTGGCCTTCGCGTTACAAGGTTTGATTCCTATTAGCACGACGCTCTAACCAACTGAGCTAAGAGACCGTTGATGTCACGGGGTTCAGATTTGGTATCTACGACGCTAACAGCAGAGGGTTTGAATCTTGAGGGAGTGGGTTACTGCAGCGCAAGATTTGGGATGGGTTATGTTTAGAACTTTGGGGCCACCTTACTTGAATACGGTACTACCGCTAGATCAAGATTTCCATTCTTTGAGGGATTGATTTTGATTCGTACACTAAAGGATACTGTGCAGAGGCCTGGTTATGGTGTAGCGGACGAGTAGATAAAAATTAAATCACATGATCATATGAAAGTCTTAGTATGTAATAGTCTAGCAGAGCGTACCATTCTCATATGAGCAAGTACATGTATAGTATCATCGTGCAGCGTATCTGGCCTAGAGACCCCGGTTCCTAAAAAGGATATTCTTTCGATGGATCCTACGTTAAACTAGGACGTGGATTAGGGCCAAATAAAGACACAGATATAAGTTGAATGAAGTTTCACTTGTGATTATAGTCTGTTTAGAACTTGATGTTACGATCTAGGCTTTGGTTATAGACTGGTCTTGGTCTAGGGGCGGGTGCGAGTTCAAGACCATTAATACATCTATATTTTCGTTCTGGCTTCCGCGACCATATATTATTCATATTCTACGAAAGTTTACTGGGGAAGTTTAAAAGGCTGTCAACCGAATTAGACGAGATAGTTGTTAGTTATAGCTGACGTCTGGTAGAAGACCGGTTGTGTATTTTCATAGTAATTTGAGTACTGGATGTACACCAACAAGACAAGCTGAAGGATTTTACTTAAATTTGTCTCAGATCCTGAATATTATAACAAGCCTATTATATGGTATTCGTTTTGGTGTGTTCAGCACCCGCCCAAACAACTAGACTAATCCAGATGCTATTTCAATAAATACTAGTCTAGAAATGGGGTTGGCGTTTTAGCTGTTGAACCACTATATGTGATGCGATTGGTGTTCATATCCATAGCCAGCTAATATCGAAACCTAGAAACTTGGTCTCCGATATGGCAATACATATTCTATCAATTGAAGTACTGGCTGGCTGGCCTCGAGAACACTCAATGCTTGACTCATGAGGTTTAGAACTAGAATGTTGTATTTTGTGCGTTGCATTTACCTCGCTAACCAATCGCGCGAAGGCTTGGCAAATCTCGAAATCCTGAGCATGGGTCATCGTTTGCTACACATCACGTCTTCCCGAACTCGTCAACGTCTCTTCATTCAACCCTCGACTCCACAATTGCGCCTTCAAAACTACAGCAGCCGTCGCTATAATACCCTTTATTCTTAGAAATGGCTCCTTCTGCCGCCGATATCCCGCCTCCGATTACCATTGTCTCCAACGAGGAGGCGGCAAAAGCTCCAGCAGGCGTTGTGCTACCGCCCAAGGAAATTCGAGGTATGTTGTGCATAACTACTTCCTGTCTTCATCGCCCGGTGTCTGATAGTTTCATATTAGGCTGAAGGAACTCTATGCTAACACCTGGCTATCATAATAGCCATTGTTGAGAAGACTGCAGGATACGTCGCCCGAAATGGCGAAGCTTTCGAGAGTACGTTCAACCCACCCTTCGCCATATCGTTTTTCGGATACTAACCCGACATATGTAGTGAGAATCCGTGATAACGAACGAACGAACCCCAAGTTTTCATTTTTAACTCCTGGAGACCCCTATAACCCGTTCTACGTATGGCGCCTCGAAGAAACGCGTGCGGGAAGATCAACCGCCGTCGCGGCTGGTCGTACTGATGGTGCTGCAGCTCCTGCCCCAGAACCCGAAGCAGAGCCTGGACCGACTCCACCACCCGAATTTCAATTCTCGGCGAGAATGCCAGCTATTAGCGCGCAAGATTTGTGAGTTTGGCCCGACTATTTGCTACCATAAGATACTAGGCGGAAGCTAATTGGAGGTACAGGGATGTACTACGATTGACAGCCTTATTCGTTGCAAAGAATGGTAGACAGTTCATGACAACTTTATCACAGCGTGAAGCGCGAAATTATCAATTCGATTTCCTACGACCAAATCACTCGTTCTACCAATACTTTACCCGCCTCGTCGACCAGTACACCCTGATTCTTAGCCCCACCGACAAGGATGAGCGAATGGAGCAGCTCAGGAAGAACTTTGAGGACAAATTCCAGCTGATTGACGCTGCCAAACAGAGGTCGGAGTGGGTAAAGCATCAAGAGGAAGAAAAGAAGAAGCAGGAAGAGGAAGAGGACAAGGAGAAATTGGCATATGCGCAAATCGATTGGCATGACTTTGCTGTTGTTGAAACAATCACATTCACAGAAGCCGACGATCACGCCGATTTACCTCCCCCGACTTCACTTTCTGATCTTCAGCATGCTTCCTTGGAGCAAAAGGCGTTGATGTCGTTGAATAGCAACCAACTTCGCATTGAAGAAGCCATGCCAACAGCTGACGATTATGACTCTGGAACTTACATTCCGGGACCCATCCAGGAAGAGGAAGAGGAAGACGAGACTATGGACGTGCCTATGGAACCAGATTCTGATAACGAGGACGAAGAAATGGCAAGAATACGCGAGAGAAGAGAGGCACAGGCTCGCGCCGAACAGGCTAGAGCTGAGGCTCAAGGTGGCACAGCGCCCATGAAGATCAGGAGCGATTACGTATCCCGGGCAGCGACAGCTGCAGCGAACAGGCGTGGTGCGGCACAAACTACCATATGCCCTAACTGCAAACAGCCTATCCCACTTGATGAGTTGGAGCAGCATATGAGAAGTAAGTTCCCCCTTGACATTATCATTTTCCCTAAGTTATTTGCTTTGGTGTGCGTGAAATAGTTACTAATCCTTTGTTTGCGCTATAGTTGAACTTCTGGACCCCCGCTGGAAAGAACAAAGAGCCCGCGCCGATGCCAAATATTCGACAACAAATCTTTCTACTACAGATGTCGCAGCGAACTTGAAACGATTAGCGAGCCAGCGTGCTGATTTATTCGATGTTCAGCCTGGCACCGTAGATGAGGGAGACGAGAGGAGGAAGAAACCTGTTATTGCATGGGATGGCCACGCTGACAGTAGAGAATCAGTCAGATTGCAACAATTGCAGTCCGTCAGTATGACGGATCAACTCAGTGCTCTCCAGAAGAAACAGCAAGAATTCTTGAATCCAACAGTTGGGCCGAGAAGAAATTAGTTTATTGTCGGCCACTCATGTTAGGAGTGCACGGGCACACGCCCGTCTGATCTCTCTCAACCACGGTGTTATTTCTTTGAAGGTAATATGGGGTATGGTATTTTTCTTCTCTCTTCAAGGTGTTCCCTTCATTTGCTTTTCCCTTGATAAGCTTTTTCATTGTTTACATTCTTGTATAATATGGTAGACGGGACACAATATGCAAAACTTTTGTTTCGTATGTGATATCATGAAACGAATAAATAGGAAGCTCTTGGGGTCTCTCTAGCTCCAAGTCTACAATGTTCATACGATATTAGTCTAAGTTGACTATCTGGTATGGTTAGTGGGTATCATTGTCGGTGCTCCGCGAACTTGAGATCTCCAGGCTTCCCATCCGCCCGTCGTATGACATCTAGAAATCCTCTAGCCTTGGAAATAACATCGATTTAACCTATAAGCCTGATATCTAGTAATCCCTAGACCCGTTACCAATATTCACCGATAAAAAAATAAGCTATAGAAAGGAAGAAAAACTACCAAAGCCAACTCCTAAGAAAGATAGAAACGATGAACACAAACAACCCAGCACAAAAGTGGCCGCCATTGGTGAAACCTACTCTCAAAAAGCCCGAACCGGTGAAAGGAAAATCTCTAACGAGACTAATAATCATGAATAAATTCCAAGGCGATAACAAAGTCCGCAGAGCTGATGAACCGGTACACACGGGAGAAAAGAAACAACAATCGCTGAGATCTCGAAAACCCATCCAGGCACCTGCGGGCAGGGAATCCTCGTCTCCGGAGCCAAGGCCGCAAGGACGAAGAATAAAGTCAGCAGTAGAGGAGAAGGAGGAAGAAGAAGCAGATATAGACACGAACCTCTCTCCTAAGGCTTCAAAACCTACGTATGAGGCCGATGACCTAGACAGTGATCAAGACGACAAGCGAGAAGATGAAGGTAGTCCTATAAAAGACGATAGTGCCCTCAAAGACGAAATCCCAAATTTTCCTCTTTTAAAATTGAAAGGGCACACCTTCCCTCGCGAAAAGGTGATCGTTTCGAATAATGCCACAAGCGACGATGAAGACGACGAGCTCCTCGAACGGTGGGCGGCAGAGCCGGTACTTGAGTCTGTCAGGAGCCTACGGAGTATTATACACCCAAACCATCAAATAACTACAGAAAAGTATAGTGTGATAGAGGAGGAGGAGGAGGAGGAGGAGGAGGAGGAGGGGGAGAAGGGGAAGGAGGAAGGGGAAGGGGAGGAGGAGGAAAAGGAGGGGGAGGAGGGTCTTAATCCCCTTTACAATCCCGAAGATCCTATTTATGAGCTCGAGGATTGGGACAAAGTTTATCATCCAGAAGAGCTGTATCATAGGTTAGACCATATGCAGTCTATTGGTGGAATTGATGATGAGGAAGGGTATACTCTTGAAGAATTAATTGAGGATAGAGAAGAAGAAGATGAGAAGGAAGGAGTGGAATGGGCGTTATGGACTATTGCGGCAATTATAGTCGTTCTTATTGCGATTGGAACTGTCGCTTTTGGGGTTGGATGGAAACCTTCCAGTCTCTTGGAACAGATTAATCAGAGGTAGGTATCCTTGGTAGAGTATGGTCCTGTTGGGGGTTTGATGCTAACGTGTATATTTTCCCAATAGCCCAATGAGACTTCCAGGTCTGGGTACGAGACAACCAATGAGACCAAATAGTCCTAGATATACGAATATTAATGTTCCTCAGAACCCCCCTTCCAGGTCTGGGTACGAGACAAAGAACCCCCCAAATTCGAAGGTGAGGGTACCTCCTAGGTTACGGGCGGCGCCGAGTAACTTTAGAGGCTCGAAGGGGATAGTCTGGTATTTTTTCAGAGCGGGTGGGATCATCAAGGAGACGTTCACGACGACGAGTGGAGTGACATATATCACCAATAAGGTGATAGACAAGAAGACTATTTGGGAGAAGATTAAGAACGGGGATTTAAAGAAGACGGCTTTGGAAAGGGTTAGGAATGGAGATTTGAATGGTTTATTTAGGGGGAAGAAGAGGAAATGGTGGTAGTAAAACTATAACTACACTGGCTTGTAGGATGATTAGGGGTATAACTCTGTCGAAGTAATATTATCATGTTAGAATGGAGATGATATTCGTTGAGATGGTTAGGATTTTGGTTACAGATGTTTCATTGCTTATCCAGGTATTAGTCTAGTTCTCTTACATATACTGCAATTGCATTGAGTAATTGTCTTTGGTCTAGTTCTAAATTCTAGAGTCTATAAAGTACACGATACTGTATGCGAGGTCGTGGGTAGTTCTTTAGGCGATCATTAAAATCTATTCTTCGTCTCGAACATCTTCACCTCGACTTTATTCCCCCCAAGGAAATTCATATAAACTATAAACCCAAGCCACAAGGCACAAAACAACGAATAAAACCCCCACAGCGCTTCCCGAATAAAAGAGGTACTCCTCCACCTCCTTGTCGTTCCCCGAAGCGGAACCCAGCTTACTACAAGATACTGAAGTCCAGAAGATATACTCCTCCTATCATCATTATCGATCATCCCACCGATGCCCAATAGATGTGGAAGAAGATATTCCCATGGTATGGAGATAAAAAACCCGAGTAACGGGGTTAAATAGAGATCTCGGATTGTAAACTTGTGAACACTCCATTTTATCCTAAGTATTCTCGCTAGGCTTCTCAAGAATATGGTATCGAATATTACTGCCAGTGCGAATAGCTGCAAACCCCATGACATAAAACCTTTGAAGTTGGCGATATAGAATAGACATGTGAGAATTGGGTATTCTGGCCATTGCATTCGGTCTTGACTGCCCATCCATACGTTGCTATCCGAGGGAGAGTAATAATTTGGGAAAAGGGTTTTAGAAAGTATTTTTCCTTTCTTGAGAATCCTGAGGATAGAATGTGTCGGGCATGGAAGGGAACGATCGTGAGAAAAATTTGGATTCTACTTTTTATATATCAGCACCTGGACCTGTTTACTTTATATTATATATATTCCAAGAAATTATAGAGGCCGACCTTAAATTTAATATCCCAAAACGACTGCCCTGAAGATACACTACATCGATACAACGACGTAGAATCCAACGACCCCATATTATAAAGAGTCCAGATTATCGAAACAGCCGCGCAAGTCGATATTAAAACTTTAAGCCACAAAAATGCACGCCTATTGTGTTCTCTCTCCTCAGCGTCTCTTGCTTCCACCGCCATCGCCATTATTTTCTCCATATCCGCATACTGGCTTGTACTTGTTGATATCGACCTTTGACTCATTGACATCCATCTTTGACTGCGTTGACTATTCTGCGTGGGGACTGTTGAAGTTGTTGAACGGTCGCCTAGGGATTCGGATTCTAGGAGTTCATCGAAGTCGGAGTCGGAAGCTATTGGAGTGAAGATTATTGATGCTTGGGATGAATCCAGCTCTGGTTCGCTATCGGAGAGTAGTTGCCTCATGATACCGGCTGTGGTATGGGGAGTAAAAGAGGAAAACCTTCGAACGATTGTAATTAAGATATATGACAAGCTGAACTGAGGAAAAGGGTTGTATATGTATGGTATTCAACCAATATTAATATCCTATATTAGACTTGATGAGTCGTTTCTCCGTTATACAAATCATCGGTTTCAAGGACGAATTTGGATGATATTGCATTTATTGTATTAAGCCTCGCAAGGTGACGTGACCCTGCATTTGACGATAGAGCAGGTGACTTGGCGTAGGCGGTGACCCATAACCATGTGCGGTTTTGTATGACAGCACAAGACTGGTATCCAGTAACATTTCTAGAAGTCGAAAAACTCCCGTAAGCCCAAAAATTATGGAGGGACTTTGACGTCCCTGCATCTGAATATTTAATTTGTGAAGAAGTGGCACTGCACTAGAATCTAGTCGACGAGTCAAGGTTAGAGCCTGCGTCGGTGCATGCATAGCTCGAGAAATACCACACAGCTTGTGTTGTTCAATCCGACGGAACCTTTGGACCCACGTGATCATTTTCATAACCAAAATTCTATCCGTTTTCAAAGTCGGGATCTTAAATTTAGAGAATTATCTGCCCGTTCGATTGATGCTAAAATCAAGCTGTTTGATGAAGAATTGGTGTCACAATCATGATGAACAGAAAAGCCATCGCAACTTCGAAATGACGTTGTGTTGTTGCTCATACATACCATTTAACTACAACTTCTGATTCGATTTTCCAGCAAAAAGACCCAAGTCCCGTGACCTTTTTGAAATTCAAAATTTGAACGATTTTCAAGATGTAGACCGAATATCTTCAAAATGATCTAATTCGACGATTGAGCCTAAAATCAGCTTGTTTGGATGAAAATTGAGTGTGGGGGATGAGGTTCGTGGAATTCACGTTTTTGGCCATCGCAACATGCGGTGTGGTTGGGTCAACCTAAATTCGGTTGGTCCCTTGGTCGGTCCCTTGGTCGACTCACACCGATCTTTTTTACCGTCCCCATCCCTCACCCCATCCCTCACCCCGGCCTTCATCTCTATCTTCACCTTGACCAACCATTGACGCCACCACCCTCGCTACCTCCACCAGCATCACTGTCGCCTGTGGTATAATTTGACAGTCGCTCGTTCTACCGGAACTTATATACGAAACCGAGAATAATGGCGAAAAGAAAGAGGGCTGGTAAGAAATCTGCCTCCCATAATAACAATCATAATCACCACAAATCTGCCCATCATCGCGCAGCTGCCCAGTCTACCTCCGCTGAACAAGAACACCAGCTCGACTACGAAGATACCGTCACCAACCACAACGATGAGAATCGCGACGACGAAGTAGAAGGAGCGGAACCAACAGCAGAGGATGAAGATTATGTCTGGGGCACCAAACCCTTGAAGTCGAGTAAAGCCGGCTTCTTTGGTAGTGGTCCCAAAGGCTATATCGATCCCAGCACCAACCAACGTGGCGCATTCCCCGAACTTCAGGGAGTCGACGATGATGCCGACCTCTCGGGCCCTGCCATTGATGGTCTATCATACTTACGCATGGTTAGGTAGGTTCTCAGATAAATATCCCCCAATTACTTCCAAACTGCTTTTCTAACGCGCGATTTGATTTTCTCTTGTCCTGGTACTAGGCGAACTTGTGACTGATGTAAGTATCTTATGGTGTTTATAGACATGAAGCTCGAGGGGTCCCGAACCTCCTTACTGCATCGCAGATGACCGGAATCGCGCCGTCGGTAAAAGTCTCCAACATTGTTATCGCCGCACCACTTCCCGCTCCGACCTCCAGACCGATGGTGCCTCAGGATGTTGATAACCTTTTGTACGATGATGATAACGTTGTCGAGTATAATAAGGCCCATCAACCTCCAACTGAGCCGATCGACGCTATTTCGTACGACGAAGCTACAAAACCCGAAAATAATACGGAGCTAGCGGGAAAAGAGCCTGGTAGCCTTTCGTACGATGACGAGAATGAAGATGGCGGTGATGATGATGAATGGGACGAAGAGTGGGACGAAGAAGACCCTTACGACGATCTCTCCGACTCCGACTCCTCCGCTTATTACGTCGATGGGGCGTATATAGCTCGTCCGGTCCCTATGCTTGCGAGGGTTACAACCGCTTCTGCTCTACCCCCACGCACCGTATCTGCGGACTGGCATGCTTCTTTGATAACCAACTTTCACACTACTCGTGAAGCAATCCTTACAACATCATTTGAAGAACCTGAAATTCCATTCCCTATCATTCCAACCCAATGGAAGGATTTTATGGTCGCCAATCAACCCTCCCTACCCGTTCTGCAAACCATTTCCTCTGAAAACGCTATAAAGGCACTGAAGCATCTTCGCAAGTACCTTGGATGGCGAAATGTCAATGAATGGCAGGGGAAATGGATATGGGCGCTCTTGGCTAGGGCAAATGACGTGGGGATATTAATGAATGAAGAAGTCAGTGTTTTGAGGGAACTAGGGAAGAAGGCAGTATTTAATCTTGAGAAAGCTACAGACGCGAGGGTGAAGATTGTGGAAGAAGGTGGAGAAGATTGGTGGAATGAAGAGTTGCAGAGAGGTGTTATGGAATATATGGGTGGAGGAGAACAAGATCCTGCAGCTTGTGGTGGGGAGGGTGTTAAAACTGATGAGCAGGTAGGGTTTCCCGTCGAGTTTAAGATCGAAGATCTCGATTTCGGTGCGGAAGACCAAGATGTAGAGACAGGTGAAGCCGGGTCTGGGGGAGAGGATGAGAGTGTGAAGGAAGAAAGACCAACAAAAAAAATGGCGCTCTTCAAGCCCAGGGCTGTGCAGATACCAAAGCCTTCTAGCGGATCTACGTTGTCGGTTCCTTCAATCTCAGTTATTCCTGCGACACCCGGTACTGGGGACGTGGAAAATCCGATGGAGGACGCCTTGTCCGTAAACCAGCTACTTCCAGATGCTGTCGATACAGCTGATGACGACCTAGCATCCGCACAGCTACAGATGGAGATGGAGCTTGCCCCTGTTTCTAATGACGCTGGTGATGTTGTGGAATCGAAGGATTTGGTTGAGGATGGCGAGCTGGACGCCGGAGCTGTAGATAAGGCGCACAGAATGCCGGATGTTAAAACGGTATTTGCATTGGACATGATTGTCAGTATTGTTGGGGAAGTTTTCGGGCAGAGAGATCTATTGCTCGAGAGGAGGTAAGGATGTTTATGAGCAGTTCGAATTTTATGATTCGTGTTATTACCATTCAGCTTTAAGACATTAAATTTATTTTATTTTATTTTATTTCATTTTCATTGATCGATACTCAAAATCCGGATCTCCTCAGAATTTCAAGTAACCCTAACGGATAATTTAAGTGTTTAAGAATTTTTCAAAGCTATAGCATAAATCCCTTTTTTGTTAGCCTGGGAGCTTGACTGACCTACCTTGCTCCAACCCCAGCCCTCACGTATACCCGCAAAACAAAGAGGGGAATCGAGACAAAATAACTGGTCGGTCAATCTGATCATATGAATCGAATGCATGAATTAGGAATGAAAAAAAAAACAAAAGAGCAATCATGAACCGCTTGGTATCCCGATGTTGTTCCGAAGTGTGCGTATCAAAAAATATAAACGCCTGCAAACTTACGACTGAGCTCATCCTCAACATTATCATCATCATCATCCGTTCCCAGAATGTCCACAACTGGATCTTCCTTCTCAACCATCACATATTCGCTTCTCATATCATCATCTTCCTGTGACCCTTCCTCCTCGTTTTCTTCACCGAACCCACTACGATCCATGATTAGTAACTCTGCCAGGTCTTCTACTCTTTTCTTCTCCTCGCTTCTTCTAGCCCAACCGAGTCTTTTACTCGCCCGTACGACCCTTAACCGCCTTAACCGTCCTTCCATCAATGCGATGCTAATATCGTCGCTTGATATTTTGAACTCGCTGCCCATTCCGCCTGAACAATCTAGATCGATACGTTCTATTGGATGTTCTGCTACACAGTTTTCCTCATCGAAGATGTGAGCAGTCATGAAATCTACCGATGCTGTAAGACATAGTAGATGTGGACATGATATAAGGATTTTATCAAGGAAGTTGTGGGGAAGATGTGGAATCGGATGAAGGACCGAGAGGCTTGTCAATTGCGGGGCGAGCATGTTGATGTATGTTCTTAGTGCACCCATACGGACGAAGGGTAGATGGGAGGCGGAAAATGAGGTTATGGTTGTTGGTGGGGAACCTGATGCTAATATTGTGGAGTCTATGATACAACCGCAGACGGAGAGGGATTGTAGGAGAGCTGGATAGACGAAAGTGCTTTTGACGGTTGGGATGGCCGGGGTGATAGTTTGAGGTGATCGAGCGCTTTGTCGAGAACTGGAGGAGAACATTCCACCGGGTGGGAAGTTTAGGGTTATCAGATGTGGTAGTTGGGCGAGAGTGTGGAAGAAGTCCTGGAGGTCGCAGGAGTCTTGACAGGGAGTTAAGTTGAGGTGGGTTAGCTTTGTGCTATGTCGGAGGGCACGGAGAGCGACGCCATTAAACGACTTTTGCGACCCGGTGAGGGAGGTTATATTCCGACAATGAGTGAGTAAACGGGCGATTGAGGTCCTCAGGTTATCACTATACAACAGCGGCGAAAGGTCGAGGGTTGTAACTAGGTCGGCAAGGTGGTATTCTCTGGAATTCACATTCTTCTTGGGAGGAGGGAAGACAGTCGGAGCGACGGAAAGAACGAATGCATCGATAATCGATGATGTCAGCTTCGGTTGTCGATAGAGAGCCGGATTTGCGGCGGCATTGTATCGATGAGATACAAGACTTGCGGCGTGCAGGGCACCCTGGGAGCTTATGTAGCTAATGATCTCGCATATGATCTCGTAAGGAAGGGATTGGTAGGATGTCGGAGGACAGGAGCTACCATTGCTTTGGTGGTGGCCATTCATAGCCAGCGTGGTTGGCGGCTTCGTTGGTTGAAGCCGTCGTGATGGTTGAAGGATGGTGGTGATGGCGGGGGAGGAGCGGCGAGGGATGGCGGTGAGGTGAGGTTGGCCGGCTTTTAGCTAAGCTCTAGTTTGTAGTGCAAAAGCGGCTGACGGGGCTGCTTAGTCACAGTATAAAATCTTCGTAATCTTGCGAACGTAAAAAATACCACACGGAATATCCCGCATGTAACTCTACGCCCTATTAGGATATAGATATAGTATATATAATTTGGTGGGGATATATTTTCCCTTTCTAATACTAACTGGGGAGCTAAGTAAGTGCTTGGTTATGCAGTTGTGACGACGGTGGCGGTATCATGCATCCATCATGGCCATGGTGAAGGGTCTTCGGCTGAGCGGTATAGCGCGGGTCGGGATCAAGATGTCCCACCCCTGCTCATCCCGAAATCAACAGCCGCCTCTACGTTCTTCAATATCTGCCTCGGCCTCATATCATCCTTCAATGCTGCTTCACCGCCCTCTCTATCCCTCTTAAAAACACCAGTCTCTAGCAGTAGACTATACCAGCCGTATCCATTTGCTCCCATGATGTCACTTCTCGGGTTATCCCCCACCATGTATACTCTCTTAACTCTTGCTTGTTCTCCCATGTCCTTCTTCAAGAGGTTGTTAAGTACGCTTTCGGCATATGCGTAGGTTTCCTTGAATGGCTTCCCGATGGTCGTGGCTCTCAGCTCTTCTCCGTCTGTAATCTTACTCCACACGCCCTCGACTGCTGCCCTAAACCCGCCTTGACCTAATCTAGGCAAGTGGTACTCTCCTTGCCACCATAAATCGTTATTCGACCACCACACGTCAGGTTGGTTGTTGTTCTGATATTTCCCTTTCCCGGGGACTTCAACGCCATTAGTGTTACTGTATGTTCCGAGTTCCCCTCGTGCGGAGAGTAGAAGGTCGATAATAATATGCAAAGTCGGGCCCCAATGTCTGGGATCATTAAAGACTAAAATAGCATCTATGGGTGAGAGAGGTGGAGGGTGATGGTGTGGGTGTTCCGGCGACGATGGATGGTGTAAGTTATTATGTAACTGCGGACACCCAAATGGCCATATTTCCGGATGGTGGTGTAGCAAAGTATGCGGTGTATGAACTGATTTGAATCCATACCTGTCAATTCCAATTATACATTCATACTGTCAGTAATTCCCTTTCTTAAATAAGGATCGCAGCAGTAATTCTAGCAAAGAGAGGTGTAATACACGCTCGATTACCTCTCAGCGACCTCTCTAACACCACCTTCCCCGCTCTTCCCGATCTTGTCATTCTTCCATCCTTCACCTTCCCCAACCTCTTCACCTCCTACGGCCAAGACACTATTATACCGCCCCACGAGTCCCTTAAACGGCGTATGGGATTGTATAAACATATCTTCAGTTATAGGAACATCAAGAAGCCGAGATAATTCCTCCGTTCGCTCGGATTCATGTTTCCCACCACCATTTGTAAGAAGTATAAACGGCACATGGTTATCTTGGAGTTTTCGAAGTGATTTTGTGGCACCAGGGAGGGGGGTACGACCGCGGAGGAGTACACCGTCGATACTTTAATTTTTAGTTATTTGTTAGCGAAGAGGAAGAAGAAGACCTGTACGAAATACGTAACTTGAAACAAGGGTAGGGAAGAAATCATGGGGACTTACTCGAAGGCAAATGCATAGTCTGGTGGTTTGGAACTGTAGTTTCTACATTGTGTTAGTCGGCGGATGAGGGATGGCCTGAGAGTGGAGTGATGCAGGCGCAGGATGGAGAGGGACATGGTTGATTCGCGAGGGATGTGGATGATTCGATGTAGCCATGTGGATTTCGGTCGAATTGGTGCGACATGCAGACGTGCAGGGCGTGGCGTGGCAGGGGTTTCCAACGGGACCAACACCAAATTTCTGTTATAAAATTTGGGTCATTTTATACGGTTAAAACTTCAAACTTTATGGTTTAAAATTCCTAGAAGCTTAAGCAGTATACGTAGATGACGCACCAAGGGCCGTGCACTAGTAGATTTGGCTTCTTGGTACTATAAATGGTGAATTTCTAACGACAGCATAATCTTGAGCTACAGACTTAAAGCCATAAATATTGATTGAATGTATCTTCACACTTCTGGCCCGAGATACCTCCTCAAATATCAAATTAAAATTTGATCTATGGCGGAAAGACGTTCCTAGAAGATTATATTAATCCGCGTGAATGTAAAGGGTGATTTAGAGGCTTATAGCTAAATTTATGTATATGCATCTTCAACCATCTCAAAACGCCATATATTATTTTTCGAAGTACAGTTGGAAACAGAAAACGAGAATCAAACTCTATAATTAAATGCCCCCCGAGAAGATGCAATGCAATGCAATGTCCATGTCTATGAATTTTCACTATCCAATTTACTCAGTATAAAACGCCGACCCCTTTTAAAGCACCATTTCTATATCAATCTCCTCGTCTTTCTTCGCACCCCTCCAATACCTCATCAATCGTCATCAGAATCCCATTTGATCGCTCCTATTTTAGCACATATATCTAGCTCGAAATCGGCCTTCTCAACGGCAGGCGCATAACGGTTCTTCGTTGGTGTATGATTTGGTGTGCCGCTCACTATAATCATAAGTTTAAAACATCAGTAAATTGAAACTAGAAAATCCCCTAAATTTCGCGTTGCACTGTTGTATTATAAAATCGGGAGGGCCCCGCAACATACTCTCTAGATCTTTGCGGACCTTCTTCGCAGAGATGGACCCAAGGCCTGTCTTGAATTGTGCAAAGTTGGGACTTCGGATCTTTCCGATTGTTCTTGGGTCGATTTGAACTGGTGTATCTTCACGAGCTCTCATACGGTCGATCGTAGCGATTGATGGGGGAGTCTTTTCTGTTTGCTCTTTTTCTTTGAATGATGAATCGATAGGGGAAGTTGGAGTGCTTTTTGGGTCCTCTGGATCTTCGACTGTCCGAGCTTTTGTGGATGTGGGTTCCGTAGAGGATTCAGAGTCTTTCGGTTCGGGGTTTAAGGGCTCGTTCTTTGTGGTTTTCGTGGTTTCTTTAGCTGCCTCCGAGGATTTCTTAATTTCTGCCATTTTTTCTTTCTTCTTTTTTGGATTGTGGTTGTGAATGGGAAAGTTGAAGGTCTAGGGGGGTGTGGTGAAGATGTTTTAAATGTAGTTAGGCTGGCTTCGTTAACTGAACCAGGGACCCGAATTTAAACCTTGGAAAGCATGACCATGAAATCAGGAAAACTTTTTAAACTTTTTAAACTTTTAAATAGTATGTGCATATTGAGGTTTAATAATTATACAAAACTGAAGTGTAGATCTATAGAGAATTTATAGATATATAGATCCCTTCGTTTATTGGAGTATGAATTTTCGAATCATATTGTATAGCCACCAATATCTCTAGACTGCGATCGTCGAATGTTCATACTAACTCTATCTACTATTATCTCTATTAACTAGCAATATAAGCAAACCGATATTAATAGCGGAAATGATATATGTTAAATTATTAGTACCTTATATACCCAATTAGCAAAAGTAAGTGAGATCCGCAAACACATGAGGATTAAAGTATCATTTTCATAGTCGCTATGATCCCAACGAAACTGCTAAGAGTTAGATCCAGATCTAAAAGAACTACTAGGACCACAGGCAAGAAATTATATAACCAATTCTACATTTACGGCGCAGGATATGCTACCCCGCCGCAAGCAATACTGAAGAACCGCCAGTTGCGCCGCCATGGCCACAACCGCCTCGTTGTTTCTTCATATGTCTACGCATCATTGTTCGATAGAATACCAAGGTTGTTGGCGAAGAACCGAGATAACATATAAATTCATCCATGGTATCATCCGAATCATAGTCTTCTTGAATAATATTTGGTGAGGGAGGTCTAGGTGCTGAAGGAGGTGAGTTATTTTCCTTTTTATTGGTTTTAGTTAGAGTAGTCGGTGTGGTTTTAGGCGGTCGTAATCTTCGGGGCACATTTATATCTTGAAGAGAGTTTTAGTATTCAGCCACATCATAGAGCTGATTATACGGTATTCTATTAAGGAATTGAAGACATTTATTTGATACATACCTGGAAGTTGACTCCAATCTAGCCCATGTAGTTTAGACTCTTCTTTCTCATAAACACTCCCAAACTTCGGCCGTCGAGGAGGAGTGCCAAGACAGCGATAATTTAGAGCCTCAATTCTTGCGACAGTCACAGAACCTATTGGTCTTCTCTCCCTTGGAACCCGTACCGTCGAGCCTTGAAACTCCTTTGGACATGGTATCATTAAACCAAGGGGCCTTACGATTGGTGTATATGGCCAAATAATCTGCCGTGGAGGCGTTCTTGGATTTAATCTTTGGCGTTTCTGTGGAGGGCTTGCAGTTGTGCATGTGGGTGGGTCTTTACATTGCAGGTTCTGGATTCGCTGCGAACGGCGTAGTTGTGCTGAGTGTGATGTTAGTGGTATATTAGAAGCAGGTCGAAGTTCGACTTCCTCCACTTTCACCGGCTCTGGATCCATTTCATTTGTGTAATTGGACATTCGAGATCTCGAGAGTGTCTCTTGATCATTTCATCTCCCTAGTTCTGGTACTATCTCCATGTTTACTCATTTTTGGGGAGCGAACACTTTTTTCGTCGGTGACAATATGTATACGTCTGTGACAATTTTTTATGATTCGTGAATGAAGTGGAATTGGGATACAAAGAAATTGGAAAGTATTATAAAGTCACGGGCCAAAGAATACGAAACTAATTGTACGGACGGGATGTATATGCTGGTACTTTGTTTCTGTAACGAATTACCTAACTACCCGTTAACGTTGACCGGTCGAGTGAATCTCAAAACCAAACCGTGAGAATCCTTTGAGTTAGGAGTCATGTTGTATTTTGAGCGATCAATAGATGTATGCTACAGTATAAAGTAGTCTCGTATTGTAGACGTGGTCTGAGTATAAAGAAGGTTACCCTCAGAAGTTTTAGTGCCAGAAGTAGTACAACTGCGCTGCATGCACTCGAGCTCCAAACAACTAAAACTTGACATTTATTTTGCTTGGTAGAATTATGTTAGTGAAGGAAGTACTGCTTCTTGAGGCACAAATCCAGATGAATTCTAACGTTAAGCACTTGGCTTAGAATCCGAAGGACTGAAAGACAAGACGGCAAAATAAATCGCCAGCTATGAGGCCAGAATTTAACTGTATCATTTCGTAAACTTAACCCTGTGTACGTATGACATAGCAGCGACGTAATCACTGAGCGTCGGTATTTCACAGCAGTCTCGTTATCAAAGCGAGCAAGCAGATAGGCACCTAGGTAGCCCCATGATTTTAGCAAGAAACATGTTGTTCTGGACTATCATTTTCGAAATTACCTATAGATACATACGATTTAAGATTTAGTCCAGTCACAACCTCGAATCGATGCTCGGGTCCAAACGGCGTAATGCAAATAATTCCCGTGGACTGATATGCATAAGCATATGTACCTAATAGGTTTGAATATTCCATGGCTCTAGGTCTAGCGAATGTGTCTGCGAGAACTGCATAGGCTCAATTCTCCAGATCCGCTTATCCGTGTTTACGGGCCTATAATATGTTGAGTTTAATATCATAGAGTTATATTATATTGCAGAAAATAGTTGCGAGCGTAATATACCCAATTCCCAAGGAAACAGTTTTTTTTTTGGCCGCGGTTTCGTAATAGCCGCGCCGAAGTTTTACTCCACACCGTACCTTCACGATTGCCGTTTTTGTTAAACCTTGAAGATGTTTTTTCGGTACCGACGTTTCACGTTCTATGGTTCGCGGGAAGCGGTTCCGCCTTAGCTGTTCTTGGCCGACAGGCATTACCTTAAAGTCTCATTCGCTCATAGGCTTCAAATATAGAATTTCGATCTAACATCGAGGTCTGAGGGTTTTCGATGCTTTTTGACTTTATTTACCTTCTATTGAATTTCATATCGGATGGCGCAGCTGCAGGGAATTAGCCTGCCGAGGTAGTTAGCCGGTGCTCTCACGGTATTATGGCCATTGGTGGAACTTTTTTCGCCTGAGAAGTTGAAATTGAAGATTATATAGGAGGTTCTTAAGGGATGAGAGGCAAAAATGCTAGCACTTGAACATAGAATAGCTTCATTCTCTATGCATCATTTTCTAAAATCTCGCACTCACGGTAGCCCAGTGTGTCTTGATCCCGCATCCCGAGCTGCGTATTCAATTGTTAACTTGCAACACGGGCTTGGACAAAATCCAACAAATTGTATACTCGAGCTCTTCCTCCCCACAGTATAACAACTTTCAAATATATCGGAACTGGAAGGAGGGTTAACGCTCAAAATGTTTTATTCCAGAAATAGTTTCACATAGGATATCTGAGCCCGCCTCTTAATATTCCATATAGGAAGCCTTTGTTCAGCACATGGCCTAAGCGCGGGAAATATCAGACGGTGCCAAGCAAGATCCTCCAGATTGAAGCCAGGATCTAGCCTGATAGACCAGCAGCCTGATCATCTTATCGAGTCTTACCGAGTATACTTCAACATCTCCTGGATCCACAAGGACAAAACAGGAGCGTCTTGGCGAATATATGTACGCAACTTTATTCTTGGAGGCGGAAAATAATAATAAAGTTTGGCCGTTCCGTGGATCAAAAAAGCCCACAGTTGTGGGGAACTCATCGGCCCTCTCGCCCTTTATGGATCGTTAGGCGGGTATGTCATAGATAGCACGAAAAGAAGTCAGTGCTCTCGGGACTATGATACTTCAAAGATCCGAGCGGAGAAGATATATAAAGGAGAGCTAGAGCTCCATTGTCGTGATCTCCTTATTGTAGAATCCACGAAAACAGAGCTCGAGAAAAGGTCTTTCTGCTCCATTACCTCTTAATTTAAATATTAAATTTAATTTAAAGCTATACAAAATGCAAATCAGCACATTGAAGCTCATCGCCCTTGCGGCTATGCTCCCATCCACTCTTGCCTGTTTGGGATACACTGGCGGTGTGCCAAAGGCTACTACAACCAAGACTAACAGCAAAGTCATTGAAGTTCCAGCTGGAACCGTTTATGATGGCGGTTGGGCCAGATTTGACCGTGGAAGCGGTGCTTGCAATGGCCAAGCTGAAGGAGGTAAAAACCCCCAGCATTATCTGCTGACTTAGAACCATTCGAGTTAATAGCCTTTGTCCTGAATTTAGGCGATGCCGATGCTGTTTTCTTGCTCAGAAAGGGAGCTACCTTGAGGAACGCCATCATTGGAAAGAACCAAGCTGAGGGTGTCCACTGCGATGGTCCTTGTACTCTTGAGTTCGTCTGGTATGTTTCCATTTACTCTAGACTTGTTGAGGATAATATGAAAAATCGCTCACATCATTGTTATAGGTTTGAGGATGTCTGCGAAGATGCTATTACAGGTACTTTCGAAAGTCCTATCTTACACGGCACTGCACTAAGTCGCAATTAGCTAACGAATCTGCGGTTATTAGTTAAGAACGACAAGGCTGGAGAACACAGCTGGATCGTTGGAGGTGGTGCTTACCACGCTAGCGATAAGGTCCGCAACTTCCTGCGTCGAAAGCTCATTAAGCCTAAATGCTAAATTTCTTTAAACTCTAGGTCGTCCAACATAATGGCTGCGGTACCGTCAACATTATCAACTTCTACGTTGAAGATTACGGCAAGCTCTACAGATCTTGCGGAAACGTAAGTTTCACTTTATACGAACCATTTAATTCAACGAACAAAGGCTCACAAATCTACTATTTTACAGTGCTCCAAGCAATGCAAACGTAACGTCTATATCGAGGGTGTTACTGCTAAGAACGGTGGTGAACTCGCCGGTATCAACTTTAACTACGGTGATACCGCCACCCTCAAGAACGTCTGCTCCGACGCCAAGGTTAAATGTCAGGGATACACTGGATGCGCCGGTGGCTGCGAGCCCAAGAAGGCTGGTACTTGCTCCGGTTAAAAAAAATATATAAATGAGAAATTTGGAGGCGCTGTTTTTCTGTACATATATTTCACTAAGCCGAAGTTTGATATTTCAGCTTCGGGTTTAAAATTTGTATATTGAACATCGGGACATGCGGGATGTATGTGGAGATGTACATTACATGAACATTGCAATTTAAAGCAATTCCATTAATTTTATTTGAGGTGATACAAATTTCAGACTATATACAGCTAGCTGAGGCTCGTGTCTTATCCTACAATGATTTAATATTTTTGTATGGGTTCCTAGCTCGTTAGGATCCTAGGATCCTGTGGTTTCGAATCTTGTGTGCAATGTTGTGTTACTGTGGCTTTTATTTTATTAGATTAGTAGGTAGCTGAATTAGCTCCTATATACTTATTTAAGTAGCAATAGGCTTCAGATAACACTCAACGTGCATGGAAAATTGCATAAAGTAGCCGTGTAGATGGGATAGGCTAATAGTATATGGGCATTGATTTTATGTTCTCTGCACGTATGAAAGAATATTAAAGACTGATCCCACTAGGCTTGCTAGCTATCAAGCCCGACAAATTGGACCTGCTGCTGGTACTAGCTAGCTGGCTGCCTGGTTGGTGCCCGACTAGCGGCCAACAAGTAAAACTCCTAATGTCATACTAATCAAATAAGATGAATCTGAACAGGACTGCGAACATCTCTATTTCTATACTATTTTAGGATCCTTGATCATTCAATCAACTTCCTTGTCTCTTCTCTTTCTCTTCTTCGGGTGACAGCGGATGCCCCTCGACCTCTTTCAAAGCTATCTTTCTAAGCTTCTCGCTCAACTCACTTCTCATTAATACGACATAAAAATATGCCTGTTGCCACTGTGAAAATTTAAACGCCGCATAGAGCATTGGGGTGCCAATTTTGAAAGCCAACGCCCAGTCGTCCCAGATCATCCAGCTGATATATATGAACATAACAGTCTGCACATTATTGAGAACGAAAAGCCACACCGCTGTTATTTTATAGACGAAACAGAGATAATCGTGGTGGCCTCGAGCTAATCGTAATTGTATTAGAGCAAAAACTGGTGCAAGTTCCATTACTACGTCGAAGAAACCTGTCAAATTAGTCCGTATGTTAGTATTTGACATCGAGAAAAAAATATTAAGAAAAGCTGTAGCTTAATTATTGCTAAGCAATTAGCCTATATAGCATACGTACCCCATAGAGTGATAATAAGAAATTGATACCGAGCATTCCTATGTCCATGAATGACAAGCGTAAGAGTACTCTGCGCCGTCAATATGGACCCCACATGATGTATCCAAGTAGCAATAGAAAGCCTCGATCGATGTATTATTTCAAAAATATAAAAGCTTGGTAAATTGCACATCGCAATAACAATGCAATCGCCCATTGTCAACCTTCCTCCAAATATGTGGGCCGGATCAGACAACTTCGATGACCCGAACATTATGAAAATGAATGGATACAGCCCGATTGCTACCATAACTGCCCGAATTAGCGCCGCTAGGTGGAGGGTTAGGAGTGCGCGCTTGGTGGCCTCTGATGATGGACCCCACATATGAGCGTAAACATGTGGGAGGTGCGGCTCGAGAATTGCATGTTTGACGATGAAGAGTGTGACGATGCTTATTGTGAGTATGATGTTTGAGTATGGAGCTAAAACAGAAATCGGGGCAGGATCGTTGTTTTCGGGGCTGTGACGGACTGCAAAATCGGAAAACGGCATGTTTAATCCAAGAAAATATAATAATAGAGAAATAGTTTGATGATAGTTTTATGGAGCAGGTGGGGGGGCATGGTACTGAATCAAAATTTTCAAAGGGTAGTTGATCTGTTGATTTATATATTATATAAATTTCTAGCTTCGATTGTCATAGCTGTGGCCTCAATTTAAATTTGAAGCTTCAGAAAACGGGTAGTTCTTACTAAGGTCTGGTCCCGAGACCAGTGCTTACTAAGGAAAGTTAGGGAAAAACATGAAAGGGGTGCAGTGAACTGCTTTGACAAAAGTAGTAATTTGAGCGAACGGCTGAACCTACTATGGCTTCTTAGATCCATGTTTAAATCTTGGCCTTTGAAATCTATACCTTCAGCTGAGGATTTAATTGAGACTACATGTATCGTGATAAAATTTTATAGACCACTACAGCAAGACTATACATATATGATGAAGGATACACGGGTCGCAATTCTAATTGCCAAGCGATGCGCGGCTTCTTCGTCAATTCGCACTTCGCGATTCGGCTCGTCAGCAGCTGCAAGACTTGTAAATCGTGATAACATAAGTGGTTTACAAATCGTCTAGTCGATGACTAATTAGACAGCGCTCTATAGTCTCTTGTCCTTTATTATATACATATGAAATCAGAGTTCTACATCCTATATCAAAAGGAATACCCAGCTCAAGCGGAAAAAAGGCTAAAGGTAACTGACATAATCGGTGACTGGGTATGAGTTGATAGTGCGATAGATAGAGCAAGGATAGGTAAGCTGATCACAATTTTTTGGTCTTATCTGAGCTTAAGGTCAGGCAAGCTCTTCTATAACCTTCTAGACCAGGTAGTACAAAAGAAAGATATGATTACTCAGTACCCCGTCGATTATCGAATTTAAAGTCGACGTTCGACGTTCAGAGAGCTGTTGCATTTTTGAGAGTAGCAACACAAAAACGGCTGCGTGTTTGTAAATCTATTTTAGGGTGTTTGTCTTTGTGCCACCAAGAGATCCATCACTGCAGATTGCTTGAGAACTGGTACCCAAAAGGCCGGTATGTAGAAAGCAGCCTCGGGTCTCAGTCTACCATCTTGCTTTGTTTAATTTGGACAATGGCCTTTCACAGGTGACCATTCCATTATCGTCAACTATCTCCAATATCGGACCAAAACGAATCGCCGGCGCGAGGGTATACGTCGAACATTCTATGATCGTCGTTGGATCCTCGTCCGCATCCCTTTTGTTCATGCAAGGGTTGTGTGTGGCTGTTAGCCCAATCATGACTCCACTCCCGGTCTAGCTGCAGGTCTTTTGACCCTGCCAAGCGCCTTCTAATTTCGGCTGTCGGTTCGTTGGCGGCCTGGATCTCGAATAGGAGCTCAGAGATTCCACCACAGAATTCGCGGAACCGCTCTTTGAAGAAGCTTGGATCTCTTGAATCGATCTGGAGATTTCCTGCGGCTGATAACTTGGTCAATTCTTGAAATTGAATTTCGATGTCGAAACGATTTCAGCGACGCTTCAAGAGTCGAGGGAGGTCAAGTTTTTGGAGCGGTTTGTGCTTCAGACCTGTCAACCCGTTGTCGTTTGGAGCTGCGGGGCAGTTTTGATGGGCAATCTCTCATCTGTCACGTTTAAACGGGCAGCACTAGTTTTGGAATGGCGGCCCCAGAAGGGTGCGAGATACGGGCAAGATGTGGAGAAAGGAATCTTCGAAATGAAGACCACCCCGTTAGCGTCACACGTGAATGCCTTTAAAATCAACCTGCAGATAAGCATCTGGAAACGTCTTAGAACAACGTGCTGATGACAGGCGAGGAATGCAGTTGAGAGGTGTCATTGATGCTTCCGGCGGGGGATGGCCTCGTTCTCTAAAAATTCATGGATACGAAAGACAAAGATGTCTATGGAACAGACCTGATCGATCCCTCTAGTGCGTTTAGCCTATCTTCAACGGCCAGATTTCCATGGTGGCGATGGGTGGTTCACATTGCTGTGAGCCAGGGGCTCCTGCTCAAAGGAAGGGTTCGAAACTCCTCTTGTATCGAAAATCAAGGGCGGCCCCCCCTTTACCATATTACCTCAGAAGTTTGTGTAGTGTGGAACCGAACAAACTTAAGGCCACTATTATAGCCAAAAAATTGAAGTTGAACCTGGCAGCAGCCGACGCTGTTGTGAATCGGGATTAGTCAAGTGTCGCCAGCCGCATGGGGTACAGATAAGGAGAGAAAGGCGGTAACAATTTGGGTGTGATGTCCATCGGGTTTTTGCCAATGGGAGCGACTGTCTCATACAAAACTACACCGCCTGTTCTTCAGCCTGATTTCTTTGTATCACGAAGTATTTTCTATCCTTTGAGGTTGGATAGAATCCATTCCTTTCTTCTGCGTTCTCTACTGTTATACATTTCCTTTAAACGTTTAACCCGACATTCTCTTATTTTTTTTATACGTACTGGGTACGACAGCATTATCGCTTAAGTGAAGGGAAAGGAGCTGTGGAACAGCGCCTCTGGATCTAATAATCAAATAGCCTACTACACGAACGGATTGGTGTTCATTTTGCTTAGGAGGATTCTTTCAAAGGGTACCGGATACATACTGAACGAAATCGGTCTTTGCTTCGACATCGAGAAGGCATCGCGCGCAGACGGCCACTTTCTTGGGAGCGAACCGCGGTACCGGAGCTCGAATTCAAGCAGTTCTCGCGACATCACCAAATTGTGCAGGTATCACGACTTCTGCACCAACATTGTCAATCACATCACCAGTCTTGGCTGGTTCGGATCACAGAGTTTTTAGGCACAGGGCTCTCAATTTCAAATCCAGTTATTTTGACCATCGCCCGGGACTAGCCCTTGAGTCCCTGCGACCGTTTTTAGGATTGAGCAATTGAGAGGGTTGGGATTAGTTGCGAAATCTTGAAGTCCAAAGCGTCAGAGTGGGACCACGAAACTGTCTCATGCATCTATGGTGAGCGCGTCCCTCAAATACCCGAATGCTTCATCAATCTTTTACAGTCCTCTGGCACTGGCTCTTGCTTTAAATCGTCAAATGTATCAAGTTTACCACTGTCGGTCGTGATACAACACAAAACACTTGCCCCTGTTGTTTCAAACAGTCAGATTCCTATATCGTGGACCCTTACCGACAGGTACCATGGTATCTTTGCTTCTATCATTGGTTCTTCACGAATGCGATACTGCTACGCGATTTTTGATCTTCTAATCGAAAAAAATATATTTGAAAGTACTCTAGCTAAATGTTCACGACTTACAGATTTATATACAATGAAATCCATATTGAGTTGACACCCACGTTTTCCAACAGAGGCTGCACGATCCCGTCAACTTCGTGACACTCTCTTTACCAGAATCCTGGTTTTCCCGTTTCCGTTTTGGTTTCTCTGGGTTTCTCTAGGATTTACCCTAGTCAATATCTTACAACATGCAGAATTTCGCAAGACGGTCTTACGACCAGTCCAAAAATACCCTTGGCCCTCTAGACGAGGATCCTATATATGAAGACCATTCTCCTCAAGCGCTGAGGGTGGTCAATGGAGGCATAGACCCTAGGCATATGCGTAAGGGGAGCTACATTGAGGATGACTCGTACGCTGTACCTCTACCATCTCAAGAGTATGGCGGCTTGCCTGAGTTTCCAGTATATACAAAGGGTGGGGCGACTCCTGATGTTTCAAGAAAACGAGATTCTCGAGATCAATTGGCAGCAGGTGGCCGATCGTCGGGCCGCACTGGACGTTCGGGTGCTAGAAGGTCCCTCATAGTTGGACCGCAGCCACAGCCTCAATTACCATCCAACTCCCCAAAGTCTGTATCGAAGCCTCGATTTCCGGTTAATCCTTCAGGAAACACTGAACACTACCGACAACAACAATATCAACAGCAAACCCAAAATAATTCTAGATCTAGTCGACATTTAAGTCAAAGCGTTGCCAGCCCGGGTCTTGGTCGATATAGTCCTCCGCTAGAAGCTGATGAGGACGCTGAATACGACGAAATGAGAGCTCGATCTATTATGATCGGCTTCGAAGCCCCTTCACCTAGTACCACTGCCCAAAATACACCGAATGGACATCAATTTCCTCCTCAGCCACAGAATTTGGCACCTTTCCATAATGTTGGCAGAGGCTCGAGAACCTCAGCTTCTAGTACCAACTCGGCCGTTGCAGGGAAACGTGGCCATGCAGCATCTTCGCATTATTCACAAGTATCATATGTCTCTACTATTCCCGAGGAGGCATCCGAATATGGTCGTAACGCTCATAACTCCTATGCCTCCTCTCATGTAATACCCTCGAGCTGGGGCTCAGCTGTTGGAGGGCTTTGGATACCTGCATCGAACGAGGAATTAATGAGTGATGCATCTTCGATATCGAAGGGTAGCAATAAGAGCCGGAATAATGATTACGAGGACTTTGATGAGGGCGCAACTCTTGTCCGACAAGCCAGTATGGGACGGAAACAGAAGCCAAAATTAACAAATGTTCGAGCCAGATCCACAGAGAGATCTTCAGAAAGGTCTTCGGAGAGGTCCTCGGAGAAGTCCTCGGAAAAATCCGAATTGAGGTCAAAGTCCTCGAAGAGCGACTTGGCCAACAACCCGCAAAACCACGGGAGACGGGGTAGTAGTATTGCTTCGTTGAAGCTGGCCGACCAAAAGATGACAGGGAAGTCAGAAAAGATGATGATGGCCTCTCAACCGATTAGCAACCAGATGGAGGTCTATGACGATCTACAACCACCTCCAAAGATCGGATTTTGGCAGAGGTTGTCGGCAATAAGCACAAGGAGCAGTTCTTCGGATATGGCTCCAAAGCCTCTGCGCATTCCTAGTGGGAAAAGCTCATCAGATGAGAGTTACACAACGATGCATGTCCGCAATGGAAGTCAGAGCCCTTCTGTAGCTACTGGCCCGCTCGGTTCGAACTTATCTATCCCACAACCGGCCTTAAACCGACCTCGACCGCCAAGACTTAATATCGACGCTGTTAGGGAGGCAGAAGCGAGAGGCAGTCTGACCAGCTTGCCTGAGCTGATAAGGCGAGCTACCAAACTTGCTGCAGTTCTAGAGACTGGAGCAAGACTAGACAGCAGATGGGAAGGCAGTCGAGCACCGAGCATGATGAGTACGGATACCTCAAACATGCATAGCTATGGTCATGGTCATGGCCATGGCCATGGACACGGTCGATACCAAGAATCCCTTTCAGATATTCTCGCCTCCTTCCCACCGCCACTAGCATCTTCCCGGCACTTATCGAGTCGAGGGACGGGTTGGCCTCTCCCCGGAGACTTTGCATACCTGCAAAGCGAAGAAACATCCGAAATCCGACGGAAACGTAAGATCTGCGGTCTCCCGCTGTGGGCCTTCATATTACTGGTCCTTCTTGCAATCGTTGTCGCAACAGCCGCAGTCATCCTTCCGGTTCAGCTCGTAGCATTAAGCAAGGACAAACAAAAAGTCACCTCACTTACCCCGGATGCATGCTCAAAGACTAACCCGTGTCTGAATGGCGGGTTGGCGAGCGTTGAGGATGGCAAGTGCATGTGCGTCTGCACTAACGAGTTCTTCGGCGCCAACTGTGGACAATCTAATGACCCGGCCTGCACGATAATGCTTATCCAAGAAACAACGAGTAGCGGCCCTGTAAGCCGGAACGTATCAATTGGACTTGCCATCCCAAGACTTCTTGGTATTTCAGACTCTAAATTTAAAATCCCCATCAACTCGGCTACCCTTTCAAATACATTCTCGTCACAAAACACTACCTGCGCTTTGCAAAACGCTCTTGTCATGTTGAATGGCAGAACAAGTCCCCCCGGCACTACTTCGGATTCCCAAATCAATACTGCATCCACCGGAGTCGCCCTTGATGAGAACGTTGTAGACTTTGCAAGAGTGGCGGTGTTATATCTTGCGAGCACTTTAGGGATGCGACAGGCCGTTGATGCACGGGAAAACCTTGGGGCGGTCTTCGCGGACGGTAAAGACTATGGCACTGTCAGAGTTGATGCCACGGCTGAAATTGACCTGACAAAATTACGCATCTCTACTGGCTCCGGCAAGAAGGTCATCGGTGGCCCAGCCTCGAAACTGAAGCACAAACGATCCGAGAATGTGAAGCATGGTCACATAGTCCGGAGGCATAAAATTCCTGGGGGGATCGTTTGAACAATACTCTTTCTTATATCCCGGATCTTGAACCATCTACAAACTTGTGTCGCGAATCGCCTATCCTTATTCAAAAGCACGTCCTTCGAAACATCATTAGCCTCCAGAACCGGCGTTTATCACTTTGACTTTTTCATATTCTATTTCTTACATTCATTTAAGGCCTATTTTATCAGCTAAGCGACATTTTAATAACGATCCTTTTGGCATTTCCTTTTATTTTGTTATTTGGGGGATTTTTTTCGGGATACCATTGTACACTACTACAGCAGTCTACTATCGATATTTTCTTGGTCTTTTATTTTTGGCATCATATATATTGGAGGATTGGTATTACATTTGTCTTTGAGATTGATTTTTTCGTGTATGATAGATATGTAGCGTAAGATATCCCAGTCTACGCAAAGCGGTGGAATAGCCGCAAATATGCATATATTACTCACATACACCTCATCTAACCCGTGCCCTATTTCATCCAGTCTCTAGAATAAATATTTAATTAGGTAAACTTTATATATACATAATCATGATCTAAAGCAAGGGCATCTGCCCTAAAAACCGCCAGTAAGTTTACTCCTTGGAGGGCGTTTCGGCCGGCTTCTCTGGCTGCTGATTATGGGATTTCTTGTCTTCTAAGCGGTGATCCTCAATAGCTTCATCCCCTGCTCCGTCTTTACTTATCGATAATTTATCTAGCTCGGAAATTGTGGCAGTCTCTTCAACCGGTTCATCAATAAAATTAATCCCGAGCTCTTCCCGCATCTTCCTAACTTTTTGGCTTAAACTTCGTATATCTTTTTCGTGGTATTCAATGTCGCTCAATGTCGAAACAAGTTCCATAATAGGTGGTAGACTATGCAGGAAATTCTTCTGGGCTGTTCCCAATGCCATAGGACGAAGTATACCAAACCAACGGAGAGGATCAGCCTTGGGATTGGCGAGTGTTAAAGCAGCGTCACTGTCATCAGGTCTTTCTTTCGGCGTGTCATGATCTCCTTGGCCAACGATTTCAGAGACTTCCTCTTTTTCCGGTCCGATATCTGGACCGTCTAAGTTAGAGGGAGCTTCTAGGTCGGCTTTTTCTGAGTCTACGACCTCAGGCGGCGAAGTTAAGTCTTTCAAGATATATGCCGTAACATCAGTTTCGTTTACGGCTATACCACTGTAAATAGACCGACTTGTTAACAAGTGAGTAGTAGAAAATGAGCAATTATTAAAACTTACACTCCTCGTAGTGCCTGCATTCGATTATCATACATATCTTGCCCATACCGTACTCTGTTTGGCGCATTGAAGTTTGCCTGCGCGAGATTAAGGAAACCCTGCATATATAAGACTTAACATTAGAAACATATTGCAAAACAAGTAATCATCAAGCACGCAGGGAGTGTTCGGATTATTACATCTGACAATGCCCGAGAAATCTCGGCTCTTGAAGCCTGATACTTGTCGAATAGATCGAGGTAGTTGATGATTAAATTGTTGAGTTTGTCTTGAAGCTCGTCCAACTCATGCTGTGTCGCCATTTTTAGGTATCTAGCTGTACCTCCGTCTTCTGCAAGTCCTGGTTCCCAATGTATGAGAAACTAAATGTTGAAACAACTGTGTAGTTATTCAGTCGTGTTTATGCTCTGGAGTGCGGTCCCATGGAGGGTGTACGTCGGCATCGAAGGTACAAGCAAGTTGCTTAACGTTGGTGTTGTCGAGCGTGGCTGTGGCTGATGAAGCTCGAATTTGAGGCTGGTGCATTACCTACGCCATCCACTTCCCAAAGCTACCCTCCGCGTCCTCCACCTCATCCTCCAACATACCAACCCACTTATCGCATTTCAACCCGGACTCTTCATACTCCTGTAGCCTATACTCTATCATCACGAAAATAATCTTAGACTTGACGATACTACCCCTCCCGAAGCCCTTATCACACGATGTCGTCAGAAAGCAACCTGAAACCTGAGAAGGACTGGACGGAGGCGCTGGACCAGCAGCTACCAGAGATAGAACAGCTTGCGAAAGTGCGTACCATCTCATAGCTATCATTATTAGTAGCGTAAAACTAATTCTGCCGCTTCATATAGACCGATCTTCAAGCAGCCATCGAAAAGCTCCTCGCCCTCGAAAAACAGACCCGTCAATCCTCAGATCTAAAATCCACATCACGGCTTCTAGTCCTCATCGTCACGCTGTGCAAGGACGCGGGAGAATGGAAAATTATGAATGAGAATGTACAGCTTCTGGCGAAGAAGCACAGCCAGCTGAAACAGGCTGTTACGAAGATGGTGCAGGTTGTTATGGGATTCTTAGATGATACCCCAGACGTCGATACCAAGCTGGCTGTTATCGAGGCTTTGAGGATCGTAACTGAGGGGAAGGTATGTACAACTCGGCTTAACAGAAATTTACCATGGGGCTGTTGCTAAGTTAGCTATCACTAGATCTTCGTCGAAGTTGAACGCGCCAGGGTAACGCGCATCCTCTCATCTATCAAAAAGTCACAGGGCGACCTCGCAGCAGCAACGGAAATTCTTTGCGAACTCCAGGTTGAAACATTTGGTTCCATGGAACGTCGAGAAAAGACGGAATTTATCTTGGAGCAAGTCGGTCTGTGCATCGAGAAGGGCGATTGGACACAAGCTGCAATTCTCTCCCGCAAGATCTCGACTAGATTCCTAAAGGACAAGACGGTTGCCGATTTGAAGCTGCGATACTATGAACAGCAGATTAACCTCGCCAAGAACGATGATAAATATTTGGATGCGTGCAAGCATTACTGGGAGGTTTATGACACTGAGGAGGTTAAAGAGGATCCGGAGAAGTGGAAGGCAGTCCTCAAGCGTCTCGTGTATTACGTTCTACTCGCTCCTTACGACAACGAGCAGTCCGATCTATTACACCGCATCTCACAGCTTCCAAAGCTTCAGAGCGTCCCCATGCAAAACGATCTTCTCCTCCTTTTCACAAAATCCGAGTTGATGAGGTGGAAATGGATTGAAGAGACCTATTCCGCAGAACTTCTCGATGGTGACATCTTCTCTGCTGAGGGTGGCAAGGACCTCAAGGCAGTTACCAGATGGGAGGACCTAAGGAAACGTGTGATCGAGCATAATGTCCGTGTTATTGCCAAGTATTACACCCGCATTTCGATGGATAGGTTGCAAATTTTGTTGGATTTGAGTGAAGATGAGAGCGAGAATTATCTCAGCAAGCTCGTGACTCAGAAGACGGTATATGCCAGGATTGATAGGCCGGCAAGGATCGTTAGCTTTAAGGAGCCGAGGGATAGTAATGACATTTTGAATGAGTGGAGTGGGAATATGAAGGGACTTTTGGGATTGCTAGAGAGAATTGACCACTTGATTACAAGGGTGAGTGACATATTATACACCTCCATTTGATTTGTTTCTAATGCTAATACACTATATAGGAGGAGATGATGGCAGGCATACAGGGTAAGGCCAAATCGAAGAGGTAAAGTGTAGTTGGAATCAAAGAATATCATCTTTGTGGAGCGGTTTGATATATACATTAAGCCAGGAATGAATTCAAAAAGACAGCATGATGCAATTCTGAAAGCCGGTAACGGTTTATTCGTTAGCATATTTCATCCTTCCACACAAGCCTTCTCGCCGGCTTCGAAACAAAAATAAAGTAATGGTATTATGTACAATATTAGATGAATACAATTGTGCAGTATCCTTGCTCTTTCCCCCCCCCCGCCTTTTTATCGTCGCCCCATCTTACAATCGCCTAAGAGTCGCCAGGGTGGAGAAACATCCAAGAGGCTCCAGAGATTACACCGAGATCCGGAGTGGTGAACTAGCAACCGTCTGAAGTCGTATGAAAAATATACACATTTAAATGTACGCCTTACTGTATGTTTTTCATGTTATTCTCTATCCGACGTATCGTCACTATGTCGCGGGTCGTTTAATCCCACTTGCGTCTCTCGACCTTCTCAACAGGAACAACCATTGGCCTAGGTCCGAAGCCGTATTTCTGTTGTCTTCTTAGAGCCTGGGAGAAAGCGTAGGTGCTTCGTTCGTCATACGGTTGTGTACGGATTGCGGTACCAATCGACATGAAGAAACTGTCGTTTCGATGTTAGATATTTGAATGATTAATCAATAATAAACTCGTGGTTTCGTACCCGAAAGTGGCAGCAGAACCGGCCATATATTGGCCCAAAGACCTAAAGACACCATTGGGACCGGCACCATAGCGGAAGATGTTGTAACCGCCAAAGATGAAGCCAATGATCATACCGACAGCTGGATGAATGTGGAGTCGTTAGTTCGGGATCGGGATGTCGGGTAGATTCCGGGTTTATATCCAGGTATCAAAAGTAGGAGAGAAACGTACAAGTTCCCATCATTAGACCGAGTTTCACTATAAACCGATACCCATTTTAGTAAAATTCTTCCAATTGAATATATACGTGATGCCCATTTTTTTTTTTGTTCAGGAAAATCGTACTTTTGTCGAAGGTGGAGGGGCCATGTTGACCTGCCCCACCACCAGTTGGCATATTAACAGGAACTGGCATGATGACACTTGATGAAGCCTTTGTAGGATCCTTAAGAGGGAAAAGACGTTTGAAGCTTGGCTGGTATCGCTAGAGAATGGCGATAGCTCCGATGGTTGTTGATGATGCCGATGACCTTGTGGTGTGGATGTGCGTGGGGCGCTCGGGGTTAAAATTTAAGAGCGAAATGTGCAGGTGGTTAGGACAACGCGAAATATGCAACATGCTTTAACCTTAACCCTTCTGCACGAACTAGGTTCGGCCTGTATACTATCACGAGATTAGAGCTATCGATAGCTATCTGTATCCGAACTACTTAAGTGCTAAGTTGTAGATAAGTACGTACGTAGTTAGTATGAATCTGATATATATCGAGGTTTCTTTGGAATTTCCATATTCATAAAACCTCTCGCCACCGGGCTAATCTTTGACACCCATAAATATTATAAATAGCTGTCATCTGCGAGGAAATATTTCCAATACTTCAAGTATATGTTTCCCTATTGATAGGCTTTATTTCCCCATCGATAGAACTTATTTCTATCCGTTTTGATGGTTCTTTAATTTGTCGGATTTCTGGCAAGCCGAGCTCGAAATTGGGCAATAATCGTGCCAGCCTTGCAGAGAGAGCATTGATATGGTTGACCGAACACTGGGCATTTTCGAACTATTTAAAGACCTCTTCCTCAGGCCCATCTTCCTCCCTTTCTTTCTTTTCTTCCTCCCTCTCACTTACAACAACCAACATCCTGCAATGGATTTCCCCCTCACAACCTAGACACGACTTCCCTTGGCCTCGAGTAACCTCGATGGCCCAGTTGTACATCTATGGTCAATGCAAAGGGGCCGTAAAACCCGTTAACCATGCCTGCTTTTCGGAGGCTTCGCCTAGAAAAGGTCTCTTAGGGTAGGTCAGTCGATCCATGTTTTCTCCCTTTGCCATCAACCAGTCTCTTGCGTCCATTCCTTCCTCGTTGTTTTGTAAACAAAGCCCTGCTTGGTGGATTTTTGGTTGCTAGGCAGACAGCAAATACACTGCGTTCAGCAACGAATTTCGTTGCTCCGATCACCTAACCAGATCGTATGACACATCTTTCTGATTTCGAATTGGTGGCTGTTTGGTCTCGCACACTATTTGTATTGTCCTTGAAAAATATTAGTACTAGCACAAAAAGTTTTCCCGTTTCTTACCAAACCAGACCCCGTCCTTTATATATGGCCTAGGATGCTAACTTTCTATTCTTTTCTAGCCCACAATACTAGAATGGGGAATGAGGTAAGTTTGTGTACCTTATAGAGACCAGGCCTCGGCCTCATACCGAGACGTCTCTGGGACTTTAGCTCTGCCACGAGGACATACATTGACAGTGTATGAATAGTGGGCTCCGGCCTTTTGCTCTTGGGCTCCGGCCCTTGTCTCGTTGCCAAACTCCTCAACTGTGCGCCGGCCCCTTTCTGACCTGGGCTCCGGCCCCTCCTTTCGTGGGCTCCGGCCCATCGAAGGTATGTTGAATATCGTTCTCCGTACAGATTAATTTCTCTTATACTAACGCGCTTAAAATTAGTGGAGCAAATTTGCAGAGAAGGGATTCGGTACTGTTGTGGTCCACGGAGACCTTACTTCCGTCAAGCTCTTTGAGGTTTTGCTCGATATTTCGGTATCATGTACAAAAACTCCAACAAGAAAATATCCGTTAGAGACGCATGTTGAAATGGGGAGTGAGTTTGCTGTTGAAGAAAAGTGCATGAAGGTATGTAACATTCCAAATCAATTTTAGATTGAACCGTTTCCTTACACGCAGACAAATATATAGTGGACGAAATTCGCAGAGAAGGGAGTCGAGCCAGCCAATGCGCACGGTACCTTCAAGTGTCTTGTGGGCTCCGGCCCCTGAATCGAGGGCTCCGGCCCATCTCTGCTAGATTAGCGGAGGAAAAATTAGTAGACAGTGGCCTTGCACTTTGTGCAGGCCAATGAACGAGCCTATAGGCGACGTTCGCACATTCGGAGCCACGATCAAATGGTTCCAGTATCACACCGAGGACCAGGGACGGTACGCAGTTGAGATTTGGTACGGTGATGGTGACTACCAGGTCAAGATGAACCTGAAAGAGGCCGCCAATGCCCTTTGCGAGAACCAATGGATAAGATAAAGATGAGGGTAGTTTATGATCTTAATTTAAAGCCTGAGAGCCTGAGCCTAGTTTGGCAGAAGCCACTTATAGTCCCAAATACAAAATCACTTAAGCGTTTAATTAATCTTTAAAGTACTTGCACGCATGGACATAGAGCGCGCCCCGGTCCTCTCTGATACAGCGCTTTACACCTTGAATACCATTCCATATACTTAAGTAGTCTCGAAGCCAGGCTTTAGCATAGTCTCGTATTGTAGACGCGGTCCACACTTGAGACTAACTTTAGCATATCAGCACCCAAGCCGTTAGAGTAATTTATAGTGAGAAACTTGAATATAATCTTATATATACCTTAGAATCGTCCCGTATGCGTACGTATGTAGTTGTACCCATACATAGCTAGTAGCTAGCTATTCCCGCTAGTAGTATTGAGGATAAAGAGCTGTAATTGCCTTGTGCTTGATATAATCAGATACTTTTACCCAAGCTTATATTGATTGTTTCGATCATGGGTACCTGAGTCTTGATTAATAGGATTGAAGTCTGGAACCCCCAAGTTCGAGAGAAGAGCGACTTTAAGGCCCTCAGGATTGTATATGAGTCCCGGTGGTATTTTCCAAGGGTAATGGTCCTAAGATGGGATATAATAAATACGGTTCTCAATGAATCTGCTTTTGGAATTCTTGAAATAGCCTGGTCTTGTTCCCAAATGCCATTTGTGACGTCTGGGAACGAGACCAAAAGTAGCCTATAACATAGTACATCTATCTTGTAAACCAGAATTCATGCTACTGCGAATCGTACATATCAAATGCATTCCAGATCCACAGAATTATGGTATAGAACTCCTGTATATTCTATTCCGGTAGATTCCATCTCAGCGCGCATTCCCCTTATCTCATGATAAAATTCTTCCCAAGCCCCGCGCGCATATTTTCTCTCGGCTAGGGCTAACTTCAACTTCCATATATCGTGATGATAGAGCGTCTATGCCGCCTTGAAGAATCCAAAACAGGCCGGATGTCGAACTTCAAGAGATAAGTTTCCCTCGATCCGGGTATTTAGTTCCTATCTCAATGCCGTGATTCTGTCTTCCTTCCCTTGAATATATTCAAAGGATTGAAAAAAGACGTTTGAACACTCTGGGTTGTTATTCGGAATCGACATCTTCTTGGTCTTTGTACTCTTCCTCGGGTCTCCTGGCTACCTCGACTAGCTTATCCTGCATTCGCCGCCAATTGGTTGTTGTTTCTCCCTCAACAAGACTCTCTTCTTCTTTCCAGAGATACTTTTTCTACGATAAAGGTTAGTATTGAAACCAAAATGTGCTTTTTTGGTATATATGTTTTGGATACTGACGTGTGGTTTCTGTGTATCATATACACGTAACAGAGTAAAGATGGCAGGTAACATGACTCAGAACCAAATGATGAACCTTCATCACCATCTTTCAGATGAAGTTCAAAAAGCTCTTGTCACGCATCGCCAAAGAATCGTTCGAGAGCTACGCTCTGAGATGAAGGTATGATGAATACCCCCCTGTTGTTTATTTCGTTTTCTCCCTTACATATAATAACACACTGGAAAAAAAAATAGTGGAGCAAATTTGCAGAGAAGGGATTCGGTACTGTTGTGGTCCACGGAGACCTTACTTCCGTCAAGCTCTTTGAGGTTTTGTTCGATATTTCGGTATCATGTACGAAAACCCCAACGAGAAAAACCCCATTGGAAACTTCTGTAGATATCAAAAAATTTCAAGAGACGATGGGAGATGAATTTGTTGTTCAGGAGAAGTATGTGTTCTTGGTTATGAGGCTGTGGATAGTAGTCCAACAGCTACAACCTGCCCTAGAATTTCAGCTATTTGGACGAATTGAGGGATGTATGACTAACAAGCATGCTACCGATTTGAAATATAGAGAGCACAAGATGGTTCTTACAAACAACGAGGTCACGATCAAATGGTTCCAGTATCACACCGAGGACCAGGGACGATATGCTGTCGAAGTCTGGTATGGCGATGGTGACTACCAAGTTGAGATGAACCTGAAAGAGGCCGCCAAGATGCTGCAACTCGCCGGTGCTTCTCGCAAAGACTTCCTCAAGAGGAAGAAGATTGCCGGAGAGCCGATTAGTGAAGGAAAAATAGAGATAGATGATGAAGGAAATGTCGGAGAAGAGTGATGATTGTCACTTTTGCTGTTGTCAAGGTTTTGTTTGCTGGCTGTTGACTTCTAGTCTTACACCTGTGCCGAGATTGAGCCCAGTATATTATTGGTTCCAACTGGCCGTCGCATAGTCTCAATGGTCTTTCCAAATACTCTGTATCTAGATAGGAACAAATCCTGTACCCTTCTGTTCTACTCTAGATTTTTATGAGTCAAGGACATTATCCTCCACACCTATCTAGTATTTTAGAGCTCACGCTTTCATATGAGCGTGCAGTCTCCATAATACTTAAAAAACATGGTTTAAGTTACTCTACATACTTAGGTACACGTCTCCAAGCCTCTCTATAACCCCAAAGCGTGCATGATAAACAATCTGCGTTGTTTCTACAAAATCCAACATCTTCAAATAAAAACCAGCTTTAATTAATTCCGGTTGTACAAAAACCCTCTCATGATGACACTATGCAAGCTTCCTTACCTTACCGCTGAAACAACCATATTCCCGGCCAAGCAAGCTTGTTTCATCTCTTCTTTTACTATCTTGTCTCCTTTGCGACGGGAAGAAAGGTGACTTTTGTGCTCCCCTCATTCCTTTTGTGCGCGCGGAGCAGTCACTCGATCCTTCATGTCGTGTGCAGGGAACAGCAGGTTTAAAAAAAAAAGGCCGAGATCCGGTGTCTACCTACTTGTATAACCCTTTTTTTTTGCACCGGGACTAGTGACTAGTGACTAGGTAACGAATGAATGGTTTAAGTTTAAGAGAATAGATCATTATCATGTCAATAGTGGCGCGTTCAGTTGCTATTTTTTTTCCCTTGTCTAGTTCTTCTTTCACATGTTAGTCAGGCTGTTTATGTTAGTTAGGACCCCTCAATTTCGTGAAAGACTAGTTTAAGTAAGTATGGCAGCTGGGCAATCTTCAGCGGACGACGTCTGACCCTCCCCCTCCCCTGTTAACCCCTTTTGGAGGATATTATTACCCCATGGTACCTTGCTACATACTATTACATATTTCAACCCCCCCCGCACGATCGATGTGCCATAGTATTATAGCATTTCCCTTTCTTTCTTTGGCCCTTTTCTCTTCAAGCTTTTTTTGTTTTGTTTCGCTTCTTGGAAAGATCAGGGCTGTAAGTTTTGGAAGTTTCAGATAAATTGTAAATATGGCGAAGATTCGAAGGGGGGTGGGATTGCCTGTATTTAACATGATAGTAAATTGCATGCGCATGTTTAAACTGGGATGGGACCTATCAAGAGCTCAACCGAGAAAATACGGGGTAAAAAAGAAATAATGAATAAAAAAAAGAATTTTTTAAAAAATGGGGTTTGCCCGGGGCGGGTTTCCTTAATGAATAATGAGCCATCCATCATGCAGTTCCTCATCGATCCATCATCCATGTTTGGTACGTACGTTAGCTATAGACGGGAAGGGACCCCTCATCGTCGGTCATCTCGTTCTCCGCATCGAGTTTAAAAAAAAAACTAGGAGCTACTTGCTAGCTAGCTAGCTAAACCCCCTTCGATGACGGACGGGATAATGCAGATATTGGAAAGAAGGGGTGGATGTATGTAGGTAGGTACTTATATAAGCTAGTAGATGTAGGTACTAGATACTTTATTTAAAAGGAAAAGTAGGGTAGCAGTGTGAGGTACTGTTGACAGTTAGTTTGACTTTATAATATAGTATCATGTCGAAGTAAGTATGCAGGCGCTCATGCGGACTAAAATAGAGAGTTTAGAAATTGGATCTCGAAGGTTAAGCTGCAGGCAGTAATTCTTCTCCCCAAGTGTAGCGTGCGTGCAGTGTGCATGTCGACGAATAAGCTGAAAGGTATCATCCGGGAATTATGGCCGGGGGGTAGCCAAAAGGTCCCCACCGGACTGTCAGCTACGATGAAAGCTTGTTGGCCATGTGCCCGCATGGCCAATCAACGGGATGGAAGTATCTTCTATACATCATTCTGTGCAGGAATCATCCAGCCAGAAAAATTCTTCCATTTTTTTTTGATAAGGAAGTATGTAATATGTATGTACTATGTATGCATAGTAGTCTACTCCGTACTAAGAAAGAAAGAAAGAAAAAAAAAAAAAATTGTGCCTGATCGAAGAAGCTAGCTTGCCTGACCGACCGACCGCCGCTGTGGGGTCCGGTTTGTTTTCATTGGGCGAGTGAACGAATTCAAACGAACGAACGAACGAACGAACGACCGGATTTTTTCTCCTATTTTTGGAGGCTGCGGTTTCCCTTCTCCCCCCAATCACACCTCTACCGCTATCTTTCCCTGCAAGCAAGAAAGCACCGAGTGGTGGAAACAGGTGCAGGTCGACATCACCGAGCATATTGTTCTCCCTCCTTCTTTGATTCTCGGGTTCTTGTGTACAGATATATGCTACTTACATACTTAAGTATATTGTTTTTTTGAGTTTGTTCACGTAACGAAACGTTTCTTCCCTTCTGGCTGGGTTCCTGGGGAGAAGTGTGGGTGGTTCATGCGAGGGGCAAAGCAGGCCAACCTTTTGACGTTTTTGTTGACATCCATCGACGGAAAAGACTAAAAAAGAAGAAAACAACTGGAGAAAAAGAAAAAGAAAAGGGAAAAAAAAAAGAGACGAACGAATCGATCAGAGATTAATATGGATGTTTGAGAAAATCTCCAAAAGCCTTGAATTCGATCGATGAGGTTTTGAGGTTTTCGATATTCCACGGGAGAAAAAGATTTAAAATAAAATAAAAAATAAAAAATAAAAATAAACTACTGTCCACTGCTTAGTTTCAGTCAAAGACGAATACTACCAAGCAAATAGTTACTTACATACAGACGTTTAAGGAGAAACAGACGTGGTGGTGTGCATATTACATAGTATACCGTACTGAACTGAACTGAACTGTCCAGATAATACGGTGGTACTGGGGATTAACCTATATTGTATTGTATACATCCGCCTTTGCCTCCCACCGGACACCCTCTTCCTCTTGTCTTCCTTCTATTCTCGAACAACCTAAACCACGACTTACCACGACCTCACTTTGCTATCTTATTTTATATACCATCATACACTTTATTTTTATCTTTATTTTATTTTTATCTATATTTTATTTTATTTTATTCTGGCAAATCTTATTTTTTTCCCTTTGGCGCCGGACCCGTCTTAGCTCGGCGGGCACAGTTGTGTTGCCAGACAAACCCAACCAGACCAAACCAAACTCTGTCGGACACCTTCACATCATCATTCATCACTCGCACTTTCACTTCCACTTTCACTTACACTTTCAGCCATCAGCTGCGGCCTGTTGGGCTTCCCTTCCCTTCATAGCTTTTTACTTCCTCTCACGACCCCAGTAACGACCCCTCGACTTTGCCCCGCCTGCGATAACGACACCTTCTATACTTCTTTGGGCTTCTAGAGTATCTGATATACACCTTTTGAGAGGGAAAAATCCACCCGGTTGCTTGTAAAAGGATCGAGCAGGCGAAAGAGACAACTAAGACGTTTTGGCGGGCTAAACCTGGTCGGGTATTTCTGGACCACATCGACCTTGGGCTTTTTATCACCCCCGACATCATCGTACTTTTTTTGTTTTTGTTTTTTGCCGACCGGTTTGAAGGACGAGTAGACGGACAACGTTTTCTTTCTTTCTTTCTAGATTTTTGTTCTGTCGGGGGATTATCCAGCAGCAGAGCAAGCAAAAGCTTGTTGCAGAGCAGTTGGTCAGGTCAGCCAGTGGTGATAGTTTCCCTCGGAAGATACAAAAGGGGATAGCCATTACTTAACAAATCCGTCCTGTTCTGTTCTGTCCTGTTCGAAGATCCCAACCAACCCGGCCGACCAATATCCCCGAAGATTCATTCACCGAAATCATCATTCTTGGGAATAAGAAAGTAATATACTATTTGATTCGAGTAATAATATAATGACCGCTGTCGCTGCATCGCCGCCGTCCTTTCATCAGCCAGTTCCGCGGTCATGGACTAACGGCACCGCTTCAATGCACGCCCAGATGACGCCCGACGAGGTCTCCCGTCTGTTAATGCCCCCTCGCTCCAAATCCCAGAACGCCATCCCCGCCTCTCAGCTCTCATCGACCTCACCATCTACCAATCCTACCTCTACTACCACCAACAACAATAACAACATCAACAACATCAACAATATCAATCCTATCGCTGCTGCTAAGCAGGCTCTCAACCAGCTACCTCCCCGACCGTCCTCCAGCGCCTCTAATTCTTCCTCCATTTCATCGAATTCTTCGGCCGGTACCATGCCCGGTTCGAATGCCACTTCTACCCCGGCTTCGTCAAATCCGTCGCCGAATAACTCCGAACCAAATACTCCCATCAATTCGGCCAACAATACCGTTAACGGAGGTGTCGCCTGGGCTGCTGCTGCTGGAAAGAGGAAAACTGCCAGGAACGGTGTCGGCAGCCGTGAAAGCGCCATGAAGAACAGTGGAAATGCTTCCAATGCTCTGAATGCTGCGATTTCTGGTAACAGCAACACTGGTAAGTTTGGGAATCTGTCACTCTTTCTCTTTCTCTCTCACTTTTTTTTTTTTTTTTTTTTTTGCCTGCATGCATGCATGAATGTATGTACATGTAAGTAGCCGTTGAAGATAGCTAACCGCTATGACGTCAATCTTAGGTTCCTTTCTTATGCTACTACCTCTCAACGGTACTTTCGAACGAAAAGTCATCCCTCTACCTTTCTACCCCGACGTCCTCCGTATCGGCCGTCAGACCAACGCTAAAACAATACCCACGCAATCCAACGGCTTTTTCGACTCTAAAGTTCTCTCCCGGCAACACGCCGAAGTCTGGGCCGAGAAAGGAACTGGTAGAGTCTTTATCCGTGATGTCAAATCATCCAACGGAACCTTTGTCAACGGCTCTAGGCTATCTCCAGAAAACAGGGACAGCGAACCTCATGAAATACGTGCTGAAGACATCTTGGAGCTCGGTATCGATATTGTCGGTGAAGACAACAAGACCATAGTACATCATAAGGTTGCCGCAAGAGTTCAACATGCTGGTTTCCATCAAATGCAACCGACAGGGAATGGTGCCAATTTCGACCTTAATTTTGGAGATATTGATCCTAGTGTTGGAGGCGGCTTGATGGCACCACCGTTGAACCATGTCCAAACTGTTTCTGGAGTTGCAAGCGGCGGCAGAGGGAGGAGTAATTCGCAAACATCGAGAGGTGGACCCATGGCCTTTTTGCCTAACGGGCTCGTTGGGCTACAACGTCAGGGAAACCAATTGATGGCCGGGATGCCGATCACAATCGAAGCTATTGCTAAGCGCCTTAACGTGCGTATATCCTTTTTTTCTTCTCTCTCTTCTAGAGTGAGCTGATGGTAATGACATTCGACTAACGTTTTATAATTATTATTTTTCAGTATGAAATGCAGCAAGCCCGTATGCAACAAGCCGAACTGAAGAGGGCACATGATTTCTTCGATATGGTTATCGTACAACAAGCTCAGAACGCTCAACAACAACGGGAGGAGGAAGAACAGAAGGAAGCAAATAAGCCGCTAGTTAATGGCGAACCGGCCAATGATGCTCCGGAAGCTGATCTGTCGAAAGATGGCCCCGTTGATGACTCTGAACTTCCGATGCCTCTGGAACAGATCGAAAACCTTGCTCAACATAAGTTCTCGAGTAAACCTCCGCCACAAATCCTTTCTCTTGTCACTGTACTTGCAGATACGAAAAGAGATCTCGAGGCAAAGTCGTTACGAGTTAGGGAACTTGAGGATAGCCTCCTGAAGGAAAGGTCGGCTCGTGAACTTGCCGAGGAACGAATCGGAAGGCTGGAGACAGCTACTTTTGAATTGCAGGCTGCTCAAAAAGAGAAGGAGAGGGAAGCTAGGGAGGAGAGAAGCAGGAGAATTCCTGATATCCCCGATGTTGGCGAAGTTCTAGAGAAATCACCCTCACCGGAACCAGTCCTTGGTATGTACCCTGCCTATCAACAATCATATCACCCATTATATTTTGATGCTAACATATGTTTTATTACTAGTTGACAATGATATGCAGCTTAAGCTCGACAAGTTTATGGCCGACCTCACAGCTGCTCAAGCAGAAATAGAACTTCTGAAGCAGTCCCTTCAGAAATCCGAGACCGAGAAGTCGTCGGCACAGATATCGATCTCCGAGATCGCTGAAGAGAAGAAGAAAGAGGAGGATGCACGAATCCGAGCAGAAAAGGCCCTTGAGAAGGCTAAGAAGGAACACAAGAAAGAGAAGGAGGCTTTGAAGGTCCCCAACGGAGTTGCTCCCGTCAAGAGCGTGGAGAACGTTGTAGAGAAGGCCACAAACGGCGCAGCCCCTGCACCTTCGAAATTGGCGACAAAAGATAGCGCCGCACAGTTCCGCCGGGACTACGGAACGCCGTTCGCTAGTTTTATCGGCGCAGTAGTTGTTGGTGTAGCCGTAATGACGGTGTTGAATAGCTGGACCAAGGGTGAAAAGCCGTAGAATGACACTTGAGTACCTTGTCTTGACTTAACGCTTGGTGCATGGCTAATTTTTGCCCCCTCCCTTTTTTGGTGCCTCCTTATTTACAACGGATTATATTATGCTTCGCGGTTTTTTTCTGATAGCCAAGCTTAGCCTGTTGCTTCTTCTTCTTCTTCTACTAAACCCTCCAACCCTACCATTGAAGGGGGTAGGGGGTACACAACTACTTCTTTCTAATTCCTCAGAGCCATATCTGGAGCATTCTTTTGTATCTATAGTGGTCTTTTTTCGTCTCCCTTTTTTTTTTTTTGTGGCTTTTTCCCTTTTGTGAGCTTTCCTTTGTTACGGATGGGGCTGCCTTTGCTTATGTGCGGGTTGGTTTACCTTGCGTTTCCTTGCGTCTCCGTCCTTTTGTCCTCTCTCTTAACGTCTCTCTCCCAAAAATTATACACCTCCCGTGAATTCTCTCTTAAAATACATTCGCTATCGATACGTACCTGTGTCACTCGTTTAGAGGCAGGTAGTGGTCTTTCCTTTGCTCTTATCGTCATTGTTTTTAAATTTCCTTTCCGTTAGAAGCTGGTTTCTTTGGATATTGGAACGCTCTACGCAGATGTTTATTTTGGGAATGTTTGGCGCGTTTGATGCCCATATTACCAGATTTTTTTCTCTTCACGAGGCAGACACCAGTACAGTACCTCCCCGTGGAGAGAAAACCCTGAGGGTTCTTGGGTATTCGAAGATTATTAGGGGTTCCTTTTGTTTTTAAACTTGATTTTACCGCCTGCTTAAAATTTTCTTTCCTTCCTTCCTTTTTTTTTGAAGATTTGATCTCGTTGATTCCTTTGTTCCTGTTGAATGTTGCTTTGCTTTATATATGGTTTGTAAATACTCTGATACACTTGTGGCCACATATATACTTTTGGCCGGTTGTAGCTATGAAGCCAAATGATAATAAAGATTACATATCGTGGCCCCTCCTAAATGAATCCGGCCTCGAAGCTGTCGGTATAGTGTCGCCTGCTGTGGCTGTCCATCGTGACCTAATTTTCACGTGGCAGGGTTTTGCATTTTTTTTTTTTTTTGGTGTTGAGACCAACAGCTAAAAATTTTGACGTCACTGCATTAGCGTATCGCAAGACCAAAAAAAAATAATTCTTTGGACGAAAAGCAAGCTTCGCGCTCGTAGCTTCGTTCTTTTGTCTCCAACGTCTTCCTTTCGTCCAGCAGGAGCTAGACCGACCTCGAAGAATTAACAGCTTCCCTTTGAGCCCGAAAAAACGGTCGCCAACAAGACCCTGCTATCGATATAGAACCTGCCTGCCGTAATTAGACGAGCGTTGCTGGGGCCCACTAGCAGGACAGCTGTATTGTAGCTAGGGAAGCTACCCTGGAGCTGCGCACCCACCTGCTGGCTCGAAAATTTATATCGCCAGCCCCACTATATATCTCCTGTCTTCCCCCCTTCAGTCCGCCCCTCACATCGTCACCATCCTCATTACCTCCGGTAGCCTCTTCTTTCTCCCGTCCAAAGTCTATAGCAGCCTTCGGCATAGGGGAATAATACCGCCGAAATGTATATCCGTCAATCCAAACTCCATCACCTCAAGGAGTACAAGTACTCTGGTGTCGACCATTCTCTTGTCTCCAAATATGTCCTCAAGCCGTTCTGGAACCAGTTTATCAAATTGTTCCCCATGAACATGGCTCCCAACCTAATTACCCTCACCGGCTTCTCGTTCATTATGATAAATCTCGCGACTTTGCTTTGGTATAATCCTACTTTGGATCAGAACTGTCCTCCATGGGTTTACGCCTCTTGGGCAGTTGGATTGTTTTTGTATCAGAGCTTCGATGCCGTGGATGGTAGCCAGGCACGAAGGACGAAGCAGAGCGGTCCACTTGGTGAACTCTTTGACCATGGCGTTGACGCGTGCAATACCACCCTTGAGGTCGTTATTTTCGCCGGTGCTGTGAACCTGGGTTATTCATGGCAAACAGTTGGAACACTCTTTGCGACTCTTTGTTCGTTCTATTTGACAACTTGGGAGGAATATCATACTCATACCTTGTACTTGGGACCTGTATCTGGACCTGTTGAAGGTATCTGTGCGGTTATTATCGTATACGCTATTACGACTTTTACTGGTGGTTACTACTGGCATGGAAGCATGTTGAGGAGCATTGGGGTGCCAGAATTTGAATGGATTCCCAAGCCTGTTTATGAAGCCAGCTTCATTACTACCTACATGATTTACGGGGGTGTTATTTTGGGGTTCAGCATTTTCCAGAGGTGAGATCCCCTCCTTTTTAAGTACTTCTAGACGTTCTTGAATGTGCTAACCCTGTCTCTAGCTCGATGAACGTCGTTAAGGCACGCCGAGAAGCTGGTCTCCGTGTCCGCCCTGCTCTTCTTGGTCTCGCCCCATTCTTTGCTCTATGGGTTCTTATCCCCACCTGGCTTTACATCCAACCTCAAATCCTCAATAATCATCTTATTCCATTCATGTTCTTCGTCGGTGCCTCCTTCGCCTACCAAGTCGGCCTCATCATCATAGCACACCTTACAAAATCCGCTTTCCCATACTTCAACGTCCTAATCATCCCAATTTTCTTGGGAACCATGGACTCCCTTGGACCTTTCCTTACCGAAAACTACGGATTCGGATGGCCAAGTGTCCTAGGCGAGGAGTATGAGATCCCATTCGTATTCTTGTGCTTGGGATGTGCGTATGGCGTGTATGGAAGCTTTGTGTTTGATGTTGTATTGAATATCTGTGATTATTTGGACATTTGGTGTTTAACTATCAAGCATAGGAAGACGAATGATGCTAATGAGACTATTGTGGTGAGTATTTTTATGACCCTATCTATTGTAAGAATTTGGATGGATGGTTTGCTAATGAGGGTATCTTTTGGTTATAGGCCGAGGTTTTCTCGAAGTTCTTCGATAAGCTCAATGCGTTGAGTGGATCGGATGTACAGGTAAACGGCAACGGGAATGGCGTAGAGAAAAAGACCTTGTGAAGACAGACCATTAAAGAATTACTTGGTTCCAATAAAAAGAATTACCGGAATAAAAGCATGCTAATGAAACTCTAGAAAAGTTTTTTGGGTCGTGGCTAGGAAAGAAAAGAATGTTTAACCGCTCTTGAGGAGCCTGGACTGATGATTTCCTTTATCTCACTCTTTTTTTTTTCTAATTCTTTTTCTCTCTCTTTCTTTTTCTTTTTCTTTTCTTTTAATTATTCCTTTCTATGGTTTGATACCTCTAGATCGGTGACCTTTTCTCTCTCTTTTTTTTTTTTTTCCATCTTTGATTGATGCTGAAGATTGTTATCTTTTTTTTTATATGCATCCTTTTCTTGTTGATTGGATTCCCCCTCTCTTTTTTTGTTTTTTGGAGCAACATTTGGACTATCCTTAGAGTCGTCAAGCTGTCAAGTTGATGACTATAATGTTTTTTTTTTTTCCTTTCCTCTTTTAAGTCTTAATATGATGTATGACCGAGATGATTTTTTTGGAAAAGAAATGCATGATAAATTTAAAAAGCTATTATACATAAATTCGGTACTGTGCTTTTGGGTATAAATATATATATATATATATATATAGTTATACCTAGCTAGCTATCGAATCGATGTGAAGATTTGAATTATAATTATCTAAGCATTATTTTTTACTTCGAGAAAGCTCGTGTGTATAAACTACTCGGCTGGCTAGGTGTTTAGTTAACTGTGAATTTAACTTTTTAAGTAGTAGGATATATACATATATATACATACTCCAGAGTACTATAGCTAGTCGATGGTCTCAAGACAAGGGGTAGATGAGGGCTAGTAGGGAGGAATATGTATAATTATAAGTAAGGTGGCTTGATTTGTGTCCCGTAGGCTCGGAGCTTTTGGCCAAAAAAGAAAGAAAGAAAGAAAGAAAGAAAGAAAAAAAAAAAAAAAAAAAAAAAAAAAAAAAAAATTAAAGAGGATCTGTATCATGTTCATGATCTCGATCACACGAGCAGAGCTCTAGGATAGCTCCTATCCCGGAGCTGTGCGAGCTATATATGCTTTCTAGGTATAGCTCGAAATTTTGAAATATCAAACGAGGATCGATTGTAGTCTAGTGCAACCTAAGAGGCCGACGTTACTAAACAACACGTAAAATACAACAAACTAGGTCAATTAAGTCTACTACCCGAGTACCATGTATGCTATAATCGATAATATAATCTAGCTCTAACCGATTGACCCTTCTAACTACTTTAGTCTCAGTGCACAAGAACTACGTATACTCTTAATGCTTCACGAAAAAATACATGGTCTTCCTTATTTGTTCGATAGATTTGATTTATTTCTCTATATAATTTGTTGACAGTGCGCAGCCCGCAGTGGCACTTAAACCTGACGGTCATATATACAGTTTGAAATCATCACTCAAAATGCTAATTACCAAAATTGCAGCTACTGCTACAATACGTCTGAGAGCTTTAGGCCTAGTAATGGGGTTATTTCTAAGCTTGTTTGCTCATTGGCCTGCCTATGAGCCTATGTATCATAAGTGAGCCTACAGCGCTAGCTAGGCCCGTACATAGGCTAGGAAGCAGGCCAGTAAAGGATCTGGTTTACGAGACAAGACGATTCTATCCAAAAGGGTTTAATTGAAGCGCTCCTGAATATGTACTTATTTACTTCACCGAATTTGTAGGGGGATACCGCGAGCCTGGTTAAACTCATGAGACCATTACCCCAGTACACATCAATGCAGTATTTAGTATTTAATTTTGGCATTATCCAGAGACTCTTTGATAAAATTAATATATATTTTTGAACCATGATAAATAATCCGCTTTTACAGATTTCCCAAGATTGATTACCCCTTCCTTCGTATTCGGGCATTTTGTGTGTTTTTGTGGGAATGGATATGCATCCTCTTGTGATTAGGAGCTCAGTACATAGATCTGGAAGTATAGCAGACCAGATAAGCCGATAAGTTAGGTTATATATACATATTGTATATTGTAAACTTAAAGATTATATGTTTCGGTAATGACAATCGAAATGGATCTGTCTAAATTAAGTCTCGAGGCTGGAAGAATTGGAGTTGGCCAGATAGGTACTTGGCCTTGGCATGCAGATGGACGTACCATACAGGTTCCCTTGCCAAGTCACCCTTCGAACTCTCATCTTGTTCAGCCTTGAGGATTAGGCATTTATCGCCATCGTATTTTTTAGATGAAAGAAGAGAAAAGAGTAGTTCGCAAATTCAAGTACCCCTTTGAACAAAAGAATAAAATAGGAGGAAAACCCCGATGGTTTATGAAACGGTATTGAAAACAACGCTTGTGGCCATGGGGATCGAGCATGGGATAGCAGGGCGTCTCCGACGAGCGGGGGGGCATGAGAATTTGGCGGGTTTCGTGGGAGTTGAATCTCTCTCTGGCCGCATCGAGAGAATGGATTTAATCGATTTGAAGGGGCAGTACCTGGAAACACATGTATTATATAACTTTAAGTCAAGTCGCTGCTTAGGCAAAACTAATCATATAATTTAATTTCTAGACGGGGAGCGCTGGAACGTTGGAGAACTGTTCTCGGCAGCGTATTAATATTACAGAATCGACTGAGCTCGAGGGGAAGCCGGAGAAGCGCGAAACACAAGAAGCTCACATTCTACTGAAGAATCGAAACCAAGAACCACGACCGCAAACGATACAACCAGCCCATGCAATAAAACATGAAGTTCCCGAAAGCTTTAAGTCTACAGACTCGGACCTAGACACGGATTCGGAAAACGATGAGCTAGAAGTCGAAAAGTTCAATTTTCTCGTTTTAAAGACCGTGGAAAACTCCGAATCTCACAATTGGGAAAAAGCGGAGGAATATTGGAAGGCTACCATCAAGATCTGGGGAACGGTACGAAATCATCCAGGAATGGAGGGGTTCAGAATTCCGTCTCTAAAACCGCATGAGGAGGAGGAGCTGGACGAAAAATGGATGCCAGCTTATCTTGCATGGTCACAACTGTTGCAGGGAAAATCTAAGGAGGCCCTACAGACGATAAACTTCTTATCAGATGAAGAGGTTCGCGATGATACAATTTTACACGGGGTAATCGAGTGGACCAAAGCTAGCGCATATACCCAGCTTGGAGACTTGAAAGAGGCAAGGCGACGATGTCGGAAGGCGGTCAAACTGGCGAGGGAAGTCAATGACCTCGACCTGTCGCGTTTGTCTATTGAATTAATGGTGGAAATACTTGAGATGATTGAGGGCCCGGAAGGTATTGAGCTTGAATTTTATAAGTCTTTACTACCGCCGGATTCTGAAGGTGCATCGGAGGAGGTACTGAAGGGAACTGACGAGCCGGATTAACAAGATTCACCTGAGGCATCGCTGGAAGGTACTGGTGAGCGAGATGACGAGGTGTCCAACGTTGGTGCGAAATTTTGAACACGGAATAACTCTTCGAGAGGGGCTTGGACGGAATTCTCTCATTTCAAACAATCACTACACTTTCATACCTTTAGACACTAGGTGGGACCTTGAGCGGCGATAACTATAAGCTCGCTCGAGGCTAGGGCTGGAGTTCAGGCTGTTATGATTTGGTTTTTATGTACAGAAATTGATTATTTCTAATATACAAATTCGCAGCTCTCATTTTGGGGGATAAGTGAGATAAAAGTGTTTACAGTATGTAATCTGGCATATGGAACTCGCTTCTTGAGAGTCTGTTCCGAGTGGCACGCATTACCCTAAAAGGGTTTCCTTTAATATAATCCCCATCTTCGTGATAAATATTCACAGACAACTTCAAGAAACAATCATCTTCACCACCATAGTTATAACTCCGTACTTCAAAACGCAGTTCGTATGGTTCTGAAATTTGCAACTTGGCGCGTTTTAGGGCGTCCTTCACTCTTCTTCGGCTCCTCTCAACGAGTTCTCGAATGGTGGTAGTCTCGTACACATAAATTTTATCCTTGACCCTTTTCTTGAGCTTTCGGGTATAGTATTCGTCCGGTTGATTCCCAAATGTACAGGAAATATCGAAAGCAAGCTTCACGACTTTGGAGTCTGGTTTTGAATTTAGTCGTTCGTCGGAATCGTATTCGTAGTATTCATCGATTATGCTTTTGTATACTTGGGATGCACCAAAGCCTATGCTCTCTCCGTGTGCGTCGTCGTCGTCGGTTTGTTTACAAACAAGATCGTTCAGAATATCGAATGAAGAGATATTAAGTCTTGTAGTTTTAGCCTGGCCCTTGACACCTTCTTCTATATTAAAGCCATCATGTATGAAATATTCCTTCGTAGCACCGTTCTCGACTGTGCAACCAAAAAATATTCCTCGAAGACTTGTGGCCCCCTTTCCTCCGTTGTCAACATAGTCTTCTGAGTATAATTGTAGTAGATTGTGTACTGGAGTTGGATATTTGCTCCCTGTGACGGGTCCGTAATTGTATTTGAATTTGGATTTGGTAGAGGTTTCGGATATTATTTTGTTCCAATGTTTACAGACTTGAGCAACATTGGTGCGATCGTAGAATGATATGATAAAAGAGAGTATTTGGATGTGAAGCTCCATTGGGAGGGCTTTGATGTTAGCCATTGGTTTAGATTGGTAGTTGATTAGAACCTAGCGTAGGTTTTCTTTTTTGATAGTGAATGGGATATCAATTGGGTCCGAACTGCGAGGCAAGGATATGTTGTATGTTGTGGAACGTATTTTAAGAGATTCCAGAAGGTTTCCTATTAAAGCTTTATATTAAATACAAAAGATAAACGATATGAAAGCTCAAAGGATCCAGTTTTAGTGAAACTTACGTGTATCGGCTTGACATACCCGTTTAAGTTTATCGACAAATCGGACCATCGGCACTACCGAGTGGTTCATGAATTTCAGCCAAGCCACACTTTTGGTTCGCCTTGTGTACTTTGGGTACAGACGTGCGCCACATGTGTTTTGTGCTTAAGCTTATTTAGGTAGGTACTCTTGACTGGATATAGATACTTATTTGACAGCACCAGATTCCCTATAGATTACTGTGATTGGTAAAAAAAACAATCTTGGGACCTCTTATAGATGTATAGCTCTACACATTCCTATTTGATAAGGTCAACCTACAGACGCTCGGCGTGTGCACCTTGAAACCCCATCGTGACCATATTAGTCTTGCACCATTTAAGCCCTGGCTGGAATTTCTAAAATTTATAAACTTTTTTAGAACCTTTTGTCACCTGAAGATGGTCTGGTGATGGTTTGGAGAAGTCTGGTGGGTTTATATTAGGGTTACCAAATTTGTATATCTGAGCCAATCATATATTTACACCCTCGCCCAACTAAATCTAGAAAGCAGCGCTGTACGTAGATCTGCGGGTAACGATATTCTGCGGGTTCTAGCACCAAGATACTCAGAATCCTTCCTCGACAAGAGAAGGAATATCGAATAGTAACCTCGTGTAAATTTCATCCGCGAATCGTTCAATATAAGCTTAAATGGAGACTATTAGTGAGAAGCTCGAGAGCAACGAGCTCCCCAATAGTCAAATAACTTTTTTTTTCCGATTAAATAGTCAGTAGCCCAAATATCGGAGTTCTCCAACGCATCACCCGTAGATTTATCCTTCAGAGGCTGTAGATCTAATGATGTCGGTAGGAGCTAGTAGCTCTCGAAGTAAAGTTTTCCCAGGAAATATTTTAAGTATCACCGGAATTTGCTGAGGAGCTTATGCGATCTAGCAAGCTGTGGCGTAGTTACTCTAACTCTGAACGCAGTATGTTTCCCTAAGGTTTCGTTATCTTTTGGTATATCTAAGCTAGCTTGCTTCGGTATTTTGCGCATAGGTCAGCTTCTACTGCTTCTGGAAGTCTTTTATGTTTGTTGTAAATCAGAACAAAGTTTGTGTGACATGACAGGAAATATTGACAGCCTTATCACCCTGTGGTACCTCGATATCTCCGATATTCCTAGATCTAGACGTTGAACTCTGGAATGAAGTGTGGCTTCGGGACAGGTAACGTTGACATAATCAATACATATACATGTATTTGCATCCTCATGGGGACGAGTGTGATTGCGTTACACGAAATCTGATGCGGGTAGCATTCTTATATATTAGTAGGGGTGAACGAAATAAAGGAAAACTATTCGAGGGCAGGTAACCAATCTTCTCACGGGTCTGTTCGTCGTTTGCTGCTAGTTTTGGTAACAATATGCCGCAAGTACTTGCTTCTAACACCCTGGAGCGGAAAGCTATGTAGTTTTACGAGGCGACATGGAGAATCCAGGGCTATAACTCGGATATCGATTTAATTCGGTCTTGATATACGTAACGGACCACTAAAAACTAAGGCTGTGATAATCTGAGGCTCTAGTATCAAGGTCCATTAGCAATTGCATACGTGTACTAGCTACCAGCTGCAAAATTTCGCAATGTAACCAGTTTCTGGAGCTAGAGGATGTGCCCTTGGGTTTCATTGACTACATGATATTAGAGATACTTGAGCCCGCCCCGAACTGATAGGTCTATAGGTATATTAATCTTGACCGAAGTCTTGTATATTCGTTTCAAACCACCTCACAACTTGGTATGGTTTATAGCCACCTATGGGATATAGCTAACCGACGTTATTATTAACTTGTGCATAGGTATATTCTATTTTTAACTTTTAAAGGTAGGGAGCTTGCTCGACTTACCAAGGCCTACAGCCTATGCCACTAATATAATTTAATACTTTTGGATTTTTAGATCTAGATCCATCAAAAAATAGAAGATGTCACTCAACAGGAAGTCAAAAAAGATAAAGAACGCAAGCACATCGAGCAGTATGTTATCACCAGCGTTGGTAGACTATCCGCCTCGTGGGCTCTACCATCCGGCTTACATCTCGAGCACTTCTTCAGACAGGGAATCTCACGGGTCAAGTATTTTTATTGGCGGATACGAATTTGAAAAAGCCAGAAAGCGATCCTCAAAGAAAAATTCAAGGATAGACTATTACTCGGGTTCCAGCAGTAGCTCTAGCTCTAGCTCTAGTTCAAGCTATAGCTCTACGGCTAGTGATAGTGAGGTAGATCGTTATACCATATCTCTTATATCCTGACTACAATTCTTACTTCTGAGCGAGCGCCATGCTAATATCAGTAATACCCGCGGTGATTAACTCTAAATAGGACGAAAAACGGCCACGGCGAGAATGCTCCAATGAAAAAAGGGGGCTAATCTGTTGTAAGGTTAAGAGAAGGATGCTCGCAAAAATTAGAAAAATGTATGTATCTCGGTCCACAAAAGTATCCCATACGCTTAAGTCACCCGCTAAAAACATCATGGGATACCAGGGAGCGTCTAGAGTCCTCTCTCTCAAAAAATAAATTTCTAGATACACCAGAGGTCCGTCGAGGTCGCGCTGCGGTTCAAGACCCTAGATCTACGCAATTGCCCCCAAATCAGGGACAATCCGAGGAGCCCTATCATGACCAACTTCGGCGTTTACCACATTTTCAGCAGCCCATGCAGCTCCAGCCATCAGGTTACCTACCACACCCTCCACGAAGTCCGTGGGGCCAATCCTCAGTATACTCCCAACAATACTCAGGACTTCAAACCCCAGAAAGTTTCACTAATCAAGAGCTCCCACAGATCCAACAACGCCAGGACTACGAGCACCGCCAACAGAGGTCGCAATATCAGCAATATCAACAGAGGCCTCATGGGTCACATAATCCTCAAGTATCACAAGCGTCCCGAGATCTACAGGGACATAAAAAATGGCAGCATCAGCGTCAGCGAGCTCTAGGCTGGGAGGGGCCCCAAGAACACGTTCAGCAACGGGGTCATAAAGGTTCAGAAAACAACGGATCTCAAGATCATCAATACCAACAAGAGGATCAAGACCAGGAGTGGCCTCTGGAAGATCAGTTACATTATCAATGCGGCTGGGAGGACCCCCCAAAACATCAAGGTGAGGATCATCAACAAACTCTATGCCAGCAAGGAAATTTTAAACAGCAATCTCAGCAGGACCCAAAAGAAGAGTATAGCCAGGACCAGCAGGTTGGTAAGGGTCAGCAAAGACAACAACATCAATCGGAGGGGGAGAAAGAGCAAGAGCAAGGATCAGATTGGGCACAAGAGTCAGAACAAGAACAAGAGTCAGGATGGGAACAAGAATCAACCCAAGCACAGGAACCAGAAGGATTTCAGGAGCAAGAACTAGAGCAAGGAAATCAATATACCCAGAAACAACAAACCCACCAACCACACCAAGAGCAGCAGAACCAGCAGTTTTCGCAGTCGCCAAAGTCTAATGATCAAACGCCAACCCAATTTCGATCTCGAAATGTTAGTAATATTCCATCAGCAGACGCTTGTGTAAGTCGTAAATAGAGATTCTTTTTTACTCAGTCTGCTCATAATAAGTTTATCAGCTGTAATATTTCCCCGTGTTTACAATCAATAACCACAGTAGCTCAAATTAGAATTCACTTATAGCAGGCATCGAAGGTGATTTTAATAACCTTAGAGTATCGTGGATAGTTTATCACATACGTATCTTCTAATACAGACAGCCTTATTGAGACATCCAAAATTACCAAGCCAATTAGATTATTAAATGATCTTTAATGATACATACGCTAAACTTTTTGAACTACTACACAGGTTCTCGAACAGCCCCCATCAGCACAAGGTAACACCTCAAGCATCGCCAAACTGTTTGAACTCATCCTTTCAGTATGTTATAACCTACACTATAAAAATGATATTCAGTTGTTCCAGATTTTAGATCGGTACTAATGGGACGATAACTTTGGTGTAGTACTTGAGCCCTCGCGGATTTTCCAACGATGAGGAGGCCTTGATGGAAAGAATCAAAGCAATAGACACCGATAGACAGGAGACGATTACATCAATTCAAGAACTAAAAGAGGCAGCGAGAGAAAAGGATAATGATATTGCTGAACTGCAAGGCGAAATTCAGGAGATGCGGCAGGATATCATTCAGATGCAAGAACAGTTGGGGCAGAGTGCGAAACAAAACCAAATGCTAAGAAAAACGTTAGATCAGCTGAGGAATGAGGAACACCAGAAAGACCCTGGGATTAAAGGGTGTAAGTCTTTACGACAACGTCCAACCTTTCCTGTCAAATTTGAGGTCTACGATCCAGATACTGGTACTACGGAAACCGGTACTATAATCCCATATGAATCATCGTAGTTGTAAAATCGAGTATGAGTCTGACTATTAAACAGCACTAGAGCAATAGAATCTGCGTTTATTAGATATATGAGACGAGTTAGTTTCGAAGATTAAATAGTCGTCAGGCCTGCAGGTCGCTATAGCGCTAGGAATTAGTTTGATTCGCTTCTTTCTCTTTAGCTTCTTATAGCTCTTGCGATTTAATCAATTTAAGTTATTGTTGCCACGGAGAAGAAATGTGGGGATATTACGTGTCTACTTGGATGTTCGAAATAATCGTTTCCTTTTGTATAAACATACATTCAGTGTGATACAATATAAAGAATAGAGACAAATTGGGTATCTTCTCTACGGGAATGACCATGCCTCTCTCTGGGCCTTTATCTTCTCCCTGAAAAGTTCGCAGCTTGCTTCTGGAAGACCCCATTTCGCTGAGAAAATGATCCTCCCGGCACTGCCCATTGCTTTATAAGCACGCGTAAGGCCATCAGGGTTATACGTCCACGGCTCGCCCCATCCACCCATTATTTCAGTCTGCCAAAAAAATCTGTCTGGATAGTCAGGCGGGTCAGGGCCGGTCCCCACTCTTCCCTTAGCTTCCAATGCCACAATCAACTCTTGAAATTTCGTCGAATTAGGTTGAATTCCGTCTCCTCCATCCCCAAATAGCAGCTTCTCCGGCTCAACAAGGCTTGCGCTCATGTCAAATATCAATCCCACATCCTCTACAAGCAGTTTTAATCCGGCCATGTGGGCTCTGTGATACCAATCGCAATCCGTGGCATAGTATGGGATAAAGACATCCCACTGTCCGACAAGAGCCAGGGGACTAACATTAACTACAGTTAGCCAGTCATAACTATAGAACGCAATCACCCATCTGTCTTCTCCGGCCTCTGGTCCCATCGTCGCTTTCAGCCGTGTTAAGCTTTCTAAAATGTTATCGTAGAATCCTTTAAAAGGATCATTTCCCTCACGGCTCACCACAATCACATCTTGGTGGCTCCAGAAAAAGTACGCCCATCCTCTACTCATTGCTGCTGATATCATGAAATTCTGTAACTGCGAAAAATTCAACAGCGTTGGGGTTCGAAGAATCGACACTCCGTATCTTTTTCTTAAGAGATCATAGTTTAAGTAGAATAAATTGTTTGGAGAGAGGAAGCCCTTCGCATTAGCATCCATCGTACCAGTGTTGTCGATTACCACAATATCGGAACGCGGCCAACCAACAGCGATGTATGACAGCACCGTTTGCTCTAACATCTTGTGATTTTTGGTAAACGGGATGAAAAGCGGCGTGACTGGCATTTTTACCGGTGCCGAATAATTTTTTGCATTAGGTGCTATGTTGTAGGAGTATGGAATAGGAGGATTTGCCAGTTCGCTCATCGGTATCGGTGGGTGGAAATAATAGTCGCCTTGTTGATCCTGTACCCCGGGAAGCTGGGACTTCCCGCCGTGCCACCAACCAATACCGTAAGTGGCTAATGGGATAAAAAAGAATAGGAGATGCTTTTTAGATGGCAATCGGAGCCAATCTGGTAGTCTTGAATCTAGCCATTGTGGAGCCTGAGGTCTTTTAACCTGAAGACTATGCAAAAAGCTAGACCATTCGTCTAATTCTACTTCGCCGTCGGGATCTTGTGGAACTCTGAGCCACGGACTAGGAAAGAACATACTGTTGTAGTCTAATCCGAGTGATACGGTACGAACGTTACTACGAAGTTGTTCGGGGAGGTTCCGCCGTGGTTGTCGATGGTGCTGTTGTGTATCGGATAATGTTCTATCAGATTAGATACCGATCGCGGCCCGCCGTCTATTAATAATTCCAGTAGTTATTCATGTCATAGGTTTACTCGATGCTCATCATCGACGATCATAACGTGGTAGATCCTCGCGCGCCGCTGTGAGGGAGTTTGTTCAACCCAAAGCTGATATGGATACAAATTATGTACTCGATTGTATGTATGTATTAATATTAATCAATTACCACAATTCAGTATTCTACTCAAGGTGCTATACATACCGGGTCAATCCTCTAAGCTAGTCAAACTCCCCAGAATGCTCGAAACGATCATAGAACCCCCCAAAAGTATTGGGGAAAACACACACAGCGGACAAAAAATACAATGAGTATTTCATAGACAACTTCACAAAGATTCGGTGTGATGTTCTCCGAGGAGAAGGCCTTCTTTCGGCCTATAATAGATTGACTACTCGGGTCTATTGCTAGGGTAAGAATCTTGTCTCGTACCCAGACCTGGAAGGTAAGAGTCTATAAATCAACTAAAACGTAGCCCAATATTATAAGCCAGGCCAAAAGTTCTTTGAACCTAGAATCACAAATATATCGATTTTGGAAATTTCTTTGTAACCCCAAACATAACTTTTCTTCATTGTTGCCCAGCACTATATAAATATATATACAGAGAATATCATCTAGATTGAATCCCTCTCCAAAGTCCAGTTTCAAGAAAAAATGCATCTAATCTTCCTCAGGGCGCCATAGTCCAGCAAGTCAAGTCCCAAGATAGCTCTCAAAGCAAAAGTGTTGGAAGAAAAGGAGCCTTGAAAATTTTTGGAAGAGGGTGAAACGTCCGATCCCGACAGGATCGCTGACGTGAGAAAGGAAAAGTTTTTTTTTTTGTAAAATGATAAAATGCGAGTAAGCAAAAACAGAATGCAAACGCCTCAGGCTTTTGCGTTTCATCATCAAGATGCAATACTTTTTTTTCTCCCCCTTTCGTAATCTAAAACGGCGATAGAAAATCAAAAAAAAAACCGCAGTCAGAACAGCCTTGCTGTTTCCTTCTCGTACTGGTCATATAAAAAAAAAACAGGTCGTAAAAAATAGGATATGAGTGAAGAGAAAGGAAAAGAATTGGGTATATAACTAAGTATAACACATTATAGAAGTGAAAGCCGCATCAAAGAAGACCTTCAAGGTATCATTATAGGAAAAAAGCTAACCCTCGGGGTTAGAAGAAAGAAGGGTATTGTCTATCCGTTTATACAACTCCGAAAGAAAGAAAGAAAGAAAACACCGTGGTATATTCGTAACTCCGTGAGGGCACAGAAACCCAAAAGGTAAAAAAGTGAGAACGGGCGAGAAGATAACAATAAGATGATACAGCGAAACGAATGTCGAGGTCGTTGAGGCCGGTGGAGGTCTGAACTGTGTCAGAGCAGTTGGATATGGAATGGCTGTGTCGAGAATGAGAGAATATGTGTTGTGTTGGTGGGACGTTTTTGTGAAACATCTGACCAATCAGGAAGCGTCTACCGCCCAAAAGGGAAGTTTCGACAACCAACAACACTAGGAAGCGCCTTGAAAGGCATAAAAGAACGTGAAACAGTCAAAGTTGTGAAACAACGAATAGACTGCGGGTATAAAATGTTTCAAAACGAGAGAATTGAAGGGATTAAAATTTTGGGGTATCGTAGCGAGCGTAAGATCGTTAAAGGAAAATCATGAACGTCATGGTGTTTAGAGGGAAGCGGCGACAACGGCGACAAGGCCTGCTACCGAGGCGAGGACCCAAGAAGTTGAAACCGAAGAAGCAGCACCGGGGTATGGAGTTGGCGGTGGTGGTGGAGTGCTGGTAGTCGTGGCGTTTCCAGTACCGTTGCTTGATGGAACGGTATAAGTCGCGAAGGTGGTCGTAGACTGAGGAGCAGAAGTGTAAGTAGTTGTTGGAGCCTTGGTTGTCTTGATAACAGTAGTCCAGGAAGAAGTTGTAGGAGGAACATAAACGCTCTCCGAAGAAACAGAAGTGCTGGAAGGAGCCACGCTAGTAGAAGAAGCAATGCTTGTAGAAACAACGCTAGAAGAACTGGTCCAAGAAGAAGAAGAAGTGCTGGAAGAACTGGAACTGCTAGATGTTGTCGACTATCCAGGTCACAAGGAGCGTAAGTATTTACCCTTCACGTAATTTACAAGACTCAACGATAGAGTGGGATTTACCACAATAGATGTTGTCGGAGCATAATATACAGGAGTCGAGGTCGTCTCGGTACTGGTCGACGTGGATGAGGTAGTAGAGACCTCTCCAACTGATGTCGAAGTCGTCGATGACGATTCGCTTGTTGTAGTAGAAGATGAAGACCAAACAGACGAGGACTATGCCTTCGTTAATAGGAGGGGATGGGGATTGCTACGAGAAAAACTTACAGTTGTTTCTGGGACTGGGAGATAAGAGGTCGAGACTTCAGAGACTGGCAAAGTGCTGACGCTGGTCGAGTATGGCTCTGGAGTGACGATTGTGTCGGGGGCATATCCAGTAGAGGTCACAGTGGTAATACAGGTGGTAGTAGTTCGAGTATTATAAATTGTGACTGTGGTGTAAGAGGTCGATGTCGATGTGGTAGTCGTATCGAAATACTCTTGAGCGGAAGCAATAGCTGCAGTAGCAGCAATAATGAGAGTAGATGCCTTCATTTTGAATGAATGAATGATGTGAAAGTTAAGCAATGAATAGCTTGATAAGCTTAATATCGACTGGAGTATCTCCAAATGAGAGAGTGTGTATACAGCAAGTGAAGAAGAGAGTGATACCGAGTGACTAGCTCAGGGTAGAAGATCTTGCACGTGTGTGTGATGAATATCTACTATCAAGCGAGAAGAGATCGGAGGGGGGTCGAGGGGTTCTTATGCTTCTCGCGGGAAGGGCAAGAGCTAGAGACGCTGGTGCTAAAAAGGCGAGAAAGTCCATGAGAGACACATGGAGTGAAGGGAGCAACGGAAGGGAACCGCTTCTTTTCTTTTTCCGGCTACCAATCTGGCTCCCATTTGTGTGTATTTGTGTGACACCTTTTCCTTATGAGCGCCCTAGTTAGGGGACTTCTCGGAGATCCAGTGTGGATAAATCGCGCCAGGACAGTGGTTCACTCCTTGCTGTCTGTCGCAATGGCGCGGATTTGAGATCTGGGAACAAAAATGGCAAAGCTCATGGTTGCCGTTGTCGTTGGTGTGTCTGAGTAAGCTCGAACCTACCCTGGTTCACAAGTTTATGCGCTTGAGGGAAAAAATAGGAAAAAGAAAAGAAAAGGGGAACGACACAGCAAAAACATCCTTGACCTCAAGGAACAGGCTCAAAGGCTGGAAAAAGCAAAAGCTGGTCTTTGTTGAGAAAGAAAGAAAAAGAATTTGCTCCATCAGCTTCAACGGTCTCGGGTGGACGATGCGATGTAGCTTGGTATGTATGTCCTCTGCAGTGGGTGGGTTGTTGTCTTTGGTCGGCTACGACTCAGTCAAAAGGGCAGAATGCCAGGAGGCCTTGTGCCTTGCATATGTTTAATTTCCCTCATGTTCGATGGCATGACATCTTCGCCAACACTAGCACTGGCACCAACGATGTCGACCGACGGATTACTGCGCTGTTCAAAGCATCGCCCCCACCAAAGCCTTCGTAAAAAATGGATCACGATGAGTAAAATCGTAACGACAAAGGAAAGAAAGAAAGAACCGTTGATGGCCAATTGCATAACTCCCAGGCCTCGGCAAAAAGGATAGCAGATGCAGGAACACAGGTCACCCAGCCAATTGAACCTCGAGAGATCAGAAGGTAATTGCCTTTCTTTCCTTTCGCTTCCCCTGCCATTCTCTTGCACGAATGATGCGATTACTCTGTATATGCATGTTGATGCTGTGCTGGCACCAAAGAACAAGAATCAAAACCAGGCGTCCACCACACCAGGAACAGAGTTCGGCCTTTTTTTTTTTTTTTTTTTTTTTTCCGCCTGTGCTCTGCAACAACCTTCGCGCGGCCGCTGGAGGCTCTTGCACCATTACTTTATTGACGGATCGCATTTGTCAATTGTTATCCGGTGAAGCACAAAAATTACACCTTTGTGTGATTCAAGCTTGTGCGATCCTAAGGATACCAAATTCCCCTATCCTTTCCATATTTCCGTCAGGGAAATCGTCGTTTTCAGACGGCGCGCAATGCACAAATCCTACGAAATATCACCGCCTCTTGTACAGATCCATTCGGAAAAACCAACCTTGATCGGGAAACTCTTCACCTTGCCTAAAATGCTCACTGTCTTTTTTTTTTTAGCCCAAGAGAGAACTGGTGTGTGTGGGTCAGTGTTCTTGTTTCTGGTACCTTGCGTTGGCGAGAAGCACAAGGCGCACCTCGATGGCATAGTGGGAACGGCAGCCAGAACTAAAGGTGGGGCGGCGAAGGTTCATTCATGTTCCTGGAATTCTTCCCTTTCCCTTTCCCCATCCAATGGCTACTCACTGTTGTTTTCTTTGCCAACGGCGAAAAAAAGTCCACGTTCTTGCATTAGTGTCACCCAAAGGCTCTCTTGCCCGAGTCCCGCGATCAACGAACAGCAGTGCTGATGTGTTCGGCCATAAAGATAGACGAAACTCAAACCTTCACAAAGTTGGTGCGGGAGTTTCCAAAATTCTCATTCGCCTGCTCTGTTCAAATGCTTGGCTTCCTTCCCGGTCCTTGCACCTTGCACCTTGAGGCTCGACATCAAGACCTAGTCCTGGGCGAATCAATGTTTTTCAGCCTTCGAGAGTCTTTTCTCCAACAAAAATTGCCCTCACAGTCTTACCGCCTTGGCCCGAGCATCGGTGTGGGTTTTTCCATTCCGGATCCTCAGCCGGGATTGGGTAAACTCGTGGAAGGCCCAGAAGCTTCCGTAGGACGCAGGACTGGGACAGAATTTTCACTACTCAGAGCTCCTATAAACCTCGGAATATTATCGCAGAATCTTTTATGTTATGGATCTATGAGCCTTCTTTCCGCGTTGTGTCGTCGTGTCTCCAGTTGAGTGGGTTTTCGTGTTCAGAACTTTCGCGTAAAATCCCGTGATGTTGGTTTGCTTGGTCGATTCGCAAGTTAACTGCAATGCAACTGCAATGTCACAGTCACAGATCGTAGGACCGCTGGGCTGGAAACACAAGAAAGGTATAAAAAAATATTATTTCACATTCCTCCTGTCAAAGCCACAGATGCTCTCCTAGTGTTTTGTGGAGAAAGGACAGGGAATCTTTTAGGCACGAGCTTGCTCATTTGTGGGAGCACAAGGCATCTGTGTTACAATCAGCTATCAACCTGACCCGAATGCATGCAGAATGTTAAATTAGAAAGCAAGGAGAGAGATTATATCTCCTCCATGATTGAGTTGATGTCGATATATGCATCCCTAATCGGCTACTGAAGCTAGCTACCTGATAGCTCCCTTACGTAGTTCTGACTAGGCGGTGCATGATATCATGACCTGAGATATATTACGTAGTCGCAGCTTGAGCTGAGCTGCGACTGCAGCCCCACATATCACCGGAGTTAACTTGAGAGGAATGCAACTTCTAGGATTCCATCTAGAACCTCGTCTCTTATTCAATCAGAAAAAAATCTAGCACATGGAAGGTAGCGTCCTATCTCAAAAGTTTATGCAGAGTACGATGATGATTTGAATAACTATTGTCATATCATGGCTCCGAAGTGTGGAAAATCTACCGCCTTCCAACTTGTTATAGTCATGCCGTCAAGGGAAAGTTGGATTTTTTTTTTGTGCAAAATAACCATTTAATTTCCTACACACTGGGACCGATCTTGATCAATTAATCAATCGAAACTCGGCGACTCAACTGCCGGGTAGAATGGAAGTGCGGGGTATTCTAACAATTGTTATTTCGTACAGTTGGACACGGCTTGAGTCTACCGTTCTCAACAAATAATCTTTCAAGAAGACCTTTTCCCAAATTATTATTCCAGACGGGACAATTGGCGATCGATCTCCAGCTATGGCCTCAACCATTTTCAATAACCTTTCCGCCCGTCACATTCCAGGGCTCTTTATCGGCACCACGTTGACTTTCGGTGGTGCAATACCCTTCTTCAATCCTGCATACGCAATGCGCGAGTTTGGCCTCCCACTCTACCTCGTAAAGTCTAAAGATGCACAAGATGCGTTCACCGTATCTGCAATTCGCACCGTTGCGCTTGGATTATCGGTTTACATAATGTTTGCCCGAAGAATGTATCATGGCGTAGACATCATCTTAGCATGCATCGGAACCACCGGGATCTTAGACGGGTGGTTATGCTGGAAAGTTGGCGTGCCTGGACGAGGAGTTTTCCGTGCTACCTGTGCGGTTTTGGTTGCCAGCTGGGGTTGGATGGGTATGACTTCGGCGTAAATATCGTATAGTCCTTTTATACATAACATACTTACACGCATCGTTAAATTTGATGTTGGGCAAGGTGTTATGCAATTATCTTGCCCAACTTACGCATGTAAGCCTTTATGTAACACGTAAACTAAAAGTCACGATAATTACAAATAAGGGAACAAACAATGCCAATTGCATCAATTGGAAGTCCGGAACCGTTTATTATCGTTATCAACTCTCGTTAATCCGATAGCTATCCGTACACCGGTTTGAAACCATGTGTTGGGGTGTCACGACATATAACATTACACCGCGCTGGTTTCCGTAGCTGTTTTCAGGAACCGGTTTTTTCGAAGCCAATCCCTTGTACCCTTTTCTTTGTATACAAAGTACGATATTTTGGCATGGATGAGCTGCATATACCCACCCTTGGAGCTTTGTAGCTATCCATGAGCTGTTTGCAGCTATTCAAAGAAAGCAGCTCGGAGCTACGTAGCTCTGAGCTTCACAGGATAGGCAGGCGAAGAATTTTCTTGCCTTAAAGAGCTCTTATTCTTTCTAGGATCGATACCGCGGGGTCTCGATTATCCTGAAGAATAAAGTTTTCTGTCAGTAGGAAAAAAATTTCACATGGAAAAATTGAATCAGTTGGTATGCTTAACATAGCGAAAACTCTACTCCATATAGACTCGACTTTGGCATGTCTCGGCTCTAGAAGGCAATAGAGCGCTTGTCGAGAGTCCATTTTTGTAGGAAAATTGACGCTCAACCCTATGGGGCGCTTCGTTACGATGGAGACTTTGCTTTAGCAGGTCTTAGTCTCAATACGAATCGGCTGTATTAAACTGTTCGTCGTTTATTTGAACCACTATTGTGAGCAGGTTCGAGCAGTCCCGTGTACTTGGCTGCCATATGTGGCCATGTAGATTTTTTTTTCATGCTTGAGTATTGCCAACTGTCCAGCATAATACAATGCTGGATACCGAACCGGCGGCAACATACTCGGGCCTCCTAAGGCTCAGCCGACCTGGCTTTCGTGGCAAAGAAGCCGAGCCGTCTGTCCCTTCTCTTGTTCCTGAAGATCGGTATGGTTACCCATGCTGTATTCTGTCAGCGCTAGATAACGGGAAGGAAGCCCGGAAAACTTATTTGTGTTGAGAAATCGAGACGAGTTCGCCGTTGAAAAATCTTTTTTCTTTACCAGTCTCTGCCCATTCAAATCGAGTAAGGGATTCACATGTTCCTCTGGGAAGAAAATCGATAGGGTATGAGTGATCCTGGTTACTGGGAAAGCTACTGTCCATAATCTAGGATCACACATCATTAGATCGGTTCCTCAAAGGGGGGAAAAATTCTGAGACATGTGAAAAACGCTCCGTTTGCGCTCGAGAATGGTGGACAGTCCCAGCCAGTGCAATGCATAAACGCCAAAGATAGAGGCTCACAAGTTTACTACTCTATTATATACGCCGCATATGCGGTTTCGCAAATGCGGGTTATCACGTTGTGATAGCGCTATCACAGCATTACTTGATACATCTATAGTGCCGTAAATAAGTTCCTTAGTGGGACGGCATAGCCATCTTGGGATGGGTCACACCGATTAGCTTCCCAAGGAAGTAGTCTACGGACCGTCTTAACCCTTAAAGGAAAGAGAAACGTGATATGGTATTCGAAATTTGGCGGTCTAACTTAGAGCAAATTGGGTATCAGCCTTTGCTAGAAAGTCTGGTTACGAGACTGTAGTTTGGGATGCTATTAGATCACATCTCAATGTTGCGTTGCGTCGCGAGACTAGAGCAGAATTCGAATCCGACATAACAGGCTATAGCGCTACATCTCATGAGCTCAAGTTAACACCAGAAGCTAGAGTACCCTCATATTGAGGCTAGAGCGGCGATTGAACTGAATATCAAGAATGAGACCAGTGAACTCACATTAGGGGTTTTATACAACCATTTACGATCATTTCAATGCAAGTCTTAGAAGCTTGGCAAGTCTGAGCAAAGAGGACCAGTCTGCCTACTATGTATTACCTGATCAGAATGATTGAAAATTCCGATTTGCTCGCTCAATCAGCATATTCTCGTTTCAGATATTAGCCGAAAGTACAGCGGCTGGACGGTCCTCTGTACGCGAAGTTCCCACCGGCGAGGGTTCCGCCTTGGTAGCACAAACACTTCGGATTTCTGAGGCCCTGATTTGTGGAGAAAGGAGAATATCTTACGATCGTAACGTTAACCCTCTGGTTCGGAGACTTCCGCCTAACCGTATATAACGTTAAGATGATCTCGCTTTTTGAAGCTTTAACGAAGCATTTAGCCTTTTGGTTTTTTTCAGGTTTTGAGGGTATTTTTGTTAAGGAGCGATTAAGTGTATTGGGCTGATCAGATGTAGCCAGAAAAATGAGTATAAATACTTGTTGTCTCGATTCCTTTCTGAATATAGGAGCATGAATTATCCAGTTGTCTTTGGTATCCGTTCCTCAAAATCATCGACTGTCTTATAAAGAATACTCGAAACTACGCTTCTCCAAAATGCAAATCACGATTGTTGCCCTCATCGCCACTGTCGTCGGCCAAGCAGCCGCACAACTACCATTCCCAGACACACTAGTATGATACACTTCAATTCACCGAGCCGCAACGGCGACTCCCCTGAGTGAACGGGTACCTGAATTTAAAAGGCGTTCCACCAACTAACCAAACCCCTCCGTAGTGCGGCGGGATCCGCTGGCAAATACGTACAACCTGTCTCCCGGGCTCCACGTGCACCACGATAAATGCCTATCACTCCTACTGCACGAAGGTTCCAAACTCAGTAAGACCACGGGATGAACCTCCAATCACAACTTTTACGCCAACAACAACTACGGACCTTGATTGCGCGACGACTCTGACGACTTGCACCACATTATTGGTGTGCCCAAGGGGGTCGACGAGGACTTGTAAGGAGTGGTGTGATGGACAACCGAAGCCTACCTTTTCTCCTTTGGTTGTACCGTGCAGTTTTAATAGCAATCCTGTGATAACCACGACGGCTGCTTGATTGCTTTAGCTTTCCATCCCCGAGCTAGGTTATTTTATTATCAAAAGTTGTCAAAAGTTCAGCTTTGTGTTGATTTTGTGGCATTTTTTGAGACCCGAGGCGACATATCGGTGCACTGTATGATAGTTATAGTTCGAATATCATTGTATATTCCCCTACCTGATTAAGAATATAATTTAGAAATCGGGTTGTGACTTGATATGTCAGATGTTGCTCTAGAAATATTGTTAAAGTCGTTGTGTTCGAATTCCGAACGCTCTAGATCTTTCTTATGGAAACATCATTGTCAACGACGGGTCACAAATATTAATTACGTTGAAATTCAAAGATGATTTCCTGCTAGTTAATCGGTATCTCGGTGTCTAGAACGAATACATGTATGTAAAGAAACTGGCCACTCAATCCTTTACATCGCGTCTAATAGGTTGTTGAATGACATGTTGCAAATGTATGTTGGTATTTAGGAGAAATACTCAACACGAAAATACTTAAGTGTCCTTCCAGTATTATTTCCGCATGGCTGAATCACACGCCCACATCATGATATCATAAAAGATAGTTGCAACTGTTTTAAATTTACTTTCCAACAATTTATTAAAGTTTGGGGGTTTATTTGTATCTCAATCGGCTCTTGATAACCGTTATAATATCGGTGTTTCATGGTGCCGGTAGCTGTGGCTTATATCTGCGCATGCTTGACACCTCGTATCGATCCGCCTCGGTTGCTAATTATACCTAGGCGCCGACGAATTCACGTAAGAATCGTATACATGCACGCTTTTACCCGTGCCCTCTAAAGATATCAATTCGAAACAAATGCTGCGTCTATGTTTCAACAGGATCGATAGAATGACCTTCTTAATTTGTTTCAAGTTTTTTTTTTTTTTAATCGATAGCTCGGGTGGCAAGTATCGGCATGTGTTCGTGCTGCTAATAGACATCTGTCAGATTCACGGTATCCAACTGTTTTGGATAGCTGAAACTATCAGTTGTCTCAATCGGGAGCACTTCTAACATCCATGGATCCAACGACTCGAGGAAATATTCTGGAAAATTACTTATTTGAGTATCTGACAAAATTGTCTCGAGAAAAGCCACCAATATTATTCTAGACTATGCTTCAGCCCTCTGGTTCAACTTAGAAATTCGCAAGTTTTCAATAAACGGGAGGTGCTACGCTATAGAAAAAAAGCAGAGAGAAAAGAAAGAGAGAACCAAACTTAAAAACTTCATAAGTTGTTCAGTAGGCGGCCACGGGGTTCTATATTGGTACAGGATACCTAGGATCCTGTTGCGCAATTACAGCTCATTTGTGGAAATGTAATCTTGCGAAACGACCTTGACATTAATTTCGAATCATCCATAGATTGTTAGGATTTCGCGGTCAGTTTATGTATAAGCAGTCTTAGACTCCAATTCTTTTCGCCTGTTATCTCTTCCAGTCTGCAGACTTCGTCATCAATCCCCTGAGCAAGTTGTTCCATTTTCTTCTCTGTATAATCAAAGCTCCCGTTTCTTTGTAAAATACCTAAAACCTCTTCTTTAGCTTCTCGGGCCATAAGCCCTGTTTTATATCTTTCCTCGAAGAGTGTTCGAAGCCGAGAGCTCTCTGTAGATTGAACATTCCAAGAATGCACGACAAGATATGAGAATTTTCCTTCGTCAAGGTCCTCGCAAAACCCCTTCAAGTCGGTGTACTACAATTTAAAGAAAGTAGAATAAGCGGGTGCTCAAGCTGACCGGGTTACACAGTACTTACATCTGTATTCGTAAGATTCATGAAATCATCGCGAATTTGGAAATATTGCCCAACCATATACGCTAAGTTGTCAAGATTGAGATTTCTGCTTCTTTATGAGTACAATGTCTTGTGCATAGATATCTGAGTAGTAAATGTACTTACGCGCATACGCTATTTTCTGTGAAAGCGGTCATAACTCGAGTCAAGAAGCGAAAGAGCCCACCGGTTTCTAGTTTGACGTTAGAATCTCGCCGAAGTCTGTTTCTCAGTCTTGATAGGAGTACCTACTCTTTTCGACCATTTCGATATATTCGTCCTCTGTCGGGCATTTTCTAGTATCTCTCCAATGCATCTCGTAACTTTACCCAATCAGAGCGTTCCGTGATTCCTCTAATTGATAATAGGTTAGAGATACAAAGACCTTTTAATAAGCATCCCATATGCATAGAAGTGATTACCAAAAAATATTTCTGAGAAAATTGAATTTCCTAGCCTCCTGGTTTCATCCATCGCCCATATTATCAGATAGTTGGCGGAATTGATTGCCTGTCCTTCACCATATACGACATGGGCAGCTTTCTGCCCTCGTCTGAGAGGTGAATTGTCTTCTATGTCGTCAAGTCTGTATGTTGCTGTTAGAACTTTGTTTATAGGGATAGGAGGATATACGAACAGAATAGATGCTGTGTGCAGTTTCTTCCCGATGTCTTTGATCTTTGTAAGATGGGGTTCAGGAATAGAAAACCAGAGATTCAAGGCATCCACAAATGCTTCTCTAACGCCTTTTGAGGGCATTGAAATCAAGTATTCATACGGTTCAAGGAGAAGCTAGTATGACAATCAACGGTTAAACTATGCAAGACACTTGTAGTGATCGTTGAATATATCCCTTACCTTAGTATCTAGCACTTCGTTGGAAGCTTCTGCTGTTTCATTTGTTGCTTTGGATAAAGACGGTGATGCAGCAGCTGCGGGTGTTTCCAATTCATTCTTCTGGTGACTAGCCGCTTTGTCAGATGTGGAGCTTGTGGCTAAATCCTGATCTGCGACATTTTGTCCTTATTGTATTGTTGCATGTCAATTCACCGTCGTATTTTGCTGAATGAGATGGAATAACCTAGAATGAACGTACCTATTGAAGTATTTCCGAGCTTTTCTTCTATCTCTTTGACCGAAGGATCTGTGGGTTCAGGGTTCGGTGGTGCTGAGTGATAACGAGGACAGTCCAGGTTCCACCATAAGTTGGCCGACATTGCGTAATACCATCCTTCAATATATTTTGCTAGCCTTGTATTCCGGTGAGCATGAGTTTTAAGGAATTCCTGTCGGTCCTTTAAGAATTTCTGCTCGAATTCTAGTGCCTTTTTCCGAACAACCTCCTTGGCTGTTTCGATGTCTAGGTTCTCCCACTGTGTGTATAACCAGACTGCATTTACAAGAGTGGTGTCATCGGATTCCAAAAACTCACGATACTCCTTATTGAACGAAAAGTAGTCGTTTAGAAGAGCGAGAGCCCTCCAAACTGCTATGACAACTTCGCGAGCAATCTTATGCTCTTCATCGGTCAGTCTGATGCCCATGCCGAATAGAATTACACCACCAGAAAACCTGTATCTCTAAGTTACTCGACTACGTCAACCTTTGTGGATGGATTAACTACTTACCCGCAACCAGTATCCAGGATACGGAACTCCAAATATTCGTCAAGATTGTTAAAATTTTTCGAGTGAGTAATTGTGGTTGATACCATTTCCTGCCATTGTTCAACAAGTTGTTTCCCACAATCGAGATCCGTTTCTAGTAGTTCCAAGAGAATTTTGGATTGGAGTTGTTTCGCGCCAGCGATTGATTGGGTTACCCGGCTGTCAGTACTATTGATGCAAAGGTTGTTTGTATGGATATCCAGCTATAAAGTAGGTGATCAGCTTGTATAGCTCAAAGCTTCGGGTGGACCGTGTCTGCAATATGAGACTAGTCTAAGCTCAAATTCAAGACAAATAGACTGGGAATATTGCCTACATCCGCATTTTGATTTTGTTCCATCATATTATCAGAAAGAAACGCATCTGTTACATCAAACTCGCCCTTCTCGTAAGCTTTACCAGAATGCTAAAAAAAACCTTGGATATTAGGGCAACAGAGGTGATATACATTCAGAGATATAGGCGCACAGGGCTAACCTCTCAGGTATAGCCATTGGCATTCCCAAACTCATGAGGTTTCCAACAGTGTCGCTGCGATTACCCCACACTCGGACCGGGCCAACGTAGGTTTTCCAATCGTTTCGACATTCCTCTGTCCCTCGGTCCGTTTCATCGTAGGAGTTGTGTTTTCGAAGGATATAGCCTTCCCCAAAACCGTGTGTATCAATGGAAGAAGTATCTACAATGGTGGATGTAGTATCTGGGTCAATGCCAAACTGTAATAGGTCGAGGGTTCCGGGTTGCATGATTGTAAACCAAAAATTGAATTGGTTATATCAAATAATAAATTTAGGTCAATCTCGATATCGGTGGGCTTGCTGAGTATCCGGGGTATCTTTTTATCGTAAATGAAGATACAAGGAATCAAGAATGCTTTTTATAAGTAATCTAGCCCGGCGGTTACTGACTTAGCATGTCAGTGGGAAATCCCTCTAGACCCTTTATCCTAAGCATGCAAGTGCCTCGGTCTACCCTAGTGCCACGACATGCGCGCCTTTGAAGCCCAGGCATAGATACGGTACGACTGAGGTGACTTTTTGTGTGACTCCTTGAGGCCTCCAGATCCCGGAGTTAATAGTTCTTTTTGTTCAAGTTGCCCTACGGCCTACATAGAGACATATGTGATCATTTTGTGATAGTCTCCAATGCAACCTCCACAGCGATTGGTCATTTGCTTTTTTCTTTTCTTCTTCTTCTTTTCTTCTACAAAAGATGAGGGCAAAGGAAAGCTCTTTCATCCCTTCGGTTGAATCTAGATTGTTGATTCGATATTCCGAAAATCGGATAAATTGATAAATTGGTGATTGGGACAACGCGAATAAGGGTGAAAGAGCATACGCCATTCAAATGAGAGTATGGATCTGTGGACCATATATTCGGTAGGGTCAGTATGGAACGGCGCTTGTGTCTAGGGATTGGTTGGAAAGTAGCTCGTTTTATCCGGGGTGCAAGCTACTTGAAAGTCTTGATCTGCTCTCCAGATATTTTGCAGGGGTCTAACTCAGGCGGCATGCTAGGCTTGCATAAACACTAATGATGTTATCTCAGGTTAGCTAGGGAAAAGGTGGTAACGAACCATTGGCCGTACGTAGGGGACTAGTACTAGTGATATTTCTGGCACGCATTATTGAGCTCCAAGAAACCGTTGAAGTTAATCACTCTGCTGCTGAGTTTTTCAACTTTTCTTTATTAATAGAAAGTCACTTCATGCAGCGCACTAGAGCGACGGCACGAAATATTGTGCTCCGGATACAAGGGCTATTGCATCGTCACTTTCATTGAGTCTTTGTTGCGCGAGGTTTTACTATATTCTGAATTCTCTTACGTACGATAACAAATTTGCAAGTTGTCTCAAGGCTTTTCTCAGGCATCATACAATCGTTGCCAGATGCCATTTGGGGGGTGTTAAAACTAGAGTTGGCAAATTCAAGGTTAGTATTTAGGGCCCCAATGCAATATACACACTCCATTAACATAATTTCCTCCATAGAGCATCTTTAAATTCATCCTCCTCTAAACAAAGTAGTCCCGCTACTCGTAGAGGCCCAGTCCTCTGAATGTTGGCTCTAAAATCTCACCAATCTCGCTTTGTTTCCATATAGTCAGCCTACGATATCAACATAATAATGGGGAAAGGCCTCGAGATACTCCCCACCGTGGTGCTCAACTCCAATCTCTTAGACCTCGAAGTGATCTATCAACGCTTGCTCCAAGTCGCCGCGATTCTAGTGATAGGATACTTGGTCCTCACTGCGATTTATGAACTCTACTTCTCACCTCTGTCCAAGATCCCCGGACCATGGTATGCTGCGGTTTCACGGTTGTGGCTGATATACAGATCGCTAAGGGGGGGTGTTATTTTTACCGCCTACGACTTACATAAACAGTATGGTATGTTTGATACTTCTTGACGATAAAACAGCAGACGTGTATTAACTAATCGCTCACTTTCCTCTTAGGCCCATATGTTCGAATGTCTCCAAATGAGATTTCAGTAGCCGAAATAGAATCAGTACGAAAGATACACGCTCCTTCAGATCCATACGAGAAGGCAGGATTTTATAAGACAATTGGAAAGGGATTCAAAACCATATTCGTTCTTACAGACCACGAAGAATACAAACACCGTCTTAAAGCTCTTGGGGGCGGGTTTGCAGCCATGAATCTAGCCTTATTGGAGCCGGTTATTCGCAAACATGTGGATACCTGCGTATCAAAACTTAAGCAAGAACTCGATAACGGCAGGAATCCGGACGTGTTTTTATGGGTTCAATATATGAGCACCGATATCATCGGAGAGATCAGCTTTGGGAAAGACTTTGGGATGTTGGAGAGTGAAACTGTACGTGACCGATTAACCAACAGAGCACCTGCATATATACAGCGGACGTACTGACGCCACTGAATAGATCAATCCATTGATTCGAGATGCTATGACATACCTTGCCCTATTAGCAATGCGGGCTTTCGTTCCTTTGATGCAACTCTTAGAACCGGTACTCTCCCACATCCCCCATTCCGGAATTCAACGTATTTTCGGCTCTGAACAGCGGATTCTGAAATACAGCAATAACGCAATCCTCAGTCTAGTCCGCGATAGCCAGGATTGCAAAGACGGGGAAGTAAAACCAAATTTATTCTCTAAAATGTTGAGAAACCTAGACAATCCCAAGTGTAGGTATAAAATGACTATGGAGGAGATAAGGCATGATTCTTTTGGGTTTATCCTCGGAGGAAGCGATACAGTCACAATCACCGGAAGCTTTATTATATGGGCCATAATCAGACACACAGAGGTACGCAAAAAGCTAGAAGCAGAGATCCAGAGCCTCGGTGTTGGTGATATTACGGATAAAAAGCTCCAAACACTGCCATTCTTAAAATGTGTGATACAAGAAGGTGTAAGGATGTACTCGGCGGCCCAGTTCTATCTTCCTAGGGCCGTGCCTGGTACTGGAAGAAAGCTTGGACCGTACTTTTTACCGGGAGGTGTAGAGGTTATAACTCCAATATACACAATTCAGAGAAATCCAGATATCTTTCCTGAACCTCATGTGTAAGTCTATTCGACCCATTCCCACCAAAAGCGTTCGATTCCATGGAATCCAACCTGACAAAACTTCGCGAACCCTGTTAACGTGTTGAGTACTTAGCTTCAAACCCGAGAGATGGATGAATGCCACGGATGAAATGAACGACGCCATAATAGCCTTCGGTGGATCTTCTCGAGGTATGATAGAGCATTTCTTCCTATTCCTGATTATATGATTATAAATCGTCAAGTAGCTTGCTAAAAACAAAAATTTGGAACTTCTACAGTATGTCTAGGTAAAAACTTGAGTATGATGGAGATGCGCCTTCTCATCGCTGTCCTATTGACTGAATATCCCGAGGTCGACCTCGCAGAATCTTGTACAGACGAGAGCATGGAAATAGTGGAATTTCTGTGTATCAAACCTAGAGGAGGCAAGTGCGAATTAAAGAAGAAGAAAATTATAGAATAATATCATGCTGTAACTAGATAAGTTTATTCATATATGAATCGATGCGATGGGCTAAATTTGATGTATATATATCGATGCTTTGACGAAATTTAACTAGACTAGTTTTGATGTATAGTACCGGTATTATAAGGTATCTGTGGTATGGTATACATAATATAATAATAATATAATATAATATCATATTACTCCGTATATTAGAGTGTACATTATCTATCCGATACCATTCTAGATCTGTCTCATATGCATCGATCGTAGCTTAAGCTTACGGATGCGATCCTGTATGTGTGACATCCTAGCGGCTTAGCGCTCCCGGGTGCTTTACATGTATACCTCTTGGTGCAGTATAAACTTTAAATTCAGACTTGCAGCCCGGATGTAAAATTAAAAGAGACCCGAAAGCATAACTAGACTCGAAAACATCATTCATAAAATATAAAACCAAAGTTACTCTTGATACGTACAACAGGGCCCTTAACGTTGTATGATAAGCGAATTACAGAGAGTATGATGCCCTGGCCTTGCCCTCTATCCTAGGTTCAGTCTTGGCAAGGCATTGATTCGTTCCTGCTTAAAAACCTCGGCCAGTAATTAGTAGCCGGGTAAGAGAATCATTGATTCTTACTCCATAGGGAAATTTTGCGAGTTTAACAAAAAAATTTGATTTGCCTGGTGAAAATGGGGTTAATCCCCTATCTCGCTAAGAATCACGAGATCCACTTGGCCCTTTTTTCTAAAGTTTTTGGAGGCAAAAAGGACAAAAAAAGAAGCACGCTTCTTCTTCCTAAGTGCTCCCATACGGATTTGAACCGTAGACCTCGACATTACTAGTGTCGCGCTCTACCAACTGAGCTATAGGAGCTAATTTAGATGAAGAAGCCGATAGCAACTTGAGTAATTGAATCTAGCAGATATAGATGCCTCTCAGAAGCAAATTTAGTGTTTTTTTTTTGATTGTTCCGATTCCAATTGACCAAAACTGTGGTTTCGGAGATCACGAAAGGATGAAAAGGGTTTTCTGGTGTCTTGTATCTCAGCGCGCGCCGGCTTTCGGGTTGAACAGCGACCAGGTTGCTGTACCACATTAAACACGTCCAACACATTTCAATATCCCACTTTTATAACCTCACAGCGGCGTCAGGCCTCTCGAGACTAGAAACGTCACTTATAAACCCCAACCACACCCTGCGCACGAGATTATACTATACGATATCATACCATGACATAAATTCACAATGCCGACCCCCATCCACAACCTCCCAGCCCTCCGTGTCCTCAAACTCCCGCTAAGCGACTACTCCCACGTCTCCAAACTTCAATCCATCCTATTCAACCTCCACCTCCTCTACAAATCCTCCCAAAGTACACCAAACCCAATCCCTCAACCTCCACCATACCTCATCACCTCATCCTTCCATCCAATTTACACATTCGGTCGACGTGAAGCCGCCAGAACACCACCTGAACCGGTCCTAAACCTCTTATCTGAGAATAAAGCTGCAATAGCTTATACACCGCGTGGAGGGCAAGTTACGTTTCACGGACCGGGACAGGTAGTTGCATATCCGATTCTTGATTTGAAGAGACACGGGCTTTCGCCTAAATGTTACGTGCGAGTCCTTGAGAAGGCTGTTATAAGGGTGTTAAGGAAATGGGGGATAAAAGGGTTTACGACGAAAGAGGCGGGTGTGTGGGTCAAGAATGACAGGAAGGTTGCGAGTATTGGGGTCAATTTGAGGAGGTGGGTTAGTAGTCATGGATTGGCTTTGAATGTTGATACGGACCTTGAGTGGTTTAAGAAGATTGTGGCTTGTGGGTTGGATGGTGTGGAGATGTGGTCTATGAAGAAGGAATGGGAGGATCAGCTGGAACATAAGAGTAATGAGGGAGGTAGGATCCCTGGGAGCCTGACTGAGCTAATAAATAGGGTGGATAGCAAGGTGTTCAAGAGGAGGATAACAGAAGAAGTTGTACATGAGATAGCGGATGGGATAGGATGCAGATTGGCTACACCTATTACCGTGGAGGAAGTCGAGGAGCTAGGGAGGAAGTATGAGCTTTCTGGAGAAGATGGGATAGAGTGGCTTAAGTACTGGGATTCTTCGGGTCTGTACTATAGGGTTAAAGGAGATAACATGGAAATGGAGGGTGAGGAACGAGTTCCTGAAGAAAAGAGGGAAACGGATTTGGATGATGTTAAAAACAATAACGACACAGATCCTGATGAAGGTGCGCCCCTTTTCTTCAAATCTAAACGCATTTATCGAGGTTGGGACCTCCCTTAGAATCGAAAGACTAAGAACTAGTAAGCTCCTCGAACCTAAAATGGACGAGAGGCCTTGTCAAGAGGCAGGGCTGAAGATCCAATTATAGGTCATACTATTCGAATGGTGCCCTATTTTATATCAGAATTACGCCAGAGTAACCCGAGAGGGTGGTGATGATGATGGCGGCGGCGGCGACGGTCTATCGTACTATCATGAAACGAAATTGACCTAGCATGCAATGATTCTCGTCCTAAAATATAAAGGCCCTAGGGAAAAGATGATCGAAGATTTCAAGTATCCTTGGAGATAATACAATTATGAGTAGATAAAGCTGTGGAAGCCAGGAACTAAGGACGGAGAAGATGGATCTATGGATCAAAATTATGCTAATATTGAGCGCTTGGGCGCCAGATACACCAAAGAAAATTGGAAAGACGAGGCCAGGCCGAGGTTCGTGCGAGGTCAATTGGATAATAGCGGCTACAGTACTGCCTGCCATGTAAATAAGTATTATTATGTAAATATCTATTAAGTTTAATTACAGCCTTGGGTCATTATAATAATAGTATACTCTTAATGTTTGTTTATAACTTTGACCTTATCTTTGTAACATTGTGGCGATAAAATCTCCTAGCCTTACCGGACAAGCTCTTCCTCAAAATATTCTTACAGTAGCTCGAGATAGACTAGGATAATGTTGTCACGTTGAAAAAAGAAATATGTAATTGTGTACTAGATATAGCTAGCCACGGATCCGCGATATAGCTTAGTTTTTTCTCCCAGCTAGCTCGATTGAAACAATTATAGTCCACCTTTGCAGCGAAAGAGCCGCTTAAACCTCAAATAGAGATTTTAGTATGCCTCCCACTAAATTTTTTATAAGTTATACCCTGTTTAAAGACCGTTGACAGTCGCCTCTTCCTCAGGCAGGCCCCAATCCTCAACGCTGCCCTTCCAATCAGCAATCTTCCCGCCCTCAAGCTCAACAACCACAAATACACTCCCTTCTTCCCCTTCAACGTAACACTTTGCGCCTTCGAACTTATTAGCTTCTTTATGTACGTCCTTATAATACTCTTCCTCATTACTGCCCGATTCCAAAATCCTAGCGTAACCCCTCACAGTATGAGAATAACTCTGCAACTCGCTGCTGTTCATGTTCTGCAAAAACTGAGCCAACGGTGATAGACTATTCGTATCGGGACTGGATGGTCCCGAAGCAGTTGGTGGGCGTTGGGAAACCCAGTCGTGGACCAGAAGAGACACATGGGGGTTACTTTTAATGTTCTGTAGCTTTTTGGTGGTTGGAGAGAGGAGCATGATGATTACGCCGGGACCGGAAGTAGAAGAAACGGCGGTGGGGAGAGCGGTGCCGGTGAAGGTCTTGGTGGGGGGGATGTAGGTGTAGTTCATCAGAGCGATGTGGGGGCGGAGTGTGGAGGTGCATGTTGCCAGGTGGAGCTGTATTCTATTAGTAAAGGTATTGACATTGACAAAGACAGAATCATTGATCATATCCAATGATGAAGCAGGAATAGAGATAAATATACTCACGAAACGGGTATTATTGAGGCACGAGAGCACCTCTGGGGGCAGCTGCCCTTCGTAGACGCGTTGGGTTGGAGGTGCCATTTTAAGTCTAATGCCGTAATTAATACAGAGTATTAAGGTACTAAGCCACGTCGAGATAGACTATAGATAGTGGATTGCGATAGTGTCAAGGACAATTTACCCGATTCGTATTAACTAAAAGTAATTGAGGATAGTATTCTGATGATGAAGATGAAACCGATTTTGAAGCTGAAGTCGAAGTTGAAGTGAAGTCGGAATGGATGATGATAGCGGAAAGAAGGGTAAATAATCCGGGGGCAGCCGTGTGCTGTTATCTTTTGGTAGTCCCGGACGCCAAGCAAATCAGTGGAATCTGGACTCGTCTACACCAACCAATCCACAGCACAGCTCGGATCTAGTCTCGAGACTGCCTTGCATATCCAAACACATACTTAAGTACTTATTTAAGGAAGCAGCTATACATCTACTACCTCCAGGTGCTTGTACATTCTATATCTACTTTCGTCTTATATACCTTATGATATCAATTGCTTCAAATTCACATACATTCAAATGGACTGAACATCACTGCCAGATTAGACCAGATCAAGATCAGATAAGCACCCGATAAGAGGCGCACGACGTCATTCCTCAACACAGGTCCGAGCGACAGACTAGCGTACCTGGTTGCTTCCCCACAGCCGCTTCGAACCTGCCTGAACGGACTTCCCCAGGTTTCCCCCTCTTCGACTTCCCCATCCTTCTCATCCTCTACTCCTTCATCGCGACTTCTCCTTTTACATTACCAGAATAAACTATCATCATGTTCCGTCCTGCTCTTCGTCCGCTTTCTCGTCGTTTCCCCTCTTCTTTAATCCGTCCCTTATCTACCGCTACTCCACTTCTTAGTAAACCCACCACTACTACCACCACCCCCTCAATCGGCCAACTCCCAGCCGACTCCACTACCCAATTCGAAGCAAACCTCGCAGCCTTTCGCGGAAAGCAAGCTTCGCAGCAAGAAGCCGCCCGTCAAAAGGCCACAGAAGCTGCAGCAGCCGCTCGTGCGGCTGTTACCGACCCAAACAGTCCCGAGGCTGTTGCTGCTGCTGCTGCTGGAAGCGCCGAGGGTGGTCCTGACATCAAGACTGGTGGTGTCTTCTCCAAACTTCTCCACGGGTCGAGTGAAGCTCAACATGATACTTACCAAATTCAGGAATCTTTCTCAAAGGTTCTTGCTAGAGGAAAGTATGTTCACGAGTTGGTGTTTCACCGTGTGAGACCGGATAAGGTCGATGAATACGTCGAACTTATTGGGACTGAGTATCCTCGGGTTGCCAATGATCCCAGGGCCGAAGTCAAACTCGTGGGTAGCTGGAATACTGAAATCGGGGAGGGTGACACATTCCGTAAGTTCATTGCTGCTACGAATCGTGAGATCCTTGTTTTACTAGAAAAATACATACTAAATCGAGTTTTATTACGTAAGTCCACATCTGGGAATACAACGGCTACTCTGGCTACCATTCCACCCAACGCTACCTCGACGGCCTCCCACAGACTCAAAAATACAAAAAGGAAGTCCGCAAGTACCTCCAATCGCGCTCCAACTCTCTCGCTCAAGAGTTCTCGTTTTGGCCTACCACCCCACCTAGGGCTTTGGGAGGTGTATTCGAGCTCCGGTCGTATACTTTGCATCCGGGGAATCTATTAGAGTGGGAGACTCATTGGAGACGTGGATTGGTGGCTAGACAGAGTCAGGGTATGGAAGGTGTCGGAGCATGGTTTACTCAGATTGGTGGATTGAACGAAGTTCACTACCTCTGGCAATTTGGAGATTTGAGAGGACGACAGATATTGAGAGAGAAGAGTTGGCAAGCAGAGTGAGTCCCCCCCTTCCCTTTCCCCTTTTTGTATTGTTGCGACGTGGTGATGCTAATGAATTGACTTCTAGGGGATGGGCGGATACCGTGCATAAGACAATTCCACTGATCGCAAAAATGCAGTCCAAGATTCTTCTACCTCTCCCCTGGTCGCCTGTTAAATAGATGGGACTCCCTGGGATTTGGAAGAAGTGGAGGATTGTATCACCTACAAATTCACGCATTGCGAAAGAAACTGTTAGCATCATATCATTAATTGCCTTTTTTTTTGTTATCATTGTATATTCATCCACCGCAACAGGCGGGCAAGAGCAATCAGCGAGCAGACGAAGAAGGGTTAGAATAAGAGGGGGTTCTCAAGGAAAGAGGAAAGAAGAATACTACTTCTAGAGTCGAGACGGGTAAGGCTCGGCCATTATTAAACATTGCGAAATTTTGCTTTTTTTTCTATTCTATCTATATTCTGGTTTACTATTACCACCATCAACAAATATTTTCATATATACCTAAGTACTAGCCTTGAATCCAGGCGCTCGAGGCGGAGTACTTACATACTACATGTATACATACTGAAGTACATACATCGCTGGCGGAACAGTGGTTTCCATCTAGCTTTCCCTTCGTGTAACTACCTACTCCTTAAGATATCACCCCATCTTTGGATCTATATATACCCTGCGCCTGCCTATATACGTATACCATCGCATATCAATACATAGAAGGGATAGAGTTGATACTCTCATCGCTATATATATCGCGACTATTTTTTTTAAGGTTATTTAAGAAATACGATCTACGTTGTTCAATAATATTGCGATGCAATGCTTCGGGGCTAGGTAAAATCCCATACACTTCGAACGTTGATAATCGAGAAGCGGTCTAGATCTCGTAACCAAACTGTGCAGTAGATACGTTGTATTTTGGATTGACAACGCATTTTGATCACGTACAGACGACTGCCCGAACCTAGTCTTATGTACTCTAACCTGGTCTCGTCCTAACTCTAGTTAAAGATCCAGTTGACTAGTGGGGTAATATGTAATGTAATATACAAAAGGGCCCTCAAAAAAAAAAAACTCAAGCTAACTCTAGGTTCATAAATTCAATGCTAGTAATACTCCCTCCATTCATAATAAATATCAGAACCATAAGAATCATGCTCACGGCTATCTTGATTTCGATTGGCAGAGTCACAATAATCACTATAATGAGTATCCCCGCGCAAGAAAGGGGCCCACCGATCAGAGTCTTCGGTAATCTCTCTAAAGTTTATATCAAGATGAATATCCGCAATTCTATTCCCCATGTGCTTCTCACCATGGAAGGAAATGGAGCTTAAATCGGGAATGTCGATTTTACGCCATTCATGACACATTTGGGCTAATTTCCTTGCGTTGTAAGATCCGTGTTCTATTGATCTTGGCCACGGTAGTCTTAGATATTGTAGCTTTTCGAGTTTTCTGATGGGTTGGTGAAGAGTTGGGTTGAATTCCCAGTGATTGGTGCGGAGGGGAACCTTTGGTTTGATTTTCAAGTTTGTTAGTTTTGGGAACAAACTTGCGATTTTTTCGAAGTCTTGGGCCATTCGGGGGCTCGAGGTTTTGATTTTGAGCTGTTTGATGCGGGGGAATGTGGTATGTGGCGGAATCGAGTCTAGGATGGCGAAGCTTTGGTCGGGATTTCTGGGGATGTTGAAATGTAATATTGGCTCGATATCTATACACTTTATTCCTAGGCGGCTCGTTCTCGGTGCTGCCATGAGAAGTTTGTGGTAGAATCTTTCTTGTTCGGGATGAGGGTTTGGGAGATCTAATTCCCATTGACCCACACGGGTTAATGATATTTCAAGACCCTGTAGGTTTGGAAAGGTGATGCTCGGTAGATGTTCTGCCATATATGCTTCAACTTCGTCAGGATGTATTTCTTCTCCCAGGAATTGTTGGTTGGTCGATGAGAGGTTCGAATAGATATCTTGGTAGGTTTGGTATAGTCTGTTGTAGTGCACGGTGACATGAAGTCTCAGGACTGTTAAAGCTTGAAGAGGGGCTAATACCCTTAAGATGGCGAAGAAGGCATTTCTTTCGATTACATTGGGTACCTCGTAGGTTATGTATAGAACTCGGATGGTTGGGAAAAGTGGTACGGCTTGTATTCCAGCTCGAAGCCAAGAAATTGAATTTTCGTGTTTGTCGGATATATTTTCATCAGCATATGACAGCGGGGCATGATTTAACTGTAAGAATCTATGACCAACCAAGGATTCGAATAGAGGAGGAAATTAATAAATTAAAATCAAATCCCGAAAGTAAGAGTGACGAACTAGCAGAGTTTCTCATACCTGATATCACCATCGTGGTGTTCCAATAAACCACCTGGTTTAAATAGTTCTATCGATGAGGGATCCAGACTGATAGTTGCATAAAATACCCGTGGCCGAAAGCAGAGTTGATAGAAGACTCTGGAAGAATGAGCAATGCCTTTGAGGTGATGGTATGTTTCCCGACTATAGCTACAGAACCAGCCATTGTATTGCCTTGCTAGGATATCGATTATCATAAGTTTGATCTCGATCGGAAGGTTGATTAGCGAGACTTTGGAAGCATCGCTGCTTCGATGTGGGAGGGTTGGTTCCTCCATGGTTTTTGTGTGATGTCGTTGTTGTATCAGGTATGTTGAGGGAACTGGGTGGCATGGAGGTTCTTATATGTACGAGGAACTTGATTTGGGCGTTTGTGTTAATACGATGTGCATATGGCAGAAGCAGCCTTGACTCATCTGCACCTGCCAGCAATGCAATGCATGCATGCCTACAATCAATTTTCGTCGTCCGTTTCGAGTAAGAATCCAGGGGTTTATAGTATATTCTACAGTTTGGCCTGGGTAAGTTCCAATCCAACGTTGCTTCCAAGCTTGCCGTTCGGGGCTAAACCAATGCAAAGCTGGCGCAACATCCGGATCCATCGTCAGAAGTGCGTGTAACCCCGCCCTACAACGCGAAAAGGCTGTGTCTTTTTTAGCAGGACAACACGGGATATCGTGTCTGTTGGTAGGTCGAAGAACGGACAATGCAGAACTGCAATTGAAAGCCTGGCAGGGGGTTGAGTCACAGGATCCCGTGTATCCTTCCAGCCTCTCTGAACCCCGCGCGAGGATTTAAAAAGGAAGCTTATGAAATTCTAACCAACTAAACATTTGATAAGTCACGTATGAGTAATACGGTTACTCAAAACCAACTAGATGCGATCTAAGATCGTACACCACGCAAGGAACCATCCAGTCGCAAGCCCCTAGGATGCCGGGGTAAACCTGGTCCCTTCCCGTCACCGTACATAAACGCATGCCAATTGCAAAGCACTCATTCGCATATTGAATTCAAATTAATAGGTTGATATAAATGCCATATGGGATCCTTGGAACTTAGTATATATACCAAGTACCCCCTAAAAATCTTTAAGCTTTCATTCTAAGCACTCGAGCCGATCGCCTTTTCTTATACTATTGCATAGTCTCGTATTGCGATACGAGACTAACTATTACATATACGAAGCAAGTAAGTAGGTATATATAGACTATAAAACCACAATGTCCTCTTCCTTATCTCTATACGGAATGTTCGGAACCGACCCCAGCCCCCGAGTACCAACCCAACGACCCTTCCACCACCCCTTCGACCTAACATTCTACCCTCACCCACTTACCAGACGAAAAACCTCCTACCTTCCACAATTTTCAAGTCGAGAACATACCATTCGCCGGATCTCCTCGAGTATTCGTCATCGTGTTGGTTGGATCGAAGATATTACAAATCTTGATAGTTTTAAAAGGTTATTATTATTACCACATGACGATAACAAATCGATATCTGGAGGGACGTTGATGTCTCCGTCTGATGGGATAAATGATGGGGAAATTGAGTTTTTGTTTGAAGAGTTGGTGGGGTATAAAGCGTATGTGATGGAATTAAGAAAGAACGGTGTTTTGATAGAACCTGGTGTCGATGGGGTTTGGAAACAAGATGGTTTATTGGATGAATCGTCGAGAGGACGGTTGAAAGAAGGTACTTTAGCTTCCCGGATCCCAATTGCAATTGTACAATTGACGTATTACATATAATTTCTTAAAACCGTTAACATAATATGTAATTTAATGCTTCCAGCTGCCTCAACCCTCTCATCCCTCCCCGCCAGCTCAAGAAACTGGCCCACCCTCCCGGATACCCCCGAAAAGGACCTTCTAGACCCCACAATCTATCCCATAATCTACGACGAAACCCTCTCACGAAATCAAATCGACTATCAAAAAGTAACCGCAGTAACCCTTCCAAGCCTAAAATGTCGTCAAGTGCACGGAGTCTCCATTGAAGAACAAGAAGAAATTCAAAAGCTAGGTCTGGACACATTTTTCTCCTGGCTACCTTCAGAATTCGAAGTCTCGCCCTCTACAGGAGAAACAAAGATAGTATCTTATATAAACAACTTGACATTACCGGGACAAGATGTAATTTTCCATCCGCTTTTGGAAAAGGTGTTTTCGGGGACTGTAAAGGCGTTTAATCACGTTTTGGCAGATTTGGATAGAAGGGTTTATAATATTAAAAAACGAGATGATGATGCTGAGAGGTTTATGCATAAATGGAGTTCGCCGATTATTTCTAAGGATAGGAGTTTGGAAGGAAAAACGGTGAAAGTGGTGGTTAGGATGGTACAGATTGATCTGGATCCGAAGAAAGTGAGGTATATGTATGCCGGCGGTGAATGGCGTGTGGAAGGGATGGCGGTATGTATTCTCTCAATTCAAACCCTCAATTCTTGAAGAAAGAAAAATGTTATAACTGGTTAACTAAATATTTGAGTAAATGCTAATATATGAAGTGGGTAGAACGAACGGATAGTAGCAACATCGATATATCAATATTCACAAGAAAATGTTACGGACTGCTGTATCCAATTTCGATTAAAATCTTTTTATATAGACGACTACCAGTTCAAACCTACAAGGGGGGATACGGAGTTCGTGGGGTCGATGAAGTTATCGGTATGCAGTATACCATATCTATATTTATTTAGACCATTCCGAGCCGCCAAGTTAACAACTTATTTACGAATAGGAGAACCGCGCAATCACATATCCAAATACATTCGAAAGCCGTTTCTCCGATTTTAGTTTGAAGGACAAGACAAAACCTGGCCATATAAAGCTACTAATCTTTCATCTCTGCGATCCGTTTGGGCATGAGGTAATCACCTTTCCCAGAGCCCTTCAATATCGATCTTCTTTCTTTGCAAAATTACATTCAAGGATCGATCTTGCTAAAAGGAAATATGATATATAAATATAGATCCCATCAACCCGTACTATCCGTCCCCAACAACCAGAACAATTCGAAAACCTATTGCGAACTACAAGACTGGGTATCCTACCCGAAGAGATATACCAAGAAATCACACAGGATGAGTGGGGGAATATTATTACTGAAGAGGAGGTTGGAGAGTATAGGAAATTGATGGTGGAGCATAGGGATGGGATTTTTAAGAAGAAGGTTAAGCGGGCCTCGAATTCTCGTGTTAGAAGGAAGGAATAGGGATTTCGATTTGAGAGACAGTTTATTTCTTATGCTCCTAATGCAACACAAGCGGTATACAAAATACAACAGATATCCTATCCCATAAATATACATAAACATCCTCCCTCTCACATATATATAATCGTAACAAATACACGTCACACAAACCTATTATCAGTACACATCTCCATTTTCCTCCTCTGCAGCCTCCCTTTGCCCCATCCAAACCTCTCCACATTCCCAACTACACGCCTCTCTTACCAAAGGCACCACATTCGCCCTCCCTTCCCCCCACCTTCCCAAATACCGTTTCAAAAACCTATTCCACTTCATCCCCATCACCATCTCCGCCATTACCCTCCTCTTCGTATCATCACCCTCCACAGCTTCCTTCAACAACCTTTCCACAACAGTAGGTTTAAAATACTCCACCATTACATCCTCCCTTCCTACATCCTCCCAAGGTATCACATCCCAAAACTCAATCCATTCTACACCTTTCAACACATAATCCGCCTTACAAACCGTACATTTTTTCACAGCTACATCCTTCCCATTTCCCTCTTCCAAAGCATCTCTAACCTTCCGTTTTAAATGCTCCGGAAGGAGTTCATATAAGTCCTCCCTTTGTTCTTGTTTCAAAGACGTATACATCGTATGAGTTGTTATTTTTCTCAAACATAGTTCTTGTAAAGAAGGGAATTTGTTTTCTATACATTTTTTCTTTGGTTTTTGTTGACGAACGGGAAGGAGGAGCAGGTTTGTATCCTTTAGACTTCGTTTTGTGAGATGTGACCATTGGGTTGGGTGGGTTATTATTGATGATAGAGGAGGTGTGACTAGGATCCCTAGTTCGTTAAAGGCTGAGAGTGGAGTTGAGGTTATGAAGTTATAAATAAAGTGTTTTGTGATTGTTGATTTTATGAACGCTGGTGGTGTGGGGGTATTGGATGGTATCGTATGTGCTGATTTTGGAACACGGATGAGATCTGATTGTTTATTATCATTATCATCATTATCACCACTATCATCATCATCCTGAATAACCACTGATCGTTTGGGAAGAATATGTAAATCCTGAGGAATGAAGGTAAAAAAAGGGTTTGGAAAGAAAGAAAGTCCTGCAGTGGGGGTTAGATGCTGAAGGGATAATAGAGAGAATGGAAGGTATGCGAGAAGGTTCTCGCCCAGGGAAAGGTTGGTGAGGACAGTTAGGTTCGAGATGTGGTGTGGTAGACTTCTTAGGAGATTTTTGCGCAGGAAGAGACCGGTTATGGTTTGGAGGGAGGTTAGGGAGGGGGATAGAGTAGTGAGGGAGTTGTGGTGGAGATGTAGGTGGATTTGGGGGTGGAGGGAGGTGTATGGGGAGGAGACCGTTGGGTTGATGCCGGAGCTGGAGCGGAGGAGGCTCGTGGACTTTTGGAGGGTGGAGGAGGGGGCGGTTGTTGTGGAGCGGGAGGAGGAGGAAGGGAGGGAGTCCTTTGGTTGGAGGATTAGGGAGGAGAGGGAGCTGATGTCGGTTGGGGTGCGAGTGAGGGAGAGGTTGCTATCCAGTTGTTAGTACATAGGGTCTATCTATTAAGAAGGATTCTAGAATGGAGGAAAGACAGAATGTTACCTTAAATCCACAACCTCAGAACCATTCTCTATGGCCTTCTGGATTATCAGGTTTGCTTCTGTATCCTGCGGGTCTTCGGAGAGGTCTGTTCCGGCGGCATCACTAGGGATTCCAATTCGAAGAAGGTCGGGTTCACTGGCTGGAGGACGGATGGTGCTTAAGCTGGTATTCGCCTCTTCATGTTCATTTTCATTTCCACCGGCCTCATAATCATCATTGTCGCCGTCGTCGTCGCCATTGTCGCACCCCTTAGACTTGGATGAACTCGGAAGACCATCTTCATAATAATCATGATCTATCCTATCCGACGAGAGGAAATTGATTTCTGCGCGGTGTTTTAGAATCGATTGAACAGTACCACTTCTCTGGCGCTTCACGGTTCTGGCGGAGCGACGGTAGGCATGGTATGGGTTTTCAAAGACCTCCTTAGGCGGTAGGTCATCGCTGGAGAAGACGGGGATGTCATCGGATGATAGGTCGGTTTCTAGGAAACGCTTTTGGCCGGTGAGTTGTAGGTTTGTTGTTGTTGTTGAGGATGATGAAGGGAGGAGGGGCGGTGAGGAGGGGATTGGGGTTGGGAGGTGGTTGTTACGGTGATTAGGCATGGTGAAGGGGAGGGGAGGCGTTGGGTCAGGAGGGTGTGCGACGGTCGGGACTTATTTAACAACCACAACCACAATCACAACCACAACTATTATCACTATCAATCACCATTGCTAATTCCAAACTTCTCTCTTCCAACTGCATATTGTTTTTAGTTCTTATCCTAGTATTTTTTGGGTCACAATTGACATTTCCTAACAATAAAACAACGGTAATGCAGCTGTCAATCGGAATATTTGTTGTGCCGAAATGTTTTTTATACTATTGTTTGACAAAGGGCACGTGGGGAGCATCATGCACAGCGTTCCGGGGAATGAGCGAATGTATGGGGATGATCGGATCTAATCTGATATGATATGATATCACCGAAGAATAGATAAGAACCGGATTCAGGGAGTCTTGGCTATTTCAGCTGTTTTCGTGCAGGTCTGATACAATAGACATCTGGCTTCAAGTCCGACCGGGGTATTATTATTATTAGGCCACATTCAGCCCAGCCCTACATCTACCATAGTGTAGTGTATATGTAGACGTGTCGATATATGTCTCTTATGAGCGACATACGTCCACTGCTGTATATAGACCGTCTACCGCACAGTACAAGACTAGATCATGATCGTGAATCAATTGACTTGACCGATAGAAAAAAAAGAGTATTCCGTAATTTATTTTATATTACGTTCCCGGGTGCGAAATAATTATCGAATGCAACCCAGCCCCTGCTCTTGGCTTTAAATTCATATGCTGAAGTATGTATCGTATCATGTGTATGTATACTTAGTAGTACTTACTAAGGATCAATAGGAGAACGAGACACTGAACAGGCCAGGTGTCTGCAAGAAGAACACCACCAGTCGAATAATATAATTAATCTCCACCGTTTTGGGGCCCTTCCAAATTAAGGCTGATGCTTGTTCCATAACTTAATTACCAGTGGCTGCAATCCAATGGTGGTGCATTTGGAGGGGCGTTTTTCTTTTATCGATCTAGCCATATTGCCATAATTGCCATTTCCGCCGCTAACTTGGGTTCTGTTCGGCTGCAACCACAATTAAAGACACGATACACTTTAGCCCCATACTTTGCCTCGACCATAAAGAATCCACCAACCCTTCTCCCCTTCTCCCTTCTCCCTTCTTCTCATCCATTGTTGTCATCACCATCACCATCATCACCATTACTAACTTCTACTTGTCTCTACCTCTGACCATAAAAGGTAAAAGGTGAGAAAGGTGAAAAAGGTAACAGGTCGTCACAATGACGACTAAGAAGAAGTCCCACAACCTCGCCGCCGACGCCTCAGACCGCGGCAGGTCTCGCTCGCGGTCGCCTACTCCCGCTTCTCCATCCGTGGCAGCAACTTCCTCCTCCTCAAAGAAGAAGTCTGGTAAGGCTTCGGCTTCATCCTCCACAAAATCCAATTACTGGTCAACATGGGGAACCATCAGGGACTTTGACATCTTCAGCCTTCCCAGCTCCGACTGGTCAATTCTCATCGTTCTTACCGTTGTCGCTGTCTTTGTCCGTCTCTTCAGAATACACCAGCCTACCTCTGTCGTCTTTGATGAAGTCCAGTACGTTATCCTTTTTTCCTTTTACACCTTCTATCCATTTACCTCTTCCTATCAAATAAATAAAATAAAATAAAATCATAAATTGTGTTTAAATTGGCGCGTGTATGACGTACAATTGGCTAACTATCGCATAGCTTCGGCGGCTTCGCTACCAAGTACATCAAGGGCAAGTTCTTTATGGACGTCCACCCTCCATTGGCCAAGCTTCTTATCACCCTAGCTGGTTTCCTCGCCGGCTTCGATGGCTCCTTCGACTTCAAGGAAATCGGCAAGGACTACCTTGAACCCGGTGTCCCATATGTCGCCATGAGATTGCTACCTGCCGTCCTAGGTATCTTCGTCGTCCCTACCGCTTTCCTCACAATCAAAGCTGCTGGATGTTCGACTTTTGCTGCCATCCTAGGCGCTGGTTTCATTACCTTCGGTGGGTGCTACTCTTCTTTTGTTTTGTTTTTTTCCCTCCTAGATACAATATTTCAGAAAACTAATATTATTGGTAGAAAACGGCTTGATCACTCAGTCCAGATTGATCCTCTTGGACTCCCCGCTCGTCTGTTTCACCGCCATTACCGCTCTCTCATGGACCTCCTTTATGAACCAGCACGCTCTCGGACCTGGTGCTTGGTTCGGCCCTAACTGGTGGTTCTGGTTGGCTGCCAGCGGTCTCGGTCTCGGTGCTACCCTCTCCGTCAAGTGGGTCGGCCTCTTCACAATTGCCTGGGTCGGTAGCATCACCGTTCTCCAGCTCTGGCTCCTTCTCGGTGATACCAAGAACGTCTCCGTTCAGCTCTGGTTCAAGCATGTTGCCGCTCGTGCGCTCTGCCTGATCGCCATCCCAATGGCCTTCTACATGTTCATGTTCTGGATCCACTTCCTCTGCCTCCAGAATCCTGGTGACGGTGATGGTTTCATGTCTGCTCAGTTCCAGTCTACCCTCAACTCCAAGCAGATGAAGGCTGTCCCAGCCGACGTCGCCTACGGTTCTAAGATTACCCTCCGCCACTGGAATACCCAAGGTGGATACCTCCACTCCCACAACCATATGTACCCTAGCGGCTCGAAGCAACAGCAGATCACTCTCTACCCGCACAAGGACGACAACAACTTCTTCATAGTTGAGAACACTACCAAGCCAGAAGGCGGTTCCGGTATTAGCGGATTCGATGCCATCTCTCCACCAGTTCTTCTCAAGGACGGCGATACCATCAAGCTCTACCACAACCCCACCCACCGCAGAGTTCACTCCCATGACGTCAGACCACCCGTCACCGATGCCGATTGGCAAAACGAGGTATCTGCTTACGGTTATGAAGGCTTTGACGGCGACGCCAACGACTACTTCCGTATCGAGATCATCAAGAGTATGTCGAAGGGATCTGTCGCTAAGGAACGTGTCAGGACCATCGAGACTCGCTTCAAGCTTGTTCACGTCATGACTGGATGCGTTTTGTTCTCCCACAAGGTTAAGCTTCCAAGCTGGGGTTATGAGCAACAGGAAGTTACCTGCGCCAAGGGTGGTACTCTACCCAACTCCGTCTGGTTTGTTGAGCAGAACGCTCACCCACAGCTTAAGGGACCTGATGTCGAAATGACCAACTACAAAAATCCTGGTTTCCTCGGAAAGTTCTGGGAATTGCAGAAGGTCATGTGGAGGACCAACGCTGGTTTGGTCGACAGCCACGCCTGGGATTCCAGACCCGACTCTTGGCCACTCCTCAAGCGTGGTATCAACTTCTGGGGACGTGATCACCGTCAAATCTACCTTATGGGTAACCCACTCATTTGGTACAGCACTACTGGTGCCATTATCCTCTATGTTCTCTTCAAGGGTATTGCTCTTCTCAGATGGCAACGCGGCTTCAAGGACTACGATGTTGAGAATTTCCGCCGATTCGACTTCGAGATCGGTGCCAGTGTTCTCGGCTGGGCTTTCCACTACTTCCCATTCTTCCTCATGAAGCGTCAGCTCTTCTTGCACCACTACTTCCCAGCTCTTTTCTTCGGTATTGTCGCCGTGTGCCAGATCTGGGACTTCGTTTGGGCAAGACTCAACTTTGCTGGCTTCCGTGCTAATGCCTCTATCGCATTGTTGGCTACCATCGGATACCTCAGCGCCAGCGTTGTTGTCTTCTGGTTGTACAGCCCAATTGTCTACGGTAACCAATGGACCAAGGCTGAGTGCAAGCGCGTCAAGCTTTTCACCAAGTGGGATTGGGATTGCAACACCTTCTTTGATAACTACGAGCAATATTCAAAGTATACCCCGTCCAAGGCTGGTGGTACCGCTGGTACAGCTACTGCCAGCGGCGCTGCCAAGGCCGGCGAACAAGCTCAGGTTCACAAACCGATTGCCGTTTCTAAGGACGGAGAGAAGCAGGACGCAGCCCCTGTAGCTTCCAAGGCAGCCAAGATTGAAGACAAGGCTAAGCTCGTCGGCTCTGTTGTCAGCCAAGAGGAGAAGGTCGAGTACAGAGATCAAGACGGAAACCTCCTGAGCGACGAAGAAGTCAAGGCCCTCATGGAGGAGGGTGTCGCCTTTGAGACCAAATACGCAACTAAGACTCGCGTTATTGATCAAGATGGAAACGAAGTTCTTGTTGAGGAAGGCGAGGTTGAAGCCCTTGAGAACGGCGATACCGTAGCTGCCGATCCAGAGGCCGTTGAGCCTGCTACCGAAAGTGGAGAGGCTGTTGAGTCTGCCGAACCCGCTGAGGCCGAGGCGAATACCAAGAGCAGGAAATTTGAAGCCCAGGGAGAGGCTGCGCCACCTGCTGATGCTTCCGCCGCCAGTGATGAGGAGAGACCATCGGTTGAGATTGGGCCAGACGGCGAGGAGACCGCTATTGAGTGGGTCGAACCAGAGGTAAGTTTAAGACTTTAACTGGCTTTGGGCAGTCTTGATTCTAATTAATCTTTATTTTAGACCATTATTGAAACCGAGACTGTTGTGGTTGAGCATCCAGAGGCTACTGAAACTGTAAGTTGATTATATTTCCCAAGTATCCATCATCCACTGTTACTAATACTTTATTAGGTTATCGTCGAGGAAGAAGCCCCGGCCAAGGATGAATTGTAAATGCCTTTTTTGAGTTTTCTGTTTTGAAAGGCAAATTGGGGGTCTTATCTAGTACCTAAAAGTGTTTTTCCCTTTTTTGTATCTTCTTTTTTTTTGTTACAAAAAAACGATGCTGGATATATATCGTACCAAACTTTTGACGGGTGTTCTTTTCTGTCGTCTTTTGTTTTCTACCTGCAGGGAGACACCTTTTATATCAAAAGCTGCCACGAAGGGTAGAAAGTGGATAATTAAATGGCAGGGGTTATGGGACTGGGACGACGGGATGACCTTTTACACTACTATTACACTTAACTCCTCTTCCTCCTCTTTACTCCTCTGGTTTTGCTCCTTAGGTACCTTTTAGGTTTACTTCCTCTTTTTTAGCCTTTTCCTCCTTTTTTTTATATCCTTCTTGTGTATAGTTTTAAGGGAATTCATTTTTCATGATGCTTCTGTGATGATATATTATACTTGGTTCATTGTCTAAGTACTTACCCATGCATATGCATGTTGAGTGTCGATACCCTGCGCCCAGCCAATAAGCAGCCTTCCAATTGCCCCAGACTTTTTCCGCCAAAAAGTCGAGTTGAAAGCGAAAAAAAATGTTTAACGCAACAACTTTCTCCACAAAACACAACCGTTCTATACTACACAACCCCTCCACCATACCATACCATACTTTCCCATGCAGGCAATATAATTTAAGCGTCAAAAAAAGAGAGAGAAAAAGGCGTGACGATGTCGACCGCACGCCGATTGACACCTCAATCGATATGTCTATTCTGTCGACTTTCCTCCCGCCTTTCAAAGCAGAATAATCCACGTGTTTTGCACCATCGAGCGACGGCGGTGGTGGGGGGGTTAACGAATCCTTCCAGAAACACCACTACACCACTACAAGTTACCTACCGTCGATGTTTCTCCACTACTCGGGGTAGATTACAATCCTCCACCACAGCTACTACCACGAACGGAACATCAACAGAACAACCCCAAAAAGAAAAATCAACAATAGAAAACGAAGGAACAATCTCCCCATCATCATCACTACCATACATCAAATCCTTGCGAATAAAATGGCAGGACACTCTACCTGCTGGATTACTCTCATCATCAGACCAACGGCTTTGGACTACCCTCTATGGAGAACCGAAGCGATTGTGGAATGCTGATGAAACGGTGGAGATCGAGGGGTTAATGTCTGATGGAATGTTATTTGAAGAAGCGGTGTTGGTTGTTGATGGGGTTAATGCTGTTAGAAGTGGGGGGGAAGGAGAGGAAGGTGGGTATATGGTTGAAAATGGGGTTGTGAGTTATTATGGTCCTGTTGATGAGGAGGGGAGACCGTTGAAAAAGGGGGAGGAAGGGGAGGAAGAGGTGGTGATGGAGGGGAAGGAGGGAAAGGAGGGAGGGGTTGTGGAGGGGGTAAAGGAAGAAGGCGGGAAGGAAGGGAAAATTGGGACGGAGTTTATACCGCCGACGTCGTTTAAAGATCCGATTGAAGAAGCGAAAGTTCAAGCATTACTTGATGCTCGTGCTGCAGCTGCCGAGATCACAAATGAGCTTGATACGCTATATTCTAAAGAAAAGGGAGAAGAAGGGGAAGAATACGTCCGAACACATCCGTTAACCCTTCGAGGACGGTTTGCGACTCACCCGTCTACAGTATTTGTTCCGAAATCGTTACAAAATACTACGGTTTCATTATTGAAGGATACGAAACTGGAGCATTTACGTGAACGAGCGTTTCTGTATAACCCTCCGTCTATTAGAGCACCCACTGGTGCGGGCACGATTAAGGGAATCGCAAAGGGTGGGAAAAGTGGGTATCATCCCAATCTTAGTCCTGAGACTCATAGGGGGGATAGATTGGATGCGGCGGTTTGGTTGGGAATTGTTATGCCGGAGGTTTATTCTGTTAATTTGGGGGTTGCGACGGAAGTTAGGAGACGGCTTGGTGGGGAATGGGCAAAGGGTGTTAAGAAGGTTTTGGATGTTGGAGGTGGTGGAGCTGGAATTTTGGCTTGGGGGGATATCGTGAAGGCTCAGAATATGGCGGAGGAGGAGAGACGGTTACACGAGAATTCTTCATCAGAAGATTCCTCGATGGAGAGATTTGAAGGGGATGAGATTGTTTCTAGTGGAGAGGCGGATGGGACTTGGGATTGGGGTCATGGAGTCGAGGGTATTAAAGCCGCTAGTTTGGATGAAGATTTCAAGTTTGAGGCGACGGTTGTGACGGCTTCTCCGCATGTTAGGAATCTTGCGTCGAAGGTATTGGCCAATACGACTTTCTTGCCTCGAGTGCCGTATTTTTCGGCGGCTTATGGGAATGTTAAATGGGACGATTCCGGGCTATCACAGTTCTCGAAAGCTAGCAAGGGAGCAACTGATGTTGATGAAGACATCGGCGAAATAACCTGGCAAGATGAACCATCATCGTCGTCGTCGTCACAATCTCCATCCCAAGAAACAGAAGACAAAAAACAACCCCCCATAAACCCGAAACGTAGCTACGACCTCATCTTCGCAAGCTACACCCTCGAACACATCAAAAAAGAAAACCTCTTCAAACACCACATCGACAATCTCTGGCAACTCCTCACCCCCGGCGGCGTCCTCTGCCTCGTCGAACTAGGAAACATCGACGGTTTCAACAACATAGCTAGCGCAAGGCAACGACTACTTCGAAAATGGATAAAATCCCCCTTATCAGAGAAAAAGAAAGACCCCTCCCAAGATGGTTCAGAAGAATTCGACGATATCTCCGCTCCCATCGAAGAAGATGTTCTAGGATTAGGACAGGTAACACCAAAACTTACCGCAAAGGAAGTCGCAAATTCCACGTTAGCGGAAAAACTCGAAGACGGAATGATCATTGCCCCTTGTACCAACCACAACGAATGTCCAATGCACACCAATCAACGAACAATCTTCAAATCCAACGACATCTGCAAATTCCCCCAAAAATACCAACGAACCATTATAGCCCAAAGAGTAGTCTCCGGGTATACCGACCATACAAACGCATTCTTTAGTTACATCTCCGTCCGTCGAGGTATCAAAAAGGATGAATCACTGGCTGTGGATCAAAGAGTTGCGAAACGTCGAAGGGAAGTTTCGGAAATGGAAGCAATAACAAGGAAACCGAAGTTATTACCCATGGAAGTTGATAAAATTAATCAAGAGTATTCGGAAGATCAGAAGAGGGGGTATATGCACCTCCAACCGCGACTGATTTTACCACCGATTAAGGGAGATCATCACGTTACTCTCGATGTTTGTACAGCTCATGGAGATTTGGAGAGGTGGATTGTTCCTAATAGTTTTAGTAAGAAGGCTTATACTGATGCTAGAAAAGCCAGATGGGGGGATTTATGGGTTTGGGGGGCGAAGACTAAGGTTGTTAGGGAGAGTAAGAAGGTTGTTATTGAAAGAGAAAGGGAAGGGAGGAAAGAGAGGGCGGAGAGGGAAGGGGAGAAGAGTGTTGTTTCTGTTGGGAAGAGTAAGAAGAAGGATGGGAGGAAAGGATGGGATAATGCTAGGAAGGTGGAGTTACCCAAGGCGGGCAAGTTTGCGGGGAAGAAGATTAATAGAGTGCCGTTTAAGAAGTTGGCGAAGAGTGTGGAGGGGTATACGAGGGAGAAAGGGAGGATGGGGAAGGAGCAGGATGTTGAGTGAGTGAGTGAGTGAGCTGAGCGAGCTGAGTGAGTAGGAGTGAGTGCAGTAGAGTGTAAGATAGCTGTATATACTTGCTTAAGTACTTAACTTGATACTTTGGGGGGTTATATTTGGGTATAAGGTATCTTTTGGGGAGGTGTATATAGGATCTCTGCTTGGAATTGTATAACGGAGGGATACAGGACTCCCCTTTTGAGAACAAAGCTAAACGTTTTTGAATTTGAGAATTGTAGATGTTCGTGGTGTTGGGAATTTCGCGTTGGTGTCACTCGAATATTCAGTATTATTAGGTACTTAGTTACTGACATTCATTGCATTGGTAAAAAGTAGCATTGGGTTTGCGAGATATGTTCATTGGGTTCGGTAAGATATACAAATAGCTAATAGTTAATAGATGAAATAAGAATTCTCGAAATTCGGAAATGAAATGCACATCTAGCTATAGCTCAACTGACTGTTCAGACGAGCCTCCTCAAGAGACTCCAGGATGACCAATAAACCAAAAACCACAGCACCCCCCATAACCCCCACCAAAAACCCCCAAAGGACCGACCACAATATGTAATAAACCGACCATCCAAACACCACCAAGAATACCCAAAGGTAGGCTAACACGACAGGTAACGCGAGAACACTAACCACCAAAACATCCAAACCATTTTGTTTCCCGAGTAATCTTAAGCCATACCCTACATTTTTGCAAAAACTATCGCAGTCAATGAGGTTGGTAGGCTTGTAAGCTAGGTAAATGGAGAAGCCGAAGAATTGGAAGGCTGCGAGGGGTTTAAATCTGGGTTCGGAAGTGCTGGTGGCGCTGGTGACGCTAGATGTCCGGCGGCTCCCTTGTGTATAGAGTAGACCTGATGCCATGGGGTCTAAGAACAGGAGTGGCTCTATAAATATTATGGTGGGTACGAGTAGTATGCAATTGTTCAATGTAAATATCTATCTAGATATTTGCGTGTCAATCTAAATATAAGATATATAATTCATCTTAGTAAAATACGTATGCCTCTGGGAATGAGACCAATATATATTGAAATTGGTTAATCGAGGAATTCGAACGGAGATGGTTAAATTGGAGCTCAACTTCATAGGCCTCCTGTTGGATTCAATCTCTAGGGATTCTTAATACCTGCTTAACTACCGGGCATCGCATGGCAGGAGGCGGGCGGGCGGGCGCGGGCTGGTTTACGAGAAAAGAGCTGAGTGGAGTCGGAACCACGTAAGGACTAGTATTTTAACGCCAACCCGCGGCCCAGAGCGAAAATCTTTGTAAATTTAACGTTTGATTAAAATCGAGGTTTACTGGTATCGATATTTGATTAATCGCGATCGATTTGTAGACTTAGAAATTTAAGTGAACCTCGCGGGGAATATTAAATAAAACTCGATACCTCCCTAGCTGACAAGCTAACTTAATGTCACTCCCCCCCCTCTGTATAGCTATATCTACATATTTATAGATCCTTAAAGCTGATACGTTACTCCATAGTTAACTTGTACAAAACAAAACTTCAGGCAACATTTGTTATCGATGATGCGACACGCGAATCCCAATGCATGCAATTCATTGGTTAATGTCAAACTGACGGGATTCTAGACGCATATTGTATTGGTGCGAACGGGTTGGCAGGGATCTTTGGGCGGAGATATCCGGTTTTCAATTTTCGTTTTTGATCGTAAGATACTCAACATTTTGTGTATGGGGATTTATATATATTCATATTACTAAGTTTATAGTGTAGTTACTGAAGAGATTAATCAAATCGTGCACATTTCGAATATATATATCTTCACGCAGAGGGTGTTCCAAGGTTCTGATTCCTAGGCCAGCCTCTCACGAGTTAGTGATAATGCATTTGTGTTGAAAGAGTAAAATACCACAGCTAGCTCGAAATGAGAGATACTTGTGGATCGGTTTGAGGCTTTATAATTACTTAACATTGGCGCGGCTGATACTTCAGTATTAACCAATTGGCGATATTATACCATCGTTTAAACAATTTAGGTAGATATGGGGCCCCAACGTTCTTGGTAGCTACATGTGGAGCCATGGACTATATATATACCTAACATGATTTCTCTCGCGCTCGATTACTGTCGGCATCTTTAAGTAGTATAGGGCAAGATGTCGAAATTCCAGCGCTGCAGCCGCAGGCTAAATCTCAAGTCGTCATGCAGGGGAACGGTCCGTCTCTCCGGGATATTTCCCCACAGTTGTTGCACATAAACCAAACTTTACATCTTTTAACGACACACTAACCGAGGTTTAGAAGTTGTGAATATATGATCCATTTCTATATATGTAGAGTCAAAATCTAAGGAGACGAAAAGTTAGAGCTAGCTTTAAGCTTAATCGGGCCGGGTGGACGCCTTTCCTACTCCACTTTCGAATTCCTAGACGGTCGATCCGTGGTTAGTGGTTATTCGCTATTACCCCAGAATCCTGTTCCTGGTCGGAGTATACTAATTTTCCACAAATCGCAAGCGATCCAGATATATTGGGATGTTAATAGACGCAGTACAGATGTTCGGATCGAGTCGCTCCCTGGCTTGGAGGCGGTTTATTGTCCGGTTTCGTTTTTAACCGGGCGGATTGAGCGGTCGAAGTTTCTCCAGATTAGACATGATGGAGAGGGCATTGCGTACATGAAGATGAGAATTTAAGGCTTGAAAGAAAGAAAGAAAGAAGGCACAGTGTTGACGTTAAATATACGAGCCAGCATAGTGAGAAGCTATGGAATGGCCGTTCAAGGTGCATTGCCTATAAGAAGTCATGGACCCGCTCATTGTTTCTGATATTCCTCAACTCTGAATTCATGAAGTTGCACAGAGAGTCTAAATAACAAGCACGACATCAGCAGAATGTTTGGCTTAAAGTTTCTGTCCACAGCAGCCACCTGGCTTGCATTCTCCCTCTCCATAGTTGATGCCCGCAACTTCCAGAATCCTCTCAAGAACCCCAATGGATCCGATCCTTTCATCGTCTATACTGGTGGGTACTACCACCTTCTAACGACAACTTGGACGAATATCCAAGTCACCCGTGCTACCACCTTAGCTGGTCTCAAAACTGCCTCTCCAACTACAATCTGGACCGACAGTACTGCCTCCCGCTCCGGTAACTTCTGGGCTCCAGAAGTCCATTGGCTTGATAATAGATGGTATTTATACTACACCGCTGGCACGCAAGAATGCTGTGGCGGTCAGCGCATGCATGTCCTCGAAGGTGGAACCAACATCCTTGATAGATATACTTACAAACGGGCTCTCGAATCTGGTATCTGGGGAATCGATGGATCGATCCTTAGATTCCCAGATGCATACTACCTCGTCTGGTCCCGCTTTTCACCAGCGGGGAGGCAGTCGATGTATATTGCTAAAATGAGTAATCCGTATACCATTCAAACACCATATTTACTCTCGGAACCCACAAATTCATGGGAAATTGTCGGAGGCGCGGTTAACGAAGGTCCTGCGGCTTTGTATGGCGGTGGGAAGACTATGATTGTGTTTTCGGCTTCGTATTGTTGGACGAGTAGTTATCAACTTGGATTGTTAACGTACAAGGGTAGTGGTGATCCATTGCAGGCGAGCAGTTGGACGAAGAAGGGGCCTGTATTCCAGGGCGCTAATGGGAATTACGGAGCCGGACATAATGGGTAAGCCAATATATTTTTACAATAACACTTCCAGGCGATTATGGGAAGGTAGTCTCTAACATTACTATGCAAAAAAAAATATAGATTCTTCACAAGTCCTGATGGCAAAGAAACCTGGAACGTCTATCATGCCACTGGTAACTCCAACGGCGCATGTGATGGTAACCGATATACCATGGCTCAAAAGGTCAACTGGAATTCTGATGGCACACCGAACTTTGGGTCTCCGCCACCATTGTCACAGACGATTACGGGTCCTTCGGGAGAGCCAGCATAAACGAAACTCCTGGTTAGGTTCGGAAGGGGGTTATCTTTCCGATAGGGTTTTTTGAGCGTTGGATGTCTTATCGGAAGGATTAGTTGTTTTTGGCCTGTGATAGTGATAGGCGACATATGTCATATCGGGCTTATGTGATGTGACCTTCTTACATGTTGCCAGATTATTCCCTTACTACGTAGCCTTCAGCTTGCGATTAATCTTCAATTCATTGCAAATAAGTATCCATCTGGTCGTATCACAGTGTCATTCAATTGTATATACCTCATACGATGCGTACCTTAAACCGACTTGTCGAAACGTTAGGCACTAGCTCGACTTAAAACTATAAGACTGGGGGGCAATTTCAATTGATCAATCGATCCCTATAATCCTAAAGAAAGAATAATACAAGTATCTACTCCATTCGCTCGATTTTTTAGCTCTCATTACCAAAACGTCATTATGAGGGAGAATTCGCAAGCTCGGTCATGAAGCTAACCTGATGAGCACTGGGAAGCTTCTAAAAATGTGTGTTGCTGTTGCAAGTGGATCCATGGGATGTCAATATCGAAGAACCAACATTGCATTTGTCCCGTGCGTGATGTATGTAGCATGTAGCCCGTGGCTAGGCTGTACGTACAGAGCTGCACAGTGCCGCATTGACCTCCCTTCAAGAACGTTGTATGCATAAGTCCCGTATGCAACATGTAGCCAGGGAAAATCGAGGTCAATCGTATCGGGTGGGGAGTTCCGTGAGACCAATTGCATTGTGAACCGAATTGACAATCGGGGCACCCGAGCACTCAGCTTAGGATCTTGGAAAGCTAAAGCGGGCCGGTTAACAAAGTGCAATTGCAAGCTCGAATCGAATGCTGAACAAATCGAAAAGAAAAAAAGGCCCCCCAGCTAAATTCCTACCCACTAGCCAAATCTAAAGAGCTAAGACCCGCATACGTATAATACGTATATCCGTTACAAGTAAGACGCACGGAACAAGGAATCCCCTCGAAAATCGTGATCTCTGTTGATATTCGCTTTTTCGACCCGCTTTTAGCTTCGCTACCAGCCCTTAGACAGGTGTGTTAAACCCTTGTTAACTGCTTAGTTGGTGTTGGCTTTCCTTACGATAAGGCTGCCTGTGCCGTTTGCGTAGATATTTCCCTAGCTCGACTAGGTCTAGGAGGCTTGGGTAAGTTAACCAGTTGGCAAAAGAAGCCCATAGGATTTCAATGTCGCCAATGCCCAAAAGCGAACGAGAATGCTTCCGAGACCTCGTATACTATCTTATATCACTATCACGATTTGGAGAGCTCTAGATCTAGCCCCTTGGAAACCCCCACTTGCAACTGAGTCTTCTTGTACTTCAGAATCCAACCGTTTTCGACGAAAACGACGCTTCGACTTCCCTAATGGCGTATGTAGATGCCCTTGTTCGTAGCTCGTAAAAATAACAGATCAGATAGAGAATGGTATATTTTTACACATGTGGAGAATCCTATTGTTGGACTTGATACTATATCGCCAAACAATTAATTTCACAAAAGGAAAAGAAGAAAAAATATATACCCAAAATATCAATGCATAAACTGAGATTCGCTCTGCACTGGTAATCTTCTCTACTGGGATTAGCCACTATCTCTGTGCCGTATTGATAACATGCGACAATATCAACGTGGGTCGGGATGGCTTGAGGTTTTGAGGGAAAGGTGTGGCTCGTTGTTTCATACCTGCTTGATTTTCATGTTGAGAGATTTCGGGTCACGGAATTTAACATTTCGGCATCTTGATTTTCGTAGCCGGTGTCTTGATTCATCTATCCCAAGGCTTGTTCCATTGACTTCGAAGTCTCAAGAATCCTATTTTAAATTCCCCCCTCCAAGAACAAAATAACTAAAAGGCCCCCCAAGGCTAGTTGATTACGCAATTGATTGTAGGATATGGATCCATATGGTATTCCATGATTAATGATTTTATTTTGTGTCTTATTTGCGAACAGTCGGAGGAATTCAAACATTAATTAGGGTAAGCGGAATACCAAGCCAACTCCTCAATATATATTATAAATTCAATTAATAATTGTGAGTTGTAGTATGTTATTCAGATCATTTTCAGCAGGTTAGAGTCAAGAAGAATTCGAAAGAGTACTGTCTCAAATACTTTTTTTTGGTGGCTGAGAAAATTTTATATGCGTCGAGTAAGTGTAAGTCGAACCATGGCCTAGATCCTTTAGTCTGATTGGCTAGCTTGCATGTTTGTGCCTTGGATCATGGAGGGGCAACCTTTCTCACCCCTCGCAGTCTCGAGACAAAGATACTTCATGAAAGGTAGAATGGCGCTAGGAACAAGGGAATCGCCAATACCTACTCCGCCCTGCTACTGACTGTTTCGACGGGTTCGGTTTCGGTTGCATACCAACTTACCAATTACTCGTGGAGACCACTCGACATCAATGACCGGAATTTACCACATTCCTTGCTCCAGGGGGACTCTGAATTCATGAAATAATACCTAAGTACTTAGATACTTAACGTATAACAGATGGTCTTTTATTGCATCATGCAATTACATGCAACTGATTGGCATTTCGCAAGAGTAAAGAAGGCCGTTGAAAATACCGTATCCCAGAAAAAGAGTATGGCTCCTGCGTACCAGTACATCTCGCTTTCCCTTGTCGCATGCAATTGCAGACTTGTAAGACTTCCAACAGATTTGTATAAGTACAGCCTTATACGCTGTTTATACAGCCGTGGGAGATGTACTGTTTCTTATACGAACTAAATCCAACCAACCAAAAGCCCTAGCAAACAAAAAACTTGACCGTTTTGATGCATGCCGAAAGAGTACAGTGCATTGCATATATGCGCCGTTTCGACGTCTTGGGCGCACGGTAGTTGCAACTCCAGCATCGACTTGGAAGGGGGAAGAAAATCGCGAAATTGATATTGACTACCACACCATTCAGCGATAAACCTGGCTCGACTTTCCGTTCAAAAACGGGCCCGCATAGAGCCGGGTTGTTTGTAGTAGCTTATCGTAGACACCCGCGAGAGACATTTTGAAGGAGTCATTCTAGGGCCACATTGTACCGAATTGTTTTTTCCCTTCCCCCTCTGGCTTAGATACGGTTGCGGAAAACTTCACAACTTGCAAGGTACTCACTGAATCCATAGCATTATTTTGGCGGTGAATTCCTTCGGCTTGGACCTCTGATAAAGAAAAAGTTTTGAGGTTGAAACGAGGCACGGCTTCGATTACGGTACCAAAATATTAGCCCCTCCAAGTCGTTGATAACAAATCACTCGACTTGCCTGTTCTTCACAATCAACAGAACCAAGCGGCTCGGCTTCAAAGTGTATCTTACACCCCACTATCTTAGAAAGCGAAACCAAAAGGAACTTAAACTTCCAGCGGCTTGCGTACTTGCGGCTTGCGTGGTTTTCTACTTTTGCCTCGCCTTATACACAGGATCAAGGACAGAAGTTAATTGACGGGCCAGGGCACAAGGATAACCCATCGACGCCAGAAAAGTCCCGCTTCATCTTCTTCGCTCAAAGTCCAAACGGATGGGCGGAAGATTCTCGGTTTTCGGCCTGAAGTCCATCTAGTTTCGATCGATATAGATTGTAACTTTTACCTAATACCGGCTCTTCTGCCTTCCAACATTTTGAACACTAGAAGAACTTTCTTGACAGTCTCTTCAGTTGCAAGGACCCACACGAACCAATCGCCGGGAAGGAGCGACCAACGGTAACCGAAAACAAGGTGTGAAGGCAAAAAACCCACCGAAAGGTTTTGGGTCCGCGCTTTGATACCGTTTTGTTGCCCGTCAAGCCTTGGCTCTCAAGGGGGACGAATATAATTGCTCCCCTTGGATCGCTGTTTATCATTTCAAGAAATCTTTAATTTGGCCCCAATCTCCTAAATATTAAATCCACCGTCTTTTGCATTTTTCTTCCCCATACTTAGACCATATTTCTTTCAGATACCGCAGGAAACGGCCATCATCGATGCCAATCGGAGGAGTTTTGGTGGTATTCTTTATACTTACGGGCCGTCAACCAGACCGATCAACAATTTGACTTCGACATTCCAATCAAGAAAGTCGCACAGACTCGCGACGTCTTCCCTGTCGAACTCTAACCACCTGCCGCACGTTTCCAACCACACGCAACGCAGCGCAGAGATCCCCCAATTCGGACTCTTCGACGTCAACGGATATCAAGCTTTCTGTGAAGAAAGTTAATATTTATATCCATACATCGATCGGTTGCCTCAACCTCATATCTCTTGATCAACTTGTTACTTGAGATAGAGGAATAACCATGGCTTCCCTCTTCTCGCAGTCCGTCACCGCAGCCTCGAATTTCTACAGCACCGCCATGTCTTCTCTCAATACAATTCCAACTCTCCTCCCAGCTGCTCCGGCAAGTCCAATAGACTTCTCACTCTATACCAGCCAGATATTTAACTCTCAACTTCCATTTTCCTTTGGCCTCGTACAATCTATCTCCTTAAATTTTCCGCCGATAACAATCCCACTACCTCTACAAAATCTTACGTTCTGGCAGATCGCCAATATTGTCTTCTTCATATTCACCGTCGGTGTTCTATCATGGATGCTAGACTCACACCATTCAGACGATGACGACGAATTGACCATAAAATCAAAAGCGTCTACTACGCCTCCTCCAATTGTCATTCCAAACACTGTAGAAATCCTAACCCCGCCCCCACCAAGAGCCCGTCGACAAACTCTAGAAACGATCGCTACATTTGTTAACTTCGAGGATATACAACGCTCTGCACGACGACGAAGGAGTCTACGTTCTCCTCTACCTTGCTCGTTATTCAATTCTCCAATTGATAATTCTCCCACTACTCCTACTACTTCTTCTTCTGTATTAAGCAGCACAACCATAAGCCCTCTACCAACTTCTCCAACTTCAACGGCAGATGCACATGGGCAGTTGATTTCTACACCGTTAGGGAAAGGGAAAAGTTTACTTCGCAAGGCATCGGAGAATTCAAGTTGTCGGAATAGGAATAGAAGAAGATATAGCTTCCAAGATGAAGTCGTAAGGCGAGGGTTGGAGGTTGTTGCGGATTATGATAGAAATGGGATAGTGAGTACTGAGGAGGCTGATCAAAGGCGAAGCGGGAGTTGGAGAACAGGACTACTATTGGGATTGAGGATACCCGTTGGATGGACTATGAAGTAGTAGAAATTCACAAATGTTTAAGTTCTTTTGTACAATTTTTTTTTTTGTTGATTTCTTGGATTTTGGTGTCATGGTGTCGAATGAGTATTGGAAATGCGGGACATGTTAAGGTGGTGTATGGTTTCTTTTTTGTCTTGTGAACTTTCATGGCGTTACTTCTTGAGTTTTATTGTCATTTCTTTTGTGGACAGTCTATTTCATTATCAACTTTCTATTCAATTCACAAAGTCGTTTGATCGGCTTCTCTTTAACTATCACAATTTCTATTCGCTCTCTTTTTGGATGGTTTCCTTGATCCCGAACACTGCCCTTATTCCATTCACAAAAAAAAAAAAAAAAAGTCTAGAGCAGCCTTTGATAAAATCAATGGACTTAAACAAAAGCGTGTTATATATATAGGTCTATTTAGGATCATTTACAATGAAATCGAGAATTCCATCTATACAAAACACTTCGGAACCGGCGATGCAAATATTTTTTTATCGTTAACTTCTATATCATGAATTCAAGCTATGTAGACGGACGCCACCCTCCTCTAGTTACCCTATTTATTTTGGTAGACAAAAAAGAGCAACTCCATGTATATTTCCAATGAGATCAAGGGAAAGTAAATAAAATAGACACACAGAAGTATAGAAGAAGAAGAAGACGAAGAAGCACATCCGAGAAATATGGAACCCCAATCCCTCTTCATCCACCATGGTCTCTGGAAGTCATATCCACGATTGAAACTTATTTACTGCGCCCGTCCGGGAACAGTACCTCTGATACCACCCTTACCACCAACAACTCTCGCTGTGATAGTCAATGTAAGATCACCTGCAACGTTCAACATAACTTCAACCTTCTGTCCCTTCTTCACATCCTTCAATAGGGCTTCAGCGATGACCTTCTCGACCTCTGTGACTCGCTTGATAACCTTTTCTTCCTCTTCCTCTTCATCATCATCGTCGTCATCTTCATCATCCTCATCAGCGGCCTTCTCCTTAACCTCCTTTGGAGGGGTAACATCGACACTTTCTTTCTTCGCCTCAACAACACGGATCAAAACGTCTCCTCCAACATTTGTTCCGACAAAGGTAGCGGTTCTTCGTGCGGGAACAGCCGTCTCAGCGTCAAGGAAGACATAAACCTTGTCCTCGGCTTTGCCCTCGTCACCTTCCGGGGAATGGATGACCACACCAATGGGCTTGGCAAGGTGAGGGGTGACGGTGACAGCGGGGTGTGTAGACTGTTCGATATCCTCTGCCTCAAATTCAGCGATCAAGGATGCTTGAATGGCTGCGCCACGGGCGCTGAGTTCCGAGGGGTTCAAGGCATTTGGATTAGTGGCAGGTGCCTGAACGGCTGTGGTGGATGGGAAGAGTTGTTGGATTCTGGAGGCGATCTTGGGGGTGTGGGAACTACCACCGGCAAGGATAACCTTCGAACCAAAGTTAGTTTTATAAAATTTTTTTTCTTATATTGGGATTTCCGTCGCGGATAATACCTCGTTGATATCCGACAAATCCATGCCGGCCTTCTTAACCACACTCTCAACCAATCCAACGATCTGATCAACCAATTTCTTGGACAATAGATCGAATCTTAACCTATTGACTGTCGAATGGAAATCGAAGCCACCTGCCAAACTTTCGATGCTGATTTGAGCAGAAGTTGACAAGCTCAATGTCTTCTTGGTAGCCTCGCATTCAAGTCTCAATTTTGCCAAGGAACGTTCATTCTCACGAGGATCAGTCTTGTGTTTCTTGATGAACTCCTTGCTGAAGTGGTCAACTAGAGCATCATCGAATTGACGGCCACCGAGTTCGTAGTCATGCTGGGTAGCAAGAAGAGTGAACATTCCACCGCGAGAAGCAATAACAGCGGCATCAGTACGAGTACCACCGATATCAAGGACAAGGACAGTCTTATCAGCTGGATGCGAGGTTTCTTCACGAGCAGTATAAGCAAGGAGAGAAGCCACCGGCTCCTGGATAACTTGAAGGACCTCGAGTCCAGATGCCTTCGAAGCCTCAGCAAGGAGTCTCCGTTGTGCCTCCGAGAAATCTGTAGGAACAGTAATTACACAACCATCGATTTTCTTTCCAAGGAAATCGGAAGCGGACTCTTGGAGACGCTTGATATGGCGGGTGGTAATCTCGGAAACAGTGAGTGTGGATGGCTCGGCATCAGTCTTTTCTTCAACCAAAAATGCGACGCCGGTTTCGTGCTGGATTGGGTGGGCAGAAGAATGGGCATTTGTAGGATCAATATCGGCGAAACTATGGCAAAGCAGTCAATACAAATGCATTTTATCCGACTGCCAATGGTAATCATGACATACGATTTCCCTAGGAAGTCTCTGAAGTATGCGATCGTGTTCTTTGGATTCCTGATCAAGTGCGACTTCGCCTGGGCACCATGGTACTCCTCGTCTCCAACGTAAGACAATGCCGATGGAATTTGACGATCTAAAGTTGTAGTAACCTCGTTAGACAATCGATATCCTTCGACCGAAAAATACAATGGATGTATATGATAATCATACCTCCTTCTTCGTTGGCAATGACTTCAGCTTTTCCATCCTATCAGACCAATTCAATTAGCAAATTTTTCGAAAAACGTTTTAGACTTAGATCTACCTACAGGTGAGGTAAAGGCGATAGAGCTGTTAGAATTGCCAAAGGCTATACCGATAACGGTCTTTTGCTGTGGTTCTTCAGAGTCCGACATTGTGGTCGAGGTATAGAAATTCAGCTAAATGCTGCTATAGAATCGATTCTTAGGCCACCGAAGTAGGTATTCGAGAGAGCTTAGGTAAAATGGTTATCGTAGGATATCGGACCGTTTCGAACGAAGGATACCGTGGGGTGGATGTTGAAGGTTGGAATTGAAGATTCGTGAGAGCACCACAGTTCTTTCCACATAAATTTCTTTAACTTTTTTTCTTCGCCAACCAAACGGCCAGGTATTGCGGCGCACCGCCACAGTCATGGAGGGGTCTTGACTAGCCACTTTGTACTAGCCACATATAGTTGGGGCCATAATGCAACATGCGCAACCCAAACCTCGATCCAGCTGACTCTAAGCTCGATCCCGCACCCATCCAACTACGATCTCCAAAAACAAGGTATTTTGTCGTTACCCCTAGTCGACACTCAACTTTTTACACAGTGTCTTGTTCATAGATCTTCGGCGGCATATTTTCAAGCCGACGGTTGAGTCACCACTTCATCTGGGAATAGTTGGCTCATATATGCTTTACTTTCTCATTTAAACTAAATAAATGGTTGGTTATGTTAGCATATGTTAACATGCTTCATGCTAGCAGCTATGCAGAGATCGATTCATAGTACCGTGATACCGGGCGATTAGCCTCGAGACGTCTAGCAGTAGTCGTTGCAGTTACTTGAGAATCTCTATTCCCAGTAATGTCACATACTCTTTGTAGGCTAAGCAAAGTAGGGCAGGGGTATGCAGTACTCACTAGCTACCCCCTAGAAATTGTTTACTTTTGATAGACAACTAATCAAAGCCTTCTCTTCATATCTTATATTCTTAGATTCTGATCGTCTATGTGGAGAATGCATGGCACGAGCCGTAGTAAAAGTATGTTTATATCTAAGCTGCAGCCCTATGCATGTGCAGCCCTGTCGAGGAAAAAACAAACAAAATACCTACTTGTCATCAAGATATACAGGTATTAGGGTCAGATCGGTATAGCAAATATCATATCCTTGGGTAGGTCGTTTGACAGCGCCCACGAGAGTGTCCAAGGAGGCACATGACTATTGGCGAAGCTGGAGAAATCGTGGTCAGAAAATAACACATGACAACACGAACTGATCTCGATGACTAGTGACTAGATATTCGCTATACTAAAATAACTAAACAGCAAAACCCTTTCAAATAATTATATCTAAAAAAAATAATAGTAATCATTTCGCTTATCTAGTAAGGATTCAAAGCCTAGTGGGAGTTTTGTATTAGAGGCTATGGAGGCTTGTGCCAATAATTCTAAGCTGCCTACCGCAGCTGAGAATCCCTGGTGATATATGTCAACAATACCACGACCACAAGCCGCACGCACCCTTTACAGATATCCAAAATAAATACTGAGTATAGACCCCATACTTTCCCTCTTCAGAAAGAAACCCTCATTGTCACTCTCCGACGCATACTTAAGGCTCCTTAGCCCTATTACCCGAAAAAATGGCAGCCTGGATGAAAGATCCCTATTGGAACCTTGACTTATCGACAACATCATCATCAACTTCACCAGCCCCAGTGGCCACATCCGCAGCTTCCAACTCACCCGACATCCCACTCTCGACTATTGTCTACAGAACGCTTAACCCGGACGGGAATTCGGTACAATCGAAAGCTAGTTCAAGCTTCAGCCCTATGATTCTGCGTCTTCGACAACAGATTGAAGAAATACTTTCAAAAACACCCAAGCTCGATATATCATTCATTACTGCCCCAGCTTATAAATTCATCTGGGTAGCATCTGCTATCCTTACAGCTTACATCGCTATTGAGATTACTGTTGCTCTATATAAAAGGTTTGTACCAGTTCTGCTAGTTTTCAAATTAGAGCACAGAGTTGTCAAAAATTTAACTTATGCTCCTTCAGCTACACGATGGCCAGCTCCACCACGTCAGGCGGCCCAACAGGGCCTGTTATTCCTATCGACCCCACACAGCCACTTCCAGCGCCGGTCCCAACTATCCCAGACCAACCCGCCCCACCAAATAAACGAAGCAATCAGAATTCTAAGAAGCGGGATGTCCGCATTAAACTTTTCAGCGAGATCCTAACGGGATACCTGACGATTATACTCTCAGTATCCGTCCTTCTGGGCGATAGCATCGTCCTTAAGTTCTTGATGACCGGATTGACGGGGTTTGTTGCATTGGTTGCACTAGTGCTTCCTGACCAAGCCGAGTGGGGTCCACAACTATACAATTTTCAGGAAGGCGGGTTTGAAATGCAGGAGCTTCCAGTTATTACAACTACTTCCGCTGAAGGCGATGAAGAATACATTTTTGAGAGGGAATTGGAAGGGAAGGAAGGGTTGACGAAAAGGGCCGGGACTAAGGTCAGAGAGATGAGGGACAAAGTGGTTGAGAGACTTCAAGAAGCTGGCTCAGCTACTAAGAAGGAAGCTTTAAGTGTTTCTCAGAAAGTTGCAGAGGGAATCCAAGAGGCTCGCTCTGCCACCGAGAAGGAGGCTTTGAACGTATCACAGAAGGTCAAAGAAATCATCAATTCAGTCAAAGGCGACAACTTCGAGGATATAAACTCTGGAGAGACGTCCGAAGAAGAGCAATTTATTCTAGGGAGCCAAGGTATTGGAAGCCCAGATGAAGATTTGAAGTCACAACTTAGCAGCGTCATGGCACCAATCCAGGACGTTTTGGACACTAACAGCTCAATCGTAAGGGCTTCAAGAAAAGTAGAAGAATGGCTTTTGAAGGGTGGAGACTCATTCGGATCGGATGTTGATGAGCAGGCGGAATTCGTTAATCGAGAATCCCGCGAACAGGCTGAATCGTATCCACACTCTGGAGCTTCACTTGCCCCGCCCACGCCAGATGCACCCTCGCCTCAGGCAACTAGGCCTTGCAGTGGAAATTTTGGGCGAGGATCTTTGAGATTGAGATAGTTTTGATGGACTTTTTTTCTCCCTTTCTTTTTCTTCTTTTTCGGGTTTATTTCTGCATGCATATGCATATATATGCCTTAACGCGCGTAACGCAATATCTCACGTCGTGGTACAGTTTTAAAGCTAAGGGCTGGACTTCTTGTTATTTTCATTCTACAGTTACTACAAGGCGTTCGGAGTTTTTATTAGTATATCCCTCTATCGATCGCTATAGTTTCATTTGCATCAGGGAAACACAGTATCAATTTGTACTTGCTTTAACTATACCTAGGCCTATAATTCGAAGGGCTTAAATAAATGCCTATTGATATTAATTTACTAGCTAAGGCCGGTTAGACAGAGCGGTCAGGTGCTACAGGTCTATCACTCTACGTTATCATACGCCGTGTCACCTAATATTTAAAATTTAAAAAATGATTGTAAACTCCATCCCTATAGGCCTACGCTTAGGTTCATTGCGAAGGAAAAGAGGCAAAAGGTCTCGAGCTCAAGGCCTAGGGTCAAGGCTGCTTGGCACCGCATAATAGGAAATCGTTACTCCAAATAAGGCAGTTGCCTAATCCGGAAACAGATATAAAGAATTAATTCTGCGTCTTGGCATGAAACATTGGTATTTGCAATTACCTAATGCGACCACCCAACCTGGTCAACACGACAACAGATCGGGGCATCTACGACAATAAAACGGACTTCACGACATCAAACCGGGTTTTCCACGACATTGATCCGGGTGGGCAACGCATTCTTTAATTCGCTTTACGTAAAGTTTGGGGGCTTTTAGACACAGCAAATTTCTATTTTCTCGGCACTACAGGAGGCAAGTCTATAAAAGCCTGCTTCCCCATCCATTTGCAACTAGAACAATTTGGAAATTTCATCATCTCGTCATTTATTTCATCACCTTTAGACTTAATAGTAATATACTCACATAGAAGAACACTACCATAATGTCCCTAAAGGAAATTCCAGCTGGCCAATCTGCGCCAAACCTTCAGCGTCCGGCTCACGCAATAGATCATGCCAAGGTCGTTGCCGAAACCGGCGCCAACGCCATCGACGGGCTGACTTCAGCCGAAGCAGCCGAACGACTTCAACGACATGGACGCAACGTCCTCGACAACACTGGCGGTGTTCAGTCTCTCGAAATCCTGATTCGTCAGGTCGCAAATCCAATGAACCTTGTAACTAACCAATCAGGATCATAAATCCCCCAATTACCCTAAAATCAAGAAACATGAGCATCGAGGGACTCACTGAGCTGTTCCCGGCTTTCCGTCTTCTTTTAGGTACTTCTTCTGGCTATGGCTGCTTCATTTGGCATCAGAGCTTGGATAGAAGGCGGTGTCGTCTCTGCGGTCATATTCTTAAATATCGTGATCGGTTTCTTCCAGGAATACCGCGCTGAATCGATTCTCGACTCCCTCAAGAGTCTGAGTTTCCCTACTGCCGTGATAATCCGTGATGGAAAAACCGTGACCGTGCCCACAGCTGACGTTGTCGTTGGCGATATTGTGGAAATGAAAATGGGAGACACCGTGCCCGCAGATGTACGGTATGTATTGATTCTTCTCTAAAAATACTCTTTATGGTGCTTGGAAACTGACGCGTGTGAGGTCCCAGATTGATTGAAGCCGTGAACTTTGAAACAGATGAAGCTCTACTTACTGGTGAATCTTTGCCTGTCCGAAAGGACGCCGATGAAGTTTATGATGTTGATACGGGAGCTGGTGATCGCCTTAATGTGGCGTATAGCTCTACGACCATAACTAAAGGAAGAGCCAAGGGTGTCGTCTATGCTATCGGAATGAAAACAGAAATTGGCCTTATTGCTGCAAGCCTCCAGCAAAAGCGGGTTTCCAGAACTGCCCAACGCCTTGGTGACAATGAAAAGAGGCCGCATAAGATTGCCAAAGCATGGGGCTCAATTGCCCTCGATTCGATTAAAGCCTTCTTCGGTCTTAATGTCGGAACCCCACTGCAACAAAGAATGGCTAGGCTCGCAATATTCTTATTTGGAACAGCTATCTTATGCACAATTATTGTTCTTGCTGCCAATAAGTTTAAGTCAAGCCAAGAAGTCATCATCTATGCAGTTGCGACGGGATTGTCTATGATTCCTGCAAGCTTGCTGGTAGTTCTTACAATTACCTTAGCAGCGGGAACAAACCAAATGGCAAAGAGGCATGTTATCGTTAGGAACCCTAAAAGTTTAGAGGCTCTCGGGGCTGTTACAGGTAAAGATCCTTCCTTGATACAGCATAATTTCTTTGTAGCCTCTTTGTGGGTCGTCCTGCAACTAAGACTAACATCTGCTTTAGACATTTGCTCTGATAAGACAGGAACTCTCACTCAAGGTAAAATGGTGGCAAGAAATGCATGGATTCCGTCTATCGGAACTTATTCCGTAGACACAGGTAGTGAACCATTCAATCCTCAGCTCGGAACCGTGTACTTGAGCCAGGGAACCCCAGACTCTTTGGCATTGAACAACTCGGGTCTTGGAGACGTCGAAGATGCTGGAACCAGCACTGAGAGAAATGCCCAACTTGGAAAATTCCTCGATGTAGCCTCCCTAGCAAACCTCGCAGAGGTTCATCAAAATGAAGAAAGCAAATGGGTTGCCCGTGGGGATCCAACGGAAATCGCTATCCAGGTTTTTGCATCCCGCTTCGGTTGGAACAGAAATACGCTTCTAGGGTCGGGCTGGAGACACGTAGCGGAATTCCCATTTGACTCCGGCGTCAAGAAGATGTCTGTCGTGTTTGCAAATAAGGATGGTGAGAGTTACGTTTTCACGAAAGGCGCTGTTGAGAAAATCGTTGCCTCCAGCACCACAGTCCATCTCAACAAGGAAGGGGTCATTTCGATGACAGACGACCTCCGAAATGAAATTCTCAAGAATATGGAAGCTCTCGCCGGCATGGGACTTCGAGTTTTAGCGCTTGCTAGCAAGAGATATCACGAAGAGATCATCCCTTCCCAAGAAAGAAGAGATGAAATTGAAAGCCAGCTCGAATTTCAAGGTCTCATTGGCTTGTATGACCCTCCGCGTCCAGAATCCAAGGGCTCAGTTGAACAATGCCACAAAGCCGGAGTTACTGTCCATATGGTAACCGGCGACCACCCAAAAACTGCGAGAGCAATTGCCGAAGAGGTTGGAATCCTACCGTCAGCCTCTGAAGTGGCTCTGCTAAGTCGAGATGTATCCGATTCGCTTGTCATGACGGCCACTCATTTCGATGGGTTGACTGATGAACAGATCGATGCTTTACCCGCACTTCCACTCGTGGTAGCTAGGTGTGCACCGAGTACGAAGGTCAGAATGATCGAGGCTTTGCATCGACGCGGAAAGTTTTGTGCAATGGTAAGCTTACACTCCCTCAACGTTTCTCTTCCATTCTATGATTCCCTTTCAAGGCAGATACATGGACCTAACACGATTTCAATCCAATATAGACAGGTGATGGGGTCAACGATTCCCCTTCTCTTAAGCACGCCGATGTCGGAATCGCCATGGGGCAGTCGGGTTCAGATGTAGCCAAAGCTGCATCTGATATTGTCCTTACAGATGACAACTTCGCCAGTATCTTGAATGCGGTCGAGGAGGGACGCCGAATGTTCGATAACATTCAGAAAGTCCTCTGCCACTTGCTAGCACAGAATTTGGCGCAGGCAGTAACTCTGTTGATTGGCCTTGTGTTCAAAGACGCATCCGGGACCTCTGTGTTTCCCATAGCCCCCGTTGAAATAATGTGGATTATCACCGTCACAGGTGGTACACCGGACATGGGGCTTGGCTTTGAGAAAGCTGCGCCCGATATCTTAACCCGCCCGCCGGTTGGCCAACAAGGAATCTTCTCACTTGAAATAATCATCGATATGATCGTCTACGGTGTTTGGATTGGGGCTCTTTGTCTCTCATCCTTCACCCTGGTACTTTACGGATTCAACAAGAATGATGAAAACCCGCTTGGCTTCAATTGCAACAACGAATACACACCTCAATGCGACGCTGTCTTCCGCGCCCGAGCAACTTGTTTTGTTTGCCTGATGTGGTTTTTGCTCTTCCTCGCATGGGAGCTTGTCGATTTGCGCCGCAGTTTCTTCTACTTGCATGCTTCAGATGTCGCTGCTGGAGAGCAAGTAAAAAAGCGAAAGGTTTTTACTCAATGGGCTGTGGATATCTGGGGGAATCGGTTCTTGTTCTGGGCTGTTATCGTCGGGTTTTTCTCAGTGTTTCCAGTACTCTATATCCCGGTTGTTAATACTCGAGTGTTTAAGCACAAGGGGATTACTTGGGAGTGGGGAATCGCTTTTGTAGCCTTCTTCCTGTTCTTTGCGGGTGTCGAGGCCTGGAAGTGGTTGAAAAGAGCATGGTTTAGGAGGCAGGCAGCAAGGCAGCGTAATGCTGCAGGGAGCGCTTGAGAATGGCACCATACGGAACAAGACTTGGAATCTATACCCCAGAGCCTCAGGGCTCAAATTTTGGATTAAGAACCAGTATACAAGATTGGGGTTAGAGAAAGCCCTTTGTTCCGATCCCACCAGCCCACTTCGAGAATCAACGAAAAACATCTGTCTAGAAAACTGAATTTCTTTAACTTTCATATGGAAAGATCCTAGGATTGTCTTATAATAAACTCTTAGTTAGAGCTTTAAGCTTGCTGTTTATATTGAAATCATTGACTCCAGCCTACCTCTCATTTACTTTCACTCAGGAATTAAGATACACGAAAGCAATTTCAGTTTCCATTACAAATCGATTAAGTTTAGGTAGTAGTAGAGCCCCAAGACTCGTAATCAAGATGATATATCTCAGCCAAGTGGTATAATTCAATTAAAAAATCTCTAATCTCGTCTCTATTCATCGAATAAGTAAGCCCGGCCTTCAACTCCACTGCCATAATTTCGTTCTGTATTCCCGCAAACATCGATAGCAACCTGAGGCTCAGGCTATATTATCATCCCCACCGTCTAGTTCTTCGGGTGGTTGAAACCTCCCACCCCCCACCAACGGCTTCACAAAGTAAAAAAACAACCGTAATCCCATAATCGCATCACCAAGTTCTGGATCTTTCCCATGAGTCATAAAATTCCACTTCACAACGCCAGCTTCACCAGCCGGGAGCCCGTTCACCGGCCGTCCCAACTCCGATTCCTGCCCCAACCCCAACGGCTCTTCTTGATCAGGTCCATATAACCACGTTGCAAACCTCTGTAACAGTTCTTTGCAAGTTATGACACCACCGACTATATCCTCCGCAACAAGCTTCAATCTTGGAAGCTCATCGGGTAAGCAACATGGACATTCGAGTCCGACATCATCGTCTGCTCCATTATGGTCTACGGCTATTAGCTTAATATAGGGACATGGGGGTGATGTAAGTGGGACATCGTATTCAGGTCTATTTGATAATTCGGTTATTTTTTGGATGTAGTATTTGCGTAATGAGATGGTGGATACTCCGACTGAAGGATCGATTGAGGATTTGGTAATGGCGTTTAGGGACTCGATTATATTGTTCCAAAAGGCGTTGTTGAGGTAGTAGTAGTTGTCCATAGGATCTGCTCCATCGTCGTCATTATAGTCCTCGACGTCATCGTCAGAGTTTGAGGAGATGTCGGTGTTTGTAGCGTCTTCATTATCGGAGTTAGCATCGAAGGTGTCGTTGGAAGGTTGTGTGGGGGTCGGACTACGGGAGAGAGCATTGGCGGATTCGGTGGCCATCTTGGATGGCAGATGTAGGCCCTCGGCTCTACACAATCGAAGGTATCAAGGAAAGAGGCCAAAGCCTTGTCAGAGAATGCAGTGTTCGTTCTGCAGAGTGTATCGATATCAATCGATCTGAATTGATACAAAAGCGGGAGGATATTGCGTTGGATGTGGTATTTTGAGACGAGTAGTTCGCGGAGAGCGGTGAGGGGAAGACGGTGGGGTGTTCGAAAGCTGGCGAGGATGTCTACGCTAATATTTATACTTGGCTCGCTGGTCAGATCTTACATAATTCTGATTCCGTTACTGAAAACTACCTTCCCTGAGTGAATCATACTTGAGAATCACAGAATCATCGGCTATCGCGGCGTATGGCGCTGCATGTGGCAACGATACGACGCGGGCGAGATTTTCAGGCCGCCTAAGGTCGCCTAGCTTATAAGATTATGCATCCTTGATTAATTGTAAGGCTGACGGGATTATAACCTAATCTGTACCTAATCTATGCTATGGCTCGGTGGGTTCAGTAGGCACCAGCTTCACCATCTTTATCATATTTGATCGTCGAGAATATTGATCATGCACGAATGGTTATGAAACTTTGTTGACTAGTAATGCCTAAGGTGAGATCTAAGGATTGATTTATGCAAAGCTATCTACAGAATCCTCGTCCATATAAGGTCCATCACTGTACTAGTCTAGACTCTGGTTAGATACTTCCAAATCTAAGTTATGTCAATTTAGTCCTCCAAGTAAAATATTTACGGCCTCAACCTCTGTGGGTCACGGGGGAATGCGCTGCCTCGTCTGATGTTTCCAAGTCCTAACCAGAGGAAAACGACTCTCTCGAGACCGATACCGCCACCAGCGTGTGGTGGGGCACCATATTTGAAGGCATCGACGTAGTCGACAAGACCAGGGCTGGTCGGGTCGACCCCTAGATTCTTCATCCGCTCTGCCAATAGTCCAGAGTCGTGAACACGCTGGGCACCGGACAAAATTTCCTGACCACGCATGAAGAAGTCTATCATAGGATTTAGATACCGTCAAATTATACAGAAAGGGTATTAGATGGGGTGATTTACCATAAGAGTTTGAGTAGTTGGGATCACTAGGATCGGGCATGGTGTAGAAAGGTCGAACACTCAATGGGAACTTATCGAGAATATAGAAGTCGGTATCGTACTTCTCAAGAACCAGTTGCCCAAGGAATTTCTCGTTTTCGGTGCTAAAAAACCAAGTAAGTCATTGGTGTTCAGAATGATGAATGGTGGGGTTCAAGATTTACCTTAAGTCTTCAAGTGGTTCAACCTCGCGGCCAGCCTCTTGGAGCATTTTGATGCCCTCAGCGAATGTCAATACGAGAGGTTTGCCGTCCTTTGGAATTTTGAATTCTTCGACTGGATATTGCTTCCTAACGGTAGCGATCTCCTCGGCGAATCTCTCCTTCAATCCATTGAAGATAAAGATAAGCATCTCTCCAATGAGTTCCATGACTTCGTGGTAGTGTTCCTCGAATGCCATTTCCAGATCGAGACCGGTGAACTACTCTCAATTAGTAAATCTTTGAAACGAAGCGAACGGGTGGGGTTATACCTCTGTCATATGACGAGGCGTATTGCTATCCTCGGCTCTGAAAACAGGTGCAATTTCGAAAACCCTCTCAAAGTCACCAGCAATAAGCATCTGCTTATACAACTGGGGGCTCTGTGCGAGGTACGCCTTCCTATTGAAATAAGTAACCTCGAAGACGTTGGCGCCACCTTCACTAGGAGCACCGAGAAGCTTAGGGGTATGAACTTCCACAAACCCACGGGCGGACAAGAATTCCTTGAAAAGCCCGCATACACCACTCGATACTCTGAAGATGGCTTGGTTTGTAACAGTTCGGAAATCAATTACTCTGTTGTCGAGCTTGGTAGCTAGAGAGGTGATTGGAAGGCCGAGTTTCTGGGCTTCTTCTTCTGATCTGGAAGCATCCTCGATCTGAATGGGTAATGGTCCAGCTTCCGAGATTATGAATAATTTAGAGATATGAATCTCAACATCTTGGACAGTAGTCGACTTGATTGGTTCGTAGGGTTTTGCGACGACACCATGGACAAGGACAATTGACTCTAAACTGATAGAAGAGGCCCATTTGACCATCTGTTTCGAAACACTACCATCGGCCTGGACTGACAACAGGGCCTGGATAGTCTGGTGCTGCTGTCTCAATTCCAAGAAGGTCATCTTGTTACCCTGTGCACGGGCATTGTGGACCCTAGCTCGGAACAGAACTTGCTTGCCCTCATCACCCGCATTAAGGCCACCGAAAGCAATTCTGGCAGCACCGGTACGTTCAGTAGAACGGTTTAACGGGAGCTTCCCGTAGTTTTCTGAGGCAGTGTCGACATTGGCGGCTTCACGTGCAGCTTTAGCGGCAGCTTCTTGCTCTGCTCGTTTCGCAGCCTTTTCCGCCTTTTCCTTATCCTTTTGGAGCTTCTTCAAAGCATTCTTCGAAAGAGGTTTACCGTCCTCGCTGTCCACGAGCAGGCGTAGGTGTTAGCGGAATACTTGTTAAATACCGGAAACCATGGTGGGGTAGTGGGGCAAGTACCCGAGTGGGACATCCTCTTGAACAGCAAGTTTTTCAACACCAGCCTCGAGGGGCTGCTCTGGAGCCTTTGACGAAGATGCTTCGGACGACATTGTGAGATATACTGTAGTGGTAATAATAACCTCCAATTGGGTCTTCTATCGGAGGTGGAAGAGATGATGTTTGGCTGGTGGGATGTGTTGGTGAGTCAAAAATTGTCTATGACGGCAAGCTGCTGTCTTTGATCGCATCGCGCTTGGCGGCTATGCAAATGACCAGGCCGGATCAAGGCCTAATTGACAATAATAAATCTACCCTATGGAGAACAAATTTTCTTTCGTAGTAACAGCTTTCAGGCTTTTGGTACAAAAACGATCGAATTCTATAATTACAGGGTGTATGTACAATGTGATATCAATATCGCAGTTGCTACCGCTTTCTAGCTAAGCTTGTAGGTAGAATTCGAAAGCTGCAGTAAGATAAACACGTGACCTTATATTTGTAGTATACTATTATGCTAATATCCCAGTTAACCCCTTGGAAACTGCATATTGAAACTGCATAACTCAGTCCATGGCTTTCACGAACAGCATCATCTGCATGAGGTGAGACGGTGGGATGTTTTGAGACGCCGAGTATTACAAATACCGAGAGGAGATTGATATTCGGGATTCTTCAGGCGAGTGGCGTCAAAAGCCTACACAGTACATCCAATGCTCCGTAAGCAACCGTCTCCCGTGAGTCAATAAGTGTGTGATGATAACATACCTGATAATCGAGGGCTTTGGCTCGCTATGGGTGTATCCGATATAGAGAATCAACGGAAGGTAGCCACTATCGGAAACGAAAAAGTGTCCGTTAGCATCATCCCAAGGACATGGCATATGGGTTGGAGGCGCAAAATCCAGTTCTGCGGATGCATAGCCTATAGCTTGTACATACTAATGAATAGCAACCCTCGAGATATCAATAATACGGGTGATTCGCTCCTGGATCATATCACAATTTCAATCAGTTTGAGACATTTGAACACGAAGGGGCTTGAAGTTGCATAGTCGCCAGCAGGCCTGTCCAAGGGCAATGCTGGTAGCTGAAAAGTAGGGCGCAAGCCCAGCTGAAAAGGCGAAAGAAAGCAACCAACCTTGGTTTCCTCTGAAATCTGCATCTTGGGCAAACGGTGGGACACGATAGCTCCTGATTCGCTGGCGGTTTGCTGCAGGTGGATGATTTTCTGGAGAATGCAAGTCCGAGTTTCCGAGTTCACGAGCTCAAATCGTGCATTCGAGACCGTCGACGTCTCAGGTATGATGGTGGTGGTGCAGGGTTCTAGATGGTGTCGTAAACTTCGAATTGAAAACCTGAATTTTCGCTGTCGCTTATCGGTGATAAGATCAAGGCGGCCATTTGCAGCAAACAACACATTGCGCCTCAGATTGACGACACGCAACACAAAAGGTACCTCGGCTCCCTTCTCCCTTCTTAACAAGCCACCAGTATAGCCTCCTTAATCTTAACAACGAACCAGAGGTCTTCCCGGACCGTCGGGTTTCATGACGAGAACTCTAATCTAAACACCCCGGCCATCCGTCTACCGCCCGGGGCATCCACATCGCTAAAAGATGCTGCTTCGGGGTCCCTTTCACGTAAACCGCCGCTTACGTACCGGTCGTATAGCTCGATGTTTCTACGTTTGGTTACGTCTCGAGGTTAATAGAGTGTGGCGTTCCGAGATGTACATACGTATGTACTCAACATTACATACGTACATAGGCAAAGTGCCTGGATCAAAGACGGCAGTAGCAGGAATGATTAAAGACATAAACGAACGAACGAACGAACGAACGAACGAACGAAAGCAAAACCAGCCGATATAACATCTAAACTATATTATAATATCTCACAATTATACATAGTAGGGAGAAGAATACTTTCTATTTGCTTATCCAGAGCAAGGAGAAGCGAACGGGCCTCAGCTTTGTTCTTTCCCAAACCCTGTCAGAATCTGATGACCCCCGGCCAATGAGATCTTTCCGATCTCTATGTCAGAATGCCATGGGTATGGCCATCGGAGGCAGAAAATGCATCCTCGCGGAAAACGTGATCGAAACCGTTATCACTCTGTTCAGGGTTCAAATGAGGCTGAAACAGGGCGACCGAAAACAATACGGTGTACACAGGGTATGTATCATTAACTTTACCACATATATTTTAGATTGTCGATTCCGACAGTTAAGCTTCTTTGTAACCGTGCGAACCGTTAGCTAAGATGTCTTTTAGAGGCCGCCTTCATTGCTCTTGCGCAGCCGATAACCTTGCAAAGCAATAAGATTTTGCCACCACGAAATACTATGTACAGTTTTGTAGTTTTCATTTGGATCTAATCTCCCTTGTCGACCGTACCGTTTGGGAGTCATTCTGCGACGCTAAGTCTTTTGGCGTCCTCGCTTGGGCACTTGGCTCCGAGAAATAACGTTAATTAACGACGTTGTCAATCTTAAAAGTACAGGGAGACCTTTTTCAATTTGAAAAATGGAGAAAATAGCCCCCTCGGATCCCCCAACGGACTCTACACAGTATGCATCCGACTGAACGGATGCTTAAGACGCCTCATAAGAAGTAGGGCCGTCTCGCAGGGTTGTTATTGTCGCAGAAGACGGCCAGATAATGACTTCATCCTTCAGAACTTCTACGGTTATCTTCGATTTCGACGATCATTCTAACGCGGGGTTGTCTTGATCCCCACACCCTTTAGAGCCATTGAAAAAAGAGTTCTTACCATCGGAAAACTGGCACGAATCTGAGAAACGGTGCCCCACATGGGCCGTATTTGTCCACGATATCAAGATACGTTTCATCTTTCGACATCATAAATATTACGACGGTGAGACTAGTATCACTAGCTAGTGGGACTGCTTCCCGTCACAGAGCAAAAACAAGCAACTGCCTCCTCTTGCATCGTTGGTCATAAATGTGAGAGCCTTGAGATTTGATGAATCTGTGAAAAGGTGTCATTAAGCCCAGGGGTACCAAGATTGGCCCCCAAAGGTGTTCTACCCGGAGCCCATGCAACGATATCCTAGCCCAGCCACAACCAAATTCCATTCTGATTTAATATCCGCAAAACGGACGGGGCTGCCGTGGCACTTTGTGGCGAATTGAGCAAGTATGTATGTAGAGTATTTTTCCGACGTTGGCTGAGGGTGATATTCATTGCATTCCTGCAAGAAAAACAGCAATGAGCTGTAGGCTGCGATGAATCCTCTTTGGGAATCACGAGCCTCTCATCACGACCCTTTAGGAACTGCTCGTCCCAAAAGGGGTATCAGTGAGGAAACGAAACATGTGTGATACAGGGCGATTAATTGGCGGACATCCTCGACCGAACTTGACCGAAGTTCATCGTTCGATCTCATGGTGCATATTTCTTTTGACTGTGCACCCCTTCCTTGTCCTGCGGCAGGCGAAATTGGTTGTGCTGCTACCCGATGCACAGCAGCCATGGATTTGCTAACCATCTTTGGACGGCACTTGCCCCGTTGGTAAAGGGAAAGGATTTTCGATCTGAACTTGCTCCCCCAGATCTTGCTTCCTGCAAAAACCCCCTGGAAATAGTCTAGTGCAGCTATCCAGCAAATGAGAATCCGCAGCAGACCACCCTCCTTCACGAAAAAGGTTCTCTTAAATCCGCACAACGGTTCAACTTTTGTCCACTGTCAGGAAACCGTTGCTAATATATTCCCACACCATATCTAAGAACTTTGCCCAGCTCTGAATGGTTAGATGATCCGTTGGACCAAATAATACGGCGACCTAACTAAACCGCCTGATCCACTTAAATATTAGGCAAGTGCCTCGGGGGGTGCTAGTGATGCTTTGAGCAAAGAGCCGGCAGAACAAGGGTTTCGAGATACCACGATGCTACGGTTCAAGGAAGGGAAGTGCGGATGAAGATGTCTCTGGAATATCCCGGGAAGAATTTCCCCACCCCTTTCGCCTAAGGGGACCCTCGAATTCTCAAAGTTACCCGCCAGATCGAAAAAAAAATAAAAAAAATTCGGCGGGAACTGCCATTGCACAGAAGCAAATGCACGCGAACCGTTTTTGCGCCCACCTGCTGTTGGCACTTTGGCAAGCCGAAATCTGAACGAACAAACGGTTTTTTGGTTGTGGAGCGGTTTACAACCGAAGAATCCTGCATTGCAATTGGATGCTGATTGGACACCGGGCGGAGCAAATTGAATGGTCCTTGGTTGGTGAAATTCGGACTCCCACCCTTAACCTTGTAACATTGCAAGAGCATTCTTCACAACATTCGACAGGAAGCCATAACGCGATTTTGGTGCAATATCGATATATGCATACACATACTCCATCCTTACCAAGGACACATTGTACGATCATCCACTTATGCCTTAAGGGAGGCGTCACGTCTACAGTACATAAACTTACATTCCAAGGACACGGTTCACCACACCATCCGGCCGACTCACGTCAAAGACACAGCAGATATTTGCAATACAACGAGTACCCAACAGAAACAATAACGTGGTTCGGGCTATTTGTCTAACAGTCGTTTCTGCCGATCATATCCTCCTGCGTCGTTACCGCCTCGCAAGCTGTGTCTGAATATCCTTCCGCTCGAATCAGACCACCTTCGTCAACTTCTGTACGTACTTACATACATACATGTAATGTACCTGCCAGTCGTGCATCGGAGCTAATAGCAGCAAGCAAGCAAGATATTTGGCGGATTCCTTGTTTCCTTGAAGTATCTGCTACCTTGCCAGAGACATCGTTTTGCATCGCATTCCTTGTCGTCTCAACTGTCATTGGTGAAAAATATCAGCTGGATAGCCAACCTCTCAACCCACAAAGAAACATCATTACTTTTTTTATTCAGTTCTTTCATATCGAATCTCTTCTATTCCAAGCCTCTATCATAGACCCTAGTTCCCAGCCCGCAACGAAATTAAGACAATTGTCTTCGTTTGTTTGAACCCCTCAGCTCCTCAGCGCCGCCAATCTGGTTCACTCATCTACTACAAACTGAACTCAACTCCCCATACAACAGTTTAAGCATGCATCTATAACATAACCTCAAATATACAGTGCATAAAACAACTTTAATTCTTTAGTGCTTCGCTCCCTCCTCGGTTCTTTCTTCATTTTTCTTTTTTCTAGCTTTTCTTATTTTTTTCTGGCTCCTGGAGGGTGTGGCTTTAACAACCCCAAACAACTTTTGCCCCCAGGGCCACAGGACTGTGCATGGGCATGGTGGACCTGGCAGTCTTGGATCAACAATCACCCTCCAAAAGACGGATACCGAACTATCTTTTCCCTTGCCCTCTCTCACTACCTTTTCTGATCAACTTCCTTCTGCTCAAAACGGGGCGTCTTCTATTGCTTCCGTTCGCTCATTTTGACATCAATCTGCTATATTCTAAGGCTTCCGATCTTCTTCCATCAATCGGGTTTTGTTTTTTTCGGAGATCTTTTGGTTCTTTAACTGTTGTCTCGCATCGCTTCGGCACCAGGCACCTCCCAAGCCCGTTGGAAAAGTGCCATCCACACCACCTCGAAATCATAAAACAAAACCCGGATGCACAAGTTATATTTTTTCCCTAACCAGCTAATAAGCTATTAAGGATCCCTTCGCATCTCATTCTCGACGCTGCAGCTTAACTAGTCGGAATTTATTTTCTCCAACCTAAATCACTGGATTTTTTAAATATTGCAGCTCGCCCTATCAGAAATCTGATCCGCATTTCTTGAACATACCGACACCCAAAAACCTGCATTACCGCCACACAGGACTTAGTACGGCCATACGCAACAATCAACCACGTATATACGTTTGCATCCCGTCAACATCTGCGCACCCCATTATCATCCTTCCGACCCCAATTCTTATTTCCTATCGAACCGATTCATATACCAAAGACCTATCATTGACGCCAAATAAATAAATATTAAAACAAACAAACTGGAAAAATCAAAAATTTTTCCAGGGCCAGTTGACGAACTGACCAGGAGGACACCCTTTATAACAGGGTGAAAATGGCATATAGCAGCAATATGCTAGCTCACCGGGGCCCGGTGGTGAATTTTTCTACCATAAATACTGTCCCAGAAAGTACAACTATTTTGGTCAGGCTTGAACCAGATACGGTCACCTTAGATATACCATTTAACAGAGTCACAACATGGAAGGTAAGCTGGTCCGTTCACATTATTGTTAGAGCCTGCCGGAATTATCTTCAATTGCTTGATATGATCGACCCTACCATGTTTGCTTGGAGAATATTGTGAAACCAATGACTGACGTATCACTCTTGCTAGCGATTAATACAAACACTTTTTAATATTTATATGCGAAATAATCCTAGTTCGAGCCATCTCACATTCGAGGATGCTCTGGACAATATCAAAATTACAAACGATCGCACTGGAGGAATTATCCTCCCGGAGCTTTGGCCTGATTTTATCAAACCACAAGTTAGGGTTGCAGCAGAATTTAACGAACCTTTCCTTTGCCCGCCATGGTTTCCAAAAATCGACGCTGAAATCAAGAGGGAAGAAGACGATGTCGAGATGATGGAAGCTGGAGTGATCACATGCTCTCTCGAACCGAAAATTGGAGGATATGTCGAAACCGCAGACTGGAGGCAACCAACCCGACTATTAGGACCACCACCTTCGAAGACAGACGACATCGAGCCTTTTATTTTCTTACCGACTTCTACAAGCACCGTTCCCGCATCATCTTTTACTTTTACATCAACAAGCCCAAATTCTTGGCCGTCAATGGAACCCGAAAAGCCTCGCCTACGGCTTCGTGCTGGTATGAATGGAATTCCTGTGGTCTCTGATGTATTCGCTGAGACTCTATTAGCACGCCGCAGCATGTCTCAAGAACCCACTGTGGAATCTATGGTTGAAGGAAGTGCATCACCACCTTCAGTTCGTTTCAGGAACCCATTCCCTCAGTCAGCTGTATCTGCCTCGTCTCCTAGTGCACCAACTATTTTCCCACAACGATTCGCACCTGTCAGACACATTCCAGCTTCCGATTCAAATTCAAGAACCCCCACACAAAGCCCCGAGTGTAGCAGCCGGCCCGTTAGGGATGCAAATCCCAGACCTGCAAAAAGAAAGCGTGATGATGATGGAATAGGCTCATCGCCAATGGATGCATGCATGGAGCCTCCCCGCAAATCAAGGTCCCCATTCCACTCTTCCGGCTCGAATGGCGGCATCTCAAGAGCACAGTCCCTAGAAACCGAGTCGTCTAATCAGGCTAGAAGGGTGTCTAACCCAGTCCCTAGACCAAGGACAAGTGACACTGCCTCAACCACAACTATGGTCATTCATAGGAAACTTTTATTGCTGGATTCAATCGGTGCAGGAGAAATGGTAAAGATTGTTGAAACTAAAGACGGTGATCTGATTGTGATCCGAGATGATGAAGAGCCAGAAGAACTTATGGCACGGCGGGAATCTAACGCTAGCATGGCCTCGACATCCAAACTGAAGGAAAAAGAAATCGGGACTACAAAGACAGGAAAAAAGCGAGGTCATGGTGAAGCCAATACCGAAGAGTTGGTTCGAATATGGTCTGGGGGTGGTCCAGAGCCACCAGCTAAGGTAAGATTATCATTTACCGCCAGTTGAGGCAACTTCGATTCTAACAACGTTTCCCTTAGCGAGCAAAACCAAAGCAGTACGACAAGCTTACTGTCGAGCAAAGAGTCAAAATCAATAAATTTGTCAAAGAACAACATATCATTCGTATCGATCACTTCACAAATCCAGTCATCCAGGAATGGAAAGCACGATGCATTCCTGAAGCCGACGCGAAACAAACCGAGGTATGTATTTCTATATTCCCCCGGCGGTCAAAATGCCGCAGTGTATCACGTGGCTAACTTAGACTCTTTAGGAATACCTCGAAGAAATCGCTTCAAATACATACAAAGAATCAAGCGACAAGAAAGAGGCATATCGTCTATTTATGGAACATCATAACCATAGCCACAAGAGTTCCGGCGCACGTTCTAGCATTAGCACTAAGGCATGAATATGTCTTCCAACGATTCCACGGGTTCTTTCAAACGCTACACAGCTTGTAGAACGGATACACCACACGGCCCAATTCCCCAAACGGTATTTCGAGTTTGTGAGGCAGATATTTACAGGCCTCCCTCCATCTCCCTTTTTTCATTGTACATATCTATCCCCTTTGAGATCCTTCTCTTCCTCTTTTTTTATATATTTTTTTAGGATGCCGATGATACCCCTCCAGCGACGTCTCCGTTTTTTTGTTTCTTTCTTTGTTTTTTTCGTTTTTGTTTTCAAAATTCTTTTTTGTTACATTTCCCAAAAGTAGGGGCTGATTTGAGTCGCACCTCGAGTCCGCACTGGTTCACAGGTAACGTGTGGCGACTTGAGCAAGGCGTATACGTGTACAAACAAAAGAACAGAGCGGCATTTTGGTTTTTCATGTATCATGTTACTATTCTATGGAGTTTGCTGGCGTTTCGCATTATGTTGTTTTTGCCTTTTGGGTGGCGTTCTGATCCTTTTTCTTGAGTTACCATCTGATCATTATTTACCTCCACTTTGAACTTGTCAAAAAGGTATACTGGTGTCAAAATCTTTCCTTTTCTTTCCGAGGGTTTGGGTTCCCCGTTTAAGTTTTTTTTTTATTTTTTATGGGAGGCAATCATAATCATCACCGGCGTTCATGTATACTTTTGCATCTAATTCATCACATCCCAATACTTTACGGAAATTTATTGGGTGGGAAAAGGGATCTCTGCAGGTAATTACTTGCATCACGACCCGGTTTATTTATTTGGTTTATTTTTATTTAGTTGTCCCAAATCACACATCCCCACCAAATTGCTTAATACAGTTGGGAATACAATGTGCCTAATACCGCGTGCACGAATTAATCCCATGTATATATCTGTATAAATCCTCGACGGTGTATACACACATACGTATATACACGTCTACACATTCCGTCTCCCCATCACAAAACGCTCGATCAAACCCATGTAAACGAATCTTGCATAAAAACTTCCATGCAGGACCTTGAATCTATTCCCCTTGAAGCTATACAGACCCACATTGCCATCCATACTACTCCTTCGATTCCCTTCTTTCCCTCCCCCCCGGGGGCCCCCCTCGCGTCTGACGAAGGAGAGCGTGTCCCGTGTCTTGTGGACATGTTTTAGTCTAGCATGGGCATCATGTATTATGTACGATGGCATCAGTCGTTGGAGCGGATTGGGAACGTGTAGCCGCGGAATGTACCTTGCTGGCAGGTAACAAATTTTATGATGGTTAAAGTTAAAGTTAAAGTGTTTTATGGATTGGATGTACGGGTTATAGTGTTAATGTGTATGCGAGACGGCCCAGTAAGGGCGGGAGTAGGCTAGGTGGAAATGGCTCTATACCTCATTCCTGCATAGCTATAAATTGATATCGGATTGATCTGTACGTATGTACGAGAAGTTTCATATAATTAAGCTGCGCTAGTCTTAGGGAAGGAAGCCTAGGGATCGATCGAAGTAAGTACATACGTACATACATACATAAGTCATACATGCACTTTAGAACTAGCTAGAGAGAGAAAGGGAAAAACAAGAGGGCTTGGGCGAGCTAATTACAAGACAGGAGAATGATGACAAAGAAGAGAATTGAGAGTCTGTGTAATCAACGGGGGGTATGATTAATCAATTACATGATCTGTACCCGCTAACTTAACGGGGGGGGAGATATGTAAAAGCTTGTGTATGTCATGCGGTTGTGGTGGTAGTTGAAAGGAAGAATCCCGTTTGGTTCGTGATCAATTCTTTGCTGTGTTTTGCAATTGGCAATTACATAGGAGGGTTAAAGGACTCCAATCCAGATAAGGTTTTTGTTATGGGGGTGGCTGGTTACACAGGGGGCGGGTGCGGGACAGCGAGAGAACACCTGTGGAAATGTTCGGTCCCTTCTAGCATTGGACGACTAAAGGCTGAGATGATCGAAGCATCGACGACAGTGGCGGCTTGAGGCGAGGCGGGTAAGCTAGAAAAGGGAGAGGATTATTTAGACCAGTTTCTTTGTGTCCACACGCTCGCACTCGCACTCGCACTTGCACTCGCACTCACGCACGCATGCACAAAAAGGATGTTAAGACGCCGAGGTTTAAAGCGCTGCTAGATTTAAATTGAGATCTTTCCGATCCAATGAAGTTTGGCAATTCTTTTGCATCTTGACACGGCATGATGTAGAACCAGTTCGCGCGGGGATAAATGCATCCCATAGGAGGCCCTTGCCCTTCACCAAAGGGAGGAGAATATCAGAGTGGTTTCTCCACGCAGTATGTCTAGCCAGGAGATTCTCTCAATTCTTATCGGCTAAAGTCGTGTATTGACCAAAAAAAAAAAAAAGAAGAAGAAGAAGATAGGAAGAAGCTAGTGAACTAACCAGCCTATCAAACGGTATCGATACTGGTGGGGGAGAATGTACGTAACGTTTTAACACCATCATCGGGTTACACCACCATAATCCACAACCGCGACGACGAAAAATCCTACGATCATATGGCCCGTTAGATTGTTTTGGATTTTGCCAAGTGAGGGGTCACCAACCGACCGAACTTCACCGACGCACGGTGCGCGGAGTCGGCTGCTCGAATGGTGTCTGGTCCCCACATTAAATGTCCATCTCATCAATGATGCTTGCATGAGCTAAGATCATGCATGAGATAATCGATGCACGAGATAATCGATGCATGCGATGTCTTCAAGATCTTGAACTTGATTTCAAGATATATCTATATCTCTTTTGGTTAGCGTTATAGCTTGCCTCGAATGGCGCTGTAGGTTCTGATCCGTTGAAATCACCTGCAATTTCAACTAGTTCGATCCCTTTGCCCTCACTCTTGCATCCTAACTCTCATGACTAAAAATAATATCGAAATTGAACCGTGCGCTATCCACAGGCTTCGATGGCTACACGATCCGGGCGTCAATATCCGTCCCGCAGATCTTAGGTTTCAACGATCTTTGGATCGAGGCGGGGTAGACGAATTCATTGGCCGATCAACATGCCTTTGAACCCCTTGTTCCAAAGAAAGGTTAGCTAGGGCATGGGCGAAGGAAGGAACACCGAATTCGTTAGATTTTCCGACTGAGATGTTGTGGAGCGCCTCTCGAAGAAATGACGAAGAAGCAAGAAGCATCTCTCTTTTTTTTTTTTTTCTTCCCGTTCCTTCTCTCGGACGGCACGCGGGAGGGATGCCAAAATTTGAGGTAAAAGTCTTCGGTACATAGATAGAAAGAGGCGTGTGCGCGATTCATGATGGGACTGGAGGAACAGCGTGATACTAAATAACACAGCTAGTAGCGCATTGACTTCCCCCATTCCCTTCCATGTATGAGCATTAAGCTTTGCAGATGTCATCGTGCATCCACGCGCCCTTGTGTTTTGCCCGTTAACCATCAAATTCGTTTTTTTATTTATTTTTCGGGGGGGGCTTGTGCACCTCTCAACTGTTAAAATTGGACCTGGCTGCAAACCGAACACTTGAGAGTGTGTGTTGAGACCAGCTTAAGGGTCGATAACGCTATGATGATGATACACCCTAAGCTAAGAAATATGTTGTTGGAGAGCTCTTAGTCGACATGGACACTAGTTCACTAAGTTAGCTCCAAACCGACCGAATTCGCTAAATCCATTCCACTGGGAATGTTAAAACTACTAGTTAACACGGGTCCCGTTGATGTTTCGAATCGAATTTGTACCTAGTACTAGTGCACCTGGGATAGTTGTGCTGCGGCGGGAGCCGCTTGTAAACGTAAGCTAATACTCTGTACCCGATTTGTTGTATAGTAAGGCACAAGGCACGAGGGGAAAGAGATCGAAACATTTCCAACTAGGCACCTGGAGATAAAGAGTCTAATGACGAAGACGGTGGAATTCTTTCGCCGGAACCAAGCCGCAGATAGCATTGGTATGTAAAAATCGGCCGGATATAGATACATAAGCGGTTTGTTGGATATTGTGTCGTAGGCGTGTTGGTTGGAAGAGTTAGATATCAATGGGGCCGTGGGGCTGACGCATGATGATTGATGTTCACGGTATGTAGAAAGGGAGTTGGAGGTTGAATGCGGCATTGTCCGAGTGGCAAAGAATCCACGTTATAGGTTATTATATTCACGGGTAGGTACTCACCGGTGCTAACAGGTGACAGTTGTGGCAATGGCTCCCAATACACGGATTGTTACAAATCTGAGCTGAGAGCTAGTGCTACGATCACGTCTAACGACTGCAATTTTGTTATGGAAATACGTTGGAACCGCTTGTATTAATATAACCCCATTTTAATTTCTATTCTACAGTGTGCACAGCTATTGCTCTAATACATGTTGTCTGAGAATTTCATGAACGAAGTTATTCGCATGAAAATCAGGTACATATGAGCGTGAAGATGTAGGCACACTAAGCTAAGATACATGAGTAAGAATGCATCAGAAACATTCAAAGGGTTATACATTTTGTGAGTCTGCAGAAAGGGAAACAATAAAATAGTAAGGCTAGGGGACAATCGTGGTGTATTGAATCTGCGAGTATCGATAAACGGTTCGAAAAAAGAACGAAAACGTAAAGTAGTGCGTCGCCGTTCAATGGAAAGTCGACTTCGTGATAGTTGATGAAAACGGGATTGCTGATATCGTCAGGCAGGAAAAAGAAATAAATAAAAGCAAAACAATATCAGCTTTGCGAGATCTGGTCGGGCTTCTAATGACGGGGAGAAGAAATCCGGGGAACGCATTGAGATATTAGAAGGGGTTTTTGGGACCGCGGCGATTGTTAGACTCAAATCGACGTTTCAATCCTTCTTCTCTCATCTGGGCCGACCAATTCGTTTCACCTCGTTGGATTACCGGGCGCTGTCTAGCCTGCTTCGGTACCGGGGCGGCCTCGGAGCTATCTATTTCATTAATTGTAGGTAGGGATTGCTCTTGAGTAGGGCCAGGTTGATCGAGTTTCTGGGTTGGGGCTCGTGGCGCTGTTTTCTGGTCTCCTAGGAACACATAAGGGATACGGATTTTACCCGGTTTCTTAATGGCCTTTGGTTCCTCTGATTGAGGTTGGAGATTAATTTGACCGTCTGGTTGTTGCGAAAGACTTTCGGGTCTTCTATTTCGGGTAATGCTTCGAGCATCTCCTGTAGCGACGCCCAGTTGATCCATACGAGCCCTCCTCATTGCACGTAGTTCGGCGCGTGTGATAACACTGGAGCTTTCAGGCTCAGAAGGCTCACGGTTGGTTGTACGTAGATTGTCCGGCGAAAGAGATGAAAGTTGGTCATTAGGCGGTGCTGCTGACGGTTCTCGAGAAAGAGAAGAGTATGTCCTATGATGATATGGAGCGCGTTCGGAATACGGTTTCCGGATAGACGATAATTGACTATCTTCATCTTCATCGTCATATGCGTTACACTCTATGAATAATGAGGACTTCTTGACCTCCTTGTTGGTATCGGTGAGATCATCTCCCTTAATGACTGGGTCTTGAGTGTCTCTATCGTTCTCCTCGTTATATGCCTTACACTCTGCAAGCGGTGAAGCCTTCGGAATCTCCACATCAGCATCGGTGTTATCTTCTTGAGCGGCTAGGATCGAAGCTTCTTCAGTGCTGTTGCTGCTTGCTTCATAACCAGTAAACGGAGAAGGGTTTGGAATATTGTCTCCCTCTGGAACAGCTAGTTCTTGAGTGTCTTTATTGTATTCGTCGTCATTTGCGTTATAGCCAATGAGTATTGAAGATTCTATGGCTTCGGTGTCATTATTGGAATCGTCATTCGCGTTACACTCTGTCAGTGATAAGAGCTTCGAGTCTTCCGGGCGGCTATCACCCTCAAGTGAAGCCGGTTTCTCAGTACACTCATTAGTACACTCTGTAAATATCGATGACTCTAGGGCCTTGATCTCTTCTGGCGTATGTGACTTTTGAGTGCCTTCATCGCTCTCGTTGTCATGTGCATTGCACTCAATAAACCACGAAGCCTTTGAGGCTTCCGTATCGTCGTCAGAATCGTCGTTTGCATTGCATTCTATAAAGAACAATGGCTTTGAGCTCTCAACTTCTTCATGAGTGATTCCTTTTTTGGTGCTCTCATCATCGTCAGAATCATCGTTTGCATTGCATTCTGTGAACAATGAAGATTTCGGGATCTTGATACCATCGTCACCCGAGTCGTCGTTAGCATTGCATTCTGTGAATAGCGAAGTCTTTGGGATCTTGATATCCTCTTCATCTGAGTCGTCGTTTGCATTGCATTCTATAAACAATGAAGATTTTGGAATCACAATATCGTCGTCATCGGAGTCGTCATGTGCATTGCACTGCGTAAATAAAGAAGGTCTCGGGGTTTTAATATCCTCATCGTCTGAATCGTCATTGGCGTTGCATTCTATGAAAAACGAAGCCTTTGAGATCTTAATTTTGTCGTCATCGGAGTCATTGTTTGCATTGTATTCTTTAAATAACGAAGACCTTGGCATCTCAATATCGTCATCGGAATCGTCATCTGCAGAACATTCAATAAAGAGGGAGGATTTTTTGAGGGGTTCAGTTTCTGCAGCGACTGGCCCTGGGATTTCGTTGTCCTTGGAATCGTCATTCAAGTTGACTTCTGTGAATAAGATAGAGCTCGAGGGCTGATTGTCTTGCTCAATAGTCAAGTCTGGGTCGCCTTCTCCAGCTTCTGCCTTGTCATCTTCAAAACCTTGAGAAATATCCTTGTTGTATGGATCAAGTACTGGCGATTTGATTGAGGACGTTCCATTTTCAAGAAGGCTAGGATCACTCTTTTTCTCAGGAAGAGTTTGTGCTTGAGCTACTTTGAATTTTCCACTAAGTCCTTGCTTTCCGTAGAGAGCTTCATGTAGGAGATCGTCCTCCTCCGAAGAGGAGTCACTTATGCTTCGGGAGATCGAAACACCTAGTGTGGAAGGTCTAGTCAGTTCCAGTCCTGGTATTTCTGGATAAAGGATTGTATTTACCATCGTCATTGATTCTAATGGGCTTGTCTTTCTCAACAATATCCAGAACTCGCTCCGGAACCCATGCGACCGGGAATTTGACTTTGCCATGTTTCTTGGCCTGAACGACCATACTATGATGACGGCGAATCTGTCTATCAATATAGGGCGGAATTCCGTACGCTTTTCTGAAGCCTCTGAGAACATCGTTGATCGGAAGTTCTTTCTCCATTCGAAGTTCATGGATTTCTTCGTCCCACAAGAACGGGCCATTTGAAAGATCAGTAAACCCTTTCTCCCTGATCTCTTCCTCTTGAGCTACCCTAATGCATTGATTCCTGTAACACTTAAGTAAGGATTTTGTGTCGCTGACTCCAGGGTAGTTATGCATGTACGCAGTGTGAGCTGAGGGTATTCGGTGTACCCAGCCGCCAGGCCCAATAACGATGTTGAGAAGTTTGAGGATTCCTTTATCGAAGGTGCTAAGCTCCTCGAGCTCGTCGGTCTTTATGATATCCAAGTCAAATTCCGATTTTTCATACTCTTCAGGGTCCTCGAATGTCCTTCCTTTTTCGATGATTATGCCTTCTTCCTTTATCGTAACCTCTTCTGGTGGCGTTTGAGCACACTGGGTAGGTTGTTCCGTCGTCTTGGCCTCGCGTTTTGGGATTATAATCTTGACACTGGTATCCAGTGTAATAGTAGGGGGGCGCTCAAAGATAGCATTGAGCCAGTTTGTAGCAGCTGGCTTCGCTTCAGGCTCTGAATCACTGATTGGGGTTAATTCGGGACAAAATTCTGTCGAATCACTATAAGAAGCCTCATCTTCTAATCCCTTATCCATAGCAATCGTCATAGAGTCGTTGTCGCTATCGGTACAATTTTCTGAATCGTAACCCCTAACTGTCTCATCATCCGAATCGCAATCGTTCGTGGGATCACTGAACGTGCTTTTTAGGCGAAGGGGTGGCTTCTCTAGGGCCATCTGGGCTGTGTATTTGCCAGAGAATGAAGTTGAGCTTTCAAAAGCTCGACGAAGACGGAGTGGGTTTTCGAATGCACTGGTTTCCTTTGTCATGCTATAGTACTATTAGTTAGCTTGTTCATTTTACACTGACGATTAAGGAACTTACCCGTATTGATGACCACCAAAAGTAGGTTGTTTGAAATAACACTTCCACAGACCCCAGAAACCCTTCTCATCTGCAGCAGCCAAGCTTGGGTTGCTATAAATCGAAGAGTTCGGAATAATCATTGGTCGGGAGAAATCGATGTATCCGGACCAGTAGACCTTCAACAAAGATTGGCTCGCTGGCCGGGCCGTGTTAACAGCAATATTTGGGACGCTTTTGTCCTCGACAATTCCGACTGAAACTGGATAGCGGATATTGCGTGCCGTTGGGAACATGTAGAAGACGACAGAAACTGCTTCCTTGTTGCTAGTACTCCAGAAGATAGCAGGAAGAGTTTTGCAGGAGCTCATATCTCCTGCAGAAATCGGTACCCAATCGTATGGGCGGACAGCGGTCGAAGTCGGAAGGCGTTCTGGAGCAGCCGCCTGGATGAGGTCGAGAAACTTGAACTGCGGCTGGGGAGTCGCAGCAAGCGTCAAGGCAGTAGCCTCTGGGGCCGGGGCGAAGGGGATTGGATCAGCTGATCCAAAACCCCTTCGCATCCCGGGTTCTTCCCGTTCGGCTTGCTCCCTTTCGAACTTCCTACGCATCCCGTCACCGATGATGCCACCGCGAGCCCAGGTGTCTCGAGCGAGGTCCTCCGTGTTGGCCTTGTGATAGAGTTGGGCCAACTCTCGAACCATCAAAAATTTGGCCGGCTGGCCAGGGATCTTCTTTGCCAACGGATCGATGGTTATCGGGTTTCTGATATCGATCCGTGGGAGGGTGATCGACCCCACGGGAAGGTACGAGCTTTCAAAGAAAGCTAGTACTGTGGGTTCCTCGGATGCATATGCATCCGAGGAACAGGGCGGCTCGTCGTCCAGGTCTGGGAGCCTTTTCCCAGACTTGGCCTTCGAGGCCACCCCGGAAGACCCCCCAGGGGTCTTCGCCCACTTGCCCATCTTACGCTCCATCTCGACCTTCTGGAGCGATGGGGGAAGCATCTTGAAGGCTTCAAACACCTCCGTAGTCTTACGGAGGTAAGTTTGAGGCCCTCGCCTCCCCCCGGACTCTGTCCGGCCTAAAATTGACAAAAAGTTAATGAAAACACTTTGAGACCAAGGCTAAAGTTTTGTCGAAACTTACCTGATGAGCTAGGCGCGGAGTCGGGGACGGATCGAGCACCATTGCTCGATCCAGGCCTACCAGAGGAGGCCGAACTCTTGCGAGATGAGCGAGATCTCGCGGTCTTGAACGAAGCCGTTGAGGAGGCACTGCTATGAGCAGAGCCAGCCCTCGAGCTTCGAGCTCCTGGGCGATTTGGGCGCTCCCGGGAAGCAAGCAACAGATCCATCTCTAGGAGATGGATGGGCGCGAACGAGTTGATCAGAGATCAACGGAACTTTAAGAAGGGAAAGGGGGGAACAAACGGTCGACAGGAGCTTGTACGATGTCGTTGAGGGAAGTGAGGTTGCTTGACGCGTGGTTGGTGATGATACGAACTGTGAGAAAGAGGTGTTAGTGTGGGAGAGGGTGAGGATAAAGGGAGATGGTTGGTTTGGGGAGGTCTTGATTAAGTAGTAGACGTGAAGAGTCGAGTAACGAGGGAAAAAATTGAAAGTAAGTTTGTAGTCGATTGGGGGGTCTTGATGCTCGGCAGAAGGGAGGGTAGTGCGCAGCAAGAAGCTGTGATGTTATACCCTTAATATAATGTGTTGTGATGTGTTGTATTCTGAATACAGGGTTTCGAAGGAAGGAATGTGTTGTCGCATCTGAAGTCGATACGTCGAGGGAAGGGTTTCAGACCACACGGCGTGTGGTGTCTGGTTTACGAGACCAGTTTCAGAATAAGATCGGCTTATTGTATTCGATAGATCTAGTTTATGAGGCTACTTATGGCCTCTATTTGAATGGTTTAAATGGGTCTTTGCGTATTGACTTTTCGAATTTAACTTTGTATCCATCCTAATTCTTATTCGGGATATAAACTGAGGTTCCCTCGAGATTTCGGGCCAGCTTCTACTAGTTATAGCTTGCAATTGGATCATACCAGACCAACCTGCTTAAGACTACTATGTGAATATATTCAAGTTCGCCCCTATGTTACAGTATACGTTTTTTATAGTTGAAGCTATGCTTCTCGCTTTATAGCACTATTTATATCCGAGATGATCTATACCTATCCGTGAATGCATTTGGCCGATACCGCAATGAACGATGAACATTTTCTGCTAGGTACAAGATTTCACACATACACATACTGAAGCACCTACACTGTACTTGCTAGAGCTAGAATGGCTCGGTTCAGCTGATAAGATCAATCTAGGAAATATAGAAAAGCTGTAGCTCGAACTGTAGTCCGGCCTGCTGGAGCTCGTCATGATGCATGAAGCAGCTTCAGCTTCGAACTTCAACTTCAAGCCACAACCAACGTCGAACCTTTCCTGAATAGGGTGTTACACAAGCGAAACAGGGGATTTTGTTGGATTCTCCACACGACAACACACATTGCCATACCCAAGCTCAACGCAGGTTCTCATTGTTGGCTTCGCGACAGGCAAGTGCAGGCTCTCTCCCATAGATCCTTGCCCCAACTAGTCTCGTATGCCTAAAGTTATATGAGGACGAGATTAGACCTATATGCGACTCGGTGGGAACTGGTGCTTGCTTCGATCGTTTTGATATTAACTTCTACAGGTATGACTACTCTCTTTCTCTATTGGTCGCTCTAGTTGGAACCTGTATAGTAAAATCTAATAGCCAATGAGACTATTTATTATATACGTATAGTGGCCCTAAATTTTAGCAGGCAATCTACAGGCCGGAAGCATTATGCATGGTACACTACTACTCCTACAATCAAACACGGTGGCCGTCGGTGGAAGGAAAAAAAAAAAAAGATTTGCGAAGTCTGGTTTGAGGCAAACAATCTACCAGAAAATGCGGTTAAATTTAGGGATAGAAGTTATAATGGCGCCATGGCGACTGTCAACTCGAATTTACTAAACGCTATAGTCTCTCCGAATTATCTATTATGCTAGCTCGGAGAGGCCCGGAACTAGCCCCTAGACAAAAACTCATGAGGTGGGGGATAATATTTGGGACAAAAAAAGAAGTGGGTGGGAACACAGCTACCTTTGAAAATGAATAATGATGTAGCTATAATATAATCAGATTCGAAGAGAAGAAAGGCTTTGCAAATGACGATACCAATATTTATTAAATCGCTAAAAGATGCTGTACAGAAACCACTGAAGGGGCTCTTGCCTGGCCATGATACTCGGTGTCGCCACCCTGTGTGAACCGCGCCTACAAGATAAGACTAGAGCACCGATCTATTTTATGCGTAAGATATTTATTACGACAGATTCTTCTTCCAAGTTGCTCCATAGTAGTGGACCAGAAAGCTGGTTTCGACACCACCCGCGTCGCTGTGGTTTACACCTGGACTCCACCTATTCACTGGTAAGAATAAAACGTCCCCGATCTTCTTCGCTTCCTTTATTCCGCTGTATTCAAGAAGCCCAACTTCTCTCCCCTCAATCTGATTGATATATCCCATAATAACTTTTGTCCATCTGAATGGTCCCGTTGTATCCAAAATCTTTATTTGGTTATAACGCAAAGATGAAACATCTTTTCGTCTCCATACTATATCAGATATATCTTTGTGTGCCGTTTCTTGAATCGAAGAAATCATCCGTCGCAAGACTTCGTGGCCGGGCTTGGCATATATACTCCATTGTAAAAACTGTATTCGTTTTGAGAATTTATTCTTGGCAATCCACTTGTCTGGGTACTTTGTTGTGTTTAAAGCGTCAAGCTCTAATCCGACGACCAAGTTTATATCTTCCATTTTGATATTTTGCTGATGGCCTATGGATCTTGGCATCCACTGGTCGACCGGCGCAGTACATATCGTGTCGAGGTCGACGTACAATCCTCCGGATGTATATGCGATAAGGTATCGTAGTAGATCTGCCGCTAAGATTCGTTGCGGAAAGTTCTTGTATAAGTGAACTATGTAAGGATCCGTAGTGTTAAAATTCTTGGTTACATATTGTAAGGCTGTGATGTCCGTAAAGAGTGTATATTCGTGGGACGGGTTATTGTTGAACCAAGATTTTTGGCGGTCATAATTGGCTTCCGGCAACTTTTCAGTTTTCCAAGTTTGATAAATATGCCTTGGGAATTCTACCGATGAAAGTTTTCTCGCCTGAGAGAGAAGATGGGACTGAATCTCTTTTGTTATAAGCCCTGATTTTTCGGGCTCTTCGTAGAATTGTTGTAGTGGTGACTTTGGAATAATGCTATAGATCTGTGGTGAAAAAGGCCCAATGGTGTGAGGGAGGTGATATAGAAAGACGAACAATATAAGTGCGTTCAAGACTATAATAAATTGGCGGCGTGGGGCGCCGACCCGCGGGCAAAGCATCGGGTGGTGGTAAGCTTTAAAGGTAGATATACTTAGGCCTCGTTACCAAGCCAGTGTCCCGTGTATATACGCGTAGGTATATATACAGCCTTTATACGTCGCTTGGGCCTTTTTTTCCACCAGGGAATGGAAGCTTGAACAGGCAAGGGAGGGTAACTAGTAACGATCGGTCGGTAACGTATTGATGGAATCACGATTAATCGCATCAGTTTATATAATATCATCCCCCTTTTTAAAAAAGAATTCAAGGAATCGTGTGCGTCAAGATGCAGAATCATTGGTTCCAAGACGCCTTGGGCCTTTCAAGACTCTTGGAATATTCTTAGAATATACGGAAAAGGTAACTGGTTTTTTCCACAACCATGATTTTTGGTCTTCCCATACGATAAGAGTCTCCCCCCTTGGTTTCAAATACACGTCTGCTTACTTTTCCGATTGATTACGCTGCATATTTTTCTTCTTTTTTTTTGAAAACGGTCGGAACATTGGCTGTCGACTTTATCGCTTGCTTCACTACACTTATCCGTGCTGTCGAGCCGTACTCATCTACGCGGCGTTGTGGGCTGAGCTCGATGTAACCTTATGGAGTGGGGCTCTATAGAAACACATACGTACCCCTCGTAGTGCGGCATCCAAAAAGCTTATAAAACCACACAATATACAGCAAATCAACCGCCAATTTAGAAATACTATTATAGATTCTGGGAACCTGAGGGTTACACCAGAATTGAAGTCTATTCGTTTCGACAAGCCATATTTTTGGTATGTACCTTAATTTTTTCAAAAAAAATTCGGAGCGTCACTAAAAGGCTGTGGATGTGAGTTGGTGGCGTGCTGATACCAGCGATGCAGTTTTGGTCCTAGCGCAACTCATGAGTTTCGTTGAACCCGAAGCTGGAATTGCGATATTTCGCTGGGTATAGTCTCATGCCCAAACCAACATGTTGCATCATGCTACGATTAATCGTATTGATACCGCAGCCCTGCCGTAATGGTCCCATTTGTCGGCACAGTATCTATAACACATGTACACAGTTATCCTGAAACCGACGCCGAGTTGAAATGTGGTCGGTCTCGTAACCGGACGTTGAATGTGGTTTAGTCAATGCAATTTACCTTAGTCACGCAAGGTACTATATTCGAACTTTCGTTATGTTGGTTGGTGTTATAACAGTTAACAGCCACGCATCACTAAAGCAACATGCAACAGCACAGGTGGCAGGGAAATAGTATTATTTGTTGTAACATTTAACACCTGTTCCCTGGAAACTCGATCCTTTCAATACTGATAGCTGTCAAGTGCCTGGTTTACGAGACTAGTCGTCAAAACGAAAATCTGGCTCTCGTGGTATGGTTGGTACTAGACAACACTAGATACACGCTATGGTGGCTATGCATCTGGACTTCGTTTAACGTTTTTCAAGGAACATATCTACGTACAACTCTCCAAATTTAAACGTAACCTGAAACGTAAAATGTTAGTTTAATCTTGCCCTAGGAAATGTTGGATTCGACAAATTACCGCTGTCTTATTAATTATTCCTAATATTAATCATGAATTGTTTGTGGTGCCGCAAAATTTAAAATGGAGTCCAATCGACTCGGCTTTTGTAACTAATGTTAGTATGCTTCGAGTCCCATGCTCATTTGCTTTGCGCCAGTTGTCCAATATCTAAATCCTGTGGAGTCTCGCAGTAATAGCGTATAACAGTTAGGTTAGATTTGCAGGTCTGGGTACGAGACAATGATAATGTACATATATAGAAGGTAGATTGTTTGAATGTTGATGAACCCATGAATACACTATAGTACTAAGTGATGAGATAAGATATGAGATAACCTTGGTGGCTAACATCGCGCGCCAGGCCTCTTAGTTTACTAGTTTTGTAATTATCTACCCCGTTCTCTTGGTATATAGCTGTTTATTTAGTATTTGGCAGGGACTAGTCTCCGCCTCAAGCGCTTGGATTCGATATTCAAGGCTGGGGAGTGTAAATTAATATCGATATGTATCTAACATTAACACATATCTACCAGCATGCATGCATGTAAATGACAACAATCTCACAAGCGCGTATCTTAATATTCTCGGAGCGCAACTTGTTAGAATCATTGCGATATGTACAACGATGCATTCATATCTCTAGCATAACGTATAGTCTAAAGACGGTTTCGTAGAAGTTGTATTCTTATCTATAAGATAGGCAGCTTCCGCCGCTCTGTGGCCCGGGACTTAATGCATTCGATATTCGTAAAACTTCGGAACTACCAAGATTAAACATTTTTCTATCCACCCACCTTTCTCAGGATAACCGCGAGGATTAATTTTCCCCCGTTAATTAATTCAGAAGATGTTGATTCACTCTACTATCGTCGCCTTGGCCCTAGCTACCACATTTGGGGTAGTGAGCACAAGTCCTGTATCTTCGAGCTTAGATCATCGCCCTAACTTGGTACGAATTTCCCAGATATGAATTGATGATTCATATGACCAATTCCATATAAATAATTCCTCTACACAAATACATAACCAAGGAATCTTTCTGGAGGTATTCGAGATTAACACATGGATCTTTATAGAAAGTTAGAGACAGTCACATGTCGCCGCGGTGCAAGGACCTTGATAATGAGGAGCTAGACTATCGACAGATATGTTTCTACCAACGAGGGGAAGTTCCTGGAAGTGGTGTCTCTGCCGCCGAACTTTTAAGATGGCTAGAGGCTGCACGATCGAAAAATATAAACGGGTACGGGTGGTCGTATACCGTTATCACCAAGTCCGGCGAAAGTAAATGCAGACAAGTCTCTTGCCTTAGCCGAAAGGCAGTTCTTAAAATATGTGATCTTCGATCGGGCCCCCCTGAACGGAATTACACGTGGGCTGCTTCCACCATTTATCACACGGTCGCCAGCTTACTTCAGAGGTTCAGGCCCGACCTGCTGCCTACAGATGACGCGGAAGGTCAGGACATCGCAGCGCAGACGCAATCTGATACGGAGACCTGCTGCTCTTCTTATTATAATCCAGGCAAAGTGTCACAGAATACGGATAGAATGTGGGGCGAGCAGTATCAGGCTGATGAAACTGGGCTTAGAATCACTATCGAGGCCATTAGGGGGGAATCTGAGATCGAGCTTCAAAGCAGAGTCCGGTGCGATCCCGAACAGAACTTAATTCCGGTATATAGTGCTCCAGACGAGGACGGGGAAGAGAGCGAGCTTCCAGTTAAGGAGTGGAAAGACTATGACCCGAGCTGGACTATTCCACCAACCGATCAATTAATCCCATACTTACATTGAGAAAGTTGGTCTTGCTTTTGTGTACCGGTAGCATCTCGCAGATTTACCGTCTTAGCACCTTTGTATTTAAACTAGAATTTTGGGTATCAGGTTTGATTAAGAATATATATCGATGCCCGATAAAATCCATTAGAACTACTTGAAGCCACCGTGACCTGTTTAACGTATGCTCAATGCATCATATATGTCAAATACAAGCTGGCACATAGTATTAGGCGTAGCGTTGTGTGTTATTCATGTCACAGATAGCAAAATGTGCAGGTTCGAGTCTTGTTCACGGGATATAGAAATGTTCGAAATATGTGGTTTGAGATTACTTCAGTTAGATCTGTAGATCTATAGAGGGCCGGGCCTATAGTAGAACTTTGCGTGTAGAGATTCGAAAATAGGGATTTGAAACCGTTAATATCCTACAATGCAATAGTTAGTAGTTTAAAACACTCACACATGAGATATACGTATACGTATACAAGCGATTCTCAGCTATTGCATTAGACGCAACTTGAGGTAGTCTCGGTAACTTGAGGGTGGGCTGCGCAGGAGACAATTAACTTGTAAATCTAAAATTTTTCTTCTGACTGGCCTTCCAATTAGCTGAGGGGAGAAAGCACGAACGGTCTGTAAGGCAAATACACTAGTTACTAGCTAGTACTTCTCGATTTTGTCAGACCGTTTTCTTTCGACGAAGCCCCTATGTCCGACATGTCAACAGGTTGTAACTAACCTAGATTCGTTGTAACAACTATTTTCTAAGCCTCCGAGCTCTATGCAATGGTAAAGAGCTTAATGTTGGTTGCAAAGTAAAATCTACTGATCAGAATGTCTTTGGTACGTTTCAGATTTTCGATTTTGTTCGATTCAAGCCCGACTTAAGAATGACTATAGCAATCGATCGGTATGCTACCTATAGACACATGAATATCAAATGACACATGTATAGCACCAAATCGACACAACTGCAGGATTCCATCGACTAACTCATAATACGGTGCACAACACCTCTCATTCAGCTATCCAGCCAAAAGCGCCTGGATTCGAGGCTACAACTAACCAGTGAAAATCGAACGAACTGTGCTTCGATACATATGTACACTGGGCGAACCCAGTATCCTTCTTAATTTCGTTGCTAGGATACAGTAGTATATATAATAGGCAAAAGGAATCTCATACGGCCCAAGATTGGATCTTCCGTATATTAGGACTGCTTCTTTTGCACTGCGGATAAATCTGAACTTCTCATATATCATATATCGGCGTCAATATATATCAATCTATGAAACAAAGTGAACTCGCACCCGTCTTGCCTCCAGACCAGAAACAAAGTATTAGAGCCGCTCCGTCCTCATTATAATTATAATATATATTACACCGCTGCCATCCTACCTAACACGGCAATTTCAGCTTATTCTCTATAGATCTGCCTCTGCGAGGCTGGCCCCTATTATTTTCTTGATTTTACAAAATGGTTTACGGCTCCACTATTATACTTCTCGCTTTGGCTGCTTCCTTTGGGGTAGTAACCTCCAGCCCTGTAAACTCGGGTATTCATGTTGAGGGCCATTCAAATTTGGTAGGGACTCAAATTTCTATGCCTTCCCGCGATTTTTTATATGCCTATACAACCAATATTTCTTAGGAAACTAGGCTAATATATGTACATGTACAGACCACAAGGGGGATCAAAGCGTCAGATCAATGCCCTGCGAGCCTACCCAATCACGAAGTGAGATGCTTTTATCAGGAGCCGACTGTTCGTGAAAGCGGCGTTACTGCCAGCGAGTTCTACAACTGGCTCTTAGAGTTCAGCACAAGTGTTTTCTCAGAGGATGGCAAAGATTCTAAGGGTCGCTTTTACCGGTATTATCCTGTCCCCATCGAGCCAGGGGGTAAATTGTGTGGACAACTCGATTGTATTGGAGACCACGCAAACGTCAAGCTCTGTGACTATCGACCAAATAAGCCCCCGAAGCGGGTGTATAACTGGAGTTATCACGGGATTATTACTAGGGTTCTTCGGCTCGGAGAGGAGTTCTGGCCTGAGGCTCCGCTAGAACTCAGGGGAAACCCTCTTAGTGAGGAAGAATCTGTGCGGAAATGGCGAGAAGAGCCGACTGATACAGGGAGCTGCTGCTCTTCCTATTACAACCCAAACAGAATTCAACAGAGTACAGATCGAATATGGGGTGATATTTATTCCACTAGTGAGAATGAGCTGGACCCAGTGGCTGGGCTACGATTATCTATAGAGAGTATTAGACAGCCACCCTCGAATAAGACGATTACCTGCGACAGAAGCAAGAATATAGTGCCGGTAAGGGTAAAATTTGCAGAAGGGCGAACATAACAGCAGAGATGCATATACTATTGTAGGGTTGAGCTGTCGAGCTCGGGATCCAATGTTTTCTTTGCAAACGTGGTTGGACATTAATATAGTCATTTCTTTCTTTTCTTTCTTTCTTTCTTTCTTTCTTTGCTCTACACCCCTTGTTAATATCAGAGTTAAACCACATGTATGAAAATCTGGCCTGTTTCTAGGTTAACATTTTTGTATTTGCTGAAAGGTCATATCAGAATATATTTTATTGTAGAGAATAGTATACATCGATCAGTCGTTATAATTATTCGGCAATCAAACAAACCTCTTTAGTACGAAACTAAGTTGTTATGTTTACTAGGGAAGTAGTCTAGTTGTTTAGATGGGTGCTGAACTAGGGAAGATAATTCGCGGACCGACATATTTATTTAAGTAGGTATATAATTGTCCTAACTGCGCTGTAAATTCATCGATATTGGCTGTCGTCGACGTCTGGGAACATAGTCAAATCGATCAAGCTAGCCTAGGTCTATAGAATAATCTACAGAGTTAATTTTAGTCTTCATGTATGCATAGAATAGTCCCGTTCCCATACGTCGGCTGGCCACAAGTACTGTGAGGGAGAACACCAGTCCAAATAACCGGTATATCTAATGCACCACCCTGTCTGAACTGTCCAACCCAAATACAAGCCCCCCTACCAATTGCTGTTGGTTCATGCTTGAGCAATATTTTACTGTGTTCAAATTCTCCTGTGCCATTTCAACTACTCGAATTATCTCAATAGCCGTGCCCCGCGAAGACGTCGAGGCCTCGCTTGTTAGTATATTAATATTGTGTACCGCCGTCAGGTTCTCGAGGCCCCCCAACGGGTGTATGTACTGCCCGGCATGTTGGCTAGCAGTCATTAGATTAGGCTGCAATATGTTATCGCGATCCTAGTTAGGGTAAACCTTCGTTAGTGGCGTCTGAGTACGATGCTAACTGTGGGGTCCTCGCAACGTTTGTGTAGTTTCAAAGCTATGATATCTATGAACTGTTATCTCTTTATGTTTGCAGCGTTTAGATATGAATATTTTGATCGAATATAATATTTTACCTGATAACTTTTATCAATGTTGTTACAATTGCAAAGGGGTATCAACTTTGCTGTGCGGTACTACATATGGCTAAATACCGCCCCAATTATAACTTGGCTCCAGCCTAAAATCTACAAGGGAGGTATTGTATTAGTACGGTTATGAGGGGGATATACAGATAATATCCAAAAATGTCGGGGTATACGGTAGAGGATTTTAGTCCAGTCTCCTCTTGTCTTTATGGGAATATAAAATGACGGGTCCGCACATTGCCCTATCTATTTTTCTACCCACACTTGCTGTAGATTGCCCCCTAGCTCTCGTATACAAGATTTTGAACATTGGCGCCTTTTTGAGACCCCACTACTCTGATCAGTACTAGAAATACTATCTTCTGGGGTAGAGCGTCCTTCTAATATGATTTCCCTTCCCAGTGTCATAAAAATTCTCGTCGCCATCAATATTGGCATTACATATGCTACCCCGAGTCTACTCGGCCGGGCAATCCAACAGAAGCATGTGATAGTACGTTGTCTTTCCGTTTAATAGCTTAATAAGCTCGAGTATGTATTGACATAAGCTTCCAGAACACAAGAGATATTGAGAAAGGCGACGAATGCGGGCTTCCTCATCAAATATCTATGGAAAACGGAGGAATAGCCCCTCCTAACCCCGATCGAAGGGGACCGGGCAATCTCAGGAGTAAATTCATGGGTCTTCGTTGGAGAGACAAAGACCGGGAATGTTCATACAAAAGTGGCGTTGACGCTGTTGGCATTGATATATCAGACTTCTCGATGTTCTGGCATAATAGAGTAAGGTTGGAGAAAAAGTGGAAAACCCAGACGCAAGGTCACAAATTCGACCTCAAGGTGGAGCCTGGTCGTAGTGAATGTGAGCAGGTCTGGTATATTGGGGAATGGGCTAGACTCAAGGCCTGTGACTTTCGGTCAGATCTTGGCCCAAAAAGGAATTTTACCTGGCGTGGGGATGATTTCATTGAAGGTGCTCTTGATCTCGCATGGACATTTTGGCCTCAAGTGGATTTCATAGGAGATGGCACGGATGATCTAGTAGTTGAAAGCAACGCCTTGGTTATTAATCCGACGAATATGAAGACTTGCTGTTCTGATCAAAAGAACCCTGGCGTTCAGCAAACAACTGCGGATCGTGTTTCGGGTGTTTTGAAGGATCGCAAGAATGATAAAGTACAATTAATTATAGAGGGTATCCGATCAGATGAGGCCCGCTGCGACCCCCAAAAGGACCTGAAAGGGTTTACTCGAACGAGGCGTCCTCTTCCTGCAAAGTAGGAGCCTACTGAAATTTTAACATGCCTCCTGTAGCCCCGGCGCCTGTATCTTTGGCTTCGGGTGCCTAGGCTCTAGCTTTGGACATTTTATAGCACATAATCTCGTATCTAGTACACAATAAAGTTAGCCTTAGAACATAAATATTGGAGAGTAGTTTTGTTCCAAGAGTGACATATAACGTGCCCACCTGATAGGATCAACTGGCAACGAGTCAGCTCGTGAGTTCTGTGGTTGATCCTACAGATTTTCAGCTGTCATAAGAAAATAGACAGCCAACAAGCTTGATGGCGGGATAGTAGAGTGAGTGCTTCGTATAAAATAAATCTTGGGAGATAGACAGACATGTAAGCATTCTGAGGGTATGTCGCTAAAGTATAATATCAAAATATTGTGTGTCAATGTTCAATAACGTCTGAATCGAAGGGTTACTAAGAGTGGTTTTCCACATGGGCGAAATGATAACGTCCCACAATACCGGCCTGCGTTCTGGAAACCTGGAGAAAAAATACTTTCCCACAAACAATCTCACCTTCCTCGATCTTTGACGATCAACCTCTCTACCTCCTTCCACAGGCTATTTACACATCGATAAGACCTACTCCATCCAATTGTGCTGGTAAGTAACTTTACATCACCCTAGTCAATGCTTTTGGGGTACTACATAGGCACCTTAGCCATCTAATAGCTTTTTTAGCGAGCTCGCAGGTAAAATAGATCGTCTGACCACAACCAGAAGCTCCATTGATTTCTAAAAGCGAAGCTTGCGATGTAAGTCTCAACCATAAATCCATTGTTCATATATTTTAATCATCATTAATCTAAGACGGAGTAAATACAGAATGTCGACTTCTACTTCCCTCACGAAGACTCTTGCCCCAGCCGTTTCTGACGAATACATCATGGTAGCCTCTTCCAGTACCCCATCTACTGAGAATGTCAACTCTAAAACTTTGAGTCACCAAAAATCCACTTCGTCTGACGATCGAAGCTGGGATTTCGCCAGTGCCAAGAATAGCAGGGAGATGATCTCTAACCCTGAGTCAATTGCCACTACCGCCAAAGACGAAGAAGCCAAAAATGGTGGAGCCGCCACTGATACCTCTTCCACCAAGGAAGAACGTGGATTGGCCAACCCTCCACCACGTCGAGGTCTCCGTAGCGTCCCAGCTTACCACAACCTAAGGGCCAAGATTCCGCGCGAGACCAAGCTCGTTGCTGGTCTTCCTGTCATCTGGGCCAAAACTGGGGATCCAAAGCATGACCTCCAGCTGTTTGACAGGGTTTACCTTGGAAAGGAAGATCCAAACAAGTCATCTTTCTAAAAGATACTACTGCCAATGCATGCAATGTCGTGTTGGTAATGTTGCATTTTTTTATGGACGCTCTCTCTTGCCAGCTAGCTTTTAGGACTTTCTACGATTGCCGATATAGATACTGGTAGTCAAAACGTGGTGGAGGCTTCAGATTCTATACTGGGAAGGTTATCATACGAAAGTGGGGTCTCGTTTTCAGCGGAGATGTTTATCATGTATCTTCTCTCTTTTTCTTTCTTACTGTGCAGCTGTGGCCCAGAATTGAATGCGGTTTCAATGGAAATGGTAGTCACTTTTATCAACGGTGTTCATGTTTCTCCCTTTCTTTCCTTCATGTTGATTACAACATTTTGTCTAGCAATCCGGGCAACCAATGAGGCGTGAATGGGTATGGTAGGGCGCGCCCATACAATCCCAAGACCTCGAATTGAATCCAACTGGTGACACCAAGATGAATCCCTGTAGCTTGCTTAGGCCCCTAGTTCAGATAGCTTGCTTTATAGATGGGCATACGCAGCAGGGTCGTATATAAACTATGCATTGGTGTTTGAGAAAGTTACACGGAATACATATATTTCCGGCCCTAGAAATTTCGGCCCTTAACTGAATCTATTCGTGGAGAGGCCTATGCTTCGAGTGCCGAAGCGAACTACGGTCAAATTCACTGAAGCCCCTAATGCATCATACTATGATCTCTATCAAGATAACGGTGGAGGGGTAGGGAGAGGAGGAGGACCACCATGCTTTGTTGTAGATGCATTACCTCATTGAAGGCATTGGATATTCCGTGACTGTGCAGCCGTGTAGTCCTCAGAAATCTCGTTGCTGAGCTGCAGTGCGTGCTCCGAGGGAAAAAAAAGAGCCCCAAGTAGGGTCGTCACTGCCTGATTTGGAGCCGTTGTGAGTTGCTATACAGCTGAAAGATTCCCTCGTCTGCATCCACCGACGTCTACTTAAAGCCCTCCAACCCCTGCTCACCTTCCTCCTCCTTCCTCTCTCATCCCAGCTGCTCACGTTCACGATCCCATCAAACCATCTTGTAACTTCGAGGCCTTCTGCATATCCCAATCGATCATCGTATCATTGAAGCTCTAGAGAAGCTACATCTATCTCTGCTTGTCTCTTCAGATATCTTCTTTCGTGTTCCGTCCTTCAATAGATCACAGTGTCATTGAAGCTTCAGACAACCTAGCTACATCGATCTCATCTCGTCTCTCATCTAATCTCTCATCTCATCTCCCATCACATCGCTCATCACCCCTCTCTCATCATTAATCACTCTTGTCTCTCATACTTCAATAGATCACTGTATCATTGAGGCTTCAGACAACCTTGCTATATCGATCTCTGCTAGTCTCTCAGCTGTCAGCTTATCTCTATTCTCTTGTGTCTCACCTCTCACTTCTCGTCCTTCAACTGATCATTACATCATTGAAGTTTCAGACAACCTACGTGGATTCGTTTCCGTTTCCTATCTCTTATCTTTCAGCTCAGCTCCTAGCCCAGCTCCCAGCTCAGGTTCCATATCATCTTTGATCTGTCGAATCTTCTCTCGACTATCCTCTTGCATTTGGTTTCGATCCTCTTGCTCGTGTCTCACGTTTATTACGAAGACTTCCTTCCGTTGCAGCAAGCTTGCCATCTTGCTCACTTCAGCACAGCACTCTCTCTCTCCGTCGATTGATTTTATCTCGACGAGCAGTCTTCTGCATCTCTTTCTCGCCCTTGTTGCTTCCGTTCAAGTATCACCACGACTCTCACGCTTCGTCGATTGATTTTATCTCGACAAGCAATTTTACTTTATCACAACAGTTCCCGATTTTTGACGAAGTATGTATCACCTTCTTTGTGATTGGAACTATTCAAAGTCCTCTATGATTCTAACTTCTTCTCTCCTAGATGGCCAAGACTGCTCCCACAACTGCTCCGGCCAAGGTCGTTAAGACCAAGGCTGTAACCAGCGGGGTGACTAAGGTCACCAAGGCCACGAAGGCGAAGGCGGCGAAGACGACGACGACGAAGACGAAGACGAAGACTACAGAAACGACGACGACGACGACGACGACAGCAACGACGAAGACGACGAAGGCGGCCAGGGCTGCCCCTCGAAGGGGAGCCCCAACCGCCACGGTGGAAAGGTTGTCGGGGATGGAGAAAAGGAGGCGGGAGGAGATGGTGAAGAGGTTTGGTGAGGAGTACACCAGCCTCGTGGAGGCGGCTAACGCGAGGAATGGGAGGGCCGCAGAGGGGCACCGGGCCGAGGCCGAGAAAGGGAAGAGGGAAAAGAGGAAGGCTTCCGATATGGAAGCACCGTCGGCGGCGGCCTCCGGGCCAAAGCCAAAGCGTGTCCGTACGGGACGCGCTAATTCGGGGAGGTCGCTCGAGCCAAAACCCATAGAGGTTTTGCTCCAGCGGGCCTCCCCGAACCTTCCAGCGCAGATGCGCCCCCGGCCGTGGTACACTGGCACTTATGTCATGTGGACCCCGGGTACGGAGGACTTCTACTGGAGGGGATGGTGGTATCCGGACGGAGTTGACGGCTTCGTTCGGTACCAACCACGGTGATCGAGGCCTTCCTCCCTCTTTTTTTTCGGTCTCCCGTCAGGACCGGTGGCTCTTCTCCCTCTTGTTCCTCTTCTTCTTCCATACCTCTAGCCACCTCCTCCTGCCTCCTTTTCTCCAAATAGATAGATAATAATAATGATAATTTTTTTCCCGTTTCTTTTGAGATTTTTACTATCGTAGAACGTAGTCCATGTAGCTGCATTGCATTACATTGCATTCTAAGTTTAATGTAGTAGCTAGCGGATATATTATAAAGTGAAGCCAGGAATTATATCTACAAATGCAACAGGAAATAGTGTTGACACCATAAAGCATGCCAATTTTAATGTGTCAGCTGGCAGCTCTGGGATTACTATCTTTCGCACAGGGAGAATACAACATAAATCATGATATTAGATACTACTAGTATACTGCTGAATTGCTGCATATCTAACCCTCGCAATGAGACCGATCTAACCTGTAGTTCATAAATCGTGAAGATCTAGAATGTACCTTTTTTTTTCCCTTTCCCAAAACCCAGATAACTCCATGGATCTAAGTACACCCACGGCCGCTACAAAAGTCTACCAATCCCACAAAGAACAACAACCAATTATAACGCCGGACGCCTATGAAAGAAAAAAAAAAAACTCCTCCGAGATACCTATAACCTTTTTATCTCTGTCCATTTATCCCTATGCGTATATGCCAGAACATCCAAAATCCCAGCGCTAAGATAATCAATTCGTAAAATCCCTCTCCCAAGCTCCCTCGATCTTCTCCACAAAGAAGATCAAGTACCTCCCATCCTTCCACTCCCATTTCCCACATAACCCAACAAACCCCCTCCTCCACCATCTATTAGTCTCTAACAAGAACTTCCATGACCTCCAGCTCTTATAATCCCCAATAACCCGATCCTCGTTGACTTGTCGATAGAACTTATCCATCGCCGTGAGTGCATCTCTAATCCGAACATTGCGATCACAACATCGGTTCGAGAATACATTAATACAGTCGTCAACAGCCGGTTCTAGACCATCTGTTCGAAGGTCCGAAACTCTAAGGATTAAGTGTGTGGTCGATGGGTAACACAAAGGTTGGTCTAAAATAGACTCTCCCTTTTCAGTTACCATAGTCTCAGCTGATAGGACAGAAGAACCCAATTCGCATCGTAGCTGCTCGAGAAGTGGGTTGACAATATATGGTCCTAGAACTGTATTCCCGGTGGGGGATCTAAAGTCCTGGGGGACGATCCAGTCGATGATTACTGAACGCCAAGTCTTACATACAGATGCAAGACGAACTTGTTCCTTCCATGTAAGGGTTTGAAGAATTTGAATCTGAATCTCAAGAGGGAGGTGTGGTATTTCCCCCGATGATTTCGAGATCGTAGGATTTTCCTTAGAACTCGGATTTCCCATCTTTTCAGACTTATCTGAAAACAGATATTCCGAAGACTTCTGTTTCGAAACTAAAGTTCTGATTTTTGAAGGAAATAAAGTCGTAAAGCTGCTCGGTGACGGGTGATGGTGATGGTGATGTGAGGGAGAAGAAAAGACTTCAGACGAAGACTTCCAATCTAAAAAGTATTTGTAGAGCCTCCGAAACGTAGATTCATACGTTTTACCATCCTTTTCGTTACTTGAAATGACATCGCGAGTTTGCATATTCGCTTGTGCTGGCGAGGAGTGGTATCTTTGACGTTCACCCTCCATATCCGCTGCCAACCTGTCAAGAAGCAGAACCCGTGCCGTAGCCATGTTTTTAAAATCCAAAGATCCGTCGTACAAGAAATGTAAAAAAAAAAGTTTAAGGAATTCGAATAAAATTCCGATTCGGGTGCCAGCGGGATATTTATAATCTGCTGGAATGAACTACACCTCTAAACCTTTTGGAATTTTCGTTTTAGTAAAAGAAAAGGGCACAGCTGCACAGCGGCTCGTTATTTAAACTGCTGGTATGCGCATATGTACCTCTCCGAGGGATTCTTGCTGCGCCGTCAAGCTCCGGGCCGAGAACAAAACCGTTAGTCAACTAACTAACAAACCACTAAACCCATTAGCAAGTAAGAAAAGGGCAAAATGAAGGGTTTAGTTTTTTTTAGACAAAAAGGTTTCGCAAGATCCGTTCAAAGACAAAAAGGACAAACAGGCGGCAATATAAAGAAGTCTCAGATCTACTTGAGACAAGATTTTTACCTAGCGAGGTCATTCCGACGTATACCCTCTTTGTTTTCATCCTCCAGGATTTCTTTCTGTAAGCTAATTAAGGTCTTCAGCCGAGTCGGCCTGACCCGTAGGATCAGGGTCCTTTTTTTACATCTCGATGATCTCATGCACGGGTACCGTTTTTGTGTTGCATGTCGTTGGCAGCTGTTCTGTGATGTGCGGCCACATGATGTATGCAGGCACCACCATAGAACAGGAGCGGACGTCATGGACAAGCCACTCTGGGTGACCAGCTGATCCGTTGGTACTTCAGTGCCGGAATTTTAATGAAGGGTGCAAACAATTACACAAAACTTGTAATACACTGGCACGGTAGGATACAGGGAATTTTCCCTGTTTTAGGAAATGTGCACACGACATCGGTGACATGTTTCGGGAGAACTGATCGGCAAATGTGCGTTGATTATGTGGTATTTTAAGGTACACCGGAGTTCCGGATATGGACGACAGCCACTGGGGGGTAGTTTAATATTAGGGCTGGTGGCGGTGGAGTAGAAGCATATACGGCTATTTATTCCTGACAAAATGCTGAAGTCATTATTCGGAAAATCAGGTCTAATTCACGGGTAATTGTAAAACTACGAAATTGATCAACTACTTAAGTAGTTATATATAGTTGGCTGCCGTACGTCTTGAACTGATGCATGGTGGGTATACGGGTATTATAACACTCTAATATTCCTATGATACAAGGTATATGGTAGATACAGTAAACAAAGTTCTAGACTTCATCTATTTATGGTTAAGTGCGCTAACATGTCTGGCGTGCTTGTTAATAATCTCGCCAGCCTCAGTGTCGTTCAAGAAGATTGTGAAACCGTCGTTGTGGTTGGGTCCATAGCTCCATCCGTACCATCCGAATTGCCAGTATTGGTCTCCAGCGATTCTCTCAGCAATGGCGGTCTGCTGCCACTCCCTAATAACTTCGAGACGTGTGTAGTTTGAAACCTGGCCGAGGTACTCGAGACGCTTGTCTGGGGTCAACCAACCATACTCCTCAAAGACAACTGGCTTGTTGGCGGCACGGCCAGCAGCAGCGTGGTCCTTAATCCACTGGGTTCCCCATTGTGGGGTCTTGCTCCACCAATCTGGGTAGAGATGGAAGGTACCGTAATCAACTGTTGGGATATCAAGTTCGGCGTCGAAGTCAGTACCGTCAGCGCCGTTGTAAGCCCAGTCTGGATCTTCGGGGTGGTTGAAAGCACCCTCGCTACCAACGGAAACCATGTGGTCGGGGTCGAGAGACTTGATGAAGGCGGAGATTTCGACGAACCAGGCGTGGAGCTTGGCTGGATTGCAATCCGGGGATCGTGGAAGATTGCGGTTTCCGTCAGCACCGCAACGGGGCTCGTTACCAAGCTGCCACGAGAAGATGGCCTTGGAGTGCTTGTATCTTTGGACGACGACCTTGATGTAGTCCTTGAACTTGGAGATGATATCTGGCTTGACGTAGAACTATTGGCGAGTTAGTAGTGTGATTTTCGAAGACGAAGATTGAGAGCAAGCTTACATCATCGTGGTACTTATGACCAAGGTTGATGGTGTAGACATCCATACCACCGTAGTCGGCCCAGTTGTTGGTGAGGGTCATGACCAACTTAACATCGGCCTCCTCAGCGGCCTTGACGACAGCATCAAGCTTCTGAAGACCAGTGGGTCCATAGTTGATGGTGACACCGCCATCCTTCCATTCTGTGAACCAAGTACCGGTCCAGTCCTCGAAGTATTTTGGTAGGCCGTTGGGATCGAAGGTAGCATTTCGGTCGTTGAAGCACCATGTTCTCATAACCTTGAGGCCAACTTTTCGGGCAGCCTTCAAGCCAGCGAGGTTATCGGCGTAGTCCTATAGCAATTGATTGTCAATCCATCGTCCTAAGATCTAACACGTAACAGGAAGCTGAAACTTACGTTGCTGAATGGAAGGTAGTACGCGTTCGATCCGGCGAAGTAGAAGTCAAGGCCGTTCAAACCGAACTTGTTGCCATTGGGATATGGGAAGTCCCTCTTCCTTCCAGGAGGAGTGTGTGCCGGCACTGGGTTTGCAGCGACCATAGAGGCGGCCGCCGCCAACAAAACAGCTTGCTTGACATACATGATGAAAATATGAACTTTTGAGGACCACAGTAAGGTATCAGGGTCTTGAAGGTTATCCTTAGAGGTTAGAACGGATGTAAGATGGGCGGCGGACTGGATATAAATACCCGTCCTCCTATAGCTACCTAGACACGCACGGTCTGGTAATATGAAGCAAACTCTTTGATCGCCATGTTATTGTTAGGGATCGTAAAATGCATCCCGGCAAAAACAAAATGCATCGCCTGTCGGCTTGCTCGGTCTATAGACCATGCCCATGTTTCTTGGCTACACTAATGGCATTCTGTTAGCAAAGTAACAAAGTTTCAGTGCATCTAAGCGCAGTTAGCCTAGCCCTTCCTTCGACGTTCCATCACGAAATTCAAAGCTCTGAACCCAAAAATCGTGCACCGGACTTATTGTGGGTCGATTAACCCGAAAGGTGGAGGGCCGGCTCTTTGGACGGATGCAGTCAGTCCGCAGCGAATTAGGGTGTATGGCGTTCCTGCAGAACAGGGGCGGTAAAGGGCATTAACTCCCTGCCGATTGTCGTAGTCTGCCCGCCACCATCAGGATGACGAACAACCTTAATATCCTCACCTAATAAAATGGTGTTTCGTCTGGCGGAGCCACCCCGCTGCCAATATCTCAGCCGCCCTAAGACGTGCAGTGGGTGAAAAAAAAATCTGGGGAAATAGCTCTATCGCTATCGCTGTATCAAGAATACTGCTTTTCTTAGCATATGTGTTGGCTAAATATGCAATCGTCAGTCCTAGCAGTCCCAAGACGGCGTGGATTAATCCGAGGACGAGCAAGCAGCGGAGCCCTGCTATCCATGGAATACACATCCCCGCCCAATTCTGCCTGCAAGCTGGTTTTAGAGCTTCAACCTCAGTTTTCAGATTTAAAAACTTTGGGAGAGGCACAGATATCATGCAGAGCACGGGCAGCTTTCGAGCCTTTCTCGCGATATTGGCCTTTCGTGATTGTAATCCTTCTATTCTGGACTCGTTCCATGTGTAAAAGCATTTTAAATTTCCGCCGCGAACCGCTATACGATGGTGCTCAGGCCGCAGATATGGCCGATCTGACCACAAATTATGAGATGAAAGTGCTTGAGCGTGCTGCAAAGAACGACTCCTGACCTAACATTTCCTGTACGCTCAGTCCTTTGGGGCTCACGGCCGAGGTAAACAATTGCCTTTCTTTGTCCTGAGAAACTGATGCATATGCAAGTTTCTCGAGGTTTCATTTTTAGAAGACATTATGGTTTCCCCAAGACATGCTGCCGACCTATCGACACCAGCAAATCGTGGCGAACGGGCCTTAGCGCGCCCACAAGTTGCTTCCCTCAATCACCTTGCATTTTTCCGGTGAACAAGCATCCAGCCAAAAAAGCTGCATCCAGCGTTCCATCAAAATTGTCAAGGATTTAGCTGTGTAAAGAGAAGGTCCTCCCTTCGGCGCACACACCAGGAAATCCATAACCGGTAAAACGGACCAATTGTCCGATGTGCCAATTGGGTTTGTCGGGGTGGCCACACATATTTGTCTTGGTTGATTGCTTCCAGAAGCTTGAAAATGCTGGTTAGGGCTTGATTTTTTGGGGAAAGTTTATGCCTGTTAGTCTATAGCCCCTGGTTAGCTTGTAAAAAAAATGAACGGATTATTTCATCGACTTACTGATCGCACTGAATGCCTCCGAAGACGAATATCTACCTCGTAGTTGGCCGATTACACGTGAGTATGGGGCGCGCAAGGGCCAACCAACATTAACTTGGATCGTTGGGCCTGGCTGGTGTTTGAACAAGGTCAGACCAGACCAAGCCATTGGGCTGCAACACACTGCAAATCAAATCAGCCAGTTCATAGGATGTCTACATGATGTCGTCGGCTAGAGTTGGTGCCAGTGACCTCAGCGAGAACAAAGCTAGGAGGTCCCTTGCCTCCCATCTACCCAGTTGAAATTAAAATAAAATTGGAAGGAGGATTATGCGGGAATAGAACGCTACAAGGTCGTAGGCACCCTCCGACATCATGGATTCCATGCAATGGGGACTTTTGGTGTAACCTGCAAGAATACAACAACAACGACAACAACAACGCTTTCATCATCGAACTCGAGAATTGAATAGCCCTCCGTACCTAGTTTTAGCAGCCTCGTTTATCACAATCAGTGCCATACACCGGTAATAAGTGTGACAAGCAAGTGTTACAACCGAGATTAAGTTTTTATTAGAAATATTTCGGTATATATCTCGCCGAATTTTAAAACGATGGGCATGGTTCGGTCAGACGCTCACATTCATGCCGCTTCTATATTTGCAGAAAACAACTGTGCACTGGCGGCCTGTGCACCTACAGCCACTAGGAATTCCTTACTTGCAAGCATGCCGTGCTATGTAGATATCTCAATCACTCACTGTCGTAATTAAAGAGTTCCTTCGGCATTATATTGAGGGCACAGACTACGGCACTACTTATGAGGAACGTGCGGCCGGCAGCAGTTATTCCTGATACGAATTGTGATCACAAACACCCCACCGCTTGACTCAACTGACTCGTTTCCTCTCAGAACTTTATATCGAAATGATATGTACATGTAGGCATTATCACAATCTTAATCTCGCATCATATCGATCCGTCCAAGAGAGCTGAAACAGCGGAGAAAATATCCCCCTGATAAATAAGACACCATTTTACTAGCCTTTTGAGTATATTCTTATTTTAATATTTGTCTACAATCACTTATCTCCTAAATATCATTTATGCCTGTACTTTGTCACAAAAAATATGTTTCAAATTGGTAACGGATGCTCTTGCTACATGAGTGTTTCGAGTGCTTCGAATGCCGACCAACTGGCAAGGCCATAATTACAACAAAAACAACACTGGTCATCTCGCCATGCATGTTGACCCCTGCACTACCACCAGAAGGTCCTGACCTGACACAACGAGACCGATTCAGATGACTAACCCCTCAACTTATAAATTCCTTTCCACCATTTTTTTTTATCTAGAGACCTACCTATCGATAAAAAGGGGCCTCTGAATCACTTGTGAATCCGACCTTTTCTTTGGCTCTTGACTATGACACACATGTGCAAACCTATCTGCCCGATCGAATCTGACTAACTATCTCCAGCCGATCATTCCCTTCGTGACCGGCATCTCAGCATGATGATACCAACTCTGCTCATAAAAGCTAAATTTGACCGACAGTTTGATGGATTAGTCACTCATACCACTATTCACAGAATACTCCGAGATACATTTTCATTTTGTCAAAGGATCCAGCTGCTAGGTACCAGGACTCCCATATGCTAACCCTTACTAAGGCTTTGAAAGCTTATCAATCAAAAGTATATGCCTTATATTATCTAAGCAAGTCAGTTCGAATTCTCATGTATTGTGTGATGGCAGCTTAAGCAGATGTTAATCTTGTCCGACCATACCAAAAGGCCATCTCAGCCGCACATTGTCCTAAAGTAGTTTCTGAGTTGCCACACCTGCACTTGTGGCTGGAAGGATAATAATAGGACATGGCCCGGCCTGGTTTGCCTCGAGTGCTAGAGGTTAGTCTCCCTAGCAGACAAGCTGCACACAAGCTTTTACAGCCGAGGCGGATCGATTCTCCTTAACCTCTCTTGGGCGCACTTCCCGTGCAGTGGCTTTGTTTGTATATATCGGTTCATTTCTGCCTCCTTCTGTTTCCGTTTCTCCTTCCCTAGATCTCTCGATCTCCTCTTGAACACTTCTTCATCTTTCCCCTTCCTTCCATCCAGCCAGGTCCTCGTCGTCTTTCAATAGTGAATCATCCAGATCCATGTAAGTTCGCGGATTCGAAAAAGTTGCTGCGAAATGCCAAGTACTCGCGGTAGTACCGCTACAGCCTTGGCGCTATGAAACTCTGTATTTTATTGGCTGAGTTCAGCTCAGACCCACTTCCATGCATGAAGGCATCCTGGGCGATGCCTGAGAAAGCGATGAGTTCTAAGCAATTAGGACGCGGGGGAAGGTCATCGATTTTGAAAGAATTGTGCCTTTAGTTACGCCTTTACCATTGGCGACAGGATTCGAAGGACATTATGACCTCATAGTAAGCGTATGATACATGTTGCGTTCGGGGTTTTATAGGTATATACGTGTGTACCTTGATCCCGAATTGTTCAGCCTTCTCCCAAGATAGTCACACAGAATCGATGCTAGATGCACTATGTACCGCGGTTGCGGATTGCAGGATTTCCCTGCATTGGTGCACGCATCCCACCTTTAAGCTTTATCAACTTTGGGCTCCCCTCGTGGATGTTCCTGGTATGGTTCTTTATTCATTTCCTCCCTCCTTAGGATATCGACATTCCTTCGTTCACTAGATCCTCGTTTCGACAAAGGACCGATCCAACCCGATAATACACCGATAACATTCAGTCAGTCTGCAAGTGGTACTTACGTATAGACAATCCACGATTGCTCAGCTCAGCTCTCCACAGAGCGACGTCGAAAACACTTAATTAAATGTTTTCACAACAAACTTTCAGCCCCGCGCATGTCCGTCCAACCGATTCATGAGAGAAAAAAGACTTCGCCATGCCATCATTTTTACAACGTATCGGACTGAAAAAGAAGAAGTTTGGGAAGAGTAGTTATTTCGGAAAAACAACAACCGCAGATCTTCCAACTGCTGCCGTAACAAAAGATGCATCAGATATTCCAGAAGTTCCGGCGCCGCGGCGTTCTTTCGATTCTCGAGCATCCGGCTCAATAATATCCATACCTCGAAGCACCAATACCATCGAAGACTACGATGATCTTAAGCCGTGGAAGAAAAGGAAGAATAAAAGAAAGCAAGCCCATCGCGGTAATGCAGAAACTCTCACGGAGCAGATGAGACGGGATTTTATTGCTATGCAGCATAAAATAGATCGAATCGAGTCATATGTCGTTCCGAAGACCCCCACAGATGCTTTCAATCTCGACGACCAAAATACCACGATAGCCACCAACGACGTACGAACATTCATCGAATGTGCTAAGACAATATACTACGAAGGAAAGGAACCAAACGCACGAACAGACTCCGTCCCAGAAACCCCGGATGAGATACGAAATACATTCGTCAGTGTTTTAGAACGATGCAAAGATCCCGAATTCCTTTTCAAGCTTTCCCAAAAGATCTTTAGAAAATATGGCACAGGGACAGCCGATGCTGGACCGTCAGAGCGATCAGACCTCAGCAACGATACAGTCTCCGAACCTTCTTCCAGGCCGAAGCAGACTGTATATCTTCCCCAAATCGAGTACGGTGTGCGACATGAAACCGAAGCTTGCGAAATAGTACCGAACCCTCGACAGCTGATACGAGCATCAGAACCCCAACCTCAACCCAAACCAAACCCAATTCCAGGAGAACTAGTACCCATCGCTACACATCTGTTACGAACAAGGATTAACGCTACAAAGCGTCAACGAGGCGAGTTGATGCCTCACCTCCCAATACCATTCGGACCTTCTCCTCCTCCTATCGATCAAACTGGTGATAGACCATCACAGGAACCAAAATACCTAGGACTTCACGATTTGTATGCAGAAAACTGCATCGAGAAACTAGAAAACCAAGCAACCCAGATGGCAGAATTGCCTCGAATATATACAGAAAACGTAGCGGTGGAGCGAACCGGATCAAGACCTCAGATCGAAGCCACAGTCTCAAAACCTAACACGCTCACCAAGCCGGATGAGCCCACTTTTAAGTCTTCATCTGAAGATATAATCATCGACGACGAGACACTAGATCTAGAAAACCTTTCTATTTCCAAGCCTTCTTTGCCATCTCCATTCGAGCCCTTACAACTACAGCAGAAAATACCCAACGATTCTAGCCTACCTTCAAGCTTTTCTGACTGCCCCGTAGTCTTCCCCATGAGCTTTCCTGATCCTAATTTCGACGAAGTTTTTAGCGAGGACGAGGACGAAGAAGACACCTTCGACCCAGGTTGCTCAATTCGATATCGTGGCCAGAATTCTGAACAGACCAGTTCACTTGCAGCATCAGAACCGCAACCTGAAGAACAACAGATACAACTATTAGATAACGACAGAACCCAGATCGGAGACGACGCCTGTTACACTGCCGTCTCGAATGGGTGTGAACCTCATTCAGATAATCATCAAGTGGATGATGTCGAGGACGAAGACGAAGACCAAAATGAAGACGAAGAAGACGAAACCGCCGCCCAATTGAGCGCCATACATCTACTCATATTACTCAAAGTCATTGCTAAACGCCAGAACGAAAGCCAAAACCCAAATCACATGGATCAACCATCTTCAAACTCAAGCGGGTCATCAACTCCATCCGATAGCTCCGAGGAATCTGGAAGCAGCAGCAACTCTAGTGCATCAAGCCAGAATCTCAGCGTATCCAGTTCAACTGGAAACGGCGCTAGCGGATCTTCAAAAAAGAGGAAGCAGGAGGATGACCCTAACAGAAACGGCAACGATCCCGATAGACCTCCACCGAAGAAAGCAGCGATTGAGATGATCAGAGATATTCTCAGGAGGTTCGCATGTCCATACGCCGCAGGCAAACCAGACGAACATCCTGGATGTCAAATGATTAATCGACAAAATCTAAGCGGACTCAAGTTAGTACCTCCTCTTCTAGATCCTAATTACTTGTGATTACATATGTGGATTCGATTCTAACGCTTATAAAAAGGGAACACGTCAAAAGAAAGCATTTCAATAACGTCTTACCGAAAGAACTCCGCATCGCCAAAAACTGGAATGAAGTATTCCTCTACTGCCACCAGGACTGGTCAGGAGCTATTCCTTCTCCCTGTAAGTACCATCAGTTTTATTATATCCTACACGACTGTAGAGTAAGTTCTAAACTTTGAGATATATAGATATATCCGACATGTTCTTAACCGCCAACAACTACCAACCACTCACCTTCGAGCCATCATCCATCATCGAATCCCCAATCAACGACGGAAGATACCGTCCTATCGTCCCACTCCTCTCCTCCCCAATACTAGGAGGCCCCAGCTCCAGTACAAATGTATCCGGACCTCTATCGGAACCCTTAACCCAAGTTCACAATCATAATGCCGGAAACTACGATGCAAGGCCCAAACTGCAATCAGAGCCTACTCTAGGCCAGGAAATGATCGATTTCCTCACCACAGGAGGGTTTGATAGCATCTACCATCTGCTTCCATCACATCTTCAATCAATAAACCCAGATGACCTCGCAGTGCCAACCAGTTTTGCTCTGGAAGGCTACATGCAATCTAATTTTGGTATCGACGTCAACCAAACTCGTAGTCAACTGATGACCCCAGAGTTCGCGAATGACCTTAATATGCTATTCCAGCAGCCAGAAGTATCCCCACAAGGTCTCGAGGATACCCTACAAGACGAAGTAGAAGAGGTGCATAATCAGCAGAATATAATTCCACCGGCCCACATAACCCAAACCCTTCAGGCCGTAGATATCGAAACCCCACCCCATCCACCGCCAACCATAAAACTCCAACTCGAAACTCCCTCTTACATCAATACAACTATGCCTCTTCCCCCCCCACCCCCTCCACCCCCTCCTGTACCAGCAAAACCAAAAACCACCAGCAACCAAACTCTCCCTTTCGTTTCCCCCGAACTCTCACAATGCCTCGACTACCTCTTCGCAGACTCAAAACCCTACCTCAAAACCCAAAGACCAAAATCCCGTCTATCAAGATCCTCATCCTCATCCTCATCCTCCCCTCCATCATCCTCTTCTTCCTCCTTCCTACTCCCAGACCTAGGTACCCAAACCCCAGATACCCTCTTATCAGAACGAAACTCTCTCGACCTCCCCCCACCATCCTCCCTCCCACACCTAAACCCCAAACCCCCCTCCCCAAAAGGTCCTCAGAAACCCAGCAAAGACAAAAAAAGAAAGAAAATATACTCCCTCCACATAAGATACAAACCCAAAACCCCAGGTTCCCCGCACCAATGCGCAACTTTCTCCTTTAATGCCGATAACGAGTATCTCGAACTGAAGCTGGCCTTCAATGATTGGATGACAAATACCTTTTTTCCAAATAATAACGAATTCTCATGGGATACTTGGGAACTAGAGGATACTGTCGACCACGGGAGAATAACGAGTTTGGAAGCTCTTGTTCAGGATCTTCCGTTTACTTGGACGGCTTTTCGAACGACTGAAGCTGCGTTTTTGTTGGTGCCGAAGTAGTGAGATATTTATATCAATGTCACGACGCTGATATTATTCGTCTCCGCACAACTTCTAACTTTTTCTCCTTTTACCTTATTGATATTTTTCATTCTAACTTTACCATTCTTCTTTGAATTCTTTCTTTCTTTCCTCCCTTTCTTTCTCTCTGTACCATGGATTTCACGTATATAACGTAGCGCATCATTCTTAGTTGCACATCCTTTTTTTTTCCATCTGCTTTTACCATAAATGTTTTTCTTCTTGTTTTTGATACCCTTTTAGCCATGCATGGAGTTTTCTGTTTTATTCCTTTGGATCTACTTTTCGGAATAACTATTCCATCTTGTTTATATCTCTTCTTCCTCTTCTTTTGTCGATTACTTAAAACACCCATGCATACCATCATCACCATCAACCCCCCTTCATCTGATCACATCTACCAAAAAAGTTACTTCCCTTCATGATAAATATATACTTTTTTCCTATTCTTAATTTTTCAACCCCTCTCACCCACTACCATACCTACAATCAATACCCTACCCAAAAAAAAAAAAGTGGAAGAGAAATCTTAAAGAGAGAGAAAAAAAAAAAAAAGCTAAAATACTAGGTACTTATAATAATCAATATTCCCAAGGAATAATAATAATATAATAAAAAAAAAGTTATTTACGCAACAGCACTAACAACCAACTGTCCAACCCCACTCTCCTCACTTCTAACCGTAATCTTAACCGTAACCCCACTCTTCGACGAAAACACCATCTTAACCATAGCAACAACCCTCCCACCTGAGATAGTTTTTCCAAACAACTTGAGTACATGCGAGGTCGTAGACATGGGCACGTCGGTGCCTTCCATCGGTTGTAGCGATAGAGCTGATGCGAGGAGATTGCAAGCCTCTGTGTTTTTTTTTGTAAAAGTATTATTATTAGTATCAATTCCCAATTTAGTCAACGGGGGAAGAAGAAAGGAAGAAAGAAAAAGAAGAAAGGAAGAAAGAAAAAGAAGAAAGGAAGAAAGAAAAAGAAGAAAAAACATACCCTCAAGATTCTTCACATTCTCCTGTGGCAATCCATAAGTCTCCGTAACCTCCTCACCAGCAGTACCAACCTGCTCCCAAACAGTTCCAAAGTTACCACAGAACGCAGGGACAACATAATCACCACCGGTCAACTCCAAATCCTCAACTTCGTATTCATCATCATATCCACCATCTTCGGCTTCACCGGTCGAAGGATCAATCTCTTTAGTCGTGAACTTGAGGACGTTATTAAAAGTGGTGGTGGTATATCCTGCTCCTTCCTCTGATTGTGGTCTCTTGAAGGCTACGTAGATAGTTCCGGGACTATCGACTGCAATCTTTGGCGCCGGGACGTAGAATTCTTCGACCAATGGCTCTTCTTCGTCTTCCTCTGCTACGGTAACTTGAACAGTCACATTCTCCAGGACGGAATCGGTCAATGTATTTTTAACATTGTATTGCAAGACAATATGGTCCTTGAAAATGTGCTTGACCGAGGTAACGACGTATTCCATTTCCGCTTCGGTAAGCTCGACGACTCTGCTGGATTTGAGAAGCTGGCCGAGAGCCTTGATTTCCGGAATGGCAGAGAGAGTGGCAGCATATTGTTGGGAAGCGGCAGCGGCATTGACAGCGGCCTCGGAGATGGGTGCAGCAGATGGACGGGCTCCTGGGGCGCTGATTGTTGGGGCCTTGAGAGTTGGCATGTCGGAAGCTGGGCGCATCTTCTTTGATTTGTCCTCTGCATCGGCTTCGGCGCGGGTGACAACTGGGATGCTGGCGATATCGAAGGGCTTCGAGAAGGTGGATTGGTCGCCGGTGACGTACATGACAAGCTGGTGCTCGAAAATTGGCAGCGAAAAGATAGAATCTAATAGACGGATTAATCCATATTGATTCCACAAATATAAATCGAGACGTACTTACCATTATGAATAAACTTGGCACCATATTCACTTGCACCAGTCACTAGTTTGAGGTTCAAAGCAGCTCTATCACGAACTTCATCATCTGGGTCATCCAAACACCTGGTAAGGAGAACGACAACGCTCCTCTTAACTTCCTCGTCCTTCTGTCCAACACCGAACTTGGCAAGAGCAGTGACAGCTGCAGCTCTGACAACAGCGTTCTCAAGGACGACACGATTGTAGATGTACCTGATATACTTTGTCGGATGCGATGTCTTGGGACCTTCTTGCCCAAGTAGGTGAAGAACACGGACGGCAAGCTTGGTGAATTCACAATCCTCGATAAACTCACAAAGGTGTGCAAGAGCTATAATAACATGTTAGCTTCCAAATCCCTACACTCCAAAAAAAAAAAATAGTACCAACTTGCCTTCTTCCTTGCTGTCTGGAACGAACTTGATGAGATCAAACATGCTCTCAACCACACTCTTCTTGAACTCATAGCCACCTTCATCGCGGAGAATACCGCTAAGGAAAGCAAGCATACCAGCCTGCTTACTTGGGAATTTCAAGCACAACGTCCTGATGGCTTCGACGATAGTGATCTTGAATTCATCTGTAATATCAGCCATGAATCCAGAGATCTGCTTCATAAGCCTATCAACGCTTGCTTCGTTTCCAGTCTTAAGCAGGGTGGTGATAGCAAAAGTAGCAATAGATCGGTTCGAGTTCGAAATAAGAGTTTCGATGTCCATGTTACAATGCTGGAGGGTATTCGGCTTGAAGGAAGCGATATGGTGTAATATTCTAATAGCAGCGAACTTGGTGACCGCACGTGGAGAAGTCAAGAAGAGTTGCAAGACATGAACTGCCGGTGCAACCTCCGCATCGGTCACGTCGGGGAGTTCGCAGATAACCTTCGCGGCTTCGAAGTTGACCATCTCGCTCTTGTGTCTTAACCAACCCTCGAGAAGCTGTGCCATTGGTTTTCTGAGGTTGGGGTCTTCGATAGCGATCTTTCCGGCCAATCTAACGAGCATCATGACAGCAGCAGGGCTCTTGATCGCGCTCGCGTTCTGCGAACCGAATTGTTGAACCATCTTGACCAGGGACATTCTATCATGTGCACGCATCTGGTAGAGTAAACCGATAGCATGGTACTGTGTCATGTATCCAGTTGGGGGACCGATCGAGGAGGACGAAGAACCCAGTCCGAGGAATCCACCACCAGATTTGTTCGAGAGAACAGCTTCCTGGGTTTCATTGGCCCATCTTCTAACCACATCCCTCGCGAGCGGAAGGAGATGGTAAGAAGAAACAAGAGCAGCGGACGAGACAGATGGAGTCTTGTCAACAATCGCGGTCTTGATAAGACGTTCTATAGCTTGAACGTTCGTCGCCTAAACAAAACAAAAATATCATAAGCGCCATTGTCTAAAGCAATAATATCATAGAACGACGCATCTCACATCAATAACTCTGCACAATGCTCTGATAGCATTCGGTCTGTACACGACATCGCTTCCAACCGCGGTATCCTTCATGATAGAAGCAGTGACCATGATCACGTCCTCAGCCGTGCTCGCAAGCTCCTTGATGACGAGGTATACCATCTGCCGTAACGAAGGATCACGATGCTGGAACAGCTTTGTGATTCCGAAAAACAGCGTGGTAGCTTCGGGTGTGGGGAAGCGTTCTCCGGTGTGCAAGAGATATGTGATTTTGGTCAACTGGATACGGCATTTTCGAGGCGATATAGGAGAGGTATTGAATATGCGAGCTGTATAATATTATCACGCCTCCATCAGCGACTGAGATGCTCATAGCAGTAAATCTATGGAGGAGGAGGAGGAGGGAACATACCCTCCTGGAACACCGTGGAACGGTCGACCTTGAAGATGGTCTGGTCGCCATCCTCATCCTTCTTCGAGTAACTCATGGTGAGAGACAGAGATACGATAGGACTAGACTAGACTAGCTCAAGGCAAAGCCAGCCAGCTTAAGATTCAGAATTTAGATTCAAACGGATAGGGTATTTCAATTGTTCGCAAATCGGCCTGTCCTTCGAGGGTCCGCCCACAACAGCAACAGCAGGTCAGTGCCAGCTCAACAGAAGCTCCTTTTTTCGCAACAGTCGAGACGTCAAGCTACACACCAAGCTATTTTCCACCGCTTCGAAAGTCGCCCAAAGCTGTCCCTTGGCTACACCCAATGGCAGAAGTTCAATTGAGGTCGGAGAGAAGACGCGGAAATGGAGAACGGGAGGGCGTGGATAGGTTTCGTGACGGGATGAGAGTCGGGAGGATATGCCTGTTCGTCTCGTTCTCAGCGGCGGTAGCTTTGGGGCATGTTGAAATGTGTTCCTTAACCAACCAGCAGCCACCAGCCACAGCTGTGTTATCAGCCACAGAATGTCAAATGTGGCTGGTGTATTGATTGTTTATAACAACCCACAAATTCTTCAACCTCAACTTTCTCTTCCCTCTTCTTCTTCCACTTCCACTTCCTCTTTCAAAGACTATCACCATCATCACCACCACAAAACATCCACGGCGGCTGCTGGTCAGCAATTGGTATGTAATATCTTCTATACCTCATTCTTCTTTCTTATTCCTGTTCCCATCAATCGATTCTGTTTGTATGATGAAATTACAAGCTGGCACCAGTCTTAGCAGGATTTGTACTCCCATATCTGCTGACTTAGCTTTTTGGGCCTCACTTCGCGGTGAATGGTCTTTATCTGATTAAAACAAAACAAAACAAAACCATATAATTTGCATTGTTACTCTCTCCTTGTCACGATTATATATAGAAAGAAATCCAAAGGTGCCTTTTTGATCAAATCAATAATCGCTGACATTAAAAACTCTTCTTCTATTCAGGATCGATCCCAGTCAAGATTCTCATCATCATTATTATTATTATCTCTTCTGTCTCCTGTCTCTAGTCTTTTAAAACTCAGGAATGAAATCCAATTGAAATGACCATACTTGCATGTCTATCTACTCTCCTCTCATAGAAACAAACAAGAACGTAAAGATGACATCCACAATGTCGATGTCCCTCGACTCCCCCGAAATCATCCTCCCAGGAGACCCCCTCCCCCAACTCTCCCCGCTCCTCTCCCCACCATCCACAGAAACCTCAACATCAACAACGGACACAAAACCCCGTTCCCTCCGTCTGGGCCCCGGCCTGACCCTCTCCCCAACCACCCCATCAACCCCCATCCTCCCCTATCGCTACGGCACTCTAAACCTGACCTCCCACACAAAGCGTCCCACGGCCTCAATCCTCTCCACCCCACGTCACTACCACCCTTCAACCAACGACCCAGTCCTCGTCACCCTCCTGCGTACAACAGCAGAACAATTCATCGTCCAATTGGCGCCGTACACACCACCGGCCATCATCCCCTTCGAGAATTACATCATAAACAACGCGGGGACCACTGCTTCGGCTAGAAAGTCCAGACCGAATTTACCTATCGGAGCAACGATCTATGCTCGTGTGGCGGTGGTACATAAACACCTCGAATCCGTGGAACTATCGGTTCCGGATCCGACTTTTGGAGAAGTAATCTCTCAGAAGAATACTTCTTCCTCGTCTTCTTCAAATCAAAAGAATAAAAAGGAATCATCTACATCCATATCAGCAGGGACGACAACAGGTGCATCCTCCATTGCGAACCGTGCGGAAGTAACGCCATATATCTTATCAACCTCCCAACCGATGACAAAACTTCTATTAGCGGAAGAAACACTAGGAAAACCACTTTTGTCCGCCGTGGCATCAAAAGTTCCATTTGAAATGATCGTTGGTAAGAACGGTCGCGTATGGATCGATGCTACTACCCAAAAGGAAGTGATCCAAGTCGTCCGCTGTTTCAAAGAATTCGATGAAGCAGAGGCATGGAATGATGAAGATGGTGGGTTAGCAAAGGGTAGACAGATCGTTGGGAAGGTCTGTGGGAAGTAAAATTAAAAAAAAGACACTACCCACACACACATACACACACATATATTAAGTACTTAATTTATTTAATGTCTTAGACGTAGCTATCGTCTCTTGAGAAGGACATGTTATAGAAACATCATGTAGCATAGTTATACGGCGTTTTTTCACGAGCGAAATGGGAGGTGTTTTTATCAGGGCGTTCAAAGCAAAAGGTTTCTCTTATCAAAAATACTTTTTTCTTCTCCTTCTTGTCGTCTCAATCAATGGATCATACATATACCATCAATCTCACAACTTCAAATATATAAAACAACCAATCCAATCTACGAGTAACCAAAAACCCGCCGCCTTTAAAGTTACGAAAATCCCCTACGTAAAACCATTCCCTATCATCCAAACCTCCCCTCCCCAAAAAAAAAACAAAATGAGCAAAGAAAGAACCGTATCGATTCCATTATTAAAAAAAAACCCGCGAAAGACTACTATAAAAAATAAAATAAAAAAAAAGATAATAAATCCTTGAAAGGTCTCCAATCCCAAATTATTATTCACATATCCCCCGCCAGAATATACCATGACCTCCTTCCCCCTCCCCCCTCCATTCCAAGTATAGTTATCCCCCCCAAAGTCCCACCATATTGTCCATTCATTTTTTTTCTCTTTTATTCCAAGCCCAGGCAAGAAAATAAAATAAAATAAAATAAAATCGGCAGTCAAAAAAGTTTCAAACCATAAAAGGAAAGGAGAAGAGGAAAGAGGAGTACAAGAGATATAGAAAAAAACAACAAGTGATAGAAACCCTCCCAGGTTAACAAAACAATAAAAAAAAAGAAGAATAAAAAGCAAAACGGGAATACCTCTTCGTTCCAAATCCTCCCTGATACCCAAAACCTGCTCCTCCAACTCCCACAAAATCCCTTCCCTATCCAGAGAATCTCATCCCAGTCTCAGAAGCCACAACGGCGCCAGGCATATCGATAATCAGCGGGACTAGAACAGGGCAGGTAAGAGAAAAGAGCAGTAAGAGCATCAGATCATAAGAAAGAGAAAGCGAAAGAGTAAAACCCAACAAAAAAAAACAAAAAAAAGAGTCTCGAACCAACGAAAAAAAAAAAAGGACAAGAAGAATAAGACAAGATAAATAATAGAGCTTCAAGAGTCCTCCCACCTCTCTAAATCGTCGTCATCTCTCACAACTCGCCTCTCTCCCCTTTTGATGGGATTCCTCAAGAACAAAGAAAAGCCTCCCCAGAAGCCGCCCTAGTTTATATCCCTCTCATCTACCTATACCTTTGCAAAAAAAAAAAAAAAAGACAAAAAAGACAACAGAAACGAAAGCATAAAAACATAAAAAGAATAAGTAAGTGGAGTGGTTTTTCAATCTGTCTTCCCCGATTTACCTTCATCCCCTCAGCCTAACCAAGAAGAAAAGAAGAAATTCCAGACATATAGAGCAGAATAGAAGAGAGCGAGCCCTCAAACCATCAGCCCTATCGCCTAGATCCTCCATCCATCCCAGCTTTAAAAAAAGACGAACAATCTAGTAGAATCGAGAAAAGCATGGCAAGCAGAACATTGCGTGAAAAGGAAACATAGCGAAAGCATTTGAAAATAGTACAGGGCGGTAGAGGACATTATTACAGGATGCCTTCAAAAGAAAAAAGAAAACAAGTCGTTTACATGCTATAGCAACGAAGAACTAGCAAAAACAAGGAAATACCTAAAAGCAAGTCGTCCCTCTCCGAGGATTGGAAAACGACAGTTTGGTTTCGACATGGAAAAAAAAAAAATAAAAGTTCAAAGGAGTAATAAAAGATGTTGAGATCCCTTTTTCGCAAGGTCTCCCTTTATCGTCAATCTTTTTCTTCTCTCCTTCTTCCCTTTTCTCTTCTGAGGAGATCTGTTTATTGAATTTCCTTTTACTTCTACCCTAGGCTCGTCCGACCTGAGAAAGCGGACAAGTAGCGAAAATAGCTAGAGTAGAGATAAAGAGAAAGGAAATCCAGATTTGCGCCCCAGCGTTGCCTGTAGTCGGTTTTTTTTGGTTATTGTCGAAACGATTGATTCAGGAAAATACTAGTCGGAGTAGAGCAGATTAGGTATAATATCGTTGGCGATCCAGCAAGCCCCAGCCAGAAAAGAAAAAAATATCCTTTATGATGCTAGCTGCGAGTGAGAAAGTGAACGTCTGTGGACCAGTCGGATGGCCGCCAAGATAGAAAAGTGTAATCGAGAGTGCCCAGTCTCCAGGCTGAATCGGTCAAAAACTACCGATGGGAAATGTTGTCGGTGCTTGGACAGGCAAAGGGGAAAAAAAGGAAAGAAACAAAAGACAGACGCAGGAAAACTGAATGCTGAAAACAAAAACAAGCAATAAAAGAAACATGCATGAGAACATTAAATCAACAAAAAAAAAGAAATTCGAATTAGGCGGATTCCGGGAGCTCAACGAGGCGCTCAGATAATGCATCTCGAAGTGTGGTTTCCCCTTGATTGAGAAAAGGAAGTTTAGAAAGAAACAGAATTAAATGTCAGCAAGGGAAAGGAGGAATCCAGCAATGATGAACAACCTGCTTTATGGAGGATGTGCGTTGTGATGAGGGTCGTCTAGTCATTCGCATCGTATCCAATCCAGAAAAGAAGTCGAAGGCGGAGTCGTTCTGTCATAGCAAAGATGCTGTATTGGTTTTTTTAAGTCTATTTCATTCAAAAGTCGATTCCTAACCACCTCCCCATGAGAAAGAGAACAAGAGAAAAATTAAATCAAAAGTCGAAAATTCGTTTAGTAACCCCATTGGTCCTGCTTAGCGTTTCGGTAGGCGGGTTGATTGCTGGAGGATCCGTATTGTTGTCCGGTCGAAGTCGGCTGGGCGGATTTGCTAGCGGATCGTAGCCTACAATCTTTCGCGTGAGCGTCTGTGTCGTTTGGAAGGGATTCGGCTTCTCCGTTACCACCTTGCTCCACTGGACGAGCGAACAGGAAAGCACAAGGCGTTCGGCGAAGGTAAGGTCGTCTTACTCACATTCGGTCACTTCCGGTCATACCTCTATCCATAGTTGGATCAACAATTCCGCGCTCAACAACCTTTCGTCTAGTACCACTTACGGCGCCAGGCTTGCTAGAACTACCCATGGTAGGTCCCGTTCCGGGAGTTGGGTTACCCATGGTAGCAGCATTCGTATTCATACGAGGTCGCTTCTCCTCATCCTCTCCGGCAGCTTGCATCTGCTGGTTAGCAGCGAGTTGCTGCGCATTCTTTTGCTGTATATGTTGTTAGCTTCCGTCGTAAAAGATGTTATGGATGATGTTCTACGGAACTTACGTATTTGTAGACAGTCCAGTCAAAAACGTAGTCGTACTGGAATCCCTCACGGACGAAGAGGTCTCGGAAGATCTTGCGGAGATAGCTGTAGTCGGGCTTGTCGTCGAATCGCAAGCTACGGGTGTAGTTGAGATAGATGGCGAACTCGTTGGGGAAACCGCGGCAGAGAACTTCTGTAGGCGTGGTCATCTTCTTCTCCATAATTCTGTCATACTTTTGCTTCTTAGTAGCAGCCTTCAGACCTTGCCAGGGGAGGGAGCCACGGCAGAAGTATAACATGACATAGCCCAAGGATTCCATATCGTCACGGCGAGATTGTTCTAAACCAAGTGTCAGTACCCATAACCTATGATCACGTGAGCCTGGTACATACCGACACCCAAGTGGGTGTTGATGGAGGCATATCGGGCAGTTCCGGTCAAGTTCTTGTTTTCTCTGTATGGGATGTGAAAGTGGGTTTTAGGGTCGCGATACTTCTTAGCCAAGCCAAAATCAATAACATTGACTTGGTTTCCACGCTTCCCAATACCCATCAAGAAGTTGTCTGGCTTGATGTCACGATGGATGAAGCTCTTGGCGTGGATGTACTCAATTCTGGAAATCTAGAGACAGAAGTCAGTAGCTACTTCCGAAGGGGGGGGAAGCAAACATATCAGTGACCATACCAGCTGATCTGCGAGGAGGAGAACAGTCTTGAGGCTGAATTTTCTATTGCAGAAGTTGAAGAGATCTTCCAGGGAAGGTCCAAGCAGATCTAGGACCATGGCATTGTAGTCACATTCTGTACCGAACCAACGAACGAATGGAATACCGACACCACCGGCAAGTGATCTAGAGGGGGGATTGTTAGTACGCGATGTAGATGCAAGTGTGACGTGGTGGTGGCATACTTATAGACGCGAGCCTCATATTCTAGTTGAGGGTGCTTAGCCTTGACACTCTCCAGCTTGATAGCAATTTCTTCGCCACTGATGATATTGGTGCCTATAAGGAGATAACTCGGTCAGCATTCAGGAAACTGCCAAAAAAAACTTCCTACTGATTCGTTTGAAGATGGATCGTACCCAGGTAGATGTCACCAAAACTGCCGCTACCGATCTTTCGACCGATTCTGTATTTGTTTCCGACCCTCAGGTCCTAGAGGAGGTGGCCATGTTAGCATGATTCTAGGAGGATAGACCTGACTGAGTGAGTGAGAGGGAGGAAGCACCACCGTAGAAGGCTTCTCCCGTCCCAGAAGGGAGGTGGAAGGGAGTGATTGTAGGAGAAATGACATGTAGGACTTACTGGAGGGGCCGCTGGGGCAACATTTGGGTTGGACATTTGATGGGATCCTTTCGAGGAATAAACCGAAAGGAATGATCTGTCTAAATTGGAATTAAGAGGGCAGTTTCCTAATACCGAATCAAATATTCGCTATACCCTCTCTCACTCTCTCCTCCGAGTTCCGTGGTTTGAGTTTGACGAAGAAAGGTTGATGAGAGAGATAAAACGCGTTGGATGGTGTTTGTGGTTGAGAATAGCGAGCCGAAGGGGGGAGGATTTCGGATCTGTCCTTTCTATAGAGAAAAAACCGAGGCTGATCAGGAACAATCTTCTTTAAGAGTGAACAAACAGAAAACGTGAGGGATAAAATAAATAAATAGGATAGGTAGAGCAGAACACAAGAACCACACAAAACGAGTAGCAAGCCAAGAGGGTATCCTTAAGAAGGACAACCGATGAAGGCAAGTATACGTCGAGAGAGTGTAGGAACGTGTGGCCAGGAATGTTGATGCTGTTGATAGGTATTGTGGATGCAAGTACCAACCTGAGAGTCCTGTTGGTGGAGGTACCTCGGAAGGTGCAGTGTTAGTCACAGACTACCAAGTACAACTCTATATTTGGGTGCAGCAAGCAAAAAGAGAGAAAAGGAAAGCAGAGAGAGGGAGAGGGAGGGAAAGAAAGGCTGAAATTCCGATCGGAAGAGAGAAGCCGACGATGTTCAAAGAAGACAGGCAGCAGCAGGAAGATGATAGGAGAGAGAAGGAAGCAGATGATGATGGAATGGAACATACCTGAGATGGACTGTGATGACGAGAACGACGATGGGGTTTGGTGAAGGTTGAAGAGTGTGTGGTTGTTGAAGTCGAGACGAAGGAGGAGGTTGTGGGAGAATTAATTAAGGATGGGCAAGATTATTATTATTATTTGCTTGTTAGTAGCTTAACTTAACTGGACGGCGGCGGCGGACTGTTGTGAAGTGAACTGTGCTCTGCTCTGCTGTGCTGTGCTGCCAGTCAGTCGGTTGGGCTGGGCTGGGCTGGGTTGGCTGGGTTGGCTGGGCTGGGTTGGCTAACTGGCCGGCTGGATTGGATTGGACTGGGCTGGCTGGCTGGCTGGCTGCTGACTGGGTTCACTTAAACACCACACAATGCAAGATCACAACTAACTACCTACAAAGTACCTAACCTCCACGACAAAATAATAAAAGAAAAGAAGAACAAGAAGCAGAAGCAGGGAAAAGGGTGAGTGAGACCAATCAAAAAGGAAGTGCAATTAAGGTTGAATCAATCTCCTCCCCTCTTGTTAAATGAGGCTGGGGTATACACCTACATACTGACATACATACATACAGAGTACCTACTTACATATGCATCTGCCATCCACCCATCCGTCCCCTCTGTTCTATTCCTGTAACTGACCCGTCTAGGTATACACACATGTACATGTACATGTACCTCTTTGCCTCACATCATGTCTACCGTATCTATCTTTCTCTACATCCAGAGATCACGTTCCGTTCCGTTCCTGCCTGCTACCTGAGGGAAAGGCCCCGAGGCAAATCAATTGCGGACTCAAATGACGGCCAAAAAAAATCATGCCTAAACCGTCACACTACCCGCTCGCTCTCACGCCCGCTCAGCGAAGGACCATTCAATTATGGCATGCTGCTAGCATAGCATAGCATAACATAACACAATCCGGTGGGACATACGGAGTAACCAAGTCCCAGGAAGAGTAAGTATCATTTTGCTTATTCCGTCGAGCTCAGGGAAGTCCCAAGCAAGTCAAGGACAAGAGGGGCCAGCAGATTTCCAAGAAATCAAAACGCTGCAGCCTTTTTGAAACCATCGGTGGCTGAACCACTGAACTGGGTAGCTGATGTCTAGCTCTGGACAACTGATCCCAGGCAGAAGTCCCCCTTCTACATATAATCATCATCATCATGATCATACTCATTTATCCCCATTATTATTAAATGTGGATTGCAGAGCAAAACGGAGAATCGGTCTCCTTCTTCCTTTTCGAAAATGATCGGAATACCACCATCCCCATCGACTCCTGATATTCATACCATTTGTTCTCATTCAATCAAAAATTTACCCAACAGACATATAAAAATACTCAAATCCCTCTTTCTCCACTTCTCCCAATCCTGTCACAACTTGCCTTCTTGAGCTTAAATACCTTCCCGGCAAGTTTGTCCATGTCTTTTTTTTTTTTTTTTTTTTTTTTTCCTCACCTCACCACAAAACCGTATAATAGTTTACCACTAATCCTTCACAAAATATACTAAAACAAGAGGAGCCCAGTTTCATTTGCACTTTTCTTCCCTCCCCGAGCAGGAAGACTATCCCATGTTGATGCTTAGCCGAACGCCGAACAGTCCTATCGACCCCAATCCCTTTTAGCCATGAGATGAGGAGTAACGCAGCTGACCACAAGGGTCCTGCAGATGTGTTCCATCACGAAAGCCCATCTACTGACCCCGACCATACTCCATACATACTACTATTTTGTTGTACGTATGTATGTATGTAAGCGTGTGTGTGTTCCTTTACCGGCTTACGCCGTGAATTTTGGATATCTTGTGATCAATGACCGTATCCATCAGATGCCTTTCTATATCTTCCCTAAGACAGTTCCCATCCATCCGTCCTAGCCTTGAAGCGTTTCCCTTCTTGTCTTATTTTTATATATTTTTTTCGAATAACGATATACCTAATATCACGACAGAAAAGAAGATACAAGGGTAGATGCCAGTCCCCAATTTCAATACCCGCGGATATCAAAAATAAGACAAACTCACATTCATTCATGCAAGTCCATCCCTCAAGCTTTAAAAAAAAAAAAAAAAAAAAAAAAAAATAGGGAAAACCCCCGCAAAAGAAAAATTCAAGGGGATTCGAACCCTGTGAGCTAAACCTACGGAAACATACAGCATCTCTAAACCGGTTGAGGCTTTCACTTTTAATTGACGTGATGAGGAGAAATAAGTATCAATTGCAACGCAATAAACGCCACACCAGACACAATTGCACAATTGCACAAAACCACACGTGCACACAGCTTATAACCTTTTTACACACCAGCAGTATTTCCATATACTTGAAATAAAGCCGGTACGGGTACATCATCTTCAACAGAATCTACCCAGGCAAAAAGTGTCAAACAACATCACGAACTACTCATACGTTGTTCTTCATTAATTATGAGGGATTGGACGATCATGCGGATTCGAATTGCATTAGTTCTTGGATTTCCCGGGACGACCCCACTTCCTTGAAATTCACAAAAATATCATGAAACATCCCACGCGGCTACTGGAAAAACGCACAGAACTTCTAGCCTTTCCTTCCAAACACTCCAGTGGGCAGTCAAAGCTGACAAAAACGAAGCTGGAATAACCGTACCCCCTCATCTAGCATCTCGCAATTGCTAAACCTGATCCAGCTGTCAGGCCCTGATTGGGCAGAACACACGATCCACCCCCCCAAAAAAAATACATACTTCTAGATATACAATTGGAGAAATCGTTTGCGTGGTCGAGTTCCCCCCAACTGTCTATATGTATGTGAATATGTGAATATGTATGTGCGGAATTATTCCGTAGACGCATAGACCACTAGCACTCGGGGGATGCATCTAGACAAACCAGATGAAATCGACGAACGTTGCATCGACACGTATAATGCATCCCGTATACACATTGAACCAACCCTTCCAGAATTTCTTTTTAAAGAAAAGAATCATGATAGAACAAACCCACGCCCCCCTAGTTCCCTGCCGGTCTTCCCCCAAAAGCAGAATCCTCCCGGCCCGCTGTTTGTGCCACGACTTTGCCTTCAAGATCTTACCTTACCTTACGTCTACTTCCTCTTAGCTTTTTTTCTTCTTGCCAACAACCCTAAATAATGTCAAGAAGGGAAAAAAATGCGGGCGGGGGAAAAACAAGGCCAATTAATTATGAAAAAGAAACAAAAAAAAGTAAAAGCCTCGGTTATACTGCCGGGTGGTGTGGCCAATTACGAAGGATTCGAGACTTTAGTTGCAATTGACGAACACCTATGCCTTACGTGCCTAGTTTTACTTTTAGAAGGCAAAATAGGAATAACAATTCGCAAGCGTTCGTTTTGTTTTTGCCCGAAGAAAAGAAGAACCCAAGAAAAAAAAATGGTAGCCTGGAAATCAATTCCCGTAAAAGTGTCCTACAAAACCGGAGAGACATCGGGCTCCGGATCCATTTTCTGCGGCATGGGTTCGAATATGTAACCAATGATAACTATGCGGCCACAACAACAACAACAAACGGAAAAAAAGGGTTGGGTTCTGATTAGCTGATACTAACATGTACATCGATATGATATGATATGATATGATTATCCCAGACTACATACATACATACATACCGGAGAAGTAACAAATTTGGTCCACTCCGTACTTTTTATTTCGTGGGGATCGTACACAGTAATTACAATTGATTGGAATTCAGCCCCGTTGGCAAATTTGATGCACGACAGACAACCCGGCCGGCCAGCTGTGGGCGTCAGAACAACGCAATATGCACATATTGCAGGATGGGGTCCGACGACCCCGGCCGTACGAGGCTAGACGGGTCATGTATCTACTAGGAAGTACATATGTAGGTCGAAGGGGGTTTCTCAGGATCGAGAGATATGCGACTGATATGATTTCGCGTCATCGCTACTAGCGGAGAAATTGAATGAATGAATGATTTGTGCGGGGGAGCGTTTCGCGTTCAGATCATGTTGAATCCCAGCATGGTAAGGTACATACATGTTGGTTGTACCAAAGTACAGTACATACTTATTTATATCCATCTCATTCGTATGTAACAAGTAGGTATGTAGTACCGGTATTCGAGTAACCATGAGTCGAAAGAATATGTCACAGATTTTCGAAATGTTGGGGTTACCCACAAGACGTGTTATCATCGCTCGGATAGGTTCCGATCGTTGATATCATCAATATTACTAGGATACTAGCCTAGAACCTTCAATTGAAGTCCTCAACCATCAGATTATATTCGAATCCCAAGTATGTATCCGCAAGTACCTCCATTCCATAACTCCATGACCTCCATCCGATCCATTACTTCCGCCGTATCATGATCATGATCATCCTTATCAATTGATCTTAATTCCAATATCTTAATTACCAATCAATCCCCAAAAAACTCCGTACCTGTGCCTTGCTTGTACGTACCCACAATTAAATTCACTACTACGTTGAACATCCTATCTTAATCTAACATATCCGTGCGACGCTGGCACGCCTTAACTCCACGAGACATCTAATTAATATTAATTATTAACATGTTATTTCCTAAAATCTAGGAACCGAACTAGATCAGGCCAGGCCAAGACGCGTCGAGCTCGTTGATTCGTCCAATCAGCATCACTTCTGTCAGATCTCCGTCATGACTGCATCGAAGAGAGCGCTCGAGCTCCCGAGTACGCTATGTATGCGAGTGTGTAAGTAAGTACATTTACTTGTTTGTATTGTATTGTATTGTACGTGTGCGAAACAATAGAGCTCATGTGCATGTCAAACGCTTCGAACTTCCTCGTCGGATATATATTTTCTACATGTTTGCTTGCTAACTGATATTTGCACCGCCATCATCTGAAATTACGCCACTACCCAGTTAACCCTCGAGCCTCCAGCTATCCTGTGGCTATAACATTTCTAACTAAGCGGTTAGCTAATGAGAGTGTTAACATGACCCCCCGGCAAACTTGTATCAAAAAACTTTGGAATCATCCGAACCCTCTATCCGAAAGGGACCCATATATGTATTATGGGGCACACGGAATGTGCAATGCTATATTACTTGCCCAATTAATCTAACCATGGGTCCGTCGTTTCAAACGGAAAAAAAAGCTTGTGCTTTTCTTTCTTTCTTTCCGTTCCTCATAGGAGTACTGTCCAGTTGACTTAACCCGATGGCCTGGTCTCGTAATAATTGGAAGGAATTAAGACTTTTGCCGGGATTCATATCATATCATATCATATCGAAAGAAAGAAAAACAGAATTAAGGGTCCGGTTCTCGGTTCAAATGGCCTTCAGATGCATTACTTATTTTGTGTCTGTAGAGGGTATCTGTCGGCTTCAATCACCATCCAATACTAAACTACCTAAATATCAACCTACTTTTCTAGAACCCAAATTTGAAGTCTCTGCAAAGCTCATATGACCTCCTCGAAGGACCTAAGGAAGTAGCTAAGGAATAAGCTTCCACCACCACCAACAATCTCCGACCCTCTCGCCTCCACAAAAGAATCCCAAAGAAAAACGCTCTGACCACTCCCCCACCTCTATCAAGCCTAGTGCACCCCGGCTAATCCACCACCCATGTTCGCAACAAGGGTCTATAGAACATTCCACAGACCTTCTAGCCATACACCACCCAAACGGTTAAATGTCGATGGACGCACTCCGTATCCAATGCAATGAAAAGAAAGGGAAAAAAAAGATCCACAACAGAAGAAGGTCATGCTCCGGTTTTTTTTATTTTTTTACTTTCTTTCTCTGGCCACAGTACTCCATATACGCCGTTCATCCATGGGGTGCTTTGTAAAATGGTTTAGCGTCTCGTATCGATAATGGCTATAGATCAACCGGGGTTTCTTTGTAACCATGTTATGGGTTTATGGCGAGCGAGGAGGCATATAGTACAGTACTAAGGGCTTGGAGAGGACCTATGGGAAGCTAGGTTAAATAATCACCGTAGCCCGCAAGTGCGCGAAAGTCGGGAGTTCACTTTTTTTCTCTCTTCTACTTCTTCCTCCCTCTCCTCCTCCTCCTTCTACTTCTCGTGCGGCGGCGATTCTATTCTATTCTATTCCTTCTGTTCTTCGTTTCGTAGAGATACATCCTTGCTAGATATATCCACCGCGCACACAGTTGCGCAAGAAAAGCATTCAAGATGTCACTATCAAGCATGTCAATGCTCATGCCCTCAGTCGGTATCTGGGAATACTTCGACTTTGCGCGCGTAGGAATGATAAAAACCACACAAGCCATAGACTGTAAGTCCCCATCCCCAAGTCCCCTTTCTACTCCATTTTTCTTTATATTTTCCAAACTTCTAACCTTCAATTAATAAATCATAGCCGCAATCAACAGCATGAAAATCTTCCAATCCCACAATCCAGAACTAGTAGCCACAACCACATCCCCCCACTTCTTCGGCGTCGCAATAGCACTAGTCTCCTGCCTCCTCGTCGCCCCAATCCCAGAGGCGCGAACAATCGAAGTCCTCTTCGGTTACGCAATCCTCAATTTCGTCTACCTAGGTTCCTTCCTAATGACCCAATCCGAACTCCCAGTAATCATAGAATATTGGCTCCTCCCAAACCTAACTTACCTAGCAACATGTGTAATCCTCACTTTGATCCGTCGAGTATTCATCTCCCCGCTTCGTAATTTCCCCGGTCCTGCTTCTGCTTCTATTTCGAACCATTGGATGGCTAAGGAACTCGGCGCGGGGACGTTTTCGAAGACGGTGAGGGATTTGCATAGACGGTATGGTGCTGCTGTTGTTAGGACGGGACCTAATGAGGTTAGTGTGAATGATGCGGAGGCTATTGTGAAGATTTATAGTGGGAAGTATCAAAGGGGGAGTTTTTATGAGGGTGGGAAGTTGAGAGGTCAGGCTGCTATTCGGGAGACGAGGAGTCAGTATCATCATACCATTTGGAGAAGGATTTGGTAAGTCTTTTTTTATATATATAATTATATATCCTCCTTCAATTGATGGTTATAGAATATAATGAGATGGATTTCTAACGATGGAAAACTGGGAATATAGGGATAAGGCATTCACACCTGGTGAACTTAAGCACTACGCAGCACAGACCGAGAATGCGACTTCGAAGCTCGTAAATAGCTTGAAGAAGAAGAGTGGTGAGGAAGTAGACTGCACAAAGGCTATGGATGAATTCGCACTTGACTTGTAAGTCCCCCTACCCCCTATTATATACACCAAACTATTCAAAAACGAATTGTATACTGACATACATTAAAAACAGGGCCGCTCAACTAACCTACGGCGAAGACGCCGGCATCCAAGACGGCACCGGCATCGAAACCCATCTCGAATCCATCAAAAAGTATCTTTCCTGGCTCGGTGTAAGCATCCCCCATACCCCCATCTATAAAATCCCAAATCTAACATTTCATACAAAAGTACTACGCCACCCTCCGCAACATCTCCGAACTCCTCTCCTACACCCGCGACCCCGCAGTCCTAACAACCTACTGTTCAAACTCCGAATCCCTCCTCATAAACCGCCAACGTAACCACCCCGACTCCCACGACATAACCTCCCACCTCCTCCTCGAAGACGAAGAATCCCGTCGTAAATTCCAAGTGCCCCTCCAACTCGCCGCAAACACCAACCTCTCACTCCTAATGGGCACAGCCGTCGGCACAACCCTCTCCCAAACCTTCAAAACCCTCTCCAAGAACAAAAAAATCCAAGAAAAACTCCACAAAGAACTAGAATCACATATCAAAAAGGGCGGTGACCTTTCCACCGAAAGTATCAAACCACTTCCTTACCTATCCGCTATAATTACCGAATCCCTTCGTCTTCATAATCCATTCACTACTGGTGTTCACGCTGCTATCGGTGAAGATGGTTTGGATATGGGTTCATACCGTCTCCCACCTCATACACAAGTCTACGTCCCAACTCTAACCCTCATGACCGATGAAAAATACTTTGAAAACGCAGAAGAGTATATTCCAGAACGTTGGACGGAAAAGGAAGAGATGGTTAAGGATAAGAGGGCTTATGTACCATTCGGATATGGGATTCATGCGTGTGCGGGTAAACAGTTGGCGATTAATGAGTTGAAATTAGTTGTTGCCAGAGTTGTGGCTGGATTTGAGATTGAAGGTGAAGATGATGAGGAGGTTGAGTGGAAGGATTATGGAATGGTCAGGGTTGGGGAGTGGAAGGGGAGGTTTAAGAGTCGTAAGTGATTTGGGCTCTTTTTTTTTTTTAATATAATAACTTTGTATATGTTGAGGAGTTCTTTTTGTATTAAATATTTGAGGTAATGTTATGAAGTGGCTGAGGTTGGTTAATATTGGTCACGATGTATATAGTTTCGTAATTACACAGATTTTATCTTACTATATCTCATATCTACATAAGTTTCATATGATTTAAATACTTAAGCAGTGATTGGTCGGGTAATGGTACAAACTCTGCAAGAAGTCAGTGGGTTGCTGTATAATATAATGTATACAATAAATGTGTATGTTCAAAAGAAAGATTCCGCGGTGCATAATATTCACGTCCCGTAGCTATAGCTGATAGTTTCATTCGAATATAATTCTAATGCGTATTAAGGGCTAAAATACCATGCAGTTTATAATATTTTAGTAGTAGTATACTACGATTAATCGTATTGATACCGTAGTCCTGCTGAAATAATAACACCCCATCTGTCAGTACAGTTATCATTACTTGACTACCGAGTAATGCAACTTACACCAAAGTAATATCAGTATCAAGACAAGTCAATGCTAGTACTAAACATTCATCTCCCAATACTATCTTGTCTCGTAAACCAGACCCGGGAACCCACCTTCGATACTATCAATCATTTATCAATCTTGAAGCATCGTATAATTAAAACACAATTGATAAATCACTAATCTACTCATTCTCAAAATCAATTTGATCGTAATAATATTGTCTTTGCTGGTATTATTCTCCTAATTTAGAGTACATTAAAACTAAATACTCGCAACTAAAAAAAAAAAAAACGCCAATGGAAACTATTATTCAAGTTCCATCCCCTCAAACAAGTAAAATTTTCAAAATCGTTAAATCGTTCCCATAGAAGAGGATCCATAAAACCATTCTGTCAGTCCGACCGGTTAACTAACTAACTTAATAGTTACCATACTTAGGTCCAGACCCAACAGTCTTGCTCCCATCCAAATCGCTATCAACTCTAGGATCCAACTTATTCGCCATATCGCTCTTATGCGGTCCAGCAGTAGTCTTATCAGTATACCCACTAGAACCAGTCATTCCCGTACCAGTGGTAGTAGATCCACCATAAGTATTTCCAGTTCCAGCAGTATATGATCCATCGCGATCACTATCAACTCTTGGATCCACCTTATTCGCAACATTGGAATTATGTGGTCCAGCGTTCGTGGATCCGCTATATCCAGTTCCCATACCACCGGTACGGGTGGTAGAGCCGGTGGTGGAGTCGACGAATGGATCGGCTCTGTTAGCCATACCGGAGGAATGTGGGCCGTGACCACCGGTGCTGGTACCGTAGGTACCGGTGCCAGTTGTGCCGGTCATGCCGGTCATGCCGTGAGTACCGTGGGTACCGGTCATACCATGAGTACCGTGGGTTCCTGTGGTGGTTGAGGAACCGTAGGTGGTTCCTGAGCCTAGAGTGGAGGAACCATCGCGGTCACTGTCGACGCGGGGGTCGACTTTGTTGGCGGTGTTGGTATTGTGGGGGCCGGCGTTTGTGCTACCGCTGGTGCCGTAGTAGTTTGGATTGGTTGAGGAGGAGGTGGTGGTACCAGTGGTAGAGGAAGTATGAGAGTCGTCTTTGTGGCCAGTGATGGCATCCTTAACTTTGTGGACAATGTTCGACATTTTGTATATATGTTTTTCTTTAAGAAAGAATTTGTAATTGTTTGGTTATTTGTTTGTAAAAGTAGATTGATTGTTATTTGTTTATCTTGAAGATATTGTAGATGATGATAATAAAAAGAAGATCTGGAATTTAGGTTGCATCTCGAGGTCTTTATATAGACGAAATCGACTTTGAATCCTGACTCCTGATGATGCATATCAACCGTTACACTTGGTCAACCCCCCTTCAGCGCATGCGGGCAATAGACGTAATCTTTCGAAGCCATTCGAAGGTCCATCGACGAATGTTGACATCTTCGTGATGTCATCCCGTACCCCCAAGACCGTTCTCAAAACCCACGCTTGCAAAACCAAAAAGGTTTACAAGTCTAGTCTAGCCTAGCCTGACATCCAGAAAAGAAGGTTAATCCCCCTAGATTAAGCAACCGCGTTCGTTAGTTCTTAATTCGTTTTTCCAAGAAAATCTGTCAGGTACATACGTCTAATTAATTTGCCAACAATTGTCATTCGCAATTAAGGACTAGTTAGTAAACACTCTAGGTCAAAAAAAAACTAGCCTAGTAAAAAAAAAAGCTGGTAATACTGACGCAAAAGTCGTCGTCACAAGATACACAACCGAAAGAAGTCCAATTTCCTTTTCCTTTTTGTGATGTATGTGTATGCTTTATTAGCCACCGCCTCGGGAGGATTATCCGAATGGTTCGACTAGGCAAGAGGCGGGAGTGGGGTTGTAGATCTATGGGGAAGTTCTGACAGGGTTGGGAAGATTAATACATCATGGCCAGCCTCACAACGTCATATGTGTTGGGTATTTCCGTCATCCGGCCGGTGTGCGAAAAGGCTGGTAGACTTAGCCGGAACCAGATGTCCCAAGCATTTTTACAAGTCGAGGAAGCTTAAGCGTAAATCTGATACTTAGCTTTTGGCTAAGATTCGATTGGAGAGGGGTAATTTGGTTAATTGCTTGAGAGTGTTCTTGCCATTCGGGTATGCATATGATATCCATTGGCTGTGATCTTGATCTCGACTTCTTCTTCCCAACACATGTTAGTTGAGTCTGGCCTAGCGGAAACAGGATTCGATTCTATGTTTCCTGACGTACGAAGTAACACGAGATCTAGATCGATTAGGCAAGTAATTGGTAGCCAGTGTTATAGCCAGAGATCCATGGTTCTGGTCAATTGACCACGTTAATCGGGAGGCTGTTGATCCGATTGACTTGGAAGAAATGTGGCGGTGTGGTATATACGCGTATACGACTGCATTGATATCTTAAATTCCCGCGTCAATGAATTTAATTCCTGTTCAATTGAAGGTAACCTTGACATAGTTTCAATCAATTGGATTTTAGTTGCAATTGTATTGAATACTAGTCCGGAGATTTAATATTGTAGCGTTGATATCCTACCAGCTCTACGCCGATTACGGTCATACCAATCAACATTGCATTGTGACTAGTTTCGTCTGGAAATACCTGACCGGTAAGCTATGCTGAGCTAAGCTTTGTCTCGTCACCAGACTCCTCAGCTGTATCTTGGCTATTATAAACTGGGCTAAGTTAAAGATACTATACTATCAATACTCTGATTCCAAGGCAGAGCTGAGGTGACTAACTGTGATTTAGTCTCTGACAGGTACCTATCAAAACCCCAAGTGCGCTGTATTTTCATGGATTCAAGTCTTGAATTATAATTAATTAAGGCTCTCTACTAATAGCCTCGAATCCATATCCGGGATACTATACTAGTACTATTGTAGCCCTGGAGAGGTAATATGCACTACATGCACATCCCACCTATAAGCCTATCGATATCGTCGTCCAACTCTTAGATTTGCACTTGCAATCTTAAGTCTTCTTTTTAACAGTAAGGAAATTTAAACCTGCAAGGAAATCTGCAGAAATGCAATCAAGTTATATAAATTAAACTTAGCTAGCTCATAAATCCAGATATGCATTTATATGTGACTAATAATGCCTAATCTTTTTGTACGCAAAGAAGTTAACGTTAACAGCTACAATCTTCGGGGTGGTAATAGAAACGTATGGGATGTTTTAATCTAATATATATAAGTACTTAAGTAACTACCTAGGTAAGTACTTAGATCTAAGATGGCACCGTATCAGAACGTTAAACCATGGAGAACATAATACTATAATATACGGAACTCTTCCCATCCCCATTTCTATGTGTCTTTTCGAACTAACTACTCATTAAAAGTCGAAGGCACTTTTCCATGAGCAAAAAATGGTCACCCCGGAGTCGATAGGGTTGAGCAGTTCGGAGCCGACTTGGCTGCAATGTTCGCCTCGAGTCCCGATTACCGGGTTTAATATTAAATGATGCCCCAGTCACCTGGGTAGTTGTATTGGAAGATATATCGGGTGAGGGCACATTGAGTATTCGGATAAAGACAGGTATTGTATTCCCCTCATTCTCGTAACCATCCTTTCAATGGGAAAGTTTCCATACCGAGAATAACGGATTTACGAGATACGAATCGCGAGAAGAAACCCACAGACCAGAGACAAGGCTTGGGATTAACTCGGCCCAGCCGATTGCGATCTAGACGGGATCCCTATAACTATAGCAGAGTCCGTAATAAAGGCTGATCATGAGGTTATAATATATCCGATATCCAATCATTTACGTAAAGCCATAATCTAATATAAAAAAACCCTGAACATTAATTAATCCTCAAGCATTCATCGCGTTTGCCACATTATAAATTATCCAAGAGACGCCACAATCAGGTTGCATAACCAGGAATACCATGTACGTCTCTTCAAAAAACAAAACCCGGCGGCCGGTGCTCATCTTCGATCACTCGAGTGGTTTTTCTCGAGGGGTTTTCCTTGTACAGCTATAATTACTGGCAGATGACCTTGCATCTCGTATTGCACTGCAGTAACCGGTCAACGGCGTCGAACTCGGAGGGCAAGAAGTGCCGTCTGCGAATTATATTAAGTGAAAGGTACGTATGTATGTCCGAAGGGCTAAGCTAAGTTGCATTACAATCGCACTGACCATATACCTAGGTATATATATATATATATATATACTTAATTATATTAATGAATTCTGAAATATTATAATAACCAGCCCGGCGAAATAGCTGCCTAAGGCTGTGCGCGCCCGCTGCCGCGTACATATCTACGCCTCTTTCCTTTTTTTGTTTTGTTTTTGTTTCCATGTCTGATATTATAACCCTGAGGATCATGAGATTCTGTCGTGAATACTCGATCCGCATGAGGTCGAACTGGAGTGCGAATGTCGTGTTTTTTTTTAATTAATTAACATATATGTCTCAATTTGACACTTTGAGAAAATCTGATACAGCCTGGGCCTCGCCACTTTGGGAGCAAAAAAAAGCTTTGACACCTGACAAGATAGATTAATATATAAGTATACTATTGATATTATTAACTGTGTACCGGAAATTCGCTGTTACATGTACCCTCGTATGCTTATATTAATTTAAGTAAGTATGGATATAGATGTTTAGTTTCTGACTCGCTCCAGGTCGGATCCAAGTTCGTTCGGCTTTGACAACGACGGGACAAGCATGCGCGTGCGTATGTCGTCTCCGTAACGTTCCCGACGGTTGTTATATTGCAATATAGGTATTATAGCTGAGTAATTCATTATCCCCGTACAGTTGGAGTATAATCAACAGCGAAATATCGGATGAACAAGATCTTAGGCATCAAAAAAAATAAAATAAAAATAAAAGAATTTAGATTAATATATTATAATGTGACTGGAAAACATGGAACAGCCCTTTGTTTTCCCCACCTGTGGCGCTATACATACTAAGTAAGTATGTGTACGATTCGGTGGGAAAGGTCTTCTGAGGTGCATTTGGAGCAGTTCTGATACGCCTCAACAGGAACTCGAATATATGAGGCAACCCACCCCCCCGGATCAGTAGATTAAAGCTAAGGCTAAGAAAGAAAGAAAAAAGAGGCTAAACGTTCCAGAAAATGATTTCGGAACAAATAAAAGAGCCCGATAAGTTGGGCTCTAAAAATATATGTATGTACGTACCTATAATTTATTTTATTCAGAGGGAGGGGAGGGGAAGGGACCCATATGAATATAAGCTTAATACGACTGCAGATTTAATATTCGGGGGGTCTGCTTCTGCCTAGGAATAATGCTGCGGACTCTTTCTCTTTCTCTCGCCCTTTGCGAGTTTTGGTTTGACAAGCGAGGAAAGAACCCGGTGGAGGGCGTCTCGTCTAAGTTGCGGGGTTTTGAAGGTTTTTTTTTTTTTGGTCTGACTGACTGAGCTGAAGCTTTTTCTTGTGTGTGTGACAAGCTATTTGAAAGGTCAAGCACGTTTTTTTTGGTCCATTCTATTTGATACATCTGGATGCAAGAGCAGGAGACGAAAAGTATTGAACTTTCTTTCGGATATTGAGATTAGCTTATCTCTCGTAATATAGGTAATATATGTGTACGTATTTTTAAACTTAGCTTGGACCGTTGGATCTTAGATTGATTAAGAAAAATAAAATAAAAAAAAGTATATCTCGGGATGTAAATGGTGATACATCCACTCTTCGAGCTTGCAAGCTTGGCTTGAAAAGACGCCACCACCATCATGCATGAGCTACTTGTATGTAGGTAGTTGCGTGGCCGCCCGTTCTATACCGATTGGCAAATGTGTACGCACTGTGTAGCTTCATCGTGCAGATCGAGCTCGGATTACTGAACGAAACTTGGGCCTAAACTGGTATCAAGCGGAATGGTCCAGGCCGTTTTCGGCTTGGTATTCCGACACGGGGGGTCATGAAAATTGCGAGCGAAGCAGAGGTAGATATATTGGATATCGATGCCTGTTAGTTATCTTTGATCGGGCTGAAGTCAAACAGGAACTATCAGGACAGCTCGCGTGGCTGTGAAGCGTGAAATTTGTCAAAGAATCAGGAAGTACCTGGTATAAACTATAATAAGTTAATGTCGGGATGACAATGAGATTTTATATAAAGTACTTACTTAAGTCTAACGGACGCCGTTGCTAGTTTCTGAGAGACATATTATTCAGAATCAGCCTCCATCCAGGTAGCGGGCTTACATACTTCATACGGAGTAAGTACATACTTACTTACATACATCTCCAATATCCAACTGCCGCCCCCGCCAGCCTCCGCCCTTACTTCAGCATTGCATTTCATGAGAGACTTCATAAAGAATAAGAATAAGAACAACAAGAAGAAAAACAGGCGTCTACCACGGGTTGTTCCGGGAGAGTGACAGGGAAGTGGTCCTGAAACGAAACCATCACACCCAAGTTTTGGGGAAAGGGAAGGGGACGGCATCGTTACCCCTGGTCTGTGGTCTTGAAACTCCACATTTCTGGCCTCTCGACATTAACACTCTCTGCTAAGTCTTACATAGTACGCCTTGCCTTGCAAATGCAAGCAACTTGGGGAAGGAATTGATTGAATTCTGTCGTCCGTACGTCCCGGACGAAAGAAACAAAGCACGGGATTTCCTTTCCCCGCTTACAAATATTTTCTCTAAATAAGCCTGCGGTTTTCCTGCAAGTTGAGATTCGAAGTCAAAGAAAAGTAAGTAAGTACATACATAGCAGCTTCCTTTTCGTCTGGTCTCTTCGACACTGCATTTGCATTATATTATTATCGTCATCGTCATCAGCATCATCATCATCACCGTCGGAGGAGGGAATCGAATCCGAATATATAATAAAGTATATTATACTATCGGTCGACTGAAGCAGTTAGTCTACTCTCGCGGCCAGACTCCTTGCAGGAAAGAAAAAATCTCGACATCAAAAAAGACTTAAGCTTCAAGAATCCAAGCATTCCATTCCCATTTCAGTTCCTCTCTGGCCACACCACCCCCCCTCTCTTCCTTCCTTTCTTCCCGTTCGTATCTGCAATCCACCTAATTCGATTCGAAAGATTCATCCATCCATTCATCATTCATTTATTCATCTGAAAGCGAACTGAACTTAACTTAACTTAACTTAAGTTATCCGTCTGTACTGGCTCGAACCCTCCTTTAGCGCAGCGTTGTCCAACTAAAGCCTTCGCTTCTTCTCCACTTCTCTGCTTACAACTCAATTATTCATCGACATCTGCACCCGAAAAGAGTAAACCCATCTGCATTTCTCACCATTTCACGGTCCTTTATCAGTCCACCACCGGCTTCGGTTGCATTTTGCAGGTGTGACAAAGCCTTACCAAAGCTCCCGGCGTAGGGATTCGATATCAGTAATGGATTATTCGACCTATTACCAACCACAGCAGCCCTACGTTGTTTTCCAGCAACCGCCGGCTGCCGCACCTTCGTCGACCCAGTCGTCTGGCATTTCTGCTTCGGAGGAAAGCTTCCGGAACGCCTCCCCTAATAATGTAAGCCCTAATTTAATTATAATTTCTTCCTGGTCCAGTTCTCAAACTCTCATTCGAAGAATGAATTAAGATCGGATCCGTAAAGGAAAAGAAAAAAGCTTTCCAAGCATCTTATCAAGCATCTCGTTAGCACACTTCTCTCTGTTGTACCAAAGAAAAAAAACACGATCTCTCTTTCCCACCTTTGCCTCAGATCTCGTGGTGATCCCTGGCAATCGCATCCACTTTAGCTAGATTTCACTTGCTGACTGACGTCTTACTACCCCCCGTCTACCCTGGGGGATTTACCGAGACGTGATGTTCCAGAATTACGGTACAAATTACGATGCATTTGCGGCGTTCGATAGGGAGATATTGGCTGCACAAGGGTCACAGGTTTACGGCCAGAATGGGAGTACAGAGGACGTCCCGGGTTTAAACCGGAGCAGCAGTGAAGAAAAGGAGCTGACTCCGCAACAGTCGGTATGTCTTGATCTCCATCTTCTTCTTCTTCTACTTCTTTCTTTTTGCTATTATCAAAAATATTGGTGTTTGTTACAATATGGTGCTGACTGTTGCTGTTGTAAAGAAGCGGAAAGCTCAGAACCGGGCGGCGTAAGTTTCCCTTCCCCAATAGATACGCTTATTTATATATTCCATCTAGTTGTAATCTTAGTCCCACTAACCTTGTCGTGTTTAACCTATCTAGTCAACGTGCCTTCCGAGAGCGTAAAGAACGTCATGTCAAGGAGCTTGAAGAGAAGCTCTCGACCCTCGAGGCTTCGTCCTCTAACGTCCTATCCGAAAATGAACGTCTAAAACGCGAAATCCAAAAGATCACAACCGAAAACCAAATCCTTCGCGCCACATCCGCTGCTCAAGCAGCTCATCAACCCCCTGCGCCAGCAGCTGTAGATGTCGGGCCGATGGCATACTCCCCAACAGACTTCTACGACGTTGTCCTAGAGCCACATAAGAACAAGACACCGAGCCATAGGATCAGCCACCACCCGGAAACTGGCGAGTCACTACTGGGGGCTGCAGCCGCATGGGATTTGATTACAAATGACCCATTATATATTGATGGCCAGGTGGATATCCAAGCTGTCAGCGAGTTCCTAAAACCAAAGGCGAAGTGTGACGGACAAGGACCGGTCTTCCCGGAAACCGAGGTTAGGAAGGCGATTCAGTTGAGTGCTAGCCTCGGGAAGGATGAATTGATATGATCATTATCTGGATATTATAAGCAAAAAAAAGTTTTAAAGGTCGTCTCGAGTAACATATTTTATGTTTCTCACGGCCTGGGAGTATACGGGATAGGTACATTTATAGGATATTCTTTTTTTTTATTTCGATTTTGACTTGCAGCTTTTTTGGAGGTTGAATTCGCTTTTTCCCATGTTTTATATTATTCTTCCTTTTTTTTTTCATCTTCAGGATATCTGGCGCGCTCTTCTTGCAAGCTTGATCAATTGGTCGAACAATCGGCGTTTCATTTGACACATATTACCTTTTGATATCTTTCAGTTATTGCCTTCCCTTAGCTACAAGTGTATACCTACTCACATGGTCGGAACAGTCGAAACGTCTTCACGCTGTATTACGCATTTTTACTCATTCCAGTTCAGCCCTCCAAGGTTGACTGTACTTACTACCATTCCTGTTGGCTCTAGCTCCAACGTTGTATCCTCCCCCACTACTAAGTAGCTAGAAAGACCTGGGATTTCGGATCCAACATAAAACGGCGGACGAAATGCCGTCTACGGCGGGGTTCTCCTTGCTGATGGTGTGTAAGCTTGGTAGATACAACAAGTCGGGGATCTGTGGTCGGTATATACGGCACGGAGACACCCGAATCGGGCTGAATCTTCATGAATAGAGAACATCTAGGATTTCTTTTAAGCAGCTGTATAAATGCGTTTTTAAACATTTTTCATGTGCTATCGATATCTTGAAATTCATGATTCAGAATGATTCATGTGAAATAGTTGCTGTAAGAAACCTGACGTTGACGAGTCTCGCTGGAGATCAGGTAATTGGAGGCGAATGATATGTTATTAGTACAATCTCGTTATTGCCAAAACTCATCGTGATTGGCTACTTCTATGACCCAATCCAATCTGCCTGAATGCAGTTCTGATAGACATCGAAACATTCCTTGCGGCTCCACCTGCCGTTTATCAGGAATGTGTTGATGTGTTGTGGCCAAAACATCAGCGTTTGCCTCATTAGGTCTCAAACCCTTCCGTTTGATCCTGAAATCTTTCCGCTCTGGGACTAGTTTCCCTCCAATCCGTCTCAGAGTCACTTTTGGACAAGAGAATTTTTATGAGTGTCTTCCCCCAATTTTGGCCTTCGAAAACCACACCTCATCTTTTCTCCTCTTAAAGACCGCAATACCCTCGACAGTCCTTGACACCTTCAGCTGTCATACCGCCCCCCGTTTTCGATCGATAAATCTTGAAATTCTGATTAACCGATACTCAAACCGTCAAGATGGTAAGGCGACTTTTTTCCTCACTCTCATTTTTTTTCGATGGATGGTTTTTTTGGTGGTGGATTTGTGGGATTCAAGAGGAGGAGGGGACACGTGCAGGACTAGATATCAGAAAGAGGAGGAATCGAGCTACCGAAGCTCTTTATGGGAAATCTATAGCTGCTGGAAATTGGAAATGAAGTTTTCAGATGGACGATATCTGAAATTTCAAGACGGAATTCGATATTGAAGATTGGGAGGGAAATGTTATCAGATTTGGTAATGGAAACAGATGAGCTAACAGGACATCTCTCATCAAATAGGTTCTCGCAGAAGATCTCCTCAACCCCTCCCCGATTGCTGAGGCTCGCAAGCACAAGCTCAAGGTACGAATTTCCCGATACGTCCATGTAAATGGATGTATATAAAATATATTTATATATATACCTCGAAATAATGTCACACATAGTCTAACATGTGATCCTTGTATATAGACCCTCGTCCCAGCTCCACGATCGTTCTTCATGGACGTCAAGTGCCCAGGCTGCTATGTCATCACCACTGTCTTCTCGCACGCCCAGACTGTCGTTATTTGCGGCTCCTGCGCCACTGTTCTATGCCAGCCCACTGGTGGTAAGGCTAGACTGACAGAGGGATGCTCGTTCAGGAAGAAGTAGATGGTGGATATAATTTTAAACAATACAAATCTTTAATTTCGAAAACGCTTATATCCATACCTCTTTTCCGTCATAATGGGGGTTTCCTTTTTCACTTGTCGATACTTCTCTTTTTTTTTTTTTTTTTGCGGACACCTTTTTTCTTTTTCCTCTCTTAACGCGTCCTTACAATAACGTCTTATCTTGTCCATGCATACGGGTGTTCAGTCGATCTCGGTACCTTTTTTTCCATTTGTTCCACCTCTCAAGTCCTCTTTTATATCCACACACACACAAAACCTGGAAGCTTCTCTTCTTGAGGAATGTCGTCTTTTTTTTAAGAAAAAAAGGCGACAGACTTCGTTTTACTTTTTTTCAAAAAAAAACTCTCTTCATATCAAGCCTGACATTTTTTATACAATAAGGCTTTTCAAACAAAACGGAGGAAACAAATTGAAAAGGAAAAAAAAAAATGAATGAAAAAAACAATACCCACCATGGGATCTGATTCTTCTCTCTCTCTCTCTCTCTCCCTTTCGTTATAATTGTATGATACTACGATGGAGCATTTTTAGACCTCATTGTTAACACGACCACCACCACATACTTTTCTTCGATAACGACCCCTCTCTCTCATACAGATAAGCAATAATTGCGACGAAGTCACGTACATACATATATACCATTTACCCCCCTCAAAAGCACAGCATGCGTTTTAACTTTCTTTTTCTTTTTTCCGATTTGGAAAAAGAAGAAGAAGAAGAGGAGGAAGGAAGAAAAGTTTCAGAGAGGAATATGGGGGTGTTATTAGTTCCTTCTTTTTTTTTTTTTAATGAAATGAGCCGATGGTTATGAAAAACTTGGAGGAAAGGCGGGAGAAGGATTTTTTTTGAGAAATCTTTTTTTTTCTTGTTCTTGTTTTTAGAAAGGAATGAAATGAGAATGGGTAGTGTTTTTGCAAAAAAAGTCTAGAGTATTCTGTGATTTATGATGATATGCTTGTAAATGGTGATAGCGGTGATACGTAATGTAACGGCTACTCCCTTTGACCTGACTTCGATAGACCTGGCCTGGTTATGGCGATGAAGACGGAAAGATGAGGTTTAGTTGTTACACAAGTTGAAAAATCCACAATACCTGCCTTATTGAGTTACTAGATTTCGACCACAGCCCCAACACACTTGCGAAGGTGGATCTGTACTTACATGTGGTATCTGATTCGACGTTTAAAATTTTGAAATTTTTTTTTTTTAGAAATTCCCCGTTGATTATATAAAACATTTTGATTAATTTATTTTCTTCAATGGGTATGATTGGTATAGTTTGATTGGTTGTGGAAGTCTAAAACCGTATATATACCCACACTTATAGATTTATACGTCTTCTTCCGGCGAACTCATGGTTGGGGTTCACTTCGAAGGGTGTCGGTTCTCCTTAAGTGCGAGGCGGGACCTTTTTGAGCTTCGCCCTTTTTCAATTAACATAGCTAGGCGCCTTTGAGGGGGGTTCTATACTTTGTATTTGAGGCGCCAGCGAATTGCACACCTGGCGTATAGGCTTAGGGAATATGGATAGTATTCGGAGTCCCTATGGTTCGCGAGTACATGGAGGCTAGGAAAGCCGTAGAGTTTGAATATCCGGGTTTAAGTGACACTGCAATATGGTAATATTTATCAATTGCAAGCGTGTCACTGAGATATCGGAATGGCTGGTGTTTGGATAATATACGTGCGGATAAATGAAGTAGATATGACTATATCGAGGGCTATGATTCCGAAGTACATGTCTATGTATACAAAGCTATGCTGAATTGGTTTCGAATAATGATCGAAAGTTGGGAAGCGCTCTATAGTAGTTTTACGCAGGCATGGATTGACGAGCATCTAGATATCTAAGGGTGATGTTGGACTGTACTTGCTTAGTACCGCGTTAGTAGAATTATGTTGAGAGGGCTATTCTAAGATGATGACGATGAAGTTTTAATGTTCCCAGGGTGATGCCGATTTCATAGAGACCTCATACAGAGTTTCAAAGATATAGACGCCAAGAACGCATTAAATATATGGACTCAAGTACTCTCCTTGGGTCACATAGTATGAACTTAGATAATGCTATTCCAACGGCGGTCTTCCTCGAAGGGAGAAAATAGAAATCTACAAATCGAATCTTAATTTCTCATTATGCCCCTGGCTTGGTTACTGCCATTCTACCTTGAAAAAGCGGGGTACATATACAAGAAATGCTGTCTCACGATATTAGGATTAGTGGGGTCGTATCTTTAGAAAACTAAGAGTTCCATACTAGCCCTCGCCCCTAGGTCTCTGTCTATAAAATCACACGGCTGGTAAGAAGCCATAGCTTGATAAATTGAACTAAACCCCGAAGTTTCCCCCGTGGGAACATTGTCCCCGTGTACGATCTATCCCATGATCTTTTCTCAAAGTTCTTTAGCTGACTGTAATATGAACTCCACAACGGCTATTACAAAACATCCAACGGGCCGAGTACCTCACATTTTGTACAAGATTCAAATTCCATCTCGAAAAAAGACCTCGGCTAGAAGAGCCACCCTTTAGACCCACTGCATATTTATAGTACCCGGGCGCCTAAGACATAAGATCTCGAGTGTAACCCCGGCCGTTCCCTTGCGCCATAATGAGCCAACCGCTTCAACATCTATTCGAGAGGTTGGGGTTTACTATGTTATTAGCAATTAACTGGATATCGGGAATACTGACCCCAGCTGTGTAAATGCTTTAGTATCAGACATTCAACCCATACTCAGCCACCTAGAAACATATGCAGTAAGCCACTCAGATCTAGAATTCACAATATTAACCGTCTGCACTTCGAAGAGCTCAAGAGACATATAATAGAGTTTAACAGAGATATCAAATGAAGCAAAAAAGATGAACACATGAACATATATATGCACATCTAAGCCAATATCAACGATACGAGGATCTTGGCAAGATGGTTGGGTATACCCTAGATATCAATGTTACAATTGTTTTTCTCTCTTCGGTTATATAAGTTTTTTGAAATATATATAAGACGGAACAAAAAAAAAGAACAGTCACAATATTAATGCATATGCGCATCCCATCTACCCGGTTCATAGATATCAAGTTCTATATATCCCAAAGCCACAAGTACTAACCGAATCCAACAGGACAAGGATACAAATCTCCATTCCCAGGTACACAAACACAATCGAGTTTACCCGCCGCCGCCCCAAAAAAAAACAAAAAACAGAATATCATGTCATGTCATGCCCATAACACCCATTCAATTTTTCCGGTGTGTTTATCTCGCTATAACTTTCTCCCCTCACTTTTTTTCGTCCTGTTTTTCCCCTGCAATAATAGGAATGATCACTATTACATTTCGGAGTTGTCTCCGATACAGACAGTCGGTTACGTTTCATGGGGATATGCAGGAGGTACTAGCTTGGGGTCATAGGGTTTATCCATGCCAAGGAGGTTGGGATATCAAAATATTGTGGAGAACAAGTCATACTACTACTATGTAGTATATAGCAACTAACTAGGTCCGGCCGGAGAGTGAGGGGTGATAGTGGAACTCATGATCTAGACTTCATATGAGATATATATATATATATATCGATATACAAAAACGGCGTAGACGCACATATATGTCTTAGAGATCACTACGTACCTTTCCCCCTTCCCTTCCCTTCCAACAGCACCCCCTGGGTGATACGACAGATAATCCATGTATTTTCGACATGGAGCGGGCAAGAAAGCCCGTGTCTACCCCGCAGATGCCTAGAGGGTTTAGTAGAATCGAATGCTGGCTTTAATTCAAAAACAAAAAAATCCGGAATCGACCGTGAGTTTGGGGTTTTGCCTCCCATAACTCACATGTTCATCTGGAATAGTCAACGAGAACCCTGATCTCAAGATCAGATGACGCGCTGCGCGTCAACCCGTACGTACTTACATACATAAGATACGCAAGTCTGTAATGTACATGTACTATCCAAGAAGCAATTTGTTTCTATATTTGCCGGAGTTCCAGATTCTGTGAGCTGGAGCACCAAGGAAACAGATGGAAAGTATATCTCGCTCAGAGGACCATGTTCATGTGATCAAGTTATGTACATACATGTAGGTCACAGTTTTTTCTTGATTTTGAGAAGCTTTTTGGTTTTTTGCCTCCGAGACCCATGATAGCTGAAAAACAAAAGTCCGGAGTGAACTGGTTCGGAAAAATCGGAGTTCATTAGCCTGGGGTGGTCCATGGTCAGGGAGTAGGCTAGTATAGCGAAAGACGCAAGAGCACCGACATGGGGTGGATACCTCTTGTGATCTGAGTTTCAAAATTTCAAACGAAAAGAAAAGAAAAAAGGCTATCACATCGAAATTTCAATATAATTAACAAGAAACAGCCAATAACCAAATTACAATCTTCTTCGTCTCCAATTGTCCATCAAAGCCGAGATGAAAAATGTGTAGTGCTCGGACTACATCAAAAAGAGGATAAAATAAAAAATAAATTACCCCTTGCAGATAAGCTAAAAGAACCCGCGGCTTGGATAAATTCACTCTGGCAAATTTGGCGAGCGAACAGAAAAGAAGGACAAACAATCAAAAAAGGGTCGGTAGGACAGGGGTCGAGGGCTTACTGCGAAGGTATTATGAATGAAGAGGAGCAGTTTAATTGATTCGTTTAATTTTGTCGATACGAGAGGCCCGAAGGGCTGCTGCTTTTTCTTTTCTTTTCGATATGGGGCCCTTTTAAGCTTAAAGGTACAAGGGTTGTAGACGAAGAACAACTTCAGGGACAGCATCACGAAGATTATCATACGAACGTCAGGTTTTACTGGAATCTATTTGTAAGGGGGTTGACCTCACACTTACGAGCTATTTTATCAACGATATGAAATGTTTTTTCTCTCTTGACAGACATCGAATTGAATATCTGAAGCCTCACCTGTTGAATTCGAGCATCACCAACTTTGACCTCAACACGAGACTTTGTTGTATTTATTCACCAAC